AAAATGAAACAAGTTATATATGGTCTGATACTTCTGCGCAGTAAAAAAAAAAAAAAAAAAAAAAGAATCCTTCTCCATTGACACCCCGATCTCTTTGTCTCTCTCCGCATTTCTTACTGCATGAAGGTGTATTTTTTTTTTTTTTTTTTTCCTTGTTAGAAGAGAACATGGATTAGAAATACAAAAAGAGAAAGAAAGAAAGAAAAAGAAGGGACGCGTCAGACAATCGAAAGCTTTTTTTTGGTTTAAATAATTGCGCAAGGATAAGTAAAAAAAAAAACAGCTCAAACACACCAAAAGAATAAAATAAAATATATAAAAATCGGTTCATTAGCATACTTTTTTCGTGTTGTTATTAGATTATACATGTGTAAATAAATTATAACATGTATAAATTTAAAATATGTACTGTACATGTAAATATTTTGGACTATCCAAGCATACCAATGAATTGAATGGACCTAAAAAAAAAAAAAAAAAAAAAAAAAAAAGCGCATAGGAAAAATAGTTTATTCGACTTTAGAATTGGTTGAGTAACGCAAAAAAAAAAAAAAAAAAAAAACCAAAGATCAACAAGATTCATTCAGAAGGATTTGCCACACAGTATATACGAAATGTATTCTATAATCGACTAGCTTTATATATATTATATTGTATATTTATATCTATAAAGTAGTAAAAAAAAAAAAAAAAAAAACCGGTTTAGTTTTCAATCTAGTTTTTGTCTAGAACAGGAATCTGGTTAAACAGGACATACAGGAGGAAATGGAACAAAATCTATTCAGTTAACCCGTCAAGAACAGATACATCTATGTGTATTTGAATAGTCTAACAGTCAATTATATACATACATGTGGTTTCCTAATTGCTAATTAGTCACGTGGTAATAGTCCTCTTATATAAAATGTGTTTCCCCTTTCTCCCAGGAGAACGACACTATACAATTGACATTTAAAAGATGTGTAAAAGCTGTGAACTAAAGTGTCCTACTCGACGGCAATTGATAAAAAGCGATGCTCTGTACATGTATAACATATACAAATAATATTATAAAAGGTACTACATTTAAAATAGAGTGGACGACTTGTGTAATGTCGTTCTACAAATGCAATTAACCTATGACATTTTGATTTGTTGTTCACAACACACACATACAAAATGGCGCGTGCACAAATAGAACCTCTTTCTCCAATTGCATAACAGAAAACGACAGTCCATCCCCATTTTGGACAAATCATTTTTATGTATCATCCTTATGTATATTTGCACGCTCACTCCTGACACGTAGAGTAGACAATTTTTTTTTTTAACATTCTCTTCATCCATTCTGTCTCATCGCCATCTCACCAGAATTAGTCTTCAAGCATATTAAAAAAAAAAAAAAGAAATACATATTATAAGTAGCTACGAATCTACAACAAGACTTTGTCAAGAGAGGGGAAAAAAAAAACGACAACAACAACAACAACAACAGCAACAAAAAACAAAACAGAACCCTCGGCTATCCGACCAAAAGAGAAGCGACTTTTTTGTATTTTTGTATTTTTGTATTTTTCGACTTTCATTAATACAATGTCATCAGCTGGTGGACTTTCAAGACGCCGTGGTGGTGGTGGAGGTGGAGGAGGAGGCGGAGAAGATTCATATTCATCAAATGCAAACTCATCATCAGGAAATTCTGGATTCAATCACAACTCTGGTCTTCATCGTCGTTCCAGTACAGATGCTAAAGTATATGCAGACCCAAGAGATTTACAAATGGAAGATGAGAACAGAACTCAGCCCAAGTTTACTTTGATGGAAGAGATACTTCTTTTAGGACTCAAGGATAAGCAGGTATATATTTGTATATGAAAAGACTTTTTCCTTTTCTTTTCTCTTTTTCTTATTTATTTTTGGATTTATTTGTGGATATAAATCTATCTTTGCTTCAATTCAACAAGATCAGAGTATGAATATATGAATGCTTCTTACTCAGGGCTTGGTATGCAGTGTCCGCCAACGTGATATGGCGTAATATGGGCTTTCAAAAGGGACGAAAGAAGAAGAAGATCGACCACACTTTTTTTTTTTTTTTTTTTTTTTTTTTTTTGGAGACTTGGGCTGTAGTCCTAGTCATTTTTTTTTTTAATGGATAATAATTGCTCACACATGTGCCACTCACTTGTCAAAAAAAAAATAAAAAAAAAAAAAAAAGCTTAATCTAGAATAGAGCTTAATGATGTTGAAATGTTTCATTTTTTCAAACAACTTTTTAGGGTTATCTTTCGTTCTGGAACGACAATATCTCTTATACTCTTCGGGGCTGTATTCTGATGGAACTAGCTTTCCGCAATCGCATTGCCATGGTCAAGGATCCTAACCGACGCAAATACCCACTCGCTGATCGATATATCGAAGTCATTAGTGAGAAACTGACCGGTGAGGTCTTGCTGGACGAGGCACTCAAGATGATCCATTCCACAGAAGAGAGAATGAGTGTTGGTCAGTGGATCGATCTTATGAGTGGTAAGCTTAATTTTTTTTTTTTTTTTTTTTTTTTTTTTTTTTTGAAAACAGTTACTTGTGTTAAATCCTTTATACTATTTTAATTAACTCAATCTCCCCCCTTCTCTTCCTTTTTTTTTTTTTTTTTTCTTTTGTTCTTTTTCGGCCTGTAAATAGGTGAGACATGGAATGTAATGAAGATTGGATACCAATTAAAGCAAGTTCGAGAACGTTTAGCAAAAGGATTAGTGGACAAGGGCGTGTTGAGAACAGAGAAACGCAATTTTTTGATCTTTGACATGGCAACACACCCCGTGACAGATTCAGCTGTGAAAGAGGAGATCGTCAAAAGAGTCTGCACGACATTGATTTCTAGAAACACAGGTTCAGGCACGCCGACACTTCTCTCAGATCGGGAAACGCCTATCGCATTCCAACAACTCCGGACGATCGCCATGGTCTGTGCTGCCTATGCAGCCAATGTACTGGAGAACGCACTCATGTATCTGAATCATGAGATGCGTGAACGTGCCTATACCAAGGTCGACGAACTTTTGAATGACTATAGTAATTTCCCTTTTGGTTCCTCTGCCTCCAAGAATGAAGTACAGGGCAAGGATCTACAGATGGAAATCATTGCAGCAGTATTGAACGTATTTACAAAGATGGATAGTATTCTGTAACAACAAATAAATCATATTAAAAAGAAAAAGAAAAAGAAAAAGGAAAAGGAAAAGGAAAAAAAAAAAAAAAAAAGAAAAAAAAAAAAGGAAAAGAAAAAGGAAGAGGAAAAGGAAATGAAAAAAAAAAAAAAAAAAAAAAAGCATTCATAAATTAATAAAATAAATACTTTTCACAATTCAATAACATAATAAAATAAATAAATATTCATTCTTAAACTTTCATGGCTTTCAAATGAATAAATTAAGTATATTTGAAAGTATAAATGGACATGTTGAATAGAGGAGATTGTTCGATGCCTTGTTGGTTTTCCAAATCTGCCCTGATTTAACCGTATTTAGTGGAATTGATTAGCATCCTCTGAATAGCTGCCATCCAAAGGGACTACTTGGGACGGACAAAATTTACTGTGTTGTTCAAAACAATAAAACTTGACTGAAAGTCTACTAATCCTCAAACCATGAGGCAAACAATACCTCTGAACGCTTCAATAGGACTATGGCGTGCTTTTGGGGGTGCAGAAAAGACAACATTGTCTCTTTTGAGCAATGAAGGATATAGGATTTGTTCCTTGGGGCAAACTTTTTGAAGCCACTCCACTCTTGTTACTAGTAAAAACACAAATGGTTCCCGTTTTCCTCATATTTTCAGCGCTTCCACGATCCAGGGACTGTGATGTGGCCATTAAATGTTACATCTTTGTCGAAGCATTGACACATCCCTCGCAAAAGCTCAGATGTATACTAAGAATATTGTTTAAGGGACGTTGGAGTAGTCAATGACATGTAGCAGTGTTCAGGTGTTTATACAGTATCATATGGAGTCCAAACAGTCACCAGAGCATCACACAGGTTCTTGTTTATTGAACGATCATTTCTCTTGTGCATTGGCCAGATCATGTTCTAGCTGTTTGCTTTCAAGCTCCAACCATCGTCGTGTTAACTCCAGCTTACTAAGTTGGATCTTGACTTTACATTCTTCTAATGCAATCATGCGCATTGTAAACTCACGGTCTTCTTCTGTCATCTGACTTGGTAGTAGATACCCTCCATGCTCTCCTACCAATGACAGCTCAAATTTCCCAAGACTGCCACTTGGATGCCGCTGAAGACTTTGGGTTGAAGGTGTTCGCTTGAATCTAAAGGGCCGTACTTTAGACCGCGCCGCCCATGATGTAGACGGTCCGACTCCTCCGACTCCTCCTATGCCTCCCATGCCTCCAATTCCAGGACCTCTTCTACCAGTACGGACAGCCACATTGTGAGATAAAGATGAAGACATCAAGCTGGACGGATCAAGTGAATCTTCTTCTTCGTCTACTTCATCTCCCAAGTCATGCCCGTCCCCGAAACTATTATCATACTCATTTCCAAGACCCTCCCCACTCACATTGTGCTGACCGGCCCCACTATCGTCATCCCATTCGTTGTTATCATCCTCAAGCTCTTGTGCAAAAGCAGCAGCGGCAGCAGTAGAACTACTGATCCCGGTCAAGTCTACTAAACTCTGCCCTGCTGTCCCTAACAAACTAGATCCAAGTCCATTACTCATGGTTCCCAAAGCCGAACGTGTATAATTATTAGTGGTGCGATGCTGGCTATTATTCCCAGTAGCGACAGCTGTTGTTCCCACACGTCTTTCATTGGGCGTTGAGCGCAGGCGTTTTGAAGTACCGGCGGGTAATATACCAGAATGAGATTGTTGATTACCTCGGGCAGTTATACCTCCCACTGTGGCTGAAGATGACGAAGATGATGCTGGCGGCGCCATTCTTTGTAGATAATCGAGAGAAGAATTGGGAGCTGTTGTTGTTGTTGTTGATGTTGTTGTTGTCAATGCTGCAGCTACGCCTGGTGCATTACTACCTGCAGCTCGTTTACGTGAAGTAGGAGCCGAAGAATTGGCTGGGTTGACTGACGACGATATTAATGATAAATTATTGTTAGATCGATCTACTCGTGAGTGTATATCTGAGGTATTGTTGTTGTTATTGCCACTGCTGCTGCTGTTGTTGTTATTGTTGCTAGGATTATTGCTATTATTACCATCGTTGTTATTACTGAGGCTATTACTGCTACCAGGCACTGCTGACGAGAGCATGAGGCCTGAGGCGGCAAGAAGTTCTGATGTAGATTGACCATGTCCAACACGATGATGACTGTTATTTCCAAGGCTGTTCAAGGACTGAGGCATCAATGATGTTGTAGACGCTACTGAAGCACGTTGTTGATGAGTTGCGGTTGCTGTGCTTGGTGCTGACGAACCAAGTATATGTCCAGGTATAATGGTTCCAGGCCCAGGCCCAGGTCCAGCCCCAGCTCCAGTAGTATTCAATCCACCAGCAGATGCCGCAGTAGAGGATGGCCCAGATGTGATATCAACATCCCCAGCAACGGTACCAGTAATAGCAGTAGTGGTAGCGGTAGTAGAGGAGGAAGCTGATGGAGTTATTTCAGAGTCCATGACTTTTCCTTGTATACTCGCCAACTTCTCTAATAGCTCATTTTTTAACCGGTCCTCTTCTGATTCCTGTTTCTTGCCTCTTAAATGAGGAGTGGCACGCATGGCCATGAAATCCATAATCATCTTGTCACAACGAGTTCGACATGTCCGAGGATGGGGTAGTTTGCCATCAGGTCGAGGGACTGATTCTCGTTCAAACTCTTCTGCAATGTGATTCCAGGCGACTAAAATGGCTCCATCACGAGAAGAGATCTTGTAAGGGCAGGGTTTAGCTCGAAGAACAATTTGGAGTAGCAAGATCTCGTCCTGTTTATGGAAACGAAATCGCTGTTTCCGGTCATCATCTAATGATGACATTCCTACTGATTTCCTAATTTAACTTGAGCATGGTAATTATAATAATAATAATAACAACAGTAATAATGTATAAATGGTAAATAATGTTTATATGATTGGAAGTGTGTGGTGTGTGTAAGTATGGAAGGATCAAACGTATTGAAAGTATGGCTTTCTCTCTCTCTCTCTCTCTCTCTCTCTCTCTCTCTCTCTCTCTCTCTCTCTCTCTCTCTCTCTCTCTCTCTCTCTCTCTCTCTCTCTCTTTCTCTCTCTTCCTGCAAAGTCAGCGAGGTTTGAAGTTACGTTAAACATTTTTTTTTTTTACTTAAACAAAAAATAAATAAATAAATAAATAAAAGCTTCTTCTAGTTGAGGAATGGGAAAAGAAAAGGTAGAAAGAAAATGAACCTTTTTTTTCCTAGATTACTTACTTACAAATAGTCTTTTCAAGTATTTTGAATAAGAAAAAAAAAAAAAAAAAAAAAAAAAAGTAATGGAATCTGTCTAATGGTGTCAACGAAGGGCGAATGTAGGACAATGTCGAATGTTTGTGCTGAGGAGGATAAAAATTAATAATAAGGATAATAAGACGCGTGTTTAAGTAAATTTGGGTTAAAATAACAAGGGCAAAAATTGTAAATACGTAATGTTGCTTGTGAACAAAAAGGTGTCTATGCTCCCTTTTTTTTTTTTTTTAATAAATTGAATGATAAAATAAAGTATGTAGATCATTTGCCTCATCCTATATGTTTTTCTCCCGTACCCATATCATTTTGAAAAAAATCGCTCACTCCCCTAAGCACACCTCTTGCTGCATTCACCCAACTTTGCCAAAGCTTGAGCGAAACATGCAGACGACAAAGTCTTGGTACATTCCTTCTCAGAAGTCTTGAAACCCTCATTGCAAATCTTCTTGCACTTCTCTGGATCCTCTCGGACAGGTTTCTTCGTTCCAACCGATACCATATCCCCCAGATCACCCAAGCCCAAGAGATCTGTCAAGCCTCCTAGGTTTCCAATCTTCGTCAGATCTGACAAACCTCCCAAGTCTCCAATATCTTGCTGGTCTGACGAGCCTCTCACATGATCCGCCAGGTCCTCAAATCTATCCAGGCCCAACATATCCAGCAAGTTGCCCAATCCTAACAAGTTCAAGAGCAACTTGTCCGCTCCCGTTCTGTCCATACCCAATTCCTCCAAGACCGACTTGTCCAGGATGGACTTGTCCAATCCCAACTTGTCCAGCCCTAACTTGTCCAAGCCCAACTTCTCCAAGCCCAACTTATCCAGGTTCAACTTGTCCAATTCTGACTTGTCCAATTTCAAATTATCTGCGATCATCTTATCCACAATCGCCTTGGCCGGGTTCAACTTCTCCAAACTCAGAATTTGGGACAACTTTGCTAGGCCCAACCTATGCAGGTCCAATTTATCCAGGCCAAACTTATCCAGGCCAAACTTATCCAAGCCCAATTTATCCAAGCCCAAGATATCCAAGCTTCCTGAGTGACCATGCTTTGTCAATCCCGCTGCGTTCGTGATCGGTGCGGCTTGAATAGTCATTGTCGCGAAAGCAACAGTGAGCACCACTGCGGAGGAAAAAGCGGTAGAAAACTTCATGGTGATGATAAAATGGTAATAGTAATAATGATAATAATGAAGATGATTGTGATAGAAACAGTAATGTGTCTAGTGTGGATCTGAGTGAAAAGGAATCGAGTATCTTGAAAGCTTTGAAATACTTTTTGTGTTGTTGATTTTGTTGATGAAAATTAGAAAAGTCTTGTCATGTATTTATGTATTTTTTTTTTTTTTTTTTTTTTTTTTGCCAAGATCTTCATTATTCTTCTAATCTAAATGGAGGAGTTCAAAGTTTCTAAAAACAAAAAAAAAAAAAAAAAAAAAAAAAAAAACGGAGCTCTGGCTATTCAATGTCATAGCCAAGAGAGGAGAGAGAAAGGAGCCAGATTCTTTGTCGTACAGGAGTTTATATCAGATCAGCCAACTTTTTTTTTTTTTTTTTTTTTTTTTTTTAGATTTTAAGATTAAGGGACATAGGAACTTTCAGTAAAGGAGGTCAGGGTCTATTGTATGACAAAATGCGCAAGCCGCAATAAAAGATGAATGGCTGTATTTCTTTTCCTCCTTCTCATCCTCGCCTGCGCCTGTAGGAATGAATCGAGCGCCAAAATGGTGCCCGCTCGAACCCATTCTTACCATCTCGATAATCAGCGAACGTCTCCACAATCTCTTCTTTTGTGTTCATCACAAATGGACCTTGCTGCACCATTGGTTCCTTCAATGGTTCTCCTGCAATCAATACAAAGTGCGCGCCTCCTTTCTCTTCATCCTCATTCATATTCCCATTTACCTCCTCTCCCTCCTCTCCCTCCTCATCTTTAGTCACAAACTTGATCCGATCAGCTCCATCTCCTTCTGACAGCACCAACGTATGTTGGGCCTCACCTTTGAACTCTTGTTTCCTACCGTCAACGTCAACGTTAACGTCAACGTCACCGTTGCTTTCACTCCCACTTTCATTTTTACTTTTGTCTCCTCCTCCTCCTCCATCTCCTTTTTCTACAACAATATGAACTGTTCCCCTGAGCACATAAACGAATCCTGAAAAAGAAACCGGGATCGTCTGCTCGACTGATCTGTTTTTCTTCATCTTGAAGTCTAAATACATGATCGGTGTACGAGTGTACACAGGGCTTTTCACTCCATGTGATTCGCCTGCAATCACTTTGATGACAACACCATCATTGTTTTGTCTCTGTCTCTCATCCTTGTCCCTGTCCTTGTCCTCATTCTTGTCCTTGTCCTTGTCCTTGTCCTTGTCCTTGTCCTTGTCCTTGTCCTTGTCCTTGTCCTTGTCCTTGTCCACGTCCGTGCCCTTTCCTTTATCCTTATCCTCCTTCTCATTTAAAGGAACGGCACGAGGGATCTGTTCATCTCTAAGTTCTTGATATTGAGGTTCACACATCTTGTATTCCTTCGACAGATTCACCCACAACTGTAATCCATGAGCAGGTGTCTGTGATTTCACTGGCATCTCACAGTGGACGATGCCTCGCCCGGCTGTCATCCATTGCACGTCACCCGGTCCGATCACCCCTTTCCGATCTGCAAAATCCTCATGTTGGAACTGTCCTCGTAACATGTAGGTCACAGTTTCGAACCCTCGATGAGCATGGTCCAAGAATCCCCCGTTCCGATCCACCATAAACTCGTCCAGTAAAAGAAATGGATCGTGGTATCGAACTTCATACCCTCCAATGGAACGCCGCACCCGAGCCCCAACTCCATCAGTCTGTTCACGAGAAGGTATAGACTTGACAATAGTTCGAAACCGTCTTTTTTCTTTTTGTTGGTGATGTTGATGCTGCTGTTGATGATGTTGGTGCTGTTTTTGTTGTTCTTGTCCTTGCTGTAGAACAGCCGTTGTTGCCATTATGAATCGACTGTTTTTTTTTTTTTTTTTTTTTGTTTGTTTTTTAAAGATTTAAAAGAAGAGGAACGGAGTTTTTTATGTCGTCTTTTTGTAGCTTTAAAAAAAAAAAAGAAGCATTTGTCAACTTGGATTACCAATGAATTTTTAAGGTTAGTAAACATAATTTGTAACTTCGTCCTACACTGTTCGTACATTACATGACATGAATGTCGCGCTGTATGTACTAGAAAGCAAATAAACATCTTGCGAGAGGCTGCTGACATTGATAAATGTACAAAATTAGAAAGGTCTTTTTTTTTTTTTTTTTTTTTTTTTTTTTTTTGCATGGTCAAATCTGTTCTCAGGCAGTGAGTAGAGCAATACACTTGCAAAGATAAAGAAAACGATATCTAAAAAAATTTCCTTTATCACTTCAGCCAACCGTACAAGGGTTTTAATGCTATTCCATGGATTCATGCAACAGAAAGGACCAAGACAGAATGTCATGAGTTAAAACAGAGCTGAAACAGGAGAATAAACCAACAACGTTTGTTTGGAAATAAGGGGAATGGTTTTCATTATTTACTTGTTGCACATAATTTATTACTAAAACTCATCCCATACATGACCTTTTACAATCCTTCTTCTGAAACAACTTTGCTTCGTTTCCTTCCATAATCTGACCTTCATCCTCCGTCTACTCTATGATCTCCCTTTGCCTGCCCTTCCTTTCCTAGCAGAGTATGCCTGCATCTCTTCCGCGTACCGCAGCTTGTCTTGAGCGGCCTTTTCAAGATATGGAGCACGCTGCTCTGGAGTCATTTCATTCCACATCTTTGCTGCTACAGTAGGAATCGGTTGGTTAGGGTTCATGGCTCGGATGCGAGCTCGTTCACCCGACCTAAAGAACAAGAACCCAGGAATGGGATGTTTAGGTGCGTCGGGATCCTTAGTCCTCTTCTTGCCCCGTGATCTATCTTTGCCATTAATTGCCAAATCATGAGATGCATTAACGGCAGTGTTCGAAGCCCCTGCAGAGGCTGCAGTCCCTGAACTACCTCCACCAGCTCGGCTATTGCCCGTAGAATTAGTAGCTGCAGCCTGTCCTGCTCCGTTCCTTCCACTTTGACCCGCCTTGCTTCCAGGGACGTTGGAGCCTGAAGAGATCGATGGTGGTACAGCACCACCACGGCGACGGGCTGCTCCGGATGCTGCAATCTCTGCCTTACTCCTACGTGAATAGACATAATCTGGATTCCGCTTCAGGAATTCTGCTTTGATGCTTGCTGCCTTTTCATTATACTCGCGTTTCATGTCTGGTGTCATATTAGCCCATCTTTGGCCAATGGCACGTGAAATCTCGCTCACAGTCAGATTTGCATTCTCTAACAGCAATTTATGCCGCATCTCCTGGTTAAAGATCAAGTACGAATTCATAGGCCGTCTTGGTCTATTAGGATCCAACCCTGCGTTTGCTGGGTAACCGGCGTTGTCATCGTACTATATTATCAAGTCAAAAAAAAAAAAAAAAAAAAAAAAAAAGGCAGTAGTTAGCGATCAATCATATTAGTAAATTGCATTGTGCTAAATAAAAAAAAAAAAAAAAAAAAAAAAAAAAAAAAAAACATGAGACATACATCAGTTCCCTTAAGTCTCTTGGAGGAGCCTGCATCAACGTCGACGATTGCACGCTTTTTAGAGGAACGACGAGTGTAGACGTAGTCCGGATGATTAGTCTGGAAAGTATCTTTGATATCCTTTGCACGCGAGGTATAAAGTGATTTTCGCTCCTGAAAAGAAACGATTGCAAAAAAAAAAAAAAAAAAAAAAAAAAAAAGATTAGTGTCAATGTTTGAAGAGTTAAAAGCAAAACCCAATACTACGATATCATAGCACGCCAATGACTTACAGGGGGCATGTCGCGCCATTCTTCTCCAAGACGTTTACTAAGTGCGGCTGTCTTGTGCGAGGGGTAAAGTTTCTGCAGTTCCGGTCGTCGGATACTAGAGAATACCAAAAATGCATTTGGAGGTCGTTTAGGACGACCGGAGGGATGAAGAGCAGGTTGAGACAAAGTCAGCGCTAATGCAGAAGCATCGTAATAAGGCTGTTGTTGCTGCTGTTGCTGCTGTTGTTGCATTTGTTGGCGCTGCAGCTGTTGCTGTTGCTGTTGCTGCTGCTGCTGTTGTTGTTGTTGTTGTATCTGCATTTGTTGCTGCTGTTGAAGTTGTTGTTGATGTAACTGCTGTTGTCGTTGTTGCTGTTGCTGTTGCTGTTGCTGCTGCTGTTGTTGAAGCTGTTGTTGAAGCTGTTGCTGTTGAAGCTGCTGTTGTTGAAGTTGCTGAAATTGCTGTTGCTGTTGCTTGTTCAGTTTGGGTGTTGAGGACGTCTGTGGAAGAGCAGGCATGACGGCTGTAGGTCGTGTCGCAGGGGTGACTACGGGTTCAAGAGCAGGGGTAGGAGTAGGAGCGGGGGCAGGAGCAGGGGCGGGAGCAGAGTCTGCAGGCTTATCAACAACCTTTTTCTTTCTGCCACGTCCTTTGCCTTTAGGTTTATCAGTGGCTGAGTCAGATACAGGAGGCGCTACAGGCTGAGTAAGGGGACGAGGATTAGTTTCGAAACTTTCATTTCGCTGATGTTGCCGTAAGGCTTGTTGTTGTTGATGCTGCTGCTGAGGAGTCTGATGTGCCTGATGCTGCTGCTGCTGTGGTTGTTGTTGATGATGGTGTTGCTGATGTTGAACCTGTGCTTGATGCTGCGGTTGTTGTTGCTGTTGCTGCTGCTGAAGCGTGTTTTGAGGCGAGGGTTGGTGCTGTTGTTGTTGCTGCTGGAAGCTTGGGTACTGCTGCTGATGCTGGGCCAAAGCAGCTGGAGTCAATGGACTACTGTACATACGATTGTGCCCTGGCACAGTCGAGTCCACACTGCTATACGGCGAGGTCATGGCATGAGATGAACCAGTATCTGTTCGTCCAAGTTCTGGTGATGGCACATTGTCTGGCTGAATTTTTGGGTTCTTCTTGCCTTGAGCAGTCTTCTTCGCGCCTGCAGCAGCCTTTGGGGCTTTTTGCTGCTTCTTCTTGGGCTCTGGTTCGACAATCGCCGCTTTTGGTGCCGACAGCTGGGGCGACTCTTTTGGGGTGAGTGCGGACTGACCAGGAGGCGTTGATTGCTGGTGCGCATGCTGGTGCTGGGACTGAGGCAGAATAGAATTATGTGGAGATGGATAAGGTTGTTGAGGTGACTGCTGGGCGGTTGAATGGTATGAGTAAGGCGATTGTGGAAGTGGCTGATTCAGATGACGAGACGATGTCTGATGCTGAGTACTGTTGCCAGTTACACCACCGCCACTCAGCATGACGTCGCCCTTGATGCTGTTCATGGCTGGCGTGGTTGTGCGCTGGTCATATGAGGATAGAGGCTGGTTCTGAGAAATGGTAGTGGGGTTATTATTGAGAATATGATTGCCTTGTCCTGGCCGTATATCATGTGCTAGTCGATTAGGTGTTACAGGGTTGCTACCAGTTCGCTGAGCCTGATACCGACCAGCCGATTGAACTTGATTACCATGAGGATTACTGTTTAAGGGTTGGTAAACCCCATCAAGTGAATTGTCGTCATTTGGGATCAAGTTTCCACCCTACAGAAATCAAATGAATAGATAACAAGACGTTATTCAACCATACTGCTGAAGTAATCAGATCTCTTGTTCTCCTCACTTTTGGCTCATTCTGATGTTTTTTTTTTATTTTTTATGTTCTTACCTCATCGTCAGCGCCATATGTATTACGGAGATTGGTCATGCCTGCCATACCAAAATTGTTAGTAGATCCAAAGCTTGGCGCGCTGGGCCCAGTAGAAAGTGCAGAATCAAGGTAATTGCGGTTCACAGAACTAACATTCCCGAGCGAGGTTGAGGGTTTTAGCCCACCTGATCCAACCATACCGGTCTGTGCAGATGGCTGTTGCTGTCGAGAAAGTTGAGATGCTGGCGACACAACAGTGCTTGAGAAATGTTGAGAGCCTTGGTGATTGGATGAATGATGAGAGCCATAGGAAGGTTGCTGTTGTTGCGATTGAGCTTGTTGAGGCTGCTGTTGCTGCGTTTGTTGAGTCTGCTGTGGCTGGGCCTGCTATCCATGGAAGCAATATAAAGAGTGAGAGTTAATAATAAAGTCAAATCAAGACAAGAGCAACGACCACCCACGGTTCTTGCACAATTGTTGGTTGATTCTGGATACAAAAAGTATTTACCCTAAGATGAGTTGGAGATTGGTTGTGGGCTGAAAATAGAAATGCCTGCTGCTGCTGGTGCTGTTGCTGTGGTTGCTGGGGTTGCTGTTGGGGTTGCTGTTGCTGCTGCTGTGGCTGCGAGTATTGCGAGATGGAAAGTGATGGTTGCGAGGCTGAATGGTGTGGTTGAGTCAACATGTGCGACAGCTGTCCGCTCGAGTGTGTCTGGCCAAAGCCGGTCATATCTGTAGGGCTGTTCCAGTTACCATATCCTTGAAGTCCATTGCTCGGCCGTGAGTCTCGAGTGTTGTCCAATTTATAGCTATTGGACGTTAGGGAACTGAGACCGAAACTATTGTTGTTGGCATTGTGATGTTGCAAATGTGCATACTGCTGCTGTTGTTGTTGCTGCTGAGTATGTTGTTGGGCTAAACCTTGGATCTGGCTGTTACTGGCCTGTTGCGGATGCTGCGCAAAGGGTCGCGTGGTGGCAGATCCGGTAAACTGCCCATGCTGGTTGTGCCCGTGGTAAGACATGAAGTCGCTGATTTATTGCCTTACTTTCCCTGACAGTCGTGTCCTGATATGTCCTCGACTCTATACTATAAATAAAAATATAAAAAATAAAGCGCGCGTTGTCAGTACGATGCGTTTGAGCTTTTTTTTTTTTTTTGTTTTTATAATAAAACACGTGTTATAACAACGTTCCGATTGTAGGAGAGGAAAAAAGAATAGAAAAAAATAACAATAAATAAAAACTGCAATTCCAGAGAACATATTTGAGTATATTCTTCCTATTCACAATAACATTAAACATGCATCGGAAGAGATCGTACTGAATCACGAGGAAAAAAATAAAAATAAAAAAATAATAATAATCTAATTCGATGCTTAATTCTCATCAGACCGAGGAAGAAAAATAAAATAAAATAAAAACTTTAAAAGAAAGGATGGATAAATATTCATACGTATTATAATGACGAGCTAATTCCACGCGTCAGTCAATGATGTTCAAGGAATGAAGTGAAATCATCTCAATAAAAATTAAAAAATTAATAATAGCAATAACAATAACAATAATAGCAATGGTAATGACGTGTCTTTTTTTTTTTTTTTTTTTTTTTTTCTTTGTTATGATGGCGTATTAAAAGTTAGACCCGAAATACATGTCCTTTGGAAGCTGAAGTAACTCACCTCGTCTAGCTGTTCGAGAATCAGGGCCCACAGAAAGCAATGATATAAAGATAGTGATATAGAGTGTTAGAAAGCGTATACGTGTGTATGTGTGTATGCATGTAAAAAGTATAAAATAGAGAGATCAGCCAGTCAGTCTCTCGAATGAGACCCAAGGCGGATGCAAATGACGATGGAGAAAGAAGTGGCGTTAAGAGTCAGTTGAGAGGATAAGAATAACTGAGTAAAAGAAAGATTATAAAAAAAAAATAAAAAAAAAAAAAAGTTGAGCGGACACAAACAAGCACAATAAGACGCCTGACCTGCTGTGTCAAGTAAACAATCGCAATTCACACAGTCAATAAACTAAAGAAAAAAAAAAAAAAAAAAGCCAACTCTGTGACCGTCAAATGAAACTTCTCCGTTCTTCTCCAGCTGTGTTTGGTGAGGCAGTGTGGGATGTTGGCATGTATATGCAAACAAAAGAAGGAAAGAACGAAGGTAAACAAGATTAAATGGTAGTGATGCTCCGAAGGAAGAAAGTAGGAAGTAGAAGGAATCATAGAAGAGAAAGGTTGAACGTTCTCTTGATAAAATGAAAGGTTAATGTGTGGCCTGCAAGGCGTAGTACAACCTTCACAAAAAAAAAGCAATAGCAGGGCTGCTGGACTCAATGGGGATGCACTCGTGATGGGGATAGATACGCCATAATCCATTAATAGCAATAATTAATAATAGGAGCAATGTATTAAAAACATAATAGAAACATAATGGTGGAGTAGCATAAACGTAATCTGTCATATTTTCTATTTGCTCAAGAGAAACGAACGGGATCTTAGTGGATCTCTTTCCGCTGATCCGCTGACAGTTATCTGATCAGGACACATCAAGCTACCTCCATCATACAGAATGTATGTGCTGCTACACAGAGCAAGCATAAAAAAAAAACCAGATGAAAGAAGAACAAGAGTCGACCAATTTTTTTTTTTTACTATGATGACGAGTGTGATGGCTCTCTTTTTTTTTTTTTTTTTTTTTTTTTTCCTTTTCCTCTCATCTCTCCCCCCCATCCCCCCTTTCCCCTGTAAACGACTCATATCACAGGAAACTACAATTCCCTCGAGATTTTTGTGTCATAGAATGTTTCAGAGTTCATGAAGAGATGAAGAGGGATGAATATATTTGTATTCGGGAGTTGGTATTGTTGATGCAAAAGTATATAATAAAGTATAAATATATTAATGTAATTAAATAGCATTGAATGAGGTGTACAGGGACTATTTGATGTGTGTATAAATATTGTTTGGGAAATGTGTAGAAAAAAGTGATGGAGCTCATGCATTTGAATGTGATTTGATTGCTGATGTGTATGAATGTATGTATATATAATGTGTATAAAAGTATAATAAATTGTATATTATGTGAATAGAAAGGACGTTATGAAGATATTGTGTGAATATGTTCAATGGGGGGATGAAAGTATATTGTATTTGCTTCTGAATTGTATTAGAGTATGTAGTAGTTATGCGTGTGTATGTGTGCTGTGTGTAATATGTAAATATGTTGAAAAGGGTCCTCTTTACCTTTTCTGTCCAAGAGTAAGAAGTAAAAATGAAGCCCTTTTTATTTTTTTTTTTTACTTTCTTTTTGCTGTGTTGTTGTTTATAGTTTTTTTTTTTTAAAAAGTGGAATGAAGTGAATTTGAGTAGAATTGAGAATGAGTAGAAATGAGTTGAATGAGCAAAGGATTAAAAAAGGGCCAAGAATAAAAAGAACAAGAGTAAAGAAAAAAACAAAAACAAGGAGGTAAAAAAAAATCTTTTCTATTAGTCAGTCCTGTTCAATCTCGCCTTTTTGACTGGCGCAAATCAAATCAAATCAATAAGAACTAATAATATAGACCAAATTCATACCTCATATTCAATTTTAAATCCAATTCATTTTTAGCCAATCATCGTACGTCCTCATCGACCCCGAGTAAAACAAAAAAAAAAATTATTTATTGAATTGGAGTCACTCTGTCACATTGATGTGGCACATGCTTGCCGGTTGAGATATCGCTCCAATCTCACATCTCATATTCAATCGCATTTAAACACATCATAAACATTTATTATTAAATATATTTTAACCGCTCTGTTAAAAACAATTGTGCCAATATTCAATTTTATTCTTTCTAAGCTACTGTACATGTATATTAATGTATTATACATATACTTTTTCTTTATTTTTATTTTTTATTTTGTTTTTATTTGCACTTGTTGATTGAGTTCCACGCACGGATGTTGGATGTGGGGTAAAATCGTATATATTTTTATTATTATTATTATTTAGTACAGATTGCATTATAGGCTTTTTTTTTTTTTTTTTTGTTTAATCATTATAAAAAAATAAAAATAAGAGGACATTAAAGAAAAAAAGTAGTAACATAATAAAACGTATTTCATTACACATACGGTGGGACCACAAGTGACATCTGAGTGTTATTCTTTCTTGGACCTTCCACCTGGATAGTATTCAACAGATCTGCAAGGTCAGGTCGTGAAGCAAGCGTCGATGCTGTGGACCCACTAGAAGGTGAGGCACCATGCTTACGAAGTGTTTGCGAATGGATAGATAATGGATAAAATCGTTGAAGTGTCGTTGTAGCGGATGATGGGCTACGAGTGACACTTCCAGGACTGGAGCTGCCCGTATCACTCGAGCTATCCACTGCCATTTGTGCCGCCGCCAGAGCTGCCTTTAGATTATCAACACCAATCTTCTTGCTAGGCATTGATGGATCATCCAACGAAAGCATTCCACCCTCCCCACTCACTGTTGACCTGGATGTATCTTCAGAGTGTGTAGTCGACAAGTCCATGGAAGAATTCATTGACTGTGGGGCAAGCTTGGGTAAGGCCCAATCCTCCAAATGACGTGAGACGCGAATGCGGCTGTCCATACTCCGCTCCAACTTGTGACCAAGAATGCTAGAGACCCCATTGATCGTACCTGTGGACAAGAACAGACCACTACCAAATTCTCGACTATCACCTGAACCTAACAGTCCAGACTGAGCTTCAGGATTAAACACTTGATTAAATCGATCTGCTCCAGCACTAAATCGATCAGAGACTGTCGTCAGTAAAGTGACCAGGTGCTCACGTGCAAGAGGATGACTCAGTACAGGACTCAGGGGCTCTGAAGCTTCATCCCAAGTTAACTCTGAGGTGCGAGCCAATGACTCTTCCATAGCCCCGTAGTTGATAGGAACCCATTGCAACTCATCCTCTCTGGATTTCTTGATATTTTGGAGGTACTCCTGAGGCTCAGTCATATCATAGATCGAGACAGCCATCTGAAAGTACGAGACTATAAGCGCTGCCACCGCGCGCTTGCGCGCCACCTCAATGGCATCATCCTGCTGCTCTTCCAAAGGCTGGTTTAAACACCAATCTTGCAAGGAAAAGAGCATGGGGACAACTCGAATAAATTCATCATCCTGGAAATGGTTAAGCATAGCCTTCAAGATGCCATAGATGGCCACTAAATCCTTGGGAGTCAAGGTCGAGGAGCTTGCGTAGGCATACAAGGTCTGATGTGCTGCTGCACGGAAATACAGGTCTCCAGAGGTAGATGGGATCGATATCATCGGAGACAATCCCATACCATCGGCTATGTTTTCGTCTTCTGTGGCCAAAAAGGAGACAAGTACCTGCGCAAAGGCTGTTCGGATCTCAACGTGCCCATCCAATAAAAGACCGAGGCATGGTGTCAAGAGCTCGGACGAAATTTCTGTAGCATGGAAATTGGCGCCTTGGCGACCACTTTCCTTGCTCGTCCTAATCACTGCCTGCAAGCTCTTGAGCAAGGCTGCACGGTATTCTACAGTGGGTACACCCTCAATTGTTTCGGGCTGAGGGGCGGTGCCGAGCTTGAATGAAAGCTTTTTTGCAATGTGAGAGATAATGTGGGGCACCTGGTTTGAGTAGTAGATATGGGTTGCAAGCCCGCCTGAGAGATAAAAAAAGAGTTAGAATAATTAAAATAGCAAAAAATTAGACTCAAAGCAAATACCAATTCAACATGAAAAACAACTTTATTATTTGCTTGCTTATAAAACTTACCAATGCTCTTTATAAGGCCTTCCTGAATCACAACTTCCAAAGAGTGCATTTGGCTGGACTGGTTATTCTTATTCATTGAGGCACTGGCTGAGAGTGACTTTATTAAGAATACCAATAGCGAATGGAGAACTTCCAGAACTGGCATTCCAATGAGCGAAACAGAGGATACCAAAATAGCTTCCGAAGCAGAGATCAATGTAGCCTTTTTCTGAAGGCGCAAGATGGCATCAGTAGTTGTTGAATCCACATCATCAATGCGGGAAATAATTTCATTCACAGCCATGTATCGGTACTGTGGCAAAATGGATCTCACGATGGCCTTGATAATTTCAACGTTAAAGGAGGATGGCCACCAACGACTATGGCCATCTAAATACGAAAATGTGGGCCCTAGAGCGAGCTTTACATCACCGCCATTAGGATTCTTGAGGAGGGCACGAAGACATCTAAGAGCTTCTGCCGTAACATCCTCGTCTGTCACTATGTTGTCGGGGTGAACTGCAATATGAATAGATACTGAACGACGGAGCGATGTCGTATTAGGCGAGTCGTCCAGAGCAATGTTGACGCCATTTTTGGAGTCAATGAGGCGGTCGAGTATTGCCGGCAGGACCAAGTTGAGTTGGGCTTTGAAATCAGATGCATAAAGTGCGCGGGATGAAACGACAGCTTCCAATGCTCTCAATCCGATCATCCGATAGCTACGCGGAAGAGAAGGGTATGGAGAAAAATAGGTAGAAAAGAGCAGAGAGGAAGAAGAAGACAAGAATGCTTTAGCTGCAATATTCAATAATAAGAACAGGGGTAAAAATACACGTATCCTGCAGCTTTCTGTTTGGCCAACACACTGCGAGCTAATGTATTGGTGACTGACTACTCTTCCTATAGACATTTCAGATTAGACAGGACTAACATACCGGTGACTGTTTTCGCCATTATGTGCGCTGAGCTTTGCAAAACGGTCGACGACTCTGTAATAGATAGTTCTGAACTCGCTATCAACACCCAATGTGGAGCCGTCATGAGCGCCGCAGAAGCAAGAAAAGACATTTTGACAATGTCTCACGATATCAAGGTTTGAAGTGTCGACCAAAAGTGCATCGAGGATGCTGACGATGTTTTTGGAAAAGATATTCAAATGGGACTTGCTCTCAAGAAGAAGAGCCTTGATGATCTCGAGCGAACAATGGACATCACTGCGTATAGGTAAAGCCAGTCCAAGAAAGGCAATGAGTTATTTGTTTAATACTCTGCATTTTTCATTTTTCATTGTCATCTTTTTTTCCATGTGGGCCTGAGCGCACGGAAATGTCATAAAAAAAAAAAAAGACATACGAGAATTTCTTTTTGCGGTAGTCACGAACAACTCTTCGCTCGATAAAGTTGCCAACCTTGGTCAGTTTGGCAGGCTTGGAAGTCGTATAAAAGACAAGATAGGAAAGTTCGCTGGCTTTTGGGCCTTTTTCCTCCGGACGGGATGGGTAACAGTTGTTGACGAGCGTGGCGTGTTTGATGAAACTGGATGGGATAAAAGTGGAGTGAGATGCGGTTGGGGAGGGAGCAGAGGGGGTAGACGAAGGTGCATTTGGACCCGGAGCAGAAACGGAGCCAGTACGGGAGCCAGAGCGTGTACGGTTAGAGGCGAGTGAAGGCGAGGTGGCCCCAGGCGAGGAGGACATGACGAAAGAAATTAAGATGAGAAAGTGAAATGAGAAAGAGAGGGAATGGAAGAAAAGAGGATCAGCGACTATGTTCTAGAGGGGCAAATAGACAGCACAATTTTATAGCGCGAGTCGTTTGCTCAGGAACAGGAATGGAAGTTTCAGGCGTAAAAGTCGACTGGAAAGTGAAAGAAAGAATAAAAGGAGAAAGAAATAATGGGAGAAAGGGATGATGAGAGAAAGAAAGAAAGAAAGTAAGAAAGAAAAAAGACATAAACGATATCTCCAACAACAAAATAAACAATTGGCACATGTGCGAGTTCGCATGCATTTATTTGCTTTAGAACAGTTGCCATGCTGGATGCTTTTGCACTCGCCGAAGCGAACAGCAATTAATAAAAAAAAAGAGTTGAGCCCGTCTTTTTGGTTCTGAATGTTCTCTTCCATTCTTCATTCATTCACTCCCTCACTCACTCATTTCATCTTCACTCACCTCCTTTTTCATTTCAATGCGCTCTCCTGTTGCATCTCAATTGTCCTGTCTATATTTTTGTATCCGTTCCTCTCATCCACAAAAAAAAAAAAAAAAAAAAACATCGATGACCTTGTCATCTCATTTTCTAGTCACCCATCTCTTAAAGCAGACGTCAATCGCAAATATTTATAAAGCACGCGCCAACAGAGAACCTTGCATGAAGTCTAGCGCCGTGTCTTTCTCTCTGTGCAACCATCACCACTTGTGTTTGTCTCTTTTCCTCCATCTTTCTTCCACAAATTCCAGACCAAACAATAACAACAACAGCAAGCAACTGGTGATCCTTTCATCTTGTACCTCCTCTCCACAAAACGCCCATTCCTCTTTTTTTTTGACTCCGCCCTCTCACTTTTGTTGTCACATTAGACCGAATTGTCATGACAAAGAGCAAATACCAACTTTAAAACTTTCTCAAGGAACATTAATATGACACAAAATAAGGAACGCGTCCAAAAGGATCTTTTAAGGTGCTTTTTTGTGGCTTCTGTTCGAATGCCTTGTAGTCCATTCATTCTCCCGCAATCCTTTGCTCAATGCATACTTACCAAATGGTCGAATGACTTTTTTTTTTTTTTTTTTTTTTTTTTATTTCTTCCTCTTTCTTTCCTTCTCTTCAAGACTGAAATCCACATGTAAGCTGTAAAGTGCATGCATAACAGGAATTTACCTTTTAAAGAGCATGGTGCACCTTGCACTAATGAATGTAAATGGTAAAAAAAGGAACAAGTGAAACTTTGCTTTTCTTATTATTTTTTGTCTCGGAAGAAAGACGTTGGTGTGGAGAAATAAGTAAGGCTGAAGAGAAAAGAAGGATAATCAAGCCTGCTATATTATTATTAATATATTGTTTGTTAGGGAAAGGAAGAGTTTGGAAATGCAAAATGAATACAGGGGCAGGAACAGAATTAGGTTTAGTACAGGAGTCAAGAAAGGAGAAAGAGGAAGAGGAACATGAACGGGAGAAAGAACAAAATAAAGAGGGATTTCATTCATTCTTTGGCATTGTATTGCACTGCGTTGTTAGCATTGCGTTGGCATGGGTGGTAGGAAAAAGGGAGTAGGGGGCTGTCTTTGAACACATTGTGTCGCCACCTCCTTGGCCAAAAGTAATTGTCTGCGCAATTATAACAAAGCAAAAACGGATCAATGGACTTGCCCTGCTTTTCAACACCAAATCCAGTGCATTCAGAACTCCTCACTGTTGCTTGCATTAAAATTATCACCATCACCACAATAATTCATTAGTATCATCATCAAGTTGTTTTGACAAAAGATGAACTGGTTCAAATGATCAAGAAAAGCAAAAAGATGGGTTAAAAAACAAAGGCTGAGACCAATAGACATCAATAAGCTTGGGTCACCGAAGCAAAGAAAAAAGAAGTGATAAGGAATGACAAGGAATGAAGCTGTAGAAAAGCCAAAATTAAAGATTTATGCTTTGGTGCTTTTTTTATTTGTGGCATGAATCTGTTTTCTGATTGATATCCTTTGTTAGTTATTTTTTTTTTTTTTTTTTTTTTTTTTTTTTAAATAAAAAAAAACTCCCAATGTTGATAGTTGGCAGTTCATGGTTGGTGTTAAGAGTGTTCAAGTCTACACCGGTGCCCTATGTTATTGGGGATACAACATGGAGCCTTGAGGCTTTGCGTGTCTGTTAATAGTGACGGAAGCAGATCTTCATTCATCCGGACCCCTTTTAATACTATGACCAGGCCCACCAGATCACGCTTACTGGCCTAATAAACGTCAGTGAGGGGAAATACAGCAGACATTTGAAGCTTTAGGGCTTTTACCCTGCCTACTAAGCAATCGTTACAGGTGATACCCTAATATGTATGACAGAAATATATTTCACTTGTGTGTCTTGATGTTGTCATAAACTCAATCCTGCCTCAGGTCGAAATGGCTCCCTTTAATCAGGTATTTGTGGCCAATGAAAGCAAGGGCGGTGGTGATCAGGATCTCATCAGGCGTTGTTGCTCGGCTTGAAGGAAGCTCCTTGGCTCTGTTTCGGGCTGGTTTCGGTTGAACACGACGATAAGAATGAAAGTCAAGGAATCAAGGTGCTTGATTTTGGATGTCGACAAGTTAGAGAGAAACTCAGAGGACCAATAGACTGGACATTAAGAAACCCAAATTGATAGTCATTACTTTAAAAAAGAAAAGGGGTGAGGAGAGCTTAATTTAGATCCTCTTGCAGATCCCTCGTCATCACTTGCAGATCCCTCAACGCAAGGCTGACGTCAAAGGACCGAATAGCGACGTCTTCGAGGATCTTGATGCCATTTTTTATGAATAGAGGACGACAAGTGTTGTAATAAGGATCTATCAGTAATTGAAGCGAATACATGATACAGACAAGAGATTCCTAGGCTGGATGTCCGGACATGCTCCATCCCCATATTACATATCCATAGAAAAATGTGAAGAACATGTCGCGTGAAGAGTGAGTCGTGTGGAGAAATTAAAAGTAATTCATGGAGAATGTGTCATTGGTCATAACAAAGAAAAAGAAAGAAAAAAAAGGAAGGAGGTATCCTGCATGAACATTTCCAAACTTTCTGCATCCATACGTCCATCCTCTTTCATCCAATCCTGGTTTTCTTTCTTCTTCTCTCTCACTCTCTTTTCCTTCTCCTCTCCATCTTTTTTTTTTTTTTTTTTTTTTTTGTATATATACCCTTTCTCTATTTTCTCAAGTTCATTTACGATCTCGATTGTTTTTGTCTTTCTGTCCATCCATCTTTCATCTTTGTTCATCTTCCATTTTCCATTTCACAATCAGTTGACTAATCACACAGCACACACCACACAAAGACACACAAACACACAAACACATTTACACATTTACATTTACACAACAAACACACCACTCCATGCTCACGTGCCGAAATGGCCATCTCTCCAATTCCTGCTCGTCTGTTAAACAGACCAACGCTGATTAACCATAAAAACATGCGTTTCTTGATCTCAGATGCACCCTCCGACAGCAACTTGGCCTTGTACATCGCAGTAAGCTTACAAAACAAACGCTAACAGCATTGCAGTGACAGTAACAACAATAATGACTTTTTTTTTTATTGAAGACGTTTATTTCTGTATTACTCTCCACTCACACAACACCACTTTTCTTTTTTTCCTATTCCAAAAAAAATATAAAAAAAATATAAAAAAAAAGGAATTTGAAAGACATAACACTACAGATATTGTCCGCGTATGCGATCCAACCTATGCAACTGTTCCATTAAACAACTTGGGTATCAAAGTCCATGTAAGTTTGACGTCAAATCAAAAAAAGCCATGCTTTCCTCCTTCCCCCTCCCTTCCCTTTTCCCCCTTTAGTAAATATATAAATATATTTAAATATACAATTTTTATTTTTATTTTAAAAAGGATTGGCCTTTTGGTGATGGTGAGGGGCCACCTCCTGCAATAGTGCGCGATTGGATCGAGCTTGTGGAGCAGCGGTTTGGCAAGGATCCCGAAAAAGAACCCTCAAGTGCCATTGCCGTCCATTGCGTCGCTGGCCTCGGAAGGTAATGGAGCTGATACATGAATTTGTAAATTAATGCAAAACTCAATTCATCATTACAAAATAAGATTAAGTATATTACATTTATCTCATGCATGGCTGTTTATATTATTTACGTAGGGCACCATTACTTGTGGCGATCGCCTTGATTGAGGCAGGTATGACGCCTGAGGAAAGTATTGCCTTTATACGCGAACATAGACGAGGCGCCCTCAACACCAAACAGATCAAATTCATCATGGATTACAAACCTAGGAGGGCTCGCAAGTCCAAATGTACCATTCTATAGATGCATTCTTTTTTCTTATTTATTCTTTTTTTTTTTTTTTTTTTTTTTTTTTTTTTCCTGGCAACCATACAATTTTACATTAAAAATAATAACAGTAATAATAATAATAAATCATCTTTGATCTATTTGTTTTTAAACTAGAGGTTCAACAGAAGTTCTTCATTCCAACATGTTTTTATCTTTATTTTTGTAAAAATAATAACAACAATAGTAAAAAGTAATAGCAGATGATGGTATTTTGTCTATAGGTCTGAAGGTAAAAAAGAAATGACATAAACCACGTTGCCAGAACTAACCACTGCACAATGCATGTTGCATTCCATGGTTGTGTAAAACCTCCCTCGCATAGCATTTGTCAGGATCGTATCAACCGCTGGTCCATTAATCTGCTTGACTTGCTTGGTCGCCCGGGTATAAACTGCAATCTCGTGAAGATGTGTGCAGTTGTTAAGCAAAAAGACGCCATAAGAGTCGCGTGCAGAGGTCGTGCCATGCTCCAATTGGCGGTATGTTCGTGGCAAACAATAAATACTAGTAGGTTTAGGGAAGCGTGTAGGAATATTCTGCTTTTCCTGATCAAATGCTTTGCCCGTACCGCCGATACGCTGCCGAATCTGAGAAAGTAGACTATTCGATGGTTTCCAAACCCGTCCTGAAGATGATGATGGCCTTGTTGATGGCGATGATAACGATGACTGACGAAGGTTCATCGACGACAAAGTCTCCTGCGTTCTGTCATCCGACCGTAGTGAAACTAAACTCTCTTTGCCCCGTCGAGCTCCTGCAAATACCATTCTGGATGTATGTGATGACACACTTGGTCCGTGCGTATCGTGCTCTTCTGAATCCGAAGATAGATGGTCCAGCATGAGTTCGTACTCATACACTGCATCCCTGGTAGAAAACATAACTTTGCCTTCATGAATCGTTGGCGTAAATTGAATAGCCTGTGTTGCATGTGGCAAAAGAATCCGCTCTACTATGCGAGATCGTTTTAAAGAATAAACCAGCGTCTCGCCATTTGTGCTCGCTGAAATGACATGATCTTGACCCAATATGCTGATGTGAATAACCTAAGACAATAAAGAAAAAGTCGACGACAAACTTGGCGCGGTAAGTAGCTAGTAAGATTACTCGACTTTTATGGCCATCATTAATTTAAGACAAGAGCGAAACGTCCCACTTACATCGCCTTCATGTACATGATGACTGCCCACAACCTCTAGAGAGGTTCTCGAACTCCAGTCGAATACAGTGACGCCTCCATCGCACTGGCCATATCCGATATATTTCTCGTCCATGTACATAAAACTAGCATTCTGAGGCATAGCAGCGTCATCCTGAAGAATAAGCTCTCCAGTCTTCACATCCCAGATGTAGAGACCACTAATGTTCATTTAAGAGGATAAAGGGAAGCTTAATTTTGCATTTTTCAAAAAAAAAAAAAAAAAAAAAAAAAAAAAAAAAAAATTGGTGGTAAAGTTTCCATTATTAGGTGAAAAAAAAAAAACTTACCCAAAGGATGTTCTTGCACAAACTACTCCTGCAGCGTTAGATTGGGAGACACATGTGAGTGAGTGCTTCGAACGGAACACACGAAGACACTGTAAAGTTCGAAGATCCCATATACGAAGTGTCGAATCCATGGAGGCAGTAATAAGAGTCCACATGGACATTTCAAGTGCAGAGACCATACCAGTATGGCCTTCTAACACATGAACAGCTTGAGGTCGTGCATCAGTCCAATTTTGTTTGACCCTGAGACTACTACAATGTAGGTGTTTGTAGTACTCTCGCCATGGAATTGGTCCTCGATGTCCCTGAAGATGCCTTTCCATGAAGAGTGGGTGCTGCATGCTCTTAATTCTCCATAAGCTATTGTCATTTGCCATCCTAGCACACAGTTTACTTGTCTAGTAGCATAATAACATAAACAGCGAGAAGGTGTGAGGAAGGCACGCGTAGCAAGAATTACTCAGTGATATCAAAGGAAAGTCAATTGTGGCGAAGCCACAAGATTCTCCTTGAATACAGAAATTAAAGTCGAGGGAGACCTGGACTTTGATTGGAGCCAACAATGATGCATAAATACAATGAGCACGGATGCCTGTGTACATGAACATGTATTTGCCTACTGTTTGTTGTGGTGCAACCACCTGATGCACACCAATGTATTTATGAAGAATGCATGTACATGAATGAATAAATACATGCAAAGTGTGTGCACACTATTTTGTATCGGCTCTCGCCACAAGGAAAAGGATGGGGAAATATACTACTTGCTTTGCATTACCTGAGCTACACAGGACAAATCAAACGCATCAAGCAGGCTACAAGAGAATCATGGTTTTAAAAAAGAAATAAAATAAAAAAATAAAAATAAAAATAAAATAAAAGTAGAATAGAGAGGCAATCGTAATGCCAACAACAAGAATGAATAAAGGCACATCAAGAATGTTGCTCTCCTTTTCCCACAAAAAAAGAAAAAACGGTCCAATAGCAAGCTGTAGCACAACGACATGAGGGATACACACATACCAAAATATATGGAACAAAAGTTCCCAAGGAAGTTGCGAAAGACGATCCGTTGCAAGGATGGACAAGGAGCCACTTGGTACATATCCATGAATAGACGAGGATACGTCCTCCCTCGTGGAGAGCAGAATGGTGGAAGCAGCAGCGCCTGCTGATACGGGTATCAAAGAGGATACTGGTATAGTCTTGCAGGAAGAATAAGATATGGATGTATCCATGGCAGGGACATTCTTCTGCGGAGATCGCACGCTGTTTTGTTCCTGGTGCCTAGAGACACTCTTGGTATGACCAGTTATGGTAGCATGGACATGTTTTGAGATGGCAGAGGAAGCAGTGGGTGCAGGTGGAGGTGCAGGAATAGCCAATGGATACAACGATAAAAAAGAGGATGCAGGTTGCAAGGATGATGGTAACTGGGGCGCCAAGTCTGCCGAGGTTGACTCTGAATCCATCGGTTCTGTGTGCAAATGATTAGACTGGGTCTCTACCATAGCTTCAGCTTTGATGCTGTTTTGCTCTGTCTCCTGGCAGTTGCAAAGTGTATCTGTTTTCGAGATATCGGTGGCGTTTTTTCTCGGGTTAATATCTCTGTTCACGTTAACATCAATGTCGATTGTGACATTGATGTCTCCATTCAGATTATGTGAGGGCTGGCCCAATGGGATAGCAGAGGCGACTGATGATGAAACAGCAGAAGCCGTATCGACATCACTAGCCTTTCTCTTTTCCTTTTCTTCTCTGGCCTTGGTTCTGGGCTTCTTGAGATTATTAACTTTGATGAGCGAGAGAGGAGACTCTTTGGGTGGTGAGCATGATGGAGAGGAGGAAGAGGACGAAGAAGAAGACGAACCTCCACCAATGCCACCGTGAACAAAGTAGTCCCGCTCAGCCTGAAGTTGCATAGCCAGGAGACGGAGGAGGAGAGAAGCGAGGAGAAGAGAGGAGGAAGGAGAGAAGGCTAGGGAAGAGGAAAGAAATCTATGCCGAGAAGGAGAGGTAAGAGATGATCAATGATAGAGAATGGATGAATAGTAAGTGTAGTAATGCAATGAACGAAAGTGAGAATGAAAAAAAAAAAAAAAAAAAAAAAAGTTTGGAATGGAGAACGGTTGGTAATGAGACAGGATGACACAAACAGATAGGTGTATGTATTATTATTGTGTGAATGTATATTAATCTGTGAACAATGGGAATTAGAGATGGGCAAATTCAGGGTGATGAAGGAATGCTGAAAGAGAGGAGCCGATTAAGCAGGGGTCACTGGTCATCAACCTTGATGTGAAAATTCGTTTAATAAAAAAATTCGGGATGGGAACCAAATTCTGAGAAAAAAAAAAAAAAGTTTTTATTATTATTACTCAGCGTAAGTTGTGGGGTGTGGCGTGAAGGGAAAAGATGAAAGGGAAGGAAAAACCCACAGAACGCTGCAAGGGTGCTTACCTTACTGGTAGAAAATAATAATGCATTTTCTCGATAGCACTCTGCTCTCTTTCTCCTCTTTCCTTAGTCTGCTCTTTGCAAATGGACAAGACTCAAAAAAAAAAAGCTTGTCTGGCTCACTGCACTTGTAGTCATATTTAGACATGTCTATTCCACACTTCCACAAATTTTATTGCTTGCCCCTCTGATATCGTGAATGTATGTAGCTTCATGCGAGTAAATCACACTGTGGGCACAGTAACAGCAGACCTGTATCCTCATCAAATGCAAGTTGAACTCGGCCGAGACATCTCTCACTTTAAAAAAAAAAAAAAAAAAAGAGAAAAAAAAAAGTCATTGTCAGCATACCGACTAATATCCTATTACTACAACATAATAACAAAAATATTTTACTCACCTGTGGCTCCGTGCTGCGTTGGCAAAGTATAATAACGCTTCCTTCTCCAGATAGAACCCACATGCAGCCGCGCAACTCGCCCTGAGACCTTTGGATTGATTCGAAATTGGATCTGAACTGACAGTTGGTTCAAATACAATCAACCCATGATGACATTGGACACATGTTGTTCCTGAAAGGAGCGTTACAGAGAGCGACAATGCTGCCATCACATCGGGGTCACCCTGAGGATCTGCTTTTAAAGATGACTCTAGCCACATGTAATGCTCAATGGTCTCATCCATGCCTTGGTCCTCCATATCTGTCACCATGTCATATGTTGGGTCGTAACCCGTACTATCTAATGATTATGAAACAATGCATTTGCGTTACTATCCATTAGTACTATGCAACATGTACATTACAAATAAAGATAAGAATGAAAAAAAAAAAAAAAAAAAAAAAAAAAAAAAAAAAAAGCTGGCGGCACATCACATCGCATTGTAAAGCTTACATCGATACTTGAGGATGTCTTGCTCAATCTCCTCGATTTCTACGTCGGTCATCCCCCGAAATGCTTCATATAGCTCCTCATAGTTTTCACTCTTGAACGTTTCCCATACTTCAGCCACAATCCTCTGCTTCAATTAAATCAAAAAGATCTATCATTAGTCAACACTCGTAAAAGAAAAAAAAATAAAAAAGATCAAAAATAAAAACAAAAACTTACCCTTTCTTCCTCCACGTCAAAAGCAGTCGTGTCTTCTCCAGATTCACCGATTATCGCAAAAGTTGTTGGTGCCACTGTTGTTGCTGTTGTTGCTGGTACAGATCCAGCTGCTTTGGCTGAATATGCTGATGATAAAGCTATATCTGGACTATATGAGTGGTTGTTGTCATGGCTACTTTGATTTGCGCCTAGATTCTGAGGCTGTTGTAGACCTGACCGGCGAGCATTGTGGATGGATATCCGTTTATCCTTGATACGGTCTTCAATCTGAGTAATGAGTCGCTTCCGCCACTGAGAAGTATCACCTATTCCATACTCTTTTTTGACTGAAACACGATCATACTGATTTTGGGATTGAGGTTGGAATAGAGATTGAAACTGGTTTGTCTGCTGACCTGTTATTGCTGCCTCTGTTGCTATCATTTTGCTGTTGCTAGTGGTAAATGTAAAAGTGCTCGGTAGACAATTTGGTTGCTGTGTCCCTGAAGAGATTCCAGCGAATTGCTCAGGCGATGTAACTCCTGTGGGTGCTACAGTGGGTATGGTCGAAGGCGTTGCTGTAAAACTGAATTCCATGATACTTTTTTTCCTGCTTCGTTTGTTCAATGGCGAGTATAGCGATGCAATCTAAAAGGCTCGCTGGCCTTTATGTCTGATGGTTTATATCACGTGGTTTAGCGACGCTGCAAACATTTTGCCAACCCGCATTCTCTCAGGCACAGCAATTTCTGGCTTTGGCCATCTGGAATCCTTAAAAGCATTCGCAAGCCACAGATGTGAAAGTTGGATGCGAAAGTGGGAATACTTAATAACTGAACGTAGAGCCATTATTACACTGCCTCGAAAAGGAAATTGAGATTTGAATGTTAATGGAGAAAGGGCCCTTGGATATCCTTTCCTCAAGAGTCGTTGCTAAGCAACAACGCTTCTTAAGGCCCTGAGATAGTTGTCTTGCCCATAATGAATGGCATGCATCAACTACTACTAACCATTCATGCTTACTCAGGTGCATGCCACAATTAAAGAGCACTAAAGCATCCATTTCGTACTACATGCTTTCGGTCTTTTCCCTCAATTTTGGCGTCTTTTTTTTTATTTTTTCCAACGGAAAGGCTCAACTTCCTGCATTTTGAAGGGCCCTGATCGGTATATTGTAAATACATATTCATTTCTTTTTTTATTTTTTTTGCTTTCCACCTCCTTATTGCGGGTTACAGGCGTACTGATCCTTCACTGAGGTCTACCGCCTTTTTTGTCCATCTTTTTGCATTTCTATCTATTTAAGCCAGCTCATCTTTGTCCCTAATGTTGGCAATTCCGACAACACAATGTAACACAATGTCATACCAAACAAAAGAATGAATGAATTCGCTTTTTTATTAGCTCCATGATATATAATACAGACACAAAACGTGTGCACAAGATAAAAAACTAAAAAGATTGACAACTAGAATACATAATTTGAAAAACAAAAAACAACAAGAGGCAGTTGAAATAGTTTAAGTTCATACAGCCACTGGGGGTGCTTGTTGCCTCATCACCTGATCTCCACTTTCAATAGTCTGAGTAAGATGATGAGGCTGCATCTGCTTAGCACGACGCTTTAGTAATGTAGCGTGATCAATGTTCAGCTCGAATCCGGCGCGACGGCGACGGCTCCCTGAGGAAGTTGAAGTACTATTCGAGGTTCCTGAAGTCATATTACTTGACCGACCACTTGAATATACATTTGACGTGGGATGATATCGTGCAGCACCTGAAGTGATGGACGATGGGACAAGATGCGAAGGGACTGCCTGACCAGCTTGCTGCTGCTGTCGTAGGTATTTGTGGTGCTTCTCAGCTGCAATTTGCTCTTGGGCGCGCTGGTACTCTTTCTGTTGTCTGTGTAAAGTGTTGGGGTCTTGATTATAATGTCTGTGTCCGGTGATACGTACATCCTCCATACCCGCGGCAATAGCCTCATCCTCACTCGTGGCTGAAATAGATCCGGACTCATCTGATCCGATCTCTTCTTCCTCATTCAGCCGCGTCATAAATGCCTGGCGCTGACGAGCATCCGTAGGATGGAGTCCCGAAGGCTGAGGAGTATGTCGACGGCGCGACTCTTCTCCCATTCGGTGAACAGCATTCGAGACATCAAATACTTCTCGAAGACCAATGCCAGGTGATAATGGGTTCTCCGCCCTACGCTTGTATGGAGTCTTTGGTGTTTTCGGGGCATTATAGTCAGGAGTCATTGCCGCCACATTAGCCAAAACCTTGTTTTCAACCAGGGCAGGTGCTGGTGAGTCAACCATGATTTGTGGCACATTAGGGTTGGTTGCTTCCTTTAGAAGCTCGGGTTGTCCAGCCTTGATCCATGGGTGGGCCAAGAATTGGTCGATCGTATATCGTTCGCTTGGGTTTACACAGAGCAAATGAGAGATAAGATTCTTGACTGTAATCGTGATAAAGAGGATAAAAATGTTGGTTATTCACTAGTTAACCTTAGCCTTCTGATACTTTTTCTTTTACGGCCATTTATTTACCTTCAGAAGATATTTCGTCCCACCAGGGGCTCAAGAACGTAAACTGTCCGCGAGCAACCTTTTCAGTCAGAGCTTGGATGCTCTCATCGTAGAAGGGTGGGAAACCAACAAGGAGGGTATAAAGAACGCAGCCAAGAGCCCACATATCGACAGACTTGGAGTATCGCTCATCCTTGACAATCTCTGGAGCTGTATATCCGACGGTTCCACAAGGAGTCATAGTTTGCTCGTTCCAGACAATCTTTGACAGGCCAAAGTCTGCAATCTTGACACGACCAATTCCGCCACCTCCAATGCCGGGTTGGAAGATGCCCTCATCCTCTTTGTCCTCCTCATCAGGTTTGTAGCCTGGAGGCGATGGAATGATAGGGATAGGCTCGAATAGGATGTTCTCAGGTTTAATATCACGATGGACAACACCTTTTTCCTCATGGAGATAACGGATCGCATGGGCTACCTGAATGATTACATGGCGTGCCAAGTCCTCAGAAAAGTAGGTCAACTTGACAATACGATGGAAGAGCTCTCCACCAGTGGCAAGTTCTAAAACAAGGAAATAATACTCGTCTGATTCGAAGAACTCGTGTAACTGAACAATATTAGGGTGTTGAAGCTGACGCATAATCTGGACTTCCTTAAGAATATTGGCTCGCTAAAATCAACAAAAATGATGGTTAACTCGATGAATTTTATTAAGGCATAAAATTTTATTAATGATCAAAAGAGGGGCTTACCTCAGTAACACGCGGCTTCTTTTTCATATCACGGTGAAGATGCTTGTTCTGGTGTGGAAGAATCAAAAAAGAGTTGATCTGTGTTAATGACACGTTCAATCAACAAATATAAATGATCCAAGGATTTGAATAGAAATGAGACATACCTGTTGGGCATTCATATCGAACTTGCGAACAACCTTGACAGCAACAATACGATCGGTCTTTGTATCATGGGCCTTGAAGACATTACTGAAAGCACCACTATTAATGAAACAAAAACGAAAGGATATAAGTTATCAAATACATTTATGTATCGAAATGAGGAATATAACGTGATGTCTGAGGTGCCTTGCATCTTTATAGTCACACGTGGGAGTCGCGTGGCGAAGTGAGATGCGGTCGATTGCGAGACAGATAATCCCTCTTGGAAGAGATTGAAGCACCAAAGTTCAAACACGCTCTGGTCCTCTTTTGCTTCAAGAGCCAAGTGGTTGCGCAATGACTCTAAATTTTATCACTCTTCGCATATTGCAATATTAAGACGGACGATGACGAATACATGTTCAATGATGTCTGCTCTTGAGAAACATGTATAGTGAATGCATGTACCAGAGCATTGTACACGTTGCTTTGTGTGACAAACTCTCTTCCAAGAGAGGGACGCGGTCTGGATGCGCATCTGAGCCCAAAGAATGTTTTGGTAACACAGTGACACACACCTTCCTTTTGCATCACTTTTGTTGCAGAGGGCAATGTGAATGATGAAATCGTGTCGTCATTAAAAATAGAAAAGATGTGAAATTATGATGAAGAAAACAAATATGAAACGTTCCAATAAAGTTGGAAGAGTCTCAAGAAAATATGCAGTTTGGTGTTGATTTTTTTATCTCATGCCTATCGATGTAGTTGGCACCAGGATTTAGGATCCCATCCGACGCAAACACATTCACATACACAATGTCACGTATACATACACTCCTCTCTCTTTAAGAATAGTCTGCAGACAATGAAAGAAATCAACAGCATACAATAAATGATAAAGATACTTACTCTCCCATCTTCTCGAGTAAAGTGAATCGTTCGAGGCCTGGATACACAGGTAACATATTCTTTTGTTGATTCGCCTGGGCAACCATCCTTGTTGCTGTCTCTGTGTTGCTATTAACACCGAAGGCGGTAGTACCTCCATGGTTATTAGTCTGCTTGTTATTTTTGCTAGGCTTCTGTTGTTGTGTATGCTTTTGTACATGCTGTTGTTGAACCTTCTGTGTATGATTGGCAGGTGTGCCATTAAAGTGTCGCATAGCTGACATATCTTTATCGCGCTGACCATTATGGATCTCATTACTGCAGGGGTAGATATCGACACCCGCAGCAGCAGCACGGTTAGGAGATATGCTCCTGGAACGGACTGTGGTTGACATTTTAGGAGCCGAGTGAGACCGAATGGTAGTGCGTGCAGGAGAGTGATGGTGTTGATGTTGTTGTTGACGGTGGTTCATGTCTTCCTTGATACGATGTGAGGGCGGAGGTGAGTTGGATGCAGAGTTGAGAGCAGTACCGGAATCGCGGGATTGCATAGTACTGGATGGAACGGTAGTGGCAATAGGAGTAGCAGAAGCAACAATAGGAGTAGCAGTAGCAGTGGCAGTGGAGATGGAAGTAGTGGGAGAAGATGTAAGATTACTGTTCTTGTGCTTCTTATGGCCGTGACGGATAAAGTTCTTGATGGATGCAATGATGGGTGCCATATCAAACAAAGCCTTTTCACTCTATGTATAGGAGGGATGAGTTACAGTACCAGATATAATTAATGATGGCTGAGCTGGATAGGTGAGTGCTTGTTTCTTACCAAGCAAGGTGAAGAAAAGAGGAAGAGAGGACGAGTAAAGAAAAAGAGGAAAAGAGGAGAGTTGACGACAAGATGAGGTTTATATGTGCAACCGTGGATGATGATTGCACATTGAATAAATAATATCAGCCAAAAATGTACAAACTCACATAAACGCACAAGTTCACACATGCACAAGAGCCTTGCGGATTCCTGACAACCTTTTTTTTCTTCTTTGCTCCTAGAAAAATAAGAATACAGCTTTGATAGACAACGCCATGTTATGCTATGCTATCCTATAGGACAGAAAAATGCACCAACGGTATAGGAGGCTCATCATAAGAAATACAATGTCATGTCATAATGCTTCGGGACATGAAGATTAGTAAATCATAAATTTAAAGTTGACCAACCATTCAGTGGGACAGAATACCAAACCATGTTACTGCAACTAACCACTCAACAACTAGCCAACCAGGAAGAAGATTTTTTATCACATTCACTCAAAAGGATAACAGTTTGATCAAATAATAGTCTCTTATTCGGTTTCGTATACAGTTGGTCATTCCAATTCATGAAATGACAAGTCGCATGAGTCATGTCGAGCTTTCATGCTGGGAATGAATGAAACGACGACATGCCGAGAGTGGAAGTCTGGAAAGAAACTCCTTATTCAGAATTTTTATCATGCACTTTTGCCCCTACACAACTAAATGAAGCTCGCCACATTTTGCCTTTGCGCACATCGTGTACAGTTATTGCATGGACAATGTTGTAATCGCTGTAATGGTATCATATAATTTTCTCGATGACGATAACAACAAATGGAATATTAGAGACAATCAAAGCTCCCGTTTTTTAAAGTTGAGTTGTCCTCAACATCAATACTTTTTTTTCCTCTTTTTTGGCGATTTGTAACATCATCTCATTTCCGTACAATGTGGGTTATGCAGGTTGTAACCTGTAGGCTGTAGATCGACAGGACAGAAAAAAGAAACTAATGCTAATACTAGTGTAGGTAAGCTTACCGAACTCTTACTCATATTGAAATAGGAAGTTGCCGATGTAATGCCAAGATTCATGCTTATTTTTCTCGTTCGTCATTATAGACGCACACCATACGGAGAAAGAAAAATAAGTTGCCTAGAAAAGACCTCAATGGTGTCATAGACATAAAGCATATAAACCTATACTTTTATGGATATTAAATTTCATGATGCCAGTCCACATCATCAAATGGCGTTCTCAACAAGCTTTTTTACTCTGTGAATATGATTTGTTTAGATATTGCAAGCCAATTTGCATAAAATGGTTAAAGTCGTTGATTTTTATGGAAGCGGCCAGCCATGCACGTTTCATACTGCAGATGGACAATACACATTACCACGAACACATGTGGCAAATGCCCGCTCGGTTGCCACGAGAAATACAAATTTGGAAAGAAATTGGCTCAAATAACCAGCTTTGCTGTTTGCTCCTTGACATCGGCGCCTGTGCTCGACTGTGTCCATATCTTCCCCAACGATTTCTTTGAATCCATTTGCCGAAATGAAATATCAAAAAGTTCCCCTCACTTTTAATGCCAAGCAAGCGATTTAGAACTGAACACCAAGGCACGCGTTAAAGTAAACATGGAGATGTTACACTCGTCGATACAAACACACGCCATCTCTTCACGCACGCGCTTTATCAATTCTTCTTTATAACCAGCCGACTCGTTCTATCCTGTACCGACACACATAAAAAAAGCTTTTGTTCTCCTTTTTCTTATCTTCAATACGCCTATTCTCTCTTTCTCATCCTTTTCTTCGAAGATTAGCTTTCCTTCACTTTTGATTCAAGAGTACATTTTACATTCATTGCTTCTCATTCCTTTTATTTATATAAGCCTTTTACGAGAGCAATATTAAAGAAAAAAGAAAAGAAAAAAAATCATGACAAAATCCGCTGCTACTCAACACATGAGCCAAATCCAGAGCCATCTTCAGGTTGCTCCGTGCGCTGCTCAGGAGGAGTCGAGAATAAAGACGTACGTCTCATTTTGCTTTTTCAATACAATTATTGTATATACGAACAGTAAAAAAAGGAATTAACAATTTAGCATTGCGAAATACACCTGGCATTTTCACGTTTAGCCCGATCGAGTCTATGGCAGAGGAGAGAGAAAAGGCAACCTTCAATGTGAGGGAATTGACTTATTACTTGGATGGCGGGGAAAAGTTCACCAAGGTAATATTCGTATAAAAGTACAAAATGAGGATGTCTTGCAACAGTCCTTATTAATTTGGATTTTTGCTTGAAAACATGTAGGTTCGTGAAAAGTTTATGATGGAACTGGAGCGGGACCCCACATTCCGGATGTACGACATGTATGACGTTACCAAGGATCAGATTAGAGAGCGCACAATGGAAAAAGTATGTTGTTGGGATGAGTGGAGCGGATGAACATACTACCATTTTAACTTTTTTTGGTGAGGAACTAACTCAATTTTACTTTATCTTCGTAGTTTCGCACGATTGTGCACTATGTCTCGGCAGAGCCCGTCCCCATCTTCACATTGCGAATGCAAACCATTTCTTTGATTGACCCTGGATTTTGGACCCGCTTTGGAGTGCATTATGGCTTGTTTTTTGGCGCTCTTCGCGGGTCTGCTACTTCGGCCCAGTTTTCACACTGGGTCTCCAAGGGTGCCCTGGCCTTGAATGGAATGGTTGGATGCTTTGCCATGACTGAGCTAGGTCATGGCTCCAATGTGGCTGGACTGGAAACCACAGCAACCTTCGATGAAACCTCGGATCAATTCATCATCCATACTCCTACTATCACAGCAACCAAGTGGTGGATCGGAGGTGCAGCTCATACGGCTACACACTGCGTAGTTTTTGCTCAGCTCATTGTGCGTGGCAAACGTTATGGTACAAAGTCCTTCGTGGTCCAGCTGCGTGACACTCACACCTACGGACTCATGCCTGGAGTCAATATTGGAGATATCGGGAAGAAGATGGGCCGCGATGGCATCGACAATGGCTGGATTCAGTTCACAAATGTTCGCATCCCTCGCACAAACATGTTGATGAAGCACACTAAGGTCTCCCGTGCCGGCGAGGTGAAGGAACCTCCAATGGCTCAGTTAACATACGGGGCCCTGATCCAAGGCCGTGTGGCTATGGTGGTAGACTCTGGAAATATTGCCAAGAAGGCTATTACTATTGCTGGCCGCTATGCTGCAGTTCGTCGTCAGTTCACTTCTAATCCGCATGATGTTCAGGAAACAAAGCTGATTGACTATGCTATCCACCAGTACCGTTTGATGCCTCTCTTGGCTCAAGCTTATGCTTTCCACTTTACAGGTGTTGAAACCAACAAGCTGTATGAAGACCTAATGGATCAGCTTGAATCGACTCAACCTGACGATCCCACCATGAACCAAGTCCTAGACACACTCAAGGAGACGCATGCTACCTCAGCAGGTTTAAAAGCCTTCTGTACCTGGGGCACATTAAACGCAATCGAGGCGTGCCGCCAGTCCCTTGGTGGCCACGGATACTCTGCTTACACAGGGCTCGCGACAACATACAATGATTTCGCTGTGCACTGTACATGGGAGGGAGACAACACTATATTGACTCTCCAATTGGGTCGTTACCTAGTCAACTGCTACCGCGAGGTGATCACAGGCAAGACCCAACCTGATGGAGTCAGTTATCTTAACCATCTGGACACTCTCCTTAACCAAGGATGCGCAGTCAAGACCAACGAAGAGATTCTGGACTTTGACATTATCCAGCAGGCCTGGGGCGTTGTGTCGGCCAATGTGGTCAAGAAGGCTGGAGAAGATTTTGATGCGTGCTTGAAGCAAGGTTTGAGTCCCGAGGCTGCTTATGAAGAATGCTCTCAAGCACGTCTTGCAGCGGCCAAGATTCATTCTTTTGGCTATGTCTTCCGTCGCTTTACACAGGCTGTCAGGAATGCGCCTGAAGGTCTTCGCCCTATTCTCACGAAGGTTTGCCTGCTGTACGGTCTGTACTCAATTGAGCAGAACGCTGGATTTTTCTTGCAATACCGTTACTTTACTCCTTCGCAAATGGACTATGTTCGAGCTCAGGTGAACGCCTTTTGCCGAGCGGTTCGGCAGGAATATATTCCTTTGATTGATGCATTCAATTACTCTGATTACATGATTAACTCTCCTTTGGGAGTCTATGATGGCAATGTTTATGAGAAATATTTTGACCAGGTTAAGCGCCAGAACCCTGTTGGCCAGCCCCATCCTTATCTCCCTTTGATTCAATCTCTCCTCCGGCGCGATATTGAGGACGATGAGCCATTGGAGGATGATGATGATGATGATGAGTAAAGTATAGGAAATAAGTCATCAATGCTTCTCGCTATTATACCAAAAACTTAGCAATATGAATCTAATAAATATTTCAGAATAAGATTTTGGCATCTGCCTTTGTGTATCCACACGCTCCTGGATGGAAACCAAAAAAAAAAAAAAAAAAAAAAAAAAAGCACTCTGATGGATAGGGACAGGACCTGTCCTATCAGGACATCTTTTGTTGATATCCAACCACATTCATGCATATTAAAAATACACACAACAGACGCTTTTTATTTTATTTATTTTTCCTCCCTTTTCTTCCTACCATCCATTTCTTTTCTTAACTTCATCCTTCTCATTTATTCGATCATCGCTCATCGTCATAATATATACAATCATTTGGAACAATGTCAGAAAGCAGACAGGAGCTTGTTGCCTGGGTCAATGAGACATTGGGTCTCAACTACACCAAGGTCGAGCAGATGGGTTCAGGTACAGACAGAATTCACATGAGAGACATTCATTCGCCATCAGAAACAGTTTTCATCCTCGACTATTAGTGTCGGCATGAGGCCCAGTGCAGAGCCAGTCCTTTGTCCACTGTGTCTTCCATGACACAGTGCGTGCGACTAATAAAGTTTGTTAAAAAGAGCGATTTGATCTTGCTTGAAATAACTAACCACAAGAACTCATTTTTGCTGGTATCTACGTAGGCGCTGCCTATGCTCAGCTCATGGACTCTATCTATGGTACCGTATCCATGTATGGCAAATGCTATTGGTTTTTGAGTGAAAAAGCAGGCCTTCTAAGACCATGCACGTGTGCGGGTAATTTTTTTTATTTTTTTCTAGGTGACATCCCAATGTCACGCCTCAAGTTTGCAACCAAGCATGAATACGAGTATCTGGCCAACTACAAAGTGTTGCAGAATAGCTTCAAGCAACATAAGATTGACAAGGTACAAAAAAAAAAGAGGAAGAGGGCCAAGGATCTGTGGATTACTATTACTTCTGACTCATGCATATATTTCATCGTGCTCACTTTCTTTTTCCTGCGTACGCCCGTATATAAATGTGTTTGCTTCAGGCAATCCCAATCGAGCGTCTAATGAAGTGTAAGATGCAAGACAATCTAGAGTTTTTGCAGTGGCTCAAAAGATTCTGGGATAGTAATTACCCAGGTGGACAATATGATGCTGTTGGTCGTCGTGGTGGAGCCGCGAATGAACCTCATGCGGCTGCCAATAGATCGACAACTGCTCCTGCCAGAAGACCTGTCAGCAATGGAGTGGGTAAGTAAAAAAAAAAAAAAAAAAAAAAAAAAAAAGAGGAATTATGTTCATTTTTAGCCTCCACATAGCAATTGCAATAGTGTGTTTTATTAGATCAGCTCTTAATAATGGATGATTTTACTTCCTTGACTAATAGCCAACCGTTCAGTATCAGGACGTAGTTCAGCAGCTAATACATCGGTGCAAAAATCTAGCTCTGACCATGCCTTACAAACAATGATAGCGAACTTGCAAAAGGAACTTCAAGAAGAACGCAACACGGTGGCGGCATTGGAGAAGGAACGAGATTTTTACTTTGGCAAGCTTAGAGATATCGAAGTCTTAGTCCAGCAAGAGATGGAGAGATCACCTGAGATTGGAGAAAATGAGCTTATTAAGGAAATCCAGGGGGTTCTCTATAGCACAGAGGTACAAAACCGCTATAATTACTTAAAAAAAAAAAAAAAAAAAAAACTGGATGGGATGGTTATGAATTTTATTGGAACGTGTATACTGATTATTTTATTCAATTTCCCTTTATCCATTTTTTTTTTTAAAAAAAAAAAAAAAAAAAAAACAAAGGATGGCTTCGAAGTCCCAGTGGAGGGGGAACATATCGACCCAGAAGACGGACTCCCAGACGAAACATTCTAAGCAGAAACGCCACCTGGATATTGATATAAACTTACAGAAGATAGGCATGATTGCATCTGAAGTAAAAAAAAAAAAAAAAAAAAAAAAAAAATCAAGGAGTACTTTACATAGTAGAACCGCCGTAGAAAATATTGCATAAAATTATTTGGGTGAAACAATCCTATTCACTGCATGGACGCCCATTTGCAACAAAAAAAAAAAAAAAAAAAAAAAAAAAAAAGCTGCCACACCGAATACGTCAAAAAGAAGAAAAATTTCTAATCAAGACGTCGTCCACAGCAAACGACTCAATTTGGACCAGGAATGCGAATCAACTTGTAAGGGAGCTCACAGAGTCCCTGAATATCGCTCACTGCCTCATTTTAAAGAACACAGAACGCAATACAGCATTCTATTCAACTTCAATGAGAACGAAGCTTTTTGCACCAGTATGATTTCACAAGGCCATTAACGCGTTTTTTCGGAATCTTGAGGAGATTACAAATGACGGCATTGCGCACGGATATCTGACGTTGTTTTACATCGAATTTCCTATTTTCTTAATTTCTTGTGTTCCTTGGAAAGAATTTACTTGGACTCAGATGAATAACATGGGGACATTGCTAGGGGTCCTCTCCTGCCTTTTTTGCGTACGGGTGGGACAAAACGACCACATGATTTGTATTCGCAATGAAACACAGTGGATGGAGCAGGAGCTCTTTGCCTCTCCTGAGACTGTCCACTAATCAGTACATTTGAACCTGGCAACAATGAGTTTGCTCCAGTTTAGAGGTGCCGGAGTTGCAGGTGTGATTTATCATTACCGTTTTGGGCAACCAACACTTTTTTCATCACCATTGTTATCATCTTTCCAGGCCATCATCAATCAATATGAATAAAAGAGCATTCGATATGATTCTCCAAATTATAAAAAAGACATTACCTCCCGAAAGTGTGAGACAAGCTAATCATCCGCGATCCAGATCCTGCTCTGTCATGTTCCTTGCTACGCTCGTCAGCCCGTTATTGGAGGTTTTCTTCCTTTCCCTTTGGTGTAAATGTGTGTAAGTATTCATAGGTTCCAGCTCATTCCAATTGAATAAGAGAGTGAGAGAGAAGAGCAACCGAAGGAAAACAGGTCATGGTGCAGCATGACCCCCTAGCTGGTTACACTCTTTTTTGTCCAAACAAAGCAAAGTGAATATGGTAACTGAGCGAAAGAGAAAGGGAGGGCAAACATCTGTTGGGTCATATTGTCGTATTTCATTCAAGCTCTCCCTTCTACATACGCACTCTATTTTTTCCAAAAGAAATGGTCCTTTTTTCAACTTCCTTTATTCAATCACCTCTTCCTAATTATCATTTGTCTCCACCCTTTACCTCCCTGTTTCCTCCTTCCTTTTTAACAGCATCATCGTCATTATAATCTTTATTGGCGTTTGCGTCTTCTTATATGCATCGAAAAATAGAAAGTACACACGCAACTCATTTAACTCTTCCTTCGACATTTTTTTTTCTCGATTATTATTGCTTCGCCCACTATAGTTTTTTCTGCGCTGAACGCAATTAGAAGGATTATTGCTCCGTTTTCAATTTGACCTGATAGCTGACTGACAACACGAAAGGAAAAAGGGCAATAATAAATGGCAAACGAGCGATGGGATAGTGACAGCAAGACGTTGCTTACAACGGTCAACGCTAACAGCAACGGTGATAGCGGTCGCTGTGATAGCCCTAATCGCAACAGTGGCGCAACTGGTATCATGCTCATGCAGACTAATCGGAATTGGACCAACGGGAATCATGAGGATCATGAACAACACGACTCGATTCCAAATGAGAATGAGAATGAAACCTTACAGAAGAGTGAGCACACAACGACAGCAGTGGTAACAGCAACGCCTGTCCGAAACATGGTTTTGCTCACGTCTTCGTCTTCACAGACCACGTCCTCGTCCTCGCCCTCGCCCTTGCTGGCATTGTCGCCATTCAAGCGCAAACGCTTTATGGTTGATAATAGCACACAGTTCTCACTGGATATGTCTCTCAAACCTTTCACGTCGCAGCAAATTGCACAAGCTCGCAATAACAATCCTCAGCACTATGCTCGTTATCACACCCATACTCACACTTACACCCAATTGACCAGCAACGATAATAAGAATAGCACTATTCTCTCAGACCACCATCCTCTAGCAACCTCGAGAGCACCTGTGCCTTTAGTCGGATCAAGTCCATCGTCGTCATTAACCTTGTCTTCACCTAGCCAAAGCTTCGCCATAGCTTCAGTCTCTTCAGTTGAGTTTCTCTCACCATCTATGTCGTCTATTAGTGCAAGTGTAAATGCCATGATGTCAACTCCACGTTCATATTGCTCAGCGGATAATGATGGCAACAGCACTGGCACGGTGTACGGATCAGGAAGACGGGCAACGACGCCGCATCAACAATCACATCAATCAATATCAGCGGCATCTTCAATGATGACTACAGGAAGTACCGCTACTGAAGTTGACACGATCCAATACCATCAGCAAAAATCTGCATCGTCAGCTTATTCATGGAAGGCAACATCATCTATTGCAAAGTGTGATTCGGCGCATTTCCAGATCAGCAATGGCAAAGGATTAATGGCACCGTCGACCTCCATGGATCAGCAACAGTTTCGTCTCCACCACCAGCCATTATCAGCAGCAGTGCCATATGTTGGTACAGGAGGGTCTTTTGTGCAAGTGCCCTCTACACCAATGTGGCTCCATTCTTCAGCACTGACAACATCACAGGGATCCGACTCTATTGCTTCTGCCATTGCTGCTTCACCACAGCCTCCTTATTCTGAACTGCATTGGCCCCAGACAACTCTAACAGCCACTTCGCCGTCATCAGGAGGGTCAACGATCGAGTATACGCTTCTCCCTAGTACTTCAGAACAGTTTGTTCTCTCTGAGATCCATAGTGGAGTCATCATGGCATCACCCGGGCCGGCTCTTTCGTCGTCTTCGCTCTCTGAAGTCAGACGTTCATCACTTGCAAATACAACAACACCAACATCAACAATGGCAACAAGTTTTGGACACCATCGACTTAGTGATTTTGTTAGGGCTCTGTTTTCTCAGTCCCTTGTCTCTCGTCTTTATGCGCGCCGGCCTCACTTTTTTAGCGTTGGCTCTCAATCCACCCCAGTATCATCGACATTGTTGTCCTCTGTCAATTCCTGGACTATCATTAGGTAAAAAAAAAAAAGTCTATGAAACAAAAAAAAAAAGTTTATGAAACAAAAAAAAAAAAAATGATTAGAGGTAAAAGGTTTAAGAAGGTTAGAACATGCCAGAAAAATATACCTGTCACTTTGCTCCATGCTCTCTCGAGCCTCATTCTCTTTGTCCCTCTTCTATGGCGATTGCTTGGTTGTTCACACGATCTTTATTGATTATTTTATGTGCACCATATTTCATGCGCATGCCGGGCTCGAGCGCATCATCATTTGATCATGTTGCTTATTTATTTATTTATTTGTTGTAGAGTCGTGAATACATGTCATTTACTTTACCTTATCCCAGTCACCAGTGTCAGCATCGCCCGTCTAGTGACCATAGAGTAAGTATCTATTTGTTGTAGTTGTTCTTGTATTATGACCCTGCATCTTGACCTTCTTGTATGTGACCTCTTGATGTCCTTCCACTTACACACTCTCTCGTACCCAAAAATTGACAATGTACTCATCATTATCATCACCATCCGTCACCATTGTCACTACCCGTTACCAATTTCTACAGGATGATATGTAATGAGCAGCTGTTCAGCTGGCTGACAGTACAGTCGTTCCTTTTCATGTCTCAAATCCTGTGTGCATGCTATTCTCTGCAGCGGCAAACCATATCTAGCCGAATGGCTATGCTGGACCAGCGCTCTAGGATACTTCTTCTCGTCTGCATGATTTGGGCTTTTATCGGCGTTGGCTTTTTGAGCGCGGATAACAATAACGGGGACTCTTCATGCGTGAGTTAATATCTTATGGATGATTTTTTTTTTTTTTTTTTTTTTTTTTTAAAAAAAAAGTCATGGGCTAGCAGCATTTACTTAATCATGAAAATCAGTCTCGCGCAAATGATCCAATATATAGCCTGTCGTTCAAGATTATCATATTCCATTTGTCTTTGCTCGTACTTTGCTTCATGGTAAGGAGCAGAGGACTCAGAAAAACGTAAGTTTTAATGAAAAAGAACCTAATCGCATTGCCTTTCTTTGCCATGATAAAAATAAGCCCTGTACGTCGTACTTGTTGACGCGTATACTCCCAGATTCCTTCGCATCAGGACTTTCCAGGACAGCTACCAAACCCATGATTGAAAAGCTAGGAGCTGTTCCAATGACAGAAGGCATGTTTGGTAGCGACCCCGAGGAAGCGACATGCGCCATTTGTTTAGGCAATTACGTCCTAGATGAGACCATCCGTGTTCTACCTTGCCAGCACCATTTCCATCTTGAATGCGTAGATCAATGGCTATTTACAGATAAGAGTTGGTAAGCATATGCCGGCAGTATACGCTCTCAATACTGTGCCTTAATGATTCTTTTACGATCAATGTTTACTTGAAACCCCTCTATTAGTATTACTTAACTTAGCGGTTATTGTTTTATATTTGAATCAAATAGCCCACTCTGCAAACATGATATCGACAAGCCCATTTTGAACAGCTTCCGAAGGAACAGTGACCTGATGACTCAAAGTAGCGGTATTAATAACATCAACATCAACATCCACCATAGCAACAACTCCCCTTCGATGGATCGAATTCAGATCATCATTGCTTAACAAAAAACTATTTGACCTCCGTCCACTCATCTAACCAGATCTAACCCATTGTTATTTCTGTTAGCATTGTATTATACATAAAGCTGATTCTTTTATCTACCGTCCAAAGCTTTTCAATATTGCCTCATTATCACTTTTTTGCGCAATGATGATGAGGATTGCCTATAAAGTGTAAGAAAAAAAAAAAGCAACATTAACATTTTTGCATAAAGATGTAGAGGTAAAGCGTTGAACTTCACGCATTTTCTATTGCTTCTATTCAGTATTTGTTCATCTCATTGAGAAATGTGTGCTCTATTCTATTGATAAAGGATTTGAGGTGGGCAAATGGTTCCTTAATCTCAGTGACTGAAGGTCATAGAATGGCGGAGACAATATCTTTGAACCAAGGCCATAATCCTGCATTCACAGCTGCAGGAACGGCTCCGAGATCTTACAACACACAAAATTATTCAAGTCATGTGTCATGTCTACAGATTAAAAGGCAATGGTTAAGTGTACGGCTACCGCATACCTCTTCTAATTCATCTCGCTTGATCATAATCATGCCCTTACAAAAAAATGAGAATTCCTGCCCCCAAAGAGCTTTACAGGCGTTGGAAGCGGACTGTCTCCCTGTTCTCCCTACACCCACTGTCGCTTCATCCAGCAGGCGCTTGCATAGCGGTGGAGGGGGACACCGGAGGGGCCAAAGGAGCAACCAGGGATGCATAGGCGAACATGTGCTTTGTAGGGCGCGTCTGTAACAGGGGGTGACCGCCAAGGATGTGGGCCATGCTCTCACTACCCGGTATATCGCGATCCATGTAAATGCCGTGCTCACTGCCGCACTTGCTACGGCTCTTCAGGTTTGTGAGGAAGCTGTTGCAGCCGTGGCAAGGATACTTGATACTAGTAAAGTACCCATGTATCCCATGACACATGTCCCAACCTCCATACCTATTAAGCATTTTCAGAAGGACTAATATTAGAGTTCTGGTGGCGGTCGTATGCCCTTGTAAAATTGACTCACTTCCTTAATGAAACGGCACAACTTGACGTGCTTGCTACCTGCGCCTGTAAACCGAGCCAAGCCGGCTCTGAAGACGCTATAATTTTCGGTCTTCTTGGCTGCACCTTCTATTCCTCCCGTCATACATAGTAGCTGCTTGATTACGACGTTCATATGTCTGTATCGCGGTTAACGATAAAGTCCAATGATCTTTTCGTAGGTATTTTGTGGAACTGAAATTGGATACGTGGACGATGGCGGTACTGAGGACTACGCGAGGATCGATGCTGTGCTTTCCATTATGTATTTAAATACTCGCTGATAGTAGAAAGTGTCAGCGTTGGCACTTGTGATTCCAGGGCAGAGATACCATGCTGTCGCTTCGTCTGTTGGAGCCTTTGCTAGGCACTCAAGGTTTTAATGGTATACAATTTGTTTGGTTGTATCGACTCGATTTTTATGGCAATAATAGGGTACTTGATCCCAACATCAATACCAATGTATGGTCCTCGGCTGCCTTGAATACTGTTACCACTTTTTCTAGATCGTGACTGTGCTGTTCCCAGTTGATTGCACCTCTAATGTGGGGGCTGCTATTACTGCTGCTACTTAATGTCTTCTACAGTCTCAATAACTCCGTTAGTAGCATGCTCTTGCCTTGGCCATCGTTGTCACCTGCAGGAAGGGATGGAGTGTCCACACTTTGATTGTCATCAACACATTTCAGCAAGTCTGCGATATCGTCTTTGTCCTGGTTGTCGGATTTCCAACAGCCTCAGAACCTGTATTACTGATTACGTCTTCGTGTTGGCGACGGCGGATCAGATGCCGTATGTCGAGCACACAGATTCCGAAACCGGCCATCTGTCACAAGTACAAGACGGAGCAAGCTTCTGGACGGCACGCGCATTAGGCTTTTACCCCTAAGCTTTATTGGAAGGAGCAACAGGATAGAAAAGCAACAGGAATTGAATATGTTGTTCCATTTGCACGAGCATTCCTTTGTGTCCAGGCTGCTTCTGAAAGGTTATTCAACAGAGCTGGGTGGGTCCTCTCTGTATGCTGAAACCGAATGATTGATCAAAACTTCCGTATCATATTTTATGATAGCTTTATTTCAGCCTAAAATAAAAGTTGTGGCAACATGCCAAAAAAAACAGACACGAACTCCCGCGACGTTTTTTTTCCTTTTTCGTGAGGAAGCAATCAAGGGTGATTATGGCTGGCATCTTTTTTTTAAGCATGTGCATATACAAAATTCATATGTGTTTCCATTCTGTAGCTGTGTGTAATCAATCTTTATTGATGCTCGAGATTCTAGAATAAATGGTGAATGATGTCAGTGCATGGCAGAGCACTTGGTCAAGCAGGTTGAACCAACATGCTGGAAAAATTTAACTCACACGCTGCAATCACAAACCAGCACGTGCTTGTTCTCAAAAATCGCAGCTAAGATGAGGATTGCCACATTCACCCCTTAATATAACGCGCCATTATTTTTTTTTTACGCGTCCTCAAATTAATTTTGGATTTTGGGTAAAAATGAAATTTGTACAAAATTTTAACGCGTCTATTTTTTATTACTTGGCACGCGCCATGTCGGAGTATACCGAACAGCCTCAGAGAGGTAAACCAACGATCTTCATCCGGTCAATTAAAGCTTTTATTACTATCAAGTTTTATCTGTGGGTATATCTTTAGATGTATGGATATATTTTGGGGACCCCGGGGATTCAAGGAATGTATAGTCAAGATTGGGAAGGAAAAGAAAAAAGAAGACTGGGAGAAGAAGGTGGGCGGAGGAAAGAGAGAATGTGCACGCGAATTTTTCATTTCTACCCATCAAAGAAAAGGAGGATGAAGAAGGAAAAAGAGAAGGGAAAAGAGAGAGAAGAGACATTCATCAACTCTTTTGCTTTACTTGCTTTTCTTTCCACTTATTCATTTTGAGCCTTTCTTCTTTCTCTTTAATTTTTGTTATTAATTTTTTTTTCTGTTATCCATTTCTTAAATCTTTATTCTTCTTTTCTTGCTTCGCTTCTCCTCCGTACGATCCAAACAAGAAGGCGCTAAACACGATCTGATAGATCGTACACAGTCATTTCCAAACAAACTGCTTAGCAACTCATTTTTTCTCTTTTTGCACACTTTCTCTCTACCTGCACAACCTTCGCATACACATTTCTATTCATCTAATTGTCTATTACTCCTTCAATATAAGTATCAATACAACAATCTATGTACTGACTTCCATCTTCGACAGCTGTCCTCACTTTCCATATCGTCGCCATCCTTTCATCACATTTGCTTCGTCATCTATCTCCTTGTCTCAGACATTTCAAAGATATACCATCACTATCGCCAGCTCCTGACAATCACTTCGCTCACACATGGTCACGCCTGCTCTTTCCAGCCCTCCTTTTGTCTTTGAATCGTTCACTGAGGACGGAGATACAAAGGCTCAGCAGGAACCCGATCCAATAAAACTCCCCATGTCGCCCCCTTTATCACAAGAATGCAACGTTTCACTTACAGCTCCAGAACCTTTACTTGAATCAACACCCCTACTACCACCACCACAACAACATCAACAACGGCACAGTCAGGAGGGATCACAACAACAACAGGCGCAAGAACAAAACCAGCTTTCAAACTCCATTCATCCACTTGACCGATCCTCACAGCCAGCACCTAAAAAGACCCTCAATTGGGTCAATGCTTTGCCTTCTCATTTTGATGCTACATCACCAGGTCATCCTCGGAAGAGAAGAAGGAGAACTAATCGTGAAGAACTCCAGATCTTGGAGGATGCATTCGCAAAAAACCTCTTACCCGATGCAGCAACTCGTCAGGAACTGGGCGATCGGCTTGGTATGAGTGTACGAGCTGTTCAGATTTGGTTTCAAAACAGGCGGCAAACACTACGTAAAAAGTCTATTTCATGCAACGCTTCTCAGCCCTTTGGATCAGAAGAAGACACAAGTAAGTCCGATGCAGAGTGTGGTGGTTCCTTTCGCCGACGTTCTTCAGGAGACTCGGTCATGTCTTTGTCGCCTCCTTTAAAACCAATTAAGGATGGTCGCACAAATTTCGGAGCACTGAAATACGCAACGTTATCAACCACCCTGGTGACTGCCCCATCCCTTTGTCCAGAGGTATCTTCATCGCCCTTCGCGCCTACTTCCTCTCTTGCATCGACCGCAGAAAAGAGTTCGTTGACACCACGACCATCTACTATCACTGAAGCGGAAGGAAATTCAACTCTGGAGCCAATGTACACGCCATTATCAGCGCCACCACCGGAGACTAAACTAAGAGGGGTCAAATCAAAGCTTTCAGATCAATTGGTTACAACAGAGACCGAAACAAGCGTTCATGACATTGTTGATGCCGAAACAGCAAATAAGCATCTCTGTTTGCTTTTAGCAGAAGCCAAGAAGAGATCAGAAGAGCAGAAGGTTACCCCCGTCATGGCTCTTTGGCCAGAGACATCTTCCAAAGTGGTTTTGAATGCACCTGTTTCTGGGATGTTCCCAACCACCACTACCTTCCCTACTCCTAAAAGAACCATGTCAACGCCCCTGATAAAGCCCTTAAATGAACATCACGTACCATCCTCCGCATTGCAACAACAGCAACATTCCTCTCGCTCCGCCCTCAAATCCGCTCGTAAGCATCGCTCCATGCCGGAGCCAGTAGCCACCTCAGCATCAACAGGGTCCCCCCGTCCATGCTTTCCATATACTAGGACAGTTTCGCTCATGGAGCAAGTCATCAACCGCCAACAACAGCAACAACAACATCGGCTTTACCATCCCCGTCCAGTCTCATGCAATTTTAAACAGTCAGCACTCTCTATGACTGGTAAATACAACCTCGATAATGTCTGCAATAAGGTCACTCAACAACCCCCATTGAATGTAACAAGTTCTGCAGGACTGTCAGCTGTCCAATTGGCGCGTCGTCTTCAGTATGTTGTTAGTTCTAATCTAAAACGAGTGCAGTCAGAGTCGTCTCTTCAAATACTTTCAAACGCACAGCAAAACAACCCTATTAATGCGCGGTTTGGACAGACTGCTATGAGGGCAAGACGGCTATCTATTGGGAAGACATTATTCGATTCCGAGGAAACGGATGAAGAGACAGATGATGAAAGATCAGTACAGACGCCTTCTATACAACGCGCATTGAACAACATGGATCGATCCTTTGGACCACCCAACCTTGATCAGGAACTGACGCATCAAGCACAGAAGCGGAGAGCTGGTTCCGTAGTGAGCACGACATCGACATCGACCACGATAGATCAACATCATGGTCACTCTCCGTCTGAAAATGTAGACGGTGACGAGACGGATGAAGAGGATTTTGTACTATTGTTACAAAAACAACGTGCAAGGAAGCAACAGGACCAACAGAAGCAACAGCACCCTCAAATGGCCAAGAAGCTTGGGTTAGTAAAATCAATATCAAAGACAGTGCTTTCACCATCTCCAATCTCTACAGATTTCAATCATCGTCAGCACAGAGTTTCAAGCAAATGCCTCAAAACCTCGTTATCAACCTTGTCTCTGGTCACATCGTCACCTACAAGAGATTATGGTCTTGAATTGGAAAGGTCGCGTAGTCCCCTGACAAGCTATCCTATCATCGAGAAAAACCGCACCTGGAATAGTGGGTTATCGACAGTGGAGCAACAGGAATGTAATGCAAAGGCTACATGTATAGAGATGAATATTGATAAGCCTGCATCGCCTGCAACAGAAACCAAGGATTTGAATATGGATGAGCTGGAGTGTGCGAACGTACTGGCGGGTCTTGGATGGGGTCGGTAATAAAATGATGGAAGGTCAAGATTAATGTTGTCATAGTATCATTTTTATTTATTTATTTTTGTAACTGTATATCTCCTTTATTTTATTTATTTTAGTTCAACAGCATCCATGTACCATATTATCATAGTGTCAAAATAATAAGTATCTTCTGCTTGGCCGTATCCTTATGATCATTGAAAACATAAAGATCTATATTGGCACTGCAAGGGATTTTATAATATTACATGTACTTTTCATTGTGGCACCAAAATATCAAAGATCGCTGATGGTGAAAAAGGCTCTTTGGAAACAGGAAAAAAAGGCTTTCTTATGACATGGTGTTACCATCAGTATTGCTATGTATGTAATGTAGAAAAAAGCAGCCTTACAATAATTCTTCAATTACGCGACAAAAAAGAAAAAAAGAATATTGGTCAAAGCCTCTCTACCACGCATGGTAGGAGACACGCGCTGCATTGATCAATACTGGTGCTTGCATCGCATTCGCGCTCTTCTTTAATCCTTTCTCCCAGTTTTCTTCTTGCTTCTTTTCTTTTCTTGATTGGTTTTCATATTCCATCCCTTAACTCAATTCTTCATGTTTATACATATATATATTAGCTACAATTTCTAGTATTTTTAAAGCTGATTTATTTGATGAAGCTTCGTGTACCATCCGAGTCCGCCTTTGTTGGCAATGTGGACACCATTGGTGAATGGTCTGCATCGCCTGAAAGGATTACTCTCTTACTTCGGAATTTTGGCCTCTTAGACTTCGCAGGAAGTCATGAAAATAACGATAATAGTCATCGCATGGACGAAGATGCCGAAGCACCACCACCTTTACCTTCCAAATCAAAGTCACCGCAAATGAAACATCAGCTTTCGATTGACTTCATTGAAGAAATCTCATCATACATTCCTGATTATACCCCTGGCACGCCCATGTCGCCGTCCTCGCCTGTGAGGCACAGCCCCTCAGGAAATAAAAGCCATAGTTTTATTAGGACCCCTGGCAGCACTACTAGTGAGCACGAAGCTGGCCGCAGCAATGATGCAGCAGCTTCTTTGGGTACAGAACGCCGCCACCCTGATTCAAAGCCGTTTGATTTTGAAGGGTACCAACTCTCTCAAATGTACGTCCTCTCAACCCGAAAAATGGAGCACAGGTTCCTGTTCAAGGTTTTTCCAAAGCAAAAGTTATTCCGACACCCAGCTGTTGTGCGAGCTGCTGCCGCCGCGGATGCTAATGCACCACCAGGCCATCGCCGCAGCTATAGTCACCAGAAAGGAATAGTCAGGCATGCGATCGAGAACGAGATTGGCGCCGTAAAATGGTGTCGATTGAATTGGTAAAGGACGTTTTAAAAAAGGCTTAAATAAAGTTATAAAGTTACATTGGAATTTTGAGTAACGAATGGGTGGTCTTGCAATTGAACTCATGTGCTTTTTTTTTTAAAAAAAAAAAAAAAAAAAAAAAAAAAAACATAATGTAGTAAAGATATTGTCGTACCTGAGATCATAGGCTATGCATATTATGGCCACCAAGTCGACATCGAAGCCTATCTCGACATGTTTGGGCTTATGGGTTTCATCCTTATGAGCTATCCTCTCGGAGGCGTTCTTTACGCGTACGATTACCGGTTACAAGGCTCTCAGCAGAAAGATCTCTATCAGTGTCTAGCCAAGGTATTTTTTTTAGAAAAAGCCTTTTTTTAAAAGTCGTAACTAAAGCCTTTGAGCGTATTTTTTTTTTTTTTTTTTTTTTTTTTTTTGGTTTTTCCGATGTTCTTTGCTGATCAACGGCCCAATGATTGGTCGACTCTGAAATATATCTATACATGTATTTATAAAATAGATATTTCATCAGATGCGAAAAGAACCCCAGAATCACGCCGCTGGATTTGCGCTTCCAAATGCCGCACATAAGCTCGGTAGCCAGACACAGCTTGCAAAGACGCGCTCTCGATTCGGTAAAGTCGCGATCATACAATGTAGCAGCGCTGCGATATGCCTGCCGCTCCATTCGTTTTCTCTCGCTTATTCTTTACTATGTTTTTCTCGTCCAGCTTTAATTGTTGAAGCTCTTGATAGAATTAATAGCCCGCTTCAGATGCAATGTCAGAACCCTGGTACTCCTTCAATCCCAAATACTTTGGCATCTGTCACTTCCATCAGCATTGCTGACTTCATTCACTCAAAGCTAACTACCCGTCAAAAGCCAGAGAAAAGAAGTAAGGATCAAAACGCCCCCGACACTACACAAGATAGGATTAGCGACCTTTTGGATATCACTGTTTCCCAGTCGTCCGATTGGGCTTCGCCCTATTATCCAAACATACGCCTGCCCGCCTCTGAGCGACTTCGCCGTGAAACAATTGGCCTAAAACCATCATTCTCGCAATCTTCGCTAATGGCCAGGTCTGAAGTGCTTGATGAAGATGATAGCAGCTCTGGGATGAGTGACTACGAGGCCCTGGGTGAACAACTTGTACAAAACGTACCCCTTCGACATTGTTCTACCCCCACAGGCAACGGTTCTGTATCTCCGCTGAAACGTGTTTCGCTATCTCAAGCGTCATGCAGTGCGCTTAGAGCATGTAAGCTTGCTTTACAGGCTGAGCCAGCCAACAAATCCAGGATTCGTAATATCGCTTCCCGAGCAGCACTGCGAGTCGACACACATATCGCAACCCCAAAAAGCCAACATGCATCCGTTGAGGAATTTGATTGCTCCACTGGAACCATCCCGCAGAAGTCCAACTTTCAGAGTAGCTCTTGGTTTGACCATGATCCCACGATATATTGTAGTTACATGGCTCAGCAAAGGTCTCAAGCTGGTCAAAGCGGAGGCGGTGTTTCTCAAATAGTATACGATCCCTCCACATTTTCGGGGCTGCGGCCGAATCCAACATCTAGTCCCAGTGCGCAGTCATTTTCCTCAAGCGTATTGACGTCCCGAGAACTATTCAGACAACTGACCATGAAAGGAAACAGTCGTGTATTTGAGCCAACAATGAGATGGATGGAAGAAGATTGTATCTGTTGGCCTACTAAATTTGTATATCCTACGTCACCAGCCTCTGGAGCGCCTGTAAGCACTGATGACACCTGTCTAAAACCCGTGGCCGAATATGAGCAAGCACAGCTCTTAAATGCATTGGTGGCGCTTGGGCGATTGGATTCTTTTCCTGGGTCGGTCTGTCGTTTCCCGCAAGCGATTCTAAGGCTTTTGCAACGGATCCTTTGCTTGGCGTACGATGAATTGCTCTTTAGCCAATCAAGCTTAGGTGTCCCTCCAAGGAGACGTGTTGTCACCACGGCCCTTGGAATAGATGGCGACCAGAATTGGGGCGCGCCTGGGAGGCAACTAAGGGTATTTCGGCCTTCGGAGAGTAATAGTATTTTCAAAGGGAGTTGCATTGTCTTTACCCATGGACACATGGATCCGACATCATTGATCACCCATCCGCAAACTGGGGCCTTGTTGGCAGTCATAAATTTTGAGCACGCAGGTTTCTTGCCGAGTTATGCAGAGGACTTTCATAAACCTTTTGTAATGGCAAGGCATACTATGTCGTTCTGTAATTTCGAAGATTATATTGCTACAGAGAATAGCAGCTGTAGGGACAGGCGTCCCTGGTGGAAGCCGTTATTTAGCTCCTCTAATAAGCAAAAGGAAAGGCACCAACAAGCAGCACTCCATTCATTGAAAGGCTCAGTATTACCGTGGCAACCGCCATCGCCGAGAGCGGTAAGGGACGAGCAAGCCATACCCATGGTCAAGGATCAAGACATTAACGTGATTATTTCGCCTCGTTTAGCACAGACCGCTTCTCGGGAGTATTTACAACATTGGCAGAAGAATAACAACAAAGGAAGCCATATTTGCCCTTCTTATTCAAGACATGGCCAATTTCCAATGCCCTACCCTGTCATTAACCATTACCTGCGGAAATACGATCCCTCCGCGTACAAGACAGTGAGTTATTCTGAATTCTCCAATCTGTCATCTATAATCTCTGACCCCGCTATGTCCCGAGCCAAAGCAGCTACCGTGGTCACATCTACCAACGCGCCTCAACACCCACAGTACCCACGAAGCAATAGTACCATGATGCATCAGAGCCTTTTGGAAGGTGGTAATAGTGGGCTATGGACATCTTCGGCTCCTGCCGTTGCTGTATGGACAAGACCCCAGTTGCAACCTCATATAAGGGACACTCCAAGTCGAGAGCCAACATCTTCAGTTGATGAGAGTCTGAACCATAACCCCACAGAGTATATTTCATCGACTAACGGAGCAGCTGGTCTCAACAGTGCAATGGAGTATAGGGGAACAGACACCTCCGAGTTTGCCTGTTACAAATCTGTTAAAGACGATGTCGCTGTCCAGCATGGTACAGCCAGTCCTCTCTCATCCTTGCGGTTCACAACATTTAAAAGAACGACAGCGAGGGCGATGTCGGCGCCATCAGCTACGGTTGATGATGAAGGCTTATCCGCGTTTCCTTCGTTAGTTATGGAGGATATGGGCTTAGGAAAGCTAGTCCCCAGGGTTGCAAAGGTGGATCAAAATGGATGGTCCCAGTTCCTGGATTGTTACCACGCTATGGATAAAGACCAGGGAATATCTGAAGCTTCTTCTACTTTTCATGCTACAACAATGTCAAGCGAATTCCTCAATGGCTCTTCATCATCAAAGCGAAGCAGTATTTTCTCGGTGTCGCCGGTGCTAACTCTGAAAGCGTCACAACAGAATAGATACCCTCGTCAATGCGAGCGTGAGCAGAGCTCAAAAGCCCTAGAGGCGTTTCTAAGTATTAGCATGACGCTACAGAACCTGGTTGTTGTGTTAGAGGCAGGTGGCATTGTGGTGACTCCAGAACAACTCCTTGATGCGATTGCGCGTAAGCGCGGCCAGTGGTACCAGGAGAAACTCGATGCACGGGCCCAAAGGTCCGAAGTAAGAGAACCACAGCCATCTCAATCACACGCACTTGATAACGACCATAGCCACGACAGTATCCGACTTGGTACAGAGCGTTCCTTTGGTGATCAAGCAGAAGCGGTCATGGTGGCTGCGGTCGATAAATCCGGTCAGTTTGAGCCATCAAATGTGTTGTTGCAACACGATCCTGCCCGCATCAATATGGAAAGCAAAGAAAAAGGTACAAAACATGCGAGACGTCGAAGCGCCTTTAAGAACCTCCTTCTCAAGGTTGCCCACATGACCAAATCATCTGCATCCAAGGACAGCAACAAACTTGGGATGACTACGACAACCACTCGTGTTACCACGGCAGAAGCTACACCGATGTCACTCATTCATCGAACACAGCGTTCCATGAGTGTGTCACCTACATTCTATCGTCCAACGCGAACTTCAGAGGATAACATTCTATATTCAGCTCCTGGCATACAGCGCGACCCATTGCCTTCGGAACTACCAGGCCATCTTTTCCAAAGATCTTCTTATGGAGACACTGCAAACGATTGTTTCTTGATCAAAGGTAATGATCGTGGTAGTGATAAAGCTAATAACAGGAGCAGTTGGATGAATGAATATTCGAGTCCCCTCTCAGCCACATCCATCGTGGGTTTGAGGTTAAGAACTAGTGCGTATGGAGCAACTAATGGGGCTGATACAAAGCATGATCAAGAGATCATTGTACCTTTAGCTCCGAATGTTCCCTTGGGTAGTATGACCACATCACCAGATACACCAATATACGGGATACAGTTGAGCAACCAAGACAGAACGAAGGCTTCAGCTCAGATTGAGTTGGAGCGAATCCATCGAGCAGAACAAGAGTTTTGGAAGGAAATGGAGGGTCTTTGTGAGCCCTTGGGAGGAATGGAAGAAGAAGAAGAAGAAGAAGATGACTATGACAAAGACCATGGTGACAAGTACACCGATACTTGTATGGACAAGAACACGAACATGAATGACACTGGAGAAGCAGAGAAGCAACACAAACAGAAGCAGAGATGGTATCCAGGGGTTGCTATATTGGACATTCATGATTTAGAGCGTAATCTCGAGATTGTGGAGAAGCATGTAGCGATGCTAGAGCACCAGGCAGCTACATTCTACGCTGAGTTGGAACAAAAGAACCGAGCATGTGCAGTAGGATCAAAATAATAAAAAGAACATGTCTGATCGATTGTATGGTGTTTTGTATGTGATTTTTTCTTTATCGTTGGCCGTTTTCTTTGTTTGGCATTATGGTATATAAACATGTAAATATGAACATTTGGCATGAGAACACGATGGCACAAAGAGACAAGTTTGTCACACCATGGACAAATCAAATGGGCGAACAGAACAGGGTGCAACTGTAGCCCAGGTTAGAAAACCTGTCATTTGCTAATGTGAACGCATAAAATGTATTTCTGAATTAATGTCCTATTTGATGATGTGTGTTACATCTTTTTTTAAAAGCATTCAATTCGTATTGTCTTCCTTTTTTTTCTTTTTCTTCTTCTTTGCGATCCTTCTGTTGGCCCCCTGTCCCCTTTTTCCCTTTAGTCCCTAGTTCTCATCATCTGTAACTTTGTCGTCCATTCATTCACATTAACATATTCGCTCATTCATTCATTCCTTTTCTGAACCAATATTTGATCGCAACCTACATAACACAATCCTGCACATTTATCCCTGCGCAAAAGCCTCTTCCTGCACTATCGGCTCTCCTTCCTCTCTCTCTCTCCCCTCTCTCAATCACTCTCAAAGTACATTCCTACATATATAATGTCTTCTCCAAGGCAACCTACTGTCACTGCTACAGGCGGTGCTCCTGCTGCTACCAGAACAAACGTTGGTGGCTCTGCTCCAACCTATATTATCCCCGGCAGTGAAGTCGATGGATCTGTCACAATCTTCAATCTCCCCACCGGCACTCAGACCTTTGTTTACCCTGCCTTACCCTCCAATGCCAATGGTCCCAACACTCCCAACTACAGCCACGGCCAGGGCCAGGGAGCTAATGGTAGTCAAACGAAATTGGCTCTGATCATTGGCAGCACAGTTGCCGGCATTGCTGTCATTGCAATTGTGGGTCTTTTGATTCAGCGAGGCCGGGCTAGGGCTCGCACCAACGCTATTAACTCGCATCAATCTCGGAATCGTCAGAAACAGAATAATCAAAACAGTAACAGTGGTGTATCCACTGGAGCAGCTGGCAATATGAGTGGTGGTGAAGATGATCGTGGAGACAAGTCTAAGCTTGCTAGATCCTTCACGATCCGCAAACCGCCTAGTGTGTATATAGAGGATGACCAAGATCTGGACCAGACAGGCCATCCTCATTACAAGAGCGCGAGTGATGCGTTGAATCATCCGTACTATGGTGAGCGCACGCCAGGTCTGGTTGAATATGAGCTCTCAGACACGAGTGGACAGAAATATAGTCCCAGTAGTATAGCAGAACGCAAGCGATATGTGGAGCAGCAGCAACGCAAGGTCATGGATGAATATGAGATGTTTAACCCTTACATGGATCTTCCACCACCATCGCCTTACCCTGCATCCGTTTCTGGGTCAGCAGCTCCATCATATACCTCAGGGCCATTGTCTCCTACAATGGGTGGGCGTAGTCCAAGAGTGCACCACAATCCAAGCCAATCGCCAACGCATTCATCATTCGGACGACCGATGCAGCAGCAATTCGATTCAAATGATTACCGATATTGATTTGCCCATCTTTTTTATTTTTTGCTCCTTAATGTTACTTCCGTTCATATACAGTTTTACATTTATAACAACTAATAATAAATTTTTTTTTTTGTTCAAGAATACCGTTGGTCAAAGATTGCAGGGAATACATGGTTTGTTTTTTTGTCAACTCAGCTTGATCATGACCCCATTCCATCTCCTCTCCTTTTGACTTTTTTTTGCTCTCAGACAGGAACGAGTCTTTTCCCCACTTGTGCTAAAAAGACAGATATGAACCTTATTATCACAAAAACAACGCAAATGAAAAAATGAGACCATGTTTGTTTTCAAGCAGGTCATGGATATGGATAAATCAATGACCAGACCGTTTTTTTTTTTTTTTTTTTTTTTTTTTTTTTTTTTAAACCACTTTAACATGGGATGCGACTTTTCTGCTGGCGTTGTATATATGTCAATACATGTTGTACATGAACACAACCCCAGTCTTACATGTGTAGTAGTAAGGTTTTGGCTTTGCAGAACCAAACAAAATGATATTAATAACGAATTACATTTGGTGTAATACGAACAAACTCCAAGTTGAATATTTTTTCTTTGCGTGACCATCGGGAACGGCTTTGAACCATATGAACATTGCAGACAAACTGGATGTTTGTACATGTAGAAAAACTTGTATGAACTCTAAGCTTTTTGCAGCTTTGCACATGCTTTGGGAAATATAAAGAAATAATAAAGGCTCTCAATACATACAGTGCCCGCCCATGAGCACAAACATTAATGAGTGCATTGACAAGGCACTGACGGTTACTGAACTTAGCCTGGCCAAATAATTGCACATGGGAATAATATGAGAAAAAATGGAGTCAATGGCCTGGCCATTTCTCTTTTTCTTCATCCGACTCTGTGCTTCCTGGGTCTTTGGCTCATTCTCATAATCTTGTACATGTATCTCATTAACTCTGATGTAATCTCTCCACATGGAGTGAGCGCCCAAAGAATTCTTTGTCATATTATAGGTCCGTCTCTTCTTTTTTTCTTTTTTACTATATTCCGTTAACTCTTATCGTCCTCCAATCCTGATTACTCCCAAATCAAATATTGCTGAAACTTAATTGTCCGTTCCCCATTACAGCAAGCGGGCCGTCTAAGTCTTTCGTTATACTTTCTGAGTAGATCAGCAGGTCGTTGGCTCCCCCTCCCCGTCCAAGAGTAGCATTCCGAGCTTGCCTACTTCAGATTATGGTATTTGATTTTAAAATGTCTTTGGTGTAATTTTTTTTTTTTTTTTTTTTTTTTTTTTTGCTTATGACACAACGAGTGGTTTACGATCACATTAGTTTTTATTATCTCCAGCAATATTTAGCCCTCCCCTTTTCTCTCTTCCTCCGTTTTCTGTCTCTTCTCTTTCCGTATCATTCTTGTATGGCTCAGCTTACATCTTAGCAGTGGTCGAAACAGTATGTCATCATACACACGCCTGCAAGTCATATTCTCTACAAAAAGAAATTAAAATATGATTTCGCGACATTGGAGATACGATTGGCCTTAAAGGACCACCAGTATTGAACGAACACCTGAGTCGTTCAAGCAAATATATCATGCCAAACTGACCTTTGAGGCTGTCAAGATTCGCTAAAAAGCTGTGATCAAAACTCAATTCTTTTATACAGACAAATGAAAAAAAAAAAAAAAAAAAAAGGACGAATATAAAGATATAGTAGAGCAAATGATTTCTGACAAAACATTGGGGCCTTCAGATAATGCTTAGGTCATGGAGATGAAGTGTAAAGTAGTCAATACCATCTTCACTCCCAGAGCTATGGGCGTTTCGATTCCCAATTTGTAAGAGATGTTCACCAGACATCTGAGGAGGTCCTGAATATTAGTCAACATCAAACATAGCCTCAAAATATTGGATGGACAGGGAACATATTGCTAATAGGAAGGGTTCAGGACAAGCAAGATGATCAATGTACAATGTAAAACATTACGAGCACAGCGTAAGTTAATAGTTAACAAAACGGCACAGTTTACTTTTTGTACAAAAAAAAAAAAAAAGAAAAAAAAGAAAAAGGAAAAAAAGGATATTTAGAGTGCATTTCGTTTAGTTAAGGATTCAAATCGTTTAAATGTGTATCCCACAAAGGCCAGATCCTTTTGCTTGCTATTCTCGTCTGGTGGATGATATTCTATAGTTTAAGGGAAAACAAAAAAAAGAGCTATCAGTCATCATACAATTTTTTTTTTTTTTTTTTTTTTTTTTAATACAACATACCATGCTGCTCAGGATGGTCTGGGACTTTATCCAAATCTTCTGTGGGGAAATAGCTCGTGTCTGTAATGGATGTCAGTACTGGAACAAAAGGCGATTCCATTCGGCGAATATTAACCCAGTCGACTCCATGGAAGAACGGATGCGACATAATCTCATGCACACTATGTCTACCTAATCTCATCTCTGGTGAACAAATCAACCTAAATAGAGGATTAAAAAAAAAACAAGATTGCCATCGCGACGTTAAGTATGGTGTAGGAAGAAAAAGAGACATTACATATTGTTTCTCTTGACAAAGAAAGAAAACCATAGGTACCTGCGAATCAAATCCTCTGCATCCGGTGAAAGATGTACATCTTCTGGGAAATAGAGTTGCTCCCTCCAATTCATAATCTTACGGTACGTCTCATGAGCGTTCTCGCTACAGAATGGAGGATATCCTACCAAGCATTCAAACATAATGGCGCCCAATGACCACCAGTCACACTCCTGTCCATATCCCTGTTGCAGAAAGATTTCAGGTGCAATATAGTCGGGTGTCCCAACAGTAGAGTAAGCCTAAGTACGCAAAGAAAGAAAGGAAAAGAAAGGTTTTGGTGGAAATAGGATGAAAGCGGATCAGTAAACAAAAAACCCTTATATTCGGGTCAGAAAAAAAAAAAAAAAAAAACTGACTAGACTGTGCTGAGACACATACCAAAGTCCTTCGGTTTTTCTTCCAGGTGGCCAGTCTGTCTTTACTCGAGAAAGTGAGGTTGATCGCATCGACAGATGTGTCCAATCTCGTTACTCCATCTTCATGATTACTGTTTCCACCCTTGATTTGGCCATCCAATAAACGCTGATAGAACTGAGAATCGTGCGTCTTGTGAAAACCTGTTGAGAGACCAAAGTCAGATAGTTTGATGTGTCCATCACGATCAATCAAAATGTTGTCTGGCTTGATGTCTCTATAAGAGATGTCATGACAAAACCATAAGCGTTTAGTAACAGAAATAAGAAACTCCAATTGTACTACGGAGGCTAAACGTCAATGACAACGAGTAACGATCTCTTCCTCTAATATATACCTGTGAATGAAACCCATCTTGTGAATATCTTCGATAGCAAGTACACATTCAGCAATATAGAAGCGGGTCACATCTTCTGAAAAAGTGTCGTATTTGATTAGCATTGTCATCAAATCTCCTCCAGGCAAAAACTCCATGATGAGATAGAGATAATGGGAGTCCTGGAATGAGTAGTACAGCTGGACTACCCAAGGGGACTCTGACTCTGCCAGCACATCTCTCTCAGCTTTAACGTGAGCCAACTACAAGGGGAAAAATTTATACATTCATACATTAAGAGTTCTTGGTACAAATTTATATATATATAAAGGATTTCAACTTTCATTATCCAATGCAGTATACGTTTGTACATGTATGTGTATGCGCAAGCATGTAAATGGGCTTACCTGATCCTTTTTAAACATGTCTGCTTTGCGAAGCGTCTTCATGGCATAGATCTTGCCAGAGTCCAACTTCTGAACTAATCGTACTTCACCAAATGCTCCCTTGCCAATCACCTTCACCGTCACAAAATCTTCCAATCCCAGGCGCGTCCTTCGTAGTCGCAGAAACTGCGATTCTTTTCTACCCAATGCCTCCAACTGGCGATGCTTGCGTTCTACACTTCCTGGCTCTGTTTCTAGCTTCCTTTCAAGTTCTATCCTCCTGTACAAGGTTTGGAGAGACACGGAATTATATATATATTTTTTTTTTAAAAAAAAAAAAAAAAAAAAAAAAAGGGGGGGAGTTAAAATAAATATGACAAAGAGGAGTGAATGTAATCCATGCCACAGAACATTTAAAAGTGCTCTTCGTAAAAATGGAAATGTTTCTACAAAAGCACCCTTTTCTTTTTCCTTTAGTTATAAACGGACCTTTCACTCCGTTCAATAGCCTGCTCTAATGAAAGACTGAAATGATGCTCCAGTCGATACTTTGCAGCGGCGGACTGATCGAAAGCAGACTTGGTGATCCCCTCGGTTGACCGATCATAGAGCTGCTCGGTACTCGCACTCGCTCCCGGCATACCTCCTTCATCATAGCCATGGTGCTGTTGGTGATAAGGCTGGTGTTGATGCTCGTGCTCGTGCGGATGTTGATGTTGGTATTGATGCTGTTCATACTGGTGCTGCTGTGAGTGTTGATATTGTTGTTGATATTGTTGTTGATGCTGGTGCTGATGCTGGTGTTGATATTGGCCATTGTAATCATGATAAGAATCATACTGGCTGGGAGGACCAGATGTAGTGGTCAATCCTCCACTTCCCCCAGAGTACGGTGGAATAGGAGGCACACCTTGGTTGGAGTATTGCCATTGCTGCTGCTGTTGTTGCTGTGGCTGTTGATGGAGATGGTAGTGCGGCGGCTGCTGTTGCTGCTGTTGCTGTTGTTGCTGCTGCTGGTGGCCTGATTGATGTGGCGGCAGATAGTCGTACTGCATCGAAAACGAAGAACAATGATGTTCTTGATGTATTCAACTGTTTTAGAAGGGAAACTGTTCTAGTGTGTATGTGCTACTGTTGTTTGGACCTTGAGAAAAAATAAATTCAGATAGAAAGAGGAGGGAAGAGAAGAGAAGAGGAAAGAAAGAAAGAGAAGAAAAGAGAAGAAAAGAGAAAAGTAGATGTAGTGATGAAAAGAGATGAGAGGAATCTAAATGGGCGAATGCTGTTGAACACAGATGATGAAGCTCAGAAAAGACAATGAAAATATTGTTTCATAAATATGTGGGTATAGTTTTTAGTTCTAGTTCAAGTATTCTAAAGCAATAGCTCGCCATTTCATGCCCTGGCAATTAATGTTACGGCTACAAAGCACAATCCTTTTGATCAGCATGTAACCTTATCAGAAAAGTATCTTTGGACTCCAAATTATATCTCTGTTCACAGCCTGCACACACAAATGTAATATCATCCAAATGCAATATTATCATCCATGAGGAAAGGGAGTCGATTGCAAAGAACGCAGATCAAGATGGCTTAAATCTGCCGCCGTATATCGTAGTCACAGTTAAAGAAGACAAGGTCAGCTCAGCAATAGTGAAGGCTCGTGTAATATAATACTATAAACTCTTATGCTTTCATTTCGCGTGTTGTGTTTCTCGCCAAAGAGGAATTTGGCTCGGTGGAGATCCTCGAAGAAAAAAAAAAAAAAAAATGTCCTACAAACTATTTTCTTGAGGTAATTTTTTTTTTTTTTTTTTTTTACAAATTGTACGACCCAAGCTAACCTGGCAGGCCTCTTGGCCAAGGCAATGGAGCTTGTATTTTACCCATTTTATTTTTTTTAATAAACATGTTTCCAGAGTAAAATGGAGTAACATGTCTGTGCTATTAAGAAGTTAGGGCTGTCAATCCATGCATTACTCAGTGAGCATGAGATCCAATATCAGCGACGCGTACGTATGAGGATGCCTGGGACTGGAAAACAAAAAGTTATTAATGCTCTCGCCTTGAGGCCTTCCAGCTGTAGACAAAATATCATGCATGCATTGTTACACAAAGAATGAGTAGAAAAAAGTAGGAGTGGACTCATCATAGAGTGCAAGATTAGATCCTCATTTTTATTTGAGTGAAGAGACATAAAGTTTTTCCTGTTTTCTTTGCCATCTTTGCATGCCTCAGTTTAAACTAACTCGAGAACCTTGATGACTCCAGAACTATTGGCAGCCAGTAAAATATTATTTGACGTATTTTTCTTCCAGCAAACTGAGCTCACGAATTGGCCGGGATCTTCATCTGCAGTATCTTCACCCTGGTGATATGGATGATGTAGTCGAATGGTTTTTGTGTGTATGTGAGAGAGAAAGAAAGAGAAAAGGATTGAATTTAATACACTATGTCATGAGCACAAATGTCTAAAAAACACTGCAAAGAAATATCGATGATACTTACCGTAACAGGATTTGAGTTGCCAAACTTGACAGTGACAACTGGATCTCGAAGCTCTTTGTAGTACGTATAAACGGCGTTATTCTCGCTACCACAAGAAATCCAATCGCCAGATGCACTGAGGCCGACAAAGTTCTTTTCGTTTACATGGCCAGTATACGTTCTCGCACAATTCATCCGTAACGTGTTCCAGAGCTTAAGAGTGCTGTCTGTTGAGGCTGACACCAATTCATCCCGTCCGAGAAACTTGACATATGATACAGCCTTACGATGGCCTTTGAAGACGTACAGGGGTTCATTTGCTTTACGAAGATCATAGTAATGAATATGATGATCCGCACTTCCAAACGCAATGTGATGACTGCTCTCAGGATTGAATTTGACACAGCAAATGTTGGCCTTGCTCTCAATGGTACACACAGATGCTTTTGATATTGTGGACCAGATCTTGACCTTAGTGTCATCACTGCCACTGGCAAGGCGTGTTGGATCTGTGCGCGAAAAGTCAACACTCCATGCCCGCTTTTCGTGTTCGTCATAATTGAGTGTGTTAATGCCAGTTTGCGCATCCCACAGTGATACGATGCCCTCGTAGTCAGAACTTGCGATTTGAGCTTTAATATATGAGTTCCATGAGAGACAGCTGTGGGATATGATATTCATTAATGAATCAAGGGTTAGATGCTATCAAATATATATGGTTGATTTAGAGAGTCTGACATCAAGTAGACTATTAGCTTTTCACGTAATTTGTGGCCTGACCTTATTTTGCTCCGACACATCATTTCACGCACTGGATAATGAAGAACTGATGTTATTGGTCTCTTGTTGGATGAGTATCGTGAGTGTCGACTAAGATCACTAGGGTCATACATCTCTGATCTATCATCTTCTCGGAAGCTCGTGCCCGCAAGACCTGTCTTTTCAATACATCCATATTCAAAAATTTTGATCTTCCGCGTCACACCCGCTGTTGCAAAATATTCGTCGTCTCGGTCAAACTCGATGGATGATACAATTGACGATGCGTTGAAAATGTCGCCATATCGCAACGTGTTGATATGCTCAAAGTGAGAGAACCGCGTGAATTTAGAGATCGTAGAGCAAAAGCTTGACAGCGCTGACTCTCTTTTGGTTGATGCTGTGTGATGCGGAACAGAAAGCATGACATGGATTGAAGTATTAATACTCAGAAACAGAGAATGCGCAAACAGCCCCCTTCGTGAATAAATAAGGAAAGGGGAACCAAGCATCCACTTACAGTTAAGGGATACGTCAAAGTAGCACCGCTGCAAGTCTTCGAAATGGGTTGCTACACGTTTTTTGTTGACATTGACTTGTTTAGCAATACTTAGGCTCTGGAGATGCGCTTCTGTATTGAGCTTTCCTGAATTGATTCCATCGTTTTTATCATCCTGCTCAAGTTGCTATCGTCATTAAAAAAAAAAAAAAAAAAAAAAAAAAAAAATCGAATCAGGTTAAAATAATGATTTTGCATCAAGGAAACGAGAACATAAGATGGTATAAATAAAGAGAGACAGCTTACAGAGTGGCTTCTCTTGGTCCCTGCCTGCGCTGGGACAGTTTCATCCTCTTCTTCTGAGACCTCATTAGGGACTTGTACTCCTGCTGAATTTCCAATGCACTCGAGAGAGTCATCGTCCTCTTCCTCTAGACTCTGCGTGGTTTGGTAGCCATTTTGTCGCTTTAGCATGTCCAGTTTCTCCTGAGCTTTCCTCATATCGTTATCAAGACATTGAATTTGCATGTTAAGTTCTTTTAAAGCCTGGATTAATAATACACATATATCAAATGTATTAATACACTGTATATATGAATTTCATTTAACATCCTGTCGGAACCATGATATGTTCTAGCCATGGCCTGTTATGGAGTTGATCGGTGGTGTAAGCGGTGCATATTATAAAAAAAATAAACCTGCCTTTTCCTTCTCTTCTCGAGTATTCCTAAGAAAGTCCAATAGTACTTCCAGTTCAACCTGCTGATCAGTTGACTCCAGTTTCCGTTTTTTTGCTTGCAAAGTCGATAGTAACTCATCGAGTTCTAAATAAAAATAAAAAAACATTTCTTGATTAATCCACCATCCTCCACGTGCATTCTAATAGTCCTAGTATTTCTTAGCAATGGCCACAGTCGAAGCATACCTTCCCGCGTATAATCATTTTGGGTGAGAAGGTCATGTTTCAGCTTAATACGAGGCTCCCGTGTCCTACTTTCAGCAGTTGAGTCCTGTAATTCAGCGGCTGTGCGCTCAAATATACTATTGACTAATCGAGATGATAGACAGCAAACAAAGGGTGTGATTTGTCAGGCACAAAGCGCCGTGCAGTCACGAGATGGATAGGCTCAACTATGATTCTTGGCCCGTTTGAAAAGACGGAGCGACTTACGTAAAAAGTTGGGGAAGATCTGATCCCTTGTCAGCGGCGCTCGACACGTTGGGCAATCCTGCCTCTCGTTCAGATGCTGGGATATGCATAAGTAGCTACAAGCAATAGTCCTATTAGTAAAAACCCTCTTCAATGGTTGTTTTGTTTTATAATCTTACTAGGCCTAGACTTACCAGAATGAGTGACCACATTGCGTTAAAAATGTCTCTTTCATTAATGATAAACAGATAGGGCTGTTTCGTCAGAGTAAAATATGAATATGTATGTTTGTATATATAAAAAAAAAAAACGGCTATTGTGAGTACGACGTAGGATATTACTGCACAGAGTCGTTAAATATTTTTAATCAACATAGGCCTTTCTAGGACCAAACCTACCAATGGAAGTCGTTTGATACAGCTGTAAGCAGGTCAGCTGGGATAGGTGGATGTAGGGGGCGAGGACTGGCTGTGGTAGAGGTCGATGCAGAAGACGATGAGCTCGCACCTTGACTGTTCTCAAAGGCTTCCATAATGGCACCTATCCGTGATGCTGTGAATCGTTGTCTCTTTCGAACAGCTGTTCTCAGGTTTGTGTCAATACCACTGCTTGCGCTGTTGTTAGTGTAGCCATTGTTAAGAACAGTAGAGGATGAGGGTGAAGACGAGAACGAGGACGAGGTGGCAAGGGTATCTTCAACAGCAGCGGCGGTGGTAGTGGTAACAGCAGAAGAAGGGCTGTTGATTAATGTTCTTGCAGGGTTAATACTATCATTGTTGTCATTATTGTTGCCCCTGTCATTGTTGTGGGTGTTGTTGATATCATTAATATTTCTAGTGTTATTTGTCGTAGTTAATGAGACAGATGTAATGACATTGGCTGTATTGTTCATGTTGTTGTGATGGCTATTGCTACAAATTCTGCTGCTGCTATTGTTGTTATTGTTGTTACTGTTATTCATGATTATTAATTAAGTAGAAAAGGAAAGGAAGGAAATATTAGAATAAATGAAAAACAAGTCGATCGCACGACGAATTGTATGGAGCGAAAAGAATAGGAAAAGAACAAAGAGGAATATGAGCTGAATTACCAGCCTTCTTTCAACAGTCAGGTGCAGAGTAATTTTGGTGGCAACCACATTTTGCTGAACACATTTTAATGGTTCTTCTCTTTTGTTGCCTATTTTTATCATTCCTTCCACAGTTTCTTCTCCTTTGCGTTTGGTCTCTCGAGCCCTGAACGCAATGAAACTGTCCCTGCGTCCATGGTGCGGATGGAATAAAGCAGGTGGGTGACTGTGTCAGCCGCAGCCGCATACTTCGTACCTTCAAAGTATTCAAACCCTACAATTATCAAGGTACTTTGAAATATAATCATGATTCCACTGTTGAATAGTTTCTTTCCACGATATGGCCTCCATATCTGGATAAACTAGCTATGGGGAAAGTTGTCGATCTGATTTTTGGATTAATCCTTGAGCTGGCCTAATTACTGCGCTATTGGAGCTTCGATGCCTGGTGCAGGATGGTTTCTCGAAATTTCACATAAGAGATAGTAACTATTTGATCTCCGGATAAAGCTTGTCACCGAAATCAGGCTCTTACTCAGCAAATGTAGAATGATGGTGTACGTTAATGCTGGGAAAATACGCATTAGACTAAGCAGAATATTTCTATACATGATAATGTATACTACTATGGCAAGTAAAGGATTCATTTACTTTGTAGGACCTCCATAAAGTGCAGCCTGTAGCAGCAACTGCCTGGAAGGATAAGCAGGTCTTTTATTTGAGACGCAATCATCTCGGAGCTTGCAAGATCCATCAGTACACAAAAATGTTTCAAACTCATTGCTTGCTGGTGCTTCCGAGTCCACATGTATTTCACGTGATGCCTTTTTGGACTTTCTGTGTTCACTTTCTGTCGGTGTCCGTCTTCAATTGACTTTGAGTTGTCGCTTTCATGTCTTTCTACTGCACTACTTACCGAACACCGAACCGCATCCCGTTTTTTTCTTTTCTTTTCTTCCTTTCTTTTTTCTTCCTTTTCTTCCTTTCTCCCTATTCCCTTCATTTTCATATTTCTTCAAACCTCTTCAGACTTCTCTAGACTTGTTCCTAATTTCTCACAAAGTGCGCATACAAAATGGCATTTCAAAGCGGAGCCGAATGCTCTTCTGGCTCCAATGCCATGAGGCAATTCACAAAGCACTTTGACCGTGACCTAACTGTTCAACAGGTAGGCAAACCAACAAACATATTCATTAATTTTTTTATTTTGTAACAAAGTTATTGATTCTTTTTTTTTCTTCTTTTATCTTTAATGTATGACTTTACTTCTCTTAGGACCGGTTCAGGAATGCTGCATCATCATCTGCTGGCCCTTCAATGCGTACAGCACGGCCTACCATGGCTGGTGATGATCAACAGGTATGTATGGGACCAATGTGTTTGCTTTGTATACTGAAAATGCCAAGCTACTCTCTCCAACTGCGCCTTTTGTTCTTGTGCTCCGAAACTCGCTTCGGTTGTGGGGTGTTTCCCCGTCACTCGTATACGATTTACAAAGCTAACTTTTTTTACTCTTTATATTTCGTTTTTCCCCGTACATCTGTGGCATTTGTATGATCGACCAATCGAAATTCTGTATGCTCTCTCATTTTCCCGATCAAATTCTCCTTAATGTAGCTTTTAGATGAGTTTTTTGAGCAACAGAAGCAGCAGGGGGATCCCGGAGCATTTAGATTTAATGACATGCATCAGGAACTGTCAGCAATTCATCGTCCTCCGGGATTTGAAATGGCTCCAGGTAATTAGGAAGAAAAAAACGAATATTGAATTTATCGCAGGAAGGTATCAATCGATATTGGCAGTGGATCATATCCACATCCATACTAATATCTTTTATATAAACAATAATCGGCTTCTTCACAAATAGGCGGCGACTGGTCGCAAGAGTTTCAAGCCCATCAACCTACAGGAGCTCGTCTCTTTGAGTTGAGTCCTGAAGAAGAGGCTGCTTTCTCAGCTGCATTTCAACAGCATCAACCTGCCCCACATGGTAAGCTTAAAATCCGCTTTAGTAATATTGCTATTATATAATGTTATAATGCATGGTGCTAACCACTATATTATGTTCTTATCATAGAGTGGCAAGAGGAGTTCTTGCAGCGTGAGCATGTTGTTGGCGAAATGCCTCCAGAGTTCGAGGCCGCCTTCCAAAAGAACTTTGATTGGGCCAAAGAGTTTGAACTTGTAGAGGGTAAAGGAAAAGGACGAGCTCTTGATAATGCCTCATGGGAAGCTCAATTTGAGACCGCACAACGAGACACCGAGGCAGCCAATGCAACGAAATCTGCAAATCCCATTAACTTTGATGAACACGAGCAGCTTGAGGATCTCTGGAATACACTTCGGGATAACTTGACAGATACGGATGATGTGCAAAATATTCTTGATGATCCCTCCAGCTGGGAGACAGAGTTTTCAGATTTGAGTGCTATCGCTGCTCCTCAGCTTGGACCTTACACATTTGAGTCCAATAACCCTTATCTGACTCATCCTGATCCAATGGCGGAGGGCATTCGGCTGACAGAGGAAGGCGGTAGTCTATCAGAGGCTGCTCTGGCGTTCGAGGCTGCTGTACAGCAAGACGAAAGCAATAGCCGTGCATGGATGATGCTTGGAAATGTTCAAGCTCAGAATGAGAAAGAAGAACCTGCCATTCGTGCCTTGGAGAAGGCAGTGCAAGTAGATGCCAATAACCTTGACGCATATATGGTAAATTCAATAACATGTTCTTGTACTCTGGAGATAGCGATGTGATATTCATGGATGTATTTTTTTTTTCTAAACTATCAATGCATTGTTGGCGCTCACTTCACATGCTTTTTTTTTTTTATTTTTATTTTTTTAACCTTCTATTCAGAACCTTGCCGTCAGTTACACGAATGAGGGTTACGATCACCAAGCTTATGTCACGTTAGAGCGCTGGCTGGCAACGAAATACCCTGATATTGTTGCAGCGAATGGACCAGCACCTACATCCATCAGCTCATGGGAAACCCACACACGTGTTACGGACCTGTATTTGCAGGCAGTCCGCAATGGATCAGCGGGTGCAGAAATGGATGCGGACCTTCAAGTAGGCCTTGGTGTGTTATTCTATGGCAGTGGAGAGTATGAAAAGGCAGTGGATTGTTTTGTCGCTGGACTGAAGGTTCGTCCTGACGATTATTTGCTTTGGAACCGTTTGGGAGCTACATTAGCCAATTCCGGAAGGAGTGAGGATGCTATTGAAGCATACCACAGGGCTTTAGAAATTAAGCCTTCATTTGTCCGCGCGCGATACAACTTGGGAGTCTCATGTATCAATATTGGATGTCATAAAGAGGCAGCTGAGCATTTGCTAGGTGCACTTAGCATGCATCAGGCCGATGGAGAAGGTAATGGTGGTGGGTCTGTCAATGTAAGCGGCAACCTGTGGGAGACACTTCGCCGTACATTTATTATGATGAATCGACCCGATCTTGCGGAGCGTGCAGTTGTGGGAGCCGATACAAACCAGTTCCGCAACGAGTTTGAATTTTAAGTTTTGGCCAACATATGACATGTAAAGTAGTAAAGAAGATATTCATAAGCATTTATATATATTTATTTATTTGATCGCTGGATGTTATGAGTTTTAAGAGAGTGCTGTTTCGACATTTTAAGAAAGTCCTAGTGCGATTATTAATTTATTGTGTTTCTTTGTTCCTCTGACACTGTGGCTGTGTACGATTCTACGTGAGACTTGAAGGGCTGATGTAAAAAAAAAAAAAAAAAAAAAAAAAAAAAAGGGGAACAAGGCAGTAAAGTGAAAGAAAAAGGGGTTTATGTGCATGTCAAGTGTATTGAGCGCGTCTCGCACGTGAAGCGCAAGATACAAGGCCATCTATTTCATCTAGACAGGTCGAAAGAGATTCACACCCATCAGCAATATACACTTAATGGATGTACATGTTACGTTCATACGGATAAATGATTTAATTCAAAGAATAAAAAAAGACGACACAACTGACACTAAAAAAAGACGTGGGACCCTTCCAGAGAAAAGCAGACGAAGTAGACTAGAATCTTGGGAAGCTACCATACCTTCCACTCGAAAAAAAAAAAAAAAAAAAAAAAAAAAAAGCAGAGGACACATAAAAGATGCATAATCCCTTTGACTCAAAGTGGATAGCGGGGCTGCTCTTAAAGTTGAATCCGTACTTACTGTTCCACTGTGTCAAATCCTGTTGACCAAAAATCACTCTACAGATTAATTTCCCATGCATTTTTTGCGGCAGTGCTCTCCTGTATCCTCTGTTCTGTTCTACCTCTGAATCTTGTTTCCCAATGAAGTTGGAAAGGACATTGTGCAACTGGAACAAATGGTCTGTTCTGGGGAATAAAAATAGATGAACTCCTGTTTCTCTTTTTTTTTTTTTTTCTTTTTTTTTTTATACTTGTGTAGTCGTTGTATTTGAATGAGATTGATTGGCAAAGAGGAAAAGAAAAAGCAATAGTATACCAGGATCAATGTAAAATTTACACTATGTTCTCTCTTTTATTTATCTTTTTTTGACTTTTTTTTTTTTTTTTTTTTTTTTTTTTACTGGTCTTTCTTGGTATCTGGGCGGACAATCCTTTGCGCCTCAACGAATTCATTTGCCTCATGCTTCGCGACCTCGAGGAAGAATCCTACTTGATCTGCAACATCCTTGAGCGCTGAATATACAATGTGGTTGCCCTTGGCAAAGCCATGGATGTGATAGGTCAAGCCAACTTCGTCACAAAATTGTCTAACGAAGGGCTGGGCCGAACGAAGGTTGTGGCGGGGCATACGGGGGAATAAATGGTGGATGGCCTGGAACTGAAGGCCTCCGTGGAACCAATCAAGCCAAGTAGGACAATCCACATCCATCGTTGTCCTGAGCATCTTGGCTGCAAAAGATTCTGTATCGCCCAACTCTTCGGTCGACATACCAAAGTGTGAGAGCGTGATCTGAACATGCAGCATGAACGTGAACATATGCGAGACGAGCACATAGGCAAGGATCATGTTCCATGTGGGCAGCTGCTTTAGGAAGTAAGGATACCAAATCCAGTAGATGGCCAGACCAAAAACCTCTTGCTTGCGATATGGATAATTCTCTTCATTGATCAAGAACAACATAGATTGGACGTACAGGTTGAAGCGTCCAAACATCATGACGGGGTAATAGAGATAGTGCTGATACGAGACAAAGAACTGGGCGATACGGTCAAAGACCATTTCCTTTTGATGGTAGGAAGAGAAGAAGCCGCGGAAGATCCTGGTCGTGACGGCAAAGAAAGGCAGATGTTGGATATCTGGGTCATGAATAGGGTGGTTAGTGACGATGTGGTGAACATAGTGCGACTTTTTCCACCATCCGATTGACAGACCGCCCAAAAAGTCGGCCAAAAAGATGCCAATTCCATTGTCCATCTGTAGGTTGTGAGTGATGGAATTGTGGCCTGCATCGTGTGCAAAAAACGAGATCTGATGCCAAAACATGGCGAGACAAAGAGCCGAGGCCATGTAATGCATCGTGCATGTACCATAAAGGTTGAGAACAATGGCCATGGTGAAGAGGGTCAGATAGCGCGAGAACTCCCAGGCATAGTTGGTATAGTTGGTTTCGAACAGATGTTCCGCGCGGAGACGGGCCTCTAATTGGCGATATGCAGCCGAGACCTGAACGCTCTGTGCCTCAAAGATCTCTTCTTTAGTGCGAGGGAGTGAGTTGAGGATTGGAGCGAACTCTGGGTCAGATTCACGGGGAAGAAAATCTGCGATTTCAAAGTACTTGATTTTTTTCTCCAACACATAGTCAGGGTGAAGAGCCTTGACTTCGTCTGTACAGTCGCGGCCAATGCAATGGCGAATGGCTAATTGACCACCAGGATGATGTTTGATCCATTTGTCGAGCTTGTAGACCTTTTGGTTAACGACGATGAGGATCTCGCCAGCCTTGCATCTTGCGTCGAGTTCTGAGCGCGAGATGATGTTCTTCTTGGTGTGAGGTTCCACGTAAGTTGATTCTGGTGGCATCTCAGTCGAAAAGGGCGTGGTATGTTTGTGTTATTTGATAGGTCAAGAATCAGTAAAATTAACACAATTGACCTAGGTTGGAGACCACCCTTTAACAGACAGACAGAAAGAGAAAGGGGAGAAAAGAGAAAGAAAGAGAGGAAGGAGAGAGAGAAAGGGAGGGGGATGGATGAGGAGAGAGAAGAAGAAAGAGAAGGAAAAGAAAAAGGCACTTTCAACCTTTTTCTTTTTCAATGCTTTTCGATCGAATGATATTTTAGCTTTGGTATTTTGGCGCCCTTTTTTTATTATTTTATTTTATTGTTTTCTAGTCTGACACAACTGATACGTACAATCGTGGCTCTGTCAACATGCTTCTCCCTTATTTTGGGTAAGATTTTCGCAAAGCAAAAGAAACAAAACCAAAAAAAAAAAAAAAAAAAAAAAAAAAAAAACAAATGCAATCCTCATAACATTCACAGAAGAGAAGAACCCTTCCCTGGCCAACCACAGACACAAAAACATGGAAATAGACAACAGATTGTACTCTCACCTTCGGATACAGACATTGGATTCAAATAAAAAAAAAAGATGCCTATCCATCTCTTCTCACTCACTCGCCTACTTTGATTCACACGACCACGTTCATGCCTGCAACTCACCAAAGTCCAAATTCTGATTATTATTTTTTATTTTTTCTGGCTGTTCATTCATCATAGTATTTACATGGACGATAATGAAGATTACTCAAGCCAGCACAAATGTATATACAGTAGACTGACAAAGAAATTACAACAGCCCAGTGTCTAACTGGAAATAGGAACGCATGTTTCAAGAAAGAGAGAGACCAATCCTGGGCACCATGTTCTTGTACTTGTTTTATCATAAATCAAAAGGATTGGCAAAAGAGAAGAGAGGTGTATATTCGTGTACATGAACACAAACTTTTATTCCAATTTAAAGTTCCTCCTGTCTTCCGGTTTTTCTATAACTTTTTCTCTTGTCCAACCAAAGTGAAGAGCTAGGCAAATGCCTGGATTGACCACAGCAGCACGCCCATCTTTTGCTGGATTTGTTCTTTTTTGTATTAAGATTTTGAGGCTATTTTGCTCTTGTCCGCAGGGTCTCGAGGTCCGACGGTCATCCGAGGTCTATCTGACCATTCATATAGTAGACGCAGCTATAACCAATTGATCTCTCTGCCTTGCTTATTCCCCCGGAAAGGGCTTGAATATCCCCTTATCTTTTTCTTTTTTCTTGGTGCAAGCTCAGAAAAGGGTCTGCCTTTCCTGTCTCTCTCAAAAAAAAAAAAAAAAAAAAAACTCTGCTGCTTTTTTCCACGATTAGTATGAGCTCAAGCAGCGGCTACTACAGTACGTCCTTTGAGCAGAGCAAATTCCTAATTCCTATTGATCATTTGTTTTACTTATAACAGAGACAACCGAATTCAAGACAGCTCGGTCAATCTTCAGGGGTAAAATCCTCAATATGAAGCCAATAACTGTTCTTTTTAGTGTCGCACGAAGTTTTATCACCACGTGGTAACTTGCATGGAATAGATAAAACAGATTAGAACCATTCTTTACTCTTTGTCCTACTCTTAACAATTATTTTTTTTTTTTGTCTCATAATCTATTATTAGAGGAACTTTTACAATGGCTTGCATTTTTTTTTTTTTCTTTCGGTCATTTAAGAAAGGAAGAAGGATGTGGTTTTCGGTGTCTTGAACCACGAATTCATGTTATACTGAATGCATGTTTGTTCTGGACTATAAGATGTGGGTGTGCATACGCTGCCGAGTAGAGCGCTCAGAGCAGTAGCCTACAAAAACTCTTTTTAGATTTGTTCACACATTGATAAAATTGATATGTAATATAAAAATATGAGCCGTAATTCCTTAGACGCGAAGATATCACAACACGCCACTTTTTTTTTTTTTTTTTTTTTTTTCCAAGTGAGGAACACTGCATGGAGTGCATAGCAACTCGGGTCTCCTTCAAATGACATCTGTACTTCAGCGTATAATAATAGCTATAAATGTAAATATATATACATGCCAGCGGATGAGGTGGACGAGGAATGAAACCGGGAGAACGAGCTATTCTAATATGCAGTCTTGATGGTGGCCAAGAGTGGAAATACCTTCTGCTGCGGCAGTAACCTTCACTTGTTTGTTTGATCACCTAAGCCACTCTGCCACTTTTTTTTTTTTTGTCGCCTTTAGCATTCAAGAAGAGGAAGAAGAGAAGTCCTAATCCAGTCCATTGTCCCTCAAAGACACACATACAAGGATACACAAATACACACAAAAAATAAAAATAAAAATAAAATAAAATAAAAACCTAGAGCCATGGCTGCCAACACCATTGTGGCCGATTTTGAAACATGGCAGACATCTCTCTTTGCGGCTCTTGTCAAGGCTACAAAAGCATCTAAAGCCATGTCTCCGGACGACGTTGCCTTCTACCGAACACTTAATCCTTCATTTGCTACCAATATGGAGGATGTCTCCTCTGCCACTCTTGACCTCTGTAACGGGTTACTGATACAGGCAGGTGGCCAGTCCGCAGAGGTGCTTAATGACGCAGACGATTTCACAGACCGGTTTAATATTATTACCGACGTTGTCGATAATATGCTTGAGAAAGTGGTAAATAATAATAGTGATAATAATAATAAAAACCTCCCTTTGGTTGCAATGGGCATTAACCAATTTTGTTTTATTTTCTGACTCGGACTGGATTTTACAATATATACAAAATGCACTATAGGATGTAACAATTGACGAAATGAAAGATCCTCGAAAGAAAAGTGGTCCAGTTATCCCACAAAGCGCTCCTGTTGTGGCCCTAGCTAAGGTAAGGATGAATATTAATGTATTTATTGAATATAATCTAGATGCATGATAGTAATATTTCTGAATAATATATTAACATTGTCGCAATTGTTTAACTTTCTAGAGCGACAAGTTGCAATACAAGTTGATCCATGCTCAAAACATTGCTAGACCTCAGTTGAGATTCCCTGATCCAGTTGACAACTCAAATGCACCATTCATCCGCAAGATCACTTATAAGCCAAATGCCAAGGTTGATCTTAATTATGGCATGGATCGTCTCTTGACATCATCATCGTCTACGCCATCAGAACTTATTCAGCAGCCACATCCGTACGAATACGAGATTAAGCATCTAGAATATCCACAACATATGTTTGAACAACGACCGGAACAGCTCTATTTACCATTTGATACTACTACAGCCATTTGGATCGATACAGAGGAAGCGTTGAAGGACATGTGCAAAGATCTGGAAATGCAGCGAGAGATTGCAGTAGATTTAGAACATCACAACTATCGCTCCTTTCAAGGCTTTGTTTGTTTAATGCAAATTTCAACTCGTGATCAGGATTATATCATTGATACACTCGAGCTCCGGGGTTCGTTACATCTCTTGAATCAATCATTTACAGATCCCAACATTGTCAAAGTGTTACATGGTGCAGAGAGTGATATCATCTGGCTTCAACGGGATTTCGGTGTCTATATCGTCAACCTTTTTGATACATACCATGCCACCAAGCTGCTTGAATTTGAGAGCCATTCATTAGCTCACCTTCTGAAGTTGTATGCCAATTTCGATGCCGACAAACGATATCAGTTAGCGGATTGGCGTATCCGTCCATTGCCCAAAGAGATGTTCAACTATGCTCGCTCTGACACCCATTTCTTGCTTTATATTTACGATCGCATGCGTAACGCTCTCTTGGACAAATCCAACCCTACAACACATAATCTGTTACATGCTACTCTTCAGCGCTCTGCAGAGACAGCACTTCGAGTGCATGAGAAGGAGGTTTATGACGCTGAGGGTGGAGATGGCCCCAATGGATGGAGGAATATGTACTCTAAATGGAACCGGGCCCTCAACACAATGCAATTTGCAGTATTTAAGGCCCTTCATGCCTGGCGTGACCAAACAGCTCGGGATGAAGACGAGAGTATCCGATATGTGTTACCCAACCACATGTTATTTACATTGGCAGAACAGATGCCTGAGGATGCAGCGGGTGTACTCGGGTGCTGTAACCCTGTTCCACCTCCTGTCAAGATGAATGCATCCGATATTGCTCTTCTGATCAATCGTACAAAAGCAAGTGTACAGCCTGTTTTAGGAACATTCAAGAAAGTAGAAATTGAAGTTCCTACACACATACGTTTCGACCCAAAGACAGGATTGCAGGGGGTACAAGAACATATTGACAACCCATCTGAAAAAGATGCTGTTAAATCAACATTAACACCTTTGGAGAAGGCAGCACAACAGAATCAGTCCGGCAGTGTCATTGCAGCAACTTCTTCTAGCATGTTTGGAAATGGTTCTATCCATGCATCATCATCATCACCATCATTAGCGTCCACCATGGTCAGCAAACCTTTAATTCATCCCACCTCCTTCATGGCATCGCGATCTAACTTGTTTGGTCAAGTCAGCACTCTGTCAAATAGTTCTCGGATGGAAGAGGAAGGAAAGGAACTTGCTAAACGGATCATGCTCGAATTTTCAAACAGGCCTGCAGGGACGGCTCCTATGTTCAAGGAGCTTACTATAGGCGTAGTACAGCATGCCGATAACGTGCCTATAGAGGCAAACGAAGAGAAGACTAAGGACGAGGCCAAGGATGAGATGCAGAACAAGGAAACAAATGAAATCCTATTCACACCAAAGGAAGAACGTGAAACAAAACAGAAGAGGACTGATGTTCTAGTGCTCTCATCTATGTCCAAGAAGCGAGCACGAGCTATTGATGAAGAGCGTGCAGAGCTCGTGAAAGAGCAGTCAGAATCTGCTGCAATATCTAGTAATGGGGCTGCAGACAACGCAGAGAAGGAAGAGGTGGTGGTGTCAGTTAAGAAGAAGAAGGCAAGGAAGGAAAAGAAATCGTCGTCTACTTCCGCCACCCCTTCATCCTCAGCACCAGCCTCGGGTGATGAGTTGCCAGAGTCCTTTAAACCCTTTGACTACAACAGTGTACGCTCTGTTGTTGATGAGAATATTGAGAGCATGACTACGGGCAAACGAAAAAAGAACAAGAAGAAGGCGACACAAGACTCTAGCAATTCCGAACCTGCTACGCGTATGTTTTATTTATTGCTTATTACTTTAAAAAAGTTTGTGTGTGTTACAAATTCGACCTTGAAGACATTTTCATTGATACTAATTAATTCTCATTCTTTATTCAGCATTCGATCCTTATGCTAAGCTGATCGAAAGTGCAGATCTCAAGAAGAAGGATGCTTCATTCTCTCGTAACCCCAAATCAGGAGCACGCAGTATGACCTTTAGTAAAAATTAAACTAAAAGAATGTGAAATAATTTAATTTTTATTTTTGTCAAAGAGATGTCTATAGCACAGAGTAAAAATACAAGAAAAAGCAATGCTTTTAAAATTAACTTAACAAATATAAATCAAATAAAGAGAATTAAACATGGAGCCCTCGGGGGGAAAAGATGACGAATAGCCAATAGTAATGATTAATTAGCTGCACTTAGTTATCGCGCATCCATTGACGACGTAGAGGTGGCATTCGAATGGTGCCTGTACTTGACGAGTCCGACAGCACTCCTTGGCTGCTGCTCCGATGAACTTCATTTCTGGACGTGGGCCTTGTGTGTGTCTGCGCGGTGTGGAAGGAGTCCGTGGTATGGATGGTATCCACAGTGTCCGCCGTCTTATTGGACTCAATCCGGTCTAGCTTCGGTCGTCCAGAGTGTCTTTCTTCATCACGGCCCTGATTCGTATCGCTCTCTTCCGATACTTCGTCCACGTCTTCATCTCCATCATCATCGCTGTCATCGTCATCGCTTGAATGTGAAGCTACTATGGCGGGATGGTTCAGCAGAGGGGAGATGCCCGTCGTAGGATCAACCGAGAATGAACCCAGTCGGCTACGGCTCCCTTCGCGGAATTTCTCCTTTCGTTGCTCTCTATGAGACTTGCTTCGATCTCGTCGTTCCTGTTTCTGCTTTGCGGACTGGCGTCTGGCAGTTCGACTCGCATCTACAGCAACACTGACCATTTTGAGGCCACCTCCACCGCCATCACAACCAAGAACACCCTCACTATCACTCAGTAAAAGCTCGCCACGATGCCTTCCCCTTCTTCCTCCCCGTCTTGAATGGCGCGAGTGTGAACCCTTCCTATGCCTCGCGCCGGCAAGCTTTTTGTTGATCAACTCAAGATCGTTCTCTTCTACGACACCTCCTTGAGATCCTGCAAGGCTGTCCTCATCATCCTCCTCTTCTTGACCATCTAGTCTCTCGATCTCTTCATCCTCATCGTCCTCATCGTCCTGTTCCTTCTGCCAGTTCTCCTGTTCAGAGACCGCTCCAGGCGGTAAAGGAGACGTGCCTTGTGCATTATTATTACCATCGTTGCCAGTTACTTGGGCTCTAGAAGAGTGCCCACCCTCCAGAACAGCCATACTTTTCTGTCGAAGCATCTCACGCTTCTTTTTCTGAATCAGCTTTCGTTCTTGGCTGAGTTTCTTGACCAACTCGGTTTGAGTTCGGTTATCAAGCCATTTCTCCAAAATTGTGCAAAGCTCTTCTTTCTTAATTGGCTTGGAAAGATAAGCATTCATGCCGCTGGCAATACACTTTTCACGATCTCCTGGCATTACACAGGCCGTCATGGCAATGATAAATGGGTCCGTGGCCGTGACACCTTGCACCGAACTTCGAATCTCGCTTGCAGCCTCCAATCCATCTTTAACAGGCATCCAAACATCGAGAAAAACAATGTCGTATTGTCTCTGTGGAACTGTTTCCGGGCTACCACTGACTTGTTGGGTATCGGCAGCAATATGCGCTCTGGCTACAGCTTCTGCGCGTGCTCGACACATGTCCACAGCCTCCTGGCCATTGTTAGCGAGCTCAGGTGTGATGCCAATGCGGCTTAGCATTCTGGAAATCACCCTTTGGTTCACAGGATTGTCATCTACTAACAAGCAGTGCAGTGACTCCAACTGGCGCTTACGCTCGCACTCAGGGAGATTCGTGCTGGGAGCAGCAGAAGGTGCCAAAGGCAATGAACCCGTCATCAGCCCATGGAACATATTGAACAGTTTGGCTTGTTTCACTGGTTTGATCATGTGCCCTACAGAAGGATCAGAGTCTATAGGAGTAGATTGTGTTTGCGTCGTCGAACCTGTCTTTGCAGACACGCCAGAATTCCAAGGTTTGGCTGTCAACATTCCACTGTTGACAATGTTGGGCGTGTATGTGCTAGCTTTGGAGTACACACAGGAAAATAATGATTCTTCCTGAATGGATGAAGAGTCCTTGTTATCCGAGAATCGGCCATGGCCTCTCAGGCTATCAGAGAGGCTTTCATGACTACTGCTAGCGTTGATACTCCTGGCAGACCGATCATCCGCATGCGTCATAGCAGTCGAAATGGAGCTTGGAGGGCTTGCTTTTACAACGGCAGTGGATCCTACAGACGCCTTATTGAGCTGCAGCGACACATATTGACTACGACGATGGTATGAGACCAATACACAAGGTATGGGCTTTTCTTGCTTCCGTCTGGCCTCCTCGTTCTCTGGTTCATCATAAGGAATACTTCGCACCTGTTGCAGGACAGCTATACCGGGATTGATTTTGGCTTGAAATTTGTCAACATCAATCATGATCACATCGACCTGGTTAGGATTCTGCTTCAGATATTCCAGGCCCTTTGTGACGTTCAACACCAACACCTTCTGGAAGCCCCATGTAGATGATTGATATTGCCAGGATGTTCGGCTCACACGGCGGTCATCCAGAATTAACAATTGCTTGTCGTTAAAGAAGGCCAAATTGAGTTGTTCAGCCACCGTGGGACAAGGTCCAGGCAATTCCAACAGTGTTGTAAAGTAGAACGTCGAGCCCACGCCTTCTTCAGATTCTGCCCACTAGATGTAACAATAGCAACAAAGCAAAAAGACAGTAAGTAACCAGCACGAATAATGCAGATTAACATTACTAAAGCACAAAGTCAGGGATGCAGAGTCCCTTGTCATGATCTTTTACCATTTCTCCATCCATCAGCTCGACTAGCCGCTTCGAGATAGCGAGACCGAGCCCTGTGCCACCAAAATTCCGAGTTACAGAGTCATCCGCTTGTGAGAAGCTCTTGAAGAGACGGTCCATCCGTTCGACTGGGATACCACATCCCTGATCGACAACAGACCAAAGCAAATCGACCTGGTTCTTTTGTTCATGCTGATCATGGTCCTTCATGGCCCGGTCTTGGTATGGGCCACGGCCTGTAATTACCACTGACTGTCGGTGTCGTCCTGATACTCTGAAATCATTATAATTATTGCTATTATTTTTACGAGAGCGATTTGGACTGGATATTGAATCCAGCATCAAGTGGGATGATTCATGAACCGCTTCGTCATCATCGGTCTCATAGACTCGAGCTCCAGTACCGGGTGGTAGCTTAGGCTTGGGCTGAAGTTTGACAACAATGTTGCCCTTCCCTGTAAACTTGATGGCGTTGCTAAGTAAATTCAAAAGAATCTGTCGAATTCTGACTAGATCTCCGAGTACTTGTGTTGGTGTGTCTGGATGAAGCACAAAAGTAAGACCCAGATTCTTACTGGCCGCCTGCACCGAAACCAAGTTGCACACGGATTCCAACATTCGTGGGAGATCCAGAGCTTCAGGCACTAATTTGAGCTTGCCAGACTCAATCTTACTAAAATCCAGGATATCGTCAATCACTGCCATCAGTTGGTTTCCGCTAGACTCGATTATCTCAACGCAATCCATCAGGTCCGGGGAGAGATCAGATTCGAGTAAAAAGCGTGACATACCAATCACAGCATTCATCGGGGTTCTACATTATCCAGTCCAAAACAAAAATAAAAAAAAAAAAAAAAAAAAAAAAAGAATTAGAAAGTGCAACTATAAAAGAACATCCTAGCTTGCCGAATCGTATGCCGAGAGTTTAAAACAAATGCCCAGTAATACCTTATTTCATGCGACATATTAGCTAAAAAGTTGGATTTTGCTCTAGCAGCTTCCTCAGCATGGTTCTTGGCTTGACTTAGATCCACTAAGAGTGCCTCTGTTCGAAGTCGCTCTTCTTCCAACTCAGCTGTCCGGGCCTGGAGATGCATGGTTCTAGTCCTGACCAACTCCTCCATATCATTGGCATACTTCTCTAACAGAGCGGCCATTCCACCAATCATGTCACCATCTGGGCTTATAAGCCTTATACGATGCAGGATATGTGCAAACGAGGGTCGCATACCAGGATTGGGCTGCAAACAACTACGAATCAAATGATTGACTGCTCCAATACTTTCATCCGAACCGTTATCTAACAAAAAGTCGGGTCGTAAATTTTCATACTTGATCATATCTAACAACATGGTGGGACCATTTATAGGATCCATCGTGGCCAATTGTCGAGCATAAGGTGTCTTGCGGGTCATGATCTCGTTAAAGACGATGCCCGCACTATACACATCGCCCGCCATGCTCGCAGTTTTGATAAACACATCTCCTCTTCGAACCAGGTTTTCAGGCGCGACCCACCGACTATCGTGAATTTCCTTAGTTGTCTTTGCTACATGATATGAAATATCACTCAATTCAAGAGTTTCTTCCGTAGTGAGGTGCTGTAATGGAAGCGAGCCGGAGGAGCCGCTTGTGAAATGAGTATCATTACTTGTGCGCAAAGAATTGCGCTGTTGGCTGTGGCCGGTTTCTCCTAGGCCTGTCTCTGCTTGCGAAGACGCGCCATAGCTAGACTGTTGTGATTCATAGAGCTGCCATAATCCATAGCCACCAACTTTGACCTCCCAGCGACTTGTGATCAAACAATTGGCCGACCGTAGATCACCATGAAAGTGGATTTTGGATTGATGTAAAAACTCCATGGCTCGTGAAATATCGGTCATAAATGAAAGTTTGAACAGCCAATTGAAATTGAGATCTGGGTTCGCTAAAACTTCTGTGAGTGTTCCTTTTGAACAATGCTCCGTCACAATGCAGATATCAGGGGGTTGGAGGCATATACCGATAAGCTCTACTAGCTTGGGATGGCGCAGCTCCATTACATCCATGATCTCAATACGCATCTTGCGTGTCAAGTTCACCTTCGTCCCTCCGATACGGCGAACAAACACTGGAAGATTGCGATATACTCCAATAGCTCTCCCATTTTCGTCCATAGGTTGAATACCGGAGGGACCTCCAACAAAAGTTGAATGGCTACGCTGAAATGCCCCAGTAGGCCTCGTGGCATGTTTGCTATGGTGGCCTAACCCTTGCTCTGCTATAGAATCAGAATCTTGTGTCCCTACACCACTATCTAGTTCGTGATACACGCCCATTATCCTCTTGAAGTCAAGTATCCAAGAGTCGTCTCGAAGTCGTGAACGGCGCTTTTGTTTCCGACGGAGACAGAATACGAGTGTAACAATGATAGCTGTCAAGAAGACAAGTCCCAAAGGGAGAAAGATGGCCAGGTTGATATCGAAAGCTCCCTGTTTTTCGAGGAAGTAAGGTTGACATGCAGGATGTGCTTTTCCATATTCATCGCAACTCAGGCAAGCTCTCGATCCTGTTTGGTTAGTGAATGTACCACGCGCACAGGCGGTGCAGTTGATGCTGTCTCGTTTATCACTATAGTAATTTAATGGGCATGGTCGACAATATGGAACACTGGCATGGGTTCCTGAAGGCAAGCGACAAAATAGTGACGTTTGGTTGGTGCCTCTGGCGCGCTCCTGGCCCTCTTCGCAGACATATTCAACTTTAGTTGGCCCAGTTTCAATAATATCCCAAGCCCTGTCCTGCAGGGCTGTTGACATAGCCATCTGAATCACTGCCATATATCCATTGAGGTACGACTGCTGAGTCCAGACCTTGTGAACTTTCTTCTCGATGAGATCTGTCAATGCTGCATACGATCGCCCTGTTGTGCTGACGAAGAGGGTACTACTGTTGATGTTATTTGGTAAAGAAAATAAATATTTGATATTATCATAGAGGCCGGATGACGTAGTGTGGATGCTATCATAATCGTAGATTTTCTTGAGCTCGATCATCTTCCTGGTCCCCGCAAAATCGCCGGGTGTCAGCTGTACGAGGAAATACTCAAATGGAGGGACTGAATTATCTCCTAATGTCTCTTTCAACCTGTAAAACAGCCCATCACACATCTTGATTTGCTGAGTAACCTTGTAATTTTGAACGACACAAACTGGTCTCTTACGACCGTTCCTTATAATTTCGTCTGCATATTCCTGACCAGCCCTATAACCATTCTCACCAACCCAAGAAAGGCTAGGATGACGCTGACCGCCGTATGGGTACCCAATCCCAACAACAGGCAAGGGGAGTACCTTGCCGAGAGTGTGGTTCCATGGTGGCAATGACTCACATCTCAAGCCTAAAGTTGGTATATTTGGATCCTGTTTATCACATTGCTCCCGAATGGTGCTATTCACGGCTCTTGTTCGCCAGTCGACTTGCTGTAGTGTTTTGTTTAAAGCATACTCAATGTATGTCTCGTCGGCGTTGCTTACGATTAGCCCTCTAGTAAGAGTATCGTTGAATGTGACATCGATGCTGAACTTTACAGATTCTTGTCGAATGGTTTCATACCGATACTCTGTCATAGTCCAGTTTAAGTGCATGGAGGCATCTCGAGCCCCAGTGGCTACGATATCCCAATACTCGTTGACTGCCGGGCTAGAAAATTCAGACGGGTTCAATTTTAGTTAAACAGCTCATGATGTTGCCACAAAATATATGATCAGATAGGTTGGCCAGACATAGCAGCAAAGGTCTGTATACTTGCCTGCCAGTGATCAAACTAAGTTTACCACCATGCCCTTTTGTATTACTAAATCTCCATGACTCTTGTGCCAACATGTCTTCTGCATTTGACTTTGTAACCAACATAGGGCCTGTGCGAATACTTTGTTTAACTTTTTCGCCAACCGTAAGCTAAGAAGAGGAGCAACCGACCAGTAACGATGTCAAAAAGTAATCAATAGTAATGATACAGTCAGAGTTAGCATATAGCAAGGTCTGTCAAAGGAGGAAGGAAAATAAAATAAATAAATAAATAAATAAATAAGGGATATTATGCAATATCCTACTATACCTGGATGTTGAGAAGCAAATAAGCGATGAAAGTCTGCAAATACAAAAGACTGGAGACCGAATAATGAAGCACTCCACTTTCTAGTTGATTCATCATATCTTTATTAAAGTCGAAGGCTGCGATTTTGAACGAGCGTGTATTGTTGAGGATATATGTCACTCCGCTGGATAAGCCCGAGAACACCGGCGCTGTGAGATAGACAATCCCATTGACAGAGCTACGCTCCCGAATGGTGTTCGCAACCGTGGTGCTGTTTATCCCGTCAGAATAGATCATATAATCAGCAACATTAAAGGAGATACTTCTACCTGCACTCAGGAATGCATTGAGTACTCCTCTGCATCGATCGAGTAGAGCAGTCAGATGATAGATGCCGTTGATGCAAACAAAATCTTTGACGCCTGAGTGTATGAAATCGTGAGAGTAACAATAAGTCAGGAGTAAAAGGGGTCGATTACATGTTAATGTGGAGGAAAATGAAAGCAATGCTGAGATAGAGCCCATTTTTTGGTTCCCAATTGTATGTCGCGTGGGATATCAACTCTTACCATCTTTTATCAATTGCTCACCAAGAAGCTGTCCGGCTTCAACCTATGATTTGTTGCCAAAACGACATGAGAAAACATCATTCCACTTAAAAATAATGCAAAATAAAATAAAATATAATAAAATTACCTCGTTCGACATTACTGCAGGGATACCAAGCTCCTTAGCAGCCTCCCAGCCCGAATAGACCGCAACAATGGGTATACCTCTGTTTTTGGCTTCCTCGAGAGGTCCTTTGAGTGCCTCATAATCGGGAATGGAAACAATAAGTCCATGTGTAGGTGTAGAGGATTTAATGGCATCGTAAATTTTGTTCACCATACTTTCAATAGTGAAGTCAATATTAGAGAAGGCGTCGTTTAACTCCAAACCGATAGGAGTCATCAAGTCAAGCTTGATATTGTCTTTTAGAAGAACACTTCCTATAGTTGCAACAGTAGTAATAGTCGTAGCGGCGATGTTACTCATAAACAATTCATGAAGTACAAAAAGGATCATTGACATTAAGATTTTCAGACTAACGTTATCACACTGTTCTCTTACCATGGGTGATAAGCCATGTATTAAAATCGTGTTCATTGCCGGTGCAATTGGACGGTTCATTTTGAAGGGCTGTTAGGGTTACGATACCCTGAGTGTCAACAAAGCCCGTATTCTGAGGAGGAAGTGGTGATGTTGGCGTGGAGGGGATAAGTACACTTTCACTGCTATGTGCTTGGGCCGTTACAGTGGTGATGGTGGTACTGAAGAGCATGAAGAGCAATATTGATAAGAGTAAGAGAAAAGGGGGAGAAAACCATGCTCTGGATGCCCTCAACTGAGGGCGATAAGTCCGCGGAAACATTAATAATAAGGAGTCAAGGTCAAGTGCTGCTGATGTTAATGCTGACAGAGTAGTATAAGGAGAAATATAAGAATGGCGACGACGATATCGGAGTAATGGAACATTGAGTGTATGGATAAGAGTGTGTGCCGTAATAGTGGTAGTGATGGTAGTGGTGATAGTCGTAGTATATGAATGTAGAGGTGGGCGAGGTGGGGGCAGTTTGAGCAGCATCGAGGGTTGTGGACAAGAGGCCAATGGTGCTGCAAAGCATGTGCCCCTCATATCCACAATGGCAACAGCGACAGAAAAGATATGGGGGTAATGCTGACTAAGAAGATTAGAGAGAAAGGGGGGAATTGGAGAGAAGGGGAAAAGGAGAAGGGAGATACTAGAATGAGTGAGGTGAATCTATGCAGTGTGTGAAAAAAGAGAGAAGATGAGCAAGTTGGATCCAATCTGATTGATTAGAATGAATGAATGAATTAGGAAATTGAATTCAACTTTTTTAGATTCAACAATGGAATTCAAATTTGAATTCGATCGTGATGAGGAAATGAATGTAAAGAAAAGAAACAGAGTAAAAAAAAAAATAAAAAAAACGTAAAAATGTGGGAAGTGCGTATATATTTCGAAGGCTCAGAAAATCCACTTGTAGACTTGTAGGGATTATTAAAAGATATAAAAAAAAAGGCGCAAGGCCTCCTTTTCCCTAGTCCAAACTGTATGCACGCCAATGCAAGGCTACGACAGAGCTACTGGACTGTTCAGCTTCGGAGGAATACAATCTGTGTCCATTCTCTTCTCTCTGTTCTCCTGCAATGCTGCTGCGAAGGATTTCCTTTCTATTCCCAATCACTCTTCTCATCCTAAGCACAAGGTCTGGTATTATATACAAAGAACCGCCTCTTCTCTTTCAGCTTCACAAAATCGATTTCGTGAGAACACTGTCTTTTCTTTCTCTGTTGGTACCTGATATTTATTTTTAATTTAAAGTTTAAGCAATCCCCGTCATCAGATTTGTCTTTTCAATTGAAATAAAATACAAAAAATACATGCTGAATGTTGTCTGTAAACAAGGGACAAATGCTATTTCCTTTCAATGTAATAAAAAAAGGGGAGGGATGAAAAATAATAAAAGGAACAAGCACAATGGAGTCTAACGGATGGGAGAATTACCCATGAAGATAGTTTGTCAGTCCTCTATGTTTCTTCAAAACAGGCATGCTCTAATGATCTGCAAATATGAACAAATGATATTATATATATATATATAATATATCTTTCTATTAAAAATTGGAGCGATATCTTTATATTTTATGAGAGCCTTCAGCTATTTCATGTCATGTTTCATTTCTGCCATTTATAATGTGGGTCCTCAGACTTCAATCGTAAACTATGATTATGTTATGCTGTTCGTGTCCATGTGCCCAGCAGGAGAAAGATTGGCTATAATAAAAATGCTTTTTTTAAGAATACTTAGTAAGAGGAGTTGATAAATATAGCCCTAAGCATAAATGTATCATGTCCATGATTGACGTAACCGACTCCATTTCAAATAGTAAGACCGTCTATACCCAGTGAAATCCCTTACCTTGTCATACTCATCTGCTCCACAGCCGGATTAACGTATCTTTTTATGATTTATAGATTTGGAAAAACAAACATCAGGATTGTTTCACACAATGACCAGCTCAGCTGCGTGCTGCGTATTGTATTTAACACTTCCCAAATTCTGAATTCACATAGCGAGACAAAAACTGTTCATGGAGCATGATATTTTTTAAATTGAATATTACTATTTACACATAGTGCATATTTAATTCTGAATTCTACTATGTTCCCCTTCCTCCACTCAATATTGGGATAGAAAGATTAAATCTCCATCCGATGTCCTTTGTTGGCTCAAAAAATTTGTGCTCTGGATGATGGAATCAACAAAAGCACAGACTCAAAAGTTGGTTCGTCTTGGCTTGTGCGTTAGGGGAGTAATTGCTAAGCTTTACTTGACCAGACTCCAGATACATGATCGCCACAAACAAAGGCATTTGTAGCACGACAATAGCCTTACATACGAGGAGGTTTATATTATTTATCTTAATCAGACAACGACGTGAACTCAATGGGGTTTTGGATGTTGAAGCTGCATAACGAGAAGCAACTTACCGTAGTTTTTACCATAAAAGGCAGGATGGTGAGGTTGTTCGAAACTCACCATGGATTCATGCTTCCTTTCCAGCGATCGGTATACATCACGAATTACAAATGTATTAGGCAGGACTAGATACATAGAACGAACCGTTCCAAGTTTGAGCTATTCACATCAATGATCTAGAGCCTATTACAGACGAGTGTACGCTATCTCTGTCGCTTTTCTGATCACTAATGACCATAGTCACCGCTCTCTAGTAAGATAACTCTCTCATATTAAGTATATGGTTGGCGCCCCAGAGTTCATCATTACTGATGACATTCAGGTGGGATATAAGGGCATTCGTAAAGTATTTGAACAGGAAGTAGCTGCTTATTTGCGCCTATGGCATGTATGAAAGCCTGGGTATTGCATATTCAACAGTTTGCATAGTTGATGGGCTTGTTGGCTACCAAAAGCAAAGATGCACACTCAATAAAGAGTCAATACCTTGCTATGTACAGCAGTGAAGCATACCGATATATTTTTCATACAAACATGACCATTTTTTAGGTAAAATATAGGTAAACTTTATAATATATATATGTCAGGTCCAGCAGGAAACCAACTTCTATCGTGTCGCTGGTATGCTATCCAGATCAAAATTCTTTTGCAGGCGACTGACGAACTCCGTACGGAGAGCTATGGCTCTCGGGAATGTCAACTCTTGCTCTTCAGTTATGGTGGAGTAGATCCTTGGGTATAACTCCGTCACAACTGGACCTCTACCGCTCATCGTCTCTGTGAAAGCCATCGTAGGTCGGGAAACTTCGATTATCTCTTTGAGATATTTGAGCTTATCATCACAAAGAAAGGTGTCTCTATTGTGCCAGGCGTCGTTTCCTTCACCGGTTTTGTAGTAACCAGCGTCGCTAAAAAATTGGAGAGTTTCTGCCAAGTACTCAAGAACGTTGATATCGTACGCCTGTGAAGCAATGGGCGAGCGTTTTCTAGAACCTTTTCATTTCTGTTGGGGCATCTGACTGGTCAAGAATTTCCATCATTTCTGCGGCAGCCCCGGACAAAACTACAATGCGCTCGGCTATGATGTATAATAGGAGTTCCAGTGCGTCTCAGTGTATCCTAACGCTTTATGCTCAGTTACCCCTAACGACTTCTGTGCTGCTTTCAGGTACATACTGTCGTTAGGGGCCTGCAGCAAGCTCGACAGCTTCCGGACTTGTTCCAGTAGACTCCACATCCGCGACTTGAGCAATGGACTTTTTGACGCAAAGTTGCATCATGTGTACTACGCATAGGAGCCAAGTTACATGTGACATCTCTTCATCGTCCTCGAAAAGGTTCACCGCAGTTGCCTTGATGTTAGCGCCTTGATCAGTTGTGTTGCTTACGACTTTATCGAAAAGATCCCTTGTATTTTGAAATATATTTCTCCATAAACTCCTTCGGGAAAAATAAAGTTTAGGGAGCTAGAACTCATAGTAAGAGTTGTATTAGCGTCACGAACTTCAGCGTGTTCTAAATAAACGGTAGTATATATATATATAATACTCACAGAATATCCCCAGGCCGTTTCAAGTCAGCATCTACATTTGGTCTATTATTGTTATTGTTATTATTAGTGTTAAATACAAGTCAAATCGGATCGATTCGTTGGTACAACATTTGTCTGTTCGACGCTTATTTCTTCTTGCTTCTTTTGTAGACTGATATAAGTCCTGAGTGCATTTCTCTCAAGGCCTAGTTGTAAGTCTCTCAGTGTCCTTTATAGACTTTTACCAAAATAGAATCACTATTCTTGGCCCGCGTGACAATTCTGATCGCACTAACGGTCTTTTTGAAGCAGTTAAAATTATAATTCAGATCGTATAAGTTGACGACCCATTCAACGAAATGGAAAATGATAAGAAGGGTTGGCCACTTGTCGACTGGAAGTTGAGATATCATGGTATCCAAATCGACCTTGACCTTTTGAGGTTTCTGAAGGATTGTCTTGGTGGCCATTTTGTTTGGTGAGGTTATCTATGAGGTTTTGTGAAGAGATTTATTAAAGTGTTGTGAAGTTGGTTCAGTAATTCCTTCTTGTATATGAAAGCGACAATGCTTGTGCTTGTAACATTTGTGCAACATGAGACAATGCCTCGCCTCCAGGGCAATATAAGCAGACCAAACTTACCAGATGACCCGTTAGCACTGGGTGGAAATCCAAATCGATGTGATGTGAGCCAACCCACTATCTCTGATTTCTTGCTGGCTGCCGTTGACTTCTTACTAGGGCAATGAAAACGATATCTGGCATCATCCATGTGTATTTTACAAGGACCGAGATTCATCTTCACCAGACTTTGGCAAACCGTCGTAAACAGCTCTTTGAACACCTCATGATTAAAATGACCATGATAGTCATGATCATTTGCAAGAGCCTGACTATTGAACTGTCTATGATCGGTGTTTCCCTGAAGAGACGCCTTGCTGTTCGCTGACCAGATGTGAACACTGTTCTCAACAAACTTCCCCATCACCTTCTACTCGTCACGGCCATAATAGATAACAAATGCAGCGAACATGACGAGAGGTGATCGCCGAGACGGTTCGCACACAGTGCCTCCACCCTGTTCTACCCATCAATTTTTTGAGGAATGGTCCAGGTGATAATAGGACTCATCAAGAAATACCTCTGGCATGCATTATCATGCATTATAGGAACTAAACTATCGTCAAGCTCCACCAGATTCTTGAAACGCTCTGTGCGGTATTTTAGTCGGTATTCCACGATGTGAGGTGCATCGTGCATAAAGTTCCTATGAACCCCCTTTCCCCAGTAAAAGTTGCTTGCATGTAAGTATCGATGAACTGTTGTCCTTGACGTCCTGATGCCATGCTCATCTCTGAGCGCATTCACTACCCGTCCAAGCGTGTTCGAGATACCCTTTTGATTGGTTCCCCTGATGATATCCGCAATATGGCCCTCGGTAAGCTTAGCCATCTGCACACACTCTTTCGTGCCAAACGATTGTTTCATCCATTTCTGAAGCTCTGGCGGCGCTTTGCTGAGCTTCGCGTAAATATGTGCGATAAGGCGGTATTCCTCCTCCGTTACGGTTGTCTTACTAAGTCGTATCGGCGTTTGAAAACCATTCCCATCCATGCCGATAAGGAAGGGATTATCAATCTCATGTTCTTGAGAAAACATAGATTCGTTCGACTCTTCATAAATAAAAAAGTTCCGCCTCTGTCTGATCGATCTTGTACTAAATCCTACGGGAGATCCTGGAGAGCTGTACCTTGACCTGTTGTTATTGCTATGGTGAGGGATAGAAGGAATTTACATCGAAGACGTTGTAAAAATTTTGCTATGATGTGAAGGAAGACAAAAGTTGTTTATTATTATTGTTAAGCATGAGCCTTTTATTGAACCCCACCAGAGCTGTCACTAATATCAGTATGAGCTGCTGTAATAATTCAGATCTAAAACAGCAGGAAAATAGAATGCTAAAATACAGCCACATGTATATATTTTCACATCCATATGAAAAACATATTAACGTTCATATGATAACCTCAGCAACATACTTTGAGGATGGAGAGGATATCGGCGAGAAAATTTTTAAATTGCAATTGGATGCCATTGACCTCGTCAACAACCCAACTGTCGTGTCTACAAGCAAGAATTTAGTCTGTTCCTTGTATGGTCAATTTGAATATTTTATTGGGTTTTGATATTTTAGAACGATACCATAATAATCATAATGAACTTATTCCTTGATGCATTTAGCTCTGTGGACTCAATTGGGATACTACTTATAACCCTGGCCTTGAGCAAGGTGTCATTGAGCATATCCGGACATTGCTGACGCGTCCATCATTCAAGCTTATTCTTGAGGATCAATTGCAATTTGTAGGCCTGGATAAAGGCCTTAAGGCCTCGTCGATGTGATCACGGATAGGACCTCCGATAGGATCTAATCCACATCTTTACATCATTGTAAGCGCATTGTACTTTTGGCATCTGCGATACTGTGCTCAAATGAAGTGAACAACTATCTATTTGATTATTACCTTATATTACTATAGTCTTAGGACGAATGAACTCTCTGCAGTGTACTTCCCATTTAATAAAGATATCGAGGGCACAGACATTACAGACCTTATTTTCAATCGTAATGACATCGTTTACCTTGGAGTGGCCAAACAAGCATGCAGAAAGTTCACGAGAATGCCGTGGAAATAACTACAAGGGAGACTTAGAGCTAGATTTACAGTTCTCTCGAAAGGGTCCTCTTCTTAGGGTTAAACTTCCAGGGGACCGATTCAACAGAAGCCTGATTTCCCGGTCAATAAGTGGAAAATCCTTAACCTTGCTAAGGATGAGATTGACCGAAACATGGGTGTTGCATTTGTAAACACTTCCCATTTCATTTATCATAATAAACACGTCTTTCTTTCGTTCTCGTTACTTATTATGATCAAAGACGGGGTCTACTGTATCTAAACTAAGGCATAGACGTATTTATACCAATGTCTTCATATCGGATGGAGATTAGGATGTGGCTTTCAGATTAGAAATATACTCCGCCACGAGCAGCTTTCAACACATCTACCTCATGGGAAAGAGAATTCACATGTACTCCACTATACTTTAGAAGCCTTGTAAGTGAGAACTATATAGTAATATATTATATTATATAGTTATACCACGAGAAAACAGAGTTTGAGAACTGTGCAAACTCATGATCTCGTCTTATATAGCATATAAATAATCCAGGTATATATAGTATACAGTGGAACCTCGATAATTGTACACTTTTGTACAATTTTCGAATTTGTTATATTTCTTAGTCATTGGTTGGCTAAGAGCCTTACTCTTTTTAAAAAGGTGAAAAAAACCCACACTCAGCTGGAGTAGGGAAATCAGTAGAGGATTTTTAGAATAGTTTTTCATGAAAGTGGACTTCTTAACCAATCAATAACCGAGAAATATAACCAATTTGAAAATTGTACACTCGCTATAGAAAACGTTCGGATGTGCAGTTAGGGGAACCTATAAGTGCAAGGTCACCTGAACATATATATATATATATATATATATTTTGTAAAATTTAGAATACAGCTCAATTTAATAAAACCTAATTTTTATCCGAACGTTTTCTATAGCAAATCGTTCGGATAATCAAAGTTCGAGTGTACATGTATATACAAAAGTGTACAGTTATCGAACAAAATTGGCAAGCGACGATCAAAGCAAAGTCACCATGTTCAGGTTGAAATTGAAACGTCTTGCTGAGAAGATATTTTGGGAGGAGATTCATGTTGAAATTTAATAGTGTGTGTGTCCAAGCAAGGGCTTTTATTTGCCCGCCTTTTTTGGTTTTTTGAATTCAGCCAATCCCCTTGGATCATCCCAAATTGAAATTTTGTTTAATGACGCAAGTGCAGCATTGAACCCATTTTCCATCATCCCCGCCTTTTCTTTTTTTTCTCCGATTCATTCCGGGGTATACAGCTTGATTTTCTGTCGATCAGGTGAAAGACATGCATTGGCAAATGCAACTATCCCAACTGTTTGCAGCCCAAATAGCATACCAGTCGTGGATATGCTAAAAAAAAAAAATTATAATATATAATTATTTATGGTGCTGCAATACTGTATTATTATACAAACACGATTGTGTTCTGACCAATTCGTATATATACGAAGTTCAATGGGTCACTCACAGGAACCAGGCACGCATGAACAACAAACACGCACGAACCATTCATGAAAGTTTATGTAAAAAAAAAAAAAAATAGAAGTTGCAAAGTCCTGTGGAGAGCTTTTCAGTATAAATACCATCAATAGATCGCAACTCCATAAATATATACTTTCAAGTCATTGTCTGTATTAGAGTTTTCTATTCATTTATTTCTTTAATTTCTTTGTCGCTATGGATATGTACTTATTAAGGACTCTGAAAATGAAAACTCTGGGTTATAAATCACGACTTGTTTCAAAAAAAAAAAAAAAAAAAGACATCTCAAAGAAATCGACTGCTACAAACTGTTATAAGCGATGTTATGGCCATGGTTATACACTATGATTAAATCTGTCTTGGAGGTTGAGGAGCCTGAAAAAAAAAAAAAAAAAAAAAAAAAAAAAGATCAAAACCGTTGTATATAGAATATTACCCAGTCTAGACATAGTAAAATAAAGAAAGAAGAGTGAGGTTGGTTAAGCGGGCAATTTTTAAAATGTGCCTGTGCCAAAAGTAGCTCCTCAAAGGTCAAGAAAAAGAACGAAGGAGGAGTACAAAACCAAGGACAGGGTTAAACTAGGCTGTGAGAGTGTGAGAGTGCTGTAATAAAATAATCCGCTTTCTTGCAAAGTGAAGGACTTGCCCGTGGACAATTGAGCCATGACCACTGTAGTCAGCAAAGCTAAAAAAGAAGGGCAAATGTAAAGCAAAGCGGCGGGGGAATTAAAAAAGGGGAAGATCAATCAGAACGTTAAAACAGTACCTTGGATCTGTATCCACTTTTTTTTTTTTTTTTTTTTTATATATATATAAAGAGGAGCATTTCCATTTTTCTTCTCTTTTCTCTTCTCTTCACCTTTTCTACATTCTCACATTTAACATCATATCTTAATATCCATATCAACATCCAGCCATGACTCAAACTGCTGCTGCTCCCGTTAACACCGTTGTCCCCAATGAGAAGATCAGCGAGACTTTCAAGGACAATATCGGTATGTCATCTCTTTCCTTCATTTAATTTTACTCCCGCATATGTTTGGAATAACTGTCCCTAACTCTTCTCGTCATTCCATCTCTGTATCCTGTCCATTGGTCTCTGATAACATCAATCATGTTGGCATTGTATCGTTACCCCACACTCCACCCTATTTTAACCGTTATAAATTCAAGACCTTGCTGTTGCTACCCGTGGAGGCAAGGTCTTGACCGTTTCAGACGAATGGTTCGCTGAGGCCAAGAATCTCTTGACTGCTGCTGCACCCATCCATGCCCCAGGACGCTTCGTTCCCACTGGCGCTTGGTATGATGGCTGGGAAACTCGCCGTCACAATGCTCCCAACTTTGACTGGTGTGTAATCCAGCTCGGATATGCTGGTCACATTGCTGGTTTTGAAATCGACACTGCTTACTTCACTGGTAACCACGCACCCTTCGTCTCTGTTGAGGGCTACACTGAGACCTCGGCTTCAAAGGCTAGCGCTCGTACACATGAGGAGTGGGCTGCAGTTGAATGGGCCCCAGTCTTGACCAAGGTTCCTCTCAACCCCGGCTCTCGTCATGCTTTCAAGCTTGAGCAGCCCACAACCGATTATTATACCCACATCCGCTTCTGCATGTACCCTGACGGTGGTGTTGCCCGTCTTCGCGTCTATGGAAATGTTCATCAGATTCACCCCGCCAACAAGCACGAGATCTATGACTTGGCTTCAGCTGCTGCAGGATCTGTCGTCACCGACTTCTCGGATGCTCACTTCGGTCACCCCTCCAACATGCTTCTTCCTGGACGCGGCCATGACATGTCTGATGGATGGGAGACCAAGCGTTCTCGTGCTCCTGGCCATGTTGATCACTGCACAATTCGTCTCGGTCAACCTGGACATGTTACTGACATTGAAGTGGACACTGCTCACTATATGGGTAACCCCCCCAAGGCTGTCACCATTGCTGGATTTGAGATTGGCTCAGATTCCCCCATTGTGCTCTTGGATCAGGCCCCTATGACCCCCCATCGCCAACACTTCTTCAAGGTTCCCGCCGACTTGACCGAGAAGCGCATTGCCAAGATTCAGGTTGTCATGATCCCTGACGGCGGTATCAAGCGTGTCCGTATCTGGGGTGCTGCTCAGCTCCCTGCTGTTGAGCCCGAAAATTCTTTGATCGGTGTCCGCCAAGAATTGCCTGATGAGCACACCTGGAACCAGAAGAAGTAAATTAATCAAGGCGGTTTGCATCATGAGCCATATAGAATAATTGAAAATGTACAAAACTTGTAAATTCAATAAAAAAAACAAAGTATAATCTCAACTTGAAAATATACTGCATTTGATTTGGCGTTTTACACACTCGATTATTTTATGATATATTAAACTAACATGTTTATTTGTCATACGAAAAAAAAGGGGGTGCAAGCTACAGGTAGCAAGATTTATTTCTGCCATTGAAAGAGACCTCCATGATATGATATATTAACTAAGCTATCTACAATGTTCATGATGATTCCTGCTTGACTTCCAAATGGGCCACGATATCAGCCAGCTGACCAAATTCCTGCAAACCCACAGATCGGTTGGGCGTAGGTCCTAAATAATAGAAAGAAAAAAAAAATTGTCAGAAGGATATTAATTGCTTCTCTTTGTTTGCTTGATAAGCTTTGTTATTCACATTGTTAGAGATTGCTAGATCAAGTGGCCATACCTGGAGCCTTGGGATACAGTAGACCCGTTGATGCGTCATATCTCCATCCGCGCGTAGCAACAAGCTCTATCATTACATAAAGCAAAATTAATAACACCCCATTAGTGTTTGTTCAACCATTCTCTAAAATAAATGTACATGTGCATGGGTAGATGGAATTCTCACGTTCTGCCGCAGTATTTTCGTCGAGTGAAATGCGAGATGCAGCCAACTGTACGGGTAGTGAGGTGTATGCCTTGGCCAAAAGATCTAACTCCCTGTCCTGAATTGAATCTATAAATAATAGATGAAGATCTCAACGATATAAGCAAAATGGCTTTTCTGAAAACGATACGCCATAATATTCACCCTTTTTTTTTTTTTTTTTTTTTTTGCCGTTTTTCTTCCTGTAGTGCTTATAATGGGATGATTTCATGCTGTGTGGCAAAGTAATGGACTTTACCTTGCAACAAGGCAATCAGAGGTGCGAGTGATGAATTCCAGCGCGACTGATGTAAAAGGGCATAAATGTCCTTCAAGTTGCCATTCTGTCGCTCCCATTGTCGCATCTTCTCCAAAACCTGGATCAATGTTGCTAGTTGTGGTGCTTGTGCCCTATATTCTTCTGGAATGCGATGAACAAGACTCCGTGCTGAGTACCTATATTAAAAAAAGTCACAGGTGACATATAGAAATATGAGTTTGTGCCAGCATATGATAGGTAAAAATATAAAAAACCAAAGACGATAGACCGTCGCTTCTTTCTCTTAGCTCCCTGCTATTGCAAGTGTCCTTTCGCTTGCTACATAGACTTGCTTGCTACTGTTTCATAACGCCACTTACAGATCATGGGTCACAAGGTACGATGCAAGAAGTGGTTCATAAACAGTATTCAGAGGAACGGCATCGATTTCGATGGCCGAAATCTATAATATGAATGTTTGAGGACAATTGCTGGGGTTAACATCATGTTCATCCCTGTTTTTCATTGTAGAATAAGATATGTGGACGTGGTCAAATGAAGGCGCCATTACTAGAAATTCAAGCTGTTCATAAAGAGGGATAAGCTCCTGATAACGTCCAGCCTTGAGAGACGCGTCCGCTTGTTCGAGAAGTTGCTGAGCTTGTGTCATTTTTTTGTGTGGCTATGGTTGTGAGTGATGAAATTGAAAGAAAGGACAATGGGCAACTGAACTATACGCGTTCAATTGTTCTCTACTAAACCATGGACTGTTCTTTGAGTGGCGTAGTTTCAATTTCAATTGTCAAATTGTCAAACAAAGGGTTGACAGATGCCATAAAACCATCTCTCCATCTTTTATATTTGGAATTAGAGAAGGCACCATCAGAGTCAGGAATTAGGAATTGGGGGTCGGGAATTAGGGATCAAGGATTAGAATCAGGGAACAGGAATCAAAAGAGCAGCAGATAATAGCTCGAGCATAATCTAGTTTAGCCAATAGTACCAAAAGTACCATCAAAGTCAAGCAAAGTGTAACTGAGCCACTGCCTAGTATCGTAGAATATCCAGAGCAAAAACAACGTCTCACATGGAGCAAATGCCAACTGTCTTCAACTACTGCCCACGCGATGGCAGGCCGTTCCGGGAGGGGGAGCAGTTTTGTCCTCTTTGTGATTGCCAAAGGTATAGGTGGACTAAAAAAAAAAAAAAACGTTTTTGGTTTCAGTTGACATCAAAGAATTTTACTTATGCCCAGTTATACATGCTGACATGATCTCCTTGCGCTTCACTACAGGAGTATAGACCCGGTAGGTAATGTTAAAGAGCAGTATGCTATTCAGTAAACGTATTCTTGAGTAATGTCTCCGTCGAGTTATCTAAATCACTGTTGACCATATTGTCTTAGTCCCCAAGTTCACATCCAGGAATGATATCTACACCACTGCGGGCACCATGGAGAAAACTGCTTTATGTTAAACAGGATTACCCTGACAATTACGTGGACGAAACTTTTCTTGAGGAGCTACAAAAGAATGGTACAGTTTGAGAGAAAGGGAGTAAAAAGAGAGTAGCGAAAGCCAGATCATGGCAATACGGCTGTCAAAACGTCTTTAATTGACTTTTTTTTTTTTGCTTATAAAAATGGAGGTTAGCAAATGTCCGGCAATACGAATATTGGTCCGTCGTTCTCGAGTCAACCATCATTAGTCAACACATCTCATCTATTGTCATCTTTGTAGCTATTTTCATCTATCTTCATTTCGGGATGCTTAGCTCGCACGCGCTTATTACGATAGGAACTGTTGGCTCAGCTATTGGATATGGATTTTGGGATTGGAGTAACACGATGCTGACGCCGGATTCCAACTACCAGCGTAAGAATCTTATGCAAGCCCGGTTTAATAAGATTGTACAGTAAAAAAAAAGGCTCCACTAAACGCCCCCAGTGATTTTTTTGTGGGCTGATGGACACCATAGGACGGAAAATCTTCAAGGGTGCAGTACTATTCTTTCTGACGTTGCTTGGGCTTACCCCGATCCTCAAGACCTTGACAGAAAAAACTTCAGAAGACACAATTTGGGCGCTGACAGTGATATTGTTTTTAGCAAATCTAGCGTTTCATGATTATGGAAGTGGTAACAGACGCAATATCAAATATCCCGGATCTTTATCAACCAACGCTGCCATCTTCGCTTCGGTGGTTTTAGCCTCAAGGTTCAAGACGAATTTACATGTGTTCGGACTCATGTCCTTTGCTGTTGAATGGTTCGCACTCTTTCCGATGCTTCGACGGCAAGTGAGGGTAAAGAAAGAAAAAAGGCAAATAACCTATTCATATGTCATAGCTATGATCGTATAGCCTTTTTTTGTATGGCGATTAAGATCATAATCTATTTGTATTCACTATTAGAGCATATCCAACCGAGGTAATCTAGCGCTGACGATCATATTATTCCTAGCAGCTACGACGCTGTTTAGCCAGATATCCCCGGCGATTGTCGTTATCTACATTCTCGGAATGGCTTTCTTGACATTTGTCTGTCCGTTCTGGCTAATTTGGATTCAGCGATACAAAAAGTAAGCCTTCCTTCCTCCTTCATCTGTTGCTTATTCTAATTGCATCGAGAGAGTGATATTGTTTGCGGTCGGATCAATTTTCTGAACTCTCCTTTTTTTTTTTTTTTTTATTCTTAATGCTTTGTCTGATATGTTTGGGAATTAGTGAGATCCATGGGCCATGGGATGAAGCTCGACCAAAGATCCAGCACGGACGCTCGTTCGATTACAACTAAAACAAAAGAAAATTAATAAACGTTTTTTTTTTTTTTTTTTTTTTTTTTTTTGGAGTCCCAAAAACAAATAGGCCAAGCACATGAAATTAGCAGACATTTATCCAGGCACAGCCCCTGCCACGGTTGCTTGTCTTAAAATAGAACAAGTCAGAGATTCATTCTTTTTTTTTTTTTTTCTCCTTGCATCTCCATTTGACGTGTCTGGTTTATTACTGCAAGAGTGCATTCACATTGCATAGTACTTTAGTACAGGATGGTCATCATTCCTTCGAGCTACCCTGGTACATTGCCTTCCCTTAATCTCAGTTCTCCCCCTTCAATAAACCCTAGTATCGATTACACACTGTGTCACTCACTTTTTTTTTTTTTTTTTTTTTTTTTAAGCACAGGGCATTTTTTACATGTTAGGACATCCCTCCCTTTTCAAAAACTTGATATGTCCTATTCTATTAACGATCATTTGGGGACTTGCTATGCTTATTTTTGGGTTTGCATACTTGCTCAAGTTGCAGGCTCATGCCCTTATTAATGTAAAGTGTCCTGCCGCTGTCGCCTGGTGAGTAAGAGAGGACAAGGAATCTTATTTCCTTTCGCCGTTTTTATCCCTGACGATTCACTCTAAATTGATGGCTTTATTTACTTTTTTTTTTTTTGTCCTACTAGGATCGTATGTATTATTTTTGTACTGCTTGAAGTAGGAGTTTTGTCTATCCTGTTCTATCTCATTATCTTGCCGATTTATCAGGATGGTCTTTTTGACCGTGTTCTCAAATTAAGAGGCTTGAAGCACGTCCTGAAGGCAAACGAAGGCAATGACTTGGTCAAGTGTATGCGCGGTGTTTCGGGTGGCCTTTGGATCTTATTCTTTCAGGTGAGGGTTGTTATTATCCAAGTTTGATTAGACTCGGTTTTCCTCTCATGAAAGTCTTCTTTTCCATGCGTGATTTGTCATATGCATAAAGTGAACAAATTAAATGAAAACTGATAAAAAGAAAAAAAATTATTTACTTTCCTGCAGATCCTCGTATTGATTTTAACGCTACCACTCAACATTGTGCCTATTCTTGGTCAAATGGCATTTGCAATCATCAATGGATGGGTCCTGACTTTTGGTCTACGATTTCATTATGATGCAGAAATCCGCAATATTTCAGTCTTACAATCGAGACGAGAAGCATGGCAGCGGCGAAGTGATTATACATCGTATGTTTTTTTTTTTTTTTTTTTTTTTTGTTTTGCTTATAACCTTACGATACAACTTTTTAAGCGGTTTTTAATATGTGATACTCAAATTACTATCACAATGAATTGACCTTTTTTATCCCTCTTCATCGAATGTATCAACACAGGTTTGGTGCAGTTGCAGTAGGCTTAGAAATGATTCCTATTGCCAATATCTTTTTCGTCTGGACAAATATTGTGGGCTGTGCACTCTGGGTTGCAGATGAGATTGAGAAGAGCGAGGCGCAGTTGCAGTTGGAGCAGTCGTCGCAGACCCTTATGGGAACCCATCAGAACATTCCTCTAAAGGTGAATACTCTTAATTACAGCCCAGGAAGCCGTGTCACGGGTGTGAACTCAGGATTACCATCCTATACGCCTCAGATGCAACCACAGTATCAACCGTCGGACCCATATGCACATCAAGGATCGCCACGTGTACCTCCCAAGAACAAGAAGCATCCAGAAGTTTAGAAAAAAGATTACTGAAAAAAAAAAAAAAAAAAAAAAAAGACTAATGAATGTGACATCATTCTGCTCGTGTGCACAGACCAAGCCAAGCATCAACCCCGTAATTCCATCGATGAGATCAATCAAAAACCGGATTCCGGATTATTTTGTCGTGATTAATAAAAGCTTGCATGTCACATCAATTTTTTTTTTTTTTTTTTCCTCTCTTTCTTCCTATCTTTTTTTTTTTTTTTTTTTTTTTGTCAAGTCCTTCTTGAAGGTTGATTTTAAAAACATGTCATCGTTTCCAAAACACTCCTATGAGCAAGCATATGATCATGCCTTCCCTCCAAGTCCACCTCAACTACACCAGTATATCTCTGTATTTCCTACGGTCTCAGAGCGGACACCACTCATCACTAAAGCTCCCACTACTCCTACTGGCCCTACTGCTACTAGCAGCAGCAATAATAACAACAACAGCAGCAACAGTAACAGCAGCAAGCCTCAACTCTTACCATCTTTTGTAACACCTGGACCTTTAACACCATCAACAGCAACAGCATTAGTAACAGACACTGATGCACTTCTTGGATATGAGATTGAATATCAGCAGCAACAACAACAGCAACAACACCAACAATACCCCATCACGAATGACGGTTACCCTACATCTCTGTCAGCGCGAGAAACAGCTTTAAAGGAGCTTAGAATCTTATTGCGATACTCTGGACCGGTAGTATTGACTTATATACTTCAAAATTCGCTCCAGCTTGCCAGCTTAGTTTCTCTTGGACATTTGGGATCTATTGGTAAGTAAATGATTACTTATTGTAAAAAAAAAAAAAAAGTCAATGGATCGAGAGAGGACGACCTTAATGAATGGAATGACGATGGGTCACAAAAAAATAAATAAATAACAATAATAATGACTCTGTCTTTATCGCTATTTTTGTGTCATGTTTAATTAATTCACTTCTTGAATGTTTATTATAGAGCTGGCGGCCTCATCGTTGGCCTCCATGTTTGCTTCTGTGACCTGTTGGTCAGTATCCCTTGGCACTGCAACTGCACTCGACACTCTCTGCTCACAGTCGTTTACCAGCCATCATCCCCACACCCTTGGATTACATCTTCAACGTGCAATCCTCATCCTCATGCTTCTCCTTATCCCTATCGCAGGTGTCTGGTTATCTTCAGAACAAATATTTCTTTTATTGGGACAGGAGCCCGCACTTGCTCAGCATGCTGCCATTTTCATGAGAGGCCTCTTACCAGGTGCTCCTGCTTATTTGATCTTTGAGTGTGTCAAGAAATTTTTGCAGGCACAGGGAAATATGCATGCTAGTACCTTAGTCCTCTTGATTGCTTCGCCTATTAATGTCATCCTCAACTACGCTTTGGTTTGGAACAAATATATTGGCATCGGATATATCGGCGCGCCCATCGCCACGTCAATCTCATACTGGAACATGCTGATCTTGTTGCTCCTTTATGTTCGCTTCGTGGATGGGTATCAAGGTTGGGGAGGGTGGACACGGGATTCATTGACGGGTTGGCCTGCATTTATGAAACTGGCCATCCCAGGGATATTGATGGTCTGTACAGAGTGGTGGGCCTTTGAGGTCCTCTCCTTGGCTGCCTCCTTTCTCGGCACAATTGCCTTGGCAGCACAGTCTGTTGTGGTACAAACGTCTGGACTTCTGTACACCATTCCATTTGGTATTTCCATTGCTGCGTCAAATAGAGTAGGCAACTTGATCGGCATGGGTGATCATCGATCAGCTCAGATCTCTAGTCATGTCTCCATTGTACTGGCAGTCCTCTTTGGCGTCATCAATTCCTTGGTGCTCCTCACATTCAAGGATCATTGGGGCCGTCTTTTTAGCGAGGATGCCGATGTCGTTAGCACAGTGGCCATGGTTTTGCCTTTTGTGGCTCTTTTCCAGATCAGTGATGGCGTTGCTGGCGTTGGCGGAGGTGTTTTACGTGGTGTTGGTTTGCAACATCTGGGCGCCTACTTGAATTTAATCGCCTATTATCTTGTAGCCTTTCCGATTGGTTTTGTCATGGCCTTCAAGCTCGGATGGGGTTTGCGAGGCCTTTGGGGCTCTCTGTGTATAGCACTTTCTTTGGTCAGTTTGGGAGAGCTGTGGGTGATCATCAGAACTAACTGGCCATCCGAGGTCCGAAAGTGCAAGATCCGTAACGATCAGTTGGTAAAGCGCAGGGAATCCTTACAGGCTGAGATTGAGGCTACAATGCCAACACATTAAAACATTAACTATAAAATACATGTATACATATTATACTAACAATCTACTCAAGGCTTTGGAGGGAAGTTTTTCCCTAATTCCTATGCATTCCACTAACAATAAAATAAAAACCATTGTACTTCATTCACACAACAAGCAAACTTACATCCAATTACTTCATATTTCATTTCATGGCATTATATTATATTATTTTAAAAGATCGTGTCTATGTCTATCAATAAGATAAAAGAGAGAGAAAGGAGATGAAGAAAGGGGAGAATGATCATGAGTGTTTCTCATATCATACAGATTCTTTAGAGTAAAATATATATATTATAAGTAAGAAAGAAAGAAAGAAAGACAGGAAAAAATAAAAATAAAGATAGAAAAAAAAGTAAATTACAATGAAGAGAGATTGGCCATTGCTGTGCTATGGCGCCTCGCCACGCCTTGCTCCTTGGCAAGATAGTTGTTATTCTCGGTCATCGAGCTGGTGTCAGATATGAAGAATCCACTCTCAGAAGAGCTTAAGCTCTGGCCATACATTGGCATTGGCATACTCTGCATACCAAATATGTCGAAACAGGGACCTTTGGATTTTGTGAATGAAAAGACGGTATTTGTGTTATTGTTTGAGTTATATTCAACACCCTTAGTATTCTCCTCATCGCCAGCTTGTTGATGGTTCTTATTAGTGGGGTTGGATCCACCTGCTGTGGGCGAAGACAGTGCAGCAGACAGTGGCGAACGAGTCATAGGCGAATGCTCCTGACGGCTGACCGTTGTTGATTCTAATGAGGCTGCAGAACCGCCTACAATCTCGTCTGCAGTCCCATTAGAATTAGTGGCATTCATCCCGTTGATCCACTGGTTGGGATCCAGCGGATGCTGTGGAGGGATGTCTAGCCGAATGCCTGCAGCGCGAGCGGGCTCCTTTCGATCACGGATCACTGGGAAGGGAAACCCCTTCGACCCATCATCTTGCTGAGTGGAGCCTTGGAGATTCTGCGCATTATAAGCTGCCGAAGGAGCCAGCCAGGCAGAAGTATCACGATCCCCATAAATACCTCCAGCGGAAGCAACTGTGTTCGGGTTGATTGGATTTGTGGTCATATCCATTGCCTGGCTAATTTCCATAGCCTCAACAACTGAATCAAGGCTTTCATGACCTGATTGTTCTTGTTGCTGCTGCTGCTGCTGCTGCTGCTGTGATGATGCTTCATTCTTATTCATCAATATGCTCTGAGTAATCGATCCAGAGTTATACTTCTGTTCCAGCATTTGCAATTGCTGGTTTGAGTCCATGTAGCTGGAGTAGGCTCCACCAACAATATTAGGGTAACCGTGGATAGCGCTAGAGCTCGAAAAGGTCTGGTTATCATGGAAGGCCCCCGATGCACCACTTGCAGAGCGCTGTTTCCTGAGCCGACGGGGCCGTGTGCTGGAAGAACTATAGCCATAGTAATTGGATGCAAGGCTGTCGGCATATGATGCTAACGAAGTGAATGGATTCTCTTCCGGACTCTTAAATGGGACAGAGCTACTAGGAGTGGTGCCAGCACCAGCAGCTGGCGCAGTACTAATCGTAGGACCGGAGTTGATGCTCGAGTGGCTGTTTCCCTTTGATTGACTTGCAGCGTTATTGCCTGTAGCATGGATGATTGAGCGTGAACGGCGTCGAGGAGGTAGTCTGTTCTCCTTTAAATCTTGCAGGAACTTTGATTCATCGGGCTTCTGTCTTTCACTCTTAGACACAGCTTGAACAGAAGAAGGTATACTACTAAAAGGGCTATAAGCGGAAATCTCCTGGCTGTTTACCATGGAGGATTCCGACTCATATTGGTTTGTAAACATAAAGGCGGTTGTGTCTGGCATTGGAAAACCAGATCCCGATGTGCTGGATACCACAGGGGAGTCTGATGGAGAGGAAGGGGATTCAACCGATCCCCTGTTATTATTTGCGGTCTGATTTGCCCATTCTTGACGACGGCTATTGCGGATGATCATATTTTGTTTGCGACGCTCAATCTCAGTGCGAATATACTCTTCTTTGGCCTCAGAGTATCCTTCGCCGTAAATCTTTCGAGCATTTCGGTACACGCGACACCGCATATCGTTAAAGCGATCTATTGGTCAGTAGAATGACGACAGTGTACATGATGAGTTAAAAAACGCATTGAACATCATTTGAACTCTCCTCACCCTTGATTCTCATCCCTTTTTTTTTTTTTTTTTTTTTTTTATAGATTTAGATTTTGAGCATTTGCGAGCGATAGGAATGCGACAACTTACTTTTCTCAGGGTTACAATTCCTCCACTTGCGCATCCGCAGGGTTGTCTCATCGCGACTAACCTGCTTCTTCTCATGACCTTGCCACCGTTTCTGATCACGTTGGCGCTCATAAGGTGTGCTTGAAGGATGTAACAAATGGTCGAGTTTGGTAAAAGGTTGGTTAGAAGAGCATTCTTTCAGTGCATAGAAAATGACAATAATAATAAAGTAGATAAATAAAATACATACTTATGAATGTTCTTGTTCTCAAGGTGTCGCTTCAAATTCGACTTTGTGGTGAACTCTACAACTTTAAAGAGAAACGGAGAATCACATTAGTCTCTTTCTTGTTCAACAAATTAGTTTGTTCGAGGTTACACCTATTGCCAGGGAAGGTGCACAGCCCTTCTCGTAAGGATTGCAGGGATTTCAGAGGTCTGTGCATCATTTGTTTGTGTCCGTGGGGGAGTGGAAATGTCTTTAAAAAAATATGTTTGTGTATTGTTATTGGTGTTACCTTTGCTCGGATCACATTTTGGACAGATATACACCAGGGTCTTTCCATCTTTACCAATAACGGCATGGATGTCATCTACAGTTTGAAGAGGACCTGAAACAGAAGGAATGCGCTTCGACTGTTGCTGTGGCTCTTGCTGGGACTCTTGCTGTTGCTGACCACTTTCAACGATATTGTTGTCAGGGGATGAAGGCCGAGCTAAACTGTTTGATACCAAGGCGCCAAGACTTTGTTGCGATTGTTGGCCATAGCACTGCCCCTGTGATGTCTGGTATTGGTCATTATAGTCGAACGAGCGAGCTATACTAGGACCAGCGGCCGATAGCGGCGAGGACGACTCAAATGGATGTTGCGACATGCGGGAACTATCCGTATCCGAATAGAGCGAAGGACCCAATGGGAGGATAGTGCTAGACCCATACCGCACGGTGCTGTTGTAGTTTTGGGCGGATGTAGACGACATGGATCCATAGTGTGAGGAAGAGTGGTACATCATATCATTGTTAGCATGGGCTGGTGAAGTGGTTCCATAAATATTGCTAGCAATCTCGGCGGCAGTCATGGAGAGGCTATCGTATTCAGTGCCCTGAGATTGGGATAAAGGGCTTGTGAATGGGCTGTGATAGGGGTATGAAGTTTCCGAGGAGGATGGCTGCTGTGGCTGGTAGTGATGCTGGAATCCATTCTGTTGAGGAGAGCTATTGTAAGATTGATAGGGAGAGTTGGTGGCTGATTCTTGCTGTGAATGTTGGACACTCATGGCTGCCAGGGCTGGTGTTAGATGACCCAGGCCTACTGAACTAGCATTACTGTCAATGCTGCTCGTACTTAAGCATCGGTTTCGATTACTGCTTCCGGCAGTGCCGGCTGCGCCAGGCCACAGGTAGCTAAGCCTTGCCTGATGAGAGTACAGATTAGCTACTCCACTCGAGACATTGGAGTTATTATGGCCCAAGATGGGTGAGAACGCGGTAGAGCTCTGTTGAAATGAGTCTCTTCGACCTCTCATGCGGCTACTGTAGCCTGATCGTGCGCTCAATGCTGCACTGTTGCTGGCGCTGTTGCCTTGGCTGGTGAAGCCCATGGCGAGTGGAGAGCGGATTTGCGGGACAGAGGAATGTTGTACAGAGAGTGGGCTTAAGTAGCCAGCACTAATGCTACTGCTGTTATTATTACTATTACTGCTGTTGTTGGTGCTATCATTGGTATGATCATTATTCTGTGCGTGCAGTTGCGTATAGGTAGGGGTATAACCCGTCAAGATATTGCTGTTTGTTGTTGTGTGCCCTGAAGATTCAGGCGCGGATGATGAGGTCATGGCAATAGAATCTTGAACACTTTAAGTTGAGGCAGAAGGAGGTGATGGAAGTATAGTAACCAATATGTTTGTCTGTTGATTTGCGGTAATGTGCAAAGAAGAACCTGAAGATTGGAGAAGAAGAAGGGAAAAAGAAAGAAACGCTCAATAGAGCTTTAGTTCGCTGTGGAAGTAGATTCATGATATGCCTAAACAGCAACAAGCACTTGCTATCCATGCACGCTCCAAAAAAAAAAAAGGGAGGCATGACAGGAACACGCAGATGATGCGGACACAAAAAGAAAATAAAAAACATACCTGATGTGGTGCAACCAAAATGTTGATGTCAAGGAAAAGGGGTATTTATGAATACGATTATAATGGGCGGGAAGCTTGGACAATGGTGTTTAGGATATGGTAAATGGTAGGATTAGCGGCTAAAGGGCAATTGGGATGAACAGAAATGAATTATTTTATTCTACTGATTGTAGAGTTATCCACAATAAGAGTAAAAAATAAAATAAAATAAAAAAAAGGAGCCACAAGGGGTGTGCTAAAAGACAAGATCGGGGGCCGGTGGCGCAACGGAGGACAAGGGGAGACAGTCAGTCAACAGAACGCGGATGCACGAGGGGACAGAGAAAGAGAAAGATGTATAAATGAATGAAGATATTTGCTGAGCACACTTTGAGATGAAGGAGAAAAGTGAGGAACAGAAATAAATGAATGGATGAGGTTAAAATATGTCGAGAAAAGAAGCGAGAATAACAAAGAGGAGAACCAGAAAGTGTAAGGTTTGGGGTGATGAAGTAGAAATAAAGGAGAAGTGAAGGATGACAAAAAAAAAAAAAAAGACTAATGAAGAATCAATGAGATTTGGAGGGATAGAGCAGGTTTTATAAGCGAAGAGTGTCTGCAGTGCAAGCCGAAGTTGGTAGGGGAGGAAGAGAGGGGGTCGCAGGAGTGTGAATAAAAAAAAAAAAAGATGCATTTGGGGCATGTGCTACATAATGGTGCTCAATTTGGTCTAAGCAAGGATAAAATAAAATAGACATATTCATAGATTAGTGGTGCATGCAGACAAAGGAGGCATTGACTACATATACTCGACTACACTGGATACAATACTTGTCTACTCAATCGAGGCACGAGATGAATATATGATTATGTTAGAAAGAACTACCATTACTCTATTATTTGTCTCTTTGTCTATGCATATTTGGTTTGCTTTTTTTAATCGTCTTTTGTGCTGACTTCTGTGAATGTGGTACGACTGAGGAGACAGAGGACATGGTTGCACAGAAATACACAAACAAACATCACACACGGACGCACAACTCAACAAACAACAGACTTATGCGCGCGAAAAAAATAAAATAAAAAAATAAAATAGCAATACATAATAATAATAACAATAATAATAATAATAATAATAACAACAACAATAATAATAATAATAATAATAATAATAATAATAATAGTAATAGTAAGAATAATAATATACACAGCATGCTCCTTCTCATCATCACCCGCCATCAACCATGATTTGATTCCCTGCTTGTCTGCCTGTCAGTGTCAGGCATTTAGTTCTTTCATAACTGAATTCCTCACGTTTGAGCTAGAAGCATCTCCATTTATCCTTGTAGCTAATTGACTTGATTTGAATAACCTTACAAGAGGCATGTATATATCATTTCCGACTCATTACAGTATTGGAATAAGGTCATACACTGTGAAGGAAAGCAAACTAACCTAGACACTATCCATACGCGATCATTAAGACATCAGAGTTAGAAGTTATTGAGGTGTTCAAGTGATAGTAACAAGAACAATTGCATTTACTTGACAACGTTCTGATGGATGTGGTCTTTTTGCCTTTTTTTTCTAAAATTTCCTGCAACTTAATCGCCTTTTTTCTTTTTTTTTTTTAGCAGGAAAAAAAATCGTGTAGGATAAATTGGAAGAGAGTGCGTGATGCTTCGTCATCAAAGACAGCCAAGTCCAAGGCTCGGAGGAGATCCGGAGGAATATCTAAAAAGGAAAAAGAAAGTAAAGCAAAAAAGAATAAGAGATGGAGTCCTAGTCGTCAGTTAGCCGGACTGGGCGAGTATTCGTAGATCTGTCCCTTCAAAGTCGTTGGCGGACCTCCCCAACTATTTTTCATAGAATGAGAAGTGGGATGGATGAGCCGTACTGTATGGACAGTAAAAGATTAATGAAGGGCTCGTCCTCAGCATCAGACCAAGAGCAAGGACCATCCAAATAATAGATGTCGGCAAGGACCCCGAATGAAATGGACTAGTTTGCAGATATTACACCTTGTACGACCGTCCTCATAAAGAGAACGCTTGTGTCATAAGCAAACCAAGACGCGTACGCGAATTACTGTCATTACATTTCGCAATATATGAAATCCAACTGTCTATTTTTCTAAAAGACGGTGGAATCTAGGATAGCGCAGCCATGTCAATGCTTCATTTCGGTTTTTTATTTATTTATTTATTTTTTTCTACATAGCCGTTTTGCACTGGCCATATATCATATTGCAAAGCGTATCTCAATTTATTGACACAGGGACCAATAATGGAGATATACCTTTTGGGCTTTTCTTCTCGGTTGACAAACTTTTCTATTGTTCTACACGCTATACAAAAGAAGCACGGCGTTTGTTCCTTCTGCTTAATCGAAGCATTACTATCTTGCATCTGGACACGTAGCTAGGATCATGGTCAGACTTCATCCTGCGCTCTGGCGCTGTAAACAGAATGTTCATGTCCTTGCGGCTTATGACGTACGGAAATAAAAAAATAAAATAAAATAAAAAAATAAAATAAAAGTTTATTATACCTTCCAATGTCGGTGGGATAGAAGGAGCAATCAGTCGTCGACAGCACTTTTGATGTATAAATTGCAATACATGAGGCAAATGCGCCGACTACGTTTGCAATCCATACAACGGATTGGTTCCTGCGATTTGTCTGGTGATAGACGAATGTCTGAGAACTTGGATTATGCAAGCCTTCCCTTGCAGACATTTCGCTTTTTTAAAAATCCAACGTTGATAAAAAAGGGATGAGTAGCCCTATTGGACATATGACGAACGATATATCTCTTTATTTTTTATCCCTTGATTACCTCTTGGCGACTGCACACTTCACATGTAGTCCTCAGAAAAGAAACGGAGAAAGAGGCTGAGTTTAGGGCTTTAATCATTCTCAGTCTGATACCAATGCCATTATTCCTTTGTCTTGTAATCCTAAAAATATGTTGGTCAAAAGCCTGTGGTTCTATTGCATAATGAGTCTGACACGAGATAAAAAATGTTTGTTGTTCTGAAAGGATTGGCCACCTTTGTCATGTGGTGAAAAAGATCATAGACTTAGCACTGTAACAATAGTTTTACGATCACATAGGGCATACGATGGCCATGGACACATTCCTGTGGGGGTAAAAAAAATAAGAAAAAAAAAAATAATTGCGATGCATCCTCAATCAGTGGCTACCATTCTCATTGCCTTCATAATTCAGTAATCATTTTGCTTGTTGACAATCTCATTACACTGACAATGTCAAGAAGGGTCCTTGTGATACTTCGTATGCATAAATGCTCAATAATCATGCGTCTCTGTTCCATGTTTATTTGAATGTAATGAATCTGAATGGCTCCCCTGTGGACCTGATCGGACACTTTGATTTATTATACCGATGTATCCCTAGCATTGATTAGTGTTTCTGGTTGTATGTACATTTATATCCTAAATGAGATACCACACAAAAAGAGCCCGCCCCCTCTAATCTCTGACGCCCCAACCATGCTGTGCCATTTCATTGCCTTCCTCTAAGAATCTGATAATGAAATTATAGAACATTATGAACATAATAGTTTAAGGTCTCAACTATCCAAAACCAAGTTGCAGCATGAATCCAGTCTGCAACAGGCAAGCTGGTTGAATGAGTGGAGCCGATCTAAGAAAGTTGTTTGTTGACAAGAGGAGAGCTGGTATATGCTTTCTTTTCTTTTCTCTTCTCTTCTCAAAGGGCAGCAACACAGCATGTCGCTAGTGTCTGTCATTCAGTGGTCTTTCCGTCATCAACACCATGATTTTTGGATTGGTTGCTTTATTCTTCAGCAACAGATCAAAAAGAATACTATCTAAACTGAATTTTTCTTGACTATTGTCGATCCGTTCCTTAATATACAATCGTTTGGCTCTATTATACTTCTGGCATCAATACGATGTGTTTTCTCACACATGTGCATTGTATACTTTGATTCAACAAGACTATCTTTGCAACGACAAACTATGTGATTTCTGCTGTAGTTCTTGGTTTGGTGGCATATTCGATATTCGAGTGAGCGCAGTGTTTCATAGAGAGTTTACCTTATGCGTTGGAGATTTAGGGCCATCCTCATGACTACTATAGCACTTGTTAAGTTGCTGGCCATGCTTATTGCACTTTTGCACCGAATACCTCGATTAGAAATTTGTCGTTGAAGGCTCTCATTTGCCGATCGTATTGGTTGTAGTCATTGTAGCCTCCGATACGCTGTAGCTGGTGGTCTTTAGTTTCCATTTTGGCCGATGTTATTCAAAGAGTCTTGGGTGCCATTGACCACATCATCATCTGCTTCCTATACGATTTCGGTGGATACTTGGCTCTCTAGGCTGTTTTCCTCAGTCAGACCATATGCCTCGACCGCGTTTTTTATCTTCTTGATACTAGTAAAGACGCTGCTTCAGTATGGACTGCTGCTACTGCAGCGCTATCGACTGTCGCAATGAATGAAGAATATGTCGATACTCTCCAGAATTCTATTATCAGCACAGTTGCTTCGCGTTTCTTCCGCGGAATGAGCATCTAGTACCCTCGCGTCTTGGACTCTCTGGCCAATACCCCTGTTGTCTTTGTGCTATTGAGGGCCTCCAGCGTCATCGCTCTCTTCCTGATTGGGAACTTTGTGTGCCCAATCTTTGCCGTACCTCTCTTGCTGGAATTGGTTATTCGCTTGGAAGGTTTTGCTACAGGATGATCAGTGGTTTTGGTCATCATCACTGGATTCTTTTCGGTTGTTGGCTTTGGTTGTTTCAAGGAAGAGTCCTTCAGAAGGCATGCGCTATGCATTTGTAAAATCATATTATTTAGACTTCCTCTCATATGTTCAGCGATCACCGTCCTTCTGGCTGGGTTAGCTGAGGTGAATGTTCGTAAAGCATGTGGGTTCGCTTATCATGTTCCTCTAAATTTAAATTGAGTGCGGTGATGAAGGTACTGTTTTAAAGTCGGGCTCCATCCAAGATGTGGAGGTCTCGTCCAGAACGCATATTTACATGAAAGAAAGTAGACGTTGCACAGTAACAGCAACTGTGTCAACTGTAACTCACACGCCATGTGCAATAGATTAATTTTCTACTGATCACGGGATTAAAATAAACCAATTGCAACATCGTGGCAGTTTCCATCGCTTCCATCACTTCCATCACTTCCATCTTCTCTTTCATTATTGTTAACACGATTAATTTCTCTCATCTGTAAGTCTTGCCTCACGACTTTAGCTCGACTACGGCGCCTCCGCTCTCTCTTGTCCCCTTTTGTTCGACCCTTTTCACTTAACTTTCCATCGAATCGCGTTTTAGCCTTTTTGCAGGAACCATGCGTTATGTGCGACACGTCAGAGTGTCTTATTTTGTACACTGACTCGTTGTTACTCAATTTGAACGTTCATAGGCAGCATCGGTAAATACAGTACATTGAACCAGCATGGACGACTTTTCATTTGATGCACCAGCTTCCAAAAAGACCGACTTTGGGTCGGATGATCCCACAGCTGATTTCCTTGCTCGTGAGCAGGCTATTCTCGGTGACGATGCTGACTTCCTTGCTGGTCTCTCATCTGGATCTGCTGTAGCATCACTATCCAACAACCCCAGCGATGACTTTGAGTCGAACTTCCCTAGCTTCGCAGAACACGAGGTTTCACTCAGTTCCCCTCCTGTCAGTGGCAAGAACAACGATGCCACTGTCCCCTCAGTTGCTGTTGCTGCAGACGATGATTTTGGTGCATTTCACAGTGATTACCCTGTTATCGAAACTACTGATTCAATCCCTGTGAGCCAGGTATGTATATCCATATCTTCAGATCCAATCCTTATCTGAACTCGCTTTTTCTTTGTTAGCGTTTTAACCAATAGCGAAGATGGTATAACGTTGATATTGACCTTACGATTGGTATATTGAAAAGGCGTATGCTGCTAGTATCCCAATTCAAGCCACTGGAGCTAGTTCTGGATTCAGAAGTCCAAGTCCTTCATTGAGCCGTACGCCTCAATTCAAAGCTCAAGAAGTTCCTGAGGTCATCAGGTAGGAGCATGGGTTCAGAATATTTTTGAGCAGGAGACTTTTCCATGAAATTGATTACATTTGTCATTCCATTATTTTGCTACTTATATTTGTTGCTCTTGACTAATAATAATAAAAAACAATACTATGAATTAGAGAATGGCGTGAAAAGCAGGCGGCCATCATTACAGAGAAGGATGAAAGATCAGAGACTAAACGTCAAGAGACGATTGGGGCTGCACATGAGGCAATTGATCGTTTTTATGAGGATTACAATCAAAAGAAAGCTAAATCCATTGCTGAGAACAGGTACTCTATCATGCTCTGAACATGGACGCTGTAAACTCCATATGTTCTCTGTTTTTTTCTATTTTTTATTTTTTATTTTTTATTCTTTCATATTCTTGGTGGGACACTAAACATTTTTTATTTTATTATAAAAAATCATAGAGATAAGGAAGCAGCATTTTTGGCCAAGCGTGATGATGTTTCTTCAGGAACTCAATGGGAGCGCATCAACCGCCACTTGGACAATAGCCCCGCAGCTGTCGCTGCAGCACTGAAAGCCGGCCGCCGTGACACTAGCAGGATGAGGGAGTTGCTTCGAGATCTCGAGAAGGACCCCAACGCTCCTGGAAAGTAGAGAGCCAGTGAGAGAAAATGTGTACGCGAATGTGTATTAAGGAAACGTAGACAGTACAGAGACGTAGAGATATCATGGAAAGTAACTTGGACTGGATCCAATACCACAAAAGCGCACACTTATCATTTGCATAAAATGATTTCTGGGCCATTAGAAATGACCGAAAGCGAATAAACAAACTATGTGTTTACAGTGAAGAGTCTTTGCTGATTTCTTTCTGCCGTAGGTTCTACAGACTTTAGAAACTCGTTTCACAGGCAGTGGATGAAAAGGAACACGAAAAGCAATAATGATCTCTTGTCTTGGGTCGTGGCTAATAGTCAAGATATTGAGGGAATGTTTTCCTTATCTATGTTACCAAGTAATCAAGTAGACCTTGACGTCTGATGGGCTCTAGCCGTAGTCCTTTATTCCCCCAACTCTAAATTGACAGCCGCAATGGGATAGTGTGACCTAACAGATGGTCTCTTACAGCTCTCGAATGCGATACGTAGACACGACATTGATTGTTCTGTAAATTTAAGTCTTGCACATATTACGTCAGCCCAAAATTTAGGGTGGTGAACATGCCAAGGACCTTGATATGCGAGGTCAAGGGTGTCAATAAAACGCGTATTGCCACGACAGACGCTTCGTGTACATGCTATATTTTGAACTTTAATTATTAGGCTCTCAACTTTAGTTTTCATGAAAAAATCCTTTGAAATTGAAATGCACTCTGATCAAGTCCATTCACAACCACCATGTTTGCATCATCCGGCCTATTTTCCTCAATTCCTTGTCCATTCATGCCCTCATGCCCACGCAAGGCATATTGCATTTATTCTCATAATCCGCTTCCGCACGAAATATACTCAGTCCCAACTTCTTCAACGGTGACATCACCTTCAACGCCTATAAAGACTAATACCAAACGCAAACTGGACGATGCAGAAAATGCAAGCATTTTAAAGAAAGATAAACCGACAACGACTACCAGCAGCTCTCGAGAAACCCCACCTCAAAAGCAGAGCGGTATTTCATCGGCCTCCACCACATATCAGACACCTGTATCTGCTATGGAAGCAGCAAAAAGACGACGACAAGCAATGGAGTCTGTCACACCGGCTTCAACCTCCTCCACCTCGGGAATAACCGCGACAAATGCGAAAAATACAAGCAACGCTGCACTTCTTGCTAGACCACAGGCGGCTCTGAAGAAAGCATCGATGCCCTCAGTTGCTAAGGTATACATGCATGCGGCGATATAGAGCTTCCAAATTTTGATATCATAAACTTATGGATCTCACTAAAGATGGAGGAGATATTTATACTTTTTACAATAGGCATCTGGGACAGGGCCAGAGTTATCAGGGCCACCAGTCCTAAAAATTGATCTTCGTGCGCATAGCAAACCACAGTTTCGGCAGGCGGTGGCAATGCAGTTTTACAATGAATTTTTACGCATATATGGCCCGTTATCCGAGAAAGGTTCAAACCTTGCTACGGCTCATGCTATTGAACAAGAAAAATTGGTACATTCTAAAACAAACCAAGGCACCTATCGCAGTTTAGCTGCCACGACCCTGCAGCGGTTGAAAAAAAGACCAATTGCTACGAGCCAAACCGATACTGGGATTGATGGGGTTTGGATTGATCCAAGTTTGCAGTCAAAAGAAGATTCAAAACAGAACGAAATATGGAAAAGAGCTCCCGAATACATCCATCCTTTGGCGGATTTAGAGGCTAACGGCTACCCAACATCAATTCCTAGAGGTACACCACCACCACTAGATATTCTCCAGATCTGTGAGCGATGCCAAAAACAATTTGAGAGGACTGCTTCGCTAACTGCAGAAGACAAATTGGCATGCCGTTTTCATGGCCGACGGCTAAGAACCAAGACTCAGAATGGTAAAACATAGAAATAGAGCGATACTAGCCAAGCTATGATTATTATAGTAAGTCTGTGATAATCATTAATTTTGTCCGATAATGTATAGGCGATAAAATCAAGTATTTTCCTTGCTGTGATGCACCTCAAGGCAGTACAGGGTGTCAGGAAGGGCCACATGTATTCAAGGAAGACGACTTTTTGTGTTTGCATGGCCGAGTCCCTTTCGTTGAAACACCTTTGAGAAGCAAGTCAAATCTGCAGCCACATGCTGTTATTGCTATGGATTGCGAAATGGTAAAGCAATGCTTTTGCTTTTGCTAGGTCATGCATCTAACTTTGTGCAATGTAAATGAGGTTTATCAATCCGAAGAGAGCCTGCCGACATTTTTTGATTTCTTGGGTACTTTAACATAGTGCTATACCACAGGGGGATTTGAACTAGTCAGGATTTCTGTTGTTGATAAGACAGGAAAGCCCATTATGGATGAGCTGGTGAGGCCAAAGAATGCTGTCTTAGATCTTAACTCGCGCTTCAGGTAAAGGTTTGATATTGTCACATATCAAATACTTTTAAGTTATTCTTCAAACTCACAGAATTACCCATATGAACTGTAATTAGTGGTATCAAGTCATTGGATAATGCTAAACTCAGTCTAGAGCAGGCCAGGGACCGCCTTTTCGAGCTCATCAATAGAGAAACAATCATCATTGGTCAGAGTCTGGAGAACGACTTCAAAGTCCTTCGTCTAATACACAATCGAGTCATCGATACAGCAATAGTATGGAAACCTACCATGTCCAGTGAATCACTGATGGAATACTAGCCGTTACCACAACAATCAGTCATTTAACTTCTATATGCCTATATTTATGTATTTTTGTGCATAGCTTTATCCGCATCCACAGCGGCTCCAAAACATCCGATACTCACTCCAGGTATTGGCAAAGCAGCACCTTCAAGTACTTATCCAAGACTCTGAACAGGGACATGATTCATTCGAGGACGCCAAAACTTGTCTTGATCTTGTTCGCCTAAAACTTCAAAAGGATGAGAGCAAATAAATTGCCATGTTCGCGCTAAGTTGTCGGCGCTCTCTTGAGTCCATTGTCTTGGTCTAATGGACCGAGTTTAAAATGGCCCTTTCCAACAACTTTTGGTCTCACCGAGTTGCTGTTGTAAGACAAAAAACAAAAACAAAAACAAAACAAAAAAAGGTAAGCAACTGAGTCGATAACCAAGACAAACTGGTAAAGGGTACTTCAGCTCTGATAGGCTTCATCCGACAGTGAGACTGATTCTTCCATTTAACTTCATCTCGACATTGTAGACCTAACACTTTACTGCCTCGACCGCAATGTTACACAGGCAGTCAGCCCAACTGAGTAGGAGTATATATGATGGAACTCATTGGCTAAACACTCTATGAATATAAACCGTTTTTGTTTATTATACCTCAAAAGCTGATCTGCCCGCGCCTGGAAGGCGTTCGGCTATCGACGACCAAAATCGTAAATCAGCCCCCTAAATAAATAATGCTTTAAAAAATGCCTCACACAAGAGTATCAATACGCCAGCGCCCAATCAATATTCGCGAACAGCATGTCCTTAATACAGTCTGAGTGGATGCGGCTCAGAAGGAGGAATCAAACATTGATTCATAAAGAACAAATGCTCTCCAAATACTGTTGAAACTATTTTGAAACGCCCATTTTCCAACTATGGGATGAAGACAACTGCCAGTTACGATCATTGAAAAGTCTTTACATTTTTCTGACATAAAAGGGCTTTTGTATGATCTAAGCCTACATTATTTTACATTGCTTCGTAAGACGATGTGGTTACGAGCATCGGGGCCAGGGTGAACTATCACTCCTAGTGAGGATGAGGACCAAGGGAGTCACTGAGGAGACAGTGTGGTTGCATGAAAAGAGAGGGAACAAGGAAAAACAAAAGAGAGACCAGTTGAAGAGGCAGATTTAGTAAGGAGACATGTACGGGGAAGATGAACGTGTTTACATATTAATACGATAAAAATAACTGCTCAAGTGTACGCAAATTCAAATAACACATTCTGCTTGAGAAACCACTATCCCACACTTTCGTAACCTCGAAAAGATAATCCCTGATGCATAAAACTCTAAAAATGGGATGTATGCGGAGAGTTACTTGGGTCAGGGGGCTCCTCCAACAACAGACAGTTAACACAGAGTGCTAGTAGCAGTTGAGGCGGCAGTGATGATGCAGGGGATCATCTATCCGACATAGGTCGAATGAACTTACTCCTGAGACCTTGGTCATCTTGGTGTCCAAAGCATTTTACTTCGCGCAAGTTGGGCTCTTCCAATTCCTAACAATTCCTGCTGTTTATGCTCTCAGGAGGACCGATACCTTTGGTACTTGTCATGGCACCTGCTCGGGGCATGCTTATTATATTGCTAAAAAAAAAAAAAAAAAAAAAAAAAAAAAAAGTGTGTGATAAATAGTTGCAGATGGTTGCATTAAGTCTTCTTGGCTATTGAGAAGCCCGGTGCACAATGGTGAGGGCAGGTAGAGCCTGTATATGACTGCGGCTTTGCATGAGTTTGGAATCAACTCATCATGTACTTTGCTTGCTGATCATCAGCAATCTCCATTCACAAACAAGGTAAACAATCCCTTCTTGTCTCCTCTCTAACTGCCTTGTGAATAAGAGCATCTTTCATAATCTATCGAAGCTCACTTTCACAAACTCTTTACAGCGTACTCAACCTCTAAAAATGGCAGCTTTAATCAAAAGAGAATACAATAAGTGCCCTGATACGCCTGGTACCAAAATGGTTCATGTCTTCATGGAAGCCAACAACAATATTTTTGAAGAACGCCATGTTTATGTTGGTTGGCGCAATTCGCCTAGTTTGCAGCAACAAATACATTTGACTGGGCTTGGGAACTATGCTTTTTATCCTCAAATGCTTGGACGTATGAATCCGGCTATTGCGGATCGTCGAGTACCTTACAGCTTGGTAAATTCGATTATGATACGCGTAATCAGATTGCAAGGTTGGCGAGCGATATGACAAACTCGTTTTCTCTGACTGGAGAAGACGGCAACTGTCAGGCTTGGCTACAGCGCCTACTTAGACTTATGTCCGTCCGAGAATGGTATTATTCCTTCTAATATCAACGATGTGTATGCGAAATTCATCAAGACAGACAATACAGAGCTGATTATTGCAGAGCAACAAAAAATTGATGCTGTGTTCGACCCAACCGGTACTCGGCTATTAAATGTTGATAGAACACTTTTCTATCACGACTTGTGAAGAGATCCCAAGTCAATTGGGATTCAGAATTTTGGGTTTCTGAGAATCCAACCACAAAATATATTTCTTTGTCAAAAAAAAAAAAAAAAAAAAAAAAAAAAGTCAAAGTATAAGAAAGACGTATTGAAAGAAAGGTACAATCTGAAAACCGCTACATTGCCTTTGAACGGAAGTTCGCCAATATACAAAAGGCAGCTCATCACGTACCTCTGCCAAAAACCTTCAGATACAACAACATCAAGCAGTAATATTTGATAAACGAAGAATCGACCGCTAGCCTCAAAGTCCCTTTCAAGTCTTTTTGGGATAAAATAGCAACAGTGACGAAATGGGCATAATCCAGAGGCGTCAAGAGGAAGATAGGACTGGTAGAAGAGAAGGCGAAGATGAAGGTACTGTGTTGGGACAGGCGCAAGATATGATGGCAGACTAATTAGACTTGCAATGCACTATTGATAATGAGGCATGACAAGTAAAGATCAGGGGCACTCAGGGATTGAGATGGCGGAAATATTAGGAGAAGGACTGGTAGAGGTGATAGCGATGCTTTCACTGCTGTGTCAATGATACTGAGACTGGGTACACATATTCGCGCTTCATCGCCCTACATCACATGTATCTGCGCTATAGCCGATGCCACTCACACGATTTGCAAACCTGCTCGGCTTACTCAGGAGAACCATGATCCATTAAAGTTAGAGCAAAATGAAATCGCGCTTTAGTTGAGTTGTGAAAGTTTGCAGGGAAAATTTTAAATTTCAGGGGCAAATAGTAAGATTTACTTCGCCAGACTTTTTTCACAATAACGCGTCTGACGCGTAATTTTCTTTTGTTTCAACTTCCCTTTAGAATATGCGATCGAATTGCTGTGTTGAACTACCTCCCTAGACGAAACCGGGTTGATGGCGAAGCACATTTTGATTTTTTTTTTTTTAGAAAAAAATATGACGGAGACAAAATACATGATAAGTCTTTATGCCCAATAATAACTTGCTTCAATTCACTGTTTTCTAAGCATGCTATCAAGCCTTTTCCGCGTATTTTGTATGCAGGAATATCTTCGTCTTGGCATTTGGATACGCCATACCATTTCTATGACTCCTAGGCCCCCCTAATCATGACATTTGGGTAAGTTTGAGCACATGCTGAACATATTGAACCGAGGCTATCGCCCGTCAGACTGTAGCTTAACACCTCGAAATTAGTATAAATAGGACCATCCCGATTCAGCTACCAACCTGCAACGCATCCTCTCTTCCACACTTGCAAGCACACTAATCCCCTCGCTCTCTAACAAACCCCCTCCCTTCATAAATCGAAAGAAAAAAAAAAAAGAATCAATCCACACTATCACAATTCAGAAATCCAAGTCAGGTAATTCTTCTTTACTTTGCATTTTTCTCCTTCTTTTTTTTTTATGCCTGAGCTGGGAGATTGACACTCTCTTTCTATCTCAATTAGCTACAAGCTGTATGAGCCGATTCAGCTTTAAGGTTTCGGTCCAAAGCGAGCATCTTCAAGGCACTAGTTCCAATACAGCATCGTCGCTCTCCTCTAACTTGAGGTCCTCATCCATATCATCGTCAGCCCTTGCACAATACCGACAAACCACTATGTTTGAGAATTCGGAATACCAAGAACTTATTGACAAGATTAATAGGGTTCGCAGCTATGGCCTGAACACAATTTTAACCATACCACAGATTGCCATCGTTGGCGACCAGTCCAGCGGCAAATCTAGTGTCCTGGAGGCTATTACGAGACTGGCATTCCCTCGCAATATGGAAACCTGCACACGCTTCGCGACACAAGTGAGCATGCGTATGGGCGAGCGTAATGAGATATCAGCACGTATCGAGGGTGAACCTGAGTTCAACGAACGTTATGCTCATGGCTCGTCATGGGATATCCAGCCGATTATCAGCGATGCCAACAATATCCTGTGTCCCGTAGGTTCAGGCAAAGACATCAGTGAAAGAGTGCTAGAGATTACCATCTCAGGACCCGAGATATCTCCGCTAACGATCATTGATCTCCCCGGATATATCAACACTGTTATTGATGGGCAAGACAAAAGTATGGTATCAACAATCCGTGCAATAAACACAAGATACATTCAAGACAACCGAACAATCATACTGGCTGTAGTCCCTGCCGATAATGATCTGAACAATATGTTTGTATTGGACCAAGCCGAGCGTTATGACCCAAGCAAGGAAAGGACCATCCCGATTGTGACCAAGCCGGACAGAGTCGAGGCAGATCGACTTCCGAACCTTATCCAGACATTGCTGAACAAGAGGAAGTTCATGAGCCATGGCTATCTCGTGATGAGGAACTCGAGCAACAGCGACATCGGCAGGTCGTGGGATGAAGCTAGAAAGAGTGAAGAAGATTTTTTCAGATCACATCCTCTATGGGACCAAATAGAGAGCTCGCGCAAGGGACGAGTTAGGTAAGATGAAGTTTGCTGTATTACTACAAGCTATTTAACCGTTCACTTCATGAGTGGGAGAGACCAAGTCACTGATCAATCTTGAACCTGTTTGCTCTTCATTTATTCCTCAAAGTGTCAAGACTTTCCTAGGCAATGTGCTTTACAACCATATCTTGAAAGAGCTACCATCCCTGAAGGAGGACATCCAGAGGCTAATTAATGAACGTGAAAGAGAGCTCTCTAACATGGGTCCTGAGCTGACATCTACAGAGGCGGCGAAGACTCAGTACCTTGCATCCATTCAAGAGCTCCAAAAATTGCTGACTGATTATTTGGCAGGCAACCATTCACTCGATTATATAAACAGTCATATGTCAAACCCCACACAAGCTGCTTCGAGCCCCCCACAGCTTACTTCGAGCTCCTCACAACATTCGTCGAGCTCTACACAGCAAAATATCATCACTTACACAATCCATTCGAGACAGCGCGACAGTGGCGTCTTTGGAGCGGAGGATGATTTGCTGCCGCTCTCGCCTTCTAAAAACAAGCCATTCTTGCGATCAACGCTTCACAACTTATACGAGCGCTTCGGCCAAGCCATGCATCGCGACAAATATAACAGCTCTAAAGACAAGATCAGAGACCTCCTCGTTCGTTACAGAGGAAACGAATTGCCCGGATTTGTCACTTTCACTACTTTCATGCAGATCTACATGGAAACGACTCTTGTTCACTGGCGAAATGTAACTAAGGAGCATATCAGTAACATGCATGCACACTTATACGAAGCTGTCGCCGCCTTTATCAGTTTTTCTGCCGACCCACTCCTCAAAGACCTGCTTCTGATAGAATTTGAGAAGTTCTACAGCCTGCAGACCAAGAATATCGCAGACACCATCGAAGACATTTTTACTGATGAATCTATACCATTTGCAATGAACAGGTTCTACTATGAGAGTGTCCTCCAAGGCAAAAAGGCAAAGCTAGAACAACATATTCAAGAATACGCAAAGTCCACAAACCCTAAAGAGAAAAACGATGCTAGAAATACAACTATCGATTATAATGGACAATTGGCAGGAGACATTGCGGTCGAAGAGCTACATGATCAACTACAAGCTTATTGCGAGGTGGCACGCAAACGCATCGTGGACGTAGTGCTCCTGCAGACTATTGAGCGCTTTATGGTCAAGCACATTAACGTTTACTTCAAAATGTTGATAACAATTGACGAGACGCATATTATGAGCCGACTTCTCGACTCGCCAGCGAAGCTCACACGTCGTCAAGAGTTACAAGACAAGGTGGCCGTATTGCGCAGGAGCCTTGTTGAACTCTAGTCTACAGGCCCATGCAATGCAGAAAACAACAAACCAAGCAAATTATACAAATCATATAACAATCGAAAACATTTGAAATAGGTACCTATTCAATATTTAACTGGTAGTAAAGTAAAAAAAAAAAAAAAAAAAAAAAAAAGAAATAAATTCTTGTTCGTAAAAAATACACATTCATATACACTTGGCTTTTGTCGATATCTTGAACAGCAAGGGTAGTCCGGGCGGGGAGCCAACACCCAGATTTTAGGGTTCAAGACTAAGATAGAGACGCAGACACAAATTCCTTCATTCAACCACGATATAAAAATGGTATTAGCAAACAATAAGCATTTTGGTGCCAAATTTTCACTGTCTCAGATCCCAGACCCTTCTCATGTTGGAGACGTCACGTTAGTTTAAAGGTTATGCTTATTTCCTATAAACCAATCAAAACCTAGGTGCGATGATGTAGTCTAAAAGCGCTATTTCCATATTAACAGCCTGGTCATGCTGCATCCCCCCTAATTTTTTCCCTACTTGGCATTGTAGATCATTAACCGTTTCTAGTATCCATTCCACCTTTACACTTGCTCATTCGTTCCGCCTTACTTCTTTAACACCATCTGATAAAGCAGGTTTACCGAGGGCAGCACTTTAACAGAAAGCTTTCACCTGGTGCCTGACTAAGAATATTTTCCTTCTCTTTTACAAACACTTGAACTTGGGATTCGATTGCTCACCATGACTGAATCCACCTTCTTCCGTTCGGAGGAAATGTCGCTGATTCAGTTGTACATTCCAGCTGAAGTCGCACAGCCTGCTGTCTCTGAACTTGGAGAGTTGGGTCTTGTGCAATTCCGTGATGTAATTATCTGAAATTCATTACGAATTCATTCAAAACCGTGGAGCTGATGTACAAAAAAAAGTACCTAACGCACATGTAAATGTACATTCTTCTTTAATTGTTATAATTACAGCTCAATCCCGATGTTAATGCTTTTCAGCGTGCCTTTGTTACAGAGATTAGACGTTTCGATGAGATGGAGAGACAACTTCGTAAGTATATTTCGCATGCATGTCCAACTCGCTTGGCGTCACTACCAGAATCATACTCAGGCACAATAAGATAAAAAAAAATTCAATCACGCGGCGTGTGGACAAGGAGAGGGAAATTGGCCATGTGCAAAAAACAAACACAGCGTGTACATACCATTAACAAGGAATCTAATTCTCGTTTTATTCGACTGCAAATAGGTTTCTTTACCTCACAGATCGAGAAGGCAGAGATTCCTATCCGCCACTCGCACTCAACCCCATATTTGACGCGTGCCCGTTCGCGTCAGGAGTTGGATGATCTCGAAGAACGTCTTTCTGAGCATGAGAACCGTCTTCTTCAGATGAACAATTCATACGAAACTATGCAGCGCCGCTTTCTTGAGCTCACGGAACAAAAACACGTTCTTCGTGAGACTCATGATATTTTCGAAGATGTAAGCTTCTAGAGAGCTTTCTCTCGTGTCACCATCTTATTTTTTTTTTTTTTTTTTTTTTTTTTGGTTTTTTTATCTTATGTTTCTTATCTTCGCTTTCTGGCTGATATCGTTCTGATTATGATCATCCCCATTTATATTCTAATAGGCTGCCATACACCAAGAAGATGCTCGCCGTTCCTTTGATGAGCCTAGTGCTCCTCTTCTCGACGACTTGGAAACTGGTGCTGGCCTTCAACTCGGCAATGTCACTGGTGTTATTCCTCGTAGCAAGATGCAGACATTTGAACGCATTCTTTGGAGGTCTCTTCGTGGAAATTTGTACATGAACACCGCAGAGATTGAAGAGCCTGTCATTGATCCCTCAACTGATGTGATTGTGGAGAAGAATGTTTTCATTATCTTTGCACATGGACGTGAGATTCTTGCCAAGATTAGAAAGATTGCAGAGTCCCTCGGTGCCACTCTCTATCCTGTTGATGCATCTCCTGACCGTCGCAGGGAGGCACTTTCGGACGTCATGCGCCATATTGAGGAGTTTAACTCTGTTCTCGCTAATACAACCCAGACCCGTCGTCAGGAGCTGATGCGTATTTCAGAGAATTTGAACGCATGGATGACTATTGTTAAGAAGGAAAAGGCAACCTACCACACCATGAACCACTTCAACTATGACATCAACCGCAAATGTCTGATTGCTGAGGGCTGGTGCCCCACCAACGAGATCAGCACTATCCAGACTGCTCTTCGTGGTGTCACTGAACGCGCAGGATCGACTGCTCCGACCATTTTGAACGAGCTCCGTACTCACAGGGAGCCTCCTACTTACCACAAGACTAACAAGTTCACGGCTGGTTTCCAGGCCATTGTCGATGCTTATGGTATGGCGCGTTATCGCGAGGTCAACCCTGGCTTGTTCACTGTGATTTCTTTCCCTTTCCTCTTTGCTGTCATGTTTGGTGATGTGGGACACGGCATCTTGGTTTTACTCGGTGCTCTCTACCTTGTTATGAATGAGCGTAAGCTTGCTCATGTTGATGGAGAGGTAAGTTTTGCAGGGCAAGGATATCACTTATCTCTGATGTTAATGATACTTTTCAAATATTCAGACACCTCCAACTATATCTAATCAATTTTTTTTTTTTTTTTTTGTTAGATGTTTCAAATGGTCTATGGTGGCCGCTACATCATCCTTCTCATGGGTGCCTTTTCGATTTTCACCGGAATGATGTACAATGATATTTTCTCACGTGCGTTGCCCTGGTTCCAGACTGGGTGGGTCTTCAACGTTCCTGAAGATTATGACGGCAAAACTGTCATCGTCGCTGAACCCAATGGTCACACCTATCCTTTTGGTATCGACTATGCTTGGCACGGAACTGAAAACTATCTTTTGTTCACCAATTCGTACAAGATGAAGATGTCGGTTGTCCTGGGAGTGATCCACATGTCCTTCGGTATCTGCATGGTCTACTACAATGCAAAGTTCTTCCGCAAGCCCATTGATATCATCGGTGGCTTCATTCCTCAACTGCTGTTCATGCAGGTCTTGTTCGGCTACCTTGTTATCATGATTGTTTACAAATGGACTGTAGACTGGTTTGAGCATGATGCAGCTGGTTATCCTGTCCGCAATACGCCACCAAGTTTGCTTAACACTATGATCTATATGTTCTTGAGCCCTGGCTCGGTTAACGAGAATGATAAACTCTACCCCGGACAAGTAAGTTGATTCAAGATGGCTATTATTTGATAGTAATACGACAACTTTTTTTTTTTCTTATGTTCTGCAAAAAGCTAACCCTTCAACTTTTTCTGCTATTTATTTATTCTTCTTTCATTGCCTCATAGGGTTTCATTCAAGGGTTGCTTGTTTTCATTGCATTCATTTGCATACCTTGGATGTTATTCTTGAAGCCATATTATCTCAAGCATGAGCACAACAATGCTCGTTCGAAGGGATACCATCAACCCTCTGAGAACCATGTTCGTATCAGTACAGACAGTACGCACTCAGATGATATCGGTGGTGCTGTCGTTGCTGATGATGTGGAGCATGAGGAGGAGTTTGAGTTCTCGGAAGAGTTGATTCATCAGGTGATTCACACGATTGATTTCTGTCTTGGATGCATTTCCAATACAGCATCGTACCTTCGTCTGTGGGCTCTGTCACTTGCTCACGCACAGCTGTCTGAGGTACTTTGGACTATGACCCTAGGCATGGCTTGGAGCTTCACTGGTTTTGTGGGCACATTCTTGACGATCGTCATGTTTTCGGTATGGTTCTCATTGACGATCTTTATCTTGGTGGGTATGGAGGGTCTATCTGCATTCTTGCACGCTCTTCGTCTGCACTGGGTTGAGTTCAACAACAAATTCTACCAGGGTACAGGATATGCCTTTGAACCCTTCTCGTTTGTGGCCGTCCTGTCTCAGAAGGACGCGTAAACGATACTAGAAGGCTCTTGATGACAAATGGAATACGATGAAAGCATTCTGTTTGCAGTTATCTATGCTTTTCTTTGGTCTCCTTTTACACTTACAATTTCAGACAATATTACGAAACAAATAAAGAGTCATTGAAACGATTAACCACATCTATCCCGCTCAATAAAATGCTGAAATTCCTGTTTGACTTAACACTGGTAACAAGGAAGATCCTGTCAGAATGTAATATGATCAACATGGTTGTTCGTAGTGCGCTTGACTTATTCAGTAATGCGGATCAATTTTTGTACCTTTGGCTTTAGGTATATGTCATAGCGAGATGAAGGAAAAAAAAAATAAAAAAGTGTTTGCACAAAACCTTTAAAATTCTTTCATTTCTTCTCTTTGGTAACCTTACCAATGACCCCTTCTCAGCCCCTAAAAGTGATATTGTCTTTCCTATTCTTCAATGGCTAGTTCTGGCTCTAGCCTCGACCATAATTTGAAAGTCTCTTTCTAATAGTAAAACATCTTGAGCACAACAGAAAAAAAAAAAAAAAAAAGATTCATAAGATGAGCTATTGAGGGACGAGCTTCTACGCACCATTTGATTTATCTTGCAACTTTTTTTATTGGCATTTTTCCAAGTTATTACGTCGTAGAGGAGCGACTCACTTTTTTTTCGTCTGTCGTTCATATCGCGGGAGGGACGAAATGACTTCTCTGCCTTGATACTTTCAAAATTACTTTTTTGATTACCACTGTCAATACCCACTACAAAAAACATTCTTCTGTAGTACCCATCATCACTATCACCACCACCGAAAAAAAGGAGCACCATTCTCCTGCGGCGTGTGACAGAAAAGAATCAGAATGTCAGTGAGTATTCGTGCATTGCACAAAAGCCACCCAGGCTGGTGAATAGTCGAGGTAATTATCGCCTAGATTTGTCTACATAACCTTCCTTTATCAAACACACACAAAAAAAAAAAAAGCTAATGGAGGTACAAAAGACAGCATGTGTCTTGCTAGTAAAGGAACGAGGCTGAGACAAACATTTGAGCATCCGTCAAATAATATAACGCTGACTCTAACCCAGGTTATTCAGAACAGTCGCCAGTATGTTCATAGAATACACAAACATCTATGGGTTTTGTAGTGGGATATAATATAAATGTATATATATATATACATGTACGTGTGTAATGCATATGAATGTGTTATCTGTTACATATACATATAATGATAAGACAGCTTTAGGCCAGACGGCGAAAAAGGGACAAAAATCACCCAGTCAAATTGATGCATTGAAAAATGTTTATGTGCGTTCTGACAATAAAATTGTCCATGAACCATGAACTCAAAAAAAAAAAACATTTTCACGGATACATTTTTGTCCCTATTTGTCTTCAGGACCTGAGAAATTCGAAGCTTTGTACGACATGAGGTTGGCTCTCTGGGAAATGACGACTAGTTATCTTGATAACAAAAACAACAAATAAACAAACAAAAACAAACAAAGCAAACAAAAGAGAATCATACGACCATAGTCTATGATCGGAATATTATCAGCATAAGAGTGCTCCAATACAAAAGATTATCCAAGGAGATTTGATTTCGCCTAGACCATGAGAACAGATTATCTTTCCTTCGCGTCCTTTATATGTTATCGGCCTCGTGAATAGATCATAGAAAATTCCACAGCGCTGTGGTCTCTCCTACATATACTGACCCATCTAACTTTTTCCCAATCTTATAGAATTCAGGATACATGTTCATCTCTCCTAGCGAGTTGATTAGTTGAGTTGATTGGCTGCCTAGGTCGCCAATTTAGCCATCTCAATTACCAAGGCAAAATGGTCGCTTCTATCTGGCTGGGTTATCTTTAAAAAGATATTAATTCATGCACATTTCCATGCATTTTTTTTTTTTTTTTTTTTTTTTCAATGATAAAGCTTCTTCGTGGGTGGTTCTTGGATGCGAAGACCAAGCTCCAGACCTTTTCATTTTCGGAGTTTTACTTCCTAGCATGCAGGCCGTTTTGCTTTTAATGAAGCCTGAAAGAATTTTTTTTTTTTTGTGTAATGGGGCTTCAGTACGGTATCACCAAGCTAACCAAGCTTTAGAGCCCAGACACATTATTTTCTCTTCATTCCCTGTAGCCCCATGTCATCATTACATCTCTATATACATTTACACAGTATACACATATACATATACTGCACTACACTATCCACGGTTACTCAAGGAACTTTATGCAAGAAGGCACATGTTAACTACAAAAAAAAAAAAAAAATACAGAGATGCTGGGAATAAAATAGTGGAAGAGCTATATAGAGAGGAGAAGACCTTCCATTCGTATTGTATATCACTCATGACATATAAGCAGGACTATGGAGCCTATTCTGGATATCCCGAACACCATGATAATATATATATATATGGGGATTATATTACTTTCTTTTCATTAATATACTTCCATCTTGTTAAGGGATTTAATATCTCGTAGATTTGTTTGGTGAAGAATGAACCCCAAAATTAAGGCTTAACAAACAATCAATCAAGAACAATAGGATTGATTAGATATTAAAAAAAAAAAAAAAAAAAAAAAAAGAGTATCGCGTATCTGCAGTCGAAGTAATGGCATGTAGTGATCGGGTAGCTATAATAGTTGTTTGCTTGATATTCAAGAGTAGAGCCCATCGGACCTGAATTTTTTTGTCGTTGAGAACCTTAATTTGAAGGTCGAAATTTTCTCATTTGGCGACACGAGCCCGGGCCACAGTCATTCAACTATTCATTCATTTACTTTTAATATTGTGGCCCTATCATCATTAAAGTTTTTTTTAGAGGCTGGTTTCAGGGCTATGAGGTAAGTATATTCATAACTCTTTTACTGCCTTATCGTATCCGTGGGTGTTGTTATTGTTATTGTAGCTGTTTACAGTTTTAACTGATAACGATGGTATAAATATAATAAACAAATAAAAAGAGCTTTGTTTTGCTAGAAAGCTAGATAGCTAGATAGCGATAGTTCACCATTGGGACTCTTTTCCTCCCAAGATAAGGAAAAAAAAAAAAAAAAAAAAAACCTCTCTAGTGGTTTGGGACAAATTTTAATAATAGGGATGGTGTATCCGTGGACTGTGTTCATGAATGGCAATGATGTTTTATTTTGGTTTTTTTTTTTTTTTTTTTTTTTTTTTTTGTTGAACTGCCTATTGATAAAAGCCCTTAAAAACCTCAAGTACGAACGGTGTATGCTGATAACGAAAGCTGGTACTTTTATCTAAATGACTAATGATCCTGCTGCTGTGTTGATTGTTTGTTACTGTGATAGGGCCCACCCCTTTTGACAATAGCAATGAGGAAGTTCGTTAGAGCAAACAGATAGTAACAAAGAGATTTTTCCCATTGGGCAAAGTATATATAATTGCAATCAACCTTTGCTTTGTCATTCAGGTTTGTGTTTGTGTTTATGTTTACATGTATATCTAAATGGTTTAAATGGTGTACCGGACAATGTATTCTGACAAGCCCTGCTGTCTAATAGTAAAAGGGAGCAGGCTGAGGATTTTAGAACCTAAAAGTAAAAAAGTAAAGGAATGATTGGGTCCACCTAGTAATAGACGAAGAAGGCAGCTGGTCCTTCTTCCCCACTCTTTCACCCCCCCCTTTTTTTTATTTGTCCATGAATTGTTGTGGCGAAGAAGATAAGAACTGAAGACTAGAGAGAGAGAGAGGAATAGGGTCCCTAGACGCATGGTATCTCTTTTGTACAAGCTCCAGTCTAGTCTCGAAATGGCACCATTAAGAAGCATCAAAGGATGTATCTATCCTTTCCATTATATTCTTTCATTCTTCCCCACACTTTTTGTCTTCTTCCTTTATCTTCTGGTTGGCTGTTGGTTATCGCGTGCACATGCACAGTTTTTTGAGGCCCAATGAGCGTGGTGGAAAAGCCTTTTAGAATGTGACTAAGGTTCTATTTACGAATTAGATAAGGGATATGTCACGCCTTAAATATACCCTTGGCTTTTAGCGATCTAATAACCGGTTCGGTGTGGAGAAAGGCTGAGCTTGATGTTATTCTTTTAGGCTGAAAAAATAATAATAAAGGTTGACCTAGTTTCGATGTGGGGAAAGTAAGTAAGAGATGAATAAGAACATCGGAGTAATAAACTTACATTAGTAGCGAAAAAAAAAAGGGATAAGAGATGATCATTCATCTTTCTTACGCAGCAACTCTTCTCTTTGTTGATACAGATTCTTACATGAAATTACCTACTTGTTGAAAGGTAGACATGTATTCTCATCGCAGCAGTTCTGCCTACACCAATAGAACCTTTTTATTATTATATATTATTATTATTTTCCCTTTGTTTGTTTGCTAACGTTATTGAAAAGATAAGGATAAGAAATGTTACTCAAAAGCCTTTCTACATCATCCTTGGAGGCAAGGAACTGAACCTGTAAGGGCGATTGCAATAGGACGGCAAGTATATGGACTTTGTTGACGCGGAATAGAAGGATGAAAAAGAGCTATTTCCATGGGCTGGCAGAATAGAAGGTCTGTTCTCCACAACGTATCATTGGCAAACACACAAGCAAAAGGGTGCATGCATGTTTTGTACCTCCTCGTAACTATTTTTTTCATGCAACAGCATAACAACATAAACAACGTATATATATAATATAACGAATGTTTATATATAATAATATAATAAATGTCTTGCTTTAGCTTTAGGCTTTTTTTTTTTTTTTTTTTTTTTTTTCATGGGTTTAGCCATTTGTATTGTTTTGAGAAAACCTTAACGGAGGGATCGTTCGTTTCAATTCATTGGCCGACTATTCCATATGAATTTACGATTCAATTCAGTGGGTAAGACTTTTATGCTCAATGCTACAGTTTGAATCAGTCAAAGCCCTGCTTATTGCTGCATGTGCAAAAAGAAAAGAAAAAAAATCCGCTCTTCACTTCTCACCTTCAAGTTATTTCCTCCTGTATAAAAGGAGGAATCTCTTCATCTCTCCTTTTTTTTTTTTTTTTCTTGCTCTTCACTGTTCCTGACAGCCATCTCTTTTCTTCATTACTCCCTCTTGTAAATATATCCTTAGCATCCGCTCCAGTACATACCCTTTTCTTAATTAGTTGTAATCCTTTTTATTTCTTCTTCTTTTTCTTTCTTCAGTACAGTCAACCATGAGCGGACGATACTCTATCTTGAACAATGTCTACTTCTTGGGTGGATTCGCTACCATGGGCGGGTAAGTTTCCACACACGCGCCAAATAATATACACAGAACAAAAGCAGGAATACACAAATGTCTGATACTATTTTTCTTTCGACGTTTTATATATGTATATTTTTCATTCTTTCACCTCAGTATGCTCTTTGGTTTCGACATCTCATCCATGTCTGGAGTAGTCGGTACGGATCGTTACCAAAATTACTTCAACCGCCCATCCTCTTCGCTTCAAGGTGGTATCGTTGCCTCAATGGCGGCAGGATCCTTCTTTGGCGCCTTGATGGCAGGACCCCTTGGTGACAAAATCTCTCGTAAACGTACTATCATGCTTGCAGCAATGATCTGGATCGTGGGATCGATTTTACAATGTGCTGCTGTCAATGTAGCCATGCTTATCGTCGGCCGTATCATCAATGGTGTTGCAGTCGGTTTGGCTTCCATGATCGTCCCTGTCTATCAATCAGAAATTGCTCCCAAAAACATCCGTGGTCGAATTGTCTCACTGCAGCAATGGGCTATCACCTGGGGCATCTTGATTCAATATTTTATTCAATACGGTTGCTCCTTCATTGATTCGGATGCAGCCTTCCGTATCCCTTGGGGTGTCCAGATCGTTCCTGGTATCATTCTTTTGGCTGGTATCTCTATTTTCCCTTACTCTCCTCGTTGGTTGGCTGATAAAGGCCGTTCAGATGAAGCGCTTCAAGTCTTGGCTAATTTACGTGCAAATGGAGACAGGAACGACCCCGCTGTCATGGCAGAGTTCCAGGAGATCGAGGATGCTATCAACTTTGATAAAACCTTGGCTGCTCGTTCCTATTCTGAACTGTTCAAGTACCCTAATGCTCGTCGTGTCTTCCTTGGAATAACTTTGCAATCGTGGTCTCAACTCACAGGCATGAACGTCGCCATGTACTATATTGTCTACATCTTCCAAGGCGCTGGTATCACAGGCCAAAACGCCAACTTGCAGGCCTCCTCCATTCAGTATGTCCTCAACGTCGTCATGACCATTCCAGCAATCCTCTTCATTGATAAGTGGGGCCGTCGTCCTGTTCTCTTGGTCGGCTCCACTTTCATGGCTCTCTGGCTCTTCCTCATCGGTGGACTCATGGGCAAGTACGGTAGTTCTATCAATTTTGAGGGTAATAAGACCACTACCTGGGCCATCTCTGATAACGATGCCGCCTCCAAAGCTGTCATTGCTTGCTCTTATCTCTTCGTCTGTTCCTTCGCCATCTCTTGGGGCCCTGTCTCTTGGACCTACCCGGCTGAGATCTATCCTCTTCGTATCCGCTCCAAGGCCGTATCACTTTCGACAGCTGCTAACTGGGCTTTCAACTTCATTTTGGCATATGCTGTCCCCCCAGCTCTGGAGAATATTCAGTACCGTACTTACTTCATCTTTGCGGCTTTCTGTGTTGCCATGACCATCCATGTCTTCTTCATGTTCCCAGAGACCAAGGGCCGTACTCTTGAAGAGATGGATGAGCTCTTCAACTCGGATATCCCTGCCTGGAAGACCCGTGCCCTCCCTGCCTCCAAGCTTGAACAAGACATCGAAAATATCAAGATGCAACAGGCTGGTGAGAAGGCCCCCAACACTGCCGCTGGACATCAATAGACCCTCTTTTATAAAAAAAAGAAGAGGTCTTTTTTTTCCCTCTCACTCTTGCCTTATTACAATAGCTATGTCTGCATCCTTGAATATCCACTCATAATCAATACCCATTTATGCGTAATAATAACAAAAATAAAATAAAAAAAAGATGCATGCTCTCAAAATACTGATGGGAATTTTTTTTTTTTTTTTTTTTTTTTTTGCCACAATGCATGCGCACGGACGCAAGTAAGCAACAAGCAGCATAGTACATGTAGTAAACTATTTAATCACATCAGGGGATCTTGTCCGTTCAGCCGTCTTGCTTAGTCTATTCTTTACTCTTCGGCCCATCAGTCCAATATCAAAGAACCAACCGAAGTAAGCGATACATGCCCGTACAGCTAGCTTGCACTTCCAGTCCCCAGAGATACATCCTTCCAAGCTGATGGCGGTCAAGGGAATTGAGCTCTGCTTCCATGGTTGCCAAGATGCTATCTTCATGCCTTAGTAGATCAACTGTACTATTTGGGTTTGTATTCCATTCATATATACCATGGGCATGGACACCCAACATAAGCAATGTTTTTCGCTGTTCAATTTTCTGCAACAAATCGGACCGTGCAGTAAAAAACTTTTCAATCGCACCGAGAATGTCATTCGCCCCTTTGATCATTGTATTTAGCTCATCTTTGTGTTCCGGGGGGGGTTTTTTTTTTTTTTTTTTTTTTTTTTTGACATTAAAGAATAGAGCGAGTATGTGAGAATTGTTATTCATTCACTTCATGCCTTCATGTGATGAATGCTAGACAACAAATCCATATTGACATGTACCAATCATCTTGGTCCGGGTAATAGGATGGAAATGTACACTTCTTCCTTGATGCGAGGATTGAGCTGTCTTTAATGGCGAACTCGTAGCAGTACTCGTTGATGGTCGTGCAGATGGCGACCTCGAAGCCGGCACAGGGGCACATGGCCACCCTTGATCGCTTGGGGGTAAATCACAGGTTTTCTTTTGTTGTAAGAAGAGCTTGACATGGGTACCATATTGTAATAAGGTGATTATGTTGTGGGATAAAGCGCGATTCCAGAAACTAATTTGCGATGTGTTATAAAACGAGAGCATCTGCTCAGACTGAGTCGCGTTATTACCAAAAACAGACGCTGGAGTCGAAGTCGAGCAACCACTAATGGAGCCAAATTCTGCTTCGAGACTATTCCCAGCGCTAGACGGAATAGAGCTGGAATTGGGTTCAAGTTCTTGTGGGGGTATATTTGAGGATATTGCTGTGTTAAGATTAGATCCAACTTCAGGAATAGATGGCTCTAATCCCATACTGGGGACTGAGCTAGCTCCAATTCCTTGAACTGATGGCTCATCAGAGGCATTTCCGCAGTTTCTTTTACGCTTTTTCCCTGCAGCAACAGAATCGGGACAAGGGATGGTTGCCGGTGGGGAGCTCCACAACGGTGGGAATTTATCGTGAGCAAAGAAGCTAACTCCCTCAAAGGAAAGGAGAGATTCTCTTTCCAGACTTTCTGTCATGTTGCAGCAGCTTTCGAGCAATGTAGGCAAACCAAAGTCGAATGTCGCCCTAACTGAAAGCTCAAGCTTTTTTGAATAGTTTTGAAGTCGATCATTCATCTCCGTATTGACAGGAGTCCTAGGCTCTCTGGGCAACGAGAAGGGCTGACCTTGTGGGCGAATTGAGCTAGACCTTGACTCATTGGAGGATTCTGGACATGTAGGTGAAGAGTAGCAAGAATTTAGACTCTGTTCTGTCTTGGATAAATCGGATGTAATGGAGAGCCGGGGTTTAAGCCCTGAGGCCCGTAAAGTCGGACGCCTATCGCCTTTTGGATGGTCAATGCTAGGTTCTTCACCTGTTATTGGCGGTGGTGCCTGTGGAGATTGCATTGGTGATTGCGGGTTAGTGTTAACTTCATCCTTGTGCAAGAAAGAAATGAATGGTGATTCGAAAGTAAACCACGAGTGAAAAGGTGTATGGGAACCAAATGAGGCGCCTAGGACAGAGCATGGAGGCGTCGCCGCATCGTGTGCCTCGGATCGACCCAAGGCTCTATCTATGTATTCATCCAAAGGACGTGTCAAAATGTTAGAGATCCAATGTTCTGATCTCCATCTCCAAATAATCTGGAGAAAAAAAAAAGAGTTTAAAATGCTGCCCTGAAAGCATATAGGTTTATAAAGCTGACGCATCTTTGCGGCAATAACTACTTGCGTTGTTCATCCGATTCTCCTTTTTGGCTCATAGCGTTGAAAGCAAATAGGATAGTATGAGTAAGAGAGTAAGCCAGGAGCTGTATGGAGGAGGGGAAGATGAGGAAAATGAGTAAAGGAAGTAGAAAATATAAGAATGAAGGAGAATAACTATACACCACTTGACAAAAAAAAAAGCTTATACACAACAGGTTTGAAAGTAAGAGCGAGAGAAAGCATATAAGTTTCCTCTAGAACTGCCCAGGGGTGACCTGCAGTTGTTTCACGTCAATAAAATCCGATGCTCGCGTGTTCATTCAGTAATTTTGCTCATATTTTAGTGTTCACAAAAAAAGTCTTCGGGTATTCTCACAACCACTTTGTATAAAATAAAGTAACGGCTCCTCTCTATGAATAACCAGCACCTGGATGTATTGTTGAATTGTTTTTATGGGTGATGCCAAATGGATTTGACTCTTTTTATTTTTTTTTATTTTTTAAGTATCATATTTTCATTGACTTTTTTACCTTTTTTTTGCTAATATGATGCAAACGCTTCTCAATGAATAAAGAGACAGCCATGCGAAGGAGCCCAATATCATTTGACAAAAGTAGCTTATGAAATCATCGTGGGCACCGAAAGTCAATTCGCTTAAATAGTATAACGTAGATGAGTGAGCAATAAAAAAGGCTGAAAACCACCCACAGTTTCAATGTAAACATTCAAACATCGTTTCTGGACACAGGAGAGCAGGAGAAATTAATGTGCTATTGTTGCGTCGTAAAGAAGAAGACGCTGGAATACTTCTGTCCATAATCTAAACAAGCATTCTCCCATGTCTTCTTTTTATTCCCCTGGTGTGGCGAATGAAGCTAAAAAGAAAGCCACCGATGACCAAAATTTCCTGCACCACACCGGAAATTGGTTGATGAGGCCAAAAATATCCTTTGCAAAGCCTAAGAGATGAGTCTTTGTAAGCCCATGTTCATGACTATCTTTCGTTCCCTGATTAAACCACCTTTTAAGGTCAGTAGACGATTGATTTATTTAAAAAACGTAAAAAAAAAAATATGAAAGAGTATCACTATGCTCCTAATAATTGTTCTCGGCAATAAACACCTTGATTTTGTTCTCAATTTCGTCCCTGATCTCTCGGGCTTCATTGATGGGTTTGTTTTTAGGGTCCGTGATGCTCCAATCAATAACCTTGACACCAGGGACATAAGGGCATGTTTCACCGCAACCCATCGTGACAATCGTGCTGACTGTTCTGGCGAGCTCCGGCGTCAACTTGACGGGCTTGATATTGGAGAGATCTACACCAACCTCCAACATGATCTCACGAACGACATCGTGCACTTCAGAGGCTGGGTTTGTCCCTGCAGATATACCTTTGACTTCATCTTGGGTCTTGTGTTTATTGAAGAATGCTGCGGCCATCTGTGAACGTCCGGCGTTGTGGACACATGCAAACATGATATCGGCCATTGCTTTCAATCTATTGTTGTGAAAGTTGGGTTGTGGCTGGACGGAGAAAATACACAGATGATTTAGCATACAATCCGTCAATATTTTGAATGAATCAGTTTAAATGGATTACATTGCTGATAGCAAAATTAAGGAGTCAAAGCAGAGATGGTGGGCCAATAAGGAGGCAAATGTGAGTAGAGCTAATGCAAACCAATACAAGCCCTGAATGCAAAAGTTACAACATTGGCCTTGGCATCACAGGAATTTTTTATCCGCAGCAAACTGCAACCTTTACCTGTAAATCTGAAAGCACTTGGGATGGTGAGAGAAAGAGGAAAAAGGTATTGCTGTGGTAACGGAAAGGAGCAAGTGAAAAGGATAACTGATTTTTTATACAGTTTTTGTCTGTTGGTCTCTTTTTTCCTCTTCTTCTTTTTTCCAGTTTCCATGCAATTACATCAATGTTCTCAATCCCCAACAGCTATTACCATCTAACTAAAAGGCGCTCTGATCCACATTTGCTCATGAATCACCTCCATCGAGGTCGTCGTTGCTCCACTTGATCGTATCCCCTGATCCACGTGTAATGGGTTCCGGAAAATAGACGTTCCAAAAGTTGAAAAAGAGAATCAAATGCACAATGGAAGGGGCAGCAGGATGAGTACCTTTCGGGAAGAAATGGCCAACAGAAACAAAACAAAAAAACAAAAAAAAAAAAAAAAGAAAGAGCGGAAAGTTTATATAGAAAAGGGGAAAGAGTACCGCACCGGTTATTGTTTAAGTTTGTGTAGAAACACTAGGAAACACAGCTCTTTCATAAGAGAAAAAGAAGGTTTCACAGCCCAGTCTCATCGGGATTAATCAACATCTATTGAACCCATTGGAAGGCCCCTTTAGTTTTTAACTGAAGACCCCAAAAGTTTACAGGTTTTAATGATCATTATGATGCCTTTTCCCCTTTTTGCTTTTCTTCCTTAACTTCACTCTTCATCCTCTTGCACTTCCTTTACCTCTCTTCCCTCCTCTCACTCCAAACGACTCATTTAAAACACATTGCCGAAAAACAGCGTGCTTGGAATGGATTCAGTGAATACTGATCTCAATGTCCACAGTTGGCTAGTGGTCATTACCTTCATGGTTGTGATTGCGATTGTGATTCGGCCCATTCGCATTCCTCTTCCCATCCCTGCATCTTCTCATTCAACTCAATCTCAATCTCAATCTCAATCTCATCACAATGACTCTTTGACCTCAAAAGATACTGCCGTCAATGAACAAGAGCTCGAAAACACCAAGGCAACTAAAGTGAGATTCCCTTACCGTTTTACGCTTGACATTGCTACAGCACCTGTCATTGGAGTTCTATTCCTTCTCGCTACTCGGTCTATCGGTGGTGAAAGTGTTAGAGATGGCATCGTTGGTGCACCAGAGAGTGGAGTTGAACCATATGCAGTTATGATTCTCTTTTTTTCATTGGTATGTTGATCTAAAATTCCAGTTCTGCCCTTGTAGAAAAATTTTCATGTCCAGCTTTTATGTGCGCACGGACCAATGCTAACCATTTTAAAATTCTTGTCACAGGCCTACATTTGCATTAGCCTTGACATGACTGGTGTTTTTCAATACGCAGCTTTCTGGATCTCTAAGCGAGGCGGTGGGAGCGGACACCGGGTCTTCCTCTCCTTCTTCCTCCTCTCGAGTGTCATGAGTGGACTGACCAGTAATGATGTCGTTGTCCTAACCATGACGCCCTTCTTAGTGTACTACTCCCATGCTGTCGACTTGGTAACACCTGTGGCCTTTCTCATGGCTGAAATCCAGACAGCTAATATAGGTAAGGGGCTGCTTTGCTTAATTCATTTGGGCCTTGGAGAAAGTCAATCCCAAAAAATACTGATGTTAAAATGCTTATTTGTGTTCGTCCATTACCATCTTTTATTAGCTTCAATGGCACTATACATTGGTAACTTGACTAATGTGGTCGCCTGTCAGGCCTATAAGATCTCTTTCCTCGAATACAGTGCTTGGATGCTTCTGCCCTGCTTCGCTGCCATTGCCGCTTGCTACATAATGCTGCGGATCAACTTCCGTCATGAAAAATATATTCCCAAGATCGTTAAGACACCTGATGTCGATCCCAGGTCCTGCTTGGTTGATCCGATTGGAGCCATCTTCGGTTTGTCAGTGCTGGCATGTTCGTTGATCTGTTTAATTGGAACATCCTTTGCCCATGTCTCTGTTTGGATCGTCACTGGCCCTTTCGCACTGCTTACGCTGATTAGGGATATCTGGTACGACTCACAAGGCAAGTTCAAAGGCTTGCAAGCAGTAAGCCTTATATCCCAAGGGGATCAAGTCGTCGCTGATTCTAAAAGCGTTGAGAACCGGATAGAACAAGGGCTGTCCGAAATTGCGGTCCCTCAACATAGTATTGTCCGTCCAGTTGAAGTCCTTGACAAAAATGAGCCCCAGGGCGACAAAGAGAGTATTGAAACCGTGGGGGTCGAAGAACTGGGCATGATGGAGAAGAGGATGTCTGATAAACATAATACCAATCCCATAGAAGGTACGAGCCACGCCGCAGCCGCATCATCTACAGAACCTATGCCACCCGCCGATAACGGATCATCTCACCACCACGGGTGGGTGAAGAGGTTCTCTAGTAGATTCGAGCACAAGTTCCCACTCTTGCACGCGATTGCTATCCGTATGCCTTGGGCCATCCTCCCCTTCACTTTCAGCATGTTCATCATGGTTGAGGGTCTCTCCCATTCTGGATGGATCGCGATCTTTGCTAACTGGGCCACACATCTAGTTCCTAACTACATTGCTGCGACCTACGCTATAGGCTTTATCTCAGTCCTACTTTGTAATATTTTCAATAATGTACCGATGACCATCCTCGTAGCAAGAATCTTGCAGCATCCCAACTTTATCAATTCGCCTTTAGCGACAGAAGAGGTTGTCAAGGGATGTCTGTTTGGGCTGATCGTTGGTAGCAACTTGGGAGCCTGTACGACATTGATAAGTTCCTTGGCGGGATTGATGTGGGACTCAGTGTTGAGGAGTAAGAATAGTGGTGTAGGATTTTGGAACTTTTTCAAGTGGAATATGGGCGTAATGCCCATGGTGATCCTAGTATCCCTTTCTGTGGTCGTCATCGAGCTAGCAGTCATTTATTAGCTTATTAATAACTGTACATGTATATATATACTATAATAGCATTTAAAATATTAATAAACTTATTAGAAATAGTCCTGTAACTACCAAGCTGTTTCCGATATTATCAATTGGTGAAGCTAGACAAAAGGTTCGCTTTTTGAGGCTCTGTAAAGGTCTCTATACAGGATTGACGATGACGATTTTAGGTGTTTGGATTGATGATGGAATATACTAGAACTGCTTGAGGAAATGCAGTGAACAGACGAGAGTACAGTGGAAATAAACCAGAGACTGGAGTGGGGGGATGAACAGGGGAGTCTATCTCAACTATGTTCTACCTGGTCAAAAGGAAGAGAAGGAGAGAGAATAGGGAAATAAGGAGGTCATTATTCCAGAGATCTTAATAGTGGACGCGAAGCGTCTCAGAGGGTTGAACGGCTGTGCACGTGGGAGTGGCCAATGAAATGTCGTTATTCTCACTCAGGCAACGGACTAAACTAAAGTGCCATGTTGTCTGCAAGCAGTCCAGACAGTCTACTAGCCCTTTCTCTCATCTTTGCTCCTCTCTTTGACAGTGTTTTAAACAGATTCATCTTATTCAATGGCTGTAAGGAATATAAACCGATCGAGAGGAGAATGCAAGGGAAAAGGACATTGGCAAATAAAATATGGGATTCATTAGTGATTGAAACCAACTCGTGGACAGAGACGCGCTTGGACAGATGGAGGCATGATGATGCAAATGTTCAGAATATTACAGTCGGCAAAGCGTGCCCATGACAGGAATTGAAAGCGATAAAGGAACTGGATTGTTCTACTTGCAGAGCATTTGTTATCAGTCAAGTCATTACAGCTAATATATGCCAGCGGTTAATCATAATATCTGGACATTTATCATTCAACTCGCACAGGGCAACTGTGACATTCACAGCTTGATAAAACCACAAGTCCAATCTCGACTCGGGAATATTTTTTTTTTATCCGTTATCACGGGGGCTATCCTATCGATACAAAGCCATTTACATTTGGCATGGTCTTTTTTTTTTTTTTTTTTTTTTTTCCCTCTTTATTTCACTTAGATCAATTACGTACTGCTCGTAAGTCGGCAAGGCAAAACTCGTCTTGCAAAATGGTTCACAACCCTCAGTCCAAAAGAAAAGACAAAGATCGTCAAAGATGTCACTCAACTCGTCCTTGCAAGGCGAGCTAAAATGTGTAACTTTTTGGAATATAAAGGTAAGCATCTTTCTTTTGATAGAGATCCAGAGAATATTTCCTTTTTTTATATTTTATACTTTTATTATTTTTTTTATTTTCTTATTTTTTTTATTTTTATTTTTATTTTTTTCAAAAAAAAAAAAAAAACTTAGACACAAAGGTCATTTATCGGAGGTATGCTTTCTTCCTGGGACATCATCGGACACTCTGGATCAAAAAAAAAAAAAAAAAAAAGGAATTTTTTGTTTTATTTGTAACAGGGCTCGTTGATCTCCTGGAGAAAAGACTCAACTGTTATTCTGATTTCAATCATATATCTGTAGATATGCAAGCTTGTTCTTCATCACTGGAGTTGACCCAAGTGAGAACGAATTGTTAATATTAGAGGTCATTCATCGATACGTTGAAGTACTGGATCGGTATTTTGGAAACGTAAGAAACGTGGGCGACTTTATCCATCCAAGTAGATTTTTGTAATCATTACCTCAGCAATCTAACAGTCTTTTTTTTTTTTTTTTTTTTTTTTCAGGTCTGTGAATTGGACCTTATCTTTAACTTTCAAAGAGCATATTTCATCTTGGACGAATTACTATTAGCAGGAGAGATGCAAGAGTCTAGTAAAAAGACAGTACTTCGGGTGATCACACAAATGGACGCCATGGAAGAAGAAGAAGCAAAGGAAGAAAAGAACAAATAATGCCTTTTTTTTTCATTATTGTTTTTCATTTTTTCAGACACAGTGGAGCGGCTGGTTTTTTTTTTTTTTTTTTCTCCCTTGCATATAGACATGGAACAATAAACTCTCAAACAAATTGAAGAAAGAAAGGAAAAATAAAATTCATGAAGAAATTTCATACCCCAACTCTTCCTCAATGTTGAGAACCGGTATCTATAGTTTTTTATAGATTCTAATAAAATGGCGCATGTTCTCCAATTTAAGTGGGTAGGTAACACTAGGTGGACATCTATACCACGTTGCATCGTCCTGGTAAACAACTTCGAGATCTTTAAGATGATCCAACAGCATATAAACCATGTATGTCCTTCCTCCCACCTGAAGATTTGAAAATGATCCTGCACTGTCTACGACCTATGAAATAAATAAACAAATAAATAAATTATAAAAAAAATGTTTAGTTTTTTTTTTTTTTTTTTTTTTTTTTTTTTTTATCTCACTGTTATTATTATTATTATTTAAACCACGTCAAGCTAAATCTCTTGACATACCAACATGTGCGCTCCCTTGGGCATAGCAGCAACGATCCTTGCAACCAACAGCATGGTTCGTTTCTTATCCTGAAAAAGCTCATTCAATACAAACATAAACGTGATCAAGTCTGCTTTTGCCACGCGAGCCAACAGTCCGTCCGATAGATCCAACACGTTCCCAATCTCAGTCTCGCATTGTAACCGCTCAGGGCCCAGTTGCATCCTAGCACGAATAACATTTTCCATGGGCTCCAGAATTGGTGACCAATCAACATAATCCTGCATGACAACAGTTACTTGATGTCTGTTTGCTTTTGATGCCTTGACGCTGTTGACGGTAGTGGGAGTAGTAGGAGTAGTGGTTGTTATTGTTGTTGCAGAAGGAACGGAGTTTGTAAGCTCGGATCCTGTGGCAATGCTATTTTGATCTGTTGTTTCGGTTGCTAAGCCCATTCTCTTCAGACCATCCTCCAATGCAACCTCACTATTCGACCCTGATCCATTAATAGAAGATGATCCTTCTTTACCTTCTGCTGTACTTAATTTTGACTCCACAGCTACTTCTGCCACTACCGTAGCTGCTGTTGATTTGGACCCTTCTTCTTCCGCTGCCTCTGCCTCTGCTTCTCCTACTTGTTCCTCTTCTTCTTTCTTTTCCTCCTGCTCCTTCTTCTTTTCTTTCTTATCATCCTTTTTCTTTTTCTTCTTCTTCTCAGGATCCGTCGTATTCTTTTTTGTACTCTTTTTGATTTTTGAGCTGGGTGTGGCATGGACCATAGCAGCCGCAATCCCAACCAATTCACTTCCTGCACCTGATCCAATACATAATATAGTTGAAGGCGTCTGCTCCAGCTTCTTCATCAAGATTGGATGCTCTAAAAACATGTGGTAGTAGCAAAGGGCCCGGCTGGGTGCATACCGTGCACTGTAGACGGGTAGATGGGCCGGATTCTGAAAGACTGCGTCATAATTGCGGTCGAAAAAATGGGACTTTATGGTTTGTAAGGTCGTATCAAAGGAAGGGAGGTTGAATGCATCCTGGCAAGCTTCCTTGATCACATTCAGGATATCTTTTTTTTTTTTTTTTTTTTTTTTTTTTTTGTTAAACAGAGAACAGCAAGGAACGCGTTTGTAATTAATGGTGTGTTTGAGTCTTATTATTTATTTATTTTTTTTGCTAATAAAGAAAAAAGGAGGACTTACGCTGATCTGGACTGTGCCCGAACACCTTCTTAGGCTCTAGCAATACTATGGTCTTCTTTTCTTCCATGGCCCTTTTTATATTTATATTATTTTTTTATTTTTATTTTTTTATTTTTTGAGAGAAAGAGAGAGAGAAAAAGTTCTTTGGTGTGTTCTAATTGATCAAAATATGCAGTCACAGTCATTGTTGTGTAAACACAGCTGCCTTTTTTTTTTTTTTTTTTTTTTTTTTTTTTTTTTTTTTTTCCAGGACATACAAAGCAGACGGACGCTATTTGGTAACAAACGACTCAACCATTCAACCATCTCATCCTCACCATCGCCTTCAATTTCCAATTCGAGTCAAAGTTCGGAATTCAAAAAAGGAGCCATTGTCCCTCTCCTTTATTATATATTTTTTTTTCTACGTTCATTAACAAAAAAAACCCCCCGAAGACGAGAGTTTCATTAATGGCAAAAGGCAACAAACGAAGTAATGGTGGTGGTGCGGGTAGAAGCGGAGGTGGCAGGAAAGCTATTGGGAAAGTCTCTGGACGGGGCACAACCACTTCATTGACTGATAAGAAGGCGCCCAAGAAATTTGGACAACTCAGTCGGAAGGAACGTGAAATGATGGAGGAATATGGAGAGCTGGTCCCAAAGGATTTTGATGAAGATGAGAATGATCGTGTAGGGTAAGGCGGCCTTGCGGCTTTAACACCCATACGGAACAGGTTTTTTTTTTTTTTTTTCCATTTTTTATTTATAATTTTTTATTTTTTATTTATTATTTTTATTTTTTCAAAGTAGGTCTAAAGCTTCTGACGTACTAACTGATTTTGTATATATATGTGCATAATAGATCCTTCCGCAAAATTGTCAAAGAATCAGAGTTAGATTATCAATCAGCATTAAAAAGGGAGCGTGAGGCGGCGGAATCAGATGATGAACCCGAGGAAGACGAATACAAATTAAATCGACCTTCCGCATTTAACAAACTAGTTGGGATTTTGAAAAAGAATAGCAGACGTCAGGATGAATGGAAGAAAAGGAAACTCGAGGAAGAAGGACTTGAAGATATGGAGGAGGAGGAGGAGGAGGAGGAGGGAGATGAGGAAGTTAAAGAGGAAGAGATTGTTACGCTAACAGAAGCAGAAAGAAAGGCACTCATTAAGAAACATGGAAAAGACTATTTGAAGGCTCTGGAAGGAAGTGATGTTGAGGATGATGAATATGATCAAGATGATATGGACGACCAAGACGTAGACGATGTACATGAACAGGGTGGAGAAGAAGAAGGAGAAGGAGAAGACGATGCAGGAACTGATGAGGAAGATCGTGAAGCCATTGCTGAAGAACGGGAAGGTTCCGATGACTCTGATGAGGAAGAACACTATATGAAATCAAGTATGTATCTTTTTTTCCCTCTTTTTTGCGCCATGAAGGCTTGCCACTCATAATACTATTTATTTTATCATATTTATAGAGGATAATTTTGACCGCCACTTCAGCGACATGGTCACACCTTTGTTGGCGCCTAAAGTGGCTGTTATTGAGCTTTCTGGCAATCAGTGGAAGAGCATCTGTTATGAAGATCCTGTTTTGAAACGTGTGGAAAAATTCGACACTGATAATGTCAAGGGCGAACAAAAGGAGACAAAGTCAAAAAAGAGCAAGAAACTAGATTTGGAATCTCTTTCAGTAAGTTTTTTCTTCTTTCTGGGCCAGATGAAAAAAAAAAAAAAAAAAAAAAATCTTACAAGGTTTACGTTCTGGAGTCAAGGACATATGGAGGTTTTAACACAATAACTTGCTAATTCTCTAATCGACAGGTCAAGCAACGTATTCAACCTAATTGGGCTGCTGTGAATGAATCTGTACTCGAAATAGCGTCTTCAAAGACATCAAAATTTTTTTCACCATTGCAGGAGGCACTTGTTGAACCTATTACTGAATACAGGGACATCCTCTTTACGAATCGTAGCATGGAAAACTCAAAAGAGATTCGAAACCTTTATGTGATGCATGCACTCAACCATGTTTTGAAAACTCGCGATCGTATTCTCAAGAATTCTGGGAAATTACAACGCTATCAACAGAATACAGAATCTTCTGCCTCTCCTCCAGAGTATAGGGATCAAGGATTCACAAGGCCTAAGGTCTTGATCATCTTGCCTTATAAGAACACAGTGGTGGATGTAGTGGAGTCATTAATTGCTTTGAGTGGGTCAACACAGCAGGACAATAAGAAACGTTTCTTTGAAGAATTTGGACTTGATGAAGAATTAGAGGATCATAATAGAAAACAAGATCGCCCAGGTATAAAAAAAAAAAAAAAATTAAGGGCATTCACGTGAATAAGTCTGTTAAAGTCGGCTTTCAGCATCAACAATGAGGATCATGGACTAATTTGATAATTCTTCTTTATTTTAGCCGACTTTTTGGAGACGTTTAAAGGAAACATTGATGATCACTTTCGTGTTGGCATAAAGTTTACACGCAAGACTCTGAAGCTATATTCGGACTTCTACTCGGCTGATATCATCTTGGCTTCACCATTGGGCCTGAAGACCGTTATTGGAGCGGAGGGTGACAAAAAGAGAGACTTCGATTTCCTATCCTCATTAGAAGTAGTCATTGTTGATCAAGCGGATGACATGCTTATGCAGAACTGGGACCATCTGGAGGTAAGAAGGATAAAAAACAATTCAAAATTAAAAAAAAAAAAAAAAAAAAAAAAAAAAAGTTTTAGGGAAAGGTATCCCAAGTTCAAACATTTCGTATTCGAAGGGTTGTTGATCATTTGTTTTTTTATCCTCGATTAGACTGTTTTCGAGCACATGAACTTGATTCCAAAGAATGCACATGGATGCGACTTTTCCAGAGTCCGGAACTGGTCTTTGGATGGACGTTCTAAATATGTCCGCCAAACATTAATGTTTTCCAACTACTTGACTCCAGAGATCAATGCACTTTTCAAAAAATTTTCCAAGAATGTGGCGGGCAAGCTCAAGATCACTCAACCTTACGAACATGGCACTATTGTCGACGTAGTGCCTCTTGTTCAGCAGAGTTTCAACCGGATCGAGACTCGAACGCTCGCTCAAGCGGATGATAATCGGTTTCAATATTTTATCAACCATACATTGCCTCAACTTCGTCGTTCAGCAGTGACACAGACTCATACTATGATCTTTATTCCCTCCTATTTTGATTTCGTACGACTGAGGAACTACTTCTCTGAGAACAAATACTCATTTGCAGCCATTTGTGAATACACATCCACTGCGAATGTATCCAGAGCTCGTTCAAGTTTCTTTCATGGTGAAGCTGCTTTTTTGTTGTACACGGAGCGATTTCATTATTTCCGACGGTATAATATCCGAGGTACCTTCCATTTGACGTTCTATGGCTTGCCAGACCATCCACAGTTTTATCCAGAGATGTTGAATTTATTGGCATTACCTGCAAGTGGCGGAGGTGAGAAATCTAGGTCGAAACATGCAGCTGCAAATGGATTGGAGGACAGAGCCATGTCGTGCACGGCCCTGTTTACAAAGTATGACCTATTGAAGCTGCAGAGAATCGTGGGTACAGAGAGAGCGAATAGTATGTGTAAGCAGGAAGGACGCGATCTCTTTGTGTTCACATAAAAAAAATAAAAAACATCTATATAATATAGCATTTAGATAATAAAAATAAAAATTCGCTTTGCCCAGTAACAAATGGACATCACGTGTGTTTTATTTATTTATTTACTCTTACCCAAAAAAAAAAAAAAAAAAAAAAAAAAAAATGCCGTTTCCAAAAACACTTTTGCCTCTACTTTCTCCAGACTTCTTCATTCCTTCCTTCCTTCATTCCTTCCTTCCTTCCTTCATTCGCATTTGCAGAAAATATACCTAGCCTTTTTTTTTTTTAAAAAGAAAAATGTCTTCCAAGGACATATCAATGTTTCTTTCTTGGGCGGAGGAGAATGAAATTCTGTGGGATAAAAAGGCGATCGAAATAAAGGAGGGCAAGCATGGTTTAGGTGTTTATGCAAAGAAGCAATTGGATGAAGGATATGAAGGTATAAATATGGAGGGGACTAAATTCTTAGCTTTCGCCCTAGAAATTGTGGAACTACAGAGCATTGGCTTTAATATTAGCACTTAACATTGATCACAATAATCTTTTTTTTTTTTTTTTTTTTTTTTCCTATTGATAATTGATCCAATACCATCTTCTTTTTCCATTCTTTTATACAAAAAAAAAAAAAAAAAAAAAAAAAGTGGTCAAGGTCCCAAAGTCAATTGTCTTATCAGTTGAAACGACAGGCATTGCCAACTTGTTATCAGATGAAGAAATTGAAGGTTACATTGGCCTGGTCATTGGATGTATGTTCGAAATGTCTCAACAACATCGATCTCCTTGGTCTCCTTATCTAACTTTGTTGGTAAAACGTCCACCTCAAATGGCCACATCTTTATCTAAGGATGCTCGTGAAATGATGAAGTGTTGTGAAGCCTATCATGATATTGAAGCTGACATTGTAAGTCTCTCTCTTCCTCCAGAGCCTTGATCCTGTAGAAAAAAAAAAAAAAAAAAAAAAAAGAGAAATCTCAATACCAACATTTTTTTTTTTTTTTTTTTCCTTTTCTTATTTCTATATAGAAAGATATGCAGGATGATTATGACTCCATTGTAATCCCATTCATCAATCGGCATCCAGATGTGTTCACGGAACAAGTCAAGGCCAAGTTCTTTACCTTTGAGGCATTCAAAATTATGACACAGCATGCTTCTTCGCGCGCCATGGATGTCGACAACTTTCATATCTCTGCTCTTGTTCCCTTTGCAGACTTGTAAAAAAAAAAAAAAAAAAAAAAAAAAAAAGGATATTCATATTTAATTCAGTTTTTTTTTTTTTTTGACGCTTACCACTATTTTCTTTTCTTTTTTCTTTTTTTTTTTTTTTTCTTCTTGCTTATTCATCTAGAATCAATCATAATCAAATGCCTAATGCTGACTACTTGACACACGAAGATGTTTGTGAGATCTGTGGCAATTTGGTATGTGAACATCGGGAGGAAAGTAACGACTCTGAAGATGATGATGATGATGATGATGAAGATATAGAACTTGAAGATGATGGTGATGGTGATAAAGTGCCTAATCTCGTTGGTGGCAATCATCATGGTAATGACAACAGTGATAGTGAAGAAGCTCTTGGCTCGCCAGACGAAGATGAGGCATTACATATTGCTAAGAAACCCGAGAAGAATCACACCAAGAATGACGATACTATTGATGGTGATGATCACGAAGAAGAAGAAGAAGAAGAAGGAGAAGAAGAAGAAGAAGAAGAAGAAGAATGGGAAGATGAGGATGAAGACAATGAAGACGATGAAGACGATGAAGAAATTATCAACGATACCTGCGACATCATCTTGGACTATCCAGTCAAGAAGGGTGAAGAGATCACACGCCATTATGGTCCTTACTCCAATAAGGTCCTTCTTAGCAAGTACGGCTTTGCAGTCGAAGATAATGCTCATGATACAGTCACGATTCAATTAGAGATGGTTCGTCAGGCTGCAGAGCAGTTTATCAAAGATAAAACGTTGGTAGAAGAAAGGATCGAGTGGTTTTTGGAAAATGAAGACGCCTTCATCGGGGATGAGCATGAAGATAATGATCATGAATATGGACATGAAGGTGGATGCTGCGATAGCGACGACAATCACATGCATGACCATGGCGTGGAACAGGGAAGAGAGGAAGTGGAGGAAGTGGATGCGAAACATAAGCATTTCAAGAATAGCAAAAAGAAGAGCCAGATCAAGGAGCAGAAGATTGATGATGAAGATCAAGAAGAAACAGAAGATGAAGGACAAGATATGAGTGAAAACGGTGAGGAGGATGAAGAAAATGAAGAAGATGAAGATGAAGAGGGCTTCCCTAAAGATCTCATGTACATGATGCATGATGGTTCAGTAGACGACCGCCTGCTGATGCTTCTGAACGTCTTGTTCATGGAAAAGAATCAGTTTAAGAAGGTCAAGGAAGATATGGATATCGCAACTGAGTACTTCAGCGATATATTCAGGCGTCGTCAGCAAGAAGAACATGGTGATGATGACGACGAGGACGAGAGCGAAGACGAGGATATGGAAGTAGAAGATGAAGAAGGTGATGAAGAGGACAATGCCAAGGTAACGATGAAGGCTCTTCAAAAACCAGAACTCAAACCTCGCGATGTCAAGTCCAAAAAAGTCCGCCGGGCGGTTCTAAAGGCTATTCTTGCCTTGATCCGTATCCGGGCTGATACCTTTGGCGTGACAGACAAGACGACTGCAGAGCAGGACCTTGAGTCCTTGAAGAAAGTATGTCTTTTTTTTACTTCTTTTGCGCTATTGTTTTTATTTGTTTATTGGTTCGATTTACTAATGATTGTAATTACTGGTTTTTTTTTTTTTTTTTTTTTTTTTTTTAATCAGGCTAAACTATCTGGCCCTCTGTACTATGGAGGCCTCTGCGTCCAAGGCGAAAAGCAAATACTCCAGAATGCACTTCAGGGTTACACGCATTTTCTCTCTGAATTGTAGTCACGAAAGCAAATAGAAAGGGGGACAATGTTCAAGTTAAACATTAGAAGCTTTTTTTTTTTTTTTTTTTTTTTTCAATATTATTTATTTTTGGTGGGGGGATAATAAATACAGGTATTACAATGAGTTTTTTCTACGATGGATATATAGTCTAAATCACAAACTTGATAATCCTCTTCCAGAGAGGAGCCTTGACCTGCATGTCTTTCAAGTCTTCCTCTGTGGGGATGAAGCGACCAGTATCAAGGTCAGCCTCCTCAGGCTTAACCATCTTTGTCTTGTGGACGAGTTTGTAGCTCAAGAACAAGATTGAAGACATGATCCATGGGAACCAAGCGCCCAAGAGACCCTGAGCATATTCATCACGGCCTTTCTTGAAAAGAGCCATCTGTTCCTCTGTAGCGCCATCACCAGGGTTTTGAGGTGGGTTGAGGACTGAGAGGTAGCAGGTAGCAATGATACATCCGGCACCGATGATCGTGGCCAAGATGTTACCATAAGGATATCCCCAAGAGGCATAAGGCAGTTCACTGACAGCACGACCCTGCTTCTTCCAGCAGTAGCGGAAACGGAAATGAAGGATCAAGATCAGCAACCAGGACTGGAAGATGATAGATCCAATGATGGAGACGAACCATTGGAAGACTACACCGGAGCCAACAAAGATGGTGATCAAGGATAAGCAGGAGCAGGCAGTGACGATTGCCAAGGCGACCAATGGGACACCGCGCCCGTTGGTGTAGCCAATTGACTTGTGAGCCCAGCCGTTACGGGAGAGAGACAACAACATGCGAGTGGCGACATAAAAGTCGGAATTGATGGCTGAGAAGATGGAGGTGAAGACGACAGCGTTCATATAATTGGCTGCGACGTTGATGCCAGCTTTAGCAAAGACGATGGTGAAAGGAGCTGTGGCAGCAGACTTTGTGGTGTTGATGAGCTGAGGATCATTGTTATCGATGATGGAGCCCAAGAGGAAGACTGAGATGATGTAAAAGAAGGCGATGCGAATCAAGACAGTGTTGACAGCCTTGGGGACATGCTTGTGGGGGTTGCGGGACTCGGCTGCGGTGACACCTGTCATCTCGGAACCACCATAAGCATAACCAACAGAGACCAAGACCTTGATGAAAGTCAAGAAGTCACCCTTGAAAGGAGCACCATCCACACGCCATGTATCCATACCATAGTGCTTACCACCAATAGCACCAGTATTGACCAAGATACCGCAGACGATGAACATGATGATCGTGCAGACTTTGAGGATCGAGAGCCAATACTCAATTTCACCGTACGCTTTCACACCTGTGACGTTGATGATGACCATGACGACAATGATGATCAAGGGCACAACCCAAGGTGGGAACGTAGAATCTTCAGGCAACCAGAAATCAACGATTACAGCAGCAGCAGCCAATTCTGCAGGGATAGTCAAAGCCCAGTTGATAAAGTACATCCAAGTCATCTGAAATGACAAAGCCTCGTCAAAGATACGTCCACCCCAAGCATTGAATGCTCCGGGGAGAGGAAGAAGAGTGGCGATCTCACCGATAGCTTGGCATACAAAAACCAACCAAAGACCGATCAAAGCATAGGCGAGCACTATTTTTTATTTTAAAAAAAAAAAGGGGTATGAGGCAAATATGTAAGCATTCAGCTTTTTTTTTTTTTTTTTTTTTTTTTTTTAGCACTGCCATCTTTGCATTGCCGCATTAATATTTCGTGGGTTCTATAAAAAAAAATAAAAAAAAAAAGACTTACAGGCTCCTCCGGGCCCAGCAGTAGCGATTGTGTTTCCGGAAGTCAAGAAGAGACCAGTACCGATGGTTCCAGAGACAGCAATCATGATCATGTGGCGGAGACGCAAGTCGCGCTTCAAGCCCTCTTGTTCTGGAGCCAGCTCATGGTGAGCCACATCCTCCATATGGTCGACCTGATATTTTTCATCAGAAGGATGTTCTTCTTTTGACATGATGTGATTTGTATATATGTATGATCTATGTGAGAATGAGAATGAAGATGGAAAACAGAAAGAGTGATATACGGTGGAGAGAATAGGATCGAAGACACGATCAGACAAGAATGGATGGGAATGAAGGAAGGAAGAGTGAAAGAGGTATGATTATTGAAGGGGAAGGGTAAAGTATGGATTTGTAGAAGTAACAAAGTCAAGGAGAAAAGGATAAAAAAAAAAAAAAAAGAGGAGGGGGTTTGCAGCTTTATTTATATGATGTTTATGGGAAAAGACGTTGAGCAGGCTACGACCATACAAACTTTTGGATTAGGAAAGGGCTAGGCTCATGGATTTTTGTTTTAATGGTTTACTTGGGAATGAAGGTTTTTTAGTTTGCCAGAAGACTATAGAGGCCAACACAAGTGTGAACAGACAATCGCCCTTTTTCGTCTTGGTGTTTTGGCCTTTGCCCCTGTGCTGCTATTGGCCTTTACTCCTGTGCTGCTATTGGCCATTGTCTTCGGTGCTGCTATTACTAAATACAGTTACTACAATGAATTCTATTGTACGAATAAGGTAAAATTATTATATTTGCATTATTGATAAGCAGCATGTGTGTTTGTATCATTTGAGCCTACTCTCTCCTTTGTCTAGAACGGGTTGACGTTCTATTCGAAAAAAAAAAAATGTTTGTGATCAAATTATATACATGTACAACAGCACTTTTCTCAGGACACACTTTTTGATCGAACAAACATGAGCACAGAGGAAAGAAAAAAAAAAAAGAGTACTGCATGTTGTATTTTCGCCTTTATGCCTCTTTTCTTTCAGCCTCACCTGTTCTTTCACTTTTTTTTTAAAGTTGATCCTTGGGGCAAAAGGTTTTTAGTTTTGATTGGCCTAGGGAGAGAAAGAAAGAAAGAAAGAGAAAGAAGGATCTATGCAGTAATTCCTCAAGCCAATGTCTCTCATAATTCATATCCCTTGCAATCTTGAAGTAGAAACAAGAAAAGAACAATGAGTATAATAAATTACTGATTCGTGAGTCAATAAGAACGCTCGCTTAATTCTTATTCTTATTCTTATTTTTACTTTTCACTTTTGTCACGATTTGATTACAACAGTAGTAGAAGAGAGTAAAGACCAACTGATTCGTTGCCAACAATAGCTCAAGTGGTGAGGTTTCTCATTCGTTTGCGCAAATCAAATCGACCGAATCCGAATCGAATCAATTAAAAAACAACGCGAAATAAAACCTTGAGCACAAAATAGGGTATATACAATGGCAAGAATACCTTGATCTTGCCCATAAAAAGTATTTTCCCATTTGTGTATACATACATGTACATCTTTTAGTGAGTGAGAATAAAAGATGCCTTTTGTCTTGTTGATCGCAAAAACCCTCTCCCTCCCTCTTTGGCCCTTTTGTTAACCTCCCCCCACAAGCTCTTTTTGAATGCTGTTATCTTGTCTTACCTCTTTACATTTCCAAACCCCCTAGTGTCCTCCATATCCCCTGAAAATTTAGTTCTGAGGAATCAATATATATGACATTGTATAGTTTAAAAAGTACTGAGCATAAACACGTCAAACAAACTAAGGGTGTAATCTCGTTTTTGACAGCTGCCCTCTTTCCGATATGCTCTTAATCAATGATCATTGTTAAAAAAGATGAAATAAAATAAAACCTTCTTTTTATGTGAGTGTCCCAGAGCAGATATGACAGAAAGATACATGAAAAAGATAAAAAGTACTGCATTGGGATTGGAGGAACCATTGGAAGAAGCACATGACGGTGCAGAGCGGGGATTGGAATAAGAACTATATTTCCTTTAACATTTCTATCGGCCCACCAGATCTGATTTCAACTTACATTCCATTCATGTATAGAAGGCATAGAAGCATAGAATTATAGAAAAGAATATATACCCCAGATTTCTAGAAAGGCTATATTAGAACAAAGAAGACAAAATGTCAATTGTATAGATGTACTCTCATACGGACTATAGCACTACAACTGACAAAAGGGCCAAAACATCCTTCCTGATCAACTTACATTGCAATTTTTTTAATGGCGTACAAACACAACAAACACTGTGCAACAAACACAGTTTTGATTGTGAACCAATATTTCTTTATATGTTCACACGCAGCAAAAGCTTTTCCTTATCCGGTCTACCTCGAGTCCGCATGGAAACTAAACAACAATTTTGAGGGCATGTGTGCAAACATCGTCCTAAAAGAAAGAGAAAATAGGCGCAATGATTAGGTCAAAGTTAAGCATTCTCAGGGCCTTTTTTTTCTTCTTCTTCTAATGTTTGTTGCGTGGATGCATCTCACTCTCTTTTGTTCATCGTTGTAGTTTATTCACTTTTTCGCCTTAAGCATCTGATTCATAAATGGCATTGAGCCTCCAAGAACAGGTTTTCGATTATTATTATTATTATTATTATTATTATTATTATTATTATTTTACAACAAGCTACCTATACAAGAGCGTCATTAATATAAGCTAATAATGTTTATGCCATGTGTATATTTCATACATATATATACAGTACAAGCTTAACTGTACATGGACATTTGTTTTATAACCGTAGCCTTTTTTTTTTTTTTTTTTTTTTTGAAAAAGCCCAGAACATCTCAGAAAGACGTTATATAATGATAAGCTTGTTTAACTGACCCCATACCCCAGACGCATGCACTTGACATATTTGGAAAGTTACATTTATATACAACCAACATATACATCTTTACGCTTTTCTTTTCGCATTTCGAACCTAGAATTCTCTTTTTTTTTTTTTTTTTTTTTACCATTGCTCTTTTCTTTTACAAAAACCTTGATATGGCGCAGAAAAGGGAAATGCAATTTTACACATGTCATCTGTTGTGTAAATTAATTCAATAAGGTAATAATATATATATTTTTTTTCATTGGTCCAATCCTCGTTTTCATTGCGCGTGATATGATTACAATTATTTTAAACGATTGACCAATGAAAGAAAGCGCCCCACTTTTGTGTAACGTTTCCTCGGAAATGGGTTCCATCATGTTCATGTTCATGATGGATTGAATAATATATATTCTATACACTGCCATAAAATAAAAAAAAAAATAAAAAAACTGAGCCAGCATTACCTTGATCGAGCGGCAAAACGGCAGTTTTCATATTTTTTTCTTTCTTGTTGTTGTGATCGAGGCTATGCCAAGACCGTACAGCCTGCATTATTATTGAAATAACTAATATTGATGTAAAATATCATAAAAGGGCCTTCCTCTCTCTGCTCTCTTGATCTAGTTTTATTATAACCTGAATCTCTTTGGCTATGGAACAATTCTTTGAAACTGGCGCTTAACGTGCATGTGATATATAACATATATATATGTTGGCTCAACAGCTTCCTTGATGATCTTACCGAGACACATTGAATTATAAAAGAAGTAAAAATAAACGTAGTCTCTGAAACCGTGTCTTTATTTTTTTTTTTTTTTTTTTTTTTATTTTTTCTTTTGCATTGGATATCGGACATCGGACACCGGACACCGGACACCAGACATCGGCAAAGTGGAAGCCGATTCAGCCAAAGTGATGAAGGCATAGAAAAAAAAAAAATGCGCACAAACGGCCAAAGAGTAGAAGCGCGAGATTAAAGGATCTCCTTTTTTTTTTTTTTTTTCCTTCTTCCCAATGGACAAAGTCACATCTTGCGGGCGTCAGAAAGCATTGATCTTATTGGAAAAACGTAAGCACAATATTTGATAGAGATACATATATATCAAAGTGAATGTGTCCTCTGCATGAAAAAGAAAAATAAAAAAAAGGGCGGATCTTCGTCAGCAATGCATGCAAGATGATGTCCTGGCTGGCTTGGGTGGAAAAACCCCAGACAATGCAAAAAAAAAAAAAAAAAAAAAAAGACGACTGTACATGTGGACTAAGAATCAAACTCAATTAGTATACTATTTTTTAGGGGGGAGAGAGGGGCAGAGCAGGGGGGAAGATTTGCTTTACTTTTTCTAATGACTTCACTTCAAGTTCAGTTAATCCGAAACCCTTTTTATTGACAATTGAAAAATAAGTGTGGGAAAAAGATATCTTGGCCTCCTTTAGCAGTCTTTTCTTTTTTTCTTTTTTTCTTTTTTTTTTATCAGCCAGTAGGTTAGCTTTTATGACATATTATCAGGGCGCATCCTCATCATGATAGTTATATACATCTAGTTCTTTAGATATGAATGAGAGAAAAGGTTGTTTTAGTTCGAGCTCTATAACCCTTCATATCACCACCATATCACCACCATAGTAACAAAATAAATATACCCAATATCCTTAGTCATCTCTTCCCAGTTTATTATGCAACGCGTATGTCAAGAAACTGATGAACTCTTCTTTTCTGACTTGATATGCCAATATGATTGTGCTTCTTTATTTTTAATCACAGCAGTTTGCACTACAAGACAATAGGGAAGGGTATGTTTAGAAACAGCAAAAAAATTAAAATGAATGAGAAAAGGTGGTATAATACTAGAACGGCTCTATGAAAAGATGCATATTTCTTATATGGATGCTATGATGTTACTGCTATTGTTGTTGTTGCTGTTGTTACTGTTGTTACTGTTGGTGCTGCCGTGTGGTATTTAATTGAGCGCAAAAGGCGTTAGAGATGGGAAGGGGGGGGGGGGGGGGGGGGGTGCAAAAAGGAAATAAAACAAATAAGGGAGAGAGGAATGTGGAGGGGAGGGTCCAAGCGGCTGTGCAACCTAGCGGCGTGGCTGAGTCAGATCGCCATGCATGTGAAATGCTTATCATTTCCATGTTTTGCAGAAATTAATCTTTTTTAGCAAACTCTGGGACTCCTGTGCAGCGCACTGACATTATTTCGCCTGTCTCAAGTACATAGCCGGTCAACTCACGTCCATAGATACATCCAGTGTCTATGCCCACTGATCGGTCCATCACATTAAGTGATCGTCCTGCATCATGGCCATAGACTACAAAAAAATCAAATCTCGAAGATGGCCTACGATGACCATGACGGCGACTGTACATCTGGTTGAACGCATGAGCCCAGCCTTGACCAAAACGCTTCTTACGTGCGGGTGTCCCGTCATCGAGCACGTTGCGCACATTGATCAGAACCCATGGTTGTTGACTCAAGATATCACGACGTGGGTCGATGCCAGCATGGACCACATGGGTAGGTAGATTGTGAATAGAGAGCTCCCTCGGCAATGTCAAAATAAGTGGACAGGAACGTAGGTAGTTGTACTGTGCTCGGGTCATGGCTCGAGCAAGGCGGTAATGCTCCGAGTTCTTGTCTAGGTCCCATGGGATCGCCACACCCGAGTGTCTATGATGGCGCTGGCGGATGAGATCATTGTCATCATCATCATCGTCAACAACGTCCTCCTCGGCTTCAAGGGCTTCACGTTCTTTTGGACTGAGGCTATCTAAATATCCACGCCACCGGATAACCTTATCATCGTGATTACCGCGCACACACTTGGCACCAACCTCAATGGCACGGTCGAGAAGTTCAAGCGACTGCGGTCCTTTTGAGATTAGATCGCCTGCCAAAATGATCACGTCCTTTTCGGCATCATACTTGTACTTTTCCATAAACTTGTTAAATTCCTTAAGGTTTCCGTGCGTGTCACCCAAGATGATAGTCCTTCGAACTTGTTTGGGTCGTTCGCTATATTGGATTTTATCATCCTTGTCGTCGTTATCATCACCACAATTGTCGCTAAAATGGATTTCTTCCTGGTAAATGTATTGAGCGTAGCGGTCAGAGGGAAGTGATTCCGGTGGCGTATTAGGCTCTTTCATGGTGAGATGAATTTGGTCAGCCTTATCTTCAATGAACGAGAACATTCCATCATTGTCGTCATTGTTGACGTTATCACGATTACGGTCCAAAGGATTGTCTAAAACGGTAATATACCGAGCACGAGAAATACATCCTGGAGGGCGGCCGTCCCTGGAGTTGTCTGGAAGCTTGGGCATTAGCTGCCAGACTGTAGCAGTGCTGAAGAGCAAAACAGTGATGACAATGACGAGAATTGCAACCTGCGTGACCACAGGTCGCACAGACGATGCGAGAGGCATGGGCTGTGTGGGAGGCTTGTTTTTAAAATTTTTAATAAAAGGTTGAAAATGAATGCGTTCCTTGAATGACACGAGTCGTTGTTTTAGAATGCTGGGTAAAGAGGAAGGAAAAAAGAAGAAGAAAAAGAAAAAAAGTATGAAAAGTGGTGAGAAAAGATAAATGAGGTGAGAAGTGAAAAAAAAAAAAAAAAAAAAAAAAAAGGTTTGTGTGGATTCGAAGAATCAAATGAGAATTCTCGACGTGTGAATGCCGAGAAAAAAAAAAAAAAAAAAAAAAAAAATCCTCAGGTGTGAATGTCAAGGGGGAGAAAATTCTTTGCTTGGTCAGCTTTGTCAAAGTGGAGAAGGGAGGAAGAAAAGGAGGGTGGGGTGGGCAATTTTTATTATTTTTTTTTTTTCGTGGTCGGTGTTATCTTTTTGTATCTTTTTTGTCTGTTGGTATTGTTCTTACTGTCGTTGTCAAAGTTGCCTATTGTTTATATAACTTGGTTTTCAGGGACCATCCCATAACATGGAGAGTGACGATGAGAGCCCACGGCAAATGGCGGTGACGGTCAGTAGTATATTTTTTTAGACTGAGAAGATAATAAGACAGATGATTTAGCACCGAAACCATGAATAAATGGATCCCGCTACTCTTTTTTTAAAAAACAACCGTTGCGGTTGATGGCAAAGAACAATTAATGAACTGCTATAATGTTATTTTATTACTCTATGTTTACTGTAGCTTACTACCATTCTTTTTTTTTTTTTTTTTTTTTTTTTTTTTGTTTCTGTTGAAGCTCCATGATGGGGCGGATACTAGATGAGATGGATAATGGACACATGAAAGGGGTTGATACTGACAAGCAGCACTAAAAAAGAAAAAAGCACATGAACTAATCAACTAAAGCACAAACAAAGAGGGGCGTTGAGGATAGGATGCGAAATGCTGATGATGTTGAAGCTTATCTCATATTTCTTCCTTCTGTTGGCATACACGTTCATTCCGCCCTAGCCAGTAGATAGGGATGATGCTGTAAGTGTTTGGTTGTGGCACTGTTCATCTAAGAGTCCTTTATGTTAATTCGAATGAAGAAACTAGAAAGTATATTGTGGTTTGTAAATAGAAAAAAGAGTACCCCAAGGTCGTAAACAGATCGTCGGCTGGACTTTGAAGGAGGGGAGAAAAGATTGACCGGGTAAAAAAAAAAAAAAAAAAAAAAAAAAAAGTCTACAGCAGCTGGAGATGAGAATCGTTCATGATCCAATGGTCTATGCGCATGTTCGAGTACTTGGCTCTCCTTGCTCAATCTCGTACCTCATCCGAGCCAAACAAATTTTCTATTTAGACGCTTTTGAAAAAAAAAAAAAAAAAAAAAAAAAAAAGGCTCGCAGATCATCTCTCCTGTTTATCAAAACAACATTTTCTCCCCCTCTTCCTCGGAGTTGGATTAGCCCTTGTGTATATTTCATGTACACACTTGTTCGAAGTAGGTTTTGAGCTTATGCCGCAGCTTAAGGATAATTTTATGTCCAGGACATGAAAGCTTTGTAGTTTTCTAATGCATGCATGACGCATCCATGCTAAGACTTTTCTTAGTCTATCAACTGTCAGTCAAAGGGAAAAGGCGAAGAAAGCACAATGATTTCATTTCCATCCATGAAGAAAGGGGGTAGGGAGATCAGAGAATCAAGAACCGCCGAGAGGCTTGTGCTCTTTGAATTGATTTCTCTGTCTTTCAGATCAATAATGAAAAATGATGCAGCTTACAATTGTACACAAATCTTCTCATACTTTCGCTTAAACTCTTGTTTACATTGTTGAGGAGGGTTGGGAAGTAATAAAAAAGATTTTCTTTTTGACACAAAATATATTCAAGCGGGCGTACAAACGAACATCAAGAACAACGAAATGAAATGAGCTCCATCTTTGTCTGAGTTTATTGTTTAAAGGCCAGTCTAGGCTACCATTTCGTGCCTAATTGATAATAAGAAAAAAGAGAAATGAAGTCCAATCTGATAATTAGTCAACTCTTTAATTATTGTTATCGTTTTTTTTATTATTATCAGGGGAAGACTATGTATATACTATACAAGTAGTCAGCAGTAGGATATAGTTCAATGCATGCCTATCAAGGATAAAATGAATAATGTACTGTTACATAAATATATACATACATGAAAGCTCGACAAAGAAGTAGTTGTCCTGTTGACCTTTTTTGTTGTTGTTGTTGTTGTTGTTGTTGTTGTTGCTGCTGCTGCTGCTCTGTTGTGCTCTGATGACGTTAAACATGAAGTACAGCGGATGATCAAAAGTACTCCGAGTACTAAAGCATACCATGCATCCATTACAAAGCGTGTGGCTCTGAAATGAAGGCTATCATCTCACACGAGCAAGCCGTTTGGTTTGACTGTTAATAAATATTGTGGCGTTAATTTTGTTTTGAAAAAAAAATTTTTTTTTAAAAGAGTAAAAAGCACCATTATTTCTCGTTTGATCACTTTTTCCTTCCTCTTCCTTCAAACCCTTTTCTTCTTCATCATCTCTACTGTTTCCCATTACTATCTCTTCAGGCTCTTTCTACTGTTATTTCTTTTGATCTAACCCCCCGTCTCATCTGATCTGTAAGTAAAATAAAAGAACACCATAACCTTTGACTATGATCTATGATTATCCCTTATTAAAAAAAAAAAAAAAAAAAAAAAAAAAAAAAAAAGAGAGAGAGAGAACGGGATCAATATATTTGAGGAAAGAGGAAAGAGTCGCGCACGATGAGACCCAAGCTGGCACCAGTCTAAGGCAATAACCGGTGATGATAAAGCTTATCAGAACTGTCAATACGCAGATGGTTCCTGACGCGACTCTTTTTATTATTTTCTGGATTCATATTTCATGGATCGAATGAGGACAAAATGACAAAAAAGGAAGAAGTTTTAAGAGCATTTGTATTTAAACTGCTTTATTTTTTTTTTCTTTTTGTTCACAGTTACATGTAGGTTCGAGGCAAGTGTTCATTATTGTTAAAAGGAATAATAGCAACAACAACAATAATGATAGTAGTAGCAATAAATATATGTTACATATTTTTATAAAATGATTATGAATGCTTTTTGGGTGGAGGAACACAATGCTCTGGCACCATTTTTCTTTTTTGTGTGGCTGATGCAGAATAGTGTACACTCCCCCTTCACTAAGGACGAGATGTCAAGGTTTTCTATAAATCTAAAACTATGATTGGCTAAGAGCACATTTCAATTGAAATTTTTTATATTTTCTATTCTATAGCTCTACCCTATTATCTTTCACCATATATATATACGTACGTGAAGAATCTCTTGACATTCTCAATTGACGCATTTGTCTAAAAAGGAAATTCTAGCCACCTCATTTGACCCACAAGTCAAATCAACTACACCATGGAAGACCAGCTATGCAATCAAACAAAACGAGTGGTCACCTCATTCTGTCTTTAAATGTAGGTGAGATATCCTCCATCATGCTACTGAGCTAATAATATATACTAACATACGATAGTGGCACACAGAATTCACAGGTGAAAATCATTAAACCGACAAACATAGTGGACTTTTTCAGGCGCCTTTGCAATGGTACCAAAATATTGTCATAGTGGCAACGCACTAGGCCGTGGAAGTGATGTCTTACTGACCACTTCAATCGGTGAAATCAGAGCAGATTTGGAAAACCAACAAGCACCGAACAGTCGCCTTAACAAGTGAGCGAGGATCTCTATGGCGCGCACGGGCCATGGGGCGACTTTTCAAATTCTTTTTATAAAGAAATCCAAAGTCGTCCCCGGCTAAACATTTCACCGAGGTGGAACAATGAAACGGATTCACAGTTTTGAACAGAACAGCTCCCATAGCTATGAATGAATGAATGGATACTTGAGTGGATTGACAATGGCGATTGAAATAGCGCCTTTTGTGATGCAGATGTATAATACAAGTCTTTTATTGACTGTCCAAAATTTCGAGTTGATTTAGGTGACTACGACATATAAGCCCGAAATAACTTCGACTTGAGTTCATTGAAGCATATTTGTCTGACTTGAGGATATTCGGTGACTTTGCCTGTGTGATTAGGAGGCTCTGCATTTTTATCAGCTTTATTTCCACCACAGATGTAGACAATTTGAAAGTCATTGCAGGGCTTTCCATCTCTTGTGACCGCAAACTTCTTGACAACCCTTTTATTCTCAATGCTTTCAGTCATAGTTGCTTGGTGAACACCACCAAATGCAGCATCCAAATATTCCTCAATCTGGCTCTTACCTGTGGCTTCCCTTTTCGAAAATGCCTTGTCAATGTATACTGAACCTGTTGGGTCGTTATGGACCGTGAACGAACTAACCGACACTTGGATGAACATGTAGCCCAATATAAAATCGAATCGTGCATACGAGCCTCCGTTTATCAGGATCTTTTTGCCATCTTCTCCTATAGTTTCAAGCATCCTTGGTGGCGTTCCTATTAGCTCGTATCCCGAGATATTGAAAATAATATCCATCTTGTATTTGCCTGCAAGATCCGTTGACTGGAATGTATGAGACTCTCCTCTAATAAGCTCCCGAAATAGGGCCTCTTGAAAGTGGTTCCCATTTAAATAACCAGAAGCAAGTGCACGTCGAAGAGCGTCTGGCAATGGGATGGCTTTGTATAAATCCAATATCGCTTTTAGTGCAGGGTGATTAATGGGACGATATTCAGGCTCATTGTTCTCATTATTCGTCTGATAAACCATCCCTGTATCAAGGAACTCCCATCCAAAAGATCCACATTGTGCGTCCTTACGTCCAGGTAAGAACATTTTTGTCAGCGCTAGGATAGTTATATCCTTCCGGAATCCTTGGAGCGCGTCGAAATAAGTTGATGCCGCATTGGAATAGAAATCGAAGCATGCTTTGTTGTGTGCTATTAAGCCGCTGTCGATCTGCTCCACCGTGAGCTGTTCTCCTTTTATGCGTTTTATTGAATCAATCAAGCTGACCAAATCGTCCGGTACTCGGTTGGTAAACCCAATAACAGTGTTCTTACGACTCTCGAGATTCCTTTGAGTTGTCAAGTCGAGGTGAGCAATGACAATTTTAAATAGTTTTTCGAACGTGTCTGGCGACAAAGGCCCGACATAAACGAGATAAAAGTCTGGGTCCCTGAGCATAGTCCTTTCAAACTTGCCATGCGCAGTGCCCGTAAACACAACACATACTCCACCACCATTTGTCATCCAAGTGTTGAAGTTACCCAGAGGAGCCAAGTCAAGAAACCTCTCTGTTGCTGCTTTGTCGCCAGAAACCAAAGAACCATGCTCATCGACGATGAAGAGGGTCTTTTGAAGTCCTCGTCGGAATAAGCGTATTATATGCCTAGCAACAGCTGAAACAAGTGATTTCTTGCTTTCAAGGTTTGCCATGATGGAGAGAACTTCTACAGTCAAGATATCCTTATTGAGATCTAGGAAGCTCTGACAAATCATTGATGATGCGTCATCTTCTTCTGAACATTCAGCAAGATCCCTTGCGTCAGCGATGTAAAGAACTGGCCAGCCGTGAGCATATGCCTTAGCGGCAAGAAACCAAGTTATATAGGACTTCCCGACTCCCATGGGGCCAGACAAACATTTTGTATACGGAAACTTAGACTCGGTCATCGCTTCCCATAATTCCATCATCTGCTCGGTAACAAGGAGCTTCTGACTAGCTAATCCAAAGAACTTTGGGCTACGACCAAGGCTTTTTATCTCGACCTCTTCGCCCACCTTAACATCCTTCAGTGATGAGAAGTTCAAGCGACTTTCCGGCTGGAAGTCGGTACTATTGAGCATATCTGTCATGAACTTGGGTAGAGATACTGTTTGCCCATTGGTTAAAGTATAAACTTCTCGGGGTTCCGAGGGGCGAAGGCGCTTAGTAGAGTGCTCTTTGAGCATATAAGAATAGCGAGACTGACGTGAGTATGAAATAAACAAACTTTCTCAAGAATCATCAAAACTATGAGTGGGATGAACTCACCTTCTGAATCTCCGTCTTCTGTGTCTTCTAGGTTCCTTTTTGGACTTCTTGGGGCTGTTTAAAATCCATGCAATAAATAAACAAGAGGATAGTTAGATAGGGCCTTGATAAAAGTACTTGTATGCGATAGGGCAGTGGGGAGCCGAAATAAGCTCAAATAAAAAGACTCGCGAGAGGACAGTGAGAGTCAGAGTATAGGCACGAACCATGGGGCGATTTTTCAAATTCTTTTTATAAAGAAATCCAAAGCCGCCCCTGGTTAGATAGTTTAGCCATGATACATCTCAAACATAAAGAGCTGTTTTTGAATTACATCAAGTCAAATCAATGACGTCATGAATGACAATAAGCTTCGTCAATTAAAAATATCAACAGCCATCAGTCCATCAAGAGCTAAATACATACCTGGCGGCGGCAGCTTGACAATGATGTGAATGCAACCTTTTGCTGCACCTTTTGGAAAATAAGTGCTGAGTTCTTCAAGTTCATCGAGCACTACAAGCGATTCTTCGGATAATGTTTCCAATCCTTTCTTCGTTGTGCCGCCGGGGATGAGCTTGAGAGTGAGCTTCTCCGGTGGGATATCACCAAATCTAGCAGGCGAATAGATGGCTTGCTTGAGTTCATCAACTGAACGATTGGAAAGAATGTTTACAGAAAAAGGCGCTGCTTCTCCATCCAATAAATCTTTAGGTTGGTTGGCTCTTTCTCAACCTCTCTTTCTCTTTCAATCGAACCACGTCTAGATGGACCATTTGGTGTTGTTGTTCCGCTTCCCATTGTGATTTCAAAACTGTTTAAAAACAAGGGCGTAAATGGACGGAGGACAGAAAACAGGAAAAGTTTGATCAAAATGTTAAGTATGGTAAGTCAGTAGCAGGATGGTTCAAAATTGTGACAATGGAGATGAAGATGGAGGAAAAGAAAAAAAGAAAAAAAGAAAAAAAGAAAAAAAGAAAAAAAAAAAAAAGGAAAGGAAAGGAAAGGAAAGGCAATGAATGAAGGCTTGGAATAAATGAAAAAGGAAGAGGAGAAGATATGTGAAAGGAGCAAAACTGGGGAGAAATAAGAAAAAAGTGAAAAGAGGAGAGTGCAAAAATGAAGTGAAGCAAGTTAAAGAAAGGAGCGACAATTGATAAATTTGTTCCTTTATTTCATGGTTGGGCTATGCTGTGTGTGTTTTTCTTGTTGCACAAGACGCCATGCGATTAAAGATTAAATTGGCCTCCAAGTGTGACGTAACATGTATTATTTAAATACACAAACACTATTCATTCTCTTTAACTCTCTTGTTTTCACCACACAATCGAAAGTATGCACACATTCACCCTACATTCATCCCACTATGTACAAGTCAAATACTCCCTCATTCCAAGAACAAGAAGCTGTTACTGATATTGTAAGTGTTCAAACGCGAATAATAATTTTTTTGTATCAGTGCTTTCTTGGTGATATCTAAGCAAAATTATGCTTTGGAGAAAACCCTTGACGCGTCAAACTTTAGGAAGGATGGGGAGAATGACAGCAAAGAAAGAAAAGATGGCAATGAAGAAAAAGAGGAGGATGATCAAGTAGATATCCCAGCAATTATATTAGTTGCCCCATAAAGTCTAGTTCATTGCTTGAGAGTAATAAAGAAAAAACTTGGCATTTGGACGTTAAGAATGGACTCAATAATATTGGTTTTGTGCAAGCCTGAGGGCGAAGTTCATGTGCACATGCACACGCCGAAAGGCAAACGTGGCATGCTCCTGCAGACACTTCTCTGGGACCAAACGTGACATTTTGGCTGGAGGTCTAAGTTGAACACACCACAGGAAAGGCTCTTTTTTTTTTTTTTTTTTTTATTTCCAAGTCATTTACACCACAGGGAGCTTTTTTTTTTTAAGATGAGAATGATGGGAGGTAAATTTCGTAATGAATAAATGAGGTTGTGAAATGAGAGCAAGAAAAACAATAGCATGCTTCACATGTAGGCCATTTTCTTGTGATCTGCAAACTTTGTTTAACAAAATAAAAGCCTTTCCTGCGACTTAAGAAATTTTTTTAAGCCAAAATGTCAAGTCCCAGCCTGTGAGAGAGAAGAGCAAGCCACATTTGGCTTCCAGCACGTGCATGTGCACATGAACTTCGTCCTCAGGCTGGTGACGAGCCTAGTGAACCCATCTGATACTGTATAAACACCTGAACACTGCCACATGCTATTGACTACTCCACGTCCCTTAAACAATATTCTTAGCACATGTAAATAGTAACAATCAAAGGTGATCTTAGGTGGAATCGGAGGTCAAAGGATGGTTTATTTAGCTATAACGTAGTGGACTATTTATACTGATAATTAACACTGAGTTGTGGCTCGGGGTGCGCGTGATAGTGGAGCCTTCCTCAAAGGTTTGAGCCCAACATTGTATAACACGTTTGCAGAACTTTTGCAAGGGATGTGTCAATGGAGGCATTATTTGCCTCATGGTTTGAGGATTAGTGTTGCATATTTCACAGTACACGCGTCACATAAAAATTAATATGTGTGCTCATGTAAAAGTAATATACATTTTATGTAAACAAGACATGTATTTTATATGAGAAATAATAGATCTAGTGCCAGCTTCATTTCAGAAAGCAACTTCCTTTATCAAGGAGCTTTTGAGTGATGCCTGGGAGCTTCACCTCCACTATGAGTAGAGGCAGATCGTTGGCCATAACCAAGTTATCTGCTCTAAAGCGCTCCTTATAGTATTTCGCCGTTGGGAATTCGTAATCGCTGGAAGCGGAGGCGTGTTATACCAAGAGTGAAGAAACAACATGTGAATATCCCGCAGAAATGAACGAAGAACAAAGAACTGACAGGTCTACTACTCACCAGAATCCCCATGTCGACGTGATGGCATAGAGGTAGGGCCTGACGTAGAGCATGCTGTACGTCAGCTCGTTTAGTTTGCGAGGCGACTTCCAAAACAATGCGTCCTCGCCAAGCTTGGTGAAAATACTCAAGAGCATTTCACTTGCTCCTTCCCAACCCTCTTTGAGACAGGCGTTGTACTCGGGAGCAGAGTTTGACGCTGCTTTCTCCATGCAGAATTTGGAAAAAGCCAAATCCCGCTCACTCAAGGCTACGGTCGTTGTAGCCTTGAAAAAGTGGCTAAGGATCATACCATGCCTGTCTTTTGGACAATACTTTTCCATAATTCTTTTGTAAAAATGAAGTTTATGGAGCTTGAAATCACAGTAAGAATTGTATTAGCGTCACGACCTTCGGTGTATTCTCAAGCAATGAAATAAATGGTTGTAAAAAGCACTCACAGAATATCATGTGAAGAGAGGAGCGTTCCCTGGCGCTGTTCCTCAAGTTTAACGAGCTCTTCTCGTACCTCCATGAGGAGAGAAGACACGTCGAAACCTCCTTTCAAGACCAATCTATCCGTGACCTGGCTACTCCTCTCGCCTTCCCCAGTGAGGCGGTTGACAGGCTCAGACTTTTTAGTCTTGTCAGACTCGTTAGACTAGTTGTTATTATTTTATTAATATTGGAATCATTAGTCAAATCGGATCAATTCGTTGGTTCAACGTTAATTTATTCGATACATACCCCCTCCAGGTAACCTCTGATTTTTCTTGTTTTTATGTCTACAAGTAGCTCTCCTTGTAAATCATATTCTCGACCGAATCGTTATTTTTTGGTCGCGTCATCTTCTTGATCCTTGTAATAATGTTGCCGAAGCTTTTAGCACTACGGCCCATACAGTTTTCTTTGGCGATCCATTCGACGAAATGGAAAATGGTAAGATCCTTTGGGCTTGGTCATTCGCCAATTGGAAATTGGCATACCATGCTTTCGAAAATGAATGAGTTGATGGCCATTTTGTCTGAAGAGGTTTAATAAAGTGGTGCGGAAGTTTTTTTAAAAGTGTTACGAAGATGAGAGTGACAAAACTCGGCTTGTTGCTTAAGACAATGTCTTGCCCCTGGGACAATATGAGCGGAACTAGGAAATCAAATGTTCAGGAGGAGCGAGGCTGGAGCAGTGCATCTACAGGCTATGTTGATGTCGGTAGAAACGGACCGAGGGTGAAGTCGGCATTGAATCAACGTTTTCATCTATTTCCTCGGGAGCTAAGAGTCGGTATGCCGGCATCGGATCAACGTGCTCTTGAAGCTAACTGATTGTTAGTTTATTTATTGGAATATGTCTTGGATAGGAATTGTGAAGAAAGAAAACCAACAAAAAGACCTAAACTAAGTTATTTATACTAAAAATTTCCTATATCGCCATCTTCCATTGGCTCAATTAAGGGCCTCTGGCGGCGCCAGCCCCGAAAAGTCTGTCGAATGTGGCCTCAGAAAAATCAACCGGAGGGAAAATTTGTTCCAGCCCTTCATCCACCTCAGCCGTCTCAGAAATCTGACTGCGAGTTTCTTGCATGTATCTGTGGGCAAAACTAAGGGTTTTTTTCCAGGCAGAAACGAAAGTTTTGACTTGAACATTGCGGAAGAGCTCCTTCAGCATCTGGATAAGCTGATCGGCAGTCATCGATCCGGTTATTTTGTAAGCCACCCAGTTTTTTACAACACCCCAGATTAACTCAATAGGCTGGAGCTCGCAATGATATGGAGGAGTCCTCATAATCCAAACTGCATGAACTTTATTCAGCCTTTTCTAAAGTCAAAAGAAGGCCGCATCCAATCCTTGCGTATATTCCCTTCCCGCTCTATGATGTTTGTTGGTACAATATTCGTCAAAGGCAGGGTGACCTCCGCATTGACTTTTTCACTCATCTCCTCGAGAATTTCCTTAATGATAAGCAAATAGAAATATTAGTTCTCTCAGTGATACAATGACTGTAGCTAACATAAACCTGACAAATCAATGAAATACATACCCGTGCTTTTAGTAAGATATTTAGACCCTCCTCAATGTATCGGAAAGTCGTGTTGTCTCTTGGAAAAGTAAACTTCCCTATTTCCTTTACAATATAGAGGGCTTCATACTCCAAACTAAGCACGAAAAATTCCATCATGCCCTCTGAAGTCGTAAAGACGGTGTGTTTTATTGTTATTAGTAAATGTGCATGGAGAATCAAGGCATAACATCAAGTTTTAAAGATTTTACTCTTACCTTGCACTAGAATCCCATGAACTTTGGGCTTCGTCGCGCCATTGACGAGGAGCAAATCTAGCGCAAGCTTCTGAAGGTGAAATAGCTTTCTTTTATCACTCTTCAGAAGGGCGAGAGAAGAGTTGTCACGTTTGCCTTCAGACACCATGGTGACCAGCCCTTAAACTGACCATTGCTCGTCCGGGAAAAGGGTCTGTGTGTAATAGGAAGGAACGGGCACCTTCATTGCTCTAAGGTACAGCAAGGAGAGCTTTGTTCAGGGGCTGACAATTAAATACAGCAAAAACCAGGTTGATTTGACGAAAAAAAGACTTACGCCTGGGAACTGGACTCTGGATGCACATCACCGAAAACCGCACGTAAAATTGGATTTACAATGCAGCATCATAGTGAGAGTTTCGGCAGTCATCAATCCAAGAGTGTTGTATGCCACCATATTCTTAATGACCCCCCAAATAATCTCGATGGGTTGAAGCTCGCAATGGTAAGGTGGGGTCTTCATGATCCAGTGGTCACCATTTTCAAATGCGATATCCCGAACAGTGTACCTCGGTTGATGCTCGATCGTTTTGAGATACTCAAGAAGCTCCCGCTTTGTTGGTTCAATGCCATCCCCTCGCGTACTTGATGGTATTTCTATGTCATGAGATCTCAGCCAATTTATAATCTCAGCCTTGCGGTTAAGGCTGGTTGGTTTCTTGTCCGGTGAATGGAAATGGTATTTGGTACCATCCATATGAATGAATGTCAGCTGGTTATTGCTTTGTTGTGTCAATTTGAAGTGGCTTAAGTCAGATGATACTCAGTATATGACTCTGCATGTAGAGAAAGCCTTGCAGATAGCGAACTCTTAGAGGGACAGTCCATTTCGATTGGAGCCTACAATTTTTTTTTATTCAATTATTTTCTCGTTTCTGGCCTCCAATTCAATCAATATATTTTTACAATATGTGCATGACCAAATGACGAGGACAATATTGTAAGATTTAAAGGAACTTTTTTACTTTTCGACGCACCTAAACACATTATTCACACATACACAAGATTAAATACACCCATTCGGGCGCTTTCATCTGTCTTTTTTTTTTTTTTTTTTTTTTTTTTTCTTCAGAGATCAGGCCAGATTAGGTTAAAACTAAGCTTCATCTGATAACAAATTTCCTTCAATTGCATGCTGAGACATGCAGATAGGGATTAGTGGATATATTGTAAAGGTGTAAGCAAATATAGGAATATTGTAATAAATCCTTTAATTGCATGTCTCACCAGTAACAGTTCAGTTTGAAGTGAATTGGGATCGAACATCTGGATCTTCTTTTTAGTTGTTTATCCAGACCTTCTTCCAGCCCATGATATTAAAATTACATTTCATTGAGATTTTTACATGATGATAGTATTACGCAAAAATGTCGCGTAAAAGAATCGAGGATTGAAGATGATAGTAAGGAGGAACATAAAACAGAAGGAAGTCTTGCTTATTGACTCTGCTCAAATGATAGGACATTTATATAAATTAGTAAAATATTAATCCATCTTCTATAATATTTATATGAATATTCATACGCTATCTACACTATCTACACATGAATGATATATATACATTTCGCTGCGTTTTTTTTTTTTTTTTTTTGAAGGCGTCAATGGAATATCAACTGTTGGTTATTGGATAAAGAGCAGCTCAATTTTCTTGACAATTCGACAAGGTTGACAATGTTGTGTTGCCTTCTATTACTGTATGAGAAATTTTCATCATGGTCATTGCCAAAAGCTCAAACACATCCGTCATTGGTCAGGAGAGAAATTAAATTAATGAGGAAAGGGTCAGTAAATTTTTTTTCCGTAAGCGATGAGTGTGTCAGAAAGGGGGAAGGTAAATAAAAAACCAATTTATTAGTTATCGATCAGAAACACATCCATGCCACGGACAGGGAGCATAAAAATCCCCTAGACCCCCCTAGGACAATTCAAAGATCTAGTGAAAAAAAAAAAAAAAAAAAAAAAAAAACTTGTTGCACACAACATCAATCGTAAATCCTTCTTCATGTGGCAAATGGACACAAGGTTGCTCGAGTGTGAGAATGTGTGTGTACGAAATGAAGTGTACAGTTGACAGTAAGATATCTCAGAAAAGGAGATGAAGAGAGAGATGATGCTGGGCATGAATTTCATAAAAGATGTTGCCTGTTTGAATTACCGCTTTACTGACCCTGACTAATCCAAACCTGACAGCAACAATTGTTTTCCCAAAGGGTACGATCCCATCCCTGATACTTTTTATCTCCTCCTCATCCCTCTCCTTCTCCTTCTTTCTCTCTTTCTTCCTCTAAACTTACACTCCCACACTCTCACACCTCCCTTTATCGTTAAAGCAAGACACCTTTTTTTTTTTTTCTTTTTTGAGGAATTAGCCGTTGGAATAAAAAGAGCTTTTTTAGATATTATTTTGCTTGTTGCTCATTGGAAGGACAGGTTCTAGCCTTTTTTTAGTCCAAGTCTCAATCCAATAATCAACCTCTTCACTCTTTACTCTTCATTCTTTACTCCCTTCTCTTCACACTTACACTCCTTCGCTCGACTCTTTCACACTCACACCCTCACATCTTCACATCCTCACACTCGTCTCCTCACTCTCAACACAATCGCTACCTACACACACTTACAACAGATACAGGCAACAGCAACAGCAATAGCAAGCAACAGCAACAGCAGCAACAGCAACAGCTACAACAAAAAGACTCGCTGGTAAGCCTTCACAATTTTAAATTCATTTCGCATTTGTCCATTGTTGGAGAAAGGATGTGTGTGTGTGCAAAGTTTTTTTTTTTTTTTTTTTTTTTATATTTATATTTATAGGGCTTACTATAACATTGCCTTCTAATCAACTTCCAATAGACGCATTCTACCATTGAATTATAAATTGCAGTCATGGTTGCAGAAGATCAACATCTCTTGTTGCTCGATGGAGCTGATGACTGGGATGAGTTTGAACAACGAGTCGAAGAGTCCTTAGCGGCCGATAAACAACAACAACAACAACAGGGCAACATTACATTACCAGTCTTGGGCATGATTTGCATGTCTTGTGTGAACGCCATTACATCTGTTCTCTCAACTTCACCTGGTATTCTTAAAGTCCAAGTCTCATTGAAACAAGAGCAGGCCCAAGTTGAATATGATCCTGTTCAGATTTCGCCTGCTATGATCAAAGAAGCTATCGAGGATTGTGGATTTGACGTACCGTTTGATACCAGTTCTCTTCCTTCTACAATCTCATCAACAACACCCATATCTGCTATCAACAACAATAACAGTTATGTTGCATCACCAAAAACACCTATTCCAAACGTCCGGGTCACTTCCTCTTTTTCTCCTTCATCATCAAAACATCCCTTGACAACAACAACAACAACAGTGGCATTAGTATCCCATGCGACCTTATCAGAAGCGATCGATCAATCATCTAATCCATCAACATCAACAAAAATCAAAACTGCTCAATTGTCTGTTCAAGGTATGACCTGTGCGTCCTGCGTGGCTTCGATCGAAAAATCTCTCAAAAATACACCTGGCCTTGTATCGATTAAAGTAGCTCTTCTGGCCGAACGGGCGACTATTGAATATATTGAGGGTCAGACAACACCTCGAGAAATTGCTGATATGATTGATGACATTGGGTTTGAAGCAACTCCTATTGCTGAGCAACGGACCAATACAGTTGATCTTCAGATCTTTGGTATGACCTGTGCATCCTGTGTGAACACGATCGAAGGAGAGCTTCGCAAGATGCCTGGAATCCTATCTGCCTCTGTCAGTTTGACTCTTCAGGCTGCCAAGATTGAATATGACAACACTGTCTTGGGTGTCCGAGATATTGTCGAGAGGATCGAGGATATGGGATTTGATGCTCTGCTGGCAGAGCGATCTCATAATGCACAGCTCGAGTCTCTTGGAAGGACCAAAGAAATCAACGAATGGCGACGGGCCTTGTTTGCAAGTCTCACCTTTGCAGTCCCGGTCTTTATCATCTCCATGATCTTGCCAATGTTTAGCTGGGGCCTGTCCTTATATAATATCCCAGTACTGTTTAACCTAGTCCTTGGAGATGTCTTGGCTTGTATCTTGACCATTCCTGTACAATTTGGTGTCGGACGACGATTCATGGTGAGCGCATACAAGTCAATCAAGCATGGTGTGGCCACCATGGACGTCTTGGTCTCGTTGGGCACCCTCTCTGCGTTTACATTCTCCAGTTTCTCGATGATTTACTCCATGTTTGATACTGCACACAAGGCCACAGTTTTCTTTGATACGTCCAGCATGTTGATCGCATTCGTGACATTTGGTCGGTACTTGGAGAACATGGCCAAGGGTAAGACCTCGGTAGCTCTTTCCAAACTCATGTGCTTGACTCCATCCACCTGCACCATCTACGTATTGGATCCCAAGACTGGTGAGCGTATCTCTGAGAAACAAATTCCATCTGAATTGGTCCAAAAGGGTGATTTGATCAAGATTGTCCCAGGAGACAAGATCCCAACAGACGGAGTAGTAGTCTCGGGTGAGTCGACCGTGGATGAGAGCATGGTTACAGGAGAGGCCGAGCCTATCAACAAGCATGTGGGATCTATGGTTATTGGAGGCACTGTGAACGGCCTTGGAGCCTTTGATATGGAGGCCGTTCGAGTTGGGTCCGAGACTGCATTGGCTCAGATTGTGCAGTTAGTGGAGGATGCACAGACGTCAAAAGCACCGATTCAAGCGTATGCGGACATGATCTCAGGATACTTTGTCCCTGCAATCATTTTTTTAGCTGCGTTAACGTTTGTGGTCTGGATGATCGTCTCACATACGATGGTCCCAGCTCAGCTGCCAGAAATGTTTATGATGGAATCATCCAAGTTTGTGGCCTGTCTCAAGTTATGCATCTCAGTCATTGTAGTCGCTTGCCCCTGTGCGCTAGGTCTGTCAACACCGACGGCAGTCATGGTTGGAACTGGGGTTGGTGCGCAAAATGGAATCCTAATCAAGAGTGGTGTTGCATTGGAGGCGGCTCATAAGATCACAAAAGTTGTGTTTGACAAGACTGGTACCTTGACCCTTGGGAAATTGGAAGTAGCCAGCTGGAGCATTCAAAAGCCGACAGCTGCAACTACTGGACCATTAACTCCATCTCCTTCTTCTTCTGCAGTCTCTTCTTTGGATTCTTTGACGGACGAGGAGTTGTTGACGATCATTGGTTCTGCAGAGTCAGTATCTGAGCATCCACTGGGTCGTGCGATCGGACTCTATGCGCAGACACAGCTGAATGTGGCTACTTTTAATGCTACTGTCTCTCATTTCGCCGCCAGTACCGGCAAGGGCATCGCGTGCACAGTCACATTACCATCTCTTAAGGAATATCATGTCGTGGTCGGAAACAAATCTTGGCTTCATGATCGTCAGATTCAATTGCCTGCTAGTCTTGCAGCAGATCAAACACACCAAGAACGTGCGGGTCGTACAACTGTCTTGGTCAGCATTAATGATATCTTTGTCGGATTCATTTCATTGTCAGACAAGATCAAACCTGAGGCAGCCAAGACAGTTGCAAAGTTACAGCAGATGGGTATTCAAGTGGCGATGGTCACAGGTGATCAGCCCTTGGTCGCTCAAGTGATTGCATCTGAGTGTGGTATTCAAGAAGTGCATGCAGGTGTTTCTCCCAATGGGAAGACTACGATCGTTTCGACATTACAATCTCAGGGTCATCGTGTGGCCATGGTTGGAGATGGTATCAATGACTCTCCTGCACTTGCACAATCAGATTTGGGCATTGCATTGGTTTCAGGTACAGATATTGCGATGGAGGCTGCAGATATGGTCCTGATGCGCGGGGATTTGACAGATGTAGTTGCTGCGATTGACCTGTGCAGAACCATCTTTAGACGAATCCGGTATAACTTTGGCTGGGCTTGTGTGTACAACATCTTGGGTGTTCCTGTGGCCATGGGTGTGTTTTTGCCTTGGGGCTATCATCTCCATCCAATGGTGGCAGGTCTGATGATGGCCTTCTCAAGTGTTAGCGTCGTCTTCTCAAGTCTGTTGCTGAAGCGGTGGGAGAGACCCTGTGTCAAGGATGCGTCCGAGTTGGCAAGAGAGCAAGCAATCCGTGAACAGTTGAGGACCAAGAAGCAGGCTTTTATCCGTGAACAATGGAAAGTCAAATTTGGAGGAGTCCCTTCCTCCAAGGGCGGCAGTGGCGGTTACATGCGCGTTGGAACTGATGAAAACGAGGAGAATGAGTTGGATCAGTTTGTTTGAAAAAAAAAAAAAAAAGAAACATCTGTAATTATTTAACACACATACCCACTACCATAAAAAAATAAATTATACAAATTTTACTTGAATGTTTGGGCTTTATTATTACATGTACAAGTCAATATCTGCACATTTACAAACAATAGTATAACTCAGTAAGAAAAATAAATGAGATGAAAAAAAATACTAGAAAAGAAAAGAAAAGAAAAGCGTTAGCGTTGGTTATCCTGTTTTTGCTTGTTGTGTCCTTAGATTTGTCCCTTGAGATCAACAGTCTGATATCTCTTTTTGGCTTCGTTTAAATAGGGAATAGCGCTCTTGGTATCCAGATACAAGTAACTTCCCTTGCCCGTTGTTGAATCTGCTTCCTTCTTCGTCAACAAATGATTGACACGAATAGATTTCAAGAACTCTAAGCATTCTTCTGCTGTATCATATCCCAAAGTTGATGTCAAAAAATCTAACTGTACACCTGGTCGATATCTATTCAAAAAAGATTAAAATAAATAAAGTTAATTGTCTACAGCAAATAGTCAATTACATCTATTAGAATGAGGCTGCAGAAAAAAAAAAAAAAAAAAAAAAAAAAAAAAAAGGACTACTTACGCTACTGCAATCCGCGCCATGGCTTGAACCCTCTCCCTGTCGACAAATTGGTCGATGAGGAAAGGTCCCATATTCGGCGCAGTCCGGTATAACTTGAAGAAAGCATGGTAATTGGATGATGATAACGCTGTACGAACTTCAAGAGCATGCTTTACTGCAGGATCTTGCTTTTGTGCAGGAGTCAATGATCGCATAACAGCAATGATATCTACAGTAGTGCAAGGAGAAGTAAAAAAATAAATAAATTTGTCAATACCCAGTTGTATTTTTATACCAACGGTCGAGAGAACTAGAAAATAATAAGATTATGCGCTTACCTGAAGGGTTACGGGTATGGAGCTGGTATAGGATCCTGTACGCTGTAAACTCCATCACATTACCAGGCAGATTTTCCTCATATAATTGTTTCAGTTGTGTTTGGCACTGATTGAATTCTCCAAGATCACCTTTCTCTAAAGCAATTCGGGCGTGAATTTCATACACAGCCACTGTAAATTCATTTTTAATCCGTTGAACCTAAAAAAAAAAAAGCAGAACAGAGAAATCAACATCTGAAATGAACCAGTATCAATAATCTAAACCAATATAATCATCTAAATTTGAATTGTAAAGGCTTACCGTTAAATCTTGACGTACTGACTTGAACTGATCACAGATATATGCATAGTTTCCATCATTATGCCACTTCTTCTTCAATAATTCCAAAGTTTCACGAAGGACGTGCAATGGACGCACTGTTGATGGATCTGGTGCCTGCAAAAAAATAAAAATAAAAAAAAAGGCAGGCATTGTATCAGATATCTTTCAGAGCAACATATCCATGTATATATCTATAGAGTCAATAATACTAACTATACTCTTCTAATAGGACATACCTCAGTTAAACGAAGATACCTCTTTTCCAGATTTGTCGAGGTGCCAACGATCGTATGCTTGTCAAAATCAATAACATCTTTATTGACCGGCAGAGCATACGACACATACTGGCTTCGTGAGGCATTTTTATGTGCAAGAGCTTCCGACTCGAAACGTCGGGCACGCTTTTCACGCCGCGCAAGTTCAGATGCCTTCACTGTCCCTCGCTCTGGAGATTCCGATGTTCGTCGACTAGATGAGTATTCGATGAAAACCATCAAAAAGATAAATAAATAAAAGTTGATCCAAAAACAAAAGAAAGAATTTTTGAATGAGGACAAAAAACGTACTTTTTTCTATGGTATTTCCTAGTAATGGATGGAGAGAAAAAAAAAAAAAAAAAAAAAAAAGATACAAGTTAATTAATGAGATTAATCAAACCTTCTGACCGCAAAAAAGGAAAAAAAAAAGATACCTTGGGATTTCCATATTGTCCCAGTCGATATCAAACAACCTTCCTTCCGCATGATATCGTGCGACCATTATTTTCAATTCCTCTTGTGCAGCATCTTGCTCTTCTTCTGAAACCGTATTAAAAAAACGAACAACATAATTTTTGAGTGATTGAGGCCAATTTTCTTTTGATAATGATGAGGATGAGGATGCTGTCGGCGTAGATGGTGTTGATGCTGATGGTGATGACGATTTTGACATCTCTTGGTCCTTGCTTTGCAAAACATTAGTTGGTAAAGGTGTTACTTTTTTTGATTTCACTGAAAGGTAAGCAGGTTCTAAAAGAGCAATAAAAAAAAAGGAATTAGAAGATATTTATAATGAACCACCGCACACTGCTAGAATTTCTAGAATTGTAAAGTTCAAGTGTTACCTTCCAACTTGCTCTTAACCTTTCCCCTAGAAATAAAAAATAAAAATAAAAATAAAAAAAAAATTAATTGACATGGGAGAAATAGATACATTGCGCTCAACTTTTTTTTTTTTTTTTTTTTTTTTTAGCAAACAAAAAACTTCATCCACGTTATATAGCATACATATTGTCACTGATAGTAATTTCGCCCACTTTCTGACGAAGATGGGTCTGCTGCTGTTCTTCTTGAATTCGCTTCCGCTTTTCTTCAGCTTCAATATGTTTCCGTTTTTGAAATGCCTGATTATCAAATGTAGACTTTGCTTGCTGTGCTTGGGAAGAGATATGATTTCCTTGATAGCTAGAGTGATCAGAGGTACTGGAAGATTGATAATAAGCTGCTGTTGATGACGACATATTCGGCTGGCTTGAGCTATATGAAGATGAATAAGGAGGCTGCTGATAAGAATATGGAGGGTATTGGGTTAGTGAAGCGCTGCCAGAGGCTGAAGGATGTGCTACTGGCTGTACTTGATAGGCTGAATAAGCATATGAAGAGGGCGCTTGAGTGCCTGGTGGGGCAACAGCTCCCGATACTGTTACTGATGGTGGATACGAATACGCTTGTTGAGTATAGTAGTCTTGATACGACTGAGCCTGATTATCAGGCGTATGAGCTGCGGTTGTACCCGGAACACCTGTGGAAGGTGGAACTGAATAGCCGTACTGTGCGTAGTAAGCGGCGTAATGCTGAGCGTATTGCTCAGGGGTTAGTGCTTGAGATGACTGCTGACCAGGCGGGGGCTGTTGTGAGTACTGTTGATAATACGCAGAGTAATCTGCTGCAGCACCAGCACTTGATGTTCCTGGTGCTGCTGTTCCGGGTGGCTGATACCCTGGGTTTGCTGCTAACCTGTTGCGCAATAGTTAATCAATTAAGAAAAACATGAGCACGCAATTCATATTTGTGCCAAAGCATTTCAGTTGTTCAGATGTATAGCGTATCTGTTCACAACTTACCAGGCTTGGTATTGTTGAGCGTATTGCTGGTACTGCTCCGCATAGAGTGCAGCCTGATCAGCTGATGAGACAGGAGGAGTTGGGGTCGCCAGGATGGATAAACTCACAAGGAAAAATAATAGAGAAAACAATCAGGCTAAAAAACACACACACACAAAAAAAAACCTGACCAACGATCGAGAAAAAAAAAAAAAAAAAAAAAAAAAAAAAAAACAATCCAATACACAACTACAAAAAAAAAAAAAGAAGAAGGAAAGGAGGGAAGGGATCAAGAATAGAGAGAGCAAAGAGAGTAGAGAGGTTAGTGCTGAGCGCTGAGTGCTGAGTGCTGAGTGCTGAACGCTGGGTGATGGAAGATGGACTTTATAGAAAAAAAAAGAGATGTTGTGTTCATAAGCCTGTACCATGAATTAGAGGGCATGTGACTAAAACTCTCTTCCAGGCACATGTCCAGTGTATTCTTGGCGCGTATTCATAGTTGGTTCCTTTGAAGGCTATTTTGATTGCAGGTTCACTATACTCCTCGCCAATTGGTGGGCAATCATTCTGATTCTGTGGCTTTTTTTCGGATTTTTTTTCAAATGCTTTTTTTTTTTTTTTTTTTTTAATGTCTCTCCTCCACTCAATATCCCAAGGACAGTTACGCTGACATGGCCACTTCTCTACACTGCAAACGATCTCTTGCAAGGAATAGCAGCTTTCTGTGCACATGGATAAGGCCGCCCTGCAAAAACCCGTTCCTTGGGTTATTGTCTATTTCCCGTACAGCAACAACTACAACAAAGAAAAAGAGACCTCATACTTTCGATTCTACCAGCCACAGAAACAGAGCTATTCCTGTCAACTCTCAGTTTGATCGGGTTGCTGTTACTGCTGCTAATAACTTCAATGCTTCCAATGCCTACGCTGACAAAGCTATTCTGCCGACTCGGGATTGGGATAAAAAAAACCTCATTGGACTTTCTTTAACTCAACTCCAGGATGAATTGAAAGTAGTACCAGGAGTCAAGTCATATACTGCTTCACAGATCTGGCGGTTTTTATATCAGCGAGGCGTATTGACTATCGACGAGATGCTCAATATCCCCAAGGAGGTGAAAGAGGTCTTGAAAATGAAATACACTATTGACTATGGACGGATCGTGGTATGCATAAAAACCGCTTTTTTTTAAATAATCCATGAAAAGCAAAATTGTATACTAAGTCGACTTTTTTTTGTCAGTCCGACCATGTCTCACCTAATGATGGAACCAGAAAGCTTTTGATAGGGTTCCAGGATCTTAAGACCAAGGTTGAATCCGTTTTCATCCCCATGAATGGCCCACGAGGCACCCAATGCATCAGCAGTCAGGTCGGCTGCTCTTTAGCTTGCACATTTTGTCATACAGGGACTCAGAAACTGTTGAGAAATTTGACGGCGGGTGAAATTGTTGGACAATATATGATTCCCGCCAAGGATTATGGTGATCTACCGCTGCTCAAGAACTCTCAGCGCAAAGTCAACAACATTGTTTTCATGGGTCAGGGAGAGCCATTCTACAATTGGAGGTAAAAAAAAAAAAATAAATAAATAAAAAAATGTAGGCAAGACAGGAACCTATCTGATCTTTGAAACCATGTCTGGACAAAAAAAAAATATAGAAATGTCAAGCAAGCAATTGAGATTCTTACTGATAAAGATGGGATTGGTTTACCAAAAAGCAAGATCACAGTCTCAACTTCTGGTGTCGCTCCAGGAATAGCCAAGTTGGCGGAGTTGGGTGGTATTGGTCTTGCTATCTCATTACATGCCACAAATGATCGCCTTCGAGATGAGATTGTCCCTATCAATAAGTAATGTCCAATAATGGAACCGCTTTTGTCCAAATGCTGAAAGACACAATGCATCAAGTTTAAAGGAGTTGCGGGATTCTAATACCACATGACTGGCTAAAGAAAGTGTTGTACTCTTTTTATTTTTCTTACATTGTGAACTACATATATTAGAACCTTTCCGATCCGTGTTTTAATGAAAGCCTGTGCAGAGTATGCAGAAGCGATGAAGAGCTGCAATCGTGACAGCCAAAGGATTACTTTTGAGTACTTATGCTATACTTTTTGTCCCTATTTCCTTCACTTCTTTGATTTGGAATCAATCGATGATTCATACTCTTGCCCTAAAAAAAAGAAAAAGACGTCAGCTTACAGGTCTAATTCCACTTTCGTTTCCATAGATATGTCATGCTCAAGGATGTAAACGACAGTTTCCAAGAAGCTAGAGCGCTGGCAGACTTGCTAAGAGATATCCCTTCTCATGTCAATTTAATCCCATTCAATCCATGGCCGGGTAGTCATTATGTTAGCTCTCCTCGAGATCATATCGTTGGATTCTCTAGGATCGTTGAGAGCCTAGGCGTACCAACTACGATTCGCTGGCCTCGCGGCTTGGATATTATGGGGGCCTGTGGACAGTTGCGTACAAGCCATGAACAGAAAGAAAGCAGGAAGATAGCAGTAACCCTTTGATCATTTATTTTTACATTTGTATCATCTGCACTTATCCCAGTCATTATCATTATATTTATATGAAGCAACCGTATAAAAAAAAAATGCATTCAGATGTGGCTTGCCCGGAAAGACATTTCAATCCGATTGCACAGCAACCATTTTGTTTTTCAAAGAGCTTCCTTCCTGTGCGTTTCACTTTTCTTCTCTCATTCTCAAAAAAAGAACACATTTGTCATGGCAAGCAGGTCAACATTACAACGGTTCTGGCCAAAACGCACGCTTACCTTACTGCGGACACCCGTCAGGACTGCTGCTTTTTCAACAGTGACCAAAATCCTTCACCAGCACCAGGCGCCCCGTCCCACCACTACTTCAGCCACAACTGGTTCTGACAACTTGGGCGAACCAGAAACCCATTTTGGATTTAAGAATGTCCCTGAAAATATGAAGGAAACTCTAGGTATGGACACTAGAAGGAGAAAGTTCCTCATGGCATTTACAGCGCTTGGATCTGGACCCTGAATATTTAAATTTGATAAATAATAAAAAGATAATTCAAATTAGTTAGGCAGGTATTTGCCAATGTCGCCACTAAATACGACGTGATGAATGACGTTATGAGTGGGGGAGTGCATCGTCTCTGGAAGGACCACTTCATGCGTACCTTGGCCCCAACTCCCGGGACCAAGCTTCTGGATGTTGCTGGTGGCACAGGTACTTTATTATTATTATTATTATTATTATTATTATTACTATTTTGTTCTTATTGCTATCATTATTATATATGGGCTACCAAGAAAAAAAACACCAGATTAGCTTTAATATTGATGTTGGTTTTGACTTCTCGCTAGGTGATATTGCTATGCGTTTCTTGGATTACTGCAAGGAAACTCATGGCGATGGTACTGCTCAGGTCACAGTCTTTGATATCAACCCCAACATGTTGGAAGTCGGAAAGGAACGCTTTTCCAAGACACCATACCACAATAGTATGTCTCGAGCCAAGTCAAGATAAAAAAAAAAATAAGATCTCTATTTTTTAGCATTTGTTCTGACTTTTTTTTTTTTTTCTTCTTCTTTATGCTTGTGATCAGCTTCACAGGTCTCCTTCATGGAGGGCAATGCTGAGAACCTGGAACATATTCCTGATAATTCTATGGATGCCTACACTATTGCTTTTGGTATCCGTAATTGCACACATGTGGATCGTGTTCTTAAGGAGGCTTACAGAGTTTTAAAGCCTGGCGGACGTTTCATGTGTCTTGAGTTTAGCAAGGTCGAAAACCCGGTCATATCCAAGGTCTATGATGTGTTTTCCTTTGAAGTCATCCCAACCATGGGTCATATCGTTGCAAATGACAGAGATTCTTACAAGTACTTGGTCGAGTCTATCCGCAAATTTCCTCCTCAGAAACAGTTTGCAAAGATGATCAAGGATGCTGGATTTACTGTTATGGGTCAAGGATACGAGGATTTGACTTTTGGCGTCGCTGCCATCCACTCTGGATTTAAATTGTAAAAGTGCTTAAAAAAGTAGAAAAAGGAAGGCAGCTATAGCTCATTTCGTGATTTCATAAAGTCTAAAAGTATTTTAAACCATCGCGTTTTAGACAACAGAGCAAATTTTTCGTTTCTTCTATTACAAACTGAAAGATGAGAACTACAACCGCTATCGAAAAAAAAAGGAGAATCGTCTTGGTTTCTTCTTTTTAGTTGTAAGTCATGTACTTGGGTGTACTGCTGAACTTTGCATACGACTTGATAACCTTGTTCACTGCCTCCAAAAAGTCCTTCTCGGTCGCTACCTTTCTCCTTGCTCTGATTGCAAACATGCCTGCCTCTGTGCACACGGATCTCAACTCTGCTCCTGTGCTGTTGGGACACAGTCTTGCAATTAGCTCGTATCGAATGTCCCGCTCTACACTCATCGATCGAGCATGGATCTTGAGAATATGTGCACGTCCTTCTAAATCTGGCAATGCGAATTCAACCTTACGATCCAGACGTCCAGGACGCATCAGAGCTGGGTCCAGAGTATCAGGTCGGTTCGTGGCCATCAGAACCTTGATATTGCCTCTAGAATCAAATCCATCCAATTGATTGATCAATTCCAACATGGTACGTTGGACTTCATTGTCGCCTCCTGCACCATCATCAAATCGAGCACCTCCGATCGCATCAACTTCATCAAAGAAGATGATACAAGCCTTTTTGGTCTTGGCCATCTCAAACAGTTCACGAACCATACGCGCTCCTTCTCCAATATATCTATTGTTAGACAAACAAAAAATTATAATTACTGTCAGTTTATTTCTCTATGAATAATAAACGATGCATTCCATTAGAAGGTGAGTAAACTACTTACTTTTGTACCAATTCAGAACCAATGACACGGATAAAGGTAGCATCTGTACGATTGGCAGCAGCACGGGCACACAGAGTTTTTCCAGTTCCGGGGGGTCCATAAAGCAAAACTCCTTTTGGAGGATCAATCCCCAAGTTAACAAATCGCTCGGGCTGCAAAAGAGGAAGCTCAACGACCTCTCTCAGTTTCTCGATCTGCTCTTTGCATCCCCCAACATCACTGTATGTCACATCAGGCTTTTCCTCGACCTGCATCATTGTCACTGAGGCATCAATCTTGGGTGGTAACGGAATCTGGATATGATACTTTTGACGATCAACTCTACAATTGGGAAGAAAAAAAGGAAAGATAGCAATGTTAAATCAAGACACCTTTCTCTAATTTACATATATATAAATGAGCAGGCTCCATGGAGGGAAAAATTCGCTGATGACTTGGGAATTGCTAAAAACTTAACATACCCGACACGAATACCCTCATCAATATCTGTGGGCGAAACCTTCTCACCCAATCCGACCACAAATTTGGCGATCTGCTTGACATTAATCACATATTTAGCGGGTTCGTCTCCTGTTGCCTGAATGATCTTTGTGCAACGCGCTACCTGCAAGGGTTGTTCCTCTCCCATACGCTGCTTATCTGCAGGAATGTCCCACAAACTAGGTGGTGCCAATCCTGTGTCCGACTCCTTGACGCCCATCTTGTCATTCACACGCTTCTGTGCATCCTTGATGTCGTTCTCTAATTTCTTTAGATCCTTGGCATAAGGTCCTTGACCCTATAAAATATATCAAAGGTGGGAGATCATAAATTATTTTTCCTCATCCTTACGTTCCTTCTTCTTCCTCAAGTGCCTTTTATGAGTTTTCTGGTTGTTGCTCTTTGAAGTATCTTTGGTCTGGCTTATCATCATAGATTAAAATAAAAGAGAAAAAAGCTTACGTAGGTTTTGAGAAGTGCAATATCGCCTTCATCTAGAGCCACAATATTTTCTATCTCCTTGTCATCAACAGGCTTATCATCTAACATATAAGTAAATCAAGTAATATTGAAGGATGGAGGAAACATCATAATCTTTAGCATGTATTGTTGAGGCTCCTCCTACTCGAATAATATTGTACGCGTCACCATAATTTTTTAAGTCATTGTTTATATGAGCCTTACATTTCTCCCAGTTTGCCTTTGGTGGTGCCATGGTTGCAAGTTGTAAGTGTTTATATCTTGAGAAGAGGTCCTGTAGTCTTTATTGCTGCTTAAAGTATCGATAAATACAATAGATGAGAAATGAGAATGAAAAATTTGTAAGGTTGCTGTGAATGAGTGAAATGTTGAGAAAATGCTGCTTGTAGACAGAAAGGACGCGCACACTCTCTTCTCTTTCTTGCGGGTTGGTTTTATCACGTGATGCTTGCGTCATGGAATCCTTCAAAAAGAGATGTCAGCTGATTTGTTGCTGCCTAGTGGCTAAAGCTTCCTTCCGTTTTCTCTTGGGCAGAAAGGTACCGGCCTAAGTATGGAACAGGTTAATTTTCCTTTGTAACGCAGTCTTTGCATCGTTAAAAAAATGCAATCGTCCCACAGTACCATAGATTAGAGGAATTGTTTATGCGATGCACATCACTACCAAGTAAACCATTAAAACCAAAAAAAAAAAAAAAAAAAAAAAGACCGATCATTGTCCGCAAGGGACCGTAAGGGCTAAAAGACAAGGCCAGAATGATATCCCTAGATGGTATAACCAATTATACCATAGACATTCGCCGAGCTAACTTTGATCCTGAGGAATATCGCGGATCTGGGTATGCCTTGGCAGGCTCTATTCGAATAGATAGGTTCCGCGCCCAATTGTCGGCCTACAAACTTAAGTAATTGCAATGTGTTCGGTACAAGAGGTTGCTAGAGAATAAAACTGCCCGATTAATCTACTTCCACCCTTGGTGGCCTCGATCGCTATTTGACAGAGATTCGGAATGTCAAGTCTAAGGATGATGTTACCACAAGATATCAAATTTTAGGCCTCGATCTTGGACAAGCTTGCGTAGTTGGAGCCAGCGCACTACTTCCTGTAGTTGACAAAAGCAGGGATGACAAGGGAGACCCTCCATCCGTATGACTAGTCTTCCACAATCTGTCAGTGAAGCAAAAGACAGTATACTAGTCTACACTCAAGTTTCAACGTTAGCTAGCATATAGAAAAGATGCCGTTCCTTCTGGTACAAAATCGGTCTGCGATACCGAGAATAGTCTACTAGCAGTCCGAGGAGATGGTTGCAATATTGATAAATATTATGAGCAGTTTGAGAAAACAAAAGAATTACTTTCCGAATTCTATGATGGAGACAAAAATATAGTGAAGAGACTTCAATGGAACGCTAGGAAAGCTCGTGATACGGAGTTTAAGAAAATCACCAACTGTCTGCGCAAGTCAATTGAGAGATCTATTGGAGAAAGGCGCGATGTTGCCAAGGCGGTTATTGGAATTGGACTCGGCCAATTCTCCTCAAACATGAAGCTGTCTTCTTTCTATAGGACATTTCTTTCGTATTTCGTGCAGAAGATACACATTGCGTTCGACCCCGTTTTTAATATATCTTAATTACATCAATTATACCAAACTGACTTTTTTATAAACGATATTGTAAACGCTCGAAGTTTAGATTACAAAGTCGTCAGTGTCAACGAATATTATACTTCCAAGAAATGTCCGGTTTGCAAGGATTTCGTCGGCAGGTTATATTGCAAAACCTGTGGAGCATTCATGCATCGCGACGTTATGGCAGGATACAACATTTGCAACGTCGTTCGTGGTCACCTTCTCCATCAACAACGACCTGCGTATCTCCAGCCAGTAGACAAACACAGAGGATATCCTTGGATGGAACCGACCACGTTTGCATGTAAGCGAGCCACTACGACAAAATCAAAATAGTTCACATTTGTGTTGCAAACACATCAGAAGTTTTGAACCGCACTTCTTGCTGACGCAATTCAGCCAAGAGTGTGCTGTACTCAATGATGAAATGAACCAGACTTTATCCTCTAAGCATTGGAGCATCTCCCGAAGACCCCTCGGGAGTCGGAGAAAAACCCTGATAGCCGTACTCTATTAGTTCTAACTTCTGATCATTCATTATGTCGCTATCCTTAGTATATAAATAAATAAAAAAGAATAGAAAAAAGCGGTTCATAGAATCATGGCTAGAAGACATCGCATCCTGATAATTAATTCTGATTATGAAGCTTGGTGCGCTATGACTATATTCCCAAAGAACTTCATTGCATTGAACAGGGATATTGACACCAGATATTTTTTTTTTTTTTTTTTTTTTTTTTTGATAACAATAACCTCAGTAGAGCTTAGTTTGTTCTGGTTTTTTTCTTCTTTTAATTGAGTTATATATATTACAATGAGATGAATAATGCCTAAACTATTGTATGAATTAAATAGAAAAGAGTGGTATGTGTACAAGTTTCTGACTGATTGTTTGTTTTGAAGTCTTCTCTCTTTTAGGGTGCTTAAGCAGTGGCAGCTCTCTTGGTGCCGCGCTCTTCAATTTCCTCGAGCGACATACCCTTAGTCTCGGGAATGAGGAAGGTACACAAGAAACCAAGAGCCATGACACCGGCAAAGATTCCAAGCAATTGAGGCAAGAAGGCGTGCTCACCGGGGGCTCCACCGATCTCTGCAACCTTATTGAAAAGGAAAGTAGCCAAGATAGCACCAAGCTTGCCAGCGGCAGCGGAGATACCGTGGGCAGTGGCGCGAACGCGGGTAGGGAAGACCTCACCAGGAACGACAAAAGTGGTGGTGTTGGGTCCAAAGTTAAAGAAGAACTGTGCCAAGGTGAAGACAGCAACGAAAAGAGGTACAATTGTCTTCAGCTTGTGGAATGCAACAGACAAGATGATGAAAAGGATTGTCAACATGCCAAAACCCATGAATTGGATACGTTTGCGGCCCATCTTCTCAATCAAGAACACAGTGAACCAGTAACCGGGAACAAAACCGAGGAGAGAGACAGTCAAGTTGCCAAGAGTGGTTCTCCAGAGGTTGTCATAGACCGTACCATCGCCGACGAAACCCATGGCGTTCAGGACATAGGACTGATTGAGAGAGATACCGTAGAAGGCGATATCGAGCAAAAACCAAGTAGAAGAGGTACCGATCAACACCTTAAGGTTTTCCCAAGCAGAGAAATACTCGATGAAGTCACGGCCGTGGTTACGCTTAGCCTTGGCGTCAGCAATGGCAGTTTGTTGAGCAATGACCTCAGTAGCAGAGATAGTGTTGTTCTCAAGAGCTACATTAGCAGTGGCACGATTAATAGCCTGGTTGGCCTTCTCAACATCGTTCTCAACGTCCATGGCGTAACGAGGAGATTCGGGCATGGTCATGCGGAGGTAGATGGTGGAAACAGCAGGGATGCATCCGACACCGATACAGATACGCCAGACAATGTCAAGGTAATCAACATCCTCAATAATGTAAGACTTGAAGATAGCGAGGACAATAAGAGTGACGACAGAGGCCATCATGTTTCCAATGCCTTGCATGGAGAAAATGATAGACATAAGCTGACCACGGCGACCAGCAGAGGCCCACTCAGACGTGACAGTAGCAGACATGGGATAATCACCACCAATACCAATTCCAAGGATGAAACGCCAGAAGGTAAGGTATGAGATGACGGTGGCACCCTTGGCGTTTGAGCCGACCATAGCGCAGCAGAAAGTTCCGAGAATGATGATCATGAGCTCCAGACCATAGATCTTCTGACGACCGCAGGCATCACCGAGGTAACCAAAAACAAGTTGACCAACAAGGGTTCCGAAAGAGGCCATTCCTTTAAGAGCGCCTTCAATGCCAGTGGGAATGTGACCATTAGTCTCCTTGTAGTAGACGTAGCCCAACATGGGGACAATCAAGTTAATGATGAAAACATCATAGGCATCGGTGAAAAAGCCAGTTCCGGAGGTAATGAGGGTACGAATAGTGAACCAGTTCCAAGAGGACTGCTCTTCCAAGTTGGAAAGGCTGACTTTTGGCTGTGCGACGGACTGGTCAATGGAGCCAGCATCATCAGATTTTTCAACAGCGGACATTGTGATTTGATATGGAGGGAGTATAGGGAAAGTGTGAGAGTAAGGAAGAAAAGAGGTCTGCGAGTTTCTGTGCTTGCAGATGAGAAAGAAGAGAGGAAGAGAGGAAGAGAGGAAGAGAGGAAGAGTGAGAGAGAAGACTGGGTTGATGAGTGAGGCTAGAAAAAAAAGAAGAAAAAAAGTTGGCAACAGGACATATTTATACAATGATTTAGTCCCCTTGGACGCATTTTATCTCGATCCAAAAAGGAAGAGTGGTGTTCTATAATTGTATTGAAATGCTGTGGCTAGTGCCAGTGTCTGGCTTAAAAGGCAAGGATAAGTCAGCAAGCTGAGTATGAACAAGCAAACTTTTTTTTTTTTTTGGTGGTGTGTGTGTAGTACAACCAAATGTAGACAGTACATGAATGTTTATTTGTTTGTTTGGGTCAAGGAGCAAAAGAGAGAAAGCCCAATCGGATTGGTAGGGAGCACTGCTTCTGTCTGCGAACGAATCCTGCACGTGTAGCAATCATCAACCAATTGTTTTTGTTACCCATACCGCGTGCATCAATGTTGGTCAATTCTTTATTCTGGATCGACAATTAAAGTTTGGGAAGTGCATATTTGTGATGAAGGCCCTGTTCATCTTTTCCCAGACCTTTCCTAATGTTCCATTAACATTTTCTAAACGGGGATTATAGTGCATGCATCCTTTCTTATATCTACAGTATCTCGCACCCCCGTCTGTCTTGTCTTACTCTATCGTGTCCGCATGGATAAAAGGGTTCTTTCTGTTTGATCAAGTTCCGTTCATTCATACAAATCTGGCAATTCGATCTCATTTTTATTGATTAATTTAGACAAAAAAAGCCCATCCATCATCAAGATAAACTGTTTCTGATGCCTTTTCATCAGTATGGTTAGTGTTGCACATTTTCAATAAGCACATTGTTGCTTAGGATGCAAATGTCTGTACACTACCTCATGCAAGTTTGTAATGCTTTCTTTCTTTCTTTCTTTTTTTTTTTTTTTTTTTTTTTTTTTTTGAAAAGCATATATTTCTGCTGCTCTTCTTTTGTCGAGCTAATACATTTAGTAAAAGTGAAATTATAAAAAAAAAGTACCATTGATTCCTGTCTACATGTATTTGTAGTTTGGCATGGCCTGTACATGTACATGATAAAAAGCAACCCCTCTCTTATCGTCTTCTCCACTTCTCCATACAAATGTAGGGAGGAGCGGAAGAAGTGGGGTAAAGTTTAAGGAGTGAAAAAAAAGTTTGCCGTCAGTACTACTGTGCAACAGAGAGAGTAAACAATTTTAGTCCAGCTGGAACAGTACGATGATGTCAAATGTCATGTTTGTTCCTATTGGCGTCCTTTGTGAAGTTTATAGCCACCAAACTGTTCATCTTCCCACACGTGTGGGAACGACATGACAAATGATATCCTAACCAACAATCAACACATCAACAAACTTTGATAGATCAATCCGCATGTGCAGATGCATTTTGTTTAGAAGCGCTAGAAATGGACAAATTTTCCTTTTTTTATTTAAATTGTATGCATATTATGTTGAGCTAAGTATATTTGTCCGTTTTGTCGATTGACCAGAAGCTGAATCTGTTCTTTCCACACCAGATTCGGAAAAATCCTTTTTTTTAGATTCCAAATTTGATGATTTGCATACACATGTCAGAATGGGCAACAAGCTGTTCAAGATCACTGGTATATATATAAATATTGTTATTTTTATTGTTGGTTACTGGCGAGGCAATGACGCTGGACTATAGGAAGTTGGATTTGAGGGGTGGATTCAATCGTTCCTCACATGAATCTGAGGTTTATCCATGTTCGTACCCTGTTTAATCACTACCTCACTGAAAGCTAAATCCACCTGTAATGGTTCTTTTTTTTTGGCTTGATGCTAAAAAGCCTGTAATTGACTTGTCTGGCTATAAAAAAAAAAAAAAAAAGAAGTATCGAGTTCAAATGGTTGGCTCCTTATCCATAAACTGAACTGTAAAGTCCATTCCAAGAGGTGGAAGACGCAACCTGAATTATATATTAGTGAGTGGAGACCGATTCCGTAGTAACACCGCATCAAATGAAGAGCCCTAAATAGCAAAATTAGTTTAAGACACAGTCTGGCTGCCAAGAACACCACCAATCAGTTCTGAAATAGCACTATGCAGATCAGGACTGCTTAATTGTGTCAACCTGCTGAAGTTTCTCTTTCTGTAGAATGATGGAATAGGTGTTGCATAATGATCCTTATATACAAGGGCGAAAACGTAGACTGAGGATCTGTATCACTAGCATCATATCTACTCTTAAACAGCTGTGGCTTCGGCCCAACAGCCATAAAAGAAAGGCTATAGGTGTGTGACATTTGCAAGTATCTGAACATGAGGTTCCGTCGAGGAATGCACCTTCGTGAGTGGCTACAATGGAAGTAAGTATAAACATTATTGGCATTGTAGATGCGAACTGGCTTGCGAGAAGAATCTGTAATCCTATTGTCTCTTCCTTCACACAGACCGTGGTGTCAACATTTTCCAGATCAAGCCAGGACTGGGATGCTCATATGTCTTGCTCATTGTAGCAGTTCTAGGATCTGCATGACTTCTTCAGATCTGGTTAAGTAGTTTTTACCATGAAAGGCTTTACAAAAGGCTATAAGGCTCATCAGAACTCCACAACGTCTAACTGTCCATGCGTATGCTTTTCCTTGTGCTCTAAGCGTCGATGAGGAATCTTTACTGAGCTGTACAACTCGCTCAATGGCTTGCACCCCTCTGATACCTCCACGATTTCAGGATTCGATATGACAATCTGGGCTGCTATATGAAGGGCTCGAGTCACGTTTCGACCCTAATCAAGCGGTCTCGTCATTAGCCATTGGTGTAGAGAACCTCTATGGCCTCCATCGGATACGGAAGGCACACGTGAGGCTGAGAAAGGTTACATTATATCTTATTTCAGCCTTCTATTGCTCACTCACTCCTTCGACCTCACTTCTTCCCACCCATTACCATTTGTACATATTTCTTTTTCTCGTGGTGTAAGGAGTTGCCATTTCAAGCACTTAACTATCAATATATTCGTGTTTGTTTCAAAAGGTATCTGAAAAACTAGACTACTAACTTATAGACAGAAGATAAACAGCAGCAAGGATCTGCTCCCCTTATACTCGTGCAAAACATATCAGCTTCGCCTATATGAGTTGTGTCATTGTTGTCCAAATCAAAAGACTCACAACAAACTGAAGTCTTGGCCAACCATAGTTCTTACTACCAGTATTGGCGGTATTGAAGGCAGACAAATTTCTTGAGTTAGATGAATTAAGTGATGATGACAAAGCGGTTCCATTAAAAGTAGGAGCCAAAGGTGATAATTGCAGGACGCTGCCTAAGGAAGACTCAGAAGGAATTTTAGGACAGCCCTGTCCTTTGGCTAGCTTCTTCACATTCAGTGTTTTATATTCTTCAAGTAGGAAATCACAATATGTGGGGCGTCCACCCTCAGTGCAGGCATAGGGTGCATTGCCAAAAGCTCGTAGGGTGTATTCGCCTGCTGGCCAACTTTGAGGCACAAGCCAAGTAATGTTCTTATTTCGCTTGACTTTTCAGGGAAAAAAAAAAAGTGCCATTTCGTGTCAGAATGAAATATACTCATGGAGCAGTGCTTTTTGTTCAAGTCAATTATTTCTGTTATTTTGCCTACCATCCCACTCTTCACGTGTTGAATTATCAAGATTGTCAATGAGGACCTTATTTTGCGCACTGAGAACCTGAAGCTGGACGTAGCTCAAGATTGCCATGTCAGAATATTGGACTCTAAAACCCAGTTCTACGTTACAGCCTAAGTTGGAAAAAAAAAAAAAAATAAGATTGATTCAGTGTCTACAAAACATCAATCTTTCAATAAATCACTAAAGAGAAGTATAATAAAAGGGTTCATTGATCTGAGCAATACAGAATTCGTAATGAGAAAGGCTCTTTTAGCTCGTATATTGACTGTATTAGCCAACATGAAGATGCCGAGAGACAAGAGTGTAGCTTTCCAAAATACTACTCTACCTGCATAGGCCTCGCTGTTATTCGTGGGTTTTACCCAAAAAACTTGATCTGTTGATCGGTCCAGTTCACAAGCCCATATTAGAGAATGTAATAGCATCAGAAGTTAGGTTGAGAAGTATTACAAAGGCTACAAAGACTGGAAGCATGTAGAAACATTGCAGACAGATTAGGGGGGGGTTTTTTTCTCGAAAAAAATACCTGCAGACACGATATTTATCAGCGCAATGACGCCCAATGCAATCGCAAAGGACTTCATGATCTTAAACATTGGAAGCCGAGTGAAAAATCGTTTGTGAGTGCTGTGTTCCGGCCTGTTAGGGGCTTGAGATAGGGTGAAAAGCCTTAGTAGCAAATGGAGAATAAAGTATAGCTTGTGGCAGTTGCAGTGACACAGTTACTGTTGGTGAAGGTAATGATGCTATTGTTGAGCTTTTATTGTCGCGCGTCTAGCCTAATTTACGATAGTTTTTCTTATCGCCAATGCAGTATGTGTGCAGGACAACGTTGCTTGGACGTAAGGGGGATAATGTATAAAAGTGTAAAAGGCTATTGAAAGCAAAGGAAGTTTATGAAAAGAAATGAAAAAGATAATAAAGAAGACAAAATTGAAAAAAATCCAAGATATTTAAATGATTGGGAGCGGCAATCGAAAATAAATACGCCTAACTGAAATGAACGAGAAGCGGAGGCACGTAGAGACGTGTTGGAAGAATGCGATTCTACTCTCTCTCCCCAAAGCGACGCGACCATGGCTACACAAAACTAAGATTATGAGCACTAACCAACACTTCAAGCAGAGAACTGTAATAGCTAGATTGTCAAACGACCCTGGAGCACCAATACTAACTGACAATAAATCAAAGAAATTAAGGGATGGGTTAAGGGCACAAAGGAAAGAGTATCAGGACAAAGATTTCACCGAATGACATTCATCACTGTTCTTTATGTCATAAAAATTCTACATCTCACTGGAAATGTGAGCTAGTATATATTACAAGGGTCTCTTTCTGGAGACCAAGGGCCTAACAAAGCGAATGAGTGAATGGAGATCAACATTTTTTTTTTTTTGCTTCTCTTTCATTTTGCTTCGATTAATGTTTAGCATATAACATTGATAGTAAGGGAAGGCAGGTTAAATGAAGATCAACTGTCGTTTGGTTGTAAGGAAAAAAGAATGTAATATATGGAATCACAGCACATCATTCTTATAGCCAATAGGCCTTGTTCCGTATCTTCGTGATAACATTGCTATCCTTTTCTGCTCGCATGGATGTATTGCACCCTTCCCCTTGAATTTTTTTTATGTACAGGTTTTGCCATGGAATATTCAGGATCTTGAATCTCAGAATTTTCCAATCACAAAGGTCTCCTTGAGAGATGAATACTCTTCTATCAAAGTAAGGAATGATTTCTATTTTTCAAGGCGCAATGCTTATAGTTGCCTCTTCAGTTACACCTCGGGTATCACGATGAGTATTCACCAATTGCGGGTTAAAAATGGTAGGGTCAATTGAGGAAACAAACGAGTATTGACCTTCATTGATGATGATCCCGTAACAAACCAGCTTCACCCACCTCTTAAAGCAAATCATCCATTTTCAGGTTCAGAGTATAGGCATGGATATCACTTATTCTTTATGCTCCACATTAGTGAGCAGATTTATTTGGGTACAAACAAAATAAAGATAATTAATCTCCATTTTATACACATAGCATTCCCTTGGACACAACGCTCCTGGATACCCAATGAAGTATATCAAACGTAGTAACTAGGCGAGATCAACATGTCGCTCAAAACCTCCAGTTCATCCTGAGTGAACCGTTTTTGATCTTCATGCCATGTGTCTTGGTGCGTGCGCTTAAAGTCACTAAATGCCTTTTTGACTGTAGTTGAGATTGGTGGTGGGTCTGAAAAGTATCCTGATAAAAACACCATTGCCTCAGGCATCCAATTCGGGACATCATAAGGAAATGCCTCGAGTAATGACGATAGGCCCAAGACGCCTGCGTGTCGTCTCACTATGGCCTCGGCATACCCTTCATTTACTGGCTCATTCTTGGGACCACGTCTTTTGCGCGCTGGCAGAGGGGTGGACTTGAGAAGCTCCTTAAAATGAGAGATCAATCTCTGGGTCGCATCACGTTGTGAGCAACGAACAATACCGGACAATGTCGACGCAGCCAGTTGTCGGACCTTGAAGCAATACGAAGAAAAAAGATCATTAGGAAACGCGGGGCAAGACACTATAAAGACACAGGATTTGGCCAAGATTGCAATCCAACATGCACCCCTTACCTCAATCTGTGGATCTAAAAGCATACTTGAGACAGCATTCATAACCTTGAGCATCATCTCCAGGTCCATCGAGAACAAATTTGTGTAAAAGAAGACCTGCACTACTGGCAATACGTTATTACGTATATGCCAACTGGTCGATTCCTTCAAGATATTACAGAACAAATCAACCATCGTAGGAACTATGTTTGCAGGGTAGGCGAATCGAGCCAGCCGAAACAACGTGAATGTTGCCAACTGCTGAAGGTCTTGGTCATCAGGAATGTCTTGCATCTGGAAAAGTTCGGGAACTAAAGGCAGAACTACGCCATATGTAGCCTGCACACGGAAGCTAGAAAGCGCCTGATAGACCCATGATAAGACTGGTATTTTAAAACCAAGTCGTAAATGATCAGACTTAGAAAGTTAGAAGGTTATTTTAAAAAAAGAAAGATTGTATGGGCTGAAGAGGCAAAAAAAGAAAATCTACCTGATTTGCTGGCATTAGTATAATCAGAAGCTCCTTGAATCTCTGGATGGCGTTCAACTCTCCATTTTTCTAGGTTTTGCGCCAGACTCGTAATATGGCGCGCTGATTCTTCATCTAGAGACTCGACTAACGCACTGGGTTCGCTTCGTTCAGCTTTTTGTACACTAAGGAACTCTTGAACATTCTTGTATGAAGGGTGCGGTTTAAGCTGGAAACATTCATTAATGACATGTCCTAATATTTCGCGCACCTGCTTGTATGGATGGTTGATGTGTCCCAAACAATTTTCTGTCAATGCAGGCGTCAATAACGAGACGCGCCATGATAATGACACAAGAACTGCGCGAGTAAAGAATAAGTTTTTGGATTCAGAAAACGCTGCTGCTGAGTCCTTGTCCAGAGGTGTGTTAAAGATCAGTGAAACCAAAGGTAGTATACGGCGCGGATCACGGTGAGCGCAGCAGTATTTTACGAATCTTTCCCAGTATACCAAAGAGTCTGGCGTACACATTTGAAATACTTTCTTTAAAACTGGGGTCAACCATGCCCACATACGATCCAATGCCGATTTCTTCCAGTGCTTGCTACCACGGATCAATCCTCCAACCAACTCTGCCGCTGTACGTTGTGAATTCTTGTCATCAACAGTAGAACAGTGCTTGACAATCAGAGGCTCGACGACATCAAGGAATTTGTCTTCCCATAATCCAAAGATAGACTTGTAAAATCGAGCATGATCAATGCTAAATGCATCGCTTCGCTCACCACGGACAGGCTCTTGAGCCATAATTTCCACCAATTTCTCCCAAGTCGATGCCTGGCTGAAAAACTGCTCCAAGTGATCATATGCTGGGCGAGATTCCGCATCAACATCTGGCATTGCGAACGATTCTGCGCGAGGCAAATAAACTTTTATTGATTTTGGCCAAGCAAGCCAGCCCGTTTCGATGGAGTCATCAAGATAGCTATGTAAAATTACAAATTGCATATTAGTTGGCAAGTTAAGAGCATATATACTCATAGGGCTGGTAAATTAAAATTATGGAAGAAAAGAGAGAAAATATACCACGATTCAGGCTGTGCGTAGTTGATCTCAGTAACGGACGCTTTTAGGTACTCCCAAGTAAAATTATCAGGAAATTTTTCAGGAAGAGTCACACGTCGCTTGAGAGGATTAATGGCCTTGCGAATAATGAGGCTGTGAGGATCCCCTTGAGCAAATGTTCTGATCTTAATATTCACCATGATGGTGCTCAGGCTTGATAGCGCGATCCTTCGCACTGTAGACATCTCCGAGATCAGGCTCTTGGCTTCGAATCGCGCGATATCTAGACTGATAGGGAATTCAGGCCGCATGAAAAGCTCAATAAAACTCATCACCATTGTCTGATACCGCCAATGTAATGATTCATCCTTGGCCAGCTCAGTCAATGCTAGAATAAGGTCCTGATATGCCTTTATGCTGTTTAGGCGTCGGTTCTTAGTCATGAGAGCGACACGGTTGACCGTCTCTACATCGTACGTTAGACCATGGACATCAATGAAGTTTTGAGCGCTGCTTAGTAATTCTTGGTTCGTGTGGACTGTAAACGTGGAGTTTGTCATGTTCACGATATATTCTAGGAAGCATTTCCGGACCAGCGCTTGTACACTTGGCTTGTCGGCATGGTGGGCAGTGCATAGACGCTGAACATAGTCTGGCACGAAGCGCCAGTTCCGAAGACACGGAGGTGTGAGTGATTTAGCACTGAGTAAATAGAGTGCGCCCTTCATCCTCTCATAATCGGAATCTATAGATATATGAAAGGTTGATATGGGGTTAAAGGCTATAATTATGATCTGGCCTTTTAAAAAAAAGGTATAGAAATCTATATTGAGAACTTACTTGAACTTTCCAAGGACTTGAGTAGGACTGGAATGACAAGATATTTGGCACCTTGATAGCAATGTACGGCTTTAAGAAGTGCTTGCTGTGATTTCTTTCTCACATCCGTGTATTGACTCAAGGATAACTCAGTTAAATCTAGCATCAATACATCGTGAAGCTCTGTCTTGACACGTCCGCTGGAGTTGAACTTTAGCCTCGTATAGTGATGGGCAGTTGCTCGTCTACAACACATTAGCCGTGGATACATCTTTTTGTCCCCAGGAAGTCGATAGAGTGCCTTCAAAAATTCATAGCCCTTGCTATTCGCATCAAAGGTCTTGGAGTCGATGCCATGATCGGAGAGAAAGATACGAGCTGCTTTGACAAGGATTTTGATGTTCTCCACATCGTCTTCGCGTTTTGTGAGAAAGAACCCCATTAGCTCGTGTAAAAGCTGCCCAGTATCAGCGCGTATCTTGCGGATTTTCTCGGTACGTGGATCGTTGTAATCTGTAAGGCAGTATCCAACCTCGATGCGTTTTAGCGGCAGAATTGTGTCCATGTCATCCCCAAAGCTAATTAGTTTGCATGAAAGAATGGAGTTGGTTCATATATAGATGCTTGTTCTAGATATTATACAAGCTTATCAAATATAAAAAATTGCAAATGTTGCTCCTACTTTGCTTTTGAGGCAGGACTGTCGCCATCGTCTTCGACCAGAGTAATCATGCCGCCAAGGAACGCTTTAATTAACGTAATCACTTTGCAAAACTCAATAGATAGCTGTTTGCCTTCTAAAATCGAATTAGACATCAGATCCCGAGCTTTTGCAATGGAGGCTAGATGGAATACCTCGATAAGCTCGATGCCAAAATTGATTTCATCCTGTGAAGGTATATGCCAGTCTATTTTTTCAGATCCGGATTCTTCAAGCTCTCCCCAATGTAAGTGTGATTCAGCCATGAATGCTAGTAAGACATAATATTCGTCGGATCAGCTTCACCAATAATACTAATGATAATAAATCATGAAAGGGTTCGTCGTAACTGCACAGGCAGAATGTGGTATTTACCTTCGTCATTCCATTTTGCGGAATTATGGGATCTAGGATTGACAGTATAGATAGTAAGCATAGTTTGAAGCGCTGAGCCTAGAACTTTCGCTGCCATCTTGTAACCCCTACGATCTTGACATTTCTCGACCATGAGTTTCGCAAGGCTGATGATTTCAGTCCTATATTCAGTGATATCGCTGCTATCGATAAGTCGACTAAGTAGTCCTTGATAGTAGTGCAAAGAGTCATCCCGATGCATATGAGAGTAGGTTAATGAAGGGATTGAGCTGGCACCATGTTCAAGTTCGGCTCGAATCAGCCTATCAAGGATCGGGAAGGCTTTGGTCATGGAACACTTTCGATTTGCAGATGCCCAGCATGAAATAAATTCTCCCATAGCTTTACTTGCGTTGATTAAAGGCGCCGACTCCAGAATTTCAATCACAAGCTTAGTCGTCATGTCGTAGAGTTTAGGCGAGAGTTGGCCAAAGAGGAGATCGAAGCAATACTATTTTGTTTAATGATTCAATAGACAAAATTATTGTTATATTTCTTTCTTTCTTTCTTTTTCTTCAGAGGTTGAACAGGAGCAATATTTTGATTAATAGATAGACACCGTTGAATCACCTACAGCAATGGTTGCTGTGACAGAAGTCTCGACAGAATCCTTCTTTGTCCCTTGATCTACATCAGGATAATTTTCAAACTACCATAATAAAGAGTAGTTGCCTTAGTGTCAGGAGAGAAGATAAATAATGAAGCATAGTATTTATGGTTTATCACAAAGCCATCGAACTCTGCCTTACCAGGAGAATTGCTCTGCGTAACAACTTCATAACCCATTCCTCAAAATCTGCAGTAGTTGCTTTTCGGTTTGCATCTTCCAGTTCTATATCAACTACCTCATTCGAATCCAGCATGTCCTCCTCCATACCACCCCATTGAAATCCCATGCCACCCATGTCTGTCAAATCCTGCAATGGAACAGTCGAGATCATGGAACTAATAAACATCAAAGTAAACCATGTTTTTGCTGGATCATTTAAATCAATGCCTGGAAGAGTCAGATGAAGCAGCGGCGAAAGATGCTTTCCACCCTGTGGGTAGTGGTTACGGTTGAGCATTGGGATAGCTATAGAGCCCATGGCCGAGATGACACTCGTAGTACGATGAGTCTCTGTGAGAGATTCAAGTGAGGGATATGCTCGTTCCAATATACCTGGGATGATAAGCTTTGGTGCAATCCAAGCTAGGTAACGAAGAGTCACAGTGTTCTGAGCGACTGCTCGCTGATCTTTGGAGAACATCATCAAATAGGTCACGCCTTTGATTGTCTCCACAAACTTATTGTTAATTTCCGTTGTTAGGCGCAGCTCTTGTGGCACCTTACACTTTTCGCTCCCCTCTACATTTGATATTTTTGAAGTAACAATAAGGTTAGTATCGAATCAAACAAATGTCAAAAAAAAAAGTCAATTATATCCTAATCTATGTAATCCTATATTAGCTTAAACGTACGATCCCTGATTCGCTCCAAGTAAGTTTTAGCGAGATAATGAATAAAAAGCGCTAAGACATATGACCATTGGCCTGAATTTGAAGGGTGAAAGAACGATTCGGTCGCTTGTATTAAATCACTCAAGTGGGCTAATATAGACGACTCAGGATTCTCTTCCTCTGAAACTGGATCAATGGTGTTGACAATGAACATTGCAACAGAATACATCCGCATCTTAATAAATAAATAAATAAATAAGTAAGTAAATAAATGTATACCAAAAAGATATAAAAAGCTAACTTTTGCTAGGTAAGCTGATCATAGGGCATATGAACCGAGCAAATGCACTTACTTCATTCCGACTGATAGACTTATGAGCTGTGCCACCCTCTGAATCGACATGATTTGTACGTTGGCCCTTTCCGACAGGTAAATTTAGTGCACTCAATCCAGCAGCAAAAATTGTGCGCACTTGTGCTTCTGTAAACATATCTTTGGTGCCTAGATTATCTTTAGCCACACGTGCAAATAGAGACAGAAAGTTACGATCGAATTCGCTGGACCTTACAACCATGGACCACAGTCTAAACATGGCGGGCATCCACTCTCGCGGGTCCATTCCTGATTCAATGTCTGTGGGCAGAAAGGTGCTGAGATATGACTGAGCTCGAAGGAGTTCCGGAAGATTGCTGGTACTCATTTTCGGAATAAATTCCTCCAGTATCTCTGCTGCGGCACCTGATGGGAAGAACCTGGTAATGAATCAAGAGATCTATGTTTGAGATGATGGCCTCTATAGCTTCGACAAAAGCGGGTTTCAAGAAATTTATGTGCTTATTACCGTCTTGCCGCCGCAATAAGTCGAACCACCTTGGCTGATCGCTTGCTATTAACAAAATCAATAAACATGTGGACCAAATTGAGGTAGTCGACACAATTGTAGTGCATAAGTGTCTGGTGTGTGTTAAAATAGAGAATGCAGAAAGACATGTAACGCTTTCTATTTATTTTTTTGCCCTTTATCTTATCCATTCATTATCCGTATTTAAAGTGAACCAATTTTTCCCTTACGATTCAGACAGTAGCGCTTTTTGCCTGTTCTTGGGAAACAATGTTCGTTCCAAATATTCGTAGACAGGTCTCCATGGTAGCTGTAAATCCTTGGGCCCAATTGGATCTTTTTTCCTATTGTTTATCATTATTGTTTCATACAAGTACAGACAGCGATTAGATATCAGGAAGTGAACACAAATTAGATCACCCTTAATGTAGAGGCGCAGAAGAGGGCTGTCCAAATATTTTAAAAAAGTAGAGCAAAGATTCATATGCAATGGCATTCCGACTATCCGATTTGACTATCAATCAACGGAAGCTAGAGTAGCAAGTCTGCTTACTTAATCAGGCGGTAGCAGTAGCCGCTAGTCAGTTCAACCATGGCAGTATCTACACCCGGCGCAAAGGATATTTCCCAGAGCATTTTGGCAAATGAAGCCCGAGTTTCTAATGGGAGTGCATATTTCAAGTCAAGGTACCTACCAAGGAGCCGATATAATGAAAGTATTAATAAGAATTCATGCCGTTTCTTGTATGATCATATGAGGACTATTTGTAGTATATCATTTATCAAGATGATGAGATTATCACAGCCCTTACTTATCCAGTCGCCTGCCCCATTCGACCAGACCAGGCGCCCAGTCCTCAGACTTCAAACAGAGTCCAAAATGGTAGATGATATTGTGGAGCATCTCGCTCGCTTCCTGAGACATATCATGGCCATAAGGGAGGAGATTATGTAAGGCGGTAGAAAGGTCGCCCCACTGTTGATTGATATGATCCATATCGGCGAGAACAGTAACAGTATAAAAAAAGCGCGTGTAGAAGAGTACACAGCTGCGTATTTTTTAGCAATTGGAGGAAGTAAGGAATAATAAATCTGTCAAAATGCGATGCTGATTTCTAGATACAGCAGAAAAGAAGGAAGATTATTTTAGAGAAGAAATGAAATGGATTGCTTAATGCGATCTCTCTGACAATGTCCCCTGGAACAAAAAATGGATTAGGTGACAAGTGGCAGGAGAGGGCGAAGCAGAAAAAATAATAATAAAAAAGCGTGCGTGTGGCATGTGGCATGTGTGCGTATGCTTGTGGTGTTTGCGTATATTTTCCACCGCATATTACGTGACCCGTCGATACTATCTGTCATAACAAATATGGAGCCACGGCTAGACTTGGTACTTGAATACTTGAAAATAATAGAAAGGGCCAATGAAAGCATTGGTTATGCAAAAGGAGCTACAGCGTTCGTAATCCCAGAATTGCATTGAGAGCCAAGTCACAACTATTCTCTCAGTCCCTACGCTATCCACTACTCACTGTATTGCACACACGGTCCTGAGCTATCCATAATCTTGGAACCAAAAACATCTCCACATCTGGCTAGTTAGTACATGTCTTTTAATGCACAATCTACCAACAAAATTACAGAACAACACTATCGACTCGAGCATCCACAAGCTCCAATGGCATCTTGGTGGATACCCTGTAATCAATTTCATTTTCCAGATTGAGAATTTTGTATCCAAAGCCCGTAGATCGGCCTCAAAGACGTTGCAAGGACCATATCTCTGCTATCATACGTGCCACTTCTATGAGTAGACCATATTTTCATCGCATTCTCATTAATGAAGGTTATCGATGAACCCAAAATGAATTTTTCTAAGCTTGAACAGGGCTATAAGTGATATAAGGGCAAGAGTCAGGACTCAAGGCCAGCATGTTTACTTAAGCTGTTCTTTATTCTTAAGGTACTGTGTCTGGACTAAAAACCTGGGCTGTGTTAGGTCCCGATGGTTTTACTGCGGGACCAAATTCCGAGCAATGCTGCCACAGGCTATGCTTACCACAGTAGGGCTGTGACAAAAATGGTCTCTAGATCATTAATCATAGTGTTAAAGGTTCATTCATCAAATGCGTTACTGCCGATCTTAAAAGACTGCTCATTGCACAAGGACTTCATTAATCACCATCACACCAAGCTCAAACCAAGGTCCACCAACCGCCCAGGAATCTTAGAGGGTTGATGGATAAAGCTGTTGAGGACGCACGCCAGCTATTCAGAGCAAGTATGGGTCGCTTATGCATGCATGATGTTATATCAGGGCACATTAGGCTTCATGGAGCAGGGCGCTACTTGGGCACGCGGCAAAGAGAAGAGGCACTCATTCAATAGTTGACCTTGCCGTTGCTCGCCTGAAACTATCTTTGCTTCCTCATCTCACGTGACTAAGATGTCGTAGTTTGAGATGTAAATGTGTAGATCTAGATAAGGGTTCTTTTTTTTTTTTTTTTGCTGTGGGCTTAGAGGGATTGACAGAACTCTTCTTCCATCCAGTATCGACAAGCACATCATGTCTGGCATCAACAGGAAGCACGACGACAAGCTCGTTTTCGAGACTAGTGAGGATGTTAAGGGTAACTTAAAATTGACAGAAAATCGGCAGATCTCAACAGACCATGTAAACCACTCTTTTTGATGCTATGAATCGTGACTAATCTTTTTTTTTTTATTGTATCACTAGTTGTTCCCACATTTGACTCGCTTGGATTAAAGGATGATTTGCTTCGCGGAGTTTACGCTTACAGTATGCGACATGATTTTTATATTTTCGTTTCGATAACGTAGAAATTGACATATATGCTTAGCTTTATTGCTTGATATTCCCTCTAATTTCCTTCTAATGTTGCTTTATAGATTTTGAACGCCCTTCAGCTATCCAGCAACGTGCCATTAACCCAATCGTTAAGGGACGTGATGTGATTGCTCAAGCACAATCAGGAACAGGAAAAACAGCCACCTTTTCCATCTCCATCCTTCAATCGATTGACACCTCAATTCGTGAGACTCAGGCATTGGTCTTGGCACCAACCCGTGAGTTGGCGATCCAGATCCAAAGTGTCATCCTTGCGTTAGGGGACTATATGAATGTACAATGTCATGCTTGCATTGGAGGCACCAGTATTGGTGAAGACATTCGTCAGCTGGATCATGGACAACATGTCGTCGTAGGCACGCCAGGAAGGGTCTTTGATATGATTCGTCGACGCAACCTCAGAACACGCAACATAAAGATGATGGTCTTGGACGAAGCAGACGAGCTGTTGAATCAAGGATTTAAAGATCAAATTTATGATGTATACAGATACCTACCACCATCCACACAGGTCGTCATCCTCTCGGCTACATTACCTCATGATGTACTGGAGATGACTTCTAAATTCATGACAGATCCCATCCGTATTTTGGTCAAGCGTGATGAATTGACCTTGGAAGGCATTAAGCAGTTTTTCGTCGCTGTAGAAAAGGAAGACTGGAAGTTTGATACGCTCTGCGATCTTTACGATACATTGACCATCACACAGGCTGTCATCTTTTGCAATACCCGCAGAAAGGTTGATTGGCTCACTACCAAAATGAGAGAGGCCAACTTCACAGTGTCATCCATGCACGGAGAGATGCCTCAAAAGGAACGTGACGCTATTATGCAGGAGTTCCGCCAAGGTGCAAGGTATATTTTACATACTGATAAAGTATTATGATTTCTTTGTGTACGCCATAGGTTTCAGGGACGTGTGCTAATGCCATTCTGAATCCCTCCATTTCACTACAGTCGTGTCTTGATTACAACAGATGTATGGGCTCGTGGTATCGATGTCCAACAAGTTTCACTGGTTGTTAACTACGATCTTCCAAGTAATCGTGAAAACTATATTCACCGGTACGAAGCATGCCTTAAAAGAAAAAAAAAAAACCCCCCTTCGAACTTGGCATTTCATTTTATAATGTGTTTGTAACTCTTTTTTTTTTTTTTTTTTTTTTTTTGCCAATCAATGCAGTATTGGTCGGTCTGGTCGCTTCGGACGCAAGGGTGTGGCCATTAACTTTGTTACGCAGGATGATATCAAAATTTTACGCGATATTGAACAGTACTACAGCACACAGATTGATGAGATGCCAATGAACGTTACTGATTTGATTTAAAGTAATGGTCTGCGGCATGGCGATACATATTACGGTGTAGAAAGAGTAGACATTCTTATTTGAATTGAACAAACTATAAAGAAATAATTATGATTTGTTGAATTTTGCGTTATTGCGTTGTTTATTTCAATGATCCCTATCCTGCTTCCATGCCTGTTCACGCTTGGATTGCGTTTGCCTTTTGAAGCTCAGCCCTATAAGCACAAAAGAAAGTAAAGTAGAGGAAAGAAAGTTTACTGGGTTAAGGAAGGATCTTTATGATTGAATGCCATAAGATGTTCCTAGAGCCAATGACTAACCTGAGCTGGTTTGAAAAGTCATCTTCAACATCATCATCATCCCAGTTGTCGTCCCACTGGTGTGCATCCTTCTCTTCCTCAGCTTCATTCCAATCTATATTGTTTAGTTCATTATTAAAGATAATCGTATACTTAAAGACGTCAGATTTAGGTAGTTTGCCATATGCCATCATCAGATACTCAAGATATTCCAAAAAAATATAAAAAAGAAACAACAGCTATAGATCCATAGATCCATATCTTTCATAGGTCTTTTTCGGCTTAGACTTGAAAGAGCCTGTGTTTCTCTCTTCTAACTGCTTTAATATTAAAAAATAAAAAATAAAAAAAGAATAAACGAATACTGTTGGTTCAAATTGCATTAGGGAAAGAAATGCTTACCTTGTGCAGCAAACTCTTCAAACTCGTCGTCTTCCTCTAGTCCATTCAACTGAGGCTGCTGTGCTCCTGGCTTATTGTTTTGCTGCTCCAATGCCATGTTCTTGTTTAAATGTGCAAGTATTCGTGTGTCAAGAGTTGAAATGAAATGGGAGAGCGTTGCGTGTAAATTTGTATCAGAATTTTACTATGCCATGGTTTTTTTAATCGCAAATACTACATAAATTGGTGGCAAATCAGAAGAAAAAGAAAAAGGCCTCGCCAACAACACCTATTCCTGCGACTGCTGCGTACTGTACTTGTTTAGCATGTGGTTTGCATTACAATGTCAATTAATGGTCAGGCTGAGCGTTCAGGGAAAGCTCCACAACGACAGCAACAGCAAAGGACAGGATGGGGTCAAGGACAATCTCGACAAAAGGAAGGAGTCGTGCAGGGTCATGGTCAATCCCATGCTTTTAAGCGTTTTCATGATGATGCTTGTCATTCTGATGAAAATGCTCAGCAAGGATCAACCTCCACAGGGCAGCAGCAGAACCAGGGGCATAGAGCACAAGCAGGCATCACTACTCAAACACAAGGACTGCAAGGGAATTTGCCACCTGGTCTGAGGCGAGGACTTGGAGGTTTTGCCAACAGCAGTACTCAACGCAGTCAATCGGGAATACTCCCTAATACTATCAATAGTAACCTCAGTAAAACCAACACCACATCCAGAGCGAGAAACCCCATTACAGCGCCAAATACAACTAACACTGCACATCATGAGGCGGCTGGTAATGTAGTTAGTCAAGAGCATGCTTCACTGGGATTTACACAAGCATATGCTCTAGGTTTTTCAATTCCGACATCAAAGTTCAATACAGAAGCTTTTGGAACATTTGTTGCACCGGTTTCTAACATGACATCAAATACTGAAAGGAACACGATAACAGAGACAGCTCCTGCATACGACCCAGAGGCATTGGATGATGATTTAGAGTTGCCTGTGGATATTGACGACGATTTTAGTCTAATTGACATGAGTGTGGAGAAAGACATTCATGCATTAGCTACGGAAACGGAGATTAGTAATGCAGAGCGAGCCTTTGAAGATAGCAATGTATCCCCTTCGCAGATCAGGAAGAGACAATTAGATGAGGGCAATACTATTGATGAAGCGGCACAGCTGAAACAAAGGGTTGCGGAGGTATCTATTGCCCCTAGGGCCACATCATTCTTATTAGTTATCCTTATTGTGCAATTCATAATGATGGGTTTGATTGATGTTTCTATATATACTCTATCATTTATCAGCTAGAAGTCCAATTGAAGAAAAAGCAGGAGGAACTTCAAATTGAATCTGGCAAATCATCGATGCTTAAGGACAAGTTAGAAGATGCAAATAAATTCAACCTCGAGCTCACTGAAAAGTACAAGGCGGCAACTGTCCAGCATCAAAATGAGAAGGAGACGCTACTGGAAAAGCATCAAAAGGACCTTGCCAATGCTAACATGAACCATCAGTTTGAGGTATGTGTTATAGCGATTACTGGGTATCCCTAGCAAATCTTCTCTTGTGCATACGTCACCAATTGCTTTGCAAAGCCTCTGATCCCCTATTGTTAATGTAATTCCCATAGGTTCAAAAGTATATTCTTGATAGGCCATCAGCAGCGATGAAAAATGTAGTAAGGTCATCTCAGCAAGTAAAACCGCCGCAGCAATCCTCAACCCCCACGTTCCCCAAGTCTTTTTCAGGATTTGCGCCGACACAATCACCTATCAGTACCCTGCCACGGAACGGTAATGTGATGGCTAATAGCAATTCTCCATCTATTCCATTTTTTTTCTCGGTAGAAATCTTAATAGCCGTGCTGTTCCTTATGTATATTTAGATGAAGGCTTTTCTCTACAGAATTTTGCGGTGACACCCAAGTCACCAAGGAAGAGCAGATCTTTTGGTATGAATCAACTTCTAGAGAAGCCTCGGCCGTTCCAAGTTACAGGAGAGCTCCCACGGCCAGTACGACCAACCTTTGGGTTTAGCAATGATATTCCCACTCAATCAGAGGAAGAAATAGTAATGTAGCGCTTTGGAAAGCGGCTTATGAATCTTGGTCAATGACCCTATAGTTCTATTAATGATGACCATTAAGAATGGAGTTACTGAAGCTAGCCTTCTCAGGGCATTATAGATCCGTGACAAGCTGCTTGCTGATCGGCGACATTCTTTTGGGCTACGGCAATTATTCAACATTGATCCAGATGAAGAACGCAAGTGTCCGCTCCCAGGTATAATTATCTGCTCTCAATTCATATATCATTGCGTTAGGTTGAGAATAACTCCGCAAATTCCCTAATTTCGTATCTTCTCTTTACAGGAGCTGTCGATACGGAGAAGAATGCTAAATTAGAACAAATTACTACAAGTTGTGTCAACTCTCTCACCGATTTAATCCAGAGCAACAACAAGCTTTCAAGGATGGAGGCATTCAAATCCACAGGAGAACTTTTGCGTGTCAGTGTTGTGGAGCGAAAACTCTATCATTGTGTCAATGCACTCCATGTGATGTTCACATTATGCTTTACTTATGATGATCTGCTAGCTGAGTTGAGTGGAGGTACTGTCCCTTTTCTGGAAGATGAACGACTTGACCCTCTGACAATCATCCCATCAGATAAGTCAATACCCTCTGCATTGGCTGCAATCCATTACTTATTTTTGAGTAGAATCGCTGTACCGTCGCAGGCAACTGCAGCTGCACCTCCGCCTCCACCATTTCCAGTCATGAGGCGAGAGCATAGGCTGGAAAAGGATGCAGAGGGGTTGTTGGACGCTGATATGTTCCAACTCCTCTGTCTTCTTGCGAGATATCAACTAGAGACAAAGGCAATAGGCCGCTGCTTTCTTCCACTTGTTCGCAGGCGCATTTATGCAGAGGTATTGAGTTTGCATTTGAAGCAACGCCACTATGAGACCCTGAACTATGTCTTTGATATTATTGATATCATTACGCGGGATGTTGAATGTGCGCGTTTGTTTGTGGGGTGGAGCATCAGTCAAGAGAACTGGACAGAGGCATTCCCATATATTGATATCATTACAGATTTTATCGATGTTAATACAGGGAAGAATATGGACCCTATGGTAAGTATTTTTTATTTTTTATTTTCTTACAAATAAAAAAGACAAAGACATCAAGAATTGCCTATAGAGTCAAAATATAATGCTTTTTAAACTTTTATTGCTATTATAGAATAAAGCCATCTTTCGGATTAAACTCAAGATATTTGAAATCCTTGAACGAGCCGCGCGTGTGAATTTAGAGCAAACGAAGAAAATTGTTTACAAAACCTCAGTATGTCTCATTATATGTTTTGATCTAAAGCTTGATCTTTCTTGTTATTATATTATACTGCTTTCTAACAAATATTGCATCTTTATCCATGGCTCTGGATAGCTCGTCAAGAAAGTGATTTATTCGATTAGGAATCTCGTTGATCTGGCAAGCGAGATACAATACCTGAGAGTGAAGGGTTCTGTATGGCAGAAAACGAGCAACCCTACAAGTGATGGTTGTGCTAGCGGCAGCGGACAAAAAGGTGCTGTAAAATCACATTCATTTTCCTCGATAGCGCCTAAAGTGGAGTCACCTGGCCCATCTGCTGCACACGGACATTCTTCCTACCGCGGTCAGGTCCAAGCCCAGGGCCCAATAGCCTTAACGTCAGCGCCCTCAAATCCCCTTCAGTCGTCGGAATCGATAATGACGGCTGGGGTAGAATCTCAGTTCTCGCTCTTCCCAGACAATAACTATGATTTTTTGTACTACAAGCTATCAAGCTTGGACACTGCGAGTGAGGAAGGTGGATTGGGTTCACGATTAGTGTCAGCATTTGTATCACCACAAAACAAGTTGTTCGATTTTGTGTTGCTACTCAAGCTCGAGTTAGAGTTTATTCTCAACATCATCCGCGCCTTTCCAGATTATTCACAGTACCTTTCAGAAAAGGAACCGACAGAATATCGGGCACTTGCGTATGCAGTCAGTCGTATCGCTGTTGGTGGCCTGGGCCTTTCACCACAATCGGAAGGTAAAGCAATGGATTATTAGCACATCTAACCTGTCATATGCTCTACTCTTGTATCTTTAATAATGAAAGTGCGTTCTTTATCTCGTTTATTTTATGCATGCATGTCTGGCTTAGAACTGGCTAGCGATATCCTGTTGGACTTGATGATGGATGACGAAGAGGAGCGCTCGTACCTAAAAAATGTTAGCGACATGTATGGTGTCCCGCATCAGGAAGTAGAATAGATCTATCAATTAGCTTACACGAACCTTGAAGAGTTTACTTGAAAAAGCTATTTCAATTTCAGGACAGGCGTGCGACTTGAAAATATTAAAAAAAATTCTTAATTCCGGATATGAAACAAATACGACTCTTTCCTTGCATGGACCTGTAGGCAAAGGAGTAAAAAATGGAGATGAATAAAGAGGATGAAAAAGTCGAGGAGTCAATATTAACCTTTACACATTATCCAATATATGAAAATCACAACAGCAAAGAAAAGGAATATCAGAAGTGATGTTGATTACAATACAATAAAAGAATCAACGCGTTCCAGCTCTGGAATGCCTCAAGATGCGCAATTGAGTATATTCCTATTTGCAGAAGTTGTGGTTCATTTGGTGACCTCGGAGACCATGTGGGAGAAACGTGATTTGGATCTACAGCTGCTCCGGTGCTTGACAAGTTTTCTCTCGACTGTCATCCTGTTATGTGTCCTTCATCTAGTTGGTACTGCTTAAAAAGTACCCAAGTGCTTAAGACGCTCTAGCTCTCTCCTGTAGTCTGTATATAATCTCTGATGTGTACGCAGCAAAATAAAAAAATTCTTTTGAGTTTGGTTACTATTTATCCCAAAGAAGGAATTCTTTTTTTTTTTTTTTTTTTTGACGCCGCTCAGATTTCTGTGATTGGATGACTTGGATGACAGATTTTGTATGCATGCAGTGTAAATCCAAAGGGCTGATTGTACCTGTTGGAGCCAATTTTAGTGCTAGTTTCATAAAAGGATGGCCTTTCTTCTTATTTCCCTTTTTTATTTCTTTTTTCCCTTTTTTCCTTCTCAACATTTTTTTATCTTTTAAGCGGTACATTGATATACATGTACCATGAGTGAATCGTATTGCAGGGACTCCGAAGGATGGGTACACTCTTGTTTGTAACCTAAAAAACATGCGTCTTCTCTCTCCAACTCTCTAACTCTTCTTTATCACATCCGTACACATTAATAGGGCCCTACATCAAACGCACGTGTGGATATCACTCTCTGCTTTGGAGACTCGTATGTATCTAATCTAATGCAATCAATAAGAAAGTGTATATTTTATATTTTATTCCTTCCGTGTCTGACAAAAAAAAAAAAAAAAAAAAGGATATTGCTTGCTTTGCCATCACTTCTAGCAATTATGGTATTTGCAGTACGTGCTCATGGCCTTCTCTTCCTCAAGAACAAAAATGGGGGCACAAGCCTGCTTTCTTCGATTCTGCTACATCGCCCCCTTTATTGGGCTTCGCTCGGTAGCATGTTGACAATCTGCTCAGCACTTTTGACTCGGCTGATCCAGCTCGCACTTGAGGATATTAAATCAATTTCAACTTTGTTTGCAACTGCGGCTTTGCTTCTGGCATGGGTAATGGATCTGTCACACAAAAAAATAAAAAAAGAATGTAAAACATGCGATCAACACTAACTTTAAAATCTTTACTTTCTATGGTAGACATGTGCAATAGTTCTCAATTACATCGAGAGCCAGATTAGCACCCGATCATCCACTTGGATCTACGGTTTCTATGCTATTTCCATTGTTGCTGCGGCGATCAATCTTAGGACTATGAATGATACTCATTTGAATGGACAGCCTCAGTTTATTTCATTCTGTGTTTACTTGACTGCCCTTTGTGTTGGATTTATTCTCGAGAACTGGCCACGGTCTACTTCTACTTCTTCAAATACTACACTTTATACTGATGCTAATGCTGAGGAAAAGGAATGGGAGAAGCCTACGGCTTATGATCAAGCCAACCTACTGTCTCGTCTCTGTTTTGCATTTCTGGATCCTATCATCATGAAAGGTTTTGGCCGGCCCTTGGTAGATGACGATATTGCCAATATGATGCCTCGGCGGATTAGAACTGTCTACAGCTATACCCTTATCTCGGCAGTCTGGGACCGCCATCTGCAAAAGCGCCATAATGCTTCCTCCAAGAAGACGCCTTCACTGCTCTGGGTGATCTTCAGAGCTAGTGGTTGGGCATGGTTATCGGTGGTTGGGCTTGCATTGCTAGAGTCCATTCTGGTATTCATACAGCCAATTCTCTTGGATATTATCTTGGACTTTGTAGCATCTTATTCGACTGACCAGTCTCAGCCAACATCCTTGGGTGTCATACTAGCCGTTGGGATGTTTGCAGCCGCTATCCTGGCCTCAATAACTAATGGCCAGTACTTCCAACAGAGTACCAACCTGGGTATCGAGCTTAAATCTGGCCTAATCTCGGTCATCTACCGTAAGTCTCTTAAACTCTCTCCCGACGCAAGGCGCGGCGCCACCGTGGGTGAAATCATGAACCACATGTCAGTCGATGCAGAGAGAGTTGCGCAGTCGGTCACGTATCTGCCTTTGATTATTTCGTCGCCCTTCGAGATAGCGGTTGCTACCTGGCTACTGTATCGCCAAATGGGTCCAAGCGGCTTAACAGGCCTCGGTGTTGTGGTCTTGACGATGCCTGCACAGTGGCTGATCGCAAAGGTCCTGAACAGGGCCAAGGACAAGAAGCTCTCAACTATGGATGAACGAGTTCGACTCTTATCAGACATTCTGTCTGGTATTAAAGCTGTCAAGTTGTACTCATGGGAAAAATCTTTTACTCTCAGACTTAAGGCTTTTCGCAGGGTCGAACTAAAGTACTTGATGCAAATCGGTATCGCAACCGCATTTATGATGATCATGTATAGTTCATTACCTTCCTTGATGGCTTTGCTCTCATTCGTCGTGTACGCTATGGCAGGGGGCCCCAATGGCTCTCAGGGGGTCATGTCTGCCCGGGTTGTCTTTGTCAGCATCACGCTCTTCAATCGACTCTCCATGCCGATCGGAAGAGCCTCTCAGATCATTGGCCAAGCTATCTCGCTCAACGTAGCTGTTAAACGAATCCAAACGTTCTTGCTACAGGAAGAGATGGATGAAAATCAAGTCGAATTCAATGTTCGCCCTCCTCCGGGCCCTTGCAACGAGAGTCCTGCCCTGGTAAGCAACAGTGGGGCTGCGACCAACCAGAGTGGATATAACCAACCTCTCGCAATCAATGTGGCCGACGGCACATTTAATTGGACTAATCTTAGTGTCGCCACGAATTCAAAGGAAAGGTCACCAACAGACAAGGGTCAACAGCGTGCAACCCTCTGCGACATCAATCTTGAGGTTCCATACGGCTACCTCACTGCTATCATGGGTCGTGTGGGTCAGGGAAAGTCCTCATTGCTCAGCGCTATCATCGGAGAGATGTACAAGGAGAAAGGAACAGTCAAGTTGAACGGCCGAGTGGCTTATGTTGCGCAGGAAGCGTGGATCATGAACTGCTCTGTGAAAGACAACATCCTTTTTGGCAAGCCTTTAGACCAAGAAAGGTATGAGCAGGTGTTAAGGGCTTGTTCACTCACTCAGGACCTAGAGATGCTTCCCGCTGGGGATCAAACTGAGATTGGGGAGCGTGGAATTAACCTATCCGGCGGACAGAAACAGCGTGTGTCTCTTGCGCGTTCAGCATATCAGGATGCAGATATTTACCTAATGGACGATCCTCTAAGTGCAGTGGATGCTCATGTGGACCAGCATCTGTGGAACAATCTCATCGGACCAAATGGGCTCTTAAAAGACAAGACACGCCTTTTAGTCACACATGGAATCCACCATCTGCCAGAGATGGATCATATTGTGGTTATCAAGGATGGCCTGATTGTAGAGCAAGGGCAGTATGCAGACCTGATGACATCAGGGGCTCTATTCGCCCAATTAATTAATGAATATTCTCACAAGGGGAATGAGCCTGAAAGCCCTACAGCGTCTGCAGCAGCAGGAGCAGTAACAATAGAATCAGAGGATATGGCTTCTAAGGGCTATAGCCGCACCCAAGACATCTTCAATGCGGAGGAGTTGCAAGGCCATAGAGGAGATAAAGAGGCAGATACTGATGCACGAACAACCGTACTGGCTCAAGAGGCTTCCACAACTGCTATTAAAGGAGACGATAATGCAGAGCTGATAATGGAGGAAGAGGCTGCGCAAGGAAGTGTTGGCTGGAGCGTATTCATGCGCTACTGTAAAGCAGCGTAAGACTATTGTACCGCTATATTCCTTGGGTTGTTATCATTTATAAGCAAAGAAGTAATTAACGGCTTGTACTCTCTTATTTCCTTTTTTTCCTTATAACAGCTCTTACATTTTATCAGTTCTAAGTGCTTTGGGCTTCGTTGGCTCACAAGCTAGTCAAATCAGCATTAGTATTTGGTTGAAAGAATGGGCCGGACAAGAGGGGCGAGGAGAGCAGTCCTCAGTGCCCAAATTTCTGGGAGTTTATGCAGCTTTTGTAGCACTTTACATTCTCTTTGATCTGGGCGCTAATGTCATCATCCTGGCTCTAGGCGGCGTTCGTGCCACACGCGTTCTACATGATAATCTCCTCGATAATGTAATGAGACTCCCAATGAGGTACAGAGAAAGGCTTTTGAATGAAAAATCAAGGGCGCGGTTCGTTGACACATCAGAATCCTAATCATTTTTTATATTATGTTGTTGTTTGTTATTGTTACTACTGATAGCTTCTTTGACACAACACCGTAAGTGCGCAAATAACTTGAGGCGAAACGCCCCTATTCATCTATTCACATTGATATCGGAGATGAAAGTAATATTAGTGCTAAGATTCTTACTTTTACCCGTTCATTACAATTAGTGTTGGGAGAATTGTCAATCGATTTTCGTCAGATGTCGATAATGTAGATGAGCTAATTCCTATTGCTATCAGCGATGTTTATTACTTCTCAACCACTGTCTTGGGCACATTGATTGTCATTTCTATTTCCCTACCTATCTTCTTAGCCTTGGTCCCTTTATTGATTGGGCTGTACCTTATATTCCAGATCTTGTTCATCCGATCCAGTCGGCAACTTAAGCGAATTCACTCCATTTCTAAATCGCCACTCTATCAACATTTTGGGGAGACACTCGCTGGGATTTCGACCATCAGAGCTATGCGTGTCCACGAGCGATTCATTCAAGAAAATGCCATGAAATCCGACCGTTCCTCGAACGCTAATTTCGTATACACGATCGTTATCCGCTGGCTTCATATTCGGCTTGAATTCTTGGGAGCCTTAATTATTTTTGCTACCGCGCTTTTGGCAGTATTGGGCAAGAGAACATTGGGAGCTGAGATCGCAGGCTTAGCACTGTCATATGCGTTGAATACTACGTTTGCAATCACCTGGATGATGAAGGCGTTGTCGGAGCTTCAAAACCAGCTCGTCTCTGTGGAGCGTATTCACGAGTATTCAGTTAAGAATCAGGAAGCACCTGCGTCATTGCCTACAGATGCTAATCTGCCAAGCAACTGGCCAAGCGAGGGCCGGATCGAGTTCAAGAACTACTCTACACGGTACCGTCAAGGATTGGACCTAGTAGTTAAGGGTGTCTCGTTCGAGGTGAGCCCTGCGGAACGAATTGGTATCGTAGGACGAACAGGCGCAGGGAAGTCATCTTTGACATTGGCTTTATTCCGTATAATTGAGGCTGCCAATAGTCATTGGGCCAAGGCAAGTCACAACGGGCCTGACACACGGTTGCTTGAGATAGAGTCATCAGCTATGCCAAAGGTGCCCAGTGATTCAAGAGAGGATGACGTGGAAGAGGCAAAGCTGGAGACCATGCAGGTAGAGGAAGATGGTGGGTCGATTGAAATTGATGGTGTCGATATTTCAACTGTGGGGCTGCATCAACTCCGTCAGCATTTGGCCATCATTCCACAAGACCCTACACTCTTCTCTGGCACCGTCCGCGAAAACTTGGATCCATTTCATCAAGCGACCGATGCAGAGATCTGGGAAGCTTTGGATCGAGCTCATTTGAAGGACCATATTTCTTCATTGACGAATGGACTCTCGTTTGAAGTTGCACAGAATGGGGAGAACTTCTCAGTAGGACAGAGGTCGCTATTGTGCTTGGCTCGTGCGCTGCTTCGCAAAACCAAAGTACTAGTTTTGGACGAGGCAACTGCAGCTGTGGATGTGGAAACGGACGAGCTAATTCAGAAGACGATTCGAAAGGAGTTCCAGGACCGAACGATTTTGACGATTGCTCACCGCATCAAGACCATTATGGATTACGACAAGATCCTAGTCTTAGAGAAGGGGCAAGTCGAGGAGTATGATACCCCTGCCAATTTATTGCGAAAGAAGGGTCTGTTTTACAGCCTTGCAAAGCAAGCTGGACAGGCAACTTAGAATTAAACACCTTACTTCACAACTTTACATATTCGTAATATAATTAATTGCCAGTGATATAGTTACTCGACTGTTAATAAGTACTATGCCAAGCTCCACCCAAAACCCTAGTTTGATATCCTTAAAAAAGTCCATTTTGGAAGAATAAAAAATTGTTGTAATTGCCTGCACTTGACCGAAAAAAAAGAGTCAGTCAGAAACAAATGTTCAAGAGCGTTGCTGTTGACAGTCTCGTCGAAATAGGCGCAATAGGTGCAATAGATGCAATTGGGTGAATTGTAGTATGTCTTTTTTATTTTAGCGAGGATCCCGATAAAAACCACAGTATCGATCTCCACGCAGCCCTCAGTATCGCCTTAGTCCACACATCCGATCTCAGTCCCACAATATACCTACGAAAAAATCATTGGGTTTTATCGTCAACCGTGATGCAAGAGGGAGCAGTAGAAGTCAAAGCGAAGGCAAACCAGTTGTATGGGCGTTGCAATCAAGCAGCTACTACGTATGACAGGAGAAACAGGAAGTGCAGCCAAGGAGATCGAAAACTATAGCGTCCTCGGAATCGGTCTGGCTCTGCTTCATTAAGAAAGCGAGTCAGTTTTACTAAGGCATACGACTGCCACCGGAATTGCTAATCTCAATCCTTCTGAGAATGCTTAATAGGGAGTAGGAAAGGGGTTGGGACATGTGCTCGTGGGTATACATGGGTATTTTACCAGTGCCAAGTGTTCTCGCCTCGGCAACAGCTTCCTTATGAACCTGAAGAGCAAGTACTGCGGCATTTACATGGACCGTGATGCAGTGGGTAGTGAGAACGTGACCCATATCCTTGACAACCACCTCTTGCTACAGACATGCACCACAAAGTCTATGCATCCCTGGCTCCCCTTCTGGTTCCTCCTTTGGCAGACTCCTGCTGGATGAAGGAAGCAACAACGGATGTAGGAAGAGCAGGGACAAGTCGCTTTCGGGGTCCGTAAGCCCATTGGGACAGAAGTTCTCTTTTTTTGTATGTGTATGATTATGACAATGCGAAGTATATTGAAGAGACATGCAGTAGCTGTGCACTTAACCATTGCCTTTTGTTCTACAGATATGACACATGGCGGTACATCGATGCGGGAAATGCATTCCCATGTAATACAAAATTTTGCTTGATTCATTGCCCATTGCTGCGAGAGAATGGTTCAACACTTTCATTTCATTTTCAATTATGCTCTGTTCATTCCATACTACCCAAGTCTGAATTTAGTGTCTTTAATACATATTTTTTGTTACAAGATTATTGTGATGTTGAGAATTCCTCTTCCTTCTTTTTACAGCTCATCTTTCTTGACTTCTGAGTCTTTCTTAGTTTCATCGCTATCCAATGCTTCCTGCTCCTTTGCCTTAGCTTCCGATTCCTTTGTGGTGATGGAAACTGAGACCTTGTAGCGTCCGTCCTCGCCAATGTCGGTAGGGTCGTCCTCACCTTCGGCCACTTGGGGTGGAGCTACGATCTCAAAGACCTCTGGCTTGTGATCTGGATTCTTGATTGCGAATCCCTCGATAACCTTTTCTTGATTTGTCTCAAAATCAATCCACTTGTCACATCCCTCGATTTTGCTGGAAGGCAAGAAGTTTTTCATGGTGTTGTTGTTGTGGACATAGGGGCATTCCTTGGAGCAATCGGCCTTCATCCAGAAGAGATCCTGGAATGCAACACAGACACAGCGCTCTTCCGTATCTGTCGCACCAGAAGGACGATAGTTAGCAGCATCAGAGTTGATGTCCTTGGGGCAGGCATGTGGGAAATGGTTGTGCATGGCCTTCTCGAGACAGGGCTGGCAATAGTTGGGATCAGGTCCTGCTGAAAGTTCGAAGGCAGTTCGCTCTTGGGGCGTCAAGGCACCTGAAACCAGCGAGGATGCTAAGGATGAAGCAACGATGATTGTCGTAGCGATAGAGAAACGCATAGCGGCTGAAACTAACGAGTTGTCGAGAAGAGAAGGATAGTTAAGGAAGAAGAAAAGAAGTGATAAGACAGAAATGTCTTTTTTAAATGTGGAATTGAAAACTAACGCGTTTTTATACATGTGCAGAAATGCTCTCTTTGCCCGCTCTTCGTGCCTTGAATAATGCACGCGTATGAGTGGGATGACACTTGTAGAAAGAATGGCATCGTCCCATGGAATGGTTCTGTTTGGTTAAAGTGTAAAAATTCGGATAGAAAAAACAGGCGCAGAGTGCTCTGCCTTTCAGAGGCTGACAACGCATACATTTTGTTTGTTGCACAGAACACCTGTTCGCCCAGTGAATTATTTTTTTTCAATAAAAATCTCACTCCACACGTTTATGCAAATGAAGGCACGCATACTCCTTCTCCACAAGTTGAGCTGGAAGGCTCATTGGACATTTAAATTTTTTTTTTTTTTTTTTTTTTTTTCCTTTTCTCCTCTTTAAAAAAATAAAAAAAAATAGAAAAATAAATAATGGAACTTCGATGTTTAATGAATTATTGTTGCAGTAAAATGTAAAAAAGATGAATGTTGGAAAGCAAAAGTCTAGAGGCAAAAATGTGCCATTTTGTGTTCACCCATTTTACCTTTTCGTATCAGAGTAAAGTTATGACAAACGGTTTCACCAAACAAAGAAAAACAATTCGTTGGTCTCCTAGTTTAGAGAGCTTATGATTGAAAAAAGCGGAGCCAAATACTGAACTCATAATAAATTTGTACATGCTCCACTCTGCCATGTGAAGGCTTTTTGCATTTCTCAGAACACAAGTGTTCATTAGGTTGTGGAGAAAACAATAAAAAAGCAAAACAAAAAAATCAACATAAACAGCGCTAATAAACAGTGCCTTAAGAACGGAGCAACAGGGCGATTGCCACGTCGAAATAAAAATGTGTATTACATGCTGGTGCAACAAAGGAACAAATTACATTGGTGTTCTGTATATTATTGTTCACTATAGTTCCATACACATAGTCAATTGCCATTAGTAATGACAAAGCACAATAGAGATGAGCTAAAGTCACTTGTTCAGGTCTATACCTTTCTCATTTGTTGTTTAACCCATTTGTCAGTATAAAACTATGCTTGCCGCGTCTAGAACTCGCTGCTTCGTTTCTTTGATACAAATTCACGTTAAAAATTAATCGCCTTGAAACTAGAAGCGGTGTATATATTTTTATATTTTTCTATCCACCAATGGATCTTTACATGATAGACATACGAATGGAATAGGGTCCCCCCTTTTTGATAGCATATTGATTATGCTCAGTTAACCCTGGACAGTCAATTATAAATTAGTCTGTAAATGCAAATGCATCTCCACAACAGTCCTTCTCTTCGCCTAATTGCCCCTGCTTGAAGGGTTGTAAACCAAGGACAGTAGAAACATCGCGCGTTTGACCTCCTCATCTCCAACAGTCGTTTGCGCGTCTCATCTACTATCCCTTTGACTGTGTCACGTTTTTTGAGCAACTACATACTTTGTGATTACAGACATTCTCATCAAACATTCACCAAATTACTCATACTCACGCATACACCATAAAAAAAAACTTTTTTCTTTACTTGTACATTCTACTCCTTGATTCACTCTTTAATCCTTTATTCACATTCATATAAATCCTATAATGCTTCATGATAACTTCCCCACTAATATATTTTCAATTGTAAGCATGAGTGCCCTGTTTTTTTTTTTTTTTTTTTTTTTTTTCAATTTGTAATGGTCATGCAAATAACCCGAAACTGATGCTGATCAAATTTTATTGTCATGGATGACATCGGAGGCAATCTAGTCAGAACTCTCGTCGTTTGGATACACGCGCTATTCTTACACCTATTCGACACGACGGTTTGCACGGCAACTCAACGTGGACAATAAGGCAAAGAGATTTCAATCAGGAAGAGCTTCATCACATCACAGGAGTACACGTTCTCGTGGTGACAATCATGATGGGGACAGTGATCTTCCTACGACAACAACAATTCATCAGGGGCCTGATCCACTTTTGGCAGCATATGTCAGCTTATTGAACGCAAAAATACCATGTCATTGGCGATACATAGAGCCTGAAGCCAAGGAGCATGAACAATCCTCAGGATCGTCGAAGAAGAAAACAAGCAACTTGTCTTTAGAACTCTGGGTCTTTTGGCTCAATGACCAGTCATTGTTACGGAATCATGGCCTGGAGAATCTCAAAGGTAAAGATTAATATGATTCCAGTGATGACTGTAAAGGACATGGTCCTCTCGCCAGTGGATGGAGAGAGGGCTTTCAATTTTACAAATATGAATATAGTTTTTTCATTTAAAAAAAACAGTTTGTCTGATCTGCTTTGATGAACATACTTTGCTGGAACCTTATTGCTATGAATTTGTTCATTTTATTTTTATATTTTGTTTTTTTAACCTATATGATTACTGCGATTAGAATGTCAGTCAGGGATTATGACATGGGACTCACTTCTACAGTGCTGTACATCACGATCAAATGCTTCGTCTTCATCGTCAGAGCAAGTCGATAGTAGCCAGGAATATGAGATGTTTATTTGTGGGCTTCAAAATGTCTTGGATCGGTATGTATGGCACGCAATTAGGCTTGAGGATGACATTTCTAAAAAGCTATTGGGCACATTAGGATCGACAACCATGCGTTGTTTTTGGCATTATCCAAAGCAAAAGCAAAAGCAAAAGCAAAAGCAAAAGCAAAAGCAAAAGCAAAAGCAAAAGCAAAAGCAACAGCAAAAGCAAAAGCATAATCAAAAGCAAAAAAAAAAAAAAAAAAGAACCTACTACTTATAACGCGTGTGATTCCTTGCTATTAGGGGGATGATCACCAAAGGTGGGTATCGTTTGGGCAAGTCATACGTTTTCCCAACATCATTGCAGTCAAAACTCGACGCCTCAATCCTCCCGAGTTTTCCCAAGATATCTTCCACGTATGTATCAGTCATACCAATCCTTTGAGCTGCTGTTTTATCAGATCACAAGAAGTTTAAGCACAACATTTAACATGCATCTCGACACACTGATAGAACAATGTTGTCATGTACAATGACCATGTATCTTTCTTCGTCCAACCTTATTTTCCAGCCGACCTTTCAATACCATCGACTTCGTATTCTAACTCCACTAGATCTGGACGCACGCCAATCATCAGAAAAAAACTTGTCAGGTATGATTCCTATACGAAGGTAGTCTGAAGGAAGAGGAAAAAAAATTCAAGTTCCTGCTTTTTTCTATCACTACTAACTTCGCTTCTTATTTTTATTTCTTATTTCTTATCCCCGCCTTAATTCAAAATGATAGTTGTACTAAGTCCACATGGTACACGTGGTGTGTTAAAAATACAGGAAATGGCAGAGTTCACCGAAGAACAAATTCAACAATGCTTAGAGGACTGGGCTGATATATTCGGGATAAACCAGGATGTCATCAACAGTATTTCACATTCATTACCACGTCTTGTACCTATCAGTATAACATGTGGAAAGAATGAAGTGTTGCTTCAATACCCAACTGAACGCGTGTTTGTCCCAGTATCATGCAAGGAGTCTCCAAGCGATGTAGGACAGCTAGATGGGCTGGGATCACGGAATCTTGGATTTATTGAGGACTTGGGAGCCAAATTTGCTCTTTGGTCGTGGCAGGAGAAGACTCGAAATGCGATTACATCGCCCGCTGTGCCGAAGCTGGTCCAGTCAATGTCTGAGCATGCCCCTGTATTAGCAGAGCCTAGAAACAGGCTTAAAGCCGGTTCATCTGCATGGCAGCAACAACAACATCAGCTGCAACAACAGCAACTACAGCAACAGCAACAACAACAGCAGCAACAACAGCAGCAATCCTCTTTCTTGCAGCAGCAACAGGATGCACTTGTTAAACGCGCGACGAACGATACAAATCGCATCGATTATTGGTCATATATAGATCCTTATGCCTACCTTACCTCCATTGTGCTTAACTCCTGTGCCAACATAGAACCAAAAAGTGCAGACTCGCCTTCTGCAATAGACAATCAGATATCCGTAGTTACCTCTTCAGCACCAAACAAACTCATAAAGACGAAAGCGGCACCTACTTCCAGAGTCAGTGGACCAGCAGAGGCTAGTGGCTGGATACGGAAAGAACCAAAGAGGGGAGCATTAACCTCTCCGAAATCCTACCATGTTGACTCTATGGACCAATCAGAAGGATCTCAGACAGTATGGAATAATGTATCGATTCAAGGATCTGATATCGGGTAAGAGTCCTATGCATATAATATTCATACTCTTGCTAATTTAGGTGTTTTGGAAATGTATTAATATGACAGTTGAGATGATAATATATTTAGGTCAAGCTTCGGCAACACTACTCAATTCAACAGCGGTCCCGGTAATGAAGGCAATACAACAAGCAACTCAGTGCAGGTAGACAATCAAGTAGCGAATGCAGTCGCTAGTAATGCTTCCTATCAACTCTCGATCGACATGCAAAACGACAACTCTGATATGATGTCGGGACTCATGGATATGAACTCAATGCTTGGCTTATATGGAGGTGCTGATGATTTAGGTGACTGGGATGAGGTTACCAAGGATGACTTTAGTTTCTTTGATGAGGTGGGTTTCCTGTAAAATTCAAATATATAGTGTTCATGTGGTCAGTATCGACATATTGTTACTAATACCATTTGTATCATAATCCTTGACCTTTTAGCAACCTCGGAGCGTTGCTCCTGTAAATACCATGCCATTGGCGACAGCTTCTGCATTTGATTCTCAGAGTAGTATACCCATGACATCTACAGCAGCGACAGCAGTTTCAACAGCGTCGGCAATCGGAGTTAGCAACGGACTTATGAATGCACTCTCGGATATAGGAGATACTTTTGAGAACATGATGACAACGAGTCCACTGAACGATGACAGTCTTTTTGCAAATATGGAGCTTGATTTGAGTGGCTTTACGCAACCAACGCTGCCAGCAGGCACTTTTTTGTCATTAGGGACAACAGCTGTTTCGTCTACAACAATGTCTGGTTCGGGGGATCACTTCATTGCGAACCAACTTGGACAAGACGTTGGAGTGTTAACTCCTGCGTCTCAAGGAACTACCTTGGACAAGGATCTGAGCAAACACTCTATTCAAATGCAACAGAGCTCATCTTTAACCATGCACTTGCCAACGACGGAGCAATCACCGACGAAGAGGCCCTCAATCCTTGTGGAGCATATTCATCCGCCCATTCACAGTTACATACCCTCATCGTTTTCACCGCTTAAGATTATTGGGGACTACTTTGTTGATGACTCAAAATACCAGGCCGGAGGCCGATATGTTTATAGACGCCTTTACAAATGCAGGAGATCATCTATTCCTAACCCTTTTAACCAACAACGTCGCCCGTCTAGAATGTTGCCGTTCTATCAACCAGGGAAAGATCAAGAGTGGATTATGCCTGCAAAGAAGGAAAAACCAAGGAAAACAAAGTCAAGGATGTTTTCTATCAGTTTCAACTGGAATTCTGTCAAATGGCAAGATCAAGCCTCAAAGCTTGAGACGATCAAGCAAAATAAAAGCACATCCGAAAAAGCTACAGCTGGCAACATACCTACAGTCTCTGCGACAGCCTGGGGAATATCCACACTATCACTACAGCAGCCAGCGAAACGTAAAATGGAGGAATCGAGTAGTAGTGATAGTGACAGCGACTCTACTTCAACATGGTCCGAGGAAAGTGATGATGATACTGCTGTCGAGCCGAACAGGCCTGCGTTTGGGAAGCTGTCTAGGCGATTTTATCTCTACGACGGCAACGGCCATGCTAATGCTATACGCAATAGTAATGGCATCAATAAAGAGGCACAGGAACCATGGAGTGCCCGAGGGATTAATTCTGCAAAGTTCACCAACGCGGTCCTGACTCAGTCGCTCGATCAAAGTGTTGGAGGGGCGCTTCTAGGGCTGAGAACTTCCTCGACTACACATACACAGGCTCGAGGGGTTACACCGTCTTTAGCTCGGCTCGATAGGATAGCTCCATTTTACGAACACCAGCGATCTAAACCGTGGTCATCAGCAGAGGCTTATCATGCAGAGGTCGAGTTTGATACGCCTTTTACACCTGCAGTTTTATCAGCGGCTCCACCAGCTCTTGTGGACGAGCCGCTCGTAGTTCAGGATTCACTTGCTTCAGAGTATTTCTTGGAGGCAGTCAAGACACTATGTGAACAGGCTGTGATGGGTGACTATCCGTTTGCAGGGTCGAATGAGGTCACTGGTACAAGTGGAGAGATCTCTGAGGGGGAGAGTTTCCATGTGATGCTAGCACGTAGGAAAGCGATGAGTGAGTTGCTCCGTACGGGTAAGATTCATTAGCTCCTTTTGTCAATTATTGATATCTAGAATTACTCGGCATTACTCGTTCTTAAAAAAAAAAAATTTTTTTTTAACAATTATATATCACAGGCATTGCTACAGTCCCAGCATTAGGAGACGAGTCGTTCAGAAACATTATGGAAATGAAGTCATTTATCTTTGAATTGTTTGATCATTTGCGTGGCAACCAGTCAGAGAACACAGTTGCTCTTCCAATACCTTCAGACGCCTCTCAGGATATGACGATGAGCATGGCAACGATTCATGGGCATCATCACCACTCTAGTCAAAACAATATTTCGCCGCCAGTCGTTATGAAAGGACCATTGACTTTGTTCCAATACTTTTCACTAGCAGAAGCTCAGCAGATGCCATCAAAGTATGGGAAATATCCAGTGAAGAAGAAGAAACCAGCTGAACCATCACTTGTGCAGCTACAGCCCCCAGATATTGTTGTAGGTCATAATGAAGAATGGCTTGAAGCAGCGCCAACCATTCTACGGTTTTGGGAGAAACTTAGTCTTGAGCCCTATTCTGCTAAAAAAAATATATCGTACTTTGTGGTCTATCCGGAAGGTGATGAAATGGAGAGCAGTGTCAGTAAGTTCTGGAGGGAACTCAGTGTTGTTTTTGAGACATCGCTGCTGGGGAAGCACCAGCCAGGAGCGCTGCAGGACTACAAAAAGCCAGGACTCATCCCCATCTCGCTTCTACCGCCCATATCAGGAGAATCCATGGAAGCTCGTCAGGTCCGAAGCTATATAGATGGCTGTCAGCGTCTGGGCTCAATTTTAGGTGCGAGTTCATTGCGACGAGACATTCATGTGGTTGTATATATGGTCAATCCATTCTCTCATGGAGCAAGCTACTTTGATCTTTGCCGATGCTTCTCGATCATGAAGACTCAATTTCGGACAGCAGCGATGGGGTCACTTCTGACGCCTTCAGAGCAGCGGCGGGAGCGTCTTGTTTTACAGATAGTTCCCATCCAACATATAGTTTATCCTTCTACCTTTGGAGGGTACTTGCGTTTTGGGCTACGAGACATTGCTTTTACTGTTTATACAAAGTGCAAGCTGTTCCTTGAGCGACCAACATATTCTGAGGGTATAATGGCTCAAATCAATTCATATGCGCCTTCCTTTGCTCTTGCCAGGACTACACCAGTCATGATCCAATATGATGTCAACCTGAAGCCAAATTCGACTCCAAAGCCTCCCGCGACAATGCATGTTGGGTATGGCTTCAGTTTGGATGGTCGATGGCTTGTATGTGTATGGACAGATCATCGAGGCGAAATGCTAGAGCACATGGCGCTAGATATGATGGATAGTTCGGCTCGTCTCTTAACCATAGCACAGCCTAAGGGTGGACAGGGATTACTATCAAATTATTTGCACGAAATATGGACTAGGACACTTGTTTATAAGAAGCGTGGATCATTTAGCTGGAAAACCATTGTCTGTAAACTAGGATTGATGACACGTGTAGAGTTACAGGAATGGGCACGTTTGGTATGTGATGACAATGATACAGCAATCACAGCGGTCAACATTGATTCTCCTTTGAGGATGTATCCTCATAGTCGCGGGGCGGAGTATTTATCGTCCAACATGACTTCAGGTGTAAATGGATCCAATACCCCGATCATTTTAGGGATAGGACAGACAGGGGCTTCAGTAATAGGCGCTGGACCAATGGGTCTCAATACTACAAATCCAACAGCCACATTGACACCTGATGTCTCTACAGCGCCCGCAACACCGAGTAACTCAGGAGTGACTGGTCTAGGCATCGTTGGGACTGGTAGCAACCCAAGTGGAACTACTGCTGGGACATCGAGTACTATGAGTGGAGCAAATCGATTGTCGGGCAGCGAAGTTCTGGAGAACAGTGTTGGACAAGTATATGCCATGATTCTAAACCATCGTATCCCTTTGATTGTATCGCACGAAGAGACTGCTTTTAGAATCCCTGCTTTGGCACAATCAGGGTTAAGCACCTTGCGAACTGAGTCTGGAAATGAATTTAGACGTTCACCTGAAGAGTCGAAAGGCGATATAAGCACTGAAGATGACCTTTTGCGTGAACACATTGGTGCAGACTTGAGCATGAACCAGAATCAGAATCAGAATCAGAGTCAAAGTCAAGATATCAAAACGCACCTCAAGATGAAAGTAGAGGAACTTGATCAACAGTGGCAACAGAAAGAGCTGAGAAAGGAAATGGACCAAGATACGAAAGCACCATCGACTCGATTGAGCTTGCCACTCAGCGATAACGATGTGATCTTACCGCTGTCAACAGGATATCTGATCCAGGTTCCGACTCAAGCTAATTCTGTCATGCGTGAAAAGCATTCACTTGAGGCTTTAGGTATCGAGGTTCATCTGCTGCATCTCCAGCGTACAACGTCACCATTGGGGCCTGCCTCTGCTCCTGCTAGTGCGACCAACACACCTATACCAAGCGTATCCACTGGGACGCTTTTGTCCAACTATAATGCGAACCTGCCATACCAACAGTCATCACCATCATATCACCTTCCACGTCATAGTGCGGTAGCCAACACCAATACCTCAGTATCAGGTCAACCATATAGATCACCCTCATTCGCGTCTATACAATATCCAGGGTCACCGCTTGTTGGCTCATCGCCATCATCAACCCTCCCTGGAGGTCATTCTCAACAGCCGCATCAGCAACAGCAGCAACAACAACAAACAAGCACTAATAATGGTGTAGGTGCAACAACAATCGAAACAGCTACAGCGGCAAACACAACACGGGAAATTTTGAAGCAATTTCATGCGCTTTCGCACTTGTCTATGTCACCAGTACAAACCAATTGCTTACCACACCATCTAATTTTGGTCGAACGCTTAACACGTGTACTCTTACTTGTCCAGGACGCTTAGAGCCATTGTATCTATAAATTTTTTATATCTTTAATTATTAAAAAAAAAAAGTAGACCTTACTTTTATTATCAATGCTATTTTTCTTGGATATGTGATATTATTCAGGCTTCCTTTTGATTGACATTCTAACTCTCTGACTTTAACATCACAAATCAAGGTTCGATTGTACTTGTAGGATGGAACTTTTCGTATTGGCCCTTCCATTGAGGCAAAGCCTTGATGGTCTGTTCCAATTTCCGAATGGGGCTTTTCTCGTCCAATTTGATACCAAACATACTCAAGAGTCGGACCCAATTGAGCATAACGAGGTCAGGATAGGAGAGTGTATTACCAAAATAATGGCCATTATTGCCATTTTTGTTTAGCCAACGCTCATGTGAGGACAAGAAGTTGGGGAGAGCTTTGACATTAAATTCTGAGGCAGAGTCGGCAATCTGTTCATGGATTGGAATAGAGGAAGCGAAGCAATAAACGTAGAGTTCCATGTATATATTGAACGCGACAGATTTGTAGGTGGCGGCTTCCTGAGGCGTTGAACCGAGTAAGCCAAACTTTTCAGCGAGATAATGCTATTTTCATTTTGATGCCGCAATAATTAGCAATAGTTAGGTTTTTTTATAAAAAAAATAATTTCTATTTGTCAAGCCGTAGTTACATTGCATGAGTTACCTCGATAGCGAGGGACTCTGCCAATTCAAAGGTGGTGCCATCAGTACGATGTTCGACTAGAACGGGCAAATGACCAAACGGGAATGCAGATTTGTCGGCAGCGACTTGATCCATAGTGATGAATTCGTTTTTATAGTTTGCGCCTGCCAAATGAAGGAGGACTCGGATGACACCTTAAAAAAAAAGGAAAGAAAGGTCGGACAATATTCACTTTGTTATTAGAGTCCAGGACTCGCTAATGAACCATATTTTTCATATTTGATCGTAAATGTACCTGCGCGACCCATCAAGTTCATATACTTGACGACATAAGTTGAATTGTCATTGGGTTCAAGGAATGGCATGTTTTATAATATAGATCTACTGGCTTCTAGTCTCCAGATCTTATAGGGGTTTGTGTTGGCTTGAGTGAAAGAGGAAGTTGTTGGTGATGATTGTGGGAACAAGCAAAAACAAGCGGTATTTATATGATGGAATATCGTCAATTGACGAGGCTTCTCTCTTTGTGATTGGTCAGGGACAAGAGCACCAAAGTGTCAACAACAATGACTGAAAGTGCGGCGTGCTGGAGTATGCCAACGCGACTGAAGGAAATAAAACTTTATTTCAAGGCAACGCGCTATGTTCTGGACTGTCACCTGATTTTACATCATCTCTTCCTTTAAAGTCTTGCTGACCCTTCTTATCCTGACCAGAATAAAGTCCATATCATGGACGTCTATACTACCAGGAGAGTTGCCGTATCGGTTGCGGTTATCGCCACTGCAGTATTAGTTGTCCGGACTCTTGCTTCTTCAGCCACAGAAAATTCTGGTACTGGTCGAGCTTCGAAGCGAAAAAGCAACAAAGCGAGGGCAACAAGGACAAAAAATGGTATAAATCTACAAGAAAGTTCATGTCGAAACGAATTGTCTGATGTATGAATGTTATGCATAATACATGTCGTATTGATTTGAAGCATGCATGACGATCGCATCGGTGGACGAAATTCATGTTCTGGATAATTCACTCTTTAGTAGCTGAGTTTTCACCCCAGTATGTCACAGGTCTAGTCAACGTTGGGAACACCTGCTTTATGAATGCGGTTGTTCAGGTTAGCTCAATATTTTTTTTTTTTTTTATTTTTTTTTTTTTTGGTTAACTGTTACCTATTACCCATTACCCGTGGAGAACAGAGCAAAATAATATTGACCACCATCTGGTTATTCTCGAACAGGCATTAGCGTCTTTACCATCATTAAGAACCTATCTTGAAGCGCGGAAGGACATGGGACATGCGGAAGATTCAATAACACTGGCACTTTGGGAGACTGTTGACTGTAATGCATATTCACAGAAAAAACTATAAACCATGAGTTGCAACATTTATGAAGAGGAGTAGAAAAGTGGCTGGCTAACAAATTGTCGTATCTGCGTTATTGTTGCTCTTTTTTTTTTTATTTTGCCACAGTACTTAACACGATGCACAGGCACCCAACGGTAAAACGGCTCATTAGGATGGTGAACACTGTCAAATCAAAGGCTGCACATGTCCTGACAAGTCAGCAGCAGGTATTGCTTTTATACACCATCAAATACTTCGATAGCTTCCAGTGCATTTTAAAACTTGACCAGTCACTCGTTGGAAATTAACCTGAAAAGAGCATTGATTATATGACAAAGGATGCGCAAGAGCTATTTCAAATATTATCGTCTCAGCTATCCGAAGAAAGAGAAAAGCTAGATCACTTGGGAACCCTTTCTTTATTCGATCAGACAGCCATGAGCGATATTTTGAATCCACCTTCGTCACCGCCTTTAGGGGCGAGGCACAAACGCTCCTTATCTGTCATATCGTCATCACTTTCCTTGTCTCAATTAAAGCCTCTGGCAAATGAATTAAATGGGGAGTCTGCGCCTTCGTCAGAAGGCGAAGGTATAGATAACAGGAGCAACGAGACTAAAGATAAAGAGGAGCCTCTTGCCATGATAGCTAGTTTACTATTGGATGGGAGAGAACAAGAGAAGTTTAATCGAGCCAAGAGTCCATTCATGGGTCTACTTGCAAGCAGGGTCTCGTGTGTCGAATGCGGTTATACAGTGAGTTTTTAATTCATGCCAAAGAAACTTGAGACAATACGATAAAAAGGGCTTGAGCACCTTTTATTTATTCGATACACCAACAATTGAATATATTAGGCAGCAATTCGGCACTCGACCTTTGATAATCTGTCATTGACAGTTCCTCTTCAGGTAAAATAATAAATGAAGTCATTGGAATGCACATGTTTATATCCCTAAGAACAATATAGGATTGAAAGGTTTACAGTAAAGCTGTATTTTAAACCATTCATCATAGTACTCGTGTAGCCTTGATGATTGCTTAAATGCATTCATTCACCTGGATACAATCACGGATTTCAACTGCCGGAAATGCAGTATACTAGCAGCAAGCAGGGATCTGCAACGAAAGATTGAGCAAAAGAAGCGAACATTAGCAGAGAGTCAGGAACAACGAAACAGACAAAGAAAAGAAGAAACGAATGAAAAGAATTTGGCCGATGATCATGACCAAAGTGTGAAAGAGGTTATGGATGAATCCTCTTATTCAGAGCCACAATCTGAACTTGGCATGGATCGTCAACCTCTTGCCACGAAGGAGCCTGAGGAACGACAAAATCAGTCCGAAATTAGCCTTGAGGAGCTGGAGCAATGGAAAAAAAAACTTGACCAATGCCTTGCCAACAATATTGAGATGGATTTGGTAACAGCTCTTTTTTTTAGAAAAAAAAAAAAAAAAAAAAAAAAAAAATCCAAATAACGTTTGTCTCTTTAATATCCTTTCTAATACTGGTTATACTTTTTTTTTTTTTTTTTTTTTTTTTAATACTCAAAACATTCTCACATTTCCCTAGTCACCCTTAGAGTTGGCCGCCGTACGTTCCAAAAATACGACAAAGCACTCTATGATTGCAAAGCCGCCTCAGGCGCTGTGTCTGCATCTGAACCGATCTATGTTTACAGCGTCAGGCCAATTGGCCAAGAACCCATGCAAGGTCATTTTTGGAGAACGCCTTGACTTCACTAGATTTACAACCTCAGGATATCTCACTACTGTTGCAACTAAGAGCATGTCGAGGCGAGGTTCAAATTCAAGCATTTCCATCAACCATGGACAGTTTAATAATGGATCAAATGGATATATGGCTGACATGAGCCTCGGACTTGCCTCAGGAACAAGTGCTAGACCGGGAATATTTGCAAGGCGAGGAAGTATAGGGCTCTATTCTTTATCTTCATCAACATCATCATGCAATGAGTACGATAGTCCAGAAACCAAGTTAAATGGTCAGAGACAAGGGAGTTGGGACAAAGACATGGATGCCAGCGTTGATGACAGTGTGATATATTGTCTCTGGGCAGTGATTGTTCACATGGGAAGCCATAACTCGGGTCACTTTGTCACATATCGGCGGATTCCATCTTTAACAAAGACTAAATCTTTAAGTAAATGGTGGAGGATCTCGGACGAAGATGTGCAGATAGTCGATTGGTCAACTGTCAAGACTGTAGAAGCATACATGCTCTTTTTTGAAAAGGAACCCTAAATATATATATACATATATGAATCGTAGAATGTATAGTCAACCGTGCAATATGTTTGGAGATATACCAAGCAATATCATCTTCACGAACAACTTGTTTGCTTTTGCAGTTACGTTCACTTAGAAGTCATAGGTATCTCATTATTGAACGTAGAACTCACTAGGAAGTGTCGTTGAAGGCAAGTAAAGTATGGCATAATATCGTGCCATAACCATTTAGCATTTATCCTAAAGCCGAGCGACCAATATAGCATTCATGCCTCATCCGTCTATGCTCATAGAAAAAATAAGGGCTTATATTACTGCCATCTTTTTTAATACATGGCTTTGCCCAGAGAAATGAAAAAAGAAAAATGGTCAAGCTTGTCTCTTATTATGGCAGTTATCATCATGATCATCAGGACTTGTGTTTGTCAGCCTTTGTAGATTGTGTGTCGGATTGTAGACACTACGACTCTCGTTCCTTCCTTGGACTGTCTAATTTTAATTAGATTTGACACGTTGCATGGCAAGCTCTTCTTTCCTCTCAGTGCAGTTTAAAAGAAAACGTGTGCCTGTTGCATCTCTTCATCTCATCTTTCATTGTTCATCAATTACCACCATCCTCATTATCCCCGGAGGGCAGGCAATAATAACAACAGCACTAACAACTAAACACTCCGCTAGAACTGCTTCAGCCGGGCAAAATCAAACATACCTAATGAACAACTACCCTAACGACCGCGGGTACAACACCTCACCCAATCCCATGGGAGGTCAGGGACCGAGAATGCCTCCCCGTCCGAGTGGACCCATTTCGAACAACGCTAGTGGCGCTGCTGGTGGGGCTACTGGAGGTCCAGGCTCATATCAACCCAAGACTTCATATGGTGCAGCACCTGACAGCCATGGATCTTATACCCACCAAAACTCGTATGGACAGCCTGCGCCACGTCAGCAACAGTCGCATCAGAACCAGCCTGCTTTCCAACCCCAGCCATCAAAGAGGATGAGAGCTGTCAAGACGTCGCACGAGCGTTATGCTTTAACCAACTACGTTGTGGCCAATGCCCAAGATTTTTCATCTCATACTCGCTATATCTTGGTCGAGCATCAGTTTGTGTTTTCAATCAAGTATGTAAGACAAAGAAAAATGAGGGACTTCATCAATGCTTTCAGTTGCTATTATTATTATTATTTCCTTGGTACACGATGTTATTACTTGAAGAAAGAACAATAGCGCTCTTGTTACTTTCATATGAGCGGCATATTACTGTCCACGTGTATTTACAAGAATATCTTTTTTAATATTATTATTGACATATTTGATCTAGTTTTGAGGATGGCTTTCCAGTAGGATGTTTAGGATTCAGTAACTTGCAGCGCAAATGGATCAACACACCACTTAATAAGGAAATTGATGTCCAACCGTTTGATCCGAGCTTGGATGGACATGATGTTTATCTCTCGACCCTTGAAGTTGAGGTAATGCTATAATGCTTGTAATCTTTGTTGTAATTATAATTGCATATCATTGCTTTTTTTTTTTTTTTTTTTTTTTTTTTTTTTGCCTGACGTCTTATTGACTGAAGTATTATGTTTCATACATCCTATCATTCTTTCATTCAGGTCGCATTGATGGTGAAGAACAATGAATTCCGAGGCGAGTTCGATGCGAAGGAGATGTCACGTCAGTTCATTAGTGTAAGTATTTGGCCAGTCTTTAGTTTCTTTAAGTGCCACTATCGTGAAAAAAAAAAAAAAAAAAAAAAAAAAAAAATACTAAGTTTTATGATCGATGACTTGAATGTAGGTTTTCAATAATCAAGTTTTATCAATTGAGCAAGCTTTGGTGCAGGATTTCCAGGAGGTTAGGTTGATCATGGTGCCTAAGAAGGTTGAGCTTGTTGGCTCGGATGCACTTATGAATGGTTTACGTGGACCAGATGGACAGGAAATCCGTGAGTGCATGTTCCTTCCATGAAAAAAAAAAAAAAAAAAAAAGTACGAGTGTTGCTCATCCAATGGGATCGCTAATCAACTTCTATAATGGCTTTCCTTTATTCTATATTTATGAAATCAGAGGGACGAACTGGTTTCCGTGGAGTGTTAACCCAGCAGACTCAAATTCAGTTTGTGAGGGCTCAAGACTCAAATATTAAACTTCGAGGTGCGGCCAGAAAGTAAGTTTTGGTACTCTATAGTTTATGGGGAGCACTAAAGAAAAAAAAATTATAACAAAACTAATGTCTTCTAACTACTACCCTACGTAGCAAGCCTGCAGTTACTCTCATCCAGCCTGATTTCAAGTTTGAGGATATGGGCATTGGTGGATTGGATAAGGAATTTAGCAACATGTTCCGTCGTGCCTTCGCCTCCCGCATTTTCCCACCATCAATTGTGGAAAAGATGGGTATCCAGCACGTGAAGGGTATCTTGCTGTATGGTCCTCCAGGTACTGGAAAAACATTGATGGCTCGTGAGATTGGCAAGATGTTAAACGGTCGTGAGCCGAAGATTGTGAACGGGCCTGAGGTGCTGTCTAAATTTGTGGGCCAGTCTGAGGAGAACATCCGAAAACTGTTCATTGACGCTGAAAATGAATACAAGGATAAAGGCGAGGATTCGAGTTTACATATCATTATCTTTGATGAATTGGATGCGATCTGCAAACAGCGTGGATCCAAGAACGACAACACAGGTGTAGGAGACTCGGTTGTGAATCAGCTTTTGGCAAAGATGGATGGCGTAGAGCAGTTGAATAATATTTTAATTATCGGTATGACCAACAGGAAGGATATGATCGATGAGGCCTTGTTGCGTCCAGGACGTATGGAAGTCCACATGGAAATTGGATTACCAGATGAGCATGGTCGACTTCAGATTCTGAAGATTCACACTCACAAGGTAATTTTTTTTATTTTTATTTATTTATTTTTTTTTTTTGAGCGGGTGTTTGCTGTTGCTCTATTATTTATATATTTATTATGTGTCATTTATATCTTATATAGGCTATGCAAAATAACTTGCTTGCCTCGGACGTCGATTTGGTTGAGTTGGCGGCATTGACCAAGAACTTTACAGGAGCAGAGATCAATGGTCTTGTTAAATCAGCCACATCGTTTGCATTCAACCGTCATGTCAAGGTTGGGACACTGGCTGGTACAACAGGCGATCTTGAGAACATGAAGATTCAACGTGCGGACTTTTTAGGCGCTTTGGAAGAAGTCCACGCAGCTTTTGGATCATCTGAAGAGGAACTTGATGCTTGCATCACCAACGGCATCATCCATTTCTCGCCTCAGATCGACAGAATCCTCAAAGAGGGTCAGCTTCGTGTAGAGCAAGTGCAGCACTCTGATCGCACACCTCTTGTCAGTTTATTGCTTCATGGTCCTCCTGGCGCAGGAAAGACGGCATTGGCAGCAACAATTGCTATAGAATCACAGTTCCCATTCATTAAGCTGATTTCTCCTGAGACCATGATTGGTATGAGTGAGATACAAAAAGTAAATGCTATCCACAGAGTCTTCCAAGATTCGTACAAGTCACCATTGAGTGTGATTGTGATGGATGATATTGAGCGTTTGTTAGATTACACTCCAATTGGCTCACGCTTCTCCAACACAGTCTTACAGGCCCTTGCAGTGCTACTGAAGAAACAACCACCCAAGGGCAGGAGATTACTTGTTTTGACAACGACAACGAGACGACATGTGCTGGAGGAGATGGACCTGATGGATTCATTTTCATCTGAGCTATATGTGGAGAATTTGAGGACGCTGGAGGAAGTGAATTTTGTGGTAAAGGATCTGCAACTGTTCAAATCAGACGATGAACGTCGGACTGCTATGGCTACGCTTGCCAAGAGTGGCATTGAGTCCAAACTTTCAATCAGTGTCAAGAAGTTGCTGATGACCATTGAAAAAGCACGTCAAGACAATGATTTGGTTGGTCGTTTCGTGAGCGACATGAGCATTTTTTAAAAAAAAAAAAAAAAAATTGCAAATATCCTTGATCTTGAATTTGAGAATAAGATTTTTTGCGACCATTTTTGGTCACAATTTGAGTAGTTTTTTAAATGTGCTTTGTACGCAAAATAATATAGCTTTTTTTTTATTATTTTATTTGGTGTGATATTCCTCAAAACAACTCTGTTTTACTTTCAAGCAAAGAGGAACCTTACATGTAGCGCATGTCCATTCTGACCGCAAGGTGGACTTCTTGCCTTTCCTAAGGCCCTAAATCCTGCAGTTTTCACACGGTATCCTACTCTTAACATCCCTGTCATCACTTTCTTTGGTTCTTATTTGGAAATGAAACCTTGGTAGATGTCGATGGGGCTTGGAAGAGAGTTTTTAGTAATGTATGAGCCTTTTGATATCTTGAAAGTAGCCTCCGGGGACTCATCACTTTCTAGGCTCCTCTTTGAATTCCTTTGCTCGATAACAACTTGAGACTTAGATAATGATAAAAGTTGGTTTACACAATTTAGGCGAAATTGGCAATGTATATTATTATCATTATTATTTTTTGATCTGTTCCTGGTACACATGAATTGACGATACGTGTATCTAATAATCACAAGAAGAGCAGCATCCAAGAACGACTGGACCCCATCTGTACACTATAGTATTGGCGAAGTTGAACTGCGATATTAACCCCACCCAAAGTGACAAATTGTGAAAGCGAAATCGAGTTTCCGTCGTGATTGCGGGTGATACTAACATCTATTCCCTCATCAAATATTGTGGGAAATGGCACGAAGGCCTAGCGGTATGAAAGCGTAGAAAAGTAGCACTTTTATTGTTTGTCTCTCTCAGTATGACATTAAATGACCCTGGAAGGCATGAAGGCATAGTTTCAATTTAAATAAACCATTCTCATTCTCGAATGAATGTGAAAAAATGACTTCATAGTCTGGTCGTCGCATTAAAAATTGCGGTCGCAAATCAGGATACAGGACACATGTCGGCTCCCACGTGGCATTGATTGGCTAGATGGAATAGATCAAAGAATAGATTACTAAAAAAAAAAAAAAAAAAAAAAAAAAAAAAGGTAAAAATATATATATATTAAAATAAAAATAAGATTATAATTGATGAGTTATGCAGGTGTAAAACCGGTGCCATGCATGTTTACTCGTCTATTATCCGAGCGAAAATCCATTTCGAAATAGCATTGACGGATTACCAACTATTAATAAACAGCATAGCATCAAACAGAATCATTTTCGCTCACAACTCGCTCATCAAAGTCCCACCTTCAACATTTACATCCACATCCAAAGCACGACCCCAATCTCCCAATCTCCCAATCTCCACGTTGAACATATTGAGCATATTGAGCATATTTAAAAAAAAGCCAAGTATAAGGAGAGATGAAAGGAAAACACGGAGGTACACCAATTTATATCATGAAGGAAAGAGCGAACGGGTACGTGGTGCATGCAAAACAAGCAATAAAAACAGGGGACAGTGTGTTTAACAGGAAGTTGTGCAAAAAAAAAAAAAAAAAAAAAACTGGGCTCCCAAAGTTATTGGCTTATTGAATGTGGCATTTTAGACCAAGCATTGGGCATATTTTGAGATTGGGCATTGGGCACTGGGCATTGGACATTATAGTGTGCATCAAGCATTGGGCCACAATCCAATTCTGTTTATTTTGTTCTGACCGAACAAGTCCCCGACGACGAACGACGTGGGGCATGATAAAGCTGACCGTTACCTTTCTCCTTTTTTATCGTTGATGCCACTGTTTGCCTTCTTTGATGTCAATTCTTCTCACGCGATAAATTCAGGTCAAGGGTTCTTTTTAAAAAAAAAAAAAAAAAAAAAATACCTATTGTTTATTCCTCAACGCTCATTGCTCATTCAGGTCGCATTCATCTTTCATTCTCATTCATTTGGAAGAAGAAGAAAAAAAAAACGCGGCTCTCATATAAATGCTCTTTCTAATATAGTTAGATGATCTTTGACAAAAAACACTAATCTTCACTTAAAAAAAAAAAAAAAAAAAAAAAAATGCAAAAGCAAGAGGAACTAATGTTGAGTCGGCGCCAAAGGATACTTTCATCTATCTCCCACTACATCCCATTGCACATTGTCCTGAATCGACCAACAGGGGTGTCCTTTTCTATTACAGCCCTAAAATCCATAACGATCGAACGGTTGGCCCGTCAGATCGAAGCGGAATATGCATTTTTGATTGAACGAGAAGTAGGCCATTCTCATTTTCCAGTGATAGAGTGTGGTGCGTTATTTGATCACATTGAGTCACCTTTGCCATCATCATTTCCATCACCATCACGAAGAAGAAGAAGGAGTGGAAGTGCAAGAAAAGGGAGGCTAACAAGTCAAGAAGGAAGGGTGACGGAGGATGGAGAGGACTATGGAGGCTACGAAGACAGTGTGGACAACAATGAATTATATGAGACGGATGAACGAGAAGAAGCCGAGTCCCGAGGAGTGCAACTCAGGTTCACAGACAAGATAGAGGATGTATTGGATAGGAACAGTACTGTTCATGTTGTAAACATTGATCAAGGTAAAGTAAAAGCAAAAGTAGGAGTAGAGACAGGTTTGATTGGATATCACAAACGGGACGACGCACGCGTCTTTCAATTGTGATACGCGCATTTCCTTTGTTTCTTATTAGGCTTGACAATTTTATCACACAACCGTATTTATATATTTTCTATTCTACTGTTGTTCAAGCGGATGGTTGTGAGCAAATAACATTAACAGATGGATACCAACACAATACACGCGAACACACGTTTGTAAACATTCATGACTTTTAATTGGAGATTGATGGCAATCTGGAAGGATTTAATTTGATGGTACCGATTAATTGATGGCAAAAAAAAAAAAAAAAAAGAAAAAGTTCTACAAAAAGAAGTACATGAGAGAATACAATACTAAAAACGTGGAGAGAAGAAAAAATAAGATGCCACGCTAGCAACAATTGGGAAGCCCCACCATCTAAACATATCATGCATACATCTGCATGGTCACAAATAAAAAGAACTCTAATCACAACCATGGACTTTTGTTGGTGTAGAAGAAACAATTGCATACCAAAACCATTACATTGCCTTGTAATGATGTCTCAAATCACATACCAAGCAATGGTCAATCCAAAAGTCGGATATTAACTTTTTATTCTTCCTTCATTCGCTCTTCACATATTCTATTTTCTCTCCTTCCTTCTTTTCTTCTTTCTCTCCTGCGCTTTTTGCCCTTTTTCATCTTTTCTGTCTTATATTGCTCACACTCCGAATCTATTCGGAGAAAAGGCCTTGGATTGGGACGCAAGCTATCACTAAGAGATCTCATTTTGGCCGTTCATCAAGAAACCGCTACAGATCAGAGCCTCACACAGCCGCATCCTCCTGCTCCTTCTATCTCTTCTACACCATCATTGATATCGTCGTCTCTATCTCATTTTAACACTCAAAACACCAACAATACCTCGGCATCTTCATCTCCTCTAAACATCGATCTACACCCTTATACTACCACTACCGTCACTGCCATCACTACTGCCTCTCACAGAAGTAAATCCGGGATAACTTCAAACCGATCAGCAGTCCCTGTCATAGGGGCCTCAACGTCTTCTACTCAAATCTTGTCAGAGTCTCCAAAAGACTATATCAGTTATTCAACAAACATCTCTCGTTTGGATCCTCAATCGTTAGACTCGCCGATGGCACTCAGAACAACACATCAGGCGTTTAATATTGGCTTACAACCAGGATTGGATACGAGGGCGTCAACTGAAACCACTGATACAATCATCACCTTGCTCACATCGCCCTGCGTCCCTTCGATACCCCTATCTCCCAGGCAAGTAGCGGCGACGGCAGGCTCCAAGGACACTATGGAAGGACCTTCATCACCACTCATACCATCTCTCCCACCAGTAGTTCCTCCTAAAGACAACAAGCGTATTGATTATGATTCATGGCATCGAGCGTCAGAGTACTCAAGTAAAACTGACGTGACGACTACGCCAAATTGTGGCGATCAAAAACATAAACACAGCAATAGTAGTAACCACAACAGCAACAATACATTTCGACCCTTAACTCGCCCATACTCGCGGCCTCGAGGCACAGGCATCCTATTGAATCTTGAATCGTCCTTAAACGATACACTGTTTCAAGAGATACTGCATAACAAGATTGCACTTGATCACTTCCGTCAGTTTTGTTTCCAAGAATATTCGATTGAGAATCTACTTTTTTGGATGGATGTGGAGCTATTTGCAAAACCAAGCCTAGAACTGTTAGAAATGGACCGGAAGAGGAGGAGGATAGATGAACAGCAGAAACAACTACTGCAACGAGAAAACCGAGGCGTTCAAGGTGCTGACATAGCCCTGAAAGAAGATAATCCTTGCACCGTAGATGAAAATAATGAAAATAACAATGGTGATGACGATAGTGAGGGATGGCAAGCAGAAGCAGGGCATTTTGCAGTGCAACATGCTCGGTACATTTACTTGACTTATATTGATTCATGCGGTCCACTCCAAGTTAACCTGAGCGACGAGAGTCGGTCAGATATTCCATGGCCGATCTTGGATTATCAGCCATCTCAATCATATGACATTAACAAATCCGCCAAGGGCCATAAGACAAAGCATCACGTAAAAGATGAAAGCGACGACGTTGAAGAAAACGAGGTCATTGGGTGGCCTGTAGACCGCCACATGTTTGATAGCGCACAGGAGCACACGTATCAATTGATGAAAGGCCATACTCTTGTCCGTTTTGAAGAGAGCGCTCTATGGAAAATGGTCGAGAAGATCAAGAGAGAACGTAGGTTTTTTTTTTTTTTTTTCCCCTCCTTTAATGCAATATTTGTTAGAATGCTTGCTACTATAACATGAGGCTAAGCTTAGTGCTCGGTAAACTTAATGTTGCAACTGTTAGAGCCAGATGTGTATGCGAAGGCAAGTATCCCAGGGCCTCTTAACTCATGCTACCGCCCTGACCCCTCTGTCATCCTCTCGACTGTCTCTCGTTCAAAATCACGTCGACCCACTGCAAACCCTGCAACCCTATATAACTGGAATAACTCAACATCTGATCTTGATCGGTGGCGAGATAAAGAAGAGGCCCTTGCTTTAACGATGAGTCAATATTTTGGCCCTATTCCTGCATCAATTCTTCGCCCTGGAACAGTGATCCTGGGCCTAGGAAGAGACGAAGATGGCGATTTGGAAAATGAACTAGATGACTTTGATGTCTGCGAGGAGCTGGCTCATGGTCATGGTCATGTTCCTTCGGTCGGGTATGGATCAAGCGGCTGCCGCAGCAGCTTTAGTAAATCACTAGGTGCAAAGAGGAGCAGGTTTGCAAAGCGACTCGGTGGCCATCGCCCCAATAGGCGCAGCAAGGACTTATGGAATGCGGATGATGAGTCAACAGATATCTACAACAACGATGCTACTACCGGAATCGACGCTATTGAAAATGGCAGGCGTACAACCCGCTGGATGGTGGCAGGGTATTTTAACGATCAGTACCGGCTTACGGCTGCACAGAGGAAGAGACTTTTGAGAAGGAATAATAAGTTGACCAAGTTCTTTGGAACTCGCGTAGATGGAGCATTGCGGCCTGCTGAATTTTCGGAAGATGCACAGAAAACTATTATATCTGAATCTGCCTCTGCATTTACGTTTGATCAACATGGGCGTGGGCCAAGCGGAGCAGATCTGGCATCATTATTTTCAGGGCCACCGCCTCACTTGACTTATGCGCTATCATCTTCAACGATCCATGACATGAGCAAGGGCAAAGCTAAAAAGAGCATTGGTAGAAAAAGCAAACACACCATGGCGAAAAGGAATGCCCTGGAGACCAATGGAGCCAGCCGTAGTGAAGTGCTGTTGCTTCTTCCTGGAGCAGGTGGTCATAAAGCTACCAATAGAGGCAACATTAGAACTAACCGGTCGAAGTCCGCGGCCATCCTGCAAATGTTCAAGAAGGCTACGAGCGATTTAGGAGAAGATATCAAGACCAATGGTTATAGATCATTCAACTCGTCTTCACTATCCCATGACTCTATGGATACTCAAAGATCTCCAGTCTCTTCAAAATATTCAAAGGTCAGTAGCAGGAAGCCAAGTAGTAACGAGGATGGAGGTATAGGACGCTTTAGCTCCGCGACAGCTCCTGAGACGCTTCAATGCCGACGCATTTTCGCTCATCCACATCCGCTCTGGAGTGGTTCTCTTTCGGACCAGGAAGGGTTTGGTTCTACAACACCTGGGTACCGTCGCGGGCTATCAATTCTCAGCATTGGGACTAATAATAATAATGTCAGCGGGAATGGGAGCAGCAGTAAATCGCCAACAAGTCCGACAAGCACGTTGAACATGACTGCATCATTTTCTCAATTTCAAGACAGAATTATTGATCGTCAGTCGATGACAACGAGGCGCAAGAAGGCCGACAAGCTCTCGATGTTCTTTGGGGCTCAGCTGACTACTCACGAATTATCATCGCAATTGCCGATGGACCATACGGAATTCGGTCTCGACAATACCATCTTTAATGACAACCAACATTCAGAGGAACGCAAAGTTGAAAACAAAGTACGTTACAGACGCCCCAGGGCAACAGGGCCGGCCTACTCCTCTGTTAACCAGTTGTCACATCGGCAGCGAACCATTTTATGGAAGCGCAACAAGAAGCTGCGCGGCCTTTTGGGTGAGACTCTGCCAGAATCTGAGGTGGCACTGGCATTGACGCGCCCTGTCTTGGATGTATCAGAGTCAGATGAGAGGCACCAGGCGGGCTAGTGCAAGCACCAGTGCCAGCAGTAAGAAGCAGAGAAGAAGGCGCAGGGGCTTTCTGCATGGCCGCAGGTATGGAGTCTATAGCAACAGAGACGAAACCCAAGATGAAAAGGAGAAGTTGGAATTGAGCGAAGGTGCTGATGGGGTGAATAGGAAAGCTGGAGAGATAGTAAGGATCCGTTCTAATCGAGCAAAAAGTCAAAGCCGGATAGTCAGGCGCACCTACAGCACGAGGACGCACCACCCATCTGTCGTGTCGGTTTCATCTAAGAGGAGCCAAATCCGGATGACAAGAGCCAATGCACTTGACCTAGCACGAGCATACAGCAACTATTCTTTGAACTCTCTCCAGCCTAAAGATATGACGCATACAAGCTCTTTTCAATATGAGGATGACATCGGTGCCCATGGCGATGATGGTTATTATGAGCTAACATTACCACATTCATCGACCCCGTCTAGGCGTAAACAGAGCATTGTATCTTCTGAAGCATCTGATTATACTGACAGCGGCAGTTACCTCTGTATTGATGTTAAGATGGAGGCTACTGACATTGGTCGTAGCAGAAGTCTGGACTCGATGAGCCATTTTCATCACAAGAAAAAAATGGACAAGATTCAGCAATTCCTTGGGGATCGGGTCCCCGAACAAGACCTTTGGATGGGCACATTCGGGCGTGAGAGGGCACGAGAGATGATGGACATGAACTTGCTTTCACCAGCACGCTCGACAGGCTCTGGGTCGTCTCATTTATTGAATAAGCATGAACTGTCACCCAAAGATAAAAACAAATATGGCAATGCGTCCACTGAACTTAAGGGCACGATGAGATCCACAACTACAGCCGCAGCCGTAGCCATGGCCGTAGCTGCAGGACCTGTCCCTGAGGTAGTAGCAGGAAAGGGAACAATCAGGAAGCGATCGGCAGCAACGACAATAATGACAACACTTCCTGGCGACCTAAAACTGGAACGATCGCTTTCAGATACACCGACACATTCCTTTGGACGATTAAAGCAAGACGTGCCATCAGGGGACCTATCACAACAGCATCAATTACCGCCACAGCCACAGAGTTGGCTTAGTAAGATAACTAATGATGCCTCCATGGATAGCACTATAGCCACGCCTTTACAAGATTCCTGTGTAAATCCCTCATCAGACAAATCGTTATCAACACTAAATCTCGGGAACAACCATGACACCAACAAGTACCGCCACAACGAGGATGAACCAACACAGATCCTCCCACGACTGCGCGCCATGTCTGATAAAGATCAAGAACGGTTCTTGAGGCGAGCTCAGAAATTAGAAAAGCTATTTGGTCATTTCCCGCCATCGGCATTATTGTTAGAGGGCGCCTCGGCAATGGCTGGAGATTTAGCATCGCCGTCCTCATCACTGGTCAATATGAGTGCTGGTTCTGGTTTTAACACTGAAGTAACAGATGGTAACAGTAGTAATAACAACCCTTTCCCATCATTGCCTCCACTTCGTCAAAGGGGTCTTGCAAAACTAGCGGGACTGTTGAATCACTCTGATGGGAATACAAATGCAAACAATAATGCAGACTACGAATATTACCATGGTAGTCTCTCATTCCCACCTAGGAGCAGCTCTCGCCAAAAGAAAGAAAACGGGAAGGGAAAGGACGCCAAGGATGAGCTGTCGTTCTTCACAAAGACAACACCATTGCATAGAATCTCGAGTGGTCGGTCAAGTGAAAATATGATGAAGTCATTGATTGTAACAGAAACACCATTCCACGTAGAAATCTAAGCAAGAAAAATGAAACAAAAGTAACAGATAAATAAGTATAAAAAACCAAAAAACCAAAAAAAAAAAAAAAAAAAAAAAAATGTGTGCGTGTGTATCAACTTTTAGCTTCAAGTTCCACATGTTGTAGATCATTATGGCTAGACCAGACTAACCAGCGACCAGTGAATAAACCTCGTAAGCATTTGTAGGATTGTCAAGGTTACGAATTTTTCTTTTTCATTGGTTTTCAATCTTTGGGTTCATATTCACCAAACATCACTTGGGGAAGAACGAGTCATGAACAGTAGCATTAGATCAAAGGCAGGGAACCCAATCTTGGTTTTAAGGTTCATATGAGGCATTAGATGGTTCCAATGAGGACAAGGCTTTGCTGCCCCGCAGCTACAGCTCAATGTGGCACACAAATGTCAGCAAGCCCTCATTTATTAGCGCTTTTTGCACGCTTTGGTCTATATAGCAACGACGTAGACATTTATTACTTTAAGGGTCATTAATTTCGGAGCCTATGGTATTGGTGCACTTAAAGATTCTCTTAGTCAGTGAATAAAGCGACAAAGTTCTGAGACAATAAGATTAGTGCTCACTATCAATTCCATGCTGTATCTCTAGTGTTATCAATCTTTATTGACACTCGAGATTCAAGAATTAAACTAAAATAAAGACATCTGCTCTGAGAGAGGGATTGTGCATGTAGACATCTTAGGAGTGTGGGGGTTGGTGCAACGTTCTCCCAATAAGAATTTTTTTCTTATTTAACGCGTGACAACTTGCCGTCGCGTGGATTGTTTGGGTTCACAGATGTATTTCGTAGTGAAAGTTCATTAGCTTTTTCACCTCACATTCATTCCATTTGAAGAACAAATTTCTTTCTTCACAGCACATTGAAATACAAACAACATTCAAATAGAACATTTTACATTTAATAGGACACATGGCGTGGAGGTGTTCAGGCGTTTCGAATTCGGACCTGGTGAACCGACTCGCTCAGGCCAATCTCATTACTTCGTCAAGAGTCAAGGAAGCTATGCTTGCAGTAGATCGTGGTCATTATTCAAAGTTTAAACCATATGAGGTTTGTATATATTATATCGTGGGGTTCTTTTATGTATTTATGTAGTCGCTAAAAAAAAGGGTATATTTATTCATTTGACGCATTTGATTCCGTAAAACACCAGGATGCACCTCAGACTATTGGATACAACTCGACTATCTCAGCTCCACATATGCATGCTGCAGCTCTAGAAAGCTTGGCTCCATACCTAACCTCAGGGGCCAAAGGTAAAAGCGCGCGAGGATATGAAACGTCTGATAATTCATCTGAGAAAGGCTTTGTCATACTTTTTTTTTTTATACCTGTGTGCATAGTGCTTGATGTGGGTAGTGGCAGCGGATATTTGACAGTTTGTATGGCACAGATGGTGGGACCAACGGGACATGTGGTGGGAGTAGATCACATTCCAGAACTGATCGAACAATCAAAGAAAAATACCATGCAGGACCATCCCGAGTATATTGAGGAAGGACGTGTGGTCTATCATACTGCTGATGGACGAGTGGGGTATCCCGCAGCTGCACCATATGATTGCATGTAGGCATCATGTATACGCTTTGGACTGTGGAAGTTGTGACGCAATGGAGATGTCAAGGAGGCAGAGGCACAAATTAATTAATTAATTAATTTTCTTTTTACAATCGTTTTGCTGGAAGTCATGTTGGAGCTGCTGCTGACTCGATGCATGAAGAGCTAGTGGCGCAGCTCAAAGCGCCTGGTAGGATGTTTATTCCCGTAGGTGGGCACCATGGGCAAGCGATCTTTGTGGTGGATAAGGACTCGGAGGGCCATATTACCAAGAAAAAGGCTATGGATGTTCGGGTATGTATTCAATTTCTGCAGTTTGGTATTTTTTTTTTTTTTTTGTGGTCACACACTAAATCGTTTATAATGATTCGGTTATCAATTGCATTTAGTATGTCCCTTTGACAGATGCCGAGAAGCAGTATAGTCGTTAAGAAACTGATAACGTATGTGTATAACGGGTGCGATTTTTATCCTTCAAGAGCAATGTATATGTCTATTCCAGGAACAATATTGATATTATTAGGGCATTTGCTGAAGCAACAGAAGAGATTGCTTATTTTCTAGCAAATCATGTATTGGGAGCTTGAACGGTGGCTGTCAAGAATAGGATAGTAATTTTACTATCTGGATGTTATATTTGTAATATTTTTCATGTTGATCTGCAAAGATAATAAAAGGAAAAATCAAACCATGGATAGGATCATTCCGTCAAACAATGTGCTTTTAGTTGGCTAGTGCCATTCGGAATGTTTAGACATTGTTCAAAGCTTTACAGATGCTGTTGTCTTTAAGGTTGATTGTGTCACCAATCAGGGCAGAAGATTGGGGAAGGGACGGTGAAAGCATACAAGATGAGAGCATTGTTGATTGCTATGCTTGCTGATTGTTAAAAGAGAAGTGGTTATGAACCCATTTGCAATACGAACAGTCGTTTGTTGAAGATAATAATGAATACTTATCATCATGGGATAAATGTTTGTGAAAGAGAGAGAAAGAAATGAAAGCATGAATGAGGAGGCGAACGAAGGCAGATTGAATTGTCGAGGTAAAGACAAAGATAAAGACAAAAGGCGAAGGCAAAGGCAAAGGCAAAGGCAAAGGCTAAGCAAGGCGAAGGCTGTGGAAAGATTAACATTGAATTGCCCTGACAACTTCAACTCGGGACTCAACTGTTGTTTTGCTTGCCTACATCTCCTTTTTTTTACTTGTCTTTTTTTTTTTTTTTTTTTCTTCCCATTTCTCTCACTTCCCGCTTTCACTTCACACCTTCCCTTTGTCTAGTACATCTTTCTCACAACCTCAAACTCTATCCATCTCCATCCTCTATTCTCCACCTTCTATCCTCTATCCCCTATTCTCTCTCTCCTCTCTCCTCTGTCCTCTGTTACTTGTTCTTCATTACTCTGTTTTTAGTATTGCACCTTGCCTTTCCCCTTGTTGCGAGACATCTCTCACTTGTTTGTCATCTTTACTTTTCATTGTTCTTCTCTTGCTTCTTAACTTTGTCCATCTTTCGGAACATTAGTTTGCAACTGCATCTTCTCTTGTTCTTCCATTTCGATTTCGATTTCGATTTCGATTTCCACATTTCTATTTGTATTCAAACACTTTATTTTATTTTATTTTATTTTTTTTTTTGCCTCACTAAACTTATTAATAACGAACCACCACCCAAGTTGGATCAGCAACCACTATCAAATCAGCTGCAGTAATAGTAGTAACGCATACCAAGCTCCACACTCATACTTGCTGTCCACTCATACGCACACATTCCTAGGCTCATTCGTAACACACGCAGATATATTATTACCATTTGAGAAGAGAAAAGAGATGATAAATTTCGCAAAGTCGTGTGGAACAACAGGGCAGAATCTGGTCGGGCTCTGGCGACCATCGTTTACGCGGGTAGACCAGAAACTGTACCTCTTTGGCGGTGGAGGACATGTAACAAATGATCTTCATGTTCTCGACCTCATCACACTCAATTGGGATTGCATCTTGGTAAGAGTAAATTTTATTAAAAAAAAAATTCCAGCCAGGCGGGATGTGGGATATTATATTACAAGGAGGTAGACTTGGTCATCCAAAGTCAGGAACAAGATTGTATGTGATCAACATGTTTCTTCTTTATCATCCAGACAAATAAACAACCATTGTTGCTCCAGAAAAATAAGATCAAAACTAAATATCGACCCAACAAAGAAGACAGGCCAGCGCTGACGAAAGTCAGTACAGGAAAAGAAGCGCCAGTGTTTATAATAACTGGCATACAGATCAATCCAAAAGAAGACAGAAGCTTGTAATAGCACTGAAAAAAATCTATTAGATCTCAGGAATCAGCGACACTTTATTTAGCATAGGATAACATTGACCTAAAGACAAGATGGATGTGCTCAAAAAACACTGGCATGCGAAGGAAAAAAAGAAAAAAAGAGGGGTCAGGAAGTATCGGAGGGAGGGCAAGGGGTATTTGCACAATGTCCCACTGGCATGACTCCTGAAAACAAATACATCTTTGTGCATGTCAGTCATTTCCTTTTTTTTTCTTTTTCTTTTTGACCATGATGAAGTGGTCAACTGACCGATCAGGCTTTTTTTTGTGTGATCAATAGGCAAAGGAAGGTGTACCTCCAACAAAGCGATACGGACACACTGCAGTGTTGTGGAAACAAAACATCATCATCTTTGGTACGTGCTTGGTGTTGCGGCATGCTCAATCTGTTTGTGTAACTTGGAATGTTAACTATCGTTTTATCACCTCCTCTTTATTCAATCAGGTGGAGCAAACGAATTTACTGAATACCGAGATGATGTTGTCGTCTTTTCTCTACAGACCAAGACTTGGTTTCGACCAGAGATCAGGGGCGAGGTGCCTGCACGATACTTGCACTCAGCAACAGTGTACAAAAACAAGATGTACGTTTACGGCGGCTTTGCAAAAAACTCTAAATGTAAGTGTAGAGTTTCAGCATATAAATTATGTCGCGAGCAAGTGACAAGATAGAACGCATAAATTGTAGTAGCAACAATGAAGCTGACGCGATTTCATAAATATAAATATACTATGATATTTAATATAGGTACATATGTCCTGGATGAAATGAGGATATTGAATTTGGAAACATGGACATGGTCAGATCCTTACCCAGTACCAGCTCGATACAATCATTCCGCAAGCCTAGTTGGACATAAACTTTGGATTTATGCAGGAAAGGACGAGATCGGAAACACAGTATCCGATCTACACTCCATCGACCTACACACACTCCGAGTGTTACCACACACAGGAATCACAGGAAAGGTTGTTTTACTCAAATCGCAGCATTTCTCGGAAGCCATTGGCAACCAGTTAGTTGTATTTGGGAAATACCCTAACGAACTAACAGGAACAAGTCTCTATGGTCTCTGGATTATGGATTTGGATCAACTCGAATGGCGAAAAATTGATATTGATCGATGTCTGGAAGATGGCCTTTGGAACTACTTTACGATCGTTACGAAGCGACCACAGAATCGGCGGTTCATGGATTTACCGCTTTCAGATGATGACCTGGACCCATATAATAGTCCCGTTAGTAGCAAGGATATGGCTATAGACAGCGCGGATTCTGCTCCAACTTTGATCTTCTTGGGTAACACAGAAAAAGACCGACCTCAACCATACGATCACTTTCGAGATGTACTCTCCATCAATATCGAATATTTGGGGATCTTTCAGATTCCCCCCTCTACGTTGCAAACCCATATGAGCCTCATGTTGAATAACGAAGAGTTTTCCGACTTTACAGTGATCCCACAAGACTCGACACAAAAGATTCATGTACATCGAATGATCCTTTCGACGCGCTGGCCGTATTTCAAGAACATGCACGCATCGGGCATGATTGAATCAACACGATCAACAATGGTTTTGCCTGAACCATATCCTGTGGTATATGCTTTCCTTTCCTTTCTATATACGGATGCTATTGATGTTGATTTGAGCTGCTCGACAGTTTGTGATGTGATGATCATGGCAAATATGTACTTGCTGGAAAGGCTCAAAAAACTATGTGCATCGATCCTGCACCGCCATCATCTCCAGATTGACACATGTGTGCGTATCTTCCAAGCGGCCTGTACCTCACAAGAGCATGGATTGAAGAGGCTGTCGCAAGAGTACATCTTCCGGCATCTTGGAGCAGTGATGAAAACTGAGGATTGGTTTCTGATGTGGAGTCAAGGTGGAGAAGGTGAGCACAGGGCGGCACTAGATGAGTTTATCGAAGGAGTACCCGAAGAAGCTGGTCTAGATGTTGTTCAGGGCTCAGACACTCGAATGATGTCTATGGGATCAGATATGAGGCGGTTATCACTAAGCCGACGCTCGGATGGAGACCTGAGGAGCACACCGAGAGGAGGCGACTGAGACTGATGTCGTGATGCTATAGAATACATGGACTCACATGAGTCTGCCTATGCCATATCCTACCATGCTCAAGCTCCTTCTCCTAATAATTATCTTTAGCCATGCTCTGCTTTCATGCCTCTACTACAGTGGTTATGAGAATGCTACTTTCTTTCGTGTTAGCCCTCATTCATACCCATATTTAAATCTATACCTCATAACTCTTTCTGTTTCTTTTTTTTCCGCCTTGTATTAATATTATCCACTAGCGTGCTTCTACCAACTTCGCAACCAAAAGAAAAGTAATAATAATAAAAAATCAGCTCAATAAACACAAATATTGTCTACATTGTCTATTACTTTGGAATGGTGGCTCAGCCTGTACTCTGTGTAGCGGCAGTGCATTTCCTAAACTTTTTTTTTTTTTTTTTTTTTTTTTTTTTCGAACATTCATTTTCTCCTCCCCCTTCTTTATTCAGGCACTACCATGCAGTCCACTCAAACCACAATACAGTCCGTCACTTCTAACACCTTCACTCCGTCAGTCACTATCGCTGCTTCGTCTAACAACAGCAGCAACGACCTGATTACTACTACCACCACATCCTCTTCTCTCTTTGACCACCCTTGTGTGGTCTTCGCTAAGGACTGGCTACGACATGGCCGTCCTGAGACAACTCGACTGACAAAAGTCCATGTCTTTGATTTTGATCAGACTCTATTTCGATCATCACTACCAAATCCAGCCCTTTGGGATGCTTCATTCATTGGACATTTAATATCTTGGAACACTTGTGGACCTGGCTGGTGGCAGCACCCTGGAACTCTAGACCTTGGGCCGGAGGCGGAAGCCTCATCATACGATGGCTGGTGGAATGAGGAACTGGTAAGCACGATATGAAGCAGACCTAGCGTCTTTCTGTTTTAACAATTGTGTTTTTCATAATGCGAAATAACAATCTGAACGTTTTATTTTATTATATTATTTTATTTTATAACAAGATTGTAGAGGTAGAAAAGTCTATCAAGGATGAGGAATGTCTTACAATACTTCTAACAGGACGAAATACCCTTATATACAAGGAGCGCCTAATCCAGATAGTGCAGAGCAAACGATTGGAATTTGACCTTATCGCAATGAAGCCCTGCACCGCAGCACGTCTAGAGCCACGTCAGGATTTTAAAAATAGTAATGCAGGCAGCAGTAGAAACGATAACAGAAACAACAAATGCACTAATATTATGAATCATAAAATCGGAAAGAGAAAGCATGCTAAAACATCCGAGGTTTATCTCAAAGTCCACACATTCAACGTCAAGCAGGAATTTCTCTATAACGTTTTGTATGAATATCCTACAATCCAACACATGCGTATTTGGGACGATCGAGCTGGGCAGATTCAAAAGTTTCGAGTTGCAGGACAACAATGGCAACGCAAGGGTTTACTCAAGGAGGTTGAGGTGATCGAGGTCAACATTTCACATCGGTATATGGACCCAGAATGGGAAAAGAAATTAGTTTATACAATGGTGGACGCGCATAACCAACAAGCGGATATTGAAGCCAAAGGAGGCGCATTCTGGGTCTCAGGCGTAGGAATAATGCCCAAGTCAAGATTTCAGGAGCTTGAAGATGAGGGGATTTGGAACCCCATTGAGACATATATCCCACAAAAGCGTGCACATATAACGATTGAATCTGTGGTTCAGTATACTGGCGTTCAGTTCGAAGAAGGAATCCAGTCAATACTCAAGCGCTCTGCCCTTCAGACCCCAAGAGAGCCATTAGAGGAAAAAATGAATGAACTGAAGAACCAAAGCGAAAGCGAGATCAAGAAAAGTGTGGCGTGGATTCCTCTACCCAAGGCTCTACAGGGCCAAGATACCAGCCGATGGGATATTCCTACCGAATTTCATGTAACACTTTGTCTGGGCGCAGCTGTGCCTGAGTTCCAGGAGGTGATTGGCGGGTTGGGAGCAACCGTTTTAGTGGAGATTGAAGCAGTAGGGGAGTTGGAGGGTAAGTTGTGGGCACTCAAGGTCAGAGGACTGGAAGATAGGGATATGACGGACCAAACAGAAATGACGGAGTCGACAGCAGAAATAACAGCGACTGAAGATGGGGAAAGAAAGCAGTCCATCACTGGTGATGGCACTAATATGAAGGCGACAATGGCAACAAAGGTAACAATTATTGCACCAAATGGAGAAATTTATTCGACATTTAAATCATTTTTTTCTGCATTGTATTCGACAATGGATCCAAGCACCATGCGGTATGGACGCGTTGTATCGCGAAAGGGAACTACGCCTCATATCACAATGGCAATGGACCGTTTCCGGGGGATGCGGCCGTCCATGTCAAACAAGGTCACAGAGTGGGAATCCATTCATCCAACTTCAACAAGACGTATTATTTTAGTAGGAACAATAGCGCAGAAACGTCTGCTGGGTATCAAGCTCCAAAGACTCGGGCATTTGGCGGCAGTTCCACGGCCCGAGGTGAGTATTGCAGAGATTGTGAAAGTGCATGCTGTAGAAAAGAGCATCGACCTACCAGGAAGAGACCTAGGCCAAATCATCAAGCAAGTACAGCATGAGATGGTACGGCTATCAATTGAGAATAAGACTGTGAATATAGGATTGATCACAGCTCTTGTCCATAGTACTTTTGACATGGCTTTGGGGAATAATATCAGTGCAACCGCGAAAAAGTGAAGTGAAGGACAGAAAAAAAGAATAAAAGTATTTACAAAATAAATAAAAAAAATCAACGTGATCTATTATCCCTCAAGTTTTTATTTGCTAGTCTTCCAGACATTCATCCGCAATCATACCGCTATTGTCTCTAATTGTCTGATCTACGTTCGGAAGACTCTTCAAATATTCAATAATATCTGGCCATCCTGAGAGAGAAGCGCAATGCAATGGTGTAGCACCTTCTGCATCCTGAGCATTAACATCTGCATGGTATGTCTCTACAAGCGCCCTGACCTTGTCCAACGATCCACGATCGCACGCCCAATGAAGCATTGTGAAGCCCTGATGTGTTTGTATATGTCCATTAATATGTTGCAGGAGGAAAAAAAAAAAAACATGAAAAAGTGATGGCTGATTAGTATAATCAAAAGAGGAAAATGAACATAAAAATAGGACTTAGACTTTACCATATCATCTCTGAAAGAGACGAGATCCGGGTTTGCACGTAAAGCTGACTGGAGACCTTCTAATGATCCACTCTTGGACGATTCCATTGGATCGTTTCCTGTTTCTTCACTGCTGTTGTGGTGTAGAGGACAAATGGCGTGATTTCCATTAATTGGACAAATTTTGGAACGTTTCACTTTTTTTCCACCTTGAAATCCTTACTCTGTTGTAAAGGCCAAGGTGCTAATCCCAGAAGCAGTCATTGCGGCACCGGGAATCTCGCCTTGGGTGGGGACATAGGGTCGAGCTAAAAGCTCCTCTGCCGAGAGCTCATCCTTGTCGACCCCTAAATAGGCTTCTAACTCATCTAGATCATGATCTCCCGTTGTCGAAGATTGTGACGCTTCTACTGTGCTATCAAAGTGCCAACCCCATTGACCCTCCTCGACTCTTTGAACGTACGAGATCATAGCTTTAATTGGAAGTGTAAGTTGAGGAGTGTCCTTGAGCTGATGATGGTTGCTGTTGTTAGTGCTTGTAGTGCTGCTGGTTGTGTTTTTAGCATCGTTACTGAGTTCCTTGACATAGCGCTCTCCTGTTTCTTTCCATGCCTTCCATTTAGCTGACTTCTCAAACTCAAGCAACGAAGGTCGCGGCTGGGTGCAAAGCCCCTCTGTTGCAAGCTTGTAATCTGCATAAAGCTAAAAAAAATTGTAACATGACAGACACGATTGCAAGGAGGTCATTATGGGATGCCACACAACTTGGGTTCGAGGTCTTTTTTTTTACTCCTGTTGCTGAAGTTGGATAACAACTTTGATTAATTAAGACTCACAGCCAGTTTTGTAGATGAAGGCAGGCTGAGTTTTTTAGCTGCTGGTGAGGCCATATATGCCGCTGCACTGTTGAATCTATCCTGCAACATGATTAAATATATATTGTTATTGTTACGTGAAATGACTTGATGAGAGATCTCTTTAATGCTCGCTTCATTTAAAGTTGAAGGAACAAGTGGTCACAACGCACTAGTTTTTTTTTTTTTTTTTTTTTTTTTTTTTCTCGCTCATTCATTTAAAGAAACCAACGCTATATTCAATACGACCTAAATGTCAACAGCATCACCAGCGCCTCTTCGCAATGCTTATTTGGAGAAGACAGCGACAACAGAACGTCCATGGTAAAAGCTTTTTTTTTTTTTTTTTTTTTTTTTTTTGTTTAGTACTAGACTGATATGGTATGCCACTGAGACCCAAACCCAAAGGGCAAATTTTAATGTATTTCATTTTATGATGAACTTTAGCTTTATCTGTATGAAGATGACGACTAAAGTGCTGAAAGCCAAGGATGGCGGAGATTTTTTCTATGCTTGTGCCTCACATCTCCAAGATCCAGGGTTTGCAAAGGGTGAGGGATACCCTCCTGTACCAACAGCAGAAGCACTGGCAGCTGTGGCAGCATACAAGAAGAAGAAGGCAGAGGCTGAAAAGAAGAAGCAGGAAGCAGCAGCAGCCGCGGAAGCAAGTAGCAAAGCAGAGGAGGATAAACGATCTAATGTATCCAAGATTGGGTCTGCAGTTTTTTCAGGCCTAGGATCCGTAGCTACCAGGGCTGCAACATCAGTCTCGGCATTTATTAACGACGAAGAAGCAACTAAGGCACGGATACAAGCCCAAGAACTGGAGAGGCAGCAGGCAGAAGCAAGAAAAAAACCAGAATATTGGGTATTGGATCAAAGAATTTTCTTTTTGCGCCAAAACGATATTAAGAAGCGAAATACAAAGAAGTCGACAGCCGACACATTGAATGGGTTATCATTTCCAAAAGTACCAGGCGGTCTCTGAAAGCCTTGAGTAAGCTTACTTATTGAATAAAGTTCTATTTGGAAGTTTGGAAGTGGTCCATCATTAATGGTCTAATGTATATCATCAGATGTTATAATATAATATTGCTGCTGTTGCTGATGCTGTTGCTGATGCTGTTGCTGTTCGTGTTGCTATTCTTGTTCCTATTGATGTTTGCTGTTGCTGTTACTGCTTATGGCGAGCCAGGGGTGTGCCATCCTTTGTAATGGATGCAAGCTAATAATCTTCGCTGGCATACCAAAACACATTGCACATGCTCTTACCTGTCGATTGTGAAGCGATGGTAGGTAAGACAGTAAGGAGGATGAAGCTCGGCCTACTCCACATAATATCTGTACACCGGGAACTTCTTATTCGTCAGATGCTTGTTCGCTCCTTCCTAAGCGAGCGAACCTTCAGAAGAATGGTTAGTAGAGTGTTTAAAGCTTGAACTATGGAACAAGGACAGAACAAGCACCTCTTAGGGCTTCCAACGATCTTGTTCTCATAATTTCGGCCCGATCCCACAGACCTATTCGCCATTTTCAATAGTTGGCCTGTAGCCCTATGAAATTCGACTCCTAGAGAATCTTTTGACTACCCCATCTATTTCGCTTGAAGTTCTTTCTTCGAACTGCCCCTGTCCTGGAAATGGTTGGGTATGGAGGAGGATGCTAGTATCCTAAGCTTGCAGAGAAAGTGGATCGGTGTCTAGGAAGGATGGCTTGTCCATGATCTGTTGTTAACAGATGTAGATCCAGTCTTGATCTTTCGATCCGATATGGAGTGCTAGTTTACGAAAGGGTATGGATACAGAGCTATATTGATGGACATTTACGACATCGACAGAAAATCAAAAGGCAAAGAACGAGAAGCACAGTGCCGTCTATGATAACCTGTTTAACATGACCAAAGGCTCTACAGGGAAAAGCGAGATTCATCAAACTCAGGCGCAATCGGAGTTGGGTCAGCAAGGACAGGGAAGCTCTCCATGAACTACAAGCTATCATTGTTGCATACATGGCCTCAATCAATCTTTGTTCGCGAGATACACGTCAACAGTCGTCGTAATGTCTCTGAAAGGTTGAACGTATCCACTTTTTAATATCTATAAGGCACGAGACCAAGGTATATCGTCATAGATATGGATGACTATTATGCTTATTGTAAGCATCCGGTGTGTCGCAGTTTCGTGGGGCAGTCTAACAACCATAGGCAACTCTATTGCGAACCAATAATCCATGAAGACATGGTAGTCACGCAGGATAATGCGAACACCGTCAGAGCTCGACTGATGAACCAGGAATGTCTACTTTGCCTTCTTCTTGTAGATAGCGTGGGGAGGTACATTCTTAGAGTCAAGAGAAGGCAACTTCAGCGCTAGCACCGAGCACCACTAATAGAAAAAGCGTGCAGCTCCTGTGGCAGAGGGAGCCGTCGGCCCAAACACGATTATTACATTCACTAAGAAAGTGTGACTTTGGTAACGTAACTTGGGCCACCATTGCGCCTTACTCATAAAGGCTTCGTTCAGGCAATCTATCTGCTGCCAATTACTTCGATTGGGTTGTTAAACAACACTTCCCTTCTCCCTTTCTCCTCTCTCTTTTTTTTCTTCCTCTTATTCTTCGCCTTCAAGCACACAACAACTGCATATTCATCAACCATCATCTAATCGACTCTGTAATATACACCATGCCTGGACCAGATGAATGGCTCGAAACTGTCAGACAATGTCAACCCTTACCAGAGCTCGAGATCAAGAAGCTTTGCGAGATGGTATCCCTTATACCCTTATATTCATGACACATTGCTGTATGCATGTGTTAATCCTTTAAACAGATACTATTTTTCTGGCTCATCGGACACTCAAGGGATAGCTCACATGTTGAAACTTTTTTTTTATTTCCTTTAGGTGAAGGAGTTGTTGATGGAGGAATCCAACATTCAACCTGTACGTTCACCAGTTACCGTTTGTGGAGATATCCATGGACAATTCTTTGATCTAATGGAGTTGTTCAGAGTCGGAGGAGAGATTCCAGAGACCAACTACATCTTTATGGTAATTCATTTTTGATTTTGACATTCATCTGTACATTTTACTTGAACTCCAGAAGCTAAAACTTTTCTTCTTTTTGACCTCTACCCAACTATCACAAAAGGGTGATTTTGTTGACCGAGGATTCAATAGCTTGGAAACATTTACACTTTTGATGGTCCTTAAAGCAAGGTAGGAATACGACTAATGTTTTTTCGTTTCGTCATATTGATGGATATTAAACAGGAGTCAGTTATTTTTTTTTGCATCACAATGTTAACTTCTTTTTAAAATGTTGACAACCTGGGCAACCTGGCAACCTGGCAACCAGATGGCCTGACAAAATTACACTCCTTCGAGGAAACCATGAGAGTAGACAAATTACACAAGTTTATGGATTTTATGGTATGTGCAGCATTGCTAGAACCTGAAAATATATACCCAGAGCGAGTAATAGTATTGATGATCAATTTTTCCATTTCTAAAATACCCGTCTCGTATAGATGAATGCCAAACCAAATACGGCAACGCCAACGTCTGGAAGTACTGTTGTCAAGTGTTTGACTATTTAACGCTGGCAGCTGTATGTCAAAAAAAAAAAAAAAAAAAAAAGTGTACGAGTGTGAATTTAATATTATTCTCAATCGACGTCTCTCAGCCACGGCTAATCATACGATTTGGCTGTATAATTGATAGATTGTGGATGGTCGTGTGCTGTGTGTTCACGGAGGACTCTCGCCAGATGTCAGGACATTGGATCAAATCCGCACCATTCAACGTTGCCAGGAAATCCCACATGAAGGAGCATTTTGTGGTGCGTGTGCAATCTTCTGGTCATCGTCAACAAATGGAAATTCTTTTCTATCTAGAGATAGTTTTTTTTTTTTTAACTATCGCATTATTCTAACAAATTGCTTTTGTCTTGCAGATCTGATGTGGTCTGACCCCGATGACATCGATGGCTGGGGAGTCAGTCCGAGAGGAGCAGGATGGCTGTTTGGTGCCAAGGTAACAAGTGAGTTTAACCATGTCAACGGTCTGAACTTGATTGCACGTGCCCATCAGCTTGTGCAAGAAGGCTTCAAATACATGTTCCCAGATGACAACCTCGTTACAGGTAAAAAGCTATCATACCTGCCTCATGTTTCTCTAATCAAGTCTCTCAGCAAGCATATCAAAAAATGTTTAACCATTCTGCTCATTCTCTCTTCGACTCTTTTTTCTGTCCCACTCATTTTTGTTGTTGATAGTCTGGTCTGCACCCAATTATTGTTATAGATGTGGCAATGTGGCGGCTATTCTAAAACTTGATGGACCTACAGTGGATGAATCCAATTTCAAAATCTTTTCAGCTGTAGAAATTCAACATACCCAGACATCCTCCGGCGCCGGTGGAAACCAATACTTTTTGTAACAAAAGCAAGCACAAAGCCTCAGCCTATTATCACTATGGCCATTTTTTTTAAACTGCCTCTATCATCATTCGTTGCGAGTGTGTATTTTTCATCTCCTTGTCTAGCTCTCTAGCAGTGTCATAATACTTCCACACCCCTTCAAATATAATAAAATGTTTATGTGTTTATTTCGATCCATTTTAGCCCTGTGTCCATGTTTATTTTTGTAAATCCTGGACGGAGGAATGCAGAGACTCAATATCGGAGCGGTAACACAGGGAGTCGATCAATAGGGCCTAAAAGATATGAAAGAGGCCACGAGACCAGGAGAATAACCACAGCGAGCTAACAGTGATTTTTTTGTGCAAACTGACTTCCAATAACAGTAAGATACATGTATATAATCTACATGATTGGCACTTCATCTGCCGACGCTATTCACCCACGCAGTTACTCGCTTCGTATTGACCTCAATTATTCACCCTCTCCCTAAATCTCTTTTTTTTACAGGGCTTACACTGTTTCACTTCACTGGTTGCGTAGGCGTAGGTCATCGCGATATTGACCTTCGATCTGGCGAAGCGGCGGAAGTCGAATAAACAATCCCTGCTCTGGCATCAAGTACGTTTCCAAAGTCTCTCTGCCAAAGAAGATTCCTGTATTAGAAGATTTAGTTGACTATTCCAAGCAATGGTGAGTAATGGTAGGACGGAGGCCGAAGGAAAAGAGTAGTACGGGCATTTTGTTACTTAGGTCAATGAAAAGCAACAAGCTGCTGTTTGAGAGCTATTTTCTTCAATTATCTCTTGCTGCGTGTGAGTGTTGGACATCATAATCACGTGTAGAAGGCCGTTCTAATGAAGTCGACAGATGCATGCATCAAATGCCAAAAACTTTGTTTTCTCTCTCTCTTTCTCTCTGCCGCTTCCCCAACCCTTTCACAATTCAGTCTTCTACATTTGCAACTCATTACTGCCATAGACTCACGTACAAAAATCCGCATTTGCAGAAGGACATGGAAACTTTAGATCAACTAACAGAAGAACAGAAGAACATTCTGGATGATTACCTTGTATGGCGAAAAAAAAAAAAAAAAAAAAAAAAAAAAATGCAAGACAAGCAGCCATCCATTTCTCTTATCTTGAATAGACATTGACTTTAGCTACATGTACTGTCTTCTATGTGCATTTCTCTTTTATTATTATTATTGTTAAACACATAGGCTGTTACAGGACAGAATGATCTGGAAATTGCAGTTCTTGCGCTTGAGCAGCATTCATGGCAATTGGAGGCAAGTTTTTTTATTTTTATTGGAGTGTGTGTCTCTCAGTTTCTAACTGAAAGTGATTTTGTCCTAAGTGACAATAAGACTAATAATGTATACTTTTTTTTTTTACAATAATACACAATAAAGACTGCGGTCCAGGCTCAGTTCGGTGATACGCGTACGCCTTCGAGGCCCGACGAATCCTTGGGCGGACTAGGGCTTGACCGCAATGCGGAAAATCAAACTACACCGCCTCCCCCTCCCCCTCCATTACCATCTCAACCCCACCATGTCACTGCTCCCAGGTTTGTGCAGATTTAAAACTATACTTAAGCTATAGCTGCTGAAAGAGGAAATGGAGTACGCCCTAGACTGATCTTTGCGTATCTTTATGATAATAGGTCAACAAATAGCTTTGTAAGAGGAAAAGGATATAGCGATCATATTTTGGGTCATCATTTAAGGATCAATTGCACTGCCCTGGTTATTAGAGTTCATGGAGTAAGCGGTTGCTGATTTTACCATGAGGTCATTTGTCTTTGCTCTCTCTTGCCCCTAGTCACGCAGCTTTCTTTCCTGGTTTTCTTGGCCTATCAATACGATCTGGAGCGTAACTTGGTCACTCTTGGCATACTTTTGTAAGCGCTTCTTATTGATTAGCATCGTTAAAGTTCTGAGCAGGATGAAGGGATAAAAACAAGTTTACTTACTTGTTTATTTTTATTTCTAGATACACTCTTTCCTCAGACATTCAGACAAGCTATCACAGGTCGGTCGTCTCAGTCGGGCCCATCTCGTCCACCTCAAGATCCAGCATCGGTGGCTGCTCGCTTTTTACGAGAGTATGAAGAAAATTATGGCACAGAGCACCCTAATTTTTATGCAGGAGGATACTCAGCAGTAAGTTGGAGCGATTCAGATGATCTTTTGACCATAAACGTCCCATTGATGAGGATCCTCAAAAAAAAAAAAAAAGAAAGAAAGAAAGAAATTACTGACTACCTCGCCGATCAATTGTGCCATGTAGGCTTTAAGTAAGGCCAAGAATGACCTTAAATACTTGGTGGTATATCTTCACTCAGATGAGCATGACGCAACTGATGCATTTTGCAGGGAAACATTGGCAAATCCGGAACTCCTGTCTTATCTTCGCAGTAATGATTTCCTAGTGTGGGGAGGCAATGTTAAAGAGACTGAAGGTTTTCAAGGTGAATATAATAATAAGGCAGATTTTAGTCTTTACTAAGACCTGTTTCTAGATTTTATATCCACACATATTAATGGTCTGTTTCTTTTTTTTTTTGGCCTTCTGTCATAGTGGCAACAACCCTTCAAACGGTCAGATACCCTTTTATTGGTTTGATCGCATTGTCTCAATCAACAACAGGATCTTCTGCTACAAAAATGGTTTTGATTGATCGCATTGAGGGGCCTTCTACAGCAGAACAAATCATTCAACGTTTGACTCAACAGGTAGCTCGTCAGTCTGCTGCTTTGGAACGACTTCGTGCAGAGCGCCGAGAACGCGAGTTAGCTCGTGAAATCCGTCAACAGCAAGATGATGCATATGAACAGTCTTTGCGTGCAGATCGTGAAAAGGCACGTCAACAAAAGGAAGCACGCGAAGCAGCAGAGAGACAGAAGCGCGAAGAAGAAAGACTCGAGGCTGAACGATTGGCAGCTTTGGAACGGAAAGAACGTCATATGAAGTATTTGTTTGAAAACCTGCCAGAAGAGCCTGCTGCAGGAGAACCAGGATGTGCAACGTTGAGCTTCAAACTGTGGAATGGCGAACGCATCATCCGTCGCTTTAGAGGTACAGAGCCCGTGGAAAATGTCTATGTGTTTATTGAAACGATTGAATTCCGTGAGAATGGGTCTAAAGCCGACTTACAACTGGAAGCTGAGCAGCATTTGGGTTACACACACGAGTATGACTTTGTATTGATCTCTCCTTTTCCTCGTGTCAAGGTCACGGATCGAGAAAAACTAATCAAAGACGAACCAGCACTTTGGCCCAGCGCCAGTTTAGTAGTGGAGCTCAAGGATGACGAAGATGTTGATGAATAATAGAGTAGGACGGAGTACCTTGGTTATATGTGAGATTAAAAGATTGATCTTATTCTTTGTCCATGATCCCGAAATCAAAATAGCACAGTTTTCTTTTTTATTGTTAGAAATACAAATATCGAAAAAAGAAACAATCTAAAAATCCATATCCACTCCATGCCCGTGCAATGCTAAGTCCTCTACTTCTCCACTTTCCGCTTTTTGTGCTTCTGATTTTGCTCGAATCAGCTCCATCTATATCAGTAAAATTTACCAGGAAGTAAAAAAAAATGATAAGCAAGATAAAAAAAAAAAAAAAAAAAAAAATGAAAAGCCCATATCGTCGATGAGGTTCCATTACATAAAAGAAAGTAACAGAAAAGCACTCTTTTTACCTCAAACTTGTTTTTCATGCTTCCAACATTCTGAATCAACTCTGTAAGCGCATTTCCAAGAACATGCGCTGGAGTTGTATCTGGTGTTGTTTGGACCTTGAGGATAAAGTAATGATCCAAAGGATGTGGCATCTTGTATCCCGCAAATAAAACCTTGGGATCCTCAAGAAGTTGCCTTATGAAATTAAAGCGTATATATATCAACAAGTATGTTAGAAAGTATTGCTACAAAGGCTTTTTTTTTTCCTGGCATCTTTGTTGCTGTCCTTACATTCTTAGCATGTTGGCAAGAGTGTGGTCTTCCTTTTCGACTTTGAATGTGGCTGCATTAGGGATCTTTGTATCAGGAGTGATGGTTAGCCTAAGTAAGACATAAGGCATGTCTAATTAGCGAGAGAATATTCTCATTGTTTGATCGCTAGCCTGTGACGAATTTAGTGAATCGCTGGCTTTTCAACTCAAAATCCTCTGCGCTTTTTTACTTTTTGACACCATCAGGCAACACAAAGAGCTCGAAGCGATCGGGAGCGTTCATGATATGAAATGTACTGGCAACGACGTTGAAAAGCTGAAATAGTACCCAGTCTTTCTCTTTCTCTCTCCTGGAAGATGAGTGGCAATGTCAAGAAACCAAGTAAACTTTTTAATGTTCTAGTAAAAAAAAAATGACGTTAATCTTTATTTACTATCAATAACTGAAGGAAATAGAGACTCCTTTGACATAAATATGCCCCGGCTCGTGTATATTAACCATTTCAGCTTATCAATAACACTCACAGCTACAACCAGTTTTTATGCTATTCAGCCAATATTTTTTTATAATCCTTCGCGACCTTGGCAATCTCTTTCTCTCGTTTGCGCCTGCAGCTTGCAGTTGAAGAAATAACGGTAGATAGACGATACCATCAAAAGGAAGAACCGAGTAGAACATTAAAGTCCACCCTGGCTTGTCCTGTTTAGAGGTATAGACTATAGCGCTAGGTCATAGTGGGGCTGGAAGTTATTGTAAACCCTAGCATTGAAATACTTGTACTCGTAGACTGCTATATCACAGTCCAAACATGGGATAATAGGAGCAGCCGCAGCTCACATCAACATCAAGTGAGAATAGAAAAGCCTCTTGGGTGAACGACTTTTCCTGAAATTACTCATAAGCAATTGTCAGCCATATATTATAATCTGAAAAAAAGAAAATAGAAAAAAAAGAAAAACTTTTTCTGGCTTACGTTAATTATGCTAAGATGAGGTGAATTGAATACCACCTTTGACCTTCAGATAAGGAGTCCGAAGCCCCTTGCCTTGTCCACTGTTTCCAGCTACAGATAGGTAAGACAGAGTTTTCGAGTGTCAATTTAAAGTTTAAAGTTTGAAGGGCTTTGTGGTCAATGCAATTAAAAGTCTGCCTTCCTTGAAACCAGACAAACTTTACACCATCGATCTTGTCCAGGGCCCCGCAGTGGCGTTCGTTCAGTTACTAGACATCCATTTTCGGGTTAGGGATAGTAAGAGTGGACACGGATTGTCTTTTTGGGTAAGAAGACGGGCAGAGGGGAGCAGATGCGCTTGAGAAAGGTTGATTAGAAGAAAGTGTGGGACAATCATCTGAGAAGAAGGCTATCCGACTCTCAAAGTATTGCCTAATGAAGTTTGGTCGTATTGTACTTGCTGGTAACAAAAGCTCTAAAGGAACGCCCTTAGTGATCTTTTTTCCAGGCCACCCATAGACATTAACGAGAGAGTGTACGTGAGCCAAGAGACGAAATGAAATAAGGCTCCAGCAATCTAGAAGTATTTTATATTGTGCCCAAGAAAATGGAAAGAATATATACCATCTTTAAAAAAAAAAAAAAAAAAAAAAGAGAAATTTTCCATTACTATTACTTTACCCTCGGTGTTTGATTTTTTTTGTGGCCCACTTCCTCTAAGACATGAAGTTGACCGTTTTCTTCTTGGTGTTAATGGCAGCTCCCACAGCTGAAGTAGGCTGCAGGAGTATTGACTTGAATGGTACTCTAGTTGTTATTGCAACATTGGTCGACACGGTTAATTATAGTGGCGACTACAGGAAAGACGTAGAGAATGGTGGCGTATATCCCATCATTGGCAACAGCAAATCCTTTATCTTCGACTCGGCATTGGGTTATAACAACGAGCATCTGTGCAAAACTAGACTTTACAGTAATTACTGCAGCGGCTAATTTGGAATATCTCTTGGATACTAGATGAAAGAAAATGTGTCAGGACCAATTGAAAATTTTCGCGTTTTCTACAGAGGCGAGTCTTACTTTTAAAGCTTTTTTTTTTTTTTTTTTTTTTTTTTTTCCTACTGTCAAAAGAGACTTTAAAGCTATTCCTTCAGGTGATGATAAAACAAATAAAAAATAAAAAAGTAAAAACATTCTCCAGAAACTGATGTAATAGAATGGACGTTCTTCAGCCAATCATTCGTAGTAACGCTGCTGAACATTCAGCGTAGGCTCTTCTCATTATACCATACCTTTGAGCTCTGAATCCTTTTTTTTTAGTTAAGAGGACTAAGCAATCATCCTGCACACTCATATTAGGCTAGTCTGTGAATATGTGAGCATAAGGCGCCGACTCATTTACATGAGTGATATAGAGATGGGAGAGATGTTCGCTTCCTTCAAACTTGCTATTACTTAGGAGAAGGATGGATAATGTAGCCTGTACTGAATCTGTTGAAGTAGCTCCTTGGAACAGCTTCAATGCCGAGTCCCCCTTGTATTCACTGATCGAGCAAATAACATCCTTTTTTTATAAGAAATGTATTTAGGCATTCTCAATAAAACACGAGTATCAGTTGCCAATGCCAATGAAAAAATAACAGTGTAGAACAACTCCAGCCAACTTTATGCTCGAAACAAGATGAATTTTGAGCTATAGGTCTATATGACTGTTATGCCGGCATAAAGAAGTAAGTACAACCAAGTCAGTTAGCCAATTGCGGCCAGGTAAGACACAATGACTTTGGGTTTGACTTCCAAAGCCGAACTTTGTGAAAGCTACAAGGGATCTTTGAAAGAGAACAGTAAAACGCATATATCAATCCAGTATGAAGGAAGCCTTTTGATTAATTATGAATCAAGCCTTGCCAATCATATTAGGTAACTTCCTTTAAAAGGCTTGAGGAAATAGCTTTTTCTTCTTTTTAGGCCATCTGTGCAAATCTATCTCTCTGTAAAGTCATAGTAATCTTAACGGTCATGTAAAGTGAGTGAGAAGCAGTGGTAATCATTTGAGTCCCTTGAATGAATATGAGGGATTACCTAGCATAACACGTATTAACACTACTAGTATAACTGTTATCTCAATATCGGTGGCAAGTCGCGTGAGGTTTCGTTTTGATCAGTGCTAGTGAGTTCTATATATCGAAGCGACGCCCAGCATAGGAAAATTTGTGAGCCTTTCTACCTACAGCCAACTAGTACCATCCCCGAATACAGGATGATCCAAACGAGACGCCGTTGGGGAGTTACTGGTAGGTATAAACGTAGGGTATATAGGGACACGTCTGCAAGCATACGCGTACACATGCCTCCTCCATTTCTTTCATTTTGTCTTCCATAGCTCGCCTCAAACCAACCCGCTCTTTTAGAAAAACTTATAGGCTGAGACAACAAAGAGCATAGGAAGAAAATGAGAGCTAAGGTTTGAAGCACCCATTTTTCCCTTTTCCCTATCCTTTACAAACAACTTTAATATTTCAACAATCATGTTTCGTAGATATGGCCTCTGGACGTAGAAGGTAAGAATAAGAAACGCAAAACGAAAAATTATGAACTTTTTTTTGTTCACTTTATCTATTTAATGCTATGCACTGTCAAAAAAAGATGCTTGAAATCATACCAACACTTTCTCATTCTTAATATATCCTCTCATCATATGCTTTTATTTTATGTTTTGTTGTCAAATTTCAGCAATATGATCTGTGAAGTTGCCGGTATCATGTCAGATGCCAATATTTTTTATCAACTCTGCCCTTTACACCTACAATGAAGATATGCTATACGAGCAACTTTTCCAGAGACTTTGCGACCTGATACACTCGATACGAAGGTAACTTGCAACTGGTCTTTGCATTTGACTGTTGAGTCATTCAAGTCTGTAAACCCATTATTATTTGCTAATTTGACGTTAAAATCTTGCACCAAAGATCTCTGTCCCTTCGGTGTGTCTTCATTTATGGCGGATATGTTGCGGATTTCAATTGTATCACTCGAACTCATCGAGAAACTATACTGGTTAGAAGGCAACCTGTGTTGGATCCAACAGTGCTAATGCTCAAGGTATTTTGAGACAGGAATAAACGAACGAGGGCATGACCTTGCGAGAAGCAAAAGAATCCGGCAATTAAGATCATTAGTAGGACCATGGATACAGCATCACTTTGATCTGACGAACGTAAGCCACTATACATAATCAACAAATAAATGGAGCGGGGTATATGAGCTATATAGAATAGCAGTTAACACTAGCCGTAGTCCAGGTTGCTATCCTGGAGTTAATGGATGGACATGTGGTGCGTCGGGTCATTAATCAACCTAATATTGAAACTCTTTTGAAAAAGAACTTGCCAAAGACGGAGATCAAGTAGAGAAATAGAAACAAGCAAGTCCTAAACAGGGAAACAGGGCATTATATACTGTACATAGTATGAAAAAAGCCACTGCCAATAACAAATGGCACCCATTCGGGAAAGGCGTTTAATGGAATTGAAATATATTGATAATGACACGTAGTTCTTTCGTCAAACGTTTTCTCGAGAGAAAGGAAAATATACGAGGAAAAGGAAGAGGTATACACAACCTCTACGAAAATGTGTCAAATAAAAAAAAATAAAAAAATTTCGAATACCCTTTCCTTGAAATAAACTGGATCTACAATCTTACCTTGAGACCTCACTGTGTCGAAGCCCTTTCAGGTCGGTTCGGACTCTTAATGTAGCAAAGACGCGTATGGATGGGATAAAAATAAAAGGAAACGAGATAAGCTTATGTCCGCCTTTGTATACATGTACGATATGCGAATGGTTTAATGAATGCTTAGAAGTTCGAATCAAATTAATAGACAAATCAACACAGTTTACATGAAAGGGAAGGATTTGCGTGCACAATTCATGTACAGTTTTCCCTCACTAACCCGTTGATTTTCGACGGGTTAGTGAGGGAAGGCCTCTATTCATTTTAATTCAATAAATATATTTAAACTTTATTTGACGAAATTTTTTGTGTAAGAGTGCAGTCATTCTTTCTCTCTTCACCACTTTTTATCCACTATTCATCAACATACTTGAAGACAATGTCTAAAAAGCAATCTTCACAATCGAAGCTTAACGATTTAGTCAGAAAGCAAACTGCTGCTGACAAGTGCTTGCCTCTGTTGAAGCGAAAATCCTTAAGGAAACCATCTCTCAAGCATAACGGGTTACAAAAATCATTTTCCTTAGTCGATAAAGCGGATTTCATTGCGGCTGTTGATGGATTACGAGCAAAAGGGTTTAAAGCCTCCATTGCCGCTATTGGAGCAGGTTTTGGCATGAGTCCCAGCACGGCACGAGAGATATATCGTCGAAGGGAAGAGTATGTTCAAGATGTGAATTCCCTCCCCCTCCTGGCTAGTCAAGCAGTGAAGCGCAAAACTAATCGAAACATGGAGCCTATAGAGGATGCTCTGCTGGAATGGTATGCTGCGGAGAGGGACCTCGATCTCAATGTCACTGATAACCGTCTACGAGGGACAGCAGTGGCAATTTGGACTGAGATGAAGCCCTTTTTTCTTCCAGGTCAAGCACCCAAACAGTACTATTTTTCGAAAGGATGGCTTCACCGCTTTAAAAATAGGAATGGCCTTAAATCTTTTATTGGGCATGGCGAAAGTGGATCAGTGGACCTGGAGGTTGTGAAGGATCGCATCGAGGCTATAAAAGCCAAACTTACCGATTTCAAGCTTGATGATATCTATAATTGTGATGAGACAGGTCTCTTTCTCACAGCTATGTCCAAAAGAACGCATGAGACCGGGCCTATTCGTGGAAAGAAGATCGTTCGGTCAGCTAGAGTCTCAATTCTATTCTGCAGTAATTCGACGGGGTCTGACAAGCGCAAGCCTTTGGTGCTTGCCATGCACCGTCCAGTGGGTCTAGGCAAGGCCATCTTCAAGACGATTGACGCAGACTTTTCTGGTAAAGGTTACATGCGACAACCAATGTTCATTAAGTGGTTGAGGCAACTGGATGATGACATGCAGGAACAGGGCCGCCGCATTGCTCTCTTAATTGATAGCGCACCAGCACACAAGGACTGTGAGGCAATTGAGCTCAAGAGCATCACGGTCATTCGGCTTCCTCCGAACACGACGGCAATGACACAGCCTCTAGATGCAGGCGTTATAAGATCGTTCAAAGCCCTTTATAGTAGTAGTATGCTTGAGGCCGTGGCGCGTGTAAGGGCAAAGAAAAAATCAGCTATTGCTTTGCCATCCAACGCGATATTTTGGTCATGTATCGCTAGAGCTTGGGAATCAGTGACTCCAGGCTGCATCCGCAACTGCTTTGCTGAGGTTCCCATCTTGACCTTCGAACAAAGGAGTCATTTGCATTGGCTTGGAATTGAGTCAAAAGCAGATCATATCTTCAAACTTCAAGACAAGCTTGTTAATCAATATGGTGGAGACAAAGAGGAGGTCACCAAACAAAAGGACATTAATGTGCTTAACTATCTTATCATGAACTATTGTGAAGGGCCTTCTGAGCTGATTAGTGATGTTGTCCACAAGATAATGGCTCTCGAAAAGTACAGACACCGCTTCATTCCCCACGTGGAAGATGATATCATTTACGAAGGCGATGAGGTAGAGAAAGACGATGAAGATGATGTCGACTATAATCTCAGTCTTTCTGACTCGAGTTCCCAAGACTCCGCGCACTCTGAAAAATGTATCGAGGATGTGCTTGAATCCCCTCCTTCAAGTCCAACCATACATGATTATCAAGAGATAAATGAAGAGGAATCGATGGAAAACTATTTAGAGTTTATGAATGCTCGACATGAAATCGATAACCCTCATCTGATGAAGCGCTGGGTCGCTGTGCAAAGGCAGTTGGAGCTATTTAATGAATATCGTCATTTATTGAGAGAGAATCAGCAGATGAATGAAGGAATGAAGGAATTGAATCAGAATAATGAATGTAAGAAAAATAAAGTTTAAATATATTTATTGAATTAAAATGAATAGAGGCCTTCCCTCACTAACCCGTCGAAAATCAACGGGTTAGTGAGGGAAAACTGTACATGTATACAAAACATGATTCCAAACAAATAAATAAAAGCGCCACAAGGACACAACCATACACGTATTTTTGTCCATTTCATTTGTCTCCTTCATTCAGTCACTAAAATATAAAAATTTATTGAATTGATGTTAATTTGAATACAAACTGTGATCTTCAAAAGTATATCCTCGAGATGCTTATAAAAGCGTTGAAAGGGTAGAAATCTTCAGCTCTTTAGAAAAAAATTGAAGAGTTGAATTTGTTATTCAGAACTTCAATCGTTTTGTTAAATGTTGCCGATACATTCACTTTTCTTTTTGTTTCATTTTTCAAACCTGCCATTATCTCAAAGGCGTCGCCATGGGTGTCCAATACGAAGTCTCATCAATACTGTTAATATTTTATAAGTCTTATATTCTTACATCCGTTCTATAAAGTTTAAGCACTTGGATGTTGTTTATTATAAATCTTTTGAATTATTACACTCTTGCCTCTGATCTCACTTCAGAGCCGGCTATAATCTCACAATGAAACGTCTTGCGGTTACAATTGTTGAATATGCTAAACACATACTTCTAGATACGAAAAGAAAACAGAGGCATAGAGGCTATTCAAGGTACTAGTGTTAGTGCATCAGTATCAGAGATAAGGCCCCACATACTGAATGATTGTCGGCATTCAATTCTAGCATAGAATGAAAGTATAAGAGGTCCAAAAGTAAATAGTATTAAAAAGAAAAGATATAGACTATATATAGATAATATAAATTAGAATAATCATCGCGACCGCAGCATATTTATCGTGGCTATATTGAAAAAAACACTTCCTGCTAGTGTCAGCTTAGAGATCTGTGCTTCGGTTTGGTTAGGCCTTTACAGTTACAAGTATTTCAGTAATCAAACCATTATATTTGACAAGATCTAACCAAAAAGAGCGAGCAGCACGATTCTTCACTGAATTAACTGAGAAAACTTGGTATGTAGCACATGACCTGCCCGAATTTTTGGCTTTGTCGAGTCTAGCCTGGCCCAATCTCGAGCACGGAGCACCACTTGCCTATTTTGATTGGCTATTTTTTGTTGACGTAATAGTCCCCATGACATCATGCATGAAACTGATTCTTTTTCAATATATAAATATCAGTGTAGCACTCTTTTAGTGGTTCATTAATAAAGAGCTGCTGTGTGGTATAATTCAGGTAGATCCTTTCTTTGAAGAGAAGTCTCTCAAGATTACTGAATCCTCATTTGTTCTCTTGTCCGTCGTTCTGGAGAGAAGCTGTACGTGATTCGATCATAAAAGGCAAAAAAAAAAAAAGCAGACTTGGATAAAAAAGACATGGCTTACATTTTCCTTGCCAAGCATCTGAAATACCAAAGGACCGAAAGACCGAGAATCTGCTTGAATGCCGAAATGAAAAGAATCAAGAGAAAGTAAACGAGTCGCACAAAGACAAAAGGGCGGCTTCTGAATTTGTGCTAAAGAATAGTTTTAATTTTTTTTTAGTAAGATCGGCGAGCCAGAAAAGGATATTTTTTATAAGCTTTTTTTCACCGACCGACAAATCAGCGAGTGCAGGCTAATAGTTACACTGGGTCAAAACATCAATTGCGCTACTCTATCCCAATAATCAAGTAGAAAAGCTGACAATATAAATATTTTCCCTACAATGGTAACCCATCTGGTCCCTCTTTCTTTTTCCTTTTATACCTTATTTCTTTTTTTCCTCTCTTGCCATTCTTTATTCGATTGTCCTGTTTGGATTGGTTTCATTTTACAAGAACTTGAGGTATGACTAAATTTTTATATTGCTCAATGTGCATCAATGGCTTGAATTACTACAAAAAATTTTATAATTGCACATATGCCTATGCAAACCTATTTTTTCCACAAAGTTGGCAACAACAGGTGCGTAAAAGGAAAAAAACAGCTATCTCCGGGACTGTGTATGTGTGTATATTCTTCTTTTTATTTCGCACACACAGAGTCAGATTCAAATCGGGAGGGGAGAGGGAATGTGCTAAGAGACGCAAACCAATCGTGTCTTGCGTTTGCGTTTCTTATTGCAGGCTGAGCTCACATTACTAGGGCATAAGCACAGCCTCCTCTACCACTGTAGTGGATCGTCCATTGTTCTCTTATTGCGTGTTTTAGTCATAGTGTTAAGTGAAGCTTATCGCAAGTGTTATTTCAAAAAAATTGCCCGGATAGCGTTCTTTAGTTACAGGAGTGACCAATGCTCACATTCAATTGAACTGAATTGAATTCAATACAATAAAAAATTAACATTGCATTCTTTTGTCCCATACTAGCATTTATCTTTTTTTTTTTTTTTTTTTTTTTTTGCAATCACTCTTTAACTAGTCAGTAAAGGTAAGGTAAATAAATATAAATGTCATACGGATGGTTGGGGAAGAGTACACAAAGGGGAAGAAAAAAAAAAAGAATCGGGGCATCTTTAGTATCACGGTGGATGTCATCGAAAGGATGGCGTGTTTTTTATGCACCATGATATTTCTTCGGGGTCCTAGATGTTTCTATTTGTCGTCACTCCCGTATGATGAAGTAGGAGCCTGAATATGCAGGCGGTCAGAGATGATGAACACAACCCAAGGCTTCCTAAAGAATGTTTTTACTCTCTTCTTTTTCACAATTCATTCCACATTCAGTGTGCATATATGACCACAGAGTCTACTCCTCACTAATGAGCTTACTATTTTTTTTTATATTATTTTATTTTATTTTTTCGCGCTCCTTGTAAGTCCAGGAAGACGGAGCACCTTGTGAGTTGTTATTGGAACGGTAAGCTGTTATTTTTTTATATTTCTCTAACCTATTTCTGTTGACAGATGAGAACAAACGTTCTATCGCGCTCTATTTCTCATATTGATCCTATGACTCTGTCACGACCATGGCGTCATCTACCCAGAAAGGGGACTAAGGAGTCAGCAAGAGCGGGGATCTTTGTGTGCAACAAAAAGAAAACCATTACTCCAATTGCTATCTTCTTTTAATCAACTTTACTACCTTATTTTATTATTCATTTGCCTTTTTATTATTTTATATTTCCGTTATTATTGTTTGTATTATTTTATTTTATTTTGTTGTTCATGCTCCTGTCGTTCGATCAACCTTTGATGTCATTTCACGTACACACTCCCTTGCTCTCTCACATCTTCATCAGCCAGGCAGGTCGAGCCTTTGTGTGTACAATTTGCTTTCCCGATGTTATTTCAATCGATATGCTTTCCCTGCTCTGGTTTGTCTTGAGTCGGGTCATAATAGTGAGGCTTCCTGCGACATCTTTCCACACAATCTCTTTCTTTTTCAATCACATTTGCTCAACCTTAATTCGTTATATTATTTTTATATATATATACTCTTTTTATTTATTTATTTATTTATTTATTTCTTTTTTATTTCTTTTATTTTTTTTCAACTGTGGGGCGTGTGTACTGTACGTTTGTGCCTTTCTCTGTCTCTCTCTCTTCTTTCTCTTCCTCTTGTCTCTTCTTCTCTTATTCTCCCTTTCCCCGCGTTGGCACAACAGCTTAGGCCTGTCTTACATCCTTTTTATGTTGTTGAAAACTCTTTTCTAATTTTTTTTGTATATTTTTTTTTCTCTTCACTATAGAAGGGACACGACCTCGGTCCTCCCAATCTCTCCTCCCTTCTTCCCCCCTCTCTCCATTTTTTCTGCCTACTCTTCACGCCAACGAAACGACAGGCTTCATCTCTTCAGCGTCTGCGTGTTGCGTGTGTGGTGAGTGGGTGAGCTTGCGAGCTCTGAGTCGCGGAAGGATCTAGAGATAAAATATTGCTTTGTGTATGCGTGTGCAGGTGTTTGTTCGGTACCTGGTCTTGTTTTGTCCTTCTCTTTTCATCCGTTCTTTCTCAATGTCTTTTTTCCAGAACCTATTTCTTTTCTTTTTTCTTTCTTTCTTTTTTATTTTGTTTTTGCATCTATTACTTACCCCTGCCTGATTCGACCAACTCAAGTGGATTAGTTGTGCCCATTTTTTTTTCTTCCTATTCTCACTGTTTCGATCCCTTTTCCAATTCATATTGTCTGACACTCCGCCTTTCCACTGTCTACTTGTCTCCACCGGATCGAATAACATTCTGTTGTGTGGATGTGTGGATGTGTGGATGTGTGGATGTGCGTATGTGATGTTCCTTATTTTATGTGCGTACCTGTCTATCTGTCTGTCCAGCTGCCTGTCTGCCTGTCTGTCTGCCTTCTTGCCTACTTGTCAACCCGCGTCTGCGTTTGTGTGTCTAAAATGTCAGTGTCAGAATTTCACCCTCTCCCCCATTTGCCTTGTCTGTCTTGCATTTTCCCGGATGCCATTTTCTTGATCCACTATGTTTATTTTTTATGTTTTGGTGTTTTAGACAAATCAGTGTGGCCTTTGCATACCTTTTTTTTTTTCTTTTTTTTCTTTTTCTTTTTCTTTTTTTTTTTTAATACTCTGAGCATTCAAAGACACACATCCATCATGTAGGAGCAGTATAATCTATCAACAATTGTATACAACTTGTAAAAAAAAAGCGTCGATAGTCAACGCAGCCTTTCCCCTTTTAAGGCAACAATTCTCGTCATCGTGTGATCGATTTAAATCAATCCCAATTCTAGACCCCATTCCTCCACAAGTCATTCATCATGGTTCTCGAGTCAAACATTTATAAGACACCAAATTAATGCCGTCATTTGTCATCCATTGTCTGCAATTGTTCCCGCTTTCTGATGTCTTTTTTCTCCCTTTCATGATGTCTTTCTATTCGTGACACTTTTTTATATTTGCACAGCATGCATTCACTTCATTGGTAAAGCCCTCATTTTTTACTGATCACTTCTTCTCTTCTTGGCGCAACATTAATATATTGGCTTCCCTCCATTTTACACACAATCACACTCACACTCAAACATAAAACATACCACACGTTACATTTTTTTTTTTTATATCGAATATTCCAGTCTATTGCCTTTTTCTTCCACCCATCTAACACCTGCGATCCACTAATATCGTATTTTACTCAACATTCGTCCCTTCATTTTCTCTAAACTGAACTATCAACCATTAGGCGTTCTTTTCTCTTGAGAACAACCAGATATCGACGCAGAGGCCTTCAGAAATATTGGCGCAATGTCACCGGCTTCTAGACGCTCAGAGTTAAAGTCCAGTCTTCCTACTTCAATGGCCCAACATCAGCAGGGCAGTACCAACAATAATAGCAATGTAACAAGCACTAGTGATAATGCTAACAATATCAGCAATGCCAGCAATAGTAACAACAATAACACCACTATTAACATCGGTGGCGGCAACATACCATCGAGCGCCAGGACTGCTTTAAATAGCACTCTTACTGGGTTAGTAACTAAACCCCCTGACAGAAACCCTGTACACCCTTCCACTGCTCCTAATGCCTCTTTTGACTCGTCTCTGGAGTCTAATACTTCGCCTGCCATTTCGTCTTTACCTCATCCTCACCACAACCCTCATCACCACCTTCATCCGAACCGTCATCCTCCACATCATCATCATATCCACGATCATAGTGTCCATCATCATCATCCCCCTGCTTCCCATTCTTTGCCGCCTCCTTCTGGATATCATACCCATACTCATACTCACACTGGTGGCCGAGATCAGAGCCTGAGGCAGAGTCAACAGACTTCCCAACGCCAGAAGATAACTAACAAAAACCGCAGCAGCAACAGCAGTCAACCTAACAGCAGCACTAACCGGCAACTCCATAGTCAAGCAAATAGAAGTAGCGCTCACCACCTTACAGCAAACATGCAAGACAGTGGGACCGATGAAGGCAATCAAGCACTCTCGAGCACAAATCCCAACACGTTCATAAATCCAAGTCGGGGTCAAGGCCCAAATCTCGGGACTATCAACATAAACCCATATTGGCCGGAGTACTGCCAACCTTCGCAACCATCTCCACTACCTCTCAATTACTATTCCTCACCCATACAACATCAGCAGTATATCAGAGGAGCTACACCAGTGGATAGTCATATGTCTTCTACACTATCACCAGTCGTGCCTTCAAAGGCAGCTTCGCCTCTAGCCAAACCTCTGAACCAAAATCAGGTCCACGCACAGACCCATCCTTGGAGGATCAAGGTCTATAATGCTTGTTTAGCTTGTCGAAAAAAGAAAATCAAATGTGACGGCCTGCCCACATGCAGTCGCTGTGAGCGCCTTGGGTTCGAGTGTTCTTATATCGAGGTGCCACAGACACCACATAATAGGAACCAGAAGCAGAAGACAAAAACTACGGGTTTAACGGCAGCAACCTCAGCTTCAGTTACAGCCAAGACTATAGACACGAAAGGATCCACAGCAACTTCTCATCCATCTCGCAGCCAGTCTACTGCACATCAGCACGAGCCTCGGCTTCCAACACAGCATGACACGCAAGACGTAGCCAGAGATATCCGCAAGCAGCGTCATCTCTCATCAATCAAGGATGCGGCTAGTGGGTTATTTCTGCATCAGACGACTCGTCGTGTCAAAGAGCCCCTACCATTAGCTAGGGATCTTTTTGCTGATAAATCCATGCCTGCTGTAGCTTCTTTACCTCAGTTAGTTCAGAAAGAATCTTCAAGCCAATTTGCTCCTCGTCTACCGTCTTCGGGATTGGCCGCAGACCGAGATACGATGATGCCAGACCTGTACCATATTTTCGTCAATTCTGTTACTATCCCTAATGTGGCAAGGTATTCTCAATCAACGTTACAGGCTAATTCGTCCGCAATAAGGTTTGGAGGAAGCGTGGCTTCGACGGGCGTGAATCAATTCAACCTCGCTCTAGCCTCGCCAGCAATTCCCACGTTTGCCGTTCTGAATGCAGATCATACTGATCCTGATCAACAACACTCGTCTTTCCAAAGAGATCCGGCAGCTAACTCTTTTCTCGACCAAACTACCCCACTCGGGTTTGTTATCACTAACAAGAGCGTCATTCAATATCTTGTTCATGTTTACTTCGAGTGCTTCCATTTTCATTGGATGATCGTCGACAAGGAGAAATTTTTGGCACAGCTCAAGGATCCATGCTCGCCTCCTGATCCGCTCTTGCTCGTCGCCATTTGTGCAGCTGGTGCAAAATATTCCGATCATGAAGGGCTTTGCGCAGAACCAGGCAATTTTGCAACGATTGGTGAGCAATTTTTAACTCATGCGCGCATTTTGCTCCAGGATCGTTTTGATGTGCCTTCCATGTCTACATTGCAAGCTCTCTTAATTCTATACTGGTGTCAAGTCCAGACTGGACGAGCCAGTCTCCGTTTCATGTACGTGGGTATGGCTATCCGTATGGCTCAGGTGATGGGGCTTAACCGTCCCGTTGATCCTAAGCGGCTCAAGGATATGGATGAGCGTGAGGTTCAAATCCGCAAGACTATATGGTGGTCATGCTATCAAGCTGACCGATGGACGTCGGCTGCATTGGGAAAACCAATGGTAAGGATCCTTCCAATTTGTTATATATGATTGCTTGAATTATTAAATAATACCGTGCGATACGGGTTAAGGAAATACGAGCTTTTAACATGTTATCATTATTTTTAACAGGTTATTAGTGATGTGGATTGTCTTGTTGACTACCCAGCCAGCCTTTCGGAGAGTGAGCGGTATTATGTAGAGTCATTTCATCATATGACTGATCTGGCTAAAATTCTTGGCAAGGTCATATTAAGTCTTTATACCTCGACGAACGCTGCAACCTGCTCCTCAGCTGTGTTTTCACATCTGGATCAATCCCTTTCTGAATGGTTTGACTCAATGCCTTCGATTTCGGCTCCCAATGAGGCAGAAAACGTACTTCCTACCCCTACTTCCTTGGATAGCGCGGGGAGCACACCCTCCGCACGAAGTTCGACCTTGCAGCGTGGCAAGCCATCAACAGGTAGCAAGTCTGCAATACCTACCATGAAATCTCCAGATACTACAACCGCAGCAAGCTTAGCAGTACCAAAGCCAGACTCTAGTTCTATAGGATACTATGAACTTCTCTTCCATACGGTTCGCATTATGCTTTATCGACCTTTTCTTCATAACAGCGCCCTTACTCCTATCCTTCCGCTCACATTGCAATCACCACAAAGTCAGTGCAGGGAATCTGCGGCAGCTATATCAGAGATTGCAGAAAATATGGTTACAGAACAGCGCTCTTACCGACAACTCTTTAATTCGATTCATATTTCGCTATGTGCTGCGGCTACCGTGCACAGATTCGTAATTATTTCGTCAAAGACTTCATCTTCACAATCGACAGGTCCAGAAGCAGAAGGTAATGATGAGCTTCCGCTCCTTTTTTTAAACCCAACACGCAGCAGTTTTATTCTATACTAGACACTAAATTGTTGGTGCTTTATGTTCTCTGTAAATTAACAAGAGAATTTAACGTCCCTTGGCGCTAATATCGATGTCACCCCGAGTCCAGCGCCTTCAACTCTTAGCAAGGCTCCATCTCATGCTAAGACCGATTTATATTATTTGACGCTACTTCTTCGAATTCTTCAGAACTGCTGTCGTTTCTCGATCGAAAAGAATCGCTTACTGTCAATCATCGACGCATATCTACCTCATAAGTATTTAAGCAAGCAAGAGATCAACTGGGCAAGAGATGAAATCAACAAGCCTTTTACCATAGTCCCCTTTTCCATCAAGATGCCCGTTCAGACTACGGCCGGTGGCAAATCAATGGGATTGGTCTATCCAGTCTCACAATCGACTGCGGCTCAGCTACAGCAACAGTCGACAATGGCTATATCTCAACCAAACCAGCAACAAGAACGTCAACAAGGATCTACTCAGCAAACCCAAGCGCAACAACATCAGCAATACCAGCTATATATGCGACAGCAACAGCAGGAACAACAGCAGGAACAACAGCAGGCCAAGCAGCAGGCTCAAGCTCAGGCCCAGGCTCTGGCTCAAGCTCAAACTCAAGCTCGACGGTTAAGTGCACCAACAAGTGGCATGGCATCTCCTGTTGGTGATGGTTCTAACTTTGGTACGTATGCTTTAAGCTCCGTCGATGATCTACGTCAGGCGCGGTCTAGCAGTAGATTGTCATCGGTCAGTGAACCATGTGGATATGCTACCCCAATTACCTCAGATGCCTTTTCTAGAGCCGACACAACTGACCAGCAGAATCAGAGACATCAACATCAATTAGACTGGCTGCAACGACAACATCGGATCCAGCAATCCCGGCTTTCTCACCATCATCAACAACAAACCTTGCAGCTGGAACAAGCTCAATTATATCAGCAGCAACAGCAGCAGCAGCAGCAAGGGCACCAGCAACAACAGGGACAACAGCAACAGCAGCGGCAGCAACAACAGCAATATGTGCAGCATCAGCTTCAGCAGCAACAGCCGGATATTTTTAATCATCCTCAACCTCAGTCTCAACTTGTGGACGCTCCTGATTCATCTCATCAAAGCCCTTTTCACTCACGGAGCCGCTCCTCGGACACTGGGATGTTAAGCCCTCAACCATCATATTTTGCCTCTCCTCATCCTGGAATCCCCCGAAATAAGCGTCAAGGTGAAGCTTCCAGCAAGAAGAAGCAAGCTAAGCAGAGACATGGCCCTCATAGGTTACCGGATCAATCCTCGCAACCGGACCAGCAGCAACATCGGGCAGGGCAGCAACAACCGCAGCAACCCTCATCACCGTTGCAGTATCCATACATGGAACAGGATCCTTATCAGCAGCAGCCACCGGTGCAAGAAGACAGCTACATGGCAAACGCTAATTCCTCGGATGTGGACCCGAACTTGATTCTCAAAACACTCTCGGGCATGACAGGGAGTGATGAAATGATGACAAATAATTCTGCCCCTTCTGGTAACGAAGAGCAATTCTCTCATGCCGTCCGTCTAGTGATCATTGGTTCTCAACGTACAAGACCTTCTATCACTAACCTCACTCTTGATCATTCCTCTATTTCCCTTCCTTTGACACTTTCGCGTAATCTACTTCATCGCCATTCCTATATGCATAACTTTCCGTCTTCACTACGGCATCTCCATACCTGTTTTGATACTGATCGCACCGACGACAACGTCACTAATATTAATACTCATGGCGTTAATAATACTATCGGTATTGGTCTTTTCAATGATATTGAAAACAACCATTGTATTAATAATGACAACAATAACCATGATAATATCAACGATGAAAATAATCTTAATTTTTTTAATTATCGTGAACAAAATGCTGATGGTTCCGCAACGGATGGATACGAATCTGCTACATCGGTCCATGGTTTCGTATCTCCACATTCAGTTATCAGTCATTTAACGGGTACAACCGATCTCTCAGGAACCAGTTTGGAAGAAATCCTTGTGATGGATTCAGCCGACTATACCAACGCAGGGGCCGAATATGGGAACATGGACCCATCTGCTACTCCACCACTTGCAGGGCCTACATCTACCGAGAGCCAAATCCAAGCCCATCTTACCGGGTCGTCCAACAAGTCTGATCGACCATGGTTTGCTCAACATCCGCAGCAGCCGTCTGCCACAGGAAGCAGTAGTAGTAGCAATCCTAATAATAGCCAAGGCCGCAGTAATCATTCGCATCGAAGTTCTGTGGAGAATATCAGCGGTGGCAGTCTTCACTATATCCTGTCACAAAATAGCGGAGGAAACAACAACGATGAAGATAAAGGCAACAATACCGTTGCCAACAGTAACAATCAAGCACGGGTCCCTATAGGTCCAGCAATGATGTCACCTAGATCGATAAATGTTGGTACAGCGTGGATTGGCTTTGACAACATGGTACAGCAGCAGCATGGCAATAACAATAACCAACTACCACCATTACAAACTATGCGGCCAGGCGAGAATGCCGTAGGCTATCATTATCCTCCCTACACATTCTCTTATGTACCTCAACAGCCGCTGCACTTGGGCCAGCCTTATGTCGGCTATCACTCGATGGGTAGATCAATCGCTCCTTATGTTTATGCCACTGATAGTCAAGGTGCAGGAATGTACTTCCCGGCACCGAACTCTCAGTCTGCTCAAGGATCTCATGGCTTCGATCCTATAGGTCTTAGCTGGCCACAGCATGCACAGTTTGCTCCACCACAACAGATTATGATGTCTCAGCAGCTAATGCAGCAGCAGCCTCAAGGCCATCTCCAACAAATCTATTCATCTCGTGTGCCGAGCCAAGTCTACCCTATGCAGCAACAGCCAGGCCCTACTCCAGGCTTCCACTATATCCAGACCCAAACACCTATGATAACACAGCATTCTGCCCAGATAGCGCCTCAACACATAGTCACTCAGCAGAATATCCAGCAGCAGCAACAACAACAGCAGGAGCAGCAGCAGGGGTCTCAACAGCAACAAATGCAGCAACAGCATCGCTCTTCAAGGTCGAGACAACAAGAACCACAGCAGCAAATTCAAGATCATCTGATGTCGCAACTGCAACAGCAACAGAAACAGCATCGATCTGAAGAAGGAGTTCGACCATTGGTAGCGCCGTTGCCACCATTACCTCAAATGATGTACCGCGACAATGCTAGTGGTAGCAGTAGTGGTAGTGGCAGTGGCAGTGGCAGTGGTGATAGTGGTGGCAACGGTAACAGTGACAATAGCAATGGCAAGGATAATAGTAACGTCTCTAGTAGTACTCTACCTGGTGGAGCTGGTAATCGACCTTTCTCACCAGCATCATCCAACTCGACGCTGGTGAACTCTTTAGGCACGAAGTCTAATAGTGATAGTAGTCAACAGGAGAGCAGCCGTGATGGCAGCTCTGGTCGTGAGACAAGCAGTGGCATTGACTCGACCGATCGAAGCACTTCAGTTCCTTCTGAAAGTAGTAGTGGCCAGTCATCATCTGACTCTGCGCGCATGTCACAATCTACCACCTCACCCTCAGGTACTACTTCAAATGAGAGCTCGTCAAATACCGAGTCTCCCAACTCGACCGAAGATGTATCCAACTCCAATGAATCTGGATCATCATCGGATAACGCCGCTGGTTCTCGGCCGTCATCGGCAGAGCCTGCAGTTCCTTTTTCAGCTATAGATCCCAATTATGAGTGTGGAGGAGATGACAATGTTGGTGGTGATGCCCAAGGGACTGGGGGAGGGGGTGGCACAGCCGGTAGTGGGCGTCGTCGTCGTGGTAAGAAATCACCATCGCCTTCTGGATCTGCAGGCTCCTCAACGTCGTCTTCGAATGCGACAGGGTCCTCGAGCTCCAATCAAGCGAATCAGCCTCGTCACTATCGTACGCGCCACCAAGAACAAGCAGATGGTGGAGGTCTTAGTGGTGGAGCTGGACGTCGATCTCCCAGTAGTGGCAGTATCAGCAGTAGTGGTGATGGTGGAGAGGCGGGTGGAAAAAGTGAGGGGGACGATACAAGTAACATTCACACCAGCGGAGGAAGTCGACAGAGTGGTAGCCGTCGCAAACACAAGAGCAAATATCGATCGTCCACTCATGATCCTGCTAGTACAGCATCTGTTGGTGGCAGTGGGGGGGATACATCGCCTCTTACGCATCATCGCCGCGGTGGCAATGGAGAGCAGAGCGGTGACAGCGGTGGTGCTGGCATTAGCGGAGGTGGAGAAATAGGCGACAATGGTGGTGGCGGAGGTCAACATCGCTCAGACAGTGACAGCGTAGGAAGTGGATCTGCTTCTGGATCACACTTGAGCGGCTCCTCGACCCTTGACAAGGATTCCTCCGTCCATCAAGGAGGCGAAAGTAGCGGCGGCGGTGGCAAGAATAGATCACATCGTAAAGGAAAAGGTAAAGGCGGCAAAGGGAAAATTTCCGGGAATCCTATATCATCATTCGAAGGCCAGAAGCAGCAGCATCAACGCCGGGCGAAGCGGGGACAACGAAAACAACAAATACCGAAAACTTTGCAGCAATAATAAATAGAGGTGCTAATCAAGGCAACGCGTCAAAACGTTTCTTTTTCTTTTTCTTCTTGTTTTTCTCTTTTTATTACATTATATACCCTTGTCCGGCTTTTTCTTCTTCATTGCAAATAACCTCTCGATTCGGCTATGGCTCGCTTCTCTCCCGTCCGTCTCTACGCGATATTTTCTTTCTTTTGTTTATTGTATTTATTGCACTATCCTAGATCGTTCATCTTCGCCATACCTCAAGAGCGCGACTTGATTCTCTCATTGCACTTAAAAAAAAGGCTTTTTTTTTTTTTTTTTTTTTTTTTTTTGTAGACAATAAATTAGAGTAGTCCCGTCTTTTGTTTAAAATAAATTAAAATAAAAAATACTGATCCATGTCTTAAGATTGCTCCACGTTTTAAATGATGAATCTTTATCCAAGTTCAGGGATGCCTCGAAAACATACAAAATGGACTGTTTCCCAATTTAAAAAACGTGAAACAGATATTCGTCTTTTGTTATATCAATGACCTTCCAAGAGCAGCTCTCTATAAGAGGTTCTCCTTCCAAACTTTATGAACGCGTTAGCTATGAGGAATGAAAAGGTTTTTTTTATCGCCCATCAATAATAATTTACAGATTATGGGCCCAGATCAAGATAAACGATATACAACATGGTCAAAGGAATCGATTCTACTTACAAAAAAAAAGAAAAAAAAGCTCTATATGCCTATCCATAGGTATTTGCGAGGGATCCGGATGATATAAGGTAATGATTTTGAAGTGACATCAACCTGCTTTCACCCATGCGGTGACTTTATATGTCAAATAATAAGGCCCGAACATTTGTCTGAATAGGATAAGATATACTGCTTCCTTTTAAACAGACATCAATTTAGGTTAAAGGTATCGGACCGAAATTCTATCTGCATCTCTGAAACTGTTTACCATCTTGGGGGACGCGAAACTCAATTTGTATACACAGTATATTTCTTGGCCTTGTTCTTAGTCTCAAAATGAAAATGGTATTATATATATACATTCCTCAGCAAGACATTTTTTTTCTGTGTAAAACTGATAAGCTTTGTGTTCCAGCTTAGTTGGGATTTTAGCTCTATTTAAGTTTTTACTTTTTTATTTTTTTTCATTTTTTTTATCATTATTACTATTATTATATCACTATTATTATTATGAATAAGGATGAGTGCAGGCCTGCTTTACAAAAAACTACGCAATGCGTTTGTAACCGATGCCAAAGATGAGTGCAATGACAATCCACTTAAAGTACTTCATGATAAAGTTCTTCCTGAAATGAGGGACACCCTCGAGCGCGAAGCGACCGAGCTTCAAATTAATGCTTGTATAAGGCGGATAGCGGGCCTTAAGAACTGCTTCTGACACAATATTTAGCTGTTTGACCAAGATGGAACGCTCATGTGTGAAAGCATCGAATGATTTCTTTCCATGGTACGAACCTAATCCAGAGGGGCCAATTCCTCCAAAGGGCAGAGCTCCTTCGGTGACATGCATCAATGTATCGTTAATAACTACACCCCCCGATCGTGTTGAGTCCAAGATCTTTTTGGTTAGCTTCTTGTTGGTCGAAAAAATATACAGTGCCAGAGGGTCGTCCTTGGAGTTGATGAACTCGATCGCATCATCTACATCTGCCACACGAATAATGGGCAAGAATGGTCCAAAGAGTTCATCTTCCATCAACTTGTCCTCTCTGTCCACACCCGTAATCACTGTTGGCGCAATATACAAATCCTTCTCATCTGTTTGTCCCCCAACCACAATCTTGCCCGATTTGTTCCCCTTCAGAACATTAGTTAAACGATGGAAATGGCGGTTGTTGATAATGCGTGCAAAGTCAGACGCCTGAGGATTTTCACCATACATTTCTTTAAGCGTCTTCTTCAGTTCTGGGACAAGTCTTTCCTCAGCCTTGGCCGTCAACAGAAGGTAATCTGGGGCAACGCATGTCTTGAAGGGAAATTATAATAAAAAAATAAAAATAAAAATGAGAAAGAGTTCTTTTTATATTAATGGATGTTGTCATATAAGATGAACCTTTTTTCATTACCTGGCCAGCATTAAATGTCTTTCCAAAGGCAATACGCTTGGCAGCGATAGCCATGTTTGTGTCCTCATCTACAAATACGGGTGATTTGCCGCCCAACTCGAGGGTAACTGGAGTTAAATGTTCAGCAGCAGCTTTCATAATAATTTTGGCTACAGTGCCATTTCCGGTATAGAAGATGTGATCCCACTTGTACTCAAGCAATTTTGTAGTCTCATGTGCGCCTCCATTAATAATAATATAAGCGCGACTATCAAGATAGCGAGGGAGTAAATCTGTCAAGAGCTTGGCTGAATGTGGAGCCACTTCCGAGGGCTTAACGATGGCCGTGCATCCAGCTACAAGGGCTCCAACCAGGGGTCCCATTGTAAGATAGATGGGATAGTTCCAAGGGGAGATAATCAACGTGGATCCTGATATATTTTTGCATTAACAAAAAAAAAATAAAAAAAAAAGACGCGTTAGTATATTTGATAATAAATGGCTTGTTGACTCCATGTACACTTTAAGAAAACGTAATGCAATTCATTCAAACAAACAAACAAACAAAAAAAAAAAAAAAAAAAAACATAGCCCATTTTCACGTTTTTTTTCTTTTTTTTCTTTTTTTTTTTTTTTTTTTTCTTTTTTTTTTTTACAGGCCTCAGGTGAGATGGAGGGTCTGTGTGTGCGTATAAATGTAGGGAATAGTGCTCGGTGCTCTGATGGATAAGAGAAAAAAATAGGTCGTTTGTCGTTTTTTACATATTTAACTTACCCTTAGGCTCTTTGCGCATGTAGCATGTCACACCAAACTTGTTCACGAGAGAGAAAGGGGCGACCTTTTCGTCTCTGGCCCATTCATCAACATGCTCGAGCGCATCCCGAATCTCCTCTTTTGATGGGGCAATCTCACCCAGCTGAGTCTCATTTCTATGCTTGTGCAGATCCTTGAAGACAGCATCGCAGATTGCATCCTGGTTCTCGTCAAGCAGGAGCCATAGTTGCTCCAGTTGATGACGGCGGAACTTGATCGGTTTAGTGTAACCTGCCTTGAATGTCTGACGGCTCGTCTCGACAGCCTTATATAATGAGATGTGATTGAAAATTTAAATGTTAATAGTCAAAAAAAAAAAAAGAAAAAAAAAAAAAAAAAAGCAGTAGGCAACATAGAAAGCCTCTTTTGGTAGCTAATGATATCCATAAGATCCATAGCTAAATATTAAAAATTCTCACACACCTGTGCAATTTCGGCTTCATTATTGAATTGGAGAATAGATGTAGTCATGTTGAGAAGAAATAAAGCAAATAGTGTATGGGGCGGAGCGAGAAAATGGTAAAGATGGTAAGAATATGGTTAAGATGGTGGGAAAAACGACTATAATAAGGGAAAAGGTTGAGATGGCGAAAGAGAAAGAAAGAGAAAGAGAAAGAAAATAAAAATTAGAAAAATAGAAAAAAAAGAATTTATACATTATGCGGCAGATCCTTTAGTCAGGTCTTGGTCACAGCTTAATAAAATGACCAACCAAACCGCTTCCATGTGTTCTAGTTTAATATCACCATGTATATTTGTTTAGGTTTGGCCTCGGATAAAACCTTTGTCGGCCCACAACGCAATCATGTAGTCCGATCCGGGGACTTTAAATCAGTTAATCAGGCAAATCTGTTTGATTAATTTCGATCAGCTATTAAGCCACACACTCCCCTCTCCATCCCAAACGAATATCAGGCCATTCGATAAATCATTAAGGCCATTTCTACCATCATTAAAGTCATTCCCTCGCGAGCACGTCTATCCACTCTACTCACTTGAAATAATAGTTGCCGTGGACGAAGCTTTATTCAGGAAGGAGGAGAAGACACACGGGTTTAAAACAGCTCTCTTTTCGAGCACACTTGGAGGTGGGCTCAGGATAGGATGGGAATCGGTGATATTTATATCAAGAAGCGTACACAGGTATTGCCAGGTCCCCCCGAACTCACGCCTTTGAAACTACCCGGCAAAAGACTTTCATCCGTTTACAAGCCTCAACCAATCTGTTTCAACTGTTGTTTCACTGGCTCGATGCTCCCATACGATTGGGCCTTGATACATTAAGGATACTGATCCTTTGATCCTGATCTCTGAACTCGTTAGATCAGCTTATCTTAAACCTGACCAATGACTCCGTGAACAATAATACCCAAGAATGTTAAACAAGTCAAATTCATTGATCAACGTTGCAAAATAGTTTTTTTTAAAAAAAAGCCATTTATTCTGACAGTTGAGCGACCTGGCAATAAAAGATGAGTGTGTGTAACATTTTGAAACCTTTAATGGCATGCTTACTTGCTGTCTTACAATTACAATACTATCTTAACTACGACTGCGTATCGCTTCCTCTCCCTGGCTTACTGCATACGGATACCCATGTGGATTGGTACCATGTAAATGCAGTGGTTGATGCTGATATTGTGGTGGGTGTTGGGCTGGATAGTCTTGGAAATGGTTGTGCTGTCCAAGGATTTGCCCTGTTTGACCATTTCCTGCATGGGGTTGAGAATGGCCATGAAGTTGGTGCTGTGACGATAGTGATTGAGGAGGCTGTAGTCCTAACGGGTGTGCATGAACATGCGTTGAAGGAGATATTTCATAATGTTGGTATGAGTAATGGCCTTGTGGCGGATATGTCGGGTGGGACTGTTGAGTGGATGGAGGGCCATGTCCATTTGACGCATTTGATGGATACAAATGGGAAGTGGGGGGTGATGGTCCTGTTCGACGTCCGAAATCATGCTCGTGTCCACGACTAGGACCTCCACCTTCCTCATAAATCATTGATTCAGAGCCTTGAGGAGCAGGTTGGGTGTTATTATATTGAGAGACCTGCATATTATCATAAGAATCATAGTCCGCTAGTCCTCTGTTAGGTCCCATCCCAACTGTGCCGCTTGAAGACGCACCTTGTCGAATATCCATTCTGGTCTGCTGATTAGCTACAGAAGATGAACTAGGTGGATATGGTGCCCTGGAAGGGGTGGACGAAGAGATAGAGCGACCATGACCATAAGATGAACGGCTCTCTTGGCCGTAATCGACAGATGTTGGCCGCTGCACAGTAGGCTCATGAGGATGGCCCGAATAAGGGGCCGTTGGACTCCCTCGGGTATAGTGACCATTTCCAGAGCCTAAACCATGCATTGCCTGAGCTTGTCCATCTTGATGTCCCTGATAATTAGAAGCGGTATGTACACTATGTCGTGACGCTCCATCACTTCCGCGATCGTGATGAAACAAATCTTGTCCACGTGCACCAGCAGGGATACTGTCGTTCAATTGTGAATAGGCTTTGGCTGGCAATGGTGTGGCTTGTGGAAAATGAGGCATGGATTGAGCACGAAAACTTGATTGTCGCGGAGATAAAGACGCCAAGGATTCCCTCCGATTGCTTGCCAGATCTTTAGATCCATGGCTCGACTGTGCTGACGGCGCACTTGTATATGATGGATAAGTGTGAATACCATAGCGTCTTTGATCGGAGGCAGTACCTTCTTGGTAGGCGGGTAGATATTGAATAGAGCCTGTCGACTGGATACCACGCTTCGGAACTAGATCACCCGATTCTGGATATTTCTCATGAGAGAGCGGATGGGGCGCTATTGGCTGTTGAGGCCTAGAATACAAGTCAAGATGATTAGGGTGTCTCGGCCTGGTGGACGAAGACTCTTGGTTTACATGTGCATGACCCTCCGAATATTGATCACGGGCTATGTGAGATGGGTGTTGTAACGATGGCGGCTGATGAGGGTCCAAAGAATGCTGGAATGAGGAGCCAGTTTGAAGCTTCGATGGATGCTCACGCTCATATGGGTTTGATGATAAGGATCGACGGTGATGGTCATCTGCATAAGGCGTCAGGGCTCCATAGTCAATTGGTCTCTGACCCCCTGCTGCGTCATATCCTTGGCGTGGAGGAATATAGGCGTATGGAGGATCTGAAGCAGCAGACCGTGCTGCAAATGGTTGAGAGCGGGATAGATGAGGAGCCTTTGGATGCTCTTTTGAAAAGTATTGCGGCATTGGTTGACTCTCCCTTGCAGGCCGCTGTGAGCTGGCGGATCCTTGAGGTTCATAAAGAGTCGGTGACTCAAGGGTGGTATCTCGATACATTCCTGGTCCACTTCCACGTCTCGACTCATCACGATTCCCAGGCAATTGGGCACCGCTAGGATGCATATACGATGTTTCTGATGGTGCATCGCTCTTATGCACTCCCGAGTGATCTTGCCCTGGGGGACGGCAGAACGTCGTATCTATCGCCATTGACACTGATTCAGGCAGCTGGCTTGGTGCACCATGCCTACTTTGTGCAGGTGCTCCACGGTATTTCATAGAAACATCTTGCCTAATAGAGGGCGGACTGGAAAGACCTCTCTCCTGCATCATAGGAGTAGAATCCTGCGGGCGCATGCGATAATCGTCCATTTGTTGGTCTGTACGTACACCACTACCATCCGGTCCTGTATTCGAGTCAATATGAGAAGGGTCTTCTGTAATTCTAATATTGGAAACACGACGACGTACGAATGGGCCATCATCAGAATATACTTGGTGCTGTTGTGGGATTGATCTCTGTTCTTCGGCTGAACCTGATACTGTCTGATACTCTAGATTATCTGGCGCACGGCTTCTCCAAAGCGCGCCACTTCTGTTACTCTGGCTGGACCGACGTTCGGGATCATGACTGTGTATGATTTCTTTTGATCGAGTTGGCGTTGCTTCATCTATGGTTTCAGGTATATCAAGCGTTAAAGACGATCAGCACGAAATAAAATAATAATAATAAGCTATATACTTTTGCAATGCACTGACCTCGTTTTGAATCATTGTCTCGTGTTCCTGAAGTTCTACGTTTGGATATAGTTCGTGTATCAGATATTATTGAGTCTTCTTCATCCTGTGACTCGGTTCGGTCGATCTGTTCCCGCTGCTGCATGTCCGTAGGACTTTGAGATGTTGGGCCGGTCAGATACTCGCCTCTGCTTCGCCTGTACGAAGTAAATAGTTCTAGTGAGTTTGGTAATTAAGAAACTCTTGAGTGACAAGACAATTCAGTACATAGTAAACATACTTTTTGGGTCTAACTTCCTTCCGTATCCGGATTTTGAGCCCTTGCTCCGCAAAGTACTGTGATAGCTGTGTTGATTCTATTGGGTATAAAAACAAAAAAGGTAATGATGATAGTAAGAGTGAGGAACTGTTAAAAAAAAAAAAAAAAAAAAAAAAAAAAAAACAGACTGGGCGAATTTACGGTATTACCTTCCATGCCAGGAAATTTTTTCGCAGAGTACACGACGAGCGGCTCTGAGATGACATATGCACAAAAGTGGACGTCTTTTCTATAGAGCATATATTAGAAAGGGGGAGCGGGGGAAGATGAATAAAGATGGAACTGGAGCGACATCAATTTTGATAGCCATATCAACAGTAGTATTAAAAAGCCTTACCCAACCATTTCATATAGACAAAACTTGAGACGATAGGTGCCCTCCATTCGCACGGATAAGTCCGGAAAAACAAAGAAACCAGATTCTGTACCATTGTCTTCGAAGTCTTTCAACGGGTAAAGTGAAGAGACAGAAGACCCTGTAGTAGCTTTGGTCCTGTTGTCTTTGAACAGGTGCATGTCCTCTTTTGAACGCGTATCCTTGATCAACAGTACATCCTCACGCGTATCTTTCTCCACCAACGAGGCATGCATAAAATAATAAGGATTTTGCAGGTATGACGTGAAGCCGCCATTACTGTGAAACAGTGGGAATCATGAGAGCAAGATATTAGTATGTCTATTAAGCACCATCGCCCAAAATGATCAATGACTCTAAACTGACTTTTACCAAAGTACCAACAAATTTTATCAGACGAGGGCTTCGTCCTTGATAAACTGTGTATCTTTGGTTTGCAATTACAGACTACATCAGCCTTGTAAAAAGGCTGATACCCATTTTTGCTTTTTTACTTTTTAAACATACCTCTTGTTGCCCCCACTTGTCGGAGGCGCTTTGACGATAAGTTGTACAATTGGAGGCGGGTCGATTGGCCTTCGATCGGCTGTATTTTGTGGTATTTCAGATCGACCATAATACATTCAGGAATTGAGCATCATCAGACCAGGGATAGGGAGGCAGATGCAGACAGAATATTGTGGTTTAGAAGAGAGCAATTAAGCAGAATCATTCAAAGCACATATAGGATGTGGACAAGAGCTTTTTTTTTATGTTGTCAAGGACAGAGAGGGCCGTGTGCAAAATTGGGATGGGTAAAACATCAAATAAGAGAGAGTTCAGGTTGACAACAAACGCCTACAGTTACAGGTTACAAAAGGAAGAGATGGGGGAAGAGCGCAAAAACCAAAAAACCAAAATCACGAAACATCTTTCGAAAATCCTCCGCTCTCAACAATTACAGTAAATAAAAAAAACTCAATTGATGAAATGATGTCTTTCCCTCACCCAGCGTTTCGGCACGAGGGATGATACATTGAGTGGTTTTTTTTTTTTTTTTTTTTAAAAAAAAAAAAAAAAAGTCCAAATCCCGGGCCAAGCATTCAAGTATTTATAATATAACACATTGAACAACAGATGCAGTCATTTTTAGAAGTATTTGGATGAATGACATCATGCGCATCCTGTTTATCTCTCAATACCCTTATCCCTATTCCCTTTTTCTTTTTTCTTTTGTAAAAAGGATAAAAAAAAAGGAGTAGAGAGATCGACGCATTTTGCTCCTGCTGAGAGGAGGTCACCAAAGTTAATGGGAGGGAAACAACCGACACCCGAGCTCAAAAAAGGCATTTGTCGCTTGTAATCTGAAGATCTGTGAGCATTTTATCGTACAATAGAGTAAATACAATCCTTGGGAACCGAAAGAAACAAAGATGGTGAATGTGTCTGTTTGTTACCCGCTGAACAAGTAGACTGTATACGGTTACGCGTGGTAAATGAAAAAGTAAAACCCAAATTCTATGCTGTCCTAGAAGCACAAACGGATGTGTTGCAATGTGAATGTTTGTGAACCCGATTTAATGGATGCGAGTGAGTCGGAAAGTGGGAAAGAGAGCGTGAGAGAGAACTTGGCGGGACATGCTATAAGTTTATCTGAAGTGTGACCAGTTCTTTCTCTCTTTAATTCCCCCAGAAAAAAAGTGTAAAGGAATCAAATAGCTCTTCATGTCTCGGTCATCCGACGAGTCATTTACAAATCCAATGTGGCCGATCATCACCATCTATATTGTCCTTTATATAACAATAGACTTGCCTTTTTCCCCTACACCGCACATGCGCGATTGCTTGGGTTGCTGTCGAAGGATCAATTCATAGGTGCTGAATATGTTGAACGAAAAAAAGAAAAATTAATTAAAAAAAAAAAAAAAAAAAAAAAAAAACATTTACTAGTTAGAAAGGTTGACAATTGAAACAAGTCATTGGGCACCATTAAAGAATAAAGAGAAAAAAAAAAAAAAAAAAAAAAAAAAGAGGCGAAGACATGCTTCATTATTTTTTCTTTTTTTCTTTTTTTCTTTTAATAGTACACAGCAATTGCCCTTACACGTTAGCACGTTGCTCAGGAAGCACCCGCTGACAGACAGGGGCAAACTGGTAGGAAGGAAGATCATCCGACGCAGGCATGGATCGGAAAATGATCAATTCAATTGGATGGAAAAGGCTCTAAATGGACTCCAACTGGTGATGGGTAATGGAAATGGTTTAATGCGAAGTGTGATCTGAGCGCAAAAGGCGGTCTTGGAAGGAGCGCGAGACCTTGGTAAAGCAAAAAAAAAAAAAAAAAAAAAAAAAAAAAAAGAGAGAGAGAGAGAGAGAGAGTGAATGATGTTAAGATAGAGAGTGAAAGAAAGCAAGAGCGAATGTGGGAGTGAAAGTGAATGAGGATACGATGGCACAAGAGCGAAGGTAGATGAGAAGAATGAGAGGAACAAAGAAAAAGAAAAAAGCGAGGAAATGAAAAAGAGCACTTTGGAGTAGTTGGATAGCAGGATGGTACGAAGGATACGTGGGATGGCGGTTGCGTTCCCTGTGGAGACAATCCTCTTGATTGGAAAGTAAAATGTGAAGAGTAGAAAGTGGAGAGTGAAAGGGTCAATGCGAACACAAAGAAAGAGAGAACGAGAGAAGAAGAGAGAAATATAAAAAAAAAGCAAATCATTTTTGGAACCAGGAGAGTGGTGCAACAGCACTCCAAAAGGTAAAACATTCACACCTCTGTCTCTTCGTATCTTTGGCTCTCTCTCTCCTCTGGAGTCGAAAGAAGTACAAGGGCATCGCACCGTGCATCATCGTATCTCGTTTGCAGACACACAAAAGTAAAAGAAAATCCTGCACATCAGTTGAAATTCAAACCATGCATAAACTTGAATCCATGTTTGTGTACAGTGACCCCAGTTCTTGGGAGATTCTTTTTTTTTTTTTTTTTTTTTAGTTCACTTCTCTCTCCTTTTCAATGCTTTTACAATTGCAAGTGAAGTGCCAAGACGAATAGGGGGGAGACATTATTGCATTGTTATGTGGTTACAAACCAAGATAGAAAAATAGACTACGTGTTTGCACAACCTGTCTTTCCCAGAAAGCATAATGTAATGCAACAAAAGGAATCCGTTCATGCTTTTCATAAGGGTTATACAGCACCACATTGTTTCAAATATCTGTCAATCTTCATCCACTTCACTGGAGAATGAAAGAGAGAGGGAGAGCAATTAATGAAAAGAGCAGGAGCAACTGTGCTGTATTAAAATCATTCTGTTAAAAAATATATAAAATATATAAAATAAAAAGGGGGGCAGTGAATTTTAGGGGGCTACAAGAAAAAAAAAAAAAAAAAAAAAAAAAGAGCCATGTAGCTACCTCTTTTCTTTTGCAACAAGGCCAACCTATAGGTATATCTTCATGACGCATGCACTCATCGATGATAAAGAAGATTGGATAGCATCAACATTGCTTAGGATCAAGCTGAACTGAACAATAATATCCACTGAGCTTAATTTTCGAACCATCATGATTTATGCACGCTTTTTTTATTTTTATTTTTTATTTTTTTAAACCGAAATCTTCAGAGTGAACGATATCTACTTCATGTCATTACGACATTCGGAGAAAAAGAAAGCCAAACTAGTGATAATATAATGGTAATACAGCTGGAGCCCTATAGAGATGAAGGTAGTCCATACTAATGGCAATGGGTAGATCTGCAAAGGAAAAAAAAAAAAATAAATAAAAAAAATAAAAGAGCCGTTGTTTTCGTCACATCTTTATTTCTTATTTTATTCCGTTGTGCTGGGTTCTGTTCCCTTTGTTGGTAATGCAGCCCGAGATCTCGGGGTCCGAATCATTTTGCTTTGTGTCTCTTACACAGACACACCACGCTCACTTTCTACACAAACATACATGCAGACGATACACATGTCTCCATCTCTCTCCTCCGTCCTTCCTTTTCTCTTTTCTTTTTTTTTTTTTTTTTTTTTTTACGAGGCGATGTTGGTGTAGAGCCAGTAAAGTATCAATGCTCATTAGATTTACTGGAGAATCAGAGAGTGTAAAGCGATGATGTTCATTCTATTTTAATAATCATTAACTTTCTATACGAGCTACGTTGGCCGATGCTTCTTCAAGAGACTTCGCTTTCGTGCAATCGTAAGTGGAGCTGTGGACTTCTCCTCCCCTTCTAAATTAGGCCTTCTACTCATCGTCGGAAGTGTATCGTTTACATTGAATCTCCGTGACGATGTGTCCCAACACTTTACGTTATTATTCTCATCATTTTCTTTCGCCCTGGTATGAGCAGCATCGATCTCTTTATCTTTGCCCTTGCCCTTAGCCTTGTCCTTGCCCTTAGTATTGCCCTTATCCTTAGTTTCCTCTGTTTCGAGGTACTCACTTCGCATTCTACCCTTGTCCTTGCTATTTTCATTAGTCTTACCCTCAACAACACGATCATCTATATCGGAATTACAAGGCTGTGAGCTTTCGTTCAATGAGGGAGCTAAACAGTTCCGTTCGAGAGATGACAGAACTGGATGAAGAGGACCTTGGCTCCGCTTGTTGCTAACAGAGCAATGCGAAGATGACGATGGTGGCAATGTCTTTGGAACTACTCTAGGAGATAGTTTTTCGTTCAACGAAATCTCCTGTGGCTCAATATTTGAAGGGCTTTTATATGTTAATGAGGTGGTAGTGGTATTAGGCTGGGGTATACTGCTGAAGCATCCTTCCATTGCTAAGCTACTGTTCAATGGTGTCTCCAAAGATGTTGGCAATGGATTGAGAGTACGGTTCATCGGAGCATTTCCTGCGGGGATTCTGATGATCCCCTTCTTTGTATGTTTCTGCCGTTGCCTAGACTCCGCCAGCATGCTTCGAATCGATTTTCCGGCCGTCTTAACAATTCCGCTGCCCTTATATTTCTTATTAACAACAACGGGTTTTTCTTCAGGATCTGATTGAGAGCTTGATATGAGGCCCGGACCATTACTCTCGACTATTCCAAGGTTCCTCTTCTGAATCTTGTCTGCGTTCGAAGGTACCTGCACGGTAGAAACGATGTCTTCAAATAATGGGTATATAGTGTCTCGTGGGGCCTCTTCCTGACTCAAAAGCATATCCTTGGTGCTATTAGGAGGAATTGTCTGAGAACTAAGGCCAGGTGAGGGTAACTTGTCAAGGTTCATTGCATCCTGTCTGCCACTCATCATAGATGAAGTATTTGATAAAGTGCAGTTATCAGGGGACTCTGTTGAGTCTTCAGATGCTTTTATGGATATCGCCGCCGATGTCATTTGGGCCTCATCAATCTTCGAAATATCACTGAGTTCAGCGGTGGTATTTTCCAAGTTAGACATAGATATCACATTTCTCCGTGCTTTCAAACTTGGCTTTCTGAGTATAGGCTTCAATGTCGTCTTTTTCACCATAGCACTTGGATGAGGCACAAGACAAAGAGATGCGGCTGGAGCATTTGTTATTTGAGAACTAGATATGGTCGATACAAATGAGTTGGGGTTGCTGCCAGATGGTAATGAATCGGTAGAGTCTGAGTAAATAAGCTGACTAGGCATTGACAATGACGAGCTTGCCTCTGTCTCCAGAGACTTGATCTCTGGCAGCAATGTAGTTGGGTCTGAAATCCCTGTTGCATATCGCCTCGTGTATTCCCGCGCTTTGTGGATGAACAACTCCTTGTTTTCCTTAAACTCACTCGCCTACAATTGTATACAAATGAATGGAGTCGTATGTTAAATGTACATCTGACATAAGTGTATTCATCAAAGAGAGGACATTTTGTCTGTATTTTTTTTTCCCCTTCACCGAGGAAATAAAGTCCTGGGACGTACAATGTCCGCTAGCAAAGGGTCATCCGGATTAGGGTCTCCAAGTAGAACTACTAAAGAGGTTAGCATAGTTGGGATACTGATGGCGGGGCCCCATTTGCCTTTGGGTGGACTTTTGAGGATATCAAGGCAGATACGCCCCTCATCGTCAATATTAGGATGATAGACCTTAGTCAAGAACTGACAACGAGGCGGTTCCAGGGGGTATCTACAGTGGCATTAAAGTAGACAGTTGAGTTCCATTGTCAACGCGATCTCCTGTTGAATTATATTCACTTGCTATGTTTCTTACTTCTCAGGAATATGAATGTCGAGCTTAAAAGTGCCGTCAGCATAGGGCGTATCCTTTGGGCCTCTAATTTCTGTTGAGAAAAGCAGCGGCCAGACAAGAGTCATCCATGGCGTTAACGAGCTGGGTTTTACGCGAAGTTTGTTTTAATAGTGTACATTGTAAGCTGTCCAGGGCATACCCGCTTGTAGATGCATAATGTTGTCGTCCAAAGGATAACAGATGACGCCCTCTGGAGGCGAGCGTTCCAAATCTCGAAGTTCTTTTCTCATGCGAATCAAAATCCGCTTTTCTACGATTCCTGACATGCTTGTTTCTTAGTGCAATCGATTCTCAATATCATGGCATGGTTAAACATATCAAAATGTTCTTATTGGTGGCGTGGCTTCCGTGACTGTATATGTATATCAATCAGACCAATACATTTTTATTCGATAATTGTAAAAAAAAAACTAAAAAGCTGAGCTGGTCGTCTATTTCTTTTCCTCGGTTTTGCCAGCCTCCTTAGACTCATCCTCAAATTCAATCAAAAGCTCTTCACCCGCAACAGAGTCGCCAGGTTTGACCAGGACGCTCTTGACTTTACCAGCACGCACTGAACGCAGTACGTTAGCCATCTTCATGGCCTCAATGGTTGCAACAGCTGTGCCTTCAGCAACCACATCACCAACCTTGACATCAACAGAAACAACTGACCCAGGCATGGGCGAGAGAATCATGTTGGTGGTTGAGGCCTTCTCCTTAATGGGCATGTATTTCGAAAGTGCATGTTGTGCAGGGGTATTGATCGTGATGTCAAACTTTGTTCCCAAGTGTTGAACACGGAAACCAAGGGGAAGTGCGTCCAAATACTGGACAGTGACTTCCTCACCATTATCAAACTTGTTAGTAATCAAGGGAGATTCCAATGGCCAGCGAGCTGAGGTTTTGAATGGAGCCATGCCAGGGGTGTGGATTTCAAACTCATCCTCGCCATTGGCGCCCTTTCCGAGCTTCTCAATCTTAACAGGCATCTTCTCATCCACACCTTGAACTCCAATGAAAAGCTCCCAGCTGTGAGGCGCTATTCCTTGAAGATCTCCTTTCAAGAGAGCTTCGCGTCCATGACCCCATGCCCAGTTACGAAGTTCGCGTTTGGCATGCATCAAACCGGCCAAGGAAACAAGCTGGGCAAGGGAAGTGGGGTTGGGTACATGGCCCTTAAAACCAGTAGGATATTCCTCAGCCAAAAACTTTGTCGAGTACTTGCCGGAAGCGAAACGGTCATGGGAGACAACCTCACGAAGCAAAGGGATGTTGTGGGTGACGCCCTTGATCACATACGAATCAAGCGCACGCTTCATATTCTCAATGGCTTCTTCGCGGGTAGCACCATGGGTACAGAGCTTACAAATCATAGGGTCATAGTAAATGCTGATCTCGGACCCTTCGACAATACCAGAGTCACAACGCACTTCATTCTGGCCCTTAGTTGAAGTAGGTTCGATATATTTGGACAGACGACCGATGGAAGGCAAGTATTTTTCAGGATCTTCGGCGTAGACACGAGATTCAATGGCCCATCCATTGATCTTAATATCCTCCTGCTTAGCGATCAACTTCTGGTTGGCAGCAACACGGATCATTTGCTCAACTAGATCCATACCAGTGATATATTCTGTAATTGGGTGCTCGACTTGAAGACGGGTATTCATCTCCAAGAAGTAGAAGTTGCGAGCAGAGTCGACCAAAAACTCAACCGTTCCAGCAGAGGAGTATTTGACATGCTTGGCAAGCATCACAGCTTGTTCACCCATGGCCTTACGAGTCTTTTCGTCAATGTGAGTTGAGGGAGCTTCCTCAATTACTTTTTGATTTCTTCGCTGAATAGAACACTCGCGCTCAGGCAAATAGAGCTAAATGAATGCAGGTATGAAAAACAGATTACGCTTAGATGCATAAGACAATTTTTTTTTTTTTTTTTTTTTTTTTTTTTTTGGATGACATTGGCAATAAAAAGGGACATGCTATCAGCTCGTGTGGGGGGCTTGGAGCCTTAATGCACCACTTACAGTGTTGCCATGCTTGTCTGAAATGATTTGGATCTCGATATGGCGAGGATTATCGATGAACTTTTCGATCAATAGACGATCATCACCGAAAGAAGCCAAAGACTCGGTCTTGGCAATTTTGTAGCCATCTCTAACTTCGTCATCATTCCAGGCAATACGCATTCCTTTTCCTCCGCCTCCAGCAGAGGCCTTGAGCATGACAGGGTAACCAATCTCTCTGGCTAGAGGAATAAATAGATTAATAAAAAGTATTTTGTGTAGATGCTTAAAAAAATTCCCACGAGTATTTCATACTTTATAGTACTTACAGATCTCGAGGGCATGGTCAACATCACGAACAACGCCATTGAAACCAGGAATGATGTTAACCTTGGACTCTTTGGCAATGATCTTACTCTGAATCTTATCTCCCATTGCCGCCATTGCCTCTTGTGAAGGTCCAATGAAGGTGACACCAGCCTCATCCAAGGCCTTGACAAAGGCTGCGTTCTCAGACAGGAAACCGTAGCCTAGTTAAATATGGAAGATGCATGGACATGTGTTAGATATCCGAATCTGCAATTTGTGTTCCAGACAAGCACATGTGCATTGTGGTGCCATACCAGGGTGTACGGCCTGGGCGCCAGTGTCCTTGATGGCCTTAATAATGTTTGGGATATTAAGATAACTCTGCGAGGTAGGCGCGGGCCCCTATCAATGTCAGCAGTTTGGAAAGTAAAGAAACAGAGTCAGAATTATAATCTTATAGGTGGGGGAGTTTAAGTAATGATTCTTGACCAGTGCACCAGGCCATCATGCCGGACCAAGATTTTTTGACACTTTAGCAAGCAGCTTAAAAAATGAAATCACTTTGAATGATCCATTTGCTGTTGATACAAGTGGTCACTTTCTCATCTCCTATCCTTGTTGGAAAGCAGAGATGATTGCAAAAAAAAAAAAAAAAAAAAAAAAAAAAAAATGGAAATAAAGAATGATTTAACTCATACCACGTTGACAGCCTCGTCTGCAAGCTGAACATGCAAGCTGTTGACATCAGCATCGGAATGAATGGCAACAGTCTTGATGCCCATCTTCTTTGCAGTCCTAATGACACGGCATGCAATCTCTCCTCTGTTGGCGATCAGAATCTTGTCGAATGTCTATTTAGTTTTAGGAGTTGTTTCAAGGTGGTTAACAATTAGAAAAGAAAATTAATACAGAACAAGTGACCGAGATCACACATAATACAAGATTCTGATCGTTGTGAGAAATGACGTTTTACCTTTCCATATTGCGAGTAGTCATTTGAAGCTTGTAGCTGTTGTGATGGTGCTGCTGAGGCAGCACGAGGGATGCCAGAGTGAAAGAGGCGCTGACGGGTGGCAGTGAGTGAGCAGACCCATCGACCAGTGGAACGCGGAATGGCCGCGGCGAGCGAGAGGGACATTATATTAATGAGATGAGGATGGAGCGATGCAGTCGTCTAAAGATGAACGCGATGAAATGAAGGAGCGACAGCGCGTCAGAATGAATCAGAGAGCAAGGGAAGAGAGGAGAGAAAGACAGAATAAGAAAGAGTGGAATACAAAAAAAAAATAAAAAAATAAAAAATAAAAAAAAAAGTGAAAAGACAGGGGAGGAATTGAGTTGTCCTCTCCACCACTGCCCGGTCACTGAAAAACTGGAGTAGATCAAGACCCTGTCCTTTAGTTTCCACTTGCGCAAAAAGAGGCCCTTTCACTTTGTCATGCCTACTTCTTTCAGGAGCTACTACCGCCTGCCACATGTTATGTCATTTGTGTTTTTAGTGGAGTAAGATGGAGCTGGTTCAACAAAACCTTTTAGTTATTTCTTTCTTTATATATTTTTTACGACTTTTAATTACGGTTGTTTCCATTAGTGAAACATGGCATCCCACCGGTCAATGACCTGAATCTTGATCCCTATACCCGCAGAAGTCAAAGTATTTACTTTTAAAGATCTCTCAGCTTTACGGCTCGTCTCGTCTCGTCTCGCTTCTTAGTGGAAGCAAAATCAGCTTAATCTGTCCGCGTTCAAACTCAGCGACCGAAGTGAGTGACCGTGGGAAATTTTAAGACTTGCGTGGAAAAAAAAGATTCTCACCCATACATCTTTTTCATGCTAAAGTCAGAGAAACCCGATTCATTTATGAAAAAGTGTGAGAAAAAAAAATAAACGGCAAGGAACAAGGACCATGAGGAATAGAGAAGGGATATGATAAAATCATTAGTTCATGCTACTCACTATACACAACTCTTACATTACCTAGAAAAACACTGATAAAATGAAGGAATTGTGAACAGTAGAAGGGAATGTAGATGGTCCTTTACAGGCACCGTTTAGAAGCCGATCAGCAATAGACTCTGTTTGCTGTTATCATGTGGACTCTTTAGACAAATGCAGATTAACAACAGTGAGAAAGCATTAGGATAGAGCATTATTGACATGATTGTGAGTGTATTGAATACACGTTAAAGAAGACGAATCGAGTACGAATTTTTTTTTTTTTTTTCTCCTTCCGACGCTTTTTTTTTTTCCTCCCCTCATTCCTTCTCATCTCTTTCTTTACCTCTTCTCTATACGCATTCATCGCGATCATCTCCCCTCTTCCTCTCTTTCTATTTTATTCTTCTTTCTTCCTCTCCTCATCACTCTTTTATTTGAATCTGCAACTCCAAAGCCATACGCGTCACTGACAAGATCACGCTATGCTTCCTCGTCTGTCGACCGTCATTGCCTCTAGGGCCGCTATGGCCTCGGCTACCCGTCGCTCTCTTCCAGCCTTCGCCAGCGTCGCTCGCCATTACGCCGTTGGAAAAACAGCATTATCCGCAGAGAATGTAATTCCAGGATTTTGAAATGCTCCTCTTTGAAATTTCATTTCATGAAAACCAATCAACAATTTCTAACTACTTCTACCGTATCTCTGTAATCATGCTCATTCTACAGGATGTAGTCGCCAAGATTGACGCAAAACGTCAGGAATCACTCTTAGGAGGTGGTTTGAAGAGGATCGAGACTCAACACAAGAAGGCGCGTTTTTTTTTTTTTTTTTTTGTTTTTTTTTAAGATTCATTCTACTTTATACAAACCTGTCACTCGACATGAAGTTTTAGCTGATCAGTCGCGCTGACAATTTATTTGATAATGTTATTTTTCTCTCAACAGGGCAAGTTGACTGCACGCGAACGTATTGAGCTCCTATTAGATGCAGGATCTTTCCGTGAATACGATGCCTTTGTGGAGCACAACTGTGTTGACTTTGGCATGGAAAAGCAAAAGGTACAAGCAATTGACGATTCATCCCAAGCTTATTTCAACCAGGAGAGTATATTCTTATTAATCCATTAACTCTTCCTATATCAATCTATGCAAAAAAAAAAAAAAAAAAAGATTACTGGTGATGGTGTAGTCACTGGTCACGGAACCATCAATGGCCGTCGTGTCTTCCTTTTCTCCCAGGACTTCACCGCCTTTGGTGGATCATTGTCCAATACTCATGCGCAGAAGATAGTCAAAGTCATGGACAAGGCCCTCCTCGTCGGTGCTCCCGTCATTGGTTTGAACGACTCTGGTGGAGCTCGTATCCAGGAAGGTGTCGAGTCCCTTGCTGGCTACGCTGATATTTTCTTGGTAAGAGCATCATAATTTGCTCTTCGCGCCCGATTATTGAACCAGAAGGCACATATCAAACTTAACCACTACAAGTCGGTGAATTAACAGATGACAATGATATTTACTATGTTTCGAATCAATCAAAATGCTGTCTAGAAAAACGTGACGTCCTCAGGTGTTGTTCCTCAAATCTCACTTATCATGGGCCCATGTGCTGGAGGTGCCGTTTATTCACCTGCCTTGACCGACTTTACGTTTATGGTTCGTGACACCTCATACCTTTTCGTCACAGGGCCCGATGTCGTAAAGACAGTCACTAAGGAGGAAGTTACTCAAGAGGAACTCGGAGGCGCCAAGGCACACACCGTCAAATCTGGAGTTGCCCATGCCGCCTTTGAGAATGACATTGAGGCTCTACAGCGTCTTCGCGACTTTGTTGACTTTTTACCTTTGTCTAACCGCGAGCCTGCTCCTGTTCGCTACACAGACGATCCCTCAGACCGTGAGGATGCTTCGTTGAACCATATCGTGCCTGTCGACTCAACCAAAGCCTATGACATCAAAGATGTCATCACCCGCCTTGTAGACGACTCTCATTTCTTTGAAATCATGCCTGATTATGCCAAAAACATTGTCATTGGTTTCGCTAGAATGGGCGGCCGTACTGTGTCAATCATTGCTAATCAGCCATTGGTATCTTCTGGAGTACTCGACATCAATTCATCAGTCAAGGCTGCCCGTTTCGTTCGCTTTGCGGATGCATTCAATATCCCCATTTTGACCTTGGTTGATGTACCCGGTTTCTTGCCCGGAACTGCTCAGGAGCATAATGGAATCATTCGCCATGGAGCTAAGCTTCTGTACGCTTACGCCGAAGCAACTGTGCCAAAAGTCACTGTTATCACACGAAAGGCATATGGAGGTGCTTATGATGTCATGAGCTCTAAGCACCTTCGTGGAGACCTAAACTACGCCTGGCCAACCGCTGAGATTGCTGTCATGGGGTAGGAAAAAAAAAAAAAAAAAAAAAAAACAATAACGGTGCATGCCATTCATAGTTTCTTTGGTGTATTCTATTTTTGACATGCGGCTGAATAACGTACCTGAAATATCTTTTGTTGACCATGAACTTTTTTTGTATCATAAAAAGAGCCAAAGGTGCTGTGGAGATTATCTTCCGATCGAGTGCTGACCGCGCCTCGGCTGAGAAAGACTATATCAGCAAGTTCGCCAACCCCTTGCCAGCAGCGCAGCGTGGATATGTTGATGACGTGATTGAGCCCTCAACAACCCGCCGCAGGATTATTGAGGATCTTGAAATGTTGCGTGACAAGAAGTTGGAGAACCCAAAACGCAAGCACGGCAACATCCCGTTGTAAAAAAAAAAAAAAAAATGAGGCTGCGCCTTATTACTGATGAAACGGAAAGGAATCGAACGAGATTTTGTTGACGTGCCTTGATAGTTTTCAATCCTCTTAGATATATTCCTATTAAATATCTATATTTAATAGTCATGCGTAATATTAAATTTTTTATAACTGATAGTCATGCGTAAAAGCGACTGTCCAACTGCTTTAATGTAACTGTGTCATGAGGGTGCTGTGTACATGTCTTGTCCGGTAGGGGTGACGCGACTGGAAAGTTAGGATCTCCTCCACAACGCTCAAGCAAGAATTCTCCAGCAATGACTCGATGCAATAATATTTTACAAATGAGTTCAGTATCTTGAACATGTACTTTGGAGTCCATTTGTCCGCATAAACACACAAAAATAATACTTCCATGTTAGGCCCCAAGCCTATCGGGATAGAGGCGAGGAGTAAAAAAAAGGTTTTTAATGCCCCTATTTTTTATGTTCTTTATGCTACATTTGTGCAATCCATGCTGTACATGCGGGTTGTCTAAAGCAACAACGAAACGTGCTATAGCTGTCATTCCATCCTGATGAACCAAAGAAAAAAAAGTCCGCTCTGCGTCGCAACATTTCAATGCAACAATATGTAAGCAGAGAATAGAGAACGATCGACATTTTTATTGCCAAACTCCCCCTATTGAAATTAGTGTTCTAGAAACGCCTTCACTCCCCCTTCTCCCTTTCTTTCCCACCTCCTATCGTCCTGTTCCCCGTCCAGAAAGGCTTTTTAGTTATTTGTATGTTGCATAACGGCCACAGCTCAAAAGGTCGATAGTCAAGCTTTGGTTCTTGACTTCTGTCGATTGTCGGTTTACAAGTCATTGATATAACGTCAGGATGAAGCTGATCAGGAAGTGATGGGCAATCTATTCCGAGTGTATGCGCAGACATGCGACATGGTTGCATCATGACTCTTCATGACCGAATGAAGCTTTTTTTTTATTTCTTTTGTGTTTGTTTAAATGTTCCTGAACTTAACTTGGCATTGCTGTTGTTGTTGTTGTCATTGCAATGCAAAAATAAAAAAAGGTCATGAGATCATTCTTCTCAGGGGGAAATAGAGATCACTCTCCTGCTCAGGCAAGTCAGCCCATTGTACTGTATTCATGCCCCTCATTACATGCATACAACACAGGAACATTAAAATATTTTTATGTTTACATGTTTATGTGACAAAAACATCATTCGCAGACAGCGTGAAGACGATTGAGTGAATACAAGTCTGAGCATGTAGTCATTGTGTCCAGGAACACAACGCGAAACACGCAGCATCATTGCTTCCCTTTTCCTCCACACACTGACTGATCTACAAACCAAAAAAAGGAACGAGGGGAAATGAGACAGATGACAAGGACACATGGTCCATGCCAAACACATCTTTTCTTCTTTCTTCTTCCTTCTCTTCTTTCCTTCTCTTCTTTTCTTTCTTTCTTTTTTATCACTTCTATTTTCTACCTCCTCTGCTCTTTCTAACTCTCACTTTGTTCTGCTGCCCTCTTTTTCTTTTTCTTTTTTTCTCTCCCTTTTCCCAACTCTTTTATTCGCATACCATCAATAGCCATAACTAAGAACACAACAGCAACTACCTCATCAACATCAACATAGACGAATTTCCCTCTTCCTCTGCATGCTTCCCTCTCCTTGACCTACTGTCATCTCTCCTGTCGCCTTGACCTACTTCACAAACCCACCGACGCTTATCAGATAGGATAGCCAGCTAATAGTCTCCTAACCTCCAGATCCTCCCCTTCCTCAAATATCGTCAGCCTCTGTGTCTTCATCATTCTGTCATCATCTACTTTTCTACAATTCCCCCTGTACTCGCTGATCCCATCCTTCTCCTATTCATATTCTGTCCACCTGCCACTCGCTTCTCTTTTATTATATCATAACCATTATCATTGACTCCCTGTATTTCCCTCACTCCTCCCCTCGACTTGACTCTGACCCCTAACATATATTTTCACGTCCTGGCGCGTGGTGTCTTGCATTTTTATCCTGCCAACTCTCATTGGGCACGCGTGGATTCTAGTCTTTCTCAACCTTTTATTACCCTACTTTTGAAAACAGTAAACATCCTGCGTCTGAGCAGCATTTGACCATGCCCTCGAACGGCGCTATCAGCTCGGTAAGCTCTTGCTCATATACTCACAAACAAAAAAAAAAAAAAAAAAAAAAAAAGTACTTGGTATTCCCCTTCGTTTCCTCCACCTTTCTGCATATCAGCAATATACTGCTAATTGTAAGGCGGTTGAACATGGCTTCACGTTCTTTACTCGCTTGCCTTTCCTTCTTATTCACAGTTGTGTTTGGGCTCCTTTCTTTTCTATACTCCCCCATCCTCCTTTTTTTTTTTTTACCTTTGGTTGCATTCTCGTTCTCTACCATTTACTGGCTTGCTATTATTGGTTCTTGCTTTAGAAGGGAAACGATAGTCTAAAGAAAGAATCAGCACGATCATTCACAAAAGAACATCACACATAGTGAAAAAGAAATAGTTTTAAGGGTTCTGATCTGCTCTAACGGGGATCAGAAAAAATATGAAAATGTAACTTCGCTCTATGGGAGCAGGTACGCGATGGTGTTCCTAATGGAGCAAATGCGAGGCACGGATCATAAGTAGAGAGTTTTTTATCCTTTGCCACCTTGCCTCTCGTCTATTGCTGCCCCAGTTTTTGACAGTTTAGTAAAAAACTTCGATCCTGACATGTCAATATCTGTATTGACTACTCAGGCTTCTTACAATCTCATTGATCCCGTTGAACTCGATCCTATCCTCTCATATTTATACAACATTGTGGTTCAAGACTCGGTATTCCCATTCGTTATTTTATTGTAATATCACCTTCGGTGTCAGTGCCTTCGCCTATTTATTTCACACGTTGTGCGCATGTATTTGATGTGTCTGCTGTGCGTTCAGATGCACCTTGTGTAGAGTCAGCGTCATGGTTTTCAACTGAGTCTTTTCTCCTGCTTCTTCTGACACATTGCCTCTTCTTCTCTCTCCTATTTTATCTCCGTCCTTGGCTCTGTCAACCGGATCTTCGCCAATGTTGTCAACATTCGTGATATCAACCACATCATCTCGTATTTCATTCCAACGACGCCGCCTCCGTTTACCGCCTTCGTCTGCTCACCGTCCTTTGCCACATCATTGGATGTATCCATCTACGACCACGGGCCTATTCTCACCCGTGCCTATGTCTACGAATTCGATACCATTAATGGACATGACTCATGCTTCCGACTCTGATCTCTGCATGTATCATATACTCTCACCAATCACCGACATGTCTCGCTTTCGGTTATGTGCTTACCACCAATGGTTCAAAAATCAAAGCTCGTCTTCGCGTCGGGTGCGGTCAGCGCAGCAACGGCCTTAGGCCATGTCTTTGGAAAACCTCTGTTAGCCAAAGACACAATCCCATGTTCACCTTTGATTTGTGATCAGGTCCATAAGGAGCTGTCACATTCACAAATCCAGCAGGCGCAATCACCATCCCATAGATTTCAACAGCAGTGCTCCGTTCACAAGAAATTTCGTCTCTTTCGGCAACGACCACGGAAATGTCCTGTGCACTCGCTATCCTTGGCTCCAAGTTACATCCTTCCACCAACCTCGGTTCATCCACTAGTAGTTCATCCAGACAAGATTTTATTAGATCGCCATGACGAGGCCCCAACAACGTCACCATGGAAAACATCACTGACATCCCCTACATCGTCTCGACTTTCGTTGTATTCAACCCTATCATTATCGCTCTCCACATCCTCGTTTCATCATGGATCAGATGGTGAGAGCAGCAACAACAGCACATTCCAATCCTTCTCAAAAAAGAAAAAGAAGAATTTGAAAAAAGAACAACAGCAGCAGCACCTCCGATGCCTATGCTATCTCGAGGCCATGCTTGAACAGCCCGAATCTCCGCAACAGGCCAAGGCTCATTCAAAGCCACTGCTATCCTCACCATGGTACCATCAAAGACATCAGAAGGAGACCAGTCGTCTTAGGAGGATCTGGAATGATTCTACTATCTTTCACTGGTCAAAGTCCTCAACGACGACTCGCCGTAATCAGGAACAACAACCACATCAAGTAGGACATCAACCACGACAAGAACCAATATTTGTGCAAACTTCTCATTTGCGGACGATGGAGATAAATGATGCTCCCATGAGGAACAGTCTTAGTGGCACAGATATTTCTGACGAGGGCAACCACTCTCTGACAGATGCCGAAGACTATGAGGATAGTGAACTATATTCGATTGGTAACAACTGTCAACAAGTGTCATTTCAGGAACACCCCTGCAGACCAAAATCTCGATCCACTCGACCAGGAGATGATCTAAAGGCTATTTCGCGCCATCAAGAAGAGCTTAATCAACAACCTCCCACACCTATCGATTTTAACGACTACAGAACGTCGGATGGAACACCGCTGCTAAATCAAGAAACTCGGCCTTTGGCTTCGACATTCGCTTCTGCAGATAATGAAGATGAGGATGAAGATGAGGACTGGGATGTTCAGTCAGTACAGTCAGACTCTGGTGCTCCTTCTTCCAGTCCCATGTACTCTGCGGATGCCCGTGAACCAACGTCGTTCTCAACAGTCGCTTTACCCTTGCCTTCGTCATCCGATAAAAGTTTCCTCAAGAAGCCTTCGAACGCTAATCTAGGCAGTCTGAGGAATCGTCAGCGGTGTCTGTCGCTCCCCGCTGACACGATGCTTCCAAGGCTTCGAAAGATGTCAACCACTCCCAGTGAAAACTGGGATGAAGACTTTGACATTGACTCGAACCACATTAATGTGCCAACAAAGGTAGTTGAGAGTCAGATCTCGTTACAAATGGGCCTTCACGATATTAAAGATTTTGCTTCGCGTGTTGAAGGTAAGCGGATCTTACCAGACGTTTTTTTTCTACGTCCTATTGCAATGTTTTAAGAAGTTGATAGATCCTAACCTTGTTTCTGTACTATTTTATGCATTAGACCTGAAAACTCTTCGCGCTTCGCTCAGGAAGGCATCCAGCTCACTCAAAGCAACCAACCCTAAGAAGCACCAGGATCTGTCTATGCTATTTCAGCGGGATTGGGAACAAGCAGAAGTGATTATTGATCTTGGAGAGATTGCTCAGACGAGCACATCTTCAGGCAGCACCGGGCCTGCGTTAGCGGCTGGACCGCTATCGCTTCTGTCTGGTAAGGGATCGCAACAATCAAGCGTTAGCAAGGGCAGCAGCCGAAAGCCTCAACGACCAGCTCTTTCAACTACAGGGCAAAAACAGGGACTAAGGCAGTGTGGTGTGATGGCTTCTTCTGCACCAAGCACCATGACATCATTTCCAGCCTTGGGTTCGACAGCTCGATCGACTTCGCAGTCGTCGACACTGACAGAAACAACTTTGGTAGGACAATTACCCGTAGATGGCGATTTGGATTCAGAACAGGATTCACGTATCGCCTCACGTTCTTCATCAGGTTCGACTATTGGGATGGAAGCGGCTGTAGAAGGTCTCTCAATTTCCCAGGTAGAAAAACGACGACCCAATCTTGGATCTGGCATCACCCCATTACAACCAACAACGGCAGCCATGATGAAGGAGGATTTTAGCGGTACAACTGTATTAGGTTTATGCACTACCCCAATAACTCCATTACCGAACGGGTTAGCAGGAGCGATTAAAGGTGATAATAGCCCAACCGAGTATGAGCCCAGTACTAAGTGGCGCCACCATGACAAGGAGGACTCTTCCGTAGCATTCGAGGCTACTTCTGCCATGGCATCTAATTCTTCAAGTGGCGGTGGGGCAGGCGGCGTTCAGTCGGATGTTGACGCATCGCTTCATCGATACCACAAATACAATCGCCATGATCGCCACTCCAAGATTCACTCGAGCAGCCACTATCCCATCCCTCATGATAGCGATGATGACTACGATGACGAGGATGATGAGGATGACGGATATGAAAGCTACGGATATGGTCATGCTCGCGAAGGAGGCTCATCGTCGTCCGTTGGCGTGATCACACCCATCCCTACGGACCGTCATATGCAAGTCCTGAAGGATATTCTGATGGAGGGTTTAGGATCAGAGGTAGCACGGCAGTATATGTTCAAACACGGCGAGCAGGATCATGTGAGGTTTTCAGTCGAGGTCATACCTGGCTTATTAGGCCATTTGAAAGGTCTACAGCAGCGACTAGGTGACCAGCTGATGGAATTACAACAGCTGACGGAATTGCAACAGCTGACGGTTATTGTATAGAGTAACTTTATTATTATTATTTGCACTTTTCTTTCTTTCTATTATTTATTTATTTTACCTGAAGCACATGCCCTCTCCGCCTTGCATCACTTTACTAATTGTACATAGCCTTTTCACCCAGCTTACATATTCTATTGAAATACTCTCCTTTTTTTTTATTGTTAATTTTGCTTTTTTTTTTTTATTGTTGCCAGCATTTTTTTTTAAAATAGTAGATTAGAGAACAAGAATAGGACAGCAGGAGAAAGAAAGAATAACAGATATGCCTGAGTTGATCTCAGGGCGTATGCAAGTGAATAATAAAAGTAATAAATAAAATAAATGGATGACCACATTGAACTCCTGAAAATAGGAGCTGTTGCAACGAGAACTTTTACTGTCACTTTTGCATTAATGCAGTAACCCCTATTTTACGAGTGCTATTGTTATCAATACAGCAAAGTCGTGTTTTTTTTTTTTTTTTTTTACAAAGGGATGAAGCAAAAAAAGACGATCTTCCTATCTAATTGCTGCTCGGCGCCTAACTCTAGCCCAACTAATGCCCTGGCCATTCTTTTCGTGTGATAATGCTCTCCTTCTCGAGATCTTTAACTTGCTCGTCAAAAGAAATAACCTCAGGGTGCAGGTAGATGTTCTTGTCCACCTTTTTTTATTTATTTTTTTTTTAAAAAAAAAAAAAAAAAAAAAAAGGTGAACTCTCAGGAAATCAATTCCTACATCAAAGTCTCCTTTCGAATGTTCCATAGAAGAGGAAAAAAAAAAAAAAAAAAACTTACCTGTGCCCGAGCCTTTAAAAGGACATGTTGCGCCTGGAGAGGTGTCAGCTTGTACGAAAATACTAACCAGCACAGAGCTACTGTTGCGCTCCTTCCTCTACCAGCTACATTTTTTTTTTTTTTTTTTTTTTTTTTTTTTTTGATTCAAGAATGGAGAAAGGGATTATGAATTTGGTCCGCAAACGTTTTTTTATTAGCGTAAGTAGTAAGACCATTACCAAAAAAAAAAAAAAAAAAAAAAAAAAAAATTCGGCTCCCACCTTTGCAATGCAAATATATTCGTCTATGGTTGCTTTCAAGTTTGATATTCTGTACCCACTGCTTTTCATATTTTTCAATAAATCGAACTCCGATCCAGATGCTTTCGACCGTAGGAGTATGAAAGTCTAGGGTTGGAACCCAACATTGAACCAGATCCAGTTCTTGCATAGCCTTGAGATATCCCTCAAACTCGGCACACATATTAACAATACCTCCGACTTGATGATACTGCCGGAGTTGGCGGAGAAGATGAGAGGATGGAACAGCACCAAGGATGAGACTGCTGTGAGGGATGGGATCATGCCAATGCCAATGAGTTACTGGGGATAAAACCGATGTAGCAAGCTAACCCCAAGGGCGCATATATATATATATATATAAGAGGGAAGATAAAATAGGTAGAGATAAAAGAAGGAGGAGTAACTATAAGCAGCTGTGTTAAGATGTCATCCTTTTGTCTTAAACAAATTGGGTTTTTTCTTTTTACGCGATTGTAATTGAGCGAGATAGTGTAGGTCATCCAAGCAAGCGTTGATCTTGCAGGGATCAGCACTGCTGCTTGAGATGGATCTGCGCCATCGCCCTGAAAGGGTCCATTTGGAGGAAGCTTGTCCTTATCCTCATCCGCAGCATCTACTTCTTCAGGCACTATAATGGTTCCTAAAGTCTCCGTCATACTTGTAGCACTAGTTGCTTCTGCTATTGCTACCTCTTCAGTCGCTGGCATTATATGGTTAGTTGGATGAAGTACTTTAATGTCCATTTTTTGAGATGAATGTGAGGCTGTGGAATGAAAGAAAAATGAACTTTGGGATGAGCCTACTTGTGTGCCTGACCTGACTTGATAATTAACTGCTTTGCCCATCAATGGTCACGAGATCATTCAATGTCAAAATAGACAAGAACAACAACAAGGCGCGCTTTAGATTGCAGAGATATAAGTGAGGCAAAACATGTCGTGTTCCTTACATGACTGAGGCGGCAGGAATGCTGTCAAAATGGCAAAATACTATGTACTTCGATCTAAATATCAGATAGAAAGTACCCAAGGTTCTGGTTACAACTGGTAAAGATGGCTGAACTTGTAAATCACGTTTCTTTGCTCGTCGACACCTTACGCAATATCAAGTATTAAATTAATTCTTCCAGGAGCCATTGTTAATTCCTTTCGCGACAGAAACTAGAAACCAAGCATCGCTCAGCAATACAAACAATATAAACACAGTAACTCATATAACAGCCTCTACCATGTCAGCAGATGTGTACTCAAAAGTAGCCGAGAAAATGAAGCAGGAGAATTTCACAGAGGATGAGATCAGGATTCTTGCTAAAGCCAAAGAACAACTTTCTTCATACAGTACGCATTTCATGCATTGAATCAGAAAGAAAAGAAGAGGAGAAAAAAAAAAAAAAAAAAAAAAAAAAAAAAAAAAAAAAAAAAAAAAAAAACCCTTTGAAAGGATAAAGAAGGCTCTGCTCTTATAAAGCTAAAGCAATTGTCATCTTAAAATTGTGCACTGTGTGTATTGCTAGCTACGGGTGGATCCGTTTTCGGTGGCCTTGCAGGACTTCTACTTGGTATGGCTAAAATGAAATGAAATTCTGTCGTCATACTTTTTTTTTTATTTTTTGCCTCTAAGCTTCGTTCGTCTCAGTCATCATTGCGTTCCGAATAAACACTATCAGAGGAAAAAGGATCGTACTTGTATTAAGTATTTTTTTCATGGTTCAGCTAGAGCCAAGAACTTCAGAGGATTTCAGGGTATAGCCATTCCTATGGGTGGTGTCCTGATTGGATCCCAGATTGGATTAGTTATGGGCGCAATGTCAAGTGTTCAAACCATTCAATCTATCCCTAATTTCAGACGTGTCATGACGATCATTCAAGAAGTCCGGTAAATAGTGCGATAACAAGCAGCTCATATATTGGTCAGCATATGCACACGGAAAATTGCCTTCGTACATCTAACCAAATCATTTTTGCTCTCCATTGCCTTCCTTCCTCTTTCTTTATACAAACATGTATAGAGAAGACAGTACGAGGCCAGGAGGGCCAGGAGGACCAATGCGACATGACCGAGCAGCAACTATGCCGACGCCTGGACATCATCGCTTTCCAATCCAACAACGTATGCCATCTGAGCTTATGACTGACGACGCAGTCCGACAACAGGTACAAGAAGTATCAGCGTTCAAGGATGGTGATGGGTACCATGGAGGTCATGATCCCAGCAATGGATCAATGCGCTCAGAACAAAACTCCGGTAACAGTCAGTCTACTGTTTGAAAGGAATTCAGAAATTGCTATATAGTCTATTTCTCAACTCTAACCTAATCTCCATCCAATCTGTTTTCTTTATAAAAAAAAAAAAAAAAAAAAAGCATGGTCACAAGTGCCACAGAAAGTCAAAGAACTGCAGAGTAACTCTTCGAGCTGGAACCAAATTCGTCAACAAAACATGCCCAAATCTGCTTGGAATGAAATCCGCGACGGACGCCATCCATCTTCGAGAACGTCTCAGGAGGAAGATGCAGAGGATAAGGATGTTGACGATGGCCACGCTAATGCTCTTGATAATGTCAAAAAGCCATCATCAGTGAGAGCTTGGGATCGTGTTCGTCAAAATAGTATAGAAGGTTTCGTAGGACCTGCTAGTCCTGCGCCAGATGGTCCAAGTGATTTCGCAAGGACGAGAGAGGATCTGGAGTCAAAACCATCTGTTAAGAAGAACCAATATGGAGACTTGTTGTAAAAAAAAAAAAAAAAAAAAAAAAAAAAAAGGTCATTTTGCGCGGCTATCGAGCTTTGAAGGTTTCAAAGATGTATACAATAGCCTTAGCAGAATAAAATAATTTTTAACGGTCATATGAGTGATTTGATACGTACTACTACTGCACAATAATTGTCGCCTTTCCCCAAAATTAGCTAATGGACCAACTTCTATAATTTGGAAGGAAGGCCTGTACTTCATTAAATCTTCACGAACATCAATGCCCTTGGAACCGTTCAGTGGGTAAATTTGCCCGTTTAGAGAGCTTAGATTTCTTCTATCCGTGAGCTGGCAAAATTCAGCCCCCTGTAGAAAGATCTTACTAGTATAGGCGGCACAGAAACTGCTAGTTGTTGCATGATCTCAAGACTCATCAGCAGCAATTCAGAAGACGCTGTCCGCCTGGATCTCCTCAAAACCTTCCGGAACCGTATCTGCCAGAATTGTTGAGTGCAAAGGAGAAAAAGCCCCACAGAAGGTGTCTGACAACTCTCTGCCACGCACGGCATTCACCGGAACCTCAGTAGTATCTATATTCTTACTCAAGACGATAAAGAGTAGCTACCGGGGGAGCAGGGGTCCTTGTTTACAATCCGCAGGCGCAACACACAGCCAAATGTGTGCATTGGGCACTCAGGTGGCCACCGCGCAGAAAGTCGTTATCTTAGGTAACTCAGATCTACTCGACTACGCTAACATTACAATATTCATACGGTCCATACTACATCAAGAAAATTTGATCGCGGCTTACCAGAGGGTCGAAGTCCTGCAAGCGCTGGAGCACCCATCCTCACAATATCTCCTAATACTTGCTGTAGTGAGCGATAACGACTATAGTGGCAACATCCGAGGCATTAGCCTTATTAGGAACTGTAAGATCGTCCGCAAAGCCCCCCTCAGTAGAGAAAGAGGAGCTCTTGCGTGTATTTCAAAACAAGATTGAAAGCTTTGTGGCATTCCTATGAGCATCGATAGCAACTTAAATAAAGGCGGGGTCTGCAAAAAGCGCAAAAAGCAGCCTTCGTCTATATGACCTAGCAACTGTTTAAGATGTCCGGCGACAAAGATGTGTTTGTCTTGGGGTTGGAGGCCATTCGAAATTAACTCTAATATAGCTACTAGCAAGCATGTCGCCATCACCAGAGAGGTTATCACAAGAGTAAGCACCTTGAGTTCGAGTTTCCAACAGCAATTGTACCAAGTCAAATCATTAGGATATGAAGCTTTTGACATTCATAAATATTTTACCAGTAGCTGTTGTCCCCGTACCGAATGAACCGGTTTCTTGAAATTAGCCATAGATGTGGTTACTATTTTAATCGTGATGCGGTCGGTGCCGAAACATTTGAAGGTGTGTCTTGCGCATAGTCATTCCAAATGCGACTCGAGAAGTTCGAATCTATCATGACAGCGACAGGACTGCAACAGGGGATTTCCTCAGTAATACCTATGCAGTGCCCCTGCACAAAGTTCCAAGTGAAGCAATTATGGCTTTCGTATTTTCGCAATGTCGCAAAACCCATTGAATTTTGATCTGTGGCAGATCAAGGGACGTTATGCCAAGAGTTATTCACCTGTGATTAGGTTTAGCTTAAACAAATAGATTGGCTTCTCAACGCCTGGAGTATTCATATCAACATTCAGCCAGGTATGCGTGAGAGAATGCTCCTCAGTGTGCCCGTTTTATTTTTATTTACTACAAGTGCTACAAGTGAATAGAAGTCATGGAGTGGTCTGCTGACACCACATTTGACAAACCTTCGGTCGCCTGATGATGATGTACAGCCTATAATTTAAACCTCATGGCCAGCCTTGAATGTGATCCTAGCCGCAACGTGGGACAGAACACGGTAAACACAACCTGTTAGTGGATAAACGAATGCAAATGCTTAATAGAGAAGAAAGGAGGTATGCAATTCTCTTCCCTATTTTGGATACAAGATTGTCAAATCAGCCCAATTGGGACAAGTGTTGCTAATCTCTCCGTGTGCTCGCACAAAAATAGGAAGTCCGGAAAGCCATCCACCTAGCATGAGACTAAAGAAGGTCAAGCATAACGACAGACGACAAAAAAAATCCACAATCAGCCTTTTCACCTTCAACTTTCAGTTGGAGACAACAGCAAAAAAAGTTGTATAACTATGGCAATGGCGCAGGAAATACAATTTAATGCACTTTAATGAGGTATACATGACAATCAGAGTAGGAATATAATAGACAAAAAAAAAAAAGGATTCTTGCTCAATGCAGGGCAACATGTTAAAATTGGACACTAGCCTTGTCATTCATTGACGACAGCTATAGTTATTCTAGTGGTGAATACGGTTGCCTGCTTTGATCCACACTATGCTCGCCTGCGCGATGACCTTTCTTCAACGTCAGACTCCGTCCAATCTTGCTCTTCGACATCCATCCTGAGACAATGCCTCCATTGCTGGGTCTTCTGTTCATCTGGCCAGCAATGAATGGGAATAGGGTCTGGATAGGAAGCTGGATAAAGAGGAGTGTTAAAAATCGCTCCGTTTCTTCCGCTAGCTCGGGCTCAAGACAAGATGGTGCTGCTGCTGCCGATATAGGCGACATGGGTGTTCCATTTGTGGGTGAAGTTGGGACGCCTGCAGTTCTAATACCGAGTTGGTAAGTCATTGAGGCTGGAACAGCCGGTGGAGGGGCAAGAGGAGGTAGGGGTCCCCATCCTTCAGGAGGAGGTCGCACTACTGTCGGTTTGCGCTGAAGCTTGGTGGGTTTGGAATCTGATCCAGATAATGGCGAAGGCTCGGGCAGGATAGACCGCAGATTAGGCCCTGATTTGATGGATGGTAGGGGCGTAAATCCTTTTGTAGAAGGAAGACCAGAGGCTACATTCTGGTTATTGGTAGGGGAAGGCGGAGGCGGGGGTTGCTCTCCTTTCAAGGCCGCTTGTCGGACCCGTTCCTGATAAATCTTTTCCTGCTGCTGCTGAACACGTTGAGGGTAATTGGGGGGGATGAGATCGACCTTGTACATCATCTCCCATGTAGGAGGCCCATGGTTGGCACCGTCTGTGACCATGGGGACTAGAGGGTCCAACAAAGGTTGAGAGGGAAAGAATGGTGTATCGACCATGCACGAGGTTGATGGTGAGACACGGTAGTAGCCTTTGTCCTTGATATCAAGATCAAAAGGACGAGCCAGGAGTGTTGAAGCCCTCTCAAGATCACGCTCTGACATATAATCAGAGCCAAATCCTGCAAGTCCGAAGATGGGATGACGGGATCCATGAGGTGTCACCAGTGTCAAAGCCTGGACTACTGGTCGTGCAAGGGCAGTGTTTTCAAAATAGCGCCTTGATTTCAATTGCGAAGCTCTAAAAACAGCAGTCAATGAGGCAGGGTCGAGGTGCTGGAAGATAAATTCGAGTGAAAAAACAGCTTTACGCTCCTGACAAAGAGTTGCTTTAAGGACTGTTCGCTGCAAGCTGATTGTCAGAGTCTTGGCAGTGATGGCACGGCATCTTTTGGAGAGATGTGAGAACTGAATAAGTTCGTTGATGTCAAAGTTCCTGGCAATACGAATAAGGATAGGATCTTCCAGTTGGAGCAGTTTTGAGGCTGCCTTGCCTGCGTGTTGAAGAATTGGTGCCTGAGGGACAGGTGGGACAGTACCCTGATGGTAAACCTGGCCAGGCTGATGTCTTGAGGGTCGACGGAAAAGCGAGCGCGACCTGCCAACTCTAGTACCATTGCCGATAGGAGTCCCAGCAGGGATATCATTCTGAGGGGCCGAGTCTGCGTAGTGAGTTGCAGTGAGGGGAATCGAGTTTGATTCGTCTGTGTCATTGTGGTCATAAGATTTTACACGGCGATGGAGGTTATCAGCAGATGCACCAAAAGCTCTGTTGTGGTGATGGCTATTGTTTGGTGCAAAAGTGCCCTGAGAGGGAGCAGTAGCGGCCATCATGTTATGAGTACAATGAAGTATGGAGCAAAGTCAGCCAATTAGGGAGAAAGAAAAAAAAAAAGGAGAGAAGAGAAGAGAATGTGAGCAAAAAAGAAAAGAAAAAAAAAAAAAAAAAAAAAAAAAGAAAAAAAAAGAGAGAGAGAGAGAGAGAGAGAGAGAGAGAGAGAGAGAGAGAGATGAGAGAGTGAGGATGGAGAGAATGAAATGAAAAGAAGGGAGAAGAAGGATAAAGAAATAGAAAATAAAAAAACAGAGAGAGAAGAGAGGACAGAAGAGAAATGAATGTGAATGAATGGAAAGCGATGAGGGGAGAGAAAGGAGAAAAGTTGTCTTTGGGTTATAAATACGAAATTTAATTGAGTAAACCAACATGACACGTATTGTATTCGCTGTATTTGAATCATCTGTGCATCTGTTTGTAATTGTAATAATGATTGGCATTGGTGGCATTGCAAAAAGGCTAAAGCATCCTTCCGCTTTTTTTTTTAAAAAAACGCATTACACATTACACGCTCATTTTGCACAGAGATTGGATATTTGTGCATCTGTAACATGTCAACCTGCAGTAGCCTGTATTTTTCTTAATGGGTTAAAATTGAATGTAGCCTTCATGAGGTCCTAAGTGGAAGTGTTAAAAAGAAACACGGGGCAATTTTTTGACTCTTATAAAGTTGCTTGTTTAAATGTCGCACACCCGATGAGCAACAAGAAGAAAAAAAAAGGGGGGATGGTGGCTTCAGACCAAAATAATGTATGTCATTTGATACAAAGGACATGACCTTACATCGAAAATGGCACCAGTTGGATCCAAGGAGGTCCTGCACCGAACGCTTTTTCAAATTTGTATGAGTATCAGTTGCGTTAGGGGAAGTATTAAGCCAAAACCAAATACGGAAGCATTGCACACCGATTTCTACCGCTTGAACCTCACTCTCCTATCAGCTAATGATTCGTAGATTCGTATACTTATCAGCGAATATTGAGACCGTTCTGAAAAAGACCACATGTATATTATTTCAATTTCCTCCCTGTACTTTTTTTTTTTTTTTTTTTTTTTTTTGTAAATTCTAATCCCCATGATCATCTGTTGCTCTACTGCTCTATACCTTATGCGTCTTAACAAAACAAAACAAAAGAGGGAGCTTTGCATTCATTCAGAATAAACATCATATGAAGGACTCGAAGAAAGTTTGATGGCAAATGAGAGTCCACACAATGATAGGCAATCAAAGTTAAGAATGGTGGCAATTGCATATAGAGCAGTAGATGTTTATGGAATATTCCATATTGGAGCACGGATGGCGCGCTCAACTGTCGGGCACGAAACTAGTCCAACAGAACCAACGGCGTTTTCAAAAGCAAGCAGGAAACATTCGTCTGTTCTAGCAAGCTTTTCAGCCATATAGATGTAGAAACATCCGAATGAGCTTCAATCCTTGCCGTATCCATTTCTTTGAACATATGAAATCGTGCAGCCCCATATATTCTAAAGCCTATGTTATTTTCGCGTACAATGACAATCTATTCCCAAACCTTAATATTTGTCATTTTGCAAGAGAACAATTTCACAAATATATATAAATATGCACAGGTAAAAAAGATACATTTACGGATGTCAATTTATTCGTATATGCACGATCTCTATTGCTGCCTGAAATAGAGTCGGAACAGTTGTCCAAATACAACTCCAAACTGAACAAGTCGCAAAAAAGATCGAACATCCCGCCAGTCCTTCGATATTTAACGGTAAGACTTCTGGTATCTGTGGAATAAATACAAGAATAAAGAGAGGGTTTTTTTTTTTTAGTCAAATACGAGTTTTACAAAGAGATTAAAAAAAATACCAACCATAGAAAACACCATTCAGTCTCATTGTATTGTTCATGAAAGCATACCTGGCACGGGCACCAGCACCACCGAACTTCTTGGGCTCGCAGCGACGGGGATCAGCAACGAGAAGGGTACGGTCATACTGGAGGAAGATCTGCTTGAGCTCGTTCTTGGAGGCCTCATCAACATACTTCTGGTAGTAGGCGACGATTGACTTGGCAAGAGCCTGACGGATAGCATAGATCTGAGAGGTGTGTCCACCACCCTTGACACGGATACGGATATCGACGTTGGCAAACTTATCGGAGCCAACGCGGAGAATGGGCTCATAGACCTTGAATTTCAAAATATCAGGCTCAACGAGCTCAAGGGGGGATCCGTTGAGGCGAATAAGACCCTTACCAGCCTTGCAGTGAGCAACGGCAGTGGCGGTTTTCTATTTAAAAAAAAAAAAAAAAAAAAAAAAAGGTTCGACAATAAGACGTGTTAAAAGAGCTGCGCTACTCTACGTCAGCAATGGTTGCTACCACGTCAATATACAGCTTTTCATCTCTCCAGTGTCCTATGTTGCAGATTCCACCATCGATAATATATAGTATGTGTCCTCTGACCAAGTAACTCTGCTAGCGTGCTAAAAATCCGTATTCTCCATAAACATTGAAGATCGTGGTATCATCCAAAGCTAATAACTCTTAAAATGGTGTCACATCATTCTCCAGATATAAAGCTGTTAAAGTGTATGATTTGCCTTTGCTCCATGATTGCGAGTTGAATCTGTATAACGAAAACCAAATTGCTTCAAGTTGGGTATAGAACACCTTGGATGTATGACTGAATCTGTTTCCTAATCTCAACAGAAGAATCTATCCGCCTATTCTCTCGCTTTTGTCTCCTTTATTCTTTCTTCTCATTTAAAGTGCCTCATAACTGATCCTCTCGGGACAAGAGACTTGCCTTGCGACCGTAGCACTGAACACTCTTTGAGTCGGAGGACATGATGAATAAATGCCTACAAATAAAATAAAGATCCAGATGATGTGGTGAGTGGCTAGTCACTTCAAAACCTCAGCTCTTCCCTTTTTCTTTTTTTTTTTTTTTTTTTTGTAATGTTTGTATTTCTCCTGCATTTGTGTCAAGTCGGATATTGATGTTTGTGCGTTTTTGGCAGTCGAATGGAGGTCACATCGTATATTGTTTATGTTCATGAGTAAATGTGATGTATATAGCGCGGTTGAAAAAGTTCTTTTCGCCGGTTACTGGCAAATCGGAATGATGTTTAGACAGTCAATGATGCGTAGATAACTCCTGTATCAATGGATGTATCAATGGATGCCTTGCTGTCCTAATGGATACTTCGATGCTCCATCCTTCTTCTCCCTCAAATGACACAGTCCGTCATACCAAGTCAAAGATTTGAAAGAGGGTTTTGCACAGTGGCCCGCCAGCACGCACAACTATAACATGTATGCTCTATCGGATTTTTATCTTTGGTGGCTGAGAATTCTCGAGTTTCAACTTTCCTCCACAGCCTCAAATAATTGGATTGTCGAGTGTTTGTAAATACTGAGTGCCTGTCGATCGGGACTGTCGTTGTTGTTGTGCTGTCCGTGGTACAGTCTGTTTCCTTTGTAGCGACTTTCTTTCTTCCGTTTGTCTGAATCGTCCACCTATTTCCTAATGTCAATGTCGATCCCTCGCTTCATCCTCCGCACAGGCAGAGTTTGCTCTCTTTCGGTACGCCTCTCGTCTTTACTTCTTGAATTGCATAAAACTGTTCACAATTGTTTTTGAGGCTCTTCTGTGCCTGATCAGTGACATACCAAGCATAACTACTACAAGTTAATTCCCAGGAGATAAAGCTGACTCGATTTGAATCTTTATATCACTGCTCTATAACAACTCTTAGCCAGCTCGTACATTCTCTGTTCAGACAGTATCACGAAATAATGCTGGAGCCACCTACAAGGCGCCTGCTCTTGGAGTCAACAAGACTTATGATGAAGCTCTCAAAATCATTGCAGAGGACAGACTTAAGCGTCTCAGCGAAATCAAGAAAATGCAGGAATCATTGGCAAAGCTGATCAAAGGTACGGGACTAATCAGCTAATCAACAGAAGTCTGGCATGGAGCGACCACAAAGCACAGTTCGCTTTAGTCCAGTGAAGATCAGGGTACAACATATGCTAACAATGGATTTTTAATATCATGGATTGTAGCTACTCCTTCTGCCACACGGGACGCTGAGATCACCAAGCTCCAGGAGGAGATTTCCAAACAGGAGGCTTATTCTGAAATAAATGATCCTGAAATTCAGTGGCGCTTTAAGAATGGTCAAATTGACATGTCCAAGTCAGTATTCCGCTACATGAAGAGCAAACAGTTTCAGCGTGAAATCCTTCCTACTGTTCAACAGCGCGTTACTCAAATGTTTGTGACGCCAGATATTCTTCCTCCATTTACGCCTTCAATCGATGTTCAACTGGATTTCGGCGCTGGCTCTGTCGTTAAGAAAGCTGCAGGATCTGGTGTCTCCGATAATTATTTCGAAACTGGATCATACTTACTTCCTGGAAAAACCATCAAGGAGCCAAAGGTCAATGTTATCTCTTTCCATTCCGAACAAAAATACTATACTGTAGCTCTAGTCGACCCTGACATGCCTGATGCCGAGAATCAGACATTTAAGCAACAATTGCATTGGCTGATGTAAGTTGTAATCCTTCATCTGCTGTCACTGATGCATATAGGCATATCGATGAGGAAGCATTATTTATGGTTTTATTTGCGTTATTATATGACTATACATTGGGATATAGGACCAATGTCGCTTTGTCAGCAACACAGACCGAGGTGGCCAAAGGAAATCCCGACATTGTACTTCCATACCTCCCTCCCCACCCACCTAAAGGCACCAAATACCACCGCTACACACTCTTGCTTGCAGAGCAGCCTAATGAGGGTCGGGATAGGGTACAGATTGATCAAAGCCAAGTTTCAAGGGAAACTATACTCAAGGACCTGTGCACACGGTACAACTTGAATGTTAAGGGCTTAACCTTCTTCCGCCAGGTTTGGGACAAAGATGTTAGCATGATTTATAGAGATATCCTCAAACAAGATGAGCCTGTCTATGGCAGACAGCCTAAGGTGGACGAGCTTTTGGATGAGACTGGACAAAAGAAGAAGAAATATATCAATCTTTGAAAAAGGGATGCGGTCTCTTGAGAAGATACGATGTTGCATTTTTTTTTTCTCCTCTTTCTTATGTTAACATCTCGGATAAAGTCACCATTCACGTTCTTTTTATTTTTTCTTTTTTTTTTATTAATCATGCCATTGACCAAAATAAATATCCTATAGAATATTTTGGGCAAAGTGGCTTGATTGTAATCGTGGCTTATAATTGTTTACCCGAAATGGATCTGATCCCAAGGTCTTCAAAGATCAGATACATGTGCGATCGCTTTTTTAGTTTACAAACGTGGAATATTTTGCAATCAAAGCTCACATAGTATTCATACCCCACAATCCAATGTTACCCAGATTTTTTTTTATCCGGGACACAATGAGCGCAGCAGCGCATTTTGCACTCTAAACTTGACTTTCAGCATTGTTCGCCGCTCTGTGCATAAAACTCAGCGCCATCTGTGGTAAAGAAAAAACAAGGATGATGGAAACCCCTATTCACCACTATTCGTGGCTGATATATTGGACATTTTGTTGCCTTTCAATGAACGAATGAAAAGATTGCGATTTAAAGAAGCTATTTGTCATATAGTTAAGCTAGTGAGCAAAGCCTCCGAATAGAAGAGTATAGTTTTATACCTTTGACACCACAGTAGCATTCGAGAGCATCAAATGCATATTACATTACGCCCGCCCTGTTTCCCAGATTCACTCCGCCCTTGTCAAGTATTCAGGCTTATTGGGAACCTTATTTTTGCTTCACATTTTTCATACTCCATTCATCCAATCTCTTTGCATCCTTGGATATACTGAGCCCCGTTCTTTTTTTTCTTCTTTTCCTTCCACCTCCTCCACCACCTCCTCTTCCTCTTCTTTCTCTTTCTTTCTCTCTTCAGTCTGCTGTCTAGAGTGGAGAAAACCATCGATTTTCCCATTAGCAGCGGTCGTCCTTACCTCTTTCCATCCTTTCCTCAGCCTAAATATTGTTCATTCTTTTTTAACATGTCATCCAAAGATACTGTTCTCTCCACAACCAATGATACCATGGTTTCATTGCCTACGACAGATCCCATTCCAAAGGAGGCCATAGATCCAGATACGCTCACTCAATTCCAACAATTATGTCTCAAATGCCAACCTCTTATGCTTTATGTTGTTTCCTTGGCTCAGTTTCTCGATATTGGTATTCCTATAAAAAAAACATATATATGATAAAGGAAAAATAAATAAATAAATGAAAATGTTCTGTACAAACCGATTGACGAGTTTTATTCAAATAATCAGTCAATGGCGCTAGCATGACAGTTGCAATGTTACCTATTGCTACAGAGCTTCATTTTGAAGTTCAGCAACAACAATGGCTTATCAGTTCATATGCTTTGTAAGTTGATCTCATTTAAAAATCAAAAGAGAGGACGAAAGAGTAGTAGGTAGAAACCATAACATATTGATCTGATCTACATTACTAACAAAGCAATCTTTATTACTCTTTCTTATACAATGTATTTAGATCCTTTGGAGGGTAAGAGAATCAGCCTGAGATGAAGCGATGAAATTAAAAAAAAAAATAATAATAAAAAAAAAAAAGCCATTAACGCCACCAACTTTTTTTTTTTAATTGCTTGGTTTGATCTGTGGTTTAAAGACTACTCCTAGTTGCCGGTCGAATGGTATGTTTTCTTTTCTTTTCTTTTCTTTTTTCGTGAGAAAGAAAAAAAAAAAAAAAAAAAAAAAAAAAGATATGAGTAGGTTCAACGTAAATCCATTTTTCTTAACCAACCCCACAATCTATCCCTTTTTTTTTTTTTTTTTTTTTTTTTAGGGTGACCTGTTCGGTCATCGCCGTGTGTTTTTGTCTGGATTATTTTGGTTTGGCCTCTGGTCGCTCGTCAACGGATTTTCAAAGTCGCCTGTAATGCTCTGTATTTCTAGAGCTCTCCAGGGCATGGGTGCCGCAGGTATACAAAATGGCAGTTTTATTTTTAAAGTCATTATCAATTACGCAAGGAAGGAAAACTCTCGCATGAAACTTTGTAATCTCAATCTTTTTCTTTTCTTTCCGGATTAACTCGTATATAATACTAGCTCAAATCCCCACCGCTCTCGCGTTAATTGCCATCAAATATCCAGCGGGCAAGTCAAGAACGCGTGCACTCTCTGTCTTTGGTGCCATTGGAGGTAAAAAAAAAAAAAAAAAAAAAAAAAAAATTATTACCAATAGCAGATGAGGTTTATTTGTTTGTTTATTTATTTTATCGCCTTTATTACCATTAACAGGTATGGGCGCTGTCACTGGATTATTGCTGGCAGGAGCATTGACATCGACAATTGGTTGGCAATGGATCTTCTTTATCTCAGCTATTATGAGCGTCATACTTTTTGTTCTTGGAGTCTTTGCCATCCCAAACACCTCTGGCCTGCACGGTGAAAGTCCAAAAATCGATGTTGGTGGCGCCTTCACCGCCACTGCAGGTAATATAACATGATGCTTTTTTTTTTTTCTATGAAAAAAAAAAAAAAAAAAAAAAAAAAAAAAGGTGCGCTTATTGACCTTTTTTTTTTTTTTTGTGGGGATTATATATTATCATTGATAGGGATTGTTTGTATAATCTACTACATCTCTTCAGGAGTTGAGGCCGGTTGGGCTAGTCCTCAAACTCTGCCGATGCTTTTCATTGGTCTTGTTCTACTCACCATCTTCATCATGATTGAGCGTCGGATATCCTACCCTATTATGCCTTTCCATATCTGGAAGCATCGAGCCTTTTCAACCAGCTTTGTGGTGGTCTTTATCATGCAAGCAGCATTCCAAGGATTTCTGTACTATAGTACATTGATCTTTCAGGAAGTTCTTCAATACTCGATCATGAAGACTTCACTTTCATATCTTGCTCATGGACTGTCTGCTATCATTATCTACTCTATCTTGGGTAAATTCTTGCCCCGTTTACCACTCAAGCCCTTCATGTTGATTGGATTTTTCTTTTTGGGCGGCTCTGCATTGATGTTTGCGTTTGTGACAGATGCCAGCTCTTATTGGGTCCTACCCTTCCTTGCCATGATTGCAAACGTCTTTGGCCTGGGGTTGATCATGTTGCCTGCCCAGATCACGGCCCTCCGGGATGCTTCAGATGATGACCAAGGCGTTGTCGGAGCCATTTATAATGTGGGACTTCAGGTAAATAAGAATGAAATTCTACTGTGGAATTGATGTATTATTACTTTTTTTTTTTTTTTTTTTTTTTTTTTTTTAAAAAAAAGACCTCTTTTGCATTTAAATATATATGTGTGTATAGATTGGTTCGCCATTTGGCTTAGCTATTCTTACAGTCATTTCTGGAAAACTTAACAGTGGGGTCCATGGACCAGCCAGAATGCATGGATATAAGTATGCACTTGTTGGAGTAGTTGTGTTTGCTCTTCTTGGCTTCATCGTTACACTGATCTTCTTGCCTCATGTCAAGCCTGCTGTGGATAATAAAGAAAAGACTCTAGAATCGTTGGAAGAAGGGGGTATTTCTGCCGTTGAACAGGACAACATCACAGAGACAGACATAAAGGTGACAATGAAGCCTTTGGAAGATTGCACTCAGATGCAAGAACAAAAGGAGAACTTGAATAGAGGGGACGACAAGCAGGAGTTGAACGAAATAGAAGCACAGGCAGGAGATAAGCAAGAGCTGAATGAAAAGCTGTAGAAGTAAACAGTTGCATCAAACCCGCATGCATCGCCACCGAGGAAGGATTCAGGGCAGTAGCCATAGTCTTGCTTGCTTAACAAGTAGTATCATCTATCATTATTTAACATCATTCTCCCATCTAACTCATTTATTTCAGGTATCTAAGCATAACCCCTAATAAACTACAAATGCATTTCGTTCATCGTTTCTTAAAGTTTTACCCATATTCTATGTTGATGCAGGCTTATATGGTTGGTATCTCCTCATATGACATTTCTCCTTCGTGGTTTATAGCTCCAGAGACAGCTGCTCTGAAGGAATATTTAATGTTCTCCAGCGGGAACGGTAATCATCCCAGTTAGTGTACGCTCCACACATCCTGCGTTTACCCGTGAACCCAGAACGACCATGCAGAACCCTATAATTATCAAAAATCAAGACACGACCAGGCTGGAATTTTGTCCAAAGCATGTGTTTGTCATCTGTCAACACTTTGTTCCAGTCAAACAACGCGTCATAAAATGCCTCCACTTGCTCTGGTTTCAAGTGATCGAGTGTCGATCGGTCATCATTGTTGAATCGGATTTGAATAAGCTCTTGCGAGATAGGGTCATGGTTCAGGATGGGGTTGCGACGAGGTGTTGGTACAACATGTGTGTCGACATCCCCTGCACTGTGAGAGGGAACACCGATCTCTGAAAGCGTCTTGTATGATTCTGGGTACTTTTCCTTGAGCACCTTAGCGCATTGAAAGCCATCTACAAGCAAGTTATGTCCACCTTCGCCATCATGGTGAAGAAGATGGAACATTTGCAAGCTGTGAAAAGGAAGGAGCGGGATTAATAACCAAATCAGCAATCATGATTCACATACTATTTCATTTCTTTTAAACTTTAAAAACCCCCATACCCAGCAGGATCCGTAAAGTATGTCGTATCTGTGTGTGCACCCAGAGCAATGTCTGTAAAGGCCGTGTCTCCATGCCCAAGGTCAGATGTGAATTCCCAGAAACCGCCTACGAAAAAAAAAAAAAAAAAAAAAAAAAAAAAAAGTGTTTACAAAGTTGACGATGGTTAGAACGGTTAGGTTCGAAAGTGACATTAGTCAGCATCTTATGGAGATGTCTGTATAATCCATTAATGACTTTTTTTTTTTTTTTTTTTTTTTTTTTATTTAGATATCGGAAGACCATTTCTGGCTCTTCTTTTTTTTTTCTTTTTTTGTAACAGGAACAAAAACATACCGTAATGAGTCTCACGAATGAAAGTAATACGTTTAGCTAGCTTTTCGGTCGCCTCAGCTGTCACTGGCACGCCACTTACATATGAGAATCCATAAACATGCTATGAACACAGGAAAGAAAAAAAAAAAAAAAAAAAAAAAAAAGCGGTTAATTGCCATGAACATCCATAATACATTGGATCCAACTTGAATGTGCAATAAAGTAATGATTCGGCTTGTAAAAAGCCTTAATTTTCCTTTTTCTTTTTCACATTACAATGTTATTCAGCCATTTCGCAAGTCCATTATCGGTTTCCATCACATCCCTGAAAGGAACCTCTGGAAGGTTAGATGCAATCGAGTTATCCCATGTGATCTTGCTTTGTAGGATTTTTATCCAGGTATTTAAAGAAAAAAGATGTTAAAGAGGCTTCATTCACAGGAAAACAAAGATTTTTTTTTTTTTTTTTTTTTTTTAAACAAATGAACAAACACATACGCATCTCCCTCAGGTTTGAATGGACCTCCGATCTTTGGATCATATGAGTGAGCTTGTAGCCAGTCATAGCCGTAATGACTTTCATGAGCATTATCATTCCCTTTAAAAAAAACGGTTATTAGTATGTAGTGCATAAATAATAAATAAAATAGAAATAACTGCTTTTTTTTTTTTTTTTTTTTTTCCTTTCTTTTTGACAGTATTCACTTACAGATAATTTTGACACCATCTGGAGTGAGAGATACAGCCTTGGGCTTAATATCGCGTGGGATCTATCATACAAAGATCGTGAGAACAAACTTTAACACGTGCGTGCAAAACTAATAAACAATAATTGATGCCATTTTATTTATTCCGTCTATTACCTTGAAAGTGTTGACTAGTCGCTGCTTGGTGACCGTATGGTAACATTCTGCACAATGACAATGATCTCTAAGCCAGAAAGAATGGCTAAAAAGGACAGTAAAAAAAAAAAAACTTGCTTTTAACAAATAGAAATCATAGATCCATTACTTTTTTTTTTTTTTTTTTTTTTTTTTTTAAAAAAAAAAAAGCTACAGAAAAAGAATCATGGAAACTTGATCTTACAACCGGCTCGTGGTTCCATCGGCCCAATGAAGATGTACTTTTTTGTCCACAATAGAAACATTATTCTGATCCTCTTGGTTCACAAGAGACGCTTTTGCTCCCTAATAAGACACAAGAGATCTTTTTTGTTTTAGAAAAAATCTACACAAATCACCAAGTGTAACCAAATACATTTTGTTATCCATGAAATGTTTATTAAAGAATAAAGAAGGTTTATACATACGGATGAATAGTAACGTCGATTAGTCCAAGAAGAATAGCAACCTGACTGTGCAAAAACCAAGCTTCCACGAGCACGAAGAAGTAGACTGCGAGAAAGAGCTGCTCTCGATGCAATCATAGATGTGGGAACCTTAGCAGGGACAGTACTAATGTTGGAACTTTGTTGAACTGTTGTCAGACTGCAGTTGTCAAGGCGGGAAATGTTCTGTTAGTCTCTTCCTTTACAGTCGCACGGATAAATTACAAAAAAAGGGGGGAGGAGAATGTAAAAACACAAGTTTGGCTCGATTCAATCCATTTTTTACCCCTGGATCGTAGGCCATACTGAACAATGGATAAATGCCAAAGGAAATAAGGCAACAAACAATCTTACCGTTGAGCAACAGCAGCTCTACCGGGCAATACGAATTTGCGCAGAGCAGCAAGAGTAATTGATGTGTTCATAATTGAAATGTATATTAAATAATAATAATAATAATAATAATAATAAAAGGACAGGGTCCAAGTTAAGACAGACAGATAGGTAGGTAGACAGGCAGAAGAGAAGAGAAAAAGAGAGATTGAAACCAAGTTGATGAGAAAAAAGAATGAAAAGAAATGAATTTGAATGTTCAGCAGTAAATGAGCAACCGGGAACGGAGGAAAGAAAAATGTATTGGCAAACTTGATCTGTCTCATGTTATCAAGTCCATAAAAAAAACGATGTTCACTTAGTTTTCCTTCATGGAGTAAAAGCCACAGTTTGTCATTGAGATACCAAAGACATCTTTACGTCCATTGTCCGTTATTCCACCATCCGAGCTTGTAATCCTCTCCTATGCGTGCAACCAAAGGAAATAGTCGCTAGTGCAGGATGAAAAATGAAGTAAATACCGATATCTGATCAAGTCTGTAGACCAATCACCATCATTTATCAGTAATTATATTTATTTATTTATTTCAAAGGGTATACATGCTTTTCTTATGAGTTTATGCAAAAAGAGAAAAATGAACAAAGGATGAAGGGCTAAAAGATTGAAAGAATGAAAGAATGAAAGAACGAAAGAACGAAAGAACGATATATCTTGGAATATTTAAAACTCCAAATTAAGGCCGACACGGAACAAGTTGCGTCCAAAAGCCTTTATCCGTGTCCAATCAGGTATATAAGTTCGAATGTTGTTGAACACTGAGGCATAGCCTTGGTTCGAATTCCAGTCATCGTATCCGCAGACCACTTGTAGTGGTACCCGCTTGTATACCGGTGTAGGCTTGGGTCCAGATGTAGGAGTAGAACTGGGCTTAGAAACAGTTGTAGTACTAATGGTAGTAGTCGTGGTAGGGGTGGTGGTAGTGGTAGTCGTGGTAGTCGTAGTGGTTGTAATGGTGGATCTAGGCTTAGAAACAGTTATCGTCTGCTGTTGTAACTGTAACTGTGTGGCATTCTGTTTTAGTTCCCGAACACGCATGCCAACCTCCCAGGACCGGTTCCATTCCTGCAGATATACGTGAACAACCTTTCGCTTATGATTAAGCTCACCAAGATCAAGACTTTCTTTTCCATTTTGAACACGGTCATCTAGTTTATGCACCCAAAGCTGGGTCTCCCGTCCAAGCTCTGTTTCATCCAAATACACTGAACACATCCGCGATTCCAGTGCCAGAATTCGGAGATAACCTTCCCTCCATCCGTCTTCATCAACGGCGTTCCTGTCATTGGATGATGCTGGGGAGGCCATCCATTCCGCACGCACAGGCTGTTGACTGCCGTTGTCTTCAAAGACTTGGCGGCTGGGCGCAAATGTGCACTCCTCTGCAAAGTATCCTTCCTCTACTAATTGGGGTACACACTTGCCATCATCTTCCTTTGTTCCATTCAGAGGTACATCCCGAAGTATCTGAGTAAGGATAGTTCCTGTATCACCTCGTCCGAGTCCTCCTCGTGCCTCTGTTACCAAGTTAATAGTTGATGTACGGGCAGTTTGATTGTATTTCTGAAGGAAATAGAGACTTGTTGGTGCTTCTGAAGTATATTGATCCGCCTGTGAAAGGTAAAAGGCAAACAGCGCCAATATAGCTAGCTCTATGACTAGAACCTTCTTGAAGTTCCTTGCACGGGAAATAACTGGTATAGCTGGCAACACAAAAGGTATCAGCAAAATACCATAAACCCTATATACTAAATGTCGTAAAAATAATAAAGAAAAAAAAGAAAAAAAAGAAAAAATCATTAAAATCATTAAATCTCCATTCTAGTTACTCTGTAGTGGGCTAGAAAAAAATCAGTTAGGACAAAGTCCTACTTACTTATTCCAAAGTCATCAACAACCATGCTCTGATAGGTAACACGCACAACGATCACAAGTAGATCGAGAACGAGAGTCCCTGGTACCAATAAACTTGCCGCCAACACAAGAACCCATCCAAACCTCGTACCGTCCATTCCTTCGTTCCGATTGAAATACCCAAGAGCGAGCTGAATCAAAGCTGCAGCTGCAGAGAATACAGACAGAGCCGCAATTACGTACAATGCGCCCAATGCAAACCAACCAGCTAAGCCTACCCCAATGATAAGCACGATAATCCACCACCATACACCGATTGCAAGCGTCCATTGAGTAGCCCCTTTTACGATTGGGACAGGGCCGTATATCCATGCTTCAATCGCAGTTGCTAGATACACTGTGATTGTGTTGATGAACGTGAGAAGGCCCCCAAGTCCCGCAAGTACCACCCAAGGATGTGCGTTTCGTACGAAGGGATTGACTAGCCATTGCCATTTTGAAGCTGCATAAGCAGCTGTTATATCAAGTGCTACAATAAATGTTATCAATGCCGTGGCTCGAATGACATTAGCCTTTTTGGGCTGATTAGGGAAATTGCCTTCAGTCAAGTCAGGGATTCGCCCATGCTGTCGGAAATTGCCTGTTCGAGCGGAAATGGAGTTGTAACCATCGTCAGAGTTGCCAGAAATAGACATAGACGAAGGACCCAAGGCGCTGCGAAGAGATCGAGTCTGGTTTGTCTCTGCTGATTGAGGCGAAGTAGTGCTGTCACTCCGGCGTGCGTTGATGGCTTTACCCACGTAGATAAATGTCAATGTAAGTACTGGGAGGCCGAATCCAAGAACAAGTGCATTCATTAAAAGAGTCGTCCAAAGCTCCGCAAAAAACATTTGTTTCCCCAAAACATCGTAAAAGACGCTCTTCCCGTAAAGCCAAGAGCGAGGCTGGGACGAGGGGTCTTTGAAGGACTCTACTACTGGAGGAAGTGAACTAAGATAATCACTGTTGCAAAGACCCATAACAGTCGCCTGTACATTAGCTCCCATATGGTATAAAGATTCAATCGGCAATGTGTCCGTAGTAGAGTGATACATAGATCTGCGTTGATAAAATGCGATATCAAGGCCAGGCAGACCATGCTCAGCGTAGATGACATAGTCCGTATTGCTTTTTAAAAAGAAGAGCATCGAAAACCAAGTTAATCTCCTTAGTTTTTACCAAAGGTCGCAAAATGTAAAAATAAAAATAAAAATAAAAATAAAAAAACAGATATGCTTATTCTCACCTGCGGACGAAACCAAATTTGAACATATCATTTGTAAAGACAGATGCATGTGGGTATGGTGCATTTTCCGCATAATGACGGACAATGTCGTGGTTTGTAGCTCTGAAAAGCAAAGACGGGCCACCAGATCCAGCGCCCTCTAAAAAAAAAAAAAAAAAAAAAAAAAAGGATAAAGATAAAATTAAACATGATTCTAAGGCATGAACATTCTTACCAAATTGAAAGTAGCTCATCTCAAATCTTCCAAACGAGAAACAATCTTACCCAAATTCACAAAGGCTCGGACATACTTTTTCCAGCGATGGCCATTGCCTGTTTGTGTAGTGCTGTTAGGAGGAGCCCCCATAAATGTTGCCGCACCATAGAGCCCATCCTCTTCAGCGTTGTTCAAGTTGAAGATCAATGTATGTTGGACAGGATGATGAATAAAGTGACGGATCAAGGCCAACGCTACTGCAACTCCTCCACCATTATCTGTTTGTCCATAGGTAGTCGAGACGCTATCTTTTCAAAGAAAATTAAAAAAGGAAAAGCTGTCAGTGAGTGGTGATGACACATCGGATTGTGATTGTGTGAATACGACTTGCTCTCTTTGTTTCTTCACAACTGATGTATATGATGTTACCATAGTGTGCTGAAACTAGCAGTGCTCTTTGGCTCTCTTGATCTATATCAATCTCAATATCGACAGGAACATCTCCCTCCATTGATCGTGCAACACCACCCACCCACATGACAATATTATCTCCTTGCACCACATCCTTCCCTTCAGTAGGAATATCAGACTCCTCTCCTCCAAATTTCCAGTTCGACAGTCGTGTGTAGACCGCATCATCCGTATCGTCGTCATATCGTACATTGCGACGTCCCAATGCAATCGCTTCAGCCTGTAATGCTTTTAATTGATCCCGAATGTATTTTCGAGTGATATCAGTGTTGACACGCGAATTAAAAGGGTGAGGTGCTGTTGTGATGGCTTGGAGGTGTTCAAATGCTGTGAATGGATTAAATTGTTCTATTGCAATGGAAAAAATAGTTGTAATAATCATATTAAAAAACAAAGCTTTGCTACTAGTTTCCTTCGCAATCTCTTTAAAAAAGAGGGGATATGACTTTTTATGTACCTGGACTGGTCTGACCAGAGGTCATATCCGGCAAGGTCGGTACAAAAGCATTTGGTTTTCTTGCCAGATAAACTATGCCAATGATACTGAGATAGAAGATGGCGAGAATGAGATAGACAATCATGCATTGAGGAGGTGAGACCACGTGCATGCGATAGATCCGTTGAGCTGCTTCGTCTCGTTCTCTTCTATCAGACTTGCGTTGGGGTATCGACCCGAGCAATGGTGTCGTTGGATTTTCCAAACTGGAGGCACGCCTGCGGTTTGCTCGGGAATTGATGGGAAAGGAAGAGTTCATTTCGAATGACTTTATTTGAAAAAGAAAGTGAAATGTTAAAGATTGAGTGCGCTTGCCAGCCTTTTTTCCTGGCACACTTCTCACACAGCAGAGACAGAAGAATATGAATTAAAAAAAAAGAAAAGAAAAAAAAGAGAGGAAGGAGAGAAAAGAGAAAGAATGTGAAGAGGAGAAAAGGAAGAAACTACTAGAAAGCAGAACAACTGAGGAATAAAAAAAAAAAAAAGGAGACAATGGATGTGTGAGTGCCAAGATAAGAATGTCACACACCTGTGAGGTGCGCACAGGGGCAACTTAAAAATGACAACTACAGAGTAACTGTCATTTCGAACTGCAATCTCGATAACCGCTGAGTTCATCGATCTATTCATTTCACAATTCTCGAATTCCATCCAGAAAAGGCGCCAACATATGCTTGTCCCCATTTCTTTCATTGTCCTCCGCGCATTTCCATTAATTCTCATTATTCTCATTTATCTCGTCTTTTTTTTTTTTTTGGGTTCTGCTGACTGGGTGTTGTCCAGAACCCATATTTTTATTAAGACGCGCCCAAAACCTATCCCAGAGAGTTGTTACAGCATCAACAAAAAATTATGGGTTGAAAGACGTGACAAGCGTTTCCTTGTGTATCGATCACGTAAGAAGCTCAGCGCAAAGCCCAAGTTCGCTCCATGTCAATTAAGGATCGATATGTTTCTCACTACTTACTTTACACTCATACTTCTCGATCGTTCTTGAGATATCCTGGGATTTTCGCGTTTCATGAGGCCGCTCAAGTCATGACATCCCTTTGATAGTGATATATTCCAAGGTGCTTCAAGAAGGCTAAAAGTTTTCGGGCCATGAGTTTGAAGCCTATGCAAATCAAAGGCCTTTATGAAGCCGATGTCTCAAGGAGTCGTACCGGGTCAGTCATTGCGATGAAGGGAGGCTTTGAGGTCCTTTTATGAATAGTATAAAAAAAAAAAGGTCACCCGTTACAAGAGCAAAAAGAGAAGACTGGAGTAGGACGTGCAATTGAAGGAACTATTGATAAAGATTATGTATGACCAAAAAGACCTTGGTTGTCATTGATGACCGTGATTATAAGAGCAAGAACGGAAGGAAGATCGCTTTTGCAGTTGTGAACGCACACCTAAGTGTGATACGGACCACAAGTTTGATCTTCAAAACTGGCCTCCACGACAGGGACCATAAATTAGCCAAACACGGCCAACATAGTCCTTCAATGAGCTAAAAGACCCACATACAGTATTAGAAAACACTATGTGAAATATGGCAAGAATGAATAATTATACAAAACTGGTCAACTGTAAAATCCATGCAGTACAAATGATTTGATAGAGTAACTTTTTCATTTTTTTTTCTTTTCTTTTTGTCAATACAAGTCTTCTATGAGCTACGATGGCACAAGGTATATATAATATGTATAATGGCTAAAGAACAGCAAAGAAACAAGGGAATAAGAAACAGAAAACAGCAATGACAATGAAGTATTAATAAATTAAAAACAAGAATCAATAAGAATAAAAAAAAAAAGTATAATGTTTGAAGACTTTTCCTGCTTTTGTTTTCTGTCAAATTCCTTTACGCCGTATCTTCACATCCTCCTTTTTTTTAAAAAATTAAATAAAATAAAATAAAATAAAGTTGAGTGAATGAAAGCATGAATATGGTGCTCGGAAAGAAAAAAAGAAAAAGAAAAAGAAAAAAGTAATAAAACGAAAACTAACAGCAGAGAGCAAGTAATAAACAAGCGTTAGAATAAGATGGAGATAGGATTATTAAGGGAGGTTACTGACAAAAGAATAATGAATAAATGCACACACTGACGCTGTAATAGTAGGGGACAGGAATTCAATAAAAAAAAAAAAAAAATAATGTAGTAAGAAATCAGACCAAGAAGATGGTTGCTGTCATCTATGACCAACTGGTGGCCTCGTGAGCAAAGCCACCAGAGACGGTCTCCACCTTGATCATCTGGATGTTTGATTCGCCATCCAGTCCTGAAGGTGGGCGCGCATAACCCGGTTGCTTTGTTTCATCGGGGCTCATAGAGTTCTGCATCCTGCCGAAAGGTGAGCCTGCTCCTTGCTGTGCCATAGCTCCTGCAACAACTGCGCTGTCTTGAAAAGATGATAGTCTGCTACGGGATCGCTGGGGCGATGAAGGGCCAGAAGCACTATATTGCATCGATGCTTGAGATGTTCCAGGCATGAAACGTGGCCTTCCTGCCAAATTGGCTTCTTCTCGTGTGATGTTGAATGATTTGGGCTGTTGCTGTTGTTGCTGGGCCAAACTCATATTGTCATAATACATTCCGTTCCCATTGCCATTATCGCTGGTCACGCTGTAATTCAAAGATCCTGATCCTGGACCCTCACTTGCCGACATGGAATGATGAGATGCTGCTGATTGGCTACGATCGAAACCTTCGTCACGACCGTACCACTGGTCACCAGACGATGGAGTTGGGGAGTCAGCAGTGACGGACATGGTTCGTGACACGGGCCGGGGCCGTTTATTGGGAGGATTCATCGACTGAGCAAGATTGCCGTGGCTATGACGGTTGGAAGCTGCTGTATTTTGGAGTGAACTTATATCTCCAAGTTGATCTTGAGAGTGATGAGCTTGATGCTGAATAGGTGAGTGTGGCTCAGATGGCGTCATGGACATGGGCGGCGAAAAATTCCCCGTGTTCATGCCAGATGGAACGACTCCAAATTGATTGGGGTCTGATGGGTACACCTCTCCCATACTATGGGATTTTTGAGGATGCCCCTGATAATTGTAGTAGCTATGAGCACTCTCAGCAGCATTTGCACTGTAACCACGCTTCTGTCCAGTCAGGACACCAGTCTGAAGACGATTTTGTTGACCTTCTAAAGATCCATATGTACACCAGAGTAGAGGACCGTTCTGTTAGTGTATTTGACTCATCGACTTTCGACTTTTTTTTTTTTTTTTTTTTTTTTTCTTTTCTTTTATTATAATATTTGTACAGTGTATTAGCTCTTTTTTATTTCATTGCTGAATTACCATGACCAGAGGCTGTAGATAGCGGTGGAGGGGAGTCGTTTGCAAGGGGTCCTCCAAGCTGCAGCTGATGCTGGCCAGGATGAATGATAGGCTCCGGGTATTTTTGATGAACATGAGCACCATAATATTGATTTGAATTGGCCTGGTGGCCATAGTATGCAGTGTGGTGATTTCCAGATCGTGGATCTGATACGGAAGGCCCTCCAGGAGGAATGCCAATAAGGCCACCGGGAGCCATAGAAGATTGTACGCGATATTCGAATGGCGAAACCAGGTTGGGATCGTCATCTATATTTGATTATATTTTAAAAATAACGATGGAGATATAGTATAGGTCAACGAACTGAACCTTGGGAAGGGAGGAACTCTCTTTTTTCTTTTCTCTTTTTTATCTTGATGCTTAATAATGTCCATAATAATATCTTGACCCACTACCTCCAGAAACCGAGCCATTGCTACCATGTGGGGAGCCATGCGGACTATTCACGCCATGACCACGAAAGATATGATGTTGATGGGAGTAGTAGCTATCATGGACCCCTTGATTAAAGTGATGGTTGGGGTGCATATCATGTCTTCCTTTTGGAGAACCATCTGCATCATGATATGAATTATGCAATTGCGACTGAGGAGTCCATCTCATGTCTATAATAGGAACAAATGTAACACAACAAATAAATAGATGAAAGATTAGTAAGTGTTTGACGAGAAGCTTTTTTTGTTTTTTTTTGTTTTTTTTTTTTTTTTTTTTTCTTTGTGCATATCGATTTATGTATGTACCTGACGAGACAGCGATGGCATGTGGATGCTGATATAGAAAAGCTCTTGGATTGTCTACCAAAAGAGGATAAAGGCTTTCTTCAATGTTGTGAGCCTTCGCGTGGTGCACAGCTCTGTCGAGTGGAATCCTATGGTAAAGTATAGAAACGAGAATGTGTGTGAGACTCATATCGTATACGAAACTATGACATTTTCAATACAGCATTAAGACAACAGTAAGCATAACCTACCAGACTCCCTTGAGATGCATGGCGCCAACTTTTACTACCACCCGTCCTTTCTCATTTTTCAGAATACCATCTCTCTTGCCACGGGACATACCCACGACATTAAGAAGTTTGGTTCCATTAACCATATCATTATCTATTTGCATTTGGAGGCGTTCATGTGAATACATTAAAAAAAACTGTTCCACCTAAAAAACAGTATAAAGTCCATGCAATCATAAAACAAAACAAAATAAAATAAAACAAAATAAAAACTCACCCTCCCGTCGGGCTACACAAACACCCTTAACATCAACCTGGAAACAAGACGTGTGTTCATCCTCCCAAACTGTGATCGTGAGCCTTGTACGCAGTGGTGGGAGATCGTGCTGAGGAACAGGTGCTGAAGGCGGTGGTGTAAGTGCAGCAAGGTTGTCGTGTGAGTGCCCATATGGATGACCGACAAGACCACCACCGTGCATCCGGTCGTGATCGTATGCATCATGTTGATCTTGTTCAGCGTAATAATGGCCTGAAGCGTACGCAGAATGTTGCGGCTGGAAAGCCTGTTGCTGCTGTTGTTGTTGCTGTTGCTCATGTGGAGAGAGCTCATGTCCCTGAAGATGACCATGATGATAAGGAGAATTAGTATGATGGACATGGAGTGGCTGCTGTGCCTGTTGAGGTTGCTGTTGGCCATGATGCGGATGAGGATGATGATGAAAGTCATCACGCGAGGGAGTGGGGGGAGTCGTGCGGACCTGCATATCGCCTTGCTGCTGAAGTGCGCCTGCTGTGATGGTCGAGGTCAAAGGGTCTCCTCCATGATGTGTTGCCGCACCCATTGTACCATGAACACCATTACTGTTTAGGCTAGGGTCGGCACCGAGGGTACCATGTGAGATACCAGCATGACCGAGAGCACCATTGCCATTGCTGTTTTGGCTGTTGGGAGCAGGATGAAAAGGGCCTTGCAGACCCATGGAGCGTGCAGACGAATCTGTGGGAGTAAGATTTTGGTCGCGTGGCCAGTCAAATCCCATGGACATGGGGCCAACTGCTTGATGAGCCTGGGTACCATTCGCGGTCCAAGATGAGCTATCCATGATGGGGGGAATGTGGTGATTGTTTTGGCTGTGGCTGTGGCTGTTGGCGCTGTTGTGGAAGCGGGGCTGAGGCGTTGAAGGTTGAGTTTGCCAGAGAGCAGGATCAGCTGAGGACTGGTCTTGAGGGAGATGTGGTAGCTGCTGCGCTGGAGACTGCGACTCGGCTGTGATAGAGTGACCGAGACGGAGGGGGAGAGCGTGTACTTGGGTTTGCAACACGGTTGGGGATGAATTAGAGGCGGTTATTAAATCAAGAGAAGCCTGCAGCGACGTGTTGAGGTCGCGTCTTGGAATGTGATTATGATAAGACGATGGACGAAATGAATGCGAAGACTCTTGCAGATGAGCTCGTTGGAAAAGATCAAGTTCTTGGTGGTGAGGATTGGACAGACAATAGTCCATGAACGAGCGTCAGGATCGGTGGGTGTGGGAAGCAAAGAAAGAATAATAAATGACTGGTATTGTTTGTATCGATTGTGATCGAGTAGATAAGATCAAATAAAAAGAGAGAAGGGAGGAAAGGGGGCGAGGGGAAGATGAGAATAGAGGGAAGAATGAATAGATAATGGAGATAGAAGGGAAGGAAGGAAGAGAAGGAAAAGGGAAAGAGAAAAAGAAAAAGAAAAAGAATAAAAGAAAGATGACTAGTTAGTATCATGCACGATTGGGATGCGCTGGTACGATTTTTTTTGACATGATTTTTTTTTTGTGGTCAATCTGGTAAGATGCAAGACGACGGTAAGGTTGATAGACAGGAGTAGAGCAACACAAGACACATCCGAACACAAAAAGTAGAGTTTGCAGATGCATATGCATTGTGTATGCCAGAGAATAAGAGTCAAAGGGGGAAGGAGTCAACAGATGAGTGGCATGGGTGGTCCGTGGTCCGAAGGTGAGGGAAACAGAACAAAAGCAAGATATCCAGCTTTTTTTTTTTTTTTTTTTTTTCGCCTCCTTTTTTTCCCAGGTACAATGAAGAGTACAGAATGGAGTAGAACAGAACACAGAGGGTCGCCATCGTGGTATAATTGAGCGCCACTTTTTTTAAAGGATAAAAAAAAAAATAAAAAAATAAAGAGCTCTCATGTTGATGGATACCTTGTCCAAGTATGAAGGTGATGTCAACAGTTGTGATGGTGTATGGCATAGAGTAAGTATGCAACAGCATGAAGTAGGGAAACGGGGCAACAAAATGTGCAATAAACATCACATTCTCTCTCACAAAGCATATTCTTGCACATTACGTCTGTAAGGAAAGTGGTGGGACAAGTTGGATGACAAAAAAAAACAAAAGAAATTGCTGTGGGCGTGGCTATAAAAGGAGCGCTCCTCCGAAATTTGGTACCTGAACGAAACGTAAAGACAAATTAAATAAACAATTGAATAGAACACTCAAAGCCCGTTCTAGGTGTTGGATCGATAAGGGAATAGATGAGAAAGACCGAATGTGTGAAGGCGAAGAGAGAAAAAAAAAAAAAAAAAAAAAAAAAAAGAGTCAATGCTCCAAGCCAAGTGTTCAAATGTCAAAATAGACAAGTGGGTAAATAGTAAGAATGGTATTATTTTTCCTCATCCCTTAGATGTAAAACAGTCTTTCAGTAACTTTGTGTATCCGACTGAATGCATGTGGCACGTACACAGTAACCGATAGAGTTTTCCCCGTTTTCTTTCCCAGCCGACCTTAAAAAAATAAAAAAATAAAAAAAAAAAGCCTTGCTGTAACATTCAAAATCAGAGCTGTGTCTGTGTATGTGTGCATTTGATTCTGCAGCCCATACAGACACAAGATAAAAAATAATAAGAATAAGAATAAGAATAAGGGGTAGGAAGAAGACTAAAGACGAATGTTGGTTGCACTGCTTCTTTTTTTTTTTTTGGCTTTATGCTTTTTGAGCTTTTTTTTTTTTTTTTGGAAGTTACTGACGACACGAATGGTAGAGAGGGTGTAGTGGCGGTGAAGTATTGATGGAGGGATAAATGTGTGTAGTTGCAACAGTGGTAGCAGTAGTGGGAGTGGTAGTAGGAGTGCCTTGGTAGTAAATGTAATTATTCCCGAGGGAAGAGGAGAGACGAATAGATTTTGACATAGTCTAGCGCGCCTAGCGCCTTTTTCTCCTCTTCCCTTCCACTTTTACTCTTTTTGTTTCCATCCACCCCTTGCGCTTTCACTGCTTATTTTTTTTATTTTTTTTTGTCTCATTGGGTCCTGGAATGTGTGAATGATGTGTCTCTGTGAAGGTACAATTTTACGATTGAATTTGATTCATCGATTCAAAATCATTTAACCATCTCCAGTTGTACTCTAAATGAATAGATCAGTCCTAAAGGTTTACAACCTCATTCTTCTGCATGGATGCACATAAACCCTTTCTTTCTCTTCAAATACAAACATCGATAAAACAATATTGGTATAATCCACAAACACAGCAAGGCTTGGTTGGGAAAGTTTGGAGGAGGGGTCTTTTGTGGAATGAGGTGTGGAATATATCAACCAAAAGAAAACAGCTTCATCGCATCCTAGACTCTGTTACTTACCGCAAAGGAGAGCACTTTTAAAAAATAATGGCGATACTACTGGATATTGGCGCAGTAGACAGCAGAGCGTGTTAAAAATCGTGGCCCGGATGGAGTATTAGATGTATAAATTATTAAATAGTAATATTAAGGGAGTATTAATAGTAAAAATAAAATTGAATAAAATAAAAATAAAAAAATTGCAATTGTGATTGTGGCAGAGAGAAAGGAAAAAACGTAAAGAGTGAGTAATGGTAATATCAAGGAAGGTTACAAAATTAGAATCGATCAAGTATCGAAAACGAAAGATGAAAGAAAAAAGTAAATCGAGTAAAGGTGTTGATTGGAAAGAGAGGAGGATGAAGAGAGGAAAAGACGAAAGGAAAAGGGATGAAAATGAAAGGAAAGGAAAGGAAAGAAAGAAAGAAAGAAGAAAGAGAAGAGAAGACATTGGTTAGTTTTTTTCCTCTTCGCATGCATTTCATCGGTACCATTGGCCTAGTCAAGGCGTCACATCGTGTTGAATGTGGATGGTTTGAAGAAAAAAAAAAAAAAGGGCTGAAATAGGAGTAACCCGAGTAAATTTATGTATGTTGTTCAGGAACGATGAACAACAGAATTCTTCTTGTTTGCTTTTGCCATGAGCCATCGGTCAAGTTCATTCGCCACTCTGCCGAGATGGTAAAAACAGCATTGAGGATCATTCTTCTTTTGTTTTCTGTTTTTGGCTTTTTGGTTTAGGATGTTGCACAGGAACAGGAATGCTACACCAAGTTCTGGCTCACACTATGAAGACAACGCAAACATCTGTGCTCCATATTCAACCTTCACTCAAAAGTGCAAATCAACCTTACATCTTTTTCTTTTTCTTTCTCTTTCTTTTTTTTTCCTTCTTCTCTTTCTTCTTTTTCTTTCCTCTCCCCTGCTCATCATCCTTATCACTATCTCTCATTGATGCATTCGAAAAGATTTAAGAAAGCTCTGTAACAGAAATCTTAAAGCCGTTATGAAAGTGAAATGAAGTAAAAATAAAGTATGGATGAGACGCGTTGCCGAGTGAGGTAATAGAGTGTGATGGAACAGTAATATGTGCGACAGGAAAGAGGAATGCGTGATCTATATGATCGAGGTTCAGTAGCATAATAGCATGAATATGAATTGAGAGACGACCTGACAAGTCCAAGGTCGAGAATGAATAGGTAGAGGGTTGTTTGTTTGTTGTTTTGTTGGTGGTGCAGAATGTCCTTTTCTGACGCGTGCTCCGCAGGAGTCGCTAACTGCAACTTACTAGAAAGAGAGTGGTGGGCAGGGCAACAAGGTTTTTTCGACAACAAAACGCACACACACAAATAAAACCTGTCGCTGTGCATGAGCATACGACGAGGGCATCTAAGAGCTAAGAGCGAGAGGCATGATAGTGCATGCAGAGATGAACCGCGCTTCTCTCCCCTCCCACCCCTCCCTTTTTTTTTTTTTTTTTTTTTTTTTTTTCCTTCCCATTTCCGTTTCCCATTCGTACCATGCCATGCCGTCCCATCTCTTCCTCTCTTCCCAGTTTGCTCTCTTTTTTTTATATTTGTTACATATAGTTGTTATAATATAAATTTTTATATAATCATTATTGCTGTTGTTTGTTGTTTGCACCCCATTCCACATTGCACCATCCCGTGGAATACCATCCAACCAAACATTCAGTCTCGACTGTATCTCAGTCCGCGGATCCCCATCAGCCTCTTCACAATGTCTCTCCAAGGTTTGCTCCAGAATATATACTTTTGTAAAATATAAAATAAAATAAAATAAAAAAATAAATAACTAAATAAAATTATGAAAATACAAGGTGTACCCAAGAAGGAATGAAATGATTGATTATTTTGCGCATTGTGACAAAGCAACAGAAAAGGCAAGACAATCCTCAAATGAACAGGCTGTGTGACGTTGGGCATTTACAAAAAAAAAAAAAAAAGGCATGAGCTCAAAGGAGAGAAAGAATAAACGGGAGTAAAATAAAAAAAGGGAAACGGCAAATGCGGAATAGGGAGATTTCTCCAACGGGATAGGAAGGAGGCAGGGACAATAAACAGAGCAAAGATTTGTACTTTGTCATAAAATACATTATAAAAAAAATAGAAAAAAAAAAAAAAAAGTGATACAAATGCAGTAACAGTGGCGATCTGCTTCGCGTCAACCTTTTTTCTTTTTTTTTTTTTTTTTTTTTTTTTTTTTTTCAACAAACCTTTTGTTCAAATATAAAAAGGAGTAAACTTATACTTCTTGGTTCTAGATGACAAAGTAATATTATATAAATTGGTTTGGTCAGTTTTGATTCAATTATTATAAAAATAAAAAAATAAAAATAAAAAAAAAAGCAAAATGGATGAAGGGAGCTTCAGTTGAATACTAAGCGCCTCTTTTTTGTCTGGGCTTGTAACACAAAAAAAAAAAAAAAAAAAAAAAAAAAAGTCCCAAAGTGGCGAGGGATATCTGCTCTACCAGAGCATAAAGATGGGATCAAATAATCAACAACAACAACACCAACAACAACAACAACAACAATAGCAATAACAAAAGTCAGGAGGCGACAATGGTATGAAAATAGACACCAGAAAAGAGATGGACAGCAAGTAGTAAACTGAACCAAACTCCCAGCAATTCACTGTTGTTGTACCAAATAATCAATGAGATGGATCAGTAAACGGCTACTGGAGTATAAAAAAAAAAGGGGGGCAATAAGGCAAACTTAAGCGATCATGGCAAACTTAAGCAACCATGGTGACCACAGCAAACTTTATAAGCTTGCAAGGTAATACAGAAAAAAGGGACTGTTTGCAGAGGGATTGAAGATGTAGAAGAGCAAACGCGGAACAAAAAAAAAAAAAAAAAATTGCCTGAGAAAAGGATAATAAGAGAGAGGATGAAGAGCCGAGAAGCCGGGTGATTTACTTCAAGGAGGTGATTAGGAGGTTATTTTGCAACTGAAAAATAAAAAAATAAAAAAAAGGTTATGCTATGATATGTAGGCTTGTGCATATGTTCGCATATTTTGACAAGCATCTTCTACATTGTCTTATCCATTTTGTCCGCTGCATTTACTTTGCTTTTTTCAGATCCTATACGTTGCAGCAACACGTCAACAACGGATAGTCAACGAATATTGTCGGATGTGGAGAAATAAGTCCAGGGCAAGATAAAAAAAAAAAAAAAAGAAATTGCCAATAAGGTAGACAAGGATAAGAAGAGTTTTGGAGAAGAAGATAAGGGCTAAAAACCAAGCATATAATATATGTATAAAATAAAATAAAAAAAAAAAATAGGAAAAGGAAAAGGAAAAAGAAAAAGAAAAAAGAAAAAAGAAAAACAAATACCATGCAATAGTCCAAGACAACCTCAATGAGAGAGAAAAGTGGTACACTTGATACGAAGAAAGAAATACAATAAAGTAATAATAAATAGAATAATAAAAAAGAATAGAATAATAACTATAAAAGCATGAAAAGGAGAAGGAAACGAGGGGATGAAAGTGTACAAAAAAAAAAAAAAAAAAAAAAAAAGAGGATGGTTGCTATCTTTTTATAGTCGCCCAGGACTGGGTCCTGGATGGAATGGGTGTTTTTTTTTTTATTTTATTTTTTTTCGTCTATTTCCATTCTATGCTTTCGCTCAATTCATGCTCAGGATGGTGCTCATAATTATTTTCGCCACTGACTTTTTTCTCTTGGTCGTCAGAAAGTCCAAACGAGGGTGCATCCTTTCTCGCTCTTTCTCTCTCTCTATGGAAGCTACATTCAGCGGTGTTTTTTAATTGTTTAAGCCTTAATCAGTACAGTTCTACTTTTAACTCAAATGCAGGGACGGACTGATATCCATTGCAAAAACAAAGTCTCGTAGAGTTTGAGCGAATTAGTTGCACCAGGGTTGAGGTCGTTCATGCAACAATCAGAATTTGTCAACAAGGCTGGTAATCGCAAGATCAAGCATTTTGGAGTGCATTTTGATGTGGAAACGGATATGGTTCGTTCAGCCTCAATATAGGGACACAGCATTTGACAAAAAAAAAAAAAAAAAAAAAAAAAGCGAGGAAGGGCTCATTTCAGACAAAAAAAAACTTTTTAACTCGCATGGAAACGACTTGCCGTAAGGAGTATAAAGAAGAAAAAGAAATGGCAACATGCAGATATACTTTCAGCATAGGGACGAAAAAAAAAAAAAAAAAAAAAAAAAAAAAAAAAGATGGATAAGACAAATGTTTATCATTTACGAAGCAAACCATGCAAAACAAACAGATGACTTGCAAAAGGGAAAATAATGGCAAAGTTTCAAGGGCTAGAAAGGGGTGAAGGGGACAGGGAGGCGAGAAACGGGCACAAATGATAAGTTAACGAAACACTGAGAAGAAAGAAGTAGAGATCAGTGAGCGGACGATATTCAGCATGGTTCTTTGAGGCAATATACAGGGCTATTGACAGAGTAGATGGATAGCTGAGCTGGAGGGTCCAATGTCTTTGTATGATAAGAGATGACCCTCAAAAGTAAACCAATAGCTCCTTTAAATCGAGTATAGATCATTATATTAGTAATAGAGTCTTGACCATTGACAACCATTGATGAAAACGGCGCTACGACATACAAGCACAATAGTATATACCATGAGTGCGCAAGCATCACAATCATAAAGCAAAATGCTGTGTTGTTAGGTCACGATGAAACCTTTTGCACATAAACAAATTATAGCAGTTATTTTAGTATATCCTCTATGCCCTCTTGGTTCCAACTTGCGACAATAAAAAATCGAACATGACATCCCTTTCCTTATGCCCCAAACTTGGACATCAAAAGAAATGATTGATTTGTTTAACCGTTAAACCAAAATCATAAGAACACATAAAGTTGCACCATCATAGAGTTTACAGTGCATGTGGGGGGATCGACACTGCGTAATACCCTGCTGCTACTGTAATCAATCGTTGATAGTGGTTGGAGGAAAATTTTTTTTTCTCTTACTCAATCCATTCTCATATTTCCTAGTTGCTGCTGTGGAAGGAAAATAAAAGAGAGAGAGAGAGAGAAAAGAAACTGCTGCAGTGTTACTGAGGTTGTGCATGTTAGTTGATTTACACACCTCACTAGATGACCGTTTTTTACCAACTTCCTGCGAGGATCGACCTGTGTGCTGCTGCACATTACAGCGCAATAAAAAATAAAAAATAAAAAAAAAAAAAACATTTCTACAGAACCAAGGTTGGCATTTGCATTCTTTTTCCAGGTCTAGTCATGACCATTGACGCTCTCTTTTAAGATCTGCTCCAAGCTGCAGTTACTAGGCGTATTGTGCACGCACGCTTTGATCCATCAAAGTCTGACCAACCAAAATGTCACACAGGATTTTAAGGAGAAGGAAAGTATATATTATTGAATTCATTGTTAGTGTAAATGGTAACTGTCCTAAATTCATAGTTCTGTACTCTTTTAAAGATATGATTAACTCAATCAATTTAATATATATATATATTTGTATACTTGTATACATGTATTATAAATGTTAGTCTTACCGTAAATTTATACCACTTGAAGTAAAATTTTGGCCGGAGAAATCTTGCATGTGCATCTCTTTTTTGCTGTCGTCCTGCCATTCCACGGGAAGTATTTCGCTTGAGTCCCAGATATTTCCCAGTTTTTTTTCTTTTTTTTATTTAGTCATAAAGGAGACTTCATCTGAAAAAGAAGAAAAACAATGTTGGAAGAAACGGAGGAAGTCTTTGAGCATGTATTAAAAACAAAGTGCATAAGTATGTACTCTTGTTGCTCACAATCACTCATCACATTTGCACATGTATGTCGTATAGTTCGAGATGTCTAAAAGTGGGTACAGCAACTGTGCCAAATTGTAAGCGACCGCCATGGACCCTGCCTCATTACATGCTCCCCGATCCGGATGCTCAACAAAGACCATGTACTTTTTTATTGTTGTTATCGTAATTTTTTATCACTCTCAAATCTTCTTCTATTTTAGAGCACTCTAGGACTCCTAGTCGCGACTAAGATTCATCGTCCATTGCTGTATACATACACCAAAGCCTTGTGATGTCCATTGTCTGGATCAGATGCATCTTTTTAGGTGAGCCAGATTGCACCAATGGTTCTTTCTGCTTTTAATGTAGCTACCAATCGATAAAAAAAAAAAAAAAAAAAAAAAGATATTTATCATATGTATTGGTTACATGCTACTCAATCATGCAAACTTTTTTTTGGACCTGTCCGCCCTTTTTCGCCCCTTTCATGCCTTCTCTTTCTTTCCGAAGCTTCGCATGGTGTTTTTTTTGTTTCTTTGCAAAGTTGTACAGAAGAAGATGCATGAATCTAAAGTGATTGGGTGACTTTTGGAGACAGGAATGTATTACACATTTAAAAAGTCGTAATGACAAATCACCTATACGCCATCAATTCCATTCATGTCAAAAAATGATAACAAGACGATGATGGATAACAACAAATAAGAAAAAGTCCGAGACTCGTGTTGTAGACTTGATTTTTTTTTTTTTTTTTTTTTACAAGTATACATTCCTCAGACGCGCAGACTACAATCTCTCCTTTTTTTTTTTTTTGCCCCTCTTTCCCTCTACCCCTGCCTACCAAGAAGTTGGGTGAGGAGGAGGAAGAAGATGCACACAACTTTTACTCTCATTACTCTCAAGCTCATTCAGTCATATGTTCAGATATTCTAGCTCTTTCTTATGCTTCTTATCCGCATTTGCTCTCATGGCGCAACAAACTTTCCTTTTTTTTTTTTTTGAAGAGACAGAAGACTTGAGTTGTTCGTTTCTTCAGCGTATTATCATTGGTGTATGGACAAGATTCAACTATGCTTCCCAAAGGGTATGGGATGATCTTAATTTTGTTTTTAGACATCATGAACAGACTTGGCTTGGAATGTGATACCCATCATGCAGGTCGGCTGTTGCATCTCGAGAGCATCACTCAAGTACAACGAATGGGAACGTTATTTTCTCATATACAAAAGAAAAAAGAAAAAAGAAACGGCTGTCGTGAATCAAAGGGGCACGAATGTATGCATTCCTCGTATAAATATAACATGTATCAAGAAACTATTCTGCCCAAAGTTTTTTTAACCGAGCTATTGTTAACTGTCATTTCGTCTTGTTAGCAAGAAACTTATCAACGTCTGTGTGTTTTTTTTTTTTTTGTTTAAGTGAGCCTTTGAGGCATGGCGTATTTAACTTTGTTATTTCAAGTGGACTGTACTCGAAAGTTTAAAACAGCTCACCCGTTCTGTCAGGAACAATTAGTGGACGGAGTGCTGTCATGATTCACCGAAATAAATTTCTAAGGTCAACCTTGGGTATAAATATTTTTTATGTTTACGTGGAGAGAACTCTGCATCGTTTCTAACAGCTTAGACACACGCACTCACATACATACTCACACACACAACTGTATATATATATATATATGAATAGATATATATATATATATATCAGTGTCAGTCTAAGCTTTAAACTCAATCCCCCAAGTCTTTTTATTTTATTGGCTCCTCCTTCCCCTGGACGACTATAGTTGCTATCCAATGACATGTGCGTTATTAAGGTGTTCTCAAAGTATGCTCAGAGGAAGAATGTAATTTTCCGAAATATTTTTCAGAGGCTCAAAGAGCTGCCATTCCAACATTCTCCTCTACCCCCCAAAAACAAAAAAAAAAAATACTTAAAGTCAAGTCAAAGTTCGGAGCCACCATCCAAACTACTGTTGCTGCTAGAGATATTTATTTAATTGTTATTGACGCAGGTTGGCGTGACAATATCCTTACTTATATATATGTATATTATACGAAGCATTTGCTGTGCTTGTGCATACTCTTGCATTTACAACACATTACACGCACTACATGTAGGGAACACAGCATGTTCATTACACATAAACTTTTCGTTGTCAAAGAACACAATGATTGTCCCGCGGAGGGAGATGTTTATGCAAAAAAAAAAAAGCCAACAAAAACAAAAGTGCTGTTTATATACACAAATTTGAAAAGTTTACTTGCTGCAGGGTCCTATTGTCAAAAAAAGGTAGTATGATTACACACCATCACACTGATTAAAAAGATGTTGAACAAAAGGAAGAAAATACCCAAGCTTCATCTTTTTTTTTATTTTTTTTTTATTTTTATTTTTATTTTTATTTTTATTTTTATTTTTTATTTTTTTTTATTCACAGCTCTGCTACTAAAGTCTGAACAAAAATGCAACCAATGGAAATGCTAAATTTCTCTAGCCATTTTTTTTTTTTAACTTCTCTTGGTAATGAGTCAGAACAAGTTTTAATATGAGGATTTCTCTGAGTAGGGTTCTAGAGTATGCGTAAACACATGAAGGAATAGAAGATAGGAAACAAGGCATCTAAAAGCCTTTGTAGGGGTTATCTTGGCATGTGAGCACGTGAGTAAAAATATATATATATATGATACTTTGTTTTGTCAGAGATGGGATGGGATATTGTTATCAATATGATCTATCTATCAATCTGTTATAGACATGCTATTTGGTGAAAAGAAAGAGAGGGACAAAAAAGACGGAAAGGAGGACAAAGGGGAAAGAAAGGAAGGAAAGAAAAAAGGCTTGATATTGATTCATGAAGGCTGAGTCACTTACTTACACCTTTTTGCTGACGCGATCTTTAGCAAGGAATGCATATAAATTTATCATTCAACTCAATCATTAGGTGGCTCAGCATTCTCTTTCTGACTCGAGTCTTGAATACGATGAATCATTTTTTTCTTTTAAGGTTCGGAATCATGTCACATGATCCTCGCATGATATGAATGGCCGGCCCACTTTTCCTGCAATATTTCAGTGACAGCACGCACGCCAATTTGTGCACGGGTACGATTACTCACACTATAACTGTACTATATTACTCTACTGCTGTGTCTCAAAGCTAGAGAGTGTGGAAGTGGGTTTTTATAAAAGACGTTCACATGAGCATCAACTTCTTCTTCTTCTTCAATTCTTTTCTCTCATTCTTGTAAACGCTTCAGACAATTCTTTATAATCAATCTCTTTCAAAATGACTCTCATCAGCGCCCCAACTCCTCTCATTCCTCTTTATCCTTATCCTTGCATCCATTCTCAACCTCAAGAAGAACGCTCTTACTCTCAACCCGTTTCCTCGGGCCTGTCCTGGCTCCACCAGCCAACGGTGACAGCGCCCGAACTCGCTACTACGACTTCTACCACTTCTGCTGTTTCCTCTAACCAGACACGCTCGCAAAAGTACCGTACACTTGCATCTATCCGCCTTTACTCCAACAACAGCAACAGCAACTATTACAATAATAATGATAACAACAATAACGATTGTTCTGTCGCACCTCTTTCGCCTTCAGTCAAACCCACACCTCTTGACAGTCTCTCCCTTGAGCATCATAGTATTACAGTCGCTGCTGATGTTGCTGCCGCTGTAGGTTTAACAAAGTCAGCCTCCAGCATCACTAGTGCTATTCAGGACATGGACAACAGCCATGGCACCTGCTTCTTAACCTGGATCCACAACCCTGCTAATCTCGATTATATCTCGCTTCGCCTCCGACCGCTTTGTCTCGAATATCCTCTTGTGGATGTGGCAAATGTTTTACGTTGGATCGGCGCAGATTGGTCTTCTGCAGATTGCAAAGCTCTTTTCAGGGCTGTGACTCAATCTTGGGATCAGGGCAAGAGACGCATGTTGGCCTTCTTGCTTATCCGAGACGAAGAAATGAGACAGAAGGCTAAATCAAAGCTCGTGGAATTTGCTCAAAAATCAAGAGCCGCTAAAACCCTTCACCACCAATACCAGCAGCGCCAGCATCAGCATCAACTCCGTCGCCCTATTCAGCCGCAGCAGCCGCAGTTGCAATCGCAGCAACAAACTCTTTTTCAGCAACGTGAGCACCATCTCCAACAACTCCAATCACCCTCAGCTTTGGCTGAAGACAACTCTGTAGAGGGCATTGGAGCTGTAGGGGATGTTGGGGATGTTGGGGATGTAGGAGATGTACGAGCTAATGCTCCTTCCTCTCTCGAAATGTCAACCTTGGAGGAAATTGTAGCCTCTTCTATCATCACTGGTATCGATATATCAGATGCTATTTTATCATGGCAGTCCAACAATTCCCGCGTCTCCAAGACAACAGAAACTGCTGCCCGTGGTCTTTATCAGCACCGCTATTCTCCCTATTAGCAAATACAATCCCTCTTTTTTTTTTTTTTTTTTTCACAAGTCCTTACTGGTTCTTTAAAACTACCAGTCCATTCCATCCAATTTTTTTTTTTTTTTTTTTTTTTTTTTCCTCTCTTTTCTTTTCTTCTTTTCTATTGCAATGAACGAAGTTTAGCAACGACCTTTTTTTTTTTTTATTTTTTATTTTTTTACTTTTTCTTTTTAGTGTGTCAAACACAAATACATGTAGTTTGAGATATGAACAATCAAAACATGACATTAACTCAATAAAATAAAAGTATATGATGCCCTAATGACCCCTGTTATTGTTAAGGAATACGAATGCAAGTAAAATGAATGAACGTCTTCCTAAATTCCTAGACTTTGTAATATTCAAAAATGTTCATGTTGGTGGCGTGCCCAGTCAGTCAAGACAGACGTTCGAATAGCATCTGTATCTGTCCGTTGTATTTTTTTTTTTTTTTGTTGTGTTCCCAGGAATCCATCGCCCCGCAGCAGCTTACAAAAGCTTGGCGCAGTTTTTTTTTTTTTTTTTTTTTTTTTTTTTTTTTAGTTTTTAATTTATATTATTTTTAATAGTAAACAAGGTTGACTTTATTAATACATGTATTATGTATGTCCCACATCCACCTCTGCAAAGCTCTCGACGAGAATGACAGTAAAAATAATAATAACAATGGTAATAAAGCGACAAAACAAGCTCGCTTTTTTTTTTTTTTTTTTTTTTTTTTTTTTTTAGCCGACATGGAAAAGAATCTTCTTCTTATTCTTCTTCTTCTTGCCGGCTCCTGACTCCTCGTCAGCGTCTGCTAGGCTATTCCAACCAGTGACCCAACCATTGGGCATTTCGTCATTGTTACTTTGATTCTTGTTCTTTTGCACTGGCATTAGTCCCAGGGAAGGCCGGCTTCCTGTAGGTGCCTGACTGGCCAAAGAAGGGAAATGTTCTGTTGAAGTCGACGTCGTAGGTCGGCCATAGCTGGCCGTAGACGGCCGAAACTGAGGGGTTGATGTGTTTGAAGCGGAGGACTGTGGGATGCCTGCCCAAGATCCGGGAGTCTGACCGCTCCGGCCGTTACTAGCCACCGAAACTGATTGTTCAGGAGTGCTGTCGGCTGATCGTGGGACAGACCATGCTAGTGTCGGGTTCAATTGCGGCGTGGGATAAAAGACGGGTGTAGCAGATTTTGAGCCTGAAGGAGAATTATTTCTATTCAACGATGAAGCCGCTGCTGCCGCACGATCCCAAGTGGCTGTTGATTTTGGTTTTGTATGCCCCGACCCTCCACGTGTCGTTCCAGAAGATTTGATCACAAGAACACGACGCATAGATGGCGTCGCAATGTCCGCCATCGTAGGGTTAGATGTCACAGCGGACTCTAGTGAAGGAAATTGATTCTGAACTGCTTTGAAATCATTCCAGGCTCGCATCATCTCTGATTTCTTGCTTTCTGAGTCTAAGATTTCATACAATCCTTGGATGATCTTGCCTGTCTTTTCCAGATCAGATCCAAATAAAGATGATAATGAGGCAACATACTGATTTGCGGGAATTTGGGAATTGCGGAACTGAGTCGTTAAAGTCCTAAATTGAGACAATGTGCCTGAAGTACCCTGTAAATATTGCTGTACCCGATCCTGTAATGCCGCATGTTTGCTAGCAGATTGAACATAGCAGAAAAGATGAGAGAGGGTCAGTCTGCGACCCTTCAACAATGCACAAAAAAAAAAAAAAAAAAAAAAAAGATTCTTACTTGAGCGTATCAGGAGCAACGCCCTTAGATGTACTGCTGCTCGAAGCTGGCTTAGGTTGAGCTGCTGAGTTTGATGAGGAGGGGGTAGTGGTAGTCGATGCTGCCGACACAGCAGGCCAATCAGCTGCAGATTGAGTGACAACGACAGGACTGGATGCTCTCAATGGACTATTGGTTCGCTGGATATTGGCGGCTACGCGGGCAGCCGCCGACATGGCAGGGCTCTGAGCACGCACTGGAACAGGCTCACTCAATGAAGAACCGAAACCAGCAGGAGGACGTGTCCGAAGCATAGTTTTTGATCCTGTTGGGGATGATGAAGACTCCAATGACATTTCTGAAAGACCTTCCTGTGCAGCAGCAGAAGCAGCTTCAGTTTCTTCCTTGAGACGCTTCTCTTGCTCCTCAGCAAGTTGTTTTTGAAGTGCGATCTGTTGAATTTGATGAGGCGTAAGCTGAGGCTGGCGGGGTGAGTCCTCCTCTTGATCTCGGCGACCTTGCCCATCACGTTCGCTCTGACGGTTGCCGCGGCCACCGCGCCTCGAGCCCGAGCTCTCACCCGTTGGTTGATAGCCAAAACTGATATCAATCTTGCGAGCATCACGCAGCTTGTTTCGCTGACCATGAGTTGAATTAGGATGCATTTCGGCCTCATGGGCTTTCAAGTCCAAGTCCGAGTCAAATACAACAAATTTTTTCTCCAAACATTCTGGATCCATGCAAGCATAATGTTCAGCGTAAAAATGGCGCTCCTATAATAGATTCCCAAAAAAAAAAAAAAAAAAAAAAAAAAGAGTAAAAGAGTAAAGACTATAAGTAGTTGCTCATGGTTAAGAACTGACATTGATATAGGTATTTATACACATGATCACTTACAAGATCCGGGTACTTGTTATAATATTGATGGCGAATATTTCGTCGAATACATAGGAAGCATTGCTCATGATTTTTTTTGCAGTGCTCAAATAGTTCGTCATCACCATAGAAGCTCTCTTTACAGAAACCACATTCAGGATGACCTTTGAAACCTGAAGGTTCCGACGAGTTTTGGTTTGTTTGCCCAGAGTCACCGCTCCTGAAGTGTCGCATCAGCTGGGAAGCCGTCATGAGGTTATGTTCATGCGCAAAAACTTTTTTGTGACGAACACAAAGGTCACTGCATTACAGATATAAAAAAAAAAAAAAAAAAAATAATTATTATCAAAGTGTTAGCGCTGAAGAATCTCTCATCAATTACAGTATGACGATGTGAAGCATCTTTTATAGCATTATTCCGCATAGCATTACCAAAGCATCAACTTGTGAACCTTCTTTACATGTGACTTGAGCTGATTCCAACCATCTGGACAGGCTACTTCGCAGGTGGGATCTGGACAATTAAACCGCAGCAACACCATGGTATCCTCGTACATTTCCTGGTCTTCAAAGTAAATGTTGAGCTTGCGGTCAAAGAATGCCATAGCTTTGAAGTCGTACTCCTCGAATGGTTTTTCTGCATCCCGGGTAAAAACCATGATGTTTTGCTCCGCCTGGAATTATGAATTCCAGCAAACAAACAAACAAACAAAAAAATAAATAAATAAATAAATAAAAAAAGTTCAGAAGCATGTTCTTGATGACTAAAAGAAAGGAAAAAAAAAAAAAAAAAAAAAAAAAAAAAAAAAAAGCAAATTACCTTGCAGTATGCACAATTCTTTGTTTTGTAAAGCGCACGCAAACGTAAGGAGCAAAGATGACATGTACGATGGTTACAGTCCGAAACTGCGAAAATGACGATACTTTCAGTGCAAATAAAGCAAGAGTGCTGCTCTATGTCTCCTTCTGCTGTCACATCGGCAGCAGCATTGATATTAGCTTCGCCTGTAGCAGTGGCTGTTGCTGTAGTTTTCTTTTCTGGGTGGAGATCAATAGGGTCAGTTGCGGCAATAGTCCGCGGCGCTCGAGGATTGGGAGCTGACTCAGCCTTGTTCTCAGCTTGTTTATCCCTTTCTTTTTCCTTCTCTCTTTTGCGATGATCGTGGCGATGACTGTTGGGTCCCTTGTGATCCTTGACAGATGCATCCTTACGACCAGACGATTCGGGATGTTGGTTGCTAGAACGATTGCCTCTGCGGTTATGATTCCTCTGCGGTGCTCCTGTAGAAGCAGAGCCAGAGCCAGAACCAGACTCATTAGCAAGAGCCGCCGTCGTCGCACGAGCGGTTGAGGAGGAAGAGGGAACGACTGTAGTTGCAGGAATTGAATCCATGGTCCGTAATAGGGCGAAAGTGTAAGCGAATGAACAGACGAAAGTGTAGGGATGACAGTACAAGCCTTGTTTTGTTTTTGTTTCTTGATCTCTATTCTTCTTTTGCTTATAAATCCAAAGATCTTCCTGATGGTAATGATCCAGAGAGTGGTGCTGTTTTTCTATGAGGAGGAAGATAAAAGAGGAAAACGAACTGAAATGAGAAGGATCCAGGGCTGGGTTGATCTGACAAGATGGGAATAACTAATAGGGCAAATATAAAAAAGATTGTATTCCATGGAGCGTATGGAGTACGAAATTTCCCACTCAGTCCCAGCTTGACACGCCGCAGCCAATTTGTTGCTGCATTAATATACTCTTTCACATAGTCTCCCTTGCCCTTGCCGCCTTGCCGCAGGCACAGTCATGAAGCACCTTGGGTTGTAGTGGATATTTAGCATTATAGAATATTTATTGTCAACATGTTTTTGGTTCTTTTTTCTGCTTAAAATAACAAGGCTTTTTTTTTTTTTTTTTTTTTTTTTTTTTCCTCCTTTCTTTCTTTCTTCGGTCGTATGGATTTGTTTTTTCTGGAAACATTGATTGATGTATGTGTGGAATAGAGTAATCAAGGCAAAGTGCAAATGTGGGAGAAAGGAGCCTCTGCATTGTGCATAAAGGATTTGACGACGATAGAGAAAATGGTTTGATCTGCCTTTTTTTTTTTTTTTTTTTTTTTGTTTGTTTGTTTGTTTGTTCGCGATTATGGATTATGGCACAGATGTGAATGACGTTTCGTATGCCTCCTTGGGCATCGGGGGCAGCGGCCGTTCCATAGACTCAGCCATCGAAATCGGACGAGCTCGCATTGACTGTGGTCGTCCAAAACCAAACGATCGTGGAGAGGTGGATGCGCGTTCTAATTTAGCAGAGTGCGTTCGTATGTGCATTGGTTCCCTTGGGTGACCATTACTGTCCACTCGCTCGCGTTCCTTATCCTTCTCACGATCACCATGATGGAAGACGAGGCTAAGTCGTCGTAAGACTCCTCCGCTCGACTCCCGCACACTTCCGAATAGCGAGCGGGCTGCGTGTGCAGCTGCTGATTGTCCGATTCCTCTGACTGAACCCTTGCTGCTCTTTACTGAGCCTTCTCGACTAGGACCTGATGTCATTCCGTTATTATTTCCATGATAGCCATTTTGGTAGCTGCCATTGCCATTGCCATTAGCATTAGCATTAGTATTAGCGCTAGTGGTCGTGTTTGCATGTCCAGTTGTGTTGGATCGTAATAAATCTCCAGTTGTTGATTTTGCTCGGGGTCGAAGACTCTTTCGGCCAAAAGAAGTAAATCCACTCAATGGTGAACGCGTAGACGTTGCAGTGCTACTTGGTCCTATAGTGTTGCTATTACCATGGCTGCTGTGATGATCATCCGAGGTTCCATCTATTCCGGCACGATGATCGGAGGTCATATGGCTCATACTCTGACGATGGGCGATCATTGACGAAGATGGCTGCAGTTGTGATGACTGCATTGAGCTCGATTGAGAATATTGGTGTTGTGACCCACTAAACGAAGGCTCAATGCCATTGTGGAAACCTGACGAAGCAGGTCCAGTGATACCTTGGGCGGACATTCGCTGCATAGCTTCTCTTGCCTGCTTCTCCCGCACAAGATGGTAGATAGATGTTAAAGGAGTTGTGAGGGGTATCTGGAGCTCTGCTTCACGGGCTGCGAAGCTTTGCATCTTCTTTTTGTGAGAAAGTGTACCACTGACAGAATTGTTCAGCGCATGCCAGTTCTTTGCGGCTGTTTGGTATGCCTCACTTCGAATGATTGCTAGCAATCGCTGCTCAATCTCCTGCTCTGTGCCAAATTCGAATCCAGTCATTCCTCGAATGACATTCATATCCAATGGCTCTGTCAGGGGGCTTCGCTGAGGGCAATAGCTGGGCTGTTGATGGTCATAAGACTTGTTCATCCATGGATGGGCCAAAACCTCCGCCATGGTAGCTCTTTGACTCGGTACTGTCACTAACATTCTTGACAGCAAATGTCTGCAGTCTGCTCAAGATAAAAAATCATCCAATGTTATGATAATATGTGTTATAGTGAGTTAGGAAGAGGGAAAAAAAAAAAAAAATAAATAAAAAAAATAAAAAATAAAAAATAAAAAATAAAAAATACATTTATATATAAAGACGCACCATTGCTAAGCCAAGCGGGATATTCAACGAAGCCGCGCTTGATTTTGGCATGCAATGCTGGCATGGACTGATCGTCAAAAGGAACCTTGCCACAAACGAGGACATAGAGGACGATACCAAAGCTCCACACGTCGACCTCAGGACCTGTGTATACCTTGGCGTTGAGTAGCTCTGGAGCTGCAAAATATAGGGATCCGCAGAACGTCGACAGATGGGATCGTGGCGAGTAAAGGTTTGATAGTCCAAAGTCAATGATTTTGATATTGCCTGATTTTGAGATCAAGATGTTTTCAATCTTTAGATCGCGATGAACAATGGAGTTCCTATGGCAGTAGTCTAGGAAACATAACCGTGTAATGTGAACGTTAGAAACTGGGAGGGTGCCAAACAAACGCAGTGTGACTTTTAAGAGCCAAAAATAATTACTAACCAAGGGCAGATGCAATCTGTCGAGCAAATTTCCGAGCATGCTTCTCTTTTAGTTTCCCATGTGAGATAATATAATCAAGCATTTGTCCTCCGTCGACGTGCTCGAGGACCATATAATAATGATGTGGTAGCACCATGACTTCATAGAGGCTGACGATGTATGGATGATGCAGAACCATCATAATGGATGCCTCTCTAATAGTTCTAGTTTCACGATTGTCCTCCTTTTCTTGTTGAGCCGGGGTCATGTTGGGATTTGGCTGAACTCGAGGGATGATCTTAATAGCCACCTGTAGATATCATCAGGAACAAGATTAAGCACGATGAGCATTTATAGCATTTATAGCATTTATAAACCATATCGGATAAAAATGAACCAAAAACACTGTTCCTTTGCGCATGTCCCGAATAAATAAAACACAGATGTAGGAAGCGCTCAAGAGAAAAAGAACGTTCAGGAAGGAATGTGAACAAGTCATGTTCCTGCCTGGAAACTACTTTGTGTTACATCGTGGCATGTGTAGTAAAAGCAAGAAGGGAGACTTCTAGTGGGGATCAGCCATTGCATTGTCCGTACCCATTGCTCAACTGCGTACATCCTTTTTTCTCTCTTCATGCTCTCAAGCTGCCTTTTGATATCTCATCTGCACAAGTTTACCATCATCTAAATCATGCTTGGTTAATCTCCTTTTCTTTCACCTTCCATATAACTTTCCCCAGCCCTCCCTTTTCCCTTCCCTTTTCCTCTCTCCTGTTTCCCAGAACATATCTCAGCATTATATTCAAATAAAATAAAAAATAAAAATAAAAAATGTGGTGGACGAGGGCGTGATTATGTTGAAGGCTAGAAAGCCAAAGTACTGCTCACAACTCATTATTAACATTGGAAAGTTCGCTCTTTTTTTTTTTTTGTAATTGTTGTTTTTTTTTTTTTTTGTATTTGTGTGCTCATTCATTCATTACCTTATCGCGGGTTCGGCTGTGAACTCCAAGTTTAACTTTTCCCATGCTTCCTGCTCCTAGCGTCTTGGACATATGATAGTTGCCCAATACACGGCGAGGCTTGATACGAGACGGATCTTCAGCATTGGGGTCAGTAGGACCACCTTGAGGTTGACTATCAGGATGGCTGTGGCTACTAGCAGTATCCCGGTCGCCATGATTGATATTATTAGTGTTATTATTGTTATTGCTCTCTGAATGATGATGGCTCGTCGGTAGAGGAGCGCGGTCGTCAGTATCTCCATTTCTCTCCTTGACATATTGGTGAGCAGTTTGAATGCCATTGGATGGCTCTGGTGTAGTCGAGGTACGAGTGGTGAAGGTGGTGGTGGTGGTGCGTGATGAAGATGGGGTATTATCTTGTGGCAAGATGAGTGCACTCTCGGGATTTGTGGGACGATATCCATTCGTGTTTGAGATCGAGACTGCTGGTTGGTCCGACTCGGAATGGCACTGCAGGTGCTGGCGCTGTTGGTGCTGTTGTTGTTGTTGTTGCTGTTGCTGTTGCTGCTGGGCATTAACATCAGTTCCACCAAAGTAAGATGGCGGTGGACCCATGAGAGTGACCCTCTTGGAAGTGGCTCTATCTCTATTGTCTGGGACAGAAGTCTGATAAGACACAAGCATCTCCTCTTTGTCAAAAACACCTGGGGCCATGGTTATGCTCTGAGGTCGGTCAGAGCCTCTAGAACTGATGGGAGGTGGGGAGGATGGAATTGCAACTGTGGCTGTGGCGATAGAGGTCAAAGGCCGTGAGCTAGAGTCGGATTGAGGGTTGGGTGTATGGATGGTAGAGATGGGGGCAGGGAACATTGGAGAGGCAGGAGAAACCGAGGAGGAGGTGGAGGAGGAAGTGGAGGAAGTGGAGGCAAGGCGATGGGTCGAGTTGTCCGGGGTAGGCTCCAGTGCAGAGGAGACCGAGGTAATTTTGGTGGGTTGAGGGGATGCAGGGGATGCAGGACTGGAGGATGGAGGATGGAAAGAATTAGTGTGGTCGAGATTACTATTCTGTGCGATCACAATGCCTTGGTTACCCGAGGCTACAGCAGCGGTGACTTCTGGTGGGCCTAGATGGCTGGAAGAGGTAGGAGTGGGTGGAAGGTCTTTGTCATAAAAAGGCTGGGAGTTTGTACGAGCAGGGATGGCTGTCTTGATAGCCTTTGCCGTTGTTGGAGCTGCAGGTGATTCTAAGGAAGTAGGGTTTTGAAGGGTATTGGGAGTGGTGATGGGCATGATAGCCATGGCTGCTACATGCAGGGGAGGTAAAAGAAGACTATGGTGATGATGCTAAACAGTCGATTGAATAGGTTATGACAAGATGGAAACGAACTTTGGAAGCAAAGCAATGAGGCTGATGTGAGAAGTGAAACAGAGAAAAAGAGAGAGAGAGAGAGAGAGAGAGAGAGAGAGAAAGATTAAGAATGGTTAGTCGAAAGAATGATGACGAACGACAGAATTGATGTGTAAAGAAACGGATGAAGTAGAAGATAAGAAAGATGGAATGAGACGTCGAGGACCAGATGATACAAGACAACTAAACCAAACAAAGAAACAAAAAGAATATGATATGCAGTTGAAGATACATGCTCGTGTCTGTCTTCAAGATTTGGATTTGGATTAAAAAAAAGCTTTTTTTCTATTTGTCTCCCATGCAACACAGAAAAAAAGAAAGAAAAGAAATGGAGCAATGCAATGCAAGTCAAAATAAATGGACGACAGAGAAAAGATAGACAAGGTTGGGTTGAAGTAGAGACTCTGGAGTATCTTTCGATACAACATCAGCAATCGCTGGCTGCTGCCATAAATAAATAATAAAAGTGAGCATTCAAAAAAAAATAAAAATAATAGAATGAATGGCAATGGAGAGTCTTGGAAAGATCATGGCTGTGTCTCAATTTTTTGTTTTTTTTAATATCTCTTTTCGGGGAACACAATAGGCTCCATTCTACCTATTTAGCACCAGCATCAGGGTCAAGTCTCGATTTCATTCGGTTTATTTTTGTGTGGTCATCGTGTCATCTTGTCATCTCGTGCAAGCTTTTTTGTGTATGTGTTATCATCATGCAACAATTTTTTTTTTTTTTTTTTTTTTTTTTTTTGTGCGAATCCGTCCTATTAATCAAAGCCTTCTTTACTGCTTCTTGCTCGCACTGAGCTGCAGGTCTAGGGGGGGGAGAGAGGTCGAAGAATGAACTGCAATGACACTAAAGTACAAATGATGTACAGAAAAAATAAAATAAAATGAGGGGGGCGGGGACCGGAATACGCGCAAGGGGCGGGAAAAAAAAAAAAAGCAAAGAGCATATAAATCATACAAATATGAAATGGTTGCGCAGGTCAAAGAGTATGATGTATACATATCTCAATACGAACAAAGAAACAATTCAAAAGAGCATTGACAGATGGCAAGATAAACTGGTTTCATCAAAAGATAAAACAATAAAAAAAAACGTGGGAGGAAAAGAGAAAGAAAGAAGGAGAGGAGAGATGGGAATAACGGACAAAGAGTTGATCTGCCTTTTTGTCTTTTTCCCGAAAAAGGGAGGAAAAGGTAGATAAGGAGAGGGTTGTGAATGGATAGAGATGGATAGGAGAGAAAGATGGGATTTTTTTTTAATTGTGTAGACAATTAGACTTGCCTTTGTTATTCTGGTACGAAGAAGCTCTTGCGGTTGGCAAATGCAATATACACAACACAACGGACAAAGAGAAATGAAATCCCCCACAGGGAAATAGACACACAAAAAAAAAAAAAAAGAAGCTTAGGAGAGATCAAAGATGAAAAGAAGGACACATGTATATGACAGATGTGTGCATGTGTGGAAGAAGAAGAAGAAGAAAAGAAAAGAAAAGAAAAGAAAAGAAAAAAAAGAAAAGAAAAAAAAAAAGGAAAAGGAAAAAGGAAAAAGGAAAGCAGAAAGAGAGGAGAGAAAGGTGAATGGACAAAGGAAATGGTTGGATTGTCAATGCTGTCAATTGAATTTAGTTCAACGAAGGAAGCAATGAATGAAGAGAATGACCGAATAAGAAGCAATTCCTTCTATTTTCATCAATGCATGAAGAGTACAGAAGAGGTAATAATTTATCGTCTCTTTCATCTTTTTCTTCTTCTTTCTCTTCTTCTTCCTCCATGTCCATGTCCATACCCATGCCCATGCCCATGCCCATGCCATGTGTTTGAATGGACTAGTTCACTCAAATAAGCCATGTTTATGCCACATGGGAAAAAGAAAAAGAAAAAGAAAAAGAAAATCTATACTTTCTGGGAACTTTTTATTTTTTTTTGCATTGTTGTGTTTGAGTGGATTGGACAAAGAAACAAAGCGATGGATATGCAGGCATTGATCTGATTCCCAAAGACAAAGATCCCCTTTTCTGCATCCATTCCGGTTTCTCAATCATTACATCGTCTTAATGTACATTATAGTTCTTGTGCTTTCATTTGTTGTGTCCCAGAAATAAGTTTTGATGTGTACATGAACTGGGCCTGTAATCCAAGAGATTACATTACACTTGACCTTGACATGGCAATTTCCACTGCAACTTGTTTTTGTTTTTTGTTTGTTCCTGTCTTGTCTTGTTCCTGTCTCATATCATATCCAAATCATATCCATATCACCATATCATAGACATCTCATATCCAAATCATATCCAAATCATATCCAAATCATATATAAATATTACAAATATATAATATATATATAATATATATATTATATATTTGTATATCTGTATTGTATATCTATACAAATTACATTTTTATATATATACTGTATATATTATCGATAGAGTTTGTCTTTATTCAATTGTCATGTTCACGTACAGGCGTTGCGCAACATCAAACCTTGTTTGTACATAAAGACGTGTGCACATGATCTCGACTGTTCTTTACATTGTTTAACACTTCAAATCCCACCTTGGAAACAAACGAAAAAACAAAGAACAAAAAACAAAAAAAAAAAAAAAAACCATTGGAAGGATTCTGCATTTTTATTCCTTTGTAAATAAACATCATAAACTAACCCTCTCTCTCTCTCTCTTCATGATCTCCACTGTCCCTGGAAACGGACTAAAGAGCTGTCTGGCTTGTTCTCCTTCAGTTGCTTTGCCTCGTAGTATGTATCAACATCGATCCATCCAATGTAATGGATGCCACCGAATCCGCCAATATAATAAATCTCCTCGATTTCAAGGTGGTACCACTTAAAGTCGTGGAAGCCTCTATTGGGCAACCACCACTTGGCCTCTGGGTGCTGCTTCAAGAAGCATGCCTCAGCCTTGGCATGCTACAATTATACACATTGTCATCCAACAACAACAACAACAATAATAATAATAGTAATAATGATAAAAAGAAGTGTCAAAAGTACTTTGGTCAGTAGAAGCACAAGAAAAAACAACAAGACAAACATTACTGTCAACTTTTTTTTTTTTTTTATTTTTTTTACCTTTTTCTCCTCAAGAGGAACCAAATGTCCTAGCAAAGTAACGCGAGGATCCACCATAGGGTTACCGCGTTCATCTGGGCCTGGAAGTCTTTTTTTTTTTTTTTTTTTTTTTTTTTTGAAAAACAAAGTGTTATTTTAGCGTTAACAAACACTCCAAAGGCTTTTTTTTTTTTTTTTTTTTTTTTAAAAAAATAATAATAATAATAATAATAATAATCAGCAACGTACTTTCTAATGGCAAGTGAGACGCGGTTTTGGCTTCTCGCGTTCTGAACATTGATTTGCAAATGCGAGAGTAACATCAATGGAGTTCCTGGCTCTTCGCAATCATCAGCATAATAGTCCACGCTTCCAAAGGGATAGCCTAATGTGATGTTACATTACATTAAAAAAAAAAAAAAAAAAAAAAAAAAAAGTTTTCCTTTCTTTATAAGCAACAGCAATGATGAATCATTATATGAATGATTCTCTCCTTCCTCTTCTCCCTTTTCTCTGTTTGCGCGTCAAGAGCAATAAATTTATACCTTCAAGGTCTCCATCCTTGTAGTGGTCGTTCATTATGCTCATAAACGTGCCAACGCCAGTGTTCTTGATGAGCTTGCGGGCAAGACCTGCAGCCTGTTCGTGGGTCTCGCCCATAGCTGAGGTTAAAACGCCATCATGACCACCGTGGCATGGGGCTGCAGGAAGTGCTAGAGCTGCGGTTGAGAATAATGTGAGCGAAAGAGCCGCCGCAAGAGAACGAAAGATGAGCATTGTAAAACTGTCAAGGAATGAAGGAACAAAAACAAAAAAAAAAAAAAAAAAAAGTAAAGTCAATGCGTGAATGACAAAAGAAGGAAAGAAAGAAGGAAAGAACAGAAAAAAATAAACAAAAGCAATAGGAATATTATCTCAGTTCAGTGTCCTTATCAGATCCTTTTTAAGGCGTAAATCTGGTGGGGGAGAAATTATTATTAACATTACTTAAAGAAAGTTACAGTCCTTGTAATACATGCGGAGCATTTTGTTCCATAGCAACTCTCCTAACTCTAATGTAATGCAAAGTGTAAGCCATCTTACATACATTCTATACAGGAATATCTAAATGATAATCCGTTACATGGTGTTCAAATGAATGAACTTCAATTAGTTCTGCAGATCGACATGTGTGTCATCCATGGCGCTCAGCTCGCAACCTAAACCGATCCATAGAAACTTCCTCAAGTTCTTTTTCCATTCTCCAGTGCCAGTCTCTTCACTAGTCTTTTGTTTATTTGTTTGTTATCAGATCCTCTCCTTTTTGGCATATCCGCCTTCTTAAACATTTTAAAAACAAAAAAAAAAAAAAAAAAAAAAAAATTCCTCCATTCACTCTCCGTTCATCTTCGTGTTGGAGTCATGGTTACAAAACTGGGTGCTCTGACATTTAATCAAATACCCTTGCTCTCTATTACTCGAACCTATATAAACACAATGCGTAAAATAAACAAGCCCTATAAACATGTATTCCTTCTAATTCTGAATCAACGTTATGCATAAAACTCATCCCAGTGAATAAATCCGACCCGAATGCTTGGTGTCCTCTCATGCCAATACGACAGCTTGTTCTTGATCTCCTCCTCTTGATCAAACTCATCATTCATTTCCCAGCCTACACGCCAAAGGAACTCCATACCGCATACTGCCTCCATCACATCGTCCAGTTTCACTCCAAAACATCTTGCCAGGTCCAACATCTTTAAGCCTGTGAGGTTATGCGCAATTCCTTGAAGAAACGATACTGTTAATGGCCATCGTCCCAATAGTTGCAACGTCTGTAGTTTCTTTAGAGTTAGAATCTCCTCTATCGGATTGTCAATCCGGCCACACGATTCCTCGCCATTGGCCATTAACTTGAACGCGATGAGGTTTGGACAACATCGCAGTAGGCTGAAATGAAATTCCAGTGCAATATCTCCCTGAAGCTGAAGCTCTTGCAGAAACGGCATATGGATCTGAAGGAGTGGTCGCCCCCATGTCAACGTTGGTTTTGGAACAGATTGACGCACCATTGAAGTTGCTTTCAATACCCTCAGCGACTGACAAAAGCCAACAGCAGCATCATCCAAAGCATTCCGTAGATTCAGATGATTGCCAGAAATATACAGTCGCTCTACAGAGGGTATATGAAATTGCTCTGCCTGTCCGATAGATCGCTTTTCAGAGACAGATCCTTGATGCTGATCCATGAAGCGTGCTCCATAGAGCTTGGCAATACCCTGGAATGTATCCGGCCCAGGGATGAAAAGATCAAGGACTTTAAGCGATCGGCACCGTAATAAAAAGCTAGTGGTATCCTTGGTTGTTTGTCCTTCACCATAATCCATCACAAGTCTATCTAGTCCTTCCACCGGAATAGAGTCAATCATGGACCAAGCCTCACGCCAGGATCTTGTATCAAGAGCGCGGAGTGTCCTGAATGCCTGGGGAAGTTGTACGAGCTCCTTCAAGCTGCTCTGATCAGAAATTTCCATATCCATTAGTCCCGTCAACCCCCCGATCTGGAGCTCTCTAAGTGTACCATGAACACGATCATGTTCCTTGATCCATTCCACAAGCTCTGAAAGGACTTGTGGCGTCACTCTTTTGATATGATGTATCTCCAGTCGCTTGAGGCATCCAAGCATGGGAATGAACCCAACAAATTGTTGAACCCGTATAGATGAGAGACATAGTGAGCTAGCACGACTGCCACAGTGTCTTAGAAATATACTATCCAGCTGTGCTAGTATGGATTGGTTTTGGATCCGAGTGCTCGTTCCAAAGAGTTGAGAGATTGCGCCAGAGGCCAGAAAAGAATGATCAAGCTTCCGATAATGATAAAAGTAGCCACTACCAATTTGAGAAGCGTAGGTCCTATGGCGCTCCTGATTTACAGCATCGATGTTGTCTTGACCATTTTCGTCCTTGTATCCGTCCTCCTCGTTGTCCTCATCCTCAAAGTCGTAAATGACCAAAGGAGGCAGTTCTGCTACAAGATTGGGATCTAGCTCTTTAAGGAAGAGTCGCAAGAGGAAGACGAGGCGCTCAGTCTTTTCAGCTTCAGGCCAGGTGCGATGATTAAGGACAAGGAGGAATGGATTCTGATAGAGAATAGGGGCCGTAAGCTCAAACAGGGCCTTGTTGACGCGCAGCAGAGAACAAAGAGTTGGAACTTGATTGAACTGTAAAAACGAGATAGTGTGCGCTAGACACTCAATAAGTAGCGTTGGTCTTTCTTGTGTGATGGACATATGATCTTTTGGTCTGCGATCAATTAAATAAAAAGATGCAAAGCAAGTAGGTGAAAGAGATGTGAAGGAAGGAAAGAAATGTGTGAATGTGAATGTGCGTGAACTCACGCACGCAGTTGACTGCTCCTTTGACTTCGACGCGCGATTGCGCCAATTGCACAAAGTGTGGCGGTGTTGAGTTGAATTTAGTTTTTATTAATGAATAGGTTAATACAGATGTTTACATTAATGTATTTTAAAATCACACAAACTTATTTCTCTTCCTCCTCGCTTAGTGCGTTATTGCGATGTTGTGATGGATTACTTTTGCCATTTTCATTTTCATTGGACAACTCTTCAAGGGTCTTGCCCTTCGTCTCAGGGATGAAGAAAGTCACCACCAAACCCACAAACATGAACAAAGCAAAGATCTGCAATAACTGAGGGATGAAGTTATTGGGACCACCACGATCCTTGAGCTGAGAAAAGCCAACCTGGGCAATGATGGCTCCAAGTTTGCCTGATCCAGCAGCAATGCCGTGACAAGTTGAACGATAGCGTGTAGGAAAGACTTCCCCGGGGATGACAAACGTCGTGGCGTTAGGACCAAAGTTTTGGAAGAACTGCGTAGCAGCAAAGAGGAAGACAAAGAGTGCGGTCGAGTAATTTCTGATTTGATTATAGGCAAAACCAAGGACACAGAAGAGGATGCAGGACATCGTAAATCCAATTAGCTGGATCTTAATGCGTCCAAGGCGCTCGATCGTGAACACAGTCACCCAATAGCCGGGGACCGAGCCAAGTAGGACAATAATGATTTGACCAATAGCAGCATTCCAACAGGAGCTGAAGTTATCACCCTTGATAGACGAAAACTTGATCGAAGATAGAATAAAAGAGTTGTTCAGACCGATACCATAAAACGCAACATCGAGCGCAAACCAGGCCATGGAGGTTCCAAAGAGAATCTTAAAGTTCTCCCATCTGGAAAAGTAAATGCAAAAATCGGAAAAAGATCCTTTAACAGTGGAAGGATTGTGGGCGGCTTTTTCATCTTCCTCTGATTGAAGATGGTTGTGGCTCTCCTTGAGGACGTTAGCAACATCGCGCTCAGCCTTGTTCACGTTGTTTTCGATATCCAGCACGTAGCGGGGAGTCTCTGGGATGGTCAAACGGAAGTAGACGGCAACAAGCGCGGGGATACATCCAAAGCCAATGAGGATACGCCAAACGTAATCGAGGTTCTGGGGGTTGGCTATGATGCTATCCTTGAAAGCGGCCAGGAGGATGATGGCAACAACACCTGTTGTCAAATAACCAAATCCTTGCATCGCAAAGACTGCAGACATCATGGCACCACGACGGTTTGTGGTGGCAAATTCCGAGGTGATGACAGCAGATAGAGGGTAGTCTCCTCCAATACCGATGCCGACAAGTACACGCCATATGATCAGGGCAGCAGGAAGTGAGAGGACATAGCCGTTTCCAGACAAGGCTTGACCCAAGGTAGCCACAATGATAATCATCAATTCAACGCCATACATTCTCTTGCGACCCAGGCGATCAGCGAGGTAACCAAATCCGATTTGACCAATAAATGTTCCAATAGAAGCAGCAACCTTGATGCCCAAATCCAAATCAGGAGGGAGAGTACCGTCTGAAAAGTAAATGATCCCCAGCATGGGTGTCACCAGATTGATAGCAAAGAGATCATAGGCATCAGTGAAGAATCCTACACCAGCGACGAGACAAGCTCGGATGTGAAACCAACCAAACTCTGCATTGTCGATCTTGGCCAGGGCCTCACGGCGGCGTTCGCTCAGTTGCTGGAAATCCACTTTCGTGCTATTGGTGTTAAAATTAGACATAGATTTTCTTTCTGATTAAAGAGAAAGGCAGAGCGGAACAGATGCGCTTGAAAAGGGCTGGTAGGGAAGAAAGAGAGGAGCAATGATCTAAGAAGAGAGCAAGAGGCAGAAAGAAGAAGAGTCTTTGATAGTACGACTTTTTATAGCGAGCCATGTTATTAAAGAGTTGTGGATTATCTATCCACCATTCTGGCTACTGTTGTCCATTTTTGTAACAGACTGGGCGAAAGGATAAACTCTCGTTGCGATTATGTGCTTGAACACTAAGTAAGAAACGAACAAAAGAGCGTGTTAATTATAATGTTTTCTGCCGAACTTCCACTGACTTGAATGTAAACAGACGCTGGCAACCAGTAAACAGTGAACGTGCCTTGCTCAGTAGAACCAGAACATTGCTTCAGCTTAGTTGAGAGTCTACTTTTTTTTTTTTTTTTTTTTTTTTTTTTCTGTTTTATTGTCTTATCGCTTTATTTGGTCATGATGCGTTGTCCATTCCCCCATCTTTTACTTTTTTTGATGTAATGGCAAGTGTGGTTGGACAATATTTGTGTTTTTGAAGACACGCGCTTGGCTCTTATTTATTTAAAACAAATGTTTTGCCGGTGAGTCTTCATCCAATCGAGTTGTCATGCTATGGACCTAGGACAATAATTGGTTACATAACCTGTCGGTTTATTCTACAAGAATATTATTGCCCAATTAACCTCTGAATTGATGCCGTAGACTGATCTATTACTAAGATTTGTTCAGTTGTAAAATTTAATATATACTGTGAAGATCAACTCACAGATTGTTATCTAATAAAGCCATGGCTGTAATCAAAGTACTAGCCAACAAGCCGACGTGTCCTTAATGCGTTAATGGGAAATAAGGTCTGTAGCTATTTACAGCTGGTTTGTATTATGCTCAAGAAGATTTAAAGGAGACTATCATTGATGCATTCTTCTATGAAAAAAATAAAAATAAAAAAACCCCTACAGCTGTTCTGGTTCATTCGACCCTAAAAGCAAAACCTTTACAATATCGAAGACGGACTTGATACGTTCCAACCATCCTGCGTAGATAATATTGACTAAATCACGAGTGACGACAATGGCATCACCCACATTATTCATGGGGTACTGCAGTATAGGTGGTAAGGATGTCTGAATCAACATGGGCCAACGATCAACAGTGATCGACCTTTGATGACAGACACCTCGAAGGCCCTCTGCACCTCCGAAGCGACCATAACCGCTTTTTCCTACACCACCAAATGGCAATGATTGACAGAGATAATTAACACCGAAATCATTCAGATTGCTCATGCCGACACGGAGACGATCCATGATATAGAGTCCCTCCTTTTGATTGCGTGAAAATACACTAGAGCCAAGGCTGTAAATCGACGAGTTAGCGATTGAAATGGCTTCTTCCAGTGTTGAAAATTTGAAAATAGCCATAATCGGTGCAAACGTTTCTTCCTGAGCAATCCTCATGTTGGGGCGAAGATTCGTGATCAACGTAGGGGTAAAGAACTGACCCTGAGGGAAATGAGGATGAATAAAACCCTTTCCTCCGCATATTAACGTAGCTCCCTTGTTTACAGCATCCTCAATTAGGGGCTCTAAGACCTCAGCCTATTTTATAAAGGATGACAATACGTGATCAGCCCCAGTCATCCGTTTACAAAGCAGGTGATAGGCCTTGAGGTTCCAAACTTTACTTACACGGCCGCTCATGGTCATTGCGCCACAATCAATATTTTCGATCTCCAAAGGCGGGCCTTGTTTTAGTTGCTTGATCCGGCTGCCAGCCATGTCGACAAGCTTGTCATGTAGGTCTTTGTGAACAATGATTCTCTCGATACCAATACAGTTTTGCCCGCAGTTTTGGAAGACGCCTCTCATCAGAATAGGCACAAGGGCGTTCAAATTCACGTCTTTGTTAATAATTGCAACATCTTTGCCTCCTAGCTCAAGTACACACGGTGTTAGATTGGCAGCTGCAGCGGTGGCAACCTTGGTACCGACATGAGGAGATCCAATAAATGTAATGCCGTCAACACCGCTTGCCACCACAGCCTCGCCACAATCTTGAAAGCCCACTAAGAATTGAACAAGTTCTGGATCATGTCCACAGGCCTCTAAACATGTCCGTGCAATCTTGGCAAAATAGACTGTTGTTGACCAAGCGACTTGCTCCGATGCTTTGATCAAAATACCATTTCCAGCAAAGATTGCCGTGATGAGAGGTCCAAATGTGTTGTGGAAGGGATAGTTCCAGGACACAAGAGCAGCAACCACACCCATAGGACGGTATTCCACTTTGGCAGCTTTGTAAAACATAAGTAATCCGGGATCGCGGTATTCATCTCGGAGAGCTTTCTCTCCATGAGCTAATGTCCAACGAATGCGTTCACAAACCGTGAGGATCTCTCCAAACTTTCCATCAACCATCGTCTTTCCTGTATCTCTAGACGCAACCCGACAGATAGACTCTTGGTGAAGAAGAATAAAGTCTAAAAGAGATTGAAGGACGATCTTGCGTTGCGCAAATGTAGTGTTACGCCATTTCGCCTGAGCTTTCCGTGCTTTGTCCAATGCCAGATCCACGTCTGTTTTAGTGTGAGCGCGGATGGTGGCGAGATGACGCCCTGTCGAAGGATCGTAGCAAATGATTTGACCAGGTTGTGTTGAGTCCTAGATAGTGTATATTGGATATAACATGATGTGCCGTTAGTACTAGGGATGTGGTCGTAGCGTACATAAATATGTTTAGATCCATGACTCCATTATCTTACCTGGAGACAAGGATTGGACAAGATACTTCCACCCTTCCAACCGGGCAAAGCCTCTAAAGATAAAATGCATAATGACACGAAGTACAAATAATGGTCAATGTTGTTTTAACACATCAATAATTTAATACCTCTATTATTAAGGATTTTACTTTGGTGCTTTGGAAACGAAAAGTAGAATAAATTTACTTACCTTCGGGCATCACGACGTCGAATGGCACAGACTTGTGCGAACGGAACCGTAAAAAGACATGGCCTGCCAAAGAGACAGTTAACAGACTAAATACACCCAAGAGAGCGATTGAGTTGTCCATGAGGACAGGATGGATCAATGACATTGAAGAAATTGGATGTAGAAGAAATGAGAAATGAGCAGAAAAAAAAAAAAAAAAAATAAGAGAGGGACCAGTTCAGTCTTGTTAAACTTAAACTCACGCCACTTATAACTTGGAACTTACAAGAGTGGCGTGAGCTTTTTGGGAAAGATATGAACTGATTTCCTTTTCTGGAGAGAGACGCGTTACTTTTTCTGTTTCCAAACAGAGCGTCGTAACTACCAAAAATACAGGTATTCGGAGCACCAACTGGATGAACATGGAGAGATCGAGAAGTTGGATCCTTATGAAATACATGCATGACTCAACCTGGAAGATCAGATGCTGGCTGCACACTAATTTTTGGACCAGAACCCTTGTAGAGGTTGGACACATCCAAGTACTTCAGGACATGAGCTTATTCTCAACGGTTTTTTTTTTTTTTTTTTTTTTTCAACTGATTCGACCTAATCGCAATTACGTCATCGTACCAATGGCTCAAATTCATCATATTTTTATTGACAATGCCACTGTCCTGGGAATATCATTTATGAAAATAGATATTGTTCAATTGATCGCTGGATACAAAAGTCACTCGACATTGGGGTTTTTTTTAGGTCTCTACTTCAATAGGTTTGGTGCAGAATGCACCAACAATTTCTCTTAAGAAATGACGAGTTTAAGGAAGTTGATCATGCCCTCCCTTGATATATTGCCCAAATACATGAACAGACAGCGCTACTTACCCACATGTACACAGTCTAATCTACTGTATGGTGATCACTTGTTCTCTTAAGTAATATTAAAAAAAAAAAAAAAAAAAAAAAAAAAAGAGAGAGAGTGACTCAGAGTGTAAATGTATGGCATAATGATATCGAAGAATTAAAAATCACCGTCGCGATTTGCTGAAGAGCATCAGTTCCAGGGGGAAGATTTTTATCTTTATTGTCTTAAAGACACTAAGCCTATATCAGTTTCTTTTTTGATAAAAGCAAAAAAGTAAAGAGCTTTAAAAGTAAGGCTCGCCTCTGCAGGAAACACGGATGCTCTCAATTGGTTGTGACACAGTTTCTTTCATCCAGTGTCCAAGAGATGTTCCGAATTGGTTACCACAGCCATTATCGCTGTAAAGTCTAATCCTGCACAGGTGTTCATTGTTGTAATTCAATGCTGACTCAAAGATGAAGGATTTGCTGCTACGAATATCGAAGCATGCGCCATCATTCTTATAGTTTATTCTGAAGTTCTCATTGTAACAGGCCGTGTCGCTGAATGTTGCAATAACAAATGGAGCGCCATTCAAAGCAATTGTCCTGCAGCCTGCTTCAGCTGCGGCAACTGCCATTAAAGCCAAGGTGAAACCGGTCAACTTCATGTTTTAACTATGTTTTAGAGGAAGAAGTGTGTATGTATGTGAGGACGACATGAGCCTTCAAAAAAATTCGAGTGCCGAGAACAAAGTGAGAGAGTCGCTCTTACCTTGTTTGCGGGTGGAGACTGCGAAGAGAGAGACGAGGCGGCTAATGTCCTATATAGATGAATAGAGAAGCCATGATCTAAGGAGAGGGTATGGGTGATTAGACGAAACGCGGACATGGGCTAACTATAGAGGCAACAAACCAGTGAGATGAATGTAGGCTGTTTACCTTGCTTGCAGATGGAAAGTGATGGGGTAAGGAAAAACTGAGGAGCAAACGGGGCCCTTTATATAGCTGTGCGTTCGCCGAGGACAGAGTAGGCGACATTAAAGGAGCGAGAGAGAGATAGAGGTGAGGACTAGAGAAAGTAGAATGATTGTACTGTACATGTACTATGAACCGCAGTTCTTTCATTAAAGACACGCCGCGTCGGGGTGAAAAAAGTTTATCTTGTTGTCGGTTATAAACGCCGTCTCTTATAACGTCGGTTCCACAAAATTGTATACATCCATCGCCACAATACCATTTCGCGTTACATAGCCGTCAAACTACTGCGGATCTATCGTTTTCTATTCACAAACCAATAACGAAGCGCACTGTCCACACAAATATTTGTACGCGTAGAAAAAAAACATTTGTATCAAGTAAACTCTACTCTCTCCAATGCAGTCTCTTTCTGAGGTACCTGGGAAAGAATGTATATATATAATAATTCAGTACTCTCTCCATTTCTGACAATCTTTTCGAACGAGAGATATGGATAGGTTCATAATCCTGATACTCATTGCCTCACTGGGCTCAAGGTGACTTCTGAAAGTTTTTTTTTAAGTAAATTATAAAAGGTTGCGCAATCCGTACATAACTTCCTATGGAAAAACGCGTCGCCAACGTCCCAGGGCCAAAGGGATTATGGAGATTATTCCAAGTCGGATGAAACATATAAAAAACTGTATAGTAGCTCCTTGTAAGTACAAATTGTATTCGCCACCCGCAGCTTTGCTTATCATCTTTATAATGCTTCAGAGTGTTGTCAGGTGTTGTTACTCATTGATCTTCTTGTTTATTTCTTAGTCGTACCAATACATATGCTTTGTCTTGCCTAGGATAGCGCATACTGGATTCCTAGGCAAGACGCGTACCTTCGCCTTAGTAATTAATAGTAATACTCCCGATTAAGTTTTCCCATCAAGGCTTGAAAAAATTTAGACAGATAAGTAGTTAAGTAGGAGAGGAGCAAAAGTAAGAATAAGATGTGGGTACACACCACATCCGTAGGGCATTTATTCAGATTCATACCAAAGCATAACTATAGGTTTGTCTACGGGCCCCATAAATAGAGTATCCATGAGGCGTGTTTTCTAGAATCTAGAGCGTGTATATTGGGGATCTAGAACGTGCAAGATATACAACCGTCAATATATATATATATATATATATAAGGTATTTTTTTTATGGTTTTATGCGGTGCTCATATCATGAAGAGTATAATCTTATCTTATATTTTCATGGGAATATATTTTAACTTTTATGCAACAGGTGAACTGTAAAATATGCAGCCAAGACCAATGTTAGGATGTAACAAAACTAAAGCAAGGATTAGAGTGGGATCAGGACCAAGGTGAAGTCAGTGTGTCAGTAATCAAGGCCAAGAATACTTTGACAACACTTGCAGGTCGTAGGAGCTGCAATATTCTGAGAAAAAAAATGAAAGTATATGAAATGTACTGAAGATAAATTGATTGAGGTGTAGTAGAGTTCAGAGGCACTCCTTATCTCCAACAATCAAATAAACATGTACAATAAGAAATAAAGCCCTGCCTGCGAAAAAAAAAAAAAAAAAAAAAAAAAAAAAAAAAACACAAATAGGACCATGCCCTTTTATTACGTGGAAGCGAACAACGCGAGAGAAATGGAGAGCACTAATGTTAAAGTTTTGGATACGGTTTGTTTGTTCTTGTACTCTTATCGCTATTAGGGTTACTATGATTACTATTATATGTATATATATTAAAGTTCCAATAAAACCGTTCAGAGTCTTGTTCAAATGCTTCTATCTGTGCGTGGAAATAGTTACTTAAGAAACGCTTATAGGACGCATCATACGTGGCCGCATTATCGTTGGTACATGTGCTATTGGGTAACACTGGAGGTGCGCCATCGAACGTACCATCCCAGCGGTAGCCCATGTCGATGCCGTTTAAATACGTGGCGCAGTCATTGGCTGCGACTGAGAATTCGCTTACCATGGTTGGACCGAATGCCCTGACGCTAGTCGCCACGTCTGTACTCCAGAGTTGACATGCGAACTGTAGCTGTCTAGTCTGGTTCATGCGCAGCAAACCATCGTCAAACATGATATATTGATGGGTATCTAAAGTAGTTATAGTACAACGGTAGTCCCAATAGGTATTTCACGAATTTAGGTTATAAAATTAGCAAACACCCTCTTCTTATATCTGAAATTGTTATACACGTAGAAAATTATTGACACATCAAGAGCTCGCAAGCTAAATAAGTACCCATCATAAGGCGATCAGCCCCTGCTAAGAAGCCGTTCCAAGTACACAGGCCAAGGAAGCCATCGTGAATAATGGCCAATGGGCCTTTGCCTATTCCAGTTGCGGTGCGGAAGACATCAAGTGCCTGTGTATACCAAGGTCATGACTTTGTAACCGCCAATCATAAACCCAGCAGGCTCGTTCAAGAAGCCCATGATAGGGCCATGGGCATAATCCGGACTAGAAAAGAAGGTTACCATTTGCTGGAGATACGTGAGTGTACGTTGTGCGTTTACGGCGCCGCCAGTACCATTGATCCAATTGATCTGTCCTGACCGACCTGAATGGTTCCAAGCATTTTGAGAACCAGGTGCAGCATGAAGTTCAACCATGACGCGGATACCATATCTACGTGCCCATTCAATTGCCCGGAGGAGATAGTTCCACAAGACACTAGGAACATAAGGCTCATCAGCACTAAGAGTGCCCAGAGCCCAAAAGCCAATGGGGATGCGAACGTGATTAAGGCCGAGGCCGCGGATGCGGATAAAGGTCTCTTCACTAACCCAGCTAGTATAATGTTTTTCAAGCAGAGCTTTTGCGCCTTCCTGTCCCAAGTGCTTGCACAACGTGTACTCATCTACGACACCCTTGGAAATATAAGGATTAAAGAGAGAAGGGGTGATGGAGGCCTCTAGAACAAGCCATCCACCGATATTGACACCCGCTTCTTGGTTCTGCCTGAGGCATAGTCAAAGGATTCATCCAAAGCAGGGGTGTAGGCGTTGCATTTTGCAGAGTCATCCTTGGAAGGGAGTGATAGTCTGATTAGGAGTGATAGGTGTGGGAATAAGGACGTTAAGGGTCATTGTTAATGTTATTGTTATTGAGAGGACTTTTTCTCCCATGATGTTATAAGAGCTAGGAGTACGGCGACAGCGGTTGCAATAACCAACAGCTTGAGGAAAGCAATCTTCCCTTGATGTCGTCGCACACACGAGCGTTGATGATATTGTTCAGTACCCATTGTTTTTATAATGTTGCACTGAGATAATGACGAGTAAAATAGAAACAAAAATGGTTTGTTAAGATTGGGCAAGAGAGAGAAGCAGGAGTACAGTCTTAGGAACAAAATTCGGCAGATCATTAAGCTTAACAACTGAGAAATGCACTATAGGGCGAAGAGGAGAAAATGAAAAAAAAAACATGGAGTTGCGCCAAAGGAAAATCCTCTTTGCTCTCTCAGTTATAATTTCTGTGTAACTTGATGATGAAACATTTGGGCCAATGAACGCACGTGCTCCGTTACTCAGTGAAGAATTGAAGCAAGTTTTGCACAATATGAAACGTTTTGAACTATGAATAGACATGGATCAAGTAGATTGGCGTTTTTCATGAAATGGTATGGGTATTTATATACATGTTCATGTACATGAACATTCCTGACTTCATTCTGCTGATGCAGAGAAAAAGCAGGCTGTGCTGTCCTGCGCCAGAGATGTATATTTATATGCCTTTCTTAATCACTCCATCTGTCTTATTTAGTATACAAATGATGATGGAAATGGATTCGGATGTACTTTGAGTGCTTGGCCGGACGAGAAAGGACAGAAGGAAAGGATGGTTAATATGATATTTTAGTCTAACGTGCCAAACATTAAGACAACACAACATGTAATAGCTGTCCATGTGGAAAATACGCAAACATGTTCTCTAATCTCACAAAGATTTCTTTCTCGCCCAATTGCACCGCCAGACAAGAAAGACAGGCACAAGCCAGCCCAGATTCCCAAAAACACTTTTTTTTTTAGTTTGTCTCCTTTAGTCGAACTGCCCTGACTACATTGACTGCTCAATCTTCATCTCATCATCACTATCTTCCTCTTGCAACTATTTAAATTCTTTTTTTTTTTTTTTTTTTTTTTTTTTCTCTCTCTCTCTCCATCCTCTTCTTCATCAGCTTGTTTCCGACATTTTTTAATTTCACATTTTATAACATTCAGGCAATTGCAGCATAGACAATGTCTGCATCAGTGCCTTCTCTGGGTGGGATCCCACTCAAATACATTTCACTTGTTGTGTTATCGGTCCAAAATTCATGTCTCATCATCGTCATGGCTCTGGCGCAGGGTGTCGGTCGCAAGCCTTTTTATTCATCTACTGCTGTTTTCATCAACGAGATCGTCAAGTTGATTGTGTGCACAGCCATGACCATTCATGAGACCATCAAGGACACTGGTCGTTTCTACCCACAGGATTTTCTGAATGATGTCTTTGGTGGCGACGCCTGGAAGCTTGCTATTCCTGCCATGCTCTACGCTATCCAAAACAATCTCCAATACGTGGCTTCGCACGCACTTGATCCTTCAACTTTTCAGGTCACCTATCAACTCAAAATCCTGACCACAGCCCTCTTTTCGGTCTTACTCCTTCACAGGACTCTGCCCGCTCTCAAGTGGTTGGCCCTGGTCATGCTCACAGCAGGGATCGCTCTCGTCAGTGTCGAGGAGTCAAATAACAGAGCCGCACAACGATCTAAAAGCGCTGGGGCAGATCTGGATGCAACTTCGTCGGCTCTTGGCGCATTACTAGAGGAACAAAAGAACGATATCTATAAAGCTGCCGCGCCATCTAATGATCGCCCAGAAGTCTTTGTGGGATTGATGGCGGTCATGATTGCCTGCGTCCTCTCAGGTCTTGCAGGCGTGTACTTTGAAAAGATTCTTAAAAACACTCAGGGATCAATTTGGCTCAGGAATATTCAGCTATCATTTTTTTCGCTGCCTTTTTCATTATTGGCTATTTATCTTAAGGATGGCGAGGGCGTCACGGAACAAGGTTTCTTTGCAGGATACGACATGTTGGTTGTCACTGCAATTGCCTGTCAGTCTGCAGGTGGCCTCATTGTGGCAGTGGTACTAAAGTATGCAGACAACATTCTGAAAGGATTTGCCACAAGTATTTCAATCGTCATCAGTGCCATTGCCAGTGTAGCACTCTTTGGCTCCAAGATCGGTACCATCTTCCTTTTTGGCACTATCCTCGTCCTTAGCGCTACTTATATCTATAACCTCCCAGATAAGCCAGTTATCAAGTAAGTTATCGTGGATAGTTGATAACTTTCTATTATGGGATGAATGACCATTGCTGATAGAGCGTTTGTTCTGACTCTTTCCTCATTTTTAATTCTCTTATTCCCTCAGATATGTAGATCTAGGCAGCCAGTTGGATACCTTCCATGCAGAGGAGAGTCGTCTAGGTTCACCGCACCAAGGAAGTAACGAGACGCTCTCAACACCAACCACAAACAATGGACCATCAGTGCGACTCGATAGAATCCGAGGACAATCATAATTTGCTTTGTTCTTTCACAGCTCTTCCCTTTCCTTTCTTTTTGTTTTGCAAACTTTTTGACCGATGATCATTCATTATAATAAATCCATTTTCTTTTTATTTCTGTTATGACTTCAAATGTAGTGAGTTTTAGAAAGCCTTTTTTGTATGTTGTCTTGATAGGGCTCATGCTCCTTGTTTGTATTTGAGATCATACACACAAAAAAATTCCAGAACAGTCAGGCCCAAAGCTGAAAACAGTCAAAAGTAACATGAATGCGCACAAATAGTTCAAGGGAAGAGAGGCGGTGCGAATGTATGGATCGGAGGCAGTGCGTTTGCTCAGTTGTGACAAAGGCAGGTAAAAAAAAAAAATTGACAAAATGATACGGAAAGTGATGAGCCCTTGCCTCCTCGCCTCGATGTAGACTATTGAATGTATATTTGTGCAAGGAAAATTTAATTTGGATGTACACCTGTAACATGAAGCAGGAAGCTTTTAGCTTACCGTCATCCTGTCACTGTTTCTCGTCTACTACCCAACAACTTTTTCTACACAATTGGCTGAACTGATTCATTTTCCTTTTTTTTTTACTCCATCATCATTTCCTGTCTGTCTCCCCCTTAAACTGTCGAGGCTCAGCGTATTTTCTTTCTTTCCTTTCTCTTCCTTGCCACTTCCACCTGGCCACAACTTTCCTCTTCTGCGACTAGTGCCCAAATACATACAGGGATCATCATGCCATCCACCCCTGTTCGTCCTCTCTCCAATCACTTGGTAATCAACACTCACAATCTCTCTCAGGCACATAATCGAGGCTCTCCCCGATCAGCTAATGCCAACAATGCAATGTCATTTAAAGATCCTCATCGTCCACCAGTGGAAAAGCGCCACAGCTTTGGACCAGGTTCAGGGCATGGAGGCATTAATGGTGGTAGTGCTGGGGGCAATGGCTTCTTCCCAACCCATTCGCATCTCGGACACGGGCACTCTCGGCCACGCAACAGCCTCACCTTGACTCTCCTCCGCATCCTCGCTTCCATGCCGGGGTTCCTGGGGTTAGTTTACAGTCTCTCAACTGCCCAGGACAGTGACTTTTTGGAATTACAACGTAACAAGTATCGAGAATCATCCTACCGTAGCTCGAGTGATGAAGTACCGTTAACAAGCTCTGACTTTTTGGTCGCAAGCACGTAAGCTGCCTGTCAATGATATTAGACATAGACATGTATCTTACTTATGATATATGTTGTGCCCGGTCGCCATCTTAACTCATGGCAAATCATTATCTATTTTTCTCCTTTCCATAGGTGGGCAAGTTCCTTTCATCATTTTCTTTGTTTTTTGTTTGTTGTGAATGGAAAGGATCCTGAATTGGAGATGGGCGTAATGCTTGTTTCATGATGTTTTCTAATCCTTTTTAATTTTCCCTCTTTATTTTCGCACCTGATGACGATGGATGTATTTATGGATTTTAGTGCGGCCTGTCCATGTTTTGGGCATTCTTACTCACAACAGCACTAATTCAACGACTTCTTCAGTCATATCGTCATTCAAATGTCGTCTTGAGGATTGCGCTGGCGCATCTTCTCAGCTGGGTTGTCATTGGAATCATCGTTACCTCTAGGCCTGTTACTGAACCGACACGGCCTTGGGTTCTCATTACTTTTGGTCAAGGCCTTCTTCTATTAGTTATTGTTTATCTTCCATGGTTCAAATCGCAAATTCATGCAGCAGGCTTTCCAAAGCTTTCAGAACGGCTTGCGAATCATGCCATTGAGGACGGATTCATGGGACGGGAGATCAATGGACATTCAGCAACTCGCTTTTTGGTTGTACCCTTTGTAATAGTGGCTCTTTGTTCGTGGATGCTGATCATTACACGTGGCAATGGCTATTTGCAAGATCGAAGTCAAAACGGGATCATGAGTGGCTCAATAGACCAGTCGCCCAGTGGATATTCACCCTCAAGTGTTGCTGGTTCGTTCTTGAAGGATATTGACCGCCAGGAAGACAGTCGTATGGTGATTTCTATGATCGTTCTCTCATCCTCCACAGTTCAGGGATATCTCAATCGACAACTTTTCCGTGAAACGACCTTGAAACTCTTCCCGAGCCCACGCAACAAGGCTGTAGTCGTGAAATATCGCTTTATCATTGGCAACTCTGGACCAGAGCTCGAACGTGAACTGGAGCAGGAGTATAAGCGAATGGGAGACCTCTTGATTGTCTCTGCGCCGGACAGACCTGACACCAAGAGTCAAAAGTTGTACAAAGCTATTGAATGGGCTAATCAATTTGATTTCGATTACTTAGTCAAAACTGATGATGATGTTTTCGTCAGGATGGACACTTTATCAGGGGAGCTTTACAAACAGGGCAGGAAGCCATACTTTTGGAAAGGACTCGTCTTCAAGTACGTTTATGTTATATGAGATGTTGCTATTAAGTTCTATTATTCTATCCCTCTCACGGCTTCCTACACATTGACTTTATGATTAACCCAAAGTTTGTTTATTGCTGCTCTCGGTTAATAGAAATGTCCCCAACACACGCCTGGATGACATGGATCTAAAAGAAATACCACCATTCACGGACGGCACATTGATAACGCTTTCTCGTGATATTGTCCGCCTTTTGGCTGTTCCTGCTCCTCGCTTCTTTGTCGCGAGTAGTGCTCAATCTCTTGGTATCTGGTTGCATGGTTATGGTATCAAACCCCAACATGACACTCGCATTCAACCCGGCGCATTCGTATGCGAAGAAGATTTGATCGCCAAACACTTTGATAATGAACCGAGTCTTCTGCGCCATCCTCGTGAAGATCCTATCAAAATGCTTGAGCGTATTAACCGTATTCGAGCTGAGCTGAAGGAAAACAAAAACAACCGCAACTTTCAGACGTCCATTTCAATTTGTGATCCACTTATTCAGAAGCGATGCGCTATGTGCTATTCATGTAGAGGACGCGCCTCTAATTGGAAGTTGATGGGCTTCGACTGTAAACAAGGGGGTGTTGTCGTAGGAGACAAGTACAGGAAGCCCGAGTTGGTGGATGCTAAACAGATGGATGAGTTGCTTAATAGGCCATCTAGTGGAATTTCGGAAGAATTGGGTCCTGTCACCTTGAAGGATTACCGACCAGAATCAAGGGCTCGACAACAATTACAGTCATCGAATCAGGGTGGTACTGGCCCCATAAATAATGCAGATATTGGTACAAGCTCTGAAGAAACGCTTGATAGTAATGATCAAGAAGAGGAAAGAGAGGATGTTCCTAGTGATGGAGAAACAGAACTATCTCAAGATGAAGTCGTAGAGCCGCAAGATGAAGAGACGCTGACTGTTCAGGATGATGAAGTCTTGGATGACTCTGATAACGAGAACGAACATCACGATGAATCAGAAATTTCCATCTCTGATCAGGTAGTGGACTACCTAGACCGCCGTCATGATGAAGACCAACTTTCTCCTCCGCTCGACCCTGTGCGCTCCAGTAGGAAAAAGTCCACTTCCAAGGTCACCAAATGATTTTTAATTTGTCTTATCATCAATGTCATGTAAAAAAAAAAAAAAAAAACTATTTAAAAACATTATTACATAAACATTTTCATTTTATAAAAGCATCGTATATATATTTTCCATCTATTACTCCCATCCAACAATAAAGCATGTTAAATGATGACAAACATCAAACAGCCCAACTCGAAACAGACAAGGCGATATGCGCAATCTGTCTGACACATTGCGACGAACGAGTATACCTTTCACCATGCTTCCATTCATTCTGTGCTGCTTGCATCGCCGCATGGTTTGACATTACTTTGAAATGCCCCCTTTGCAAGACAACGCCGGCCAAGCTGCACTGGGGAGTAAATACTAGATTGGGGATCATAAATACCATTCAAATCACCACCGAAGAACATCAATCACACCCCTCGAACTCACAGCGCACATCGTCAGCCGCTAGACCGATGCCCTTTGATATTGTTTCATGGAGGACCGCTCTGAGGAATGTTGTCAAGAATGTTACTAACGTTAAGCAACCGACTGGAGGCGAAGAAAGCACTGACGGATCGAGTTCAATTACTCTAGATGGAACATCAAGCCCCGAAATATCAGAATTGTCCAGCAAGGCTTCACATAAGAGGAGTAATGGTACAGACTTGGAGCAACGACGCAAACGACCTCATTTTTCCTCCGTTACGCGTTCACGTTCACGATCACGGTCTCGTTCACGATCCAGGTCTACAACGCCTATTGATAGCTATCACCACGACTATGAGTCCCCATTTCTCTACTCTTCAACGTCATCGCTAGCCCCCACCGACTATACCGATCCAGGCAATAGTCATGTTATGCAAGAAGAGTGTGAATCCTTGGATCAGGAAACTCCGTGTAGCCCTCCTACTCGAAGAGAGATTTACATTAAAGGAATGGCTCCTTACCCACCCAGTGAATATCCACTAGCGGATCGAATCCATGCCTCCGATATGGTGCTTTTATTACCTTTTCTTGAGCGTGATCTGGCAGTGTTGACGGATTCGGCTCCAAAGTCAGTTGATCCCATCATCATGGCTCATGTCAGCAGTCTTTTACAAATACATTCTAGGAATCAGGCTGACTCGAGATCGAGCTCCCAAAAGGATAACAAATACATAAGGAAGGCACATACATCGGATTCGAGTCGGTGGCATCCTATCATAAGAGAAATATCTCAGTGGGTGACCCTTACTTCAAATAACTCTGGCACGACAGAGATGGCTATGGCTGAACTTTTTGTTCAAGAAATGCGTCGAGTTGTACATAAGCGATGGAAACTTGCTATATGGGATCATCGTGTCAAATATGAAGTTATATCGTAATACGACTCTTTCTGAAATAGCATTAAAAACAGCTGCAGCTACAGGTCATGAAATGCTTTTTTTTTTTTTTTTTTTTTTTTTAATACATATGACAAGAAGACAAGAAGTCGCCACTAATTGTCCAAAAGACGAAAAATTCAAAGGCGTGCGCGGCCCGCAAGGACTAAAATGCTTTCATTCGGCCCAAAAGGTTCATAACGACCTTGAGTCCAGCAGAATAAACGATCATCAACCTTAGACAAATCAAAGCCTTCCTTCTTGAGTGTAACTTTTTTGTTCTTGAATGTTCCTGTAATCTCAAGCTCTTTCTGGCAGATACGTACAAATCGCGGGATTGCATAAGAAGGCAGATGCTTTCTAACATGCTCACCTAGTCGACCCATGAACTCTTCAAGAGCTTTCTCATTCAACTTCCTGTTGTCATTTAGTATGAGGTCCGTATTCTGTTGCTCAGTTATGGTAGTAGTGATGGCAATAGAATCAGCAACATCTGTAGTAGTAAGAGCAACTATGTTCTCGCACTCTCTAAACCTCGGCATTGCATCTTTATCGACAATCACCAGTTCCCAAAAGTGATCCTTTAAGACAATGGCCACCATCCCTGCTCGACCATCATGATTAGGAATATTGACTCCATATACTGCGCATGCGGCGATACCATCCATACAACCCAGTCTATCAGCAACTTCAGCTGTCGAGACATTTTCTCCCTTCCATCGAAATGTGTCGCCAGCACGATCTGCAAAATACCAGAAATGATCCTTTGAACGATAGAGAAGATCACCAGACCGCATCCACTGATCACCTTGTTGGAACACATCCTGAATTAGTCTTGCTTTAGACATCTCTGGCTGGTTAAAGTAGCCAACATAACGTGTGTAGCTCTTGTTGTTATCAACCATGCTGATCAACTCGCCCGTCTCGCCCGGTACACACTCAATACAAAACCCGTTCTTGTCCTTGATCAGCTCTTCATTGTCAGTATCAACTCTGACAAGTCGAACCCCCGGTTGGATAGTGCTATTCAGACAACGGTATTTTTCATGCCATCTTTTATGTCAGTACATATTGAATAAAGCCCAGGAAGCTTTTTTTTTTTTTTTTTTTTTTTTTTTTTTTTTAAAAAAAAAAAAAAAAAAAAAAAAGTAAAGATGATACAGTTTTTGACAAAGGTTCACTCAGCTACTCACCGAATGAAAGGCCCTCGGAATCTATTAAGTTAATAAAGGTTGTTAGAAGGTGCTGTGCTGTATTGATTTCAGAGTGGTGTCTCATTGTCAGGCACCTTACCCTACAGCGCCGGCGCCATCCTCCCCTCCGCATACATTGAATAGAGCGCTTGAAGCCGCTGTCATGAGATTTTTAAATTTATATTATTAATATAATCCAAGCCTAAATGAAGTTTTTTTGCGTTTTTTTTTTTTTTTTTTTTTTTTTTTTTTGTTTTTACCTTCGCTCATTGAATAGTATTCGAAAACGTTGTCAATGGCAAAGCGGTCTTGAAACTTGAGCCAGACGTCAGGGCGTAGGCCATTGCCAAGTACAATCCTGACCTTATTTGCTTTATCGAGAGGATGTTCCGGCGTATTTAAAAGGTATCGGCAGAGCTCTCCTATATGTATAATCGCAGTTACTTCTTGTTCTCTGACTTATATATATACAGAAAGCTAGTTAATATACTTTTATACTGGTATTTTAATATATGGATGGATCTGCCATTGTTGTTAAATAACATACCTTCTTTCCAGAAAGTCGAGGCCGAGAACTTTCGAGCTAAAACAACAGTGCCCCCTGTTATCCAAGTATGAACAACGCCAAGAATGGCTTGAGTTGAAGGAAGAAAATATATATATATAGATATTAATAAATATTCCTATTCGTATTCATGGTAATTATTAATGTCAGCAGCATGAGGCATAGTCATTACCTCCTGCTGTGTGGTATAAAGGCAAACAATCATACAGGCGATCCTTCTCTGTAAGTTTGGCAATGGCTACGCAGGTAGCCACAATCACTGTTTGTTCAATTGAGAATAGAGAGTTATTAGTGTTGGGGGCCATCCTTGTTGGTGTTGTTGGAGCCTATCTAGAAAAAAGGGGATAAGGCAATGCTTACATGTGCATCGCCCATGGTCCATGACAGCTGCTTTTGGAAGTCCGGTGGTGCCGCTAGTGAATATAAGACCTGCTGGGTCGCTAATATCCACATCTTTTCGAGACTCTCGTGGGAAGCCGGTAGCTTCATATCGTTCCCAATCCATAAAACCAAAAGGCTGTGGCCCTGGTCTCGATCCATACTGATAAAATCGTACCAACACCTCCTCTTTTGGTGTGATTGTATAAAGGGAGTAACCAAGATCATCTCGAATAGCCGAAATAGACTCTTCCAGGATATTAAAGAATTCAAAGTCAAATACAAAGAATTTCGCATTTACAACCTTGAGCGAGTGTATAAGACCAGCTCCGGTGATTTGGTTGTTGATAAAGGCTGGTACGGCCTTGATCTTGAGCAAAGCCAGCCAAGAGAAGATAAAGAGAGGAGAGTTGGCCATGTACATGGCCACACGATCTTTGGGACATATTCCTTTCGAGATATACCAGTGTGCCATTCGATTGGATGCTTGTTCTACATCTCTCCAGGTGTATGTGCAGCCTTCAAAGACAATGGCAGGCGCGAAGGGACGGCGATGGCATTGATCGTCAAATCGGTTGTAGAGACTGATATCGTTGTTGGCTATAAGTTTTTCGAGCCTAATGGTATATTTGATTGGTGTCTGAAGTTGAGTGACATTTTTGTGTATGGACAAGTACTTCTTTTTGCCTGTTCTCATAAGACTCACCAGTACTTATTTTTCATGCCCGGAATGCCAAATTTTAGGTCACGCGAGAATCGGGTCCTGCCATCGAAATAGAAACCTGCAGATAAGAGTGCTAGCGCGCTGGTGGCGATAGAGATCATTGCGTTCTTAGCTTTTAAGCTTTTGTCTTCGTAAATAGTGAGGTTTCGGCAAAAAGAGCAGATAGCCTATAGATATGTAGAAAGAAGACGAAAAAAAGAAAGGGAAGGAAGGAGGAAGCTGAGTTCTTCTTATTTCTAACAGAGTGATGATCTTGGGGCTTTAGTGGTTCCATTTCCTTACTCCTCAGCCACGATCATACTGTGGAGGCAGTCGATAGGATGAGTACTCAGTGAGACTTACTATCGAGAAATTAAACAAACTGGACTATAGCTTATGGCAATGAGATGTAAGTACACCTCTCATGTGATTAAATACAGGATTCATGTGCGTCATCACTGAAATTCTGGTAGTATTTAGCGCGATAATGCTTTGCCATTGTTGTTATTGTTGGTGGCGGTGGTGTTGTTGTTGATGTTGATGGGCATTGGGCATTGGGCATCGAAGTGCGCGGGTGTACGTTCAACGTGAGCGCGTTTGTCTGCATTGCTTCGATTGATAGTAAATCATCGTCATTATCATCAAACGTGTCACACAGACCAACAAAAAAGTTGATGGGCGTGGGCTCAAACTCATTAATGACGTTCTTGAGAGATGGTTTATCTTTCTTTCGTCTTCTTTCTTCCTCCATTTAATTTATCATTGCCCATTCTTTTTTTTTTTTTTTTTTTTTTCTTCTCCTAATTCAATCTTTATTTTTGAAAGTGAAATTGCAATCTCACCATGCTCCCCACTGCTGGAATCACACAGATTTACACCTTCCCGGACACTGGCGCGTTGTCGCAGGGCCTTGACAAATATGTCGCCAAGCTGTCTGACGAGGCCATTAAGCGCCACGGCAAGTTTACTCTCGCGCTTTCAGGAGGATCTCTTCCCAAGCAGCTGAGCGCTGTCCTCAAGCATAATAAATCTATCGACTTTGTAAGCAAACCACAGTCGGGTATCTAGGAGGTGGCATCTCATATTTCTTCGGCATGGAAAATGTGCGAAACTAAATAGTAAATTTTTTTTTTTTTCCTCTCACATCTCTAGTCTAATTGGATTGTGTACTTTGCTGATGAGCGCTGCGTTCCTCTGGACCACGAAGATTCCAATTACCTACTTGCTAAAAAGGAGCTTTTTGATTTTGTTGATATCCCAGAGGAAAACATTCATACTATCCTTCCTGACCTAGATCTTGCCAACAAACCATTGGCGGAAGCTCAGGAGGCGGCACAGGAAGCCGCAGAGGATTACATTTCGCAACTCGCCAAAACCTTTGCTACTAAAGACTCTGTCCGTTTCCCAGTCTTTGACCTAATCCTGCTCGGCGTCGGTCCTGATGGCCATACCTGCTCACTTTTCCCAAATCACGAGCTTTTGAACGAAACCGCAGAATGGTGTGCCTCGATTTCAGATTCGCCGAAACCACCACCATTCAGAATTACGCTCACTTTGCCAGTGCTTAACCATGCTCATCATGTGGCCTTTGTTGCTGCTGGTGAGGGAAAACAAGATGTGCTTCATCACATTCTAGATAATCCTGGTCATTTGCCTGCGCAGTTGGTTAAGCCCAAGACTGGTACTCTGAGCTGGTTCCTCGATGACGCAGCAGCAGCTAAAGTCACTTCTGCCACTCAAAGGGGTCTTGAGCGACTTTAAAAAAAAAAAAAAAAAAAAAAGCCTTTTCATTTTTCCCACATCACATTCCCTCAGCAAATAGCAATGTTTCATTCCTGAAGGTAAAAATAAAAAAAAATAAAAAAAAAAAAAGTTGCATTTTATAGGATTGGAGCAGCATTCTATGCTGCCAGTGCTCTACAGAGTTACTGTTTTGACTCTTCATCTAGTAATGAACAAAGTACTTTGCGCGCAAAGTCTACATATGGCTCTCGCTTCATGCCCAGGAGGACAGAATCAACTTGAGTGTGTTCCAGTAAATATTCCACTGCAAACTGCTCGATGGACTCGCCTTTAAGATCAATGCCGCGATCCGTTAACATCTTAGTGACCCGTTGGGTCTCTTGTGAGCGTACTTGCTGATGAAATACTCGAACAAAATGATCCAAATGTTGCACGAGGTTTTCTACTTCCTCAGCACTTGGTTTTAGGGAGATAGGCTGAGAGAGCTGTGATGGATTAGATTTTTTGTCCGAGTTTGTTTGCCCTTGGTTTTGACTATGGCGCCCCTTGTCGCCTTCACCGTCTGTGAAAGCTTGTTTTTTATTCTCTGGCGCTTGTTGAGATCTAGGAGACGATGATGGTGTATGGAAGGTTTTGATTGGGCTGGCGAGCTCGCTATGTAGTTGGCTCTGAATAGAGGCGCCTTCCATATGAATAATTGAAAGATGATTTGTTTGAAGTGATGCATCCAAACCTTCAATCATCGTTCTGAGCCGCTGCATTTTATGTTGCAAATACTCTCGTTGTTGACCAAGCCTGGAGAGAGCCTCAAGTACCTGAGCTTTGGCTTCTAAATAAGTTGGCGACTGTGGTGCTGGATAAGAAGCAAGCCGGACAGGGTGGTGGTCTGGAGACATAGCGTTCAAAGGGCGATTCAAAAATACACTCAAGCCTTGAGCTTTGGCCCATTTCGCAGTTGTTTGGACACCCTCCATCTCCAGGAGGTTACCTGGCATTTGAAGGAAACCAAAACCATGAGACGTCCTAGATAAAGTGTTAGGAGTAGCAGGTGAAGGACGAATGTGGTCCTCAGACCAAGTTCCCTGCCTTGCACTATTGGTTGTCGCTACGCCTTCTACCTTGGGCCTTAAAGGAGTCCTGTGCCTTCCGGCCATTGTCCCTTGAGCTTGTTTTTGTGCTCGCACTCTTTCCGAAGCCGTAGTTGCGATCTTGACCAGATCCTGATAAGGCAAAAAGTGCCCGTGAGAAGGCTTCAGAGAAAACGAATTACTGCTGATGCCGTAAGCTCGAATACGTCCCCTATCAATCTCCCGTTCTAGTTCCTCGAACAAGAGAGCTAAGCGATTTAGAAGAATCCCTTGGTGCTCTATGAAAAATAGATCATATTGATTAAATAAAAAAAAAAACTAAAATAAAAAAAAAAGAAAACAATAAAACCAGGGAAGAAACACTGATAAATGATAACCACCTACTTTTTACATTGGACTCTGGGTTATTTACATTGGTCATGAGATAATATTCAGGATTGTGGACAAAGAGAATGTCCACAAATTTGGTTTTCAGTCTTTCTAGAGAGCGCGTAAGCTGATCTCTTGAAATGGTTTCAGCAAACAACGGAAAGACCAAAATGAGATCAGCACGTGTATGTTATTGTTTGTTTGTAATCACTGTCAAATGGAGTTGGAGTGGATATGAGCGCATTTGGATATCTGAAAGAGACAAGAAGCAATCTTAATTGACCGATGAGGGCTCATCAATCCGAACAATGTCCTCACCTCATGAACTCGGGGTGGATACAATGATAGCATTCATTGGAATATTCCACAATCTCCTCTGGAGGAACTCTCTACGTTGTAAGTGCAATGAAAAAAGTAAATGGGTATCGTTAAGAAGTGAGATTGTGGGAAAACCTTAAATAAACAGGATTAAATAGATGGTTTTGTCTCCGCTTCTTTTATTCGTGCCGTTTACTTTGAAGACGCCCTCTGACAACAGTCGCATGTTCTCGTTCTGAATATAACCAAATTTCGTAGCAATGACCAGTTCGTCTCGTGTTAGCGTGTTGTGTTGGGGATTGGAAAGAACCTATTTACCAGCATAAAAAGAAAAAAAAAGAAAAAATTAATGCATAGGACGATAATGTTTTCTACAAAGTCAATAAAAGAGGAATAGAAAGCCATTTCTGTCATTGCCTTTCCAATAAGCTGCTCGCTTCGTCCATTGGCATAGTTGGTAGAGGTATCGATGAGTGTGATGTTATGTCGAGGGTCTTGTTGCCGTTCCAATGCCTTGTAGAATACACGCTCATGCTCAGGTACGCCAAGAGCGAAGCGATAGGTACCAATACCCAAGCGGGAGACAACACGTGAGACTGAGCTTGTCATTGAGTTATTCAGCCTAGAAGGTGATAGGGTGATGAAGAGGAAGAGGGAAACAGGAGGCTAAAGTTGGAAGGAAGAGAAGAGAAAAATAAAAAGTGCCCTTTTAGTGGTTACTTGCATACATAAAGTGGACACAACAGTCTCACCCAATGACCTGAACTTTATTTGGATTGGCTCGCCAACCAGAGGAGATTTTAATCACTTCTGCACGTTTTCCAAGTCAAAAGTAGTCTAAGTAATTTTATCGCATTTTTAAGACCTCACTAAAGACTTAAAACTATTCCACACTCTGTTAATTGGGAATCGTAACTTGCACTAGGCTCGAATCCAGTCAGAGAGGGAAGCTTGCATCTAAACGTGCAAGCCAAATTTTGTTGCAACGACATTTTGCTTGCACGTTTAGATGCAAGCTTCCCTCTCTGACTGGATTCGAGCCTAATAAAGCACCACAGCTGACTAAGAAACGATCAATTGGGCCTTTAATGGTAATTTTTTTCGTTTCGCGAGATCTTTTTCGCGCTGTTTTCGAGGGCTAGATAACACACTTGGCGTTCTGAGTCGTTCTTGTGTCTGTGCACAAAGCCATTGAAGTAGTTCTGCAGCTTACCATTTCAGCTTTACCTTTTAATAAATCTGTTTGTAATATATTTTGCAGGTGTTCCTTGTACTTTATAATGTTTTATTTTCAATGAACGCTGCAATAGGCTCAAAGTGTAAATCTCATCATAGAAGAGGTTCATTTCAGTAGCTTTGAGAGCACCTATTATGACTTGTAGAAGGTCAACATCACTTCTCCCTTGATCAATATAGCTTTTGCTAAATTTGAGTATTGCTAGGTCATTACAGTCCTAGGTTAAATACTAAGACTAGCGAGGTCGTATGCAATCTCAGATCCTTCACTTTCTGTTAATTAATGCGGATTAAAGTTCATTCTCACAGAGGGAATAGCACGATATCACATAAATTTCTTTCGAGTAAGTAAGACGCAGACCCTTTGCCTTCTGAATAACATATTGTCTATGCTGAGAAAAGCGTTGGGATACAGAGTCGCTGCTGCCTTTACGGTAACCTTTCATTGAAAACAGCGAAGCGTATGAAATGAGTAAATACGATTTGTGAATGACATTCAGCAAATAGGCAAATAAGTTGATAGTGATATTTCATCTTGCATTCTTCACTTGAGGAAGCTTGCTTCTCATCTCGTAGAGAAGTCGATTCTTGAATAATATTCAGTCCCGGTAGTGCAATAGGCCCTATCGAAAGACAGAGACATAGCCTATAGCAAAGGCAATTAATAACTATTATGAGCTGCATCTTACTATCTGAAGATAAGAGTCACCCTAGACTCAATATTTATCAGCAGAGAACTTAAATCTGTAAGAGACCCTGCGATGGCAAGGGTCATACTCAGCTTTAAGGCATCACCTGGGCAACAACAAAAAAAGTGAGTATTGCGAGTAAACACTTCATATGCGTGTATGTCTCGAAAGGTTATAGATAATTGCGAAAATAACATCGGTACCTCGTTCATGACGCTCTATTAACATTCAGTGTGTAACTGGAAATATAGTATCGTTTTATCCAAGTGCTTTGCTATAGAAATCGTAGAATAAAGCATTCCTCCTTAGATTTCTCTAACTTCGGCTTTTGCACTCTTCATTACCTTGAAAATACAAATAAAGTGAAAGACTAGCTAGTTTGAAAATAGAGAGTTCAAGAGAATAAATGTTATAAAATGGCTGTGACAGATTGATAATCAAATAAATAATTTGCTGCTATGATCCACTCACGATTATCTATGGCACCTAATATCTTTTTTCTTTTTTTTTCTTTTTTTTTTTACTAGACTAAGTAAAATAGAAGATAATTGACATATCAATTTTTTCCTTCTGTTGCTTCATTTTCTTCTATGCCTTCTTAGTGGTTTTTGCACTCGAGTCCAGTCCTCCCCAAAGGTAAACAAATGTAAAGATCAGCAATCCAATGCCCATACTAGCTGCGCTCGTATAGTAAGGCTTAGCTTGGGAGATAAAGCGAGGGTACTGGTCATGACGGAAGGGATGGATACCGACCGTTGTCACACTTTCAATGTAAGTGAGTCCAGGGCGCTTGTAGTTAACCGTAAATTTAAACACGCCATACTGATCTGGAAGCTGAACGGTGGTTGAAAAAGTGCCTACGATGCCTTCATCCTTGTCCATAGGACTTTCATCAAGTGTCTTGCGAATATAAGGGTCCAGCATGATCAATTCCAGCTGAACATCGTTCGCGGAGAATGCACGCCATTCACCATTATGGTACTCACTAATGTAGATACTGTAAGTCTATAGCGCACGAAAAAAAAAAAAAAAAAAAAAAAAAAAAATTAACATCACAGCATAAAACAGTATGAATAATAGATAGGAAAGAGATCGAGACCAACCATGTTGTCCTTGATGCGATAGTGAGCGGGCGCATTTTCCTCTCCAACCTTGTTGTGGTAGACACCAACGACATCAAGTACGGCTGTCTCATGGAAAACCCATTTGGTCAAAGCTTCGATGAATTGGCGGTTACCGGAGATGGTTCTATCGTAAGTAAATACATAATGTATCATAAAAAATGAAAGATTAAATCGTGTCAAAAAGTGAGCCATCTTAAATAGTCATTTTTGAGCTCTGGCTAAGGTCGAACGCCTTAGCCTGCGCCGGCTTCTAGCTTAGCCACAGTTTATATCTTAGCTACACTTACTCCTTTTCACCTTGCTTCGCAATGGGCTCAAAAATGAATGGATCTGTCAACATTTCTGTACTTCCCAAAAATGCGATGCGAGCGTTGTTGCGGGCCTGCATCACTGAGACTAGGCTAATGTCCTTTCCAGAGATGACGGGGTCCTGATCTGCACTCCCATTCAAGTTTACAGATTCCCACGAGTACGCCTCCTGTGGAGCCCAAAGGATTGGAGTTAAGAGTGAGTTGGAAGGGTTGACAGAATGAGCAATGCCACGGAACAAGATTGGACCTGGGATCTTATCTACAGGTATAATGTTATCAAGCTTGGCCATATGTGTTGCAGGGTTGATCACAATAGCGTCATGTTTCTCTTTTCCAAAGCCAGTGTCATAATTGAAGTGATCCAACACGGTCGTGAATTTGTTATCAAACTCAACATCGAATTCTCTAGAGAGCTCGCGAACAGTGTTTCCTAACTCTGGTGAGCCGGCCACCAAGAGATTGCCTCCATCCGCAACGAATCCGACAACAGCCTTTGCGCTCATTCCTTCAGGATATGCTGATGAGATAAAAATTAATAAACAAATAGTTTGGAGAAGACGAGCAATAAAAAGGGGTCAATTAACTGATAATATTTCTCTTGCTTCACAGCTTTTTTGCCGTTGCTGCTGCTGTTGTTACTGCTTCGATAGCAATGTGATATTTGGTATCCACCAAAAAAAAAAAAGTCCACAAACCTTTCATTTTTGGTGAGAGGATGAGGAGGTGATCGAATTGGCGCTGGCCATTCTTATTCAAAGCAACAGGCTGACTAACATCATGAAGGGTGAGGTTATACTCGCGTGCTATTGATGTATAGCAAAGGTTACAGGTGGGACAAAGAAACATGCGCTCAAATGTTAGATGGTGATTTGGAGCAATAAAAAAATGTGAGAGAAGGGTCAACATTTCTTAGCGCAATGCATTATTTCCTGTCCATTACCCTGGAGATCATTCCAAAGCTCCAAGTATACATGTGCACCCTCAACATCGTCCAAGAGAACAAGAGCGCGCTCTCCAGTAAGAGAGCTGGCATGGGCCATCAAAGCCAGAGCCAAGGTCGACAAGAGAACAAGTACGCGCATGACAGTCTTGATGAAAATGAGAGAAGTCCAGTATGTTAGTCTGTCAATCTGTCGGTCTTATCGGTCCGTCGAGTAATGGAAAAAAAGTGCCCGAGAGATGGATAATAACAAGAACGGGATGAGTGAGAGCGCGTCTTCTTCTTCGTGTGCTTCAGTGACTCGTGCTTCCCTTGTCTAATTTCAGTTACTTGATAGCCAGTAGTAATTGTCCAAGTCACGTCTCTAACGTATTTTGAGAGAGGTTTGTGCTGTACTCTCAGCATTTTGAGGTAAACGATCCAGTCTTTATCTCCGTTGATTGATCAGTTGAGTGCTGCTGCTTCGCTATGACCCGCGGATTGCAAAAGTTGCAAGCTAGAGCCAACGCTGAAAAGCGCGCAGCCGCCAATGCGCCTCCCAAGAGCCAACTGAAGGCTATGGTAGAAGGCAATAAATTCAAGTGCCCCAAATGTCTCATCATGATTGCCAATTACAAGCTGATCGTCCAACACATGGAGGCGAAACATCCCAAAGAGCCTATTCCACCAGAGTCCTCTTTCAATGTTTAATTTAACACATCTACACATCATTACACATCATTACACATCATAGTACCAACCGGTCCTTAGACATTATTAGAATATTAAAAAAATGTGTTTTCATTCAGTCCAACTTATTGTGGGTCTCTATTTATCGGCAGCATGCACTCTATCGTCTATCATATCTTTAAATTGCTGTGTTATAAACACACTGTTGGATGCAGACTATTACAATATAAACACTACGTATTTATCAGTTCAAAAGTGAGCTAAGAGATATACGGCTGCTACTGCCCCCACTTGACCCCTGTCCTTGTCCTTGTCCTTGTCCTTGTCCTTGTCCTTGTCCTTGTCCTTGTCCTTGTGAATGCGGGTCATATTGGCCAGTTGCTGGAGGGAAAATAGGGCCACGCTGATTAGGATGAGAGTTATATCTTAGATCAGTTGAATGTGCCCCTTGAATGTTATTTGAAGGATGATAATCCGGATGTCCTCCTTGTGTTGAATGATAGGATGGTTGACTAAGATGTTGATGGTGTTGGTGTTGGAATGACGATTGCTGGTAAGATGCATGTTGTTGTTGCTGTCCATGTGCTGGAGGCTGTTGTATGTGCTGTGTATGCTGTTGCTGATGGGAGTGCTGTGATCCATGGTACTGCGAGTGATGCTGTGCTTGCTCTTGCTTCTGATGCCATTGTTGTTCTGCTCGAGATGGGTTCATCCTTGGGTGGTCTCCTGGTTGTCCTGGTAATGCCGCTTGTCGATGCGATGTCTGGTACTGATGCTGCTGAAAGTGTTGCTGTTGCTGCGGTTGCACTTGCGGATGCTTCTGTGCTTGTTGTGGTTGCTGTGGTTGCTGCATATAGGCATCAGAAGGTGATCTATTGTGTGATCTTGACTGAGAGTGCTGAACAACCATATCCTGGGATCGCGAGATGCCATGACCTAAATTAGGATGCATCTCTTGAGGGTGTCGCGTCTGTTGTTGCTGAAGCTGAAGTTGCTCTCGCTGCACCATCTGGGAGTACTCCAAACTACCACGAGCGGGATGGGACTGTACCTGTGACGACAGCTGCCCAGGATGCGTCGGTTGGGAGGATATCTGTGAAGGATAGGAACCAGTGCTCGGAGATTGCCTTGGACGAGGCGTATAAGGATCTGCGAGTTGGCTTCGAGGCGGTGGGGCAATGTCGTAAGTGACAGACGGGTTCCTAGAATGAGTTCCTTGATGTTGTCCAACAGCAGCAGCAACAGGTGTTGGGATAGGCGCTGGTCCATGAGATGTGCTATATCCACCAAGAGCAGGTGAAGATCCCCTACTCCTATTGTGAGGTTGTGTGCTCAAATGATATGGATGTCCAGATGGACCAGGACTACCAACTCGTACTGGGTGGTCTCTGGATAGTGCATGCTGATCCATATTAATGGACGATGGGTTGGATACTGGGCCTACCATCATCGATATGCCCTGGTTCCCATTCAAAGAGTTGTTTCGTGAATGAGCTGCTGAATGGCGACTAGAAGTTACTGGGACCGGTGCAGGACCTGATGAGTACTGAGGAGGCTGATGCTGCTGAGGGGAGGTCACATGCTGATGAACTGAAGGCCCTTGTGCTGGATGGCGGGCCATTGGTTGTTGTTGAGGCAACTGTTGCGCTGAGTGGCGTGATTGAAGTATTTGATGTTCGTATTGTTCATATTGATAGCGCTGCGCTATTTCTTCCTCCTCGCGAAGTCGAGTATCCATTGGAGCTGAGGATACGGCTTGCTTTGGTTGGGGTTTGGCTTTCATTTTTACAACTGGAGCGGATTCTGCAGGATGCATAATTTCATGAGCTAGTGGACGTCCTTGCTTCGCCAAATGTTCCTGACCAGGATATGACTGCTGCTGTGGTGGGAGCACGTGTTGAGGAGAGGACTGCCGCTGAGAGTATCGGATTGTCCGAGAATAGTCAGTAGGCTCTTTGGCTGATGCTGGAGGCCCACCATAGCGATGTACATCAATTGAAGTATTTTTCGAATGCCCACCATACTGCGCTCCATAATCTGGCCCATGTCCCCATTCTATTTGGGCTTCCAGAGGAAGAGACTCGCGTGATTGAGGAAGGGATGGATCATGATGCTCATATTGATGTTGCAAGGCTCGTTCTTGCTGCACTCTCTGCTGCTGAATCTGTTGCTGTTGCTGTTGCTGTTGCTGTTGCTGCTGCTGTTGCTGTTGCTGCTGTTGCTGTTGCTGCTGTTGCTGCTGGTGCTGTTGCTGTTGCTGTTGCTGCTGTTGCTGCTGTTGCTGCTGTTGCTGCTGTTGCTGCTGTTGCTGCTGTTGCTGCTGTTGCTGCTGCTGTTGCTGTTGCTGTTGCTGCTGTTGCTGCTGGTGCTGTTGCTGCTGGTGCTGTTGCTGTTGCTGTTGCTGTTGGTGCTGGTGCTGGTGCTGGTGCTGTTGCTGCAGATAACGTTGCTTTTGCTGATACTCATACTCTTGCTGCTTTATCTGAAGATGATCAGCCTTTATCTCTGGACGTTGTAAAGGCTTCTCTATAGGCTGAAACACTCCACCTGGTGGATATCCTCCTGAGGCTTGGCGGTGATGCCGTGAGGACGATGAAGTGTAGTGCACATCTCCAACTACTTGACTCGGATGCATCTGCTCAAGTGGAGTGCCTTGACCGGATGGCGACCTTTGGTGCAGAGGTGGGGTGCGTGTCCCAGAGGGATGCGCCGCTGGATCTAATACTCCTACTTGATGAGCTGGATGGGTCATGTACTTTGAGTCATGGTTCAATTGTCGTGAATCAACTGCGTCCGTCATTTCTATTTGACGACGTTGCTGGGTCTCTAGGCTGCCAGAGTGATGCTCTGGGCGATATGCCGTATTCAGAGGCATGTGGGAGCGTGGAGATGTGGCAACCATCGGTGATCGCTCTTCTTTGAAAGCAGAAGGCGCCATGTGTATAGCCTGCTGTGGTTGCTGTTGTATTGGTGGTTGCTGCATCTGCTGAATGTGATGTGCTTGCTGCCGCTGTGGTTGCTGTTGCGTATATGGATGATGTGTGTCATATTGCTGTTGTAGTTGCTGCTGAATTTGCAGTTGAGGCTGCTGAGAGGGATGCTGTTGGGTTTGTTGAGGAGATTGCTGTGGAAGCTCTTGCAAGGCCTGATGTGGAGGCTGCTGGGAAGACTGTGATGCCTGCGTATTTGTACTAGCTTTCTTGTTACGCCCTGCAACTTTGATGTTCGAGAGTATACTCGGCGTTGTGTTAGCAGCTAGCCATTGAGGGGTTCCGGATGGAGTCCTTTGATGTTGATTGACAAATGTAGGCGGTGGTAACTGTCGCTGTTGCTGCTGCTGTTGTTGTGGTGATGGTATTGGTGACTGTTGTGGCTGTAGTAGTTGTTGAGCTTGCTGCTGAGATGTCTCTGTATGCTGTTGTCGTTTCTGTTGGTGCTCTTCAGCCTGATGCTGCTGCTGCTGCTGTTGTTGTTGTTGCAGTCGCTGCTGCAGAGCTGTTTGCTCCGAGGCTTTAGTTTGTTTCTTACTTGCTTTAGCTTTCATTTGCTGAATAGGAGGTGGAGAGTGCTGGAGGCGGGTACTATCCGTCTGTATTTGATCTGATTCGACACGCTGATTAACCTGGGCAAATGTAGCAGGATTAGGATAGTAGGCTGTTGGCATTGCTTTGTCTAGTTCCTGCTTCGTAGCGACAGATTCGTCATCCGATAATATTACAGGTTCCCGATAAAGATCCTGAGGAACAGCATTATCTGTTTGCTCTGCCTTGATGCGCTTTGATTTCTTCGCTCCTTTCTTGACACTTATGGCAGTCGGCCCCCCTTGTTCTCCATTATTTCTTAGTATGCTCAAGACAGATGAACTTTCATGAGGCGTGGCTCCTCCAGGCTGTGGCATATCCCTAGGTGGAATTGAGGTCCTCTCTGGAATATTCACAGCAGATGAGGCTGCATCGCTAGCATCATCTAGAATTTGACGTCTTCGCTTTTGTGGAGTCAAGCCAGAGCCCATCAGCTTTGGCTCAAGCTGATCCCCCGACACAGTGCGTTTATGCTGTTGCGGGGATTCGGGTAGCGTATGTGATGGGATAGAATCTGATGTAGGTTGGGTAGGTGGTCGATGGGTCTGTGGAACAGACGATTGCTCCAAGACTAAGTCCTGCTCAATATCGTCTTCTGCCTCCAAAGTGCGTCTGGGGTGATCCTGTACCAAGGGTTGCTGCTGCTGCTGTGAACTCTGTTTGGATTCTTGCTCCTGCTCGATCGCAGCAGCCGTGAACTTGTCGATGGTATCTTCAGCTTTCTGTTGCTTAACAGCATCTGGACTTTGGGCAATGATAGGCCGAATGAGGACACTGCCCCCTTCCATGTTCTCGTCTGCTCCTTCGTCTTCATCATGTGGCTCGGTATTAGTTGGATGTAACGCTGTGCTATCGAGTACTGGAAGATCAGCAGACGCATTATTTTCAATTTTTGCTCTATTTTTTTCCGTCTTAACAATGCCGCCATTCTTATCATCTTCGGTCGCTCCCACTACTTTTATGGGACCAGACAGTGTGGGGCTGATTAGTGGAGCGTCTCGCCTCCTAGAAGCTCGGCTTTGCATTTCTTTCTCAAAATCTCGCGCGTCGAACTCGTCCATGATACCATCTTTACCATACGCTTTTAACAAATGTTGAATAAAATGTGAGAGGAGTTGATGCGCCACAGTGTCATGTTCAAAGTTGCTATATGTTCGTGGAGTAAAATCGGCATTATTAATTCAGAGTGTTGTACATATTACCAGATTTTGGCAGGCAAGGCGGGAAGGCAAGGATTCATACCTCAAAGTGGTGTTGAGCAACCTGGTTGCGCACTTGACACCACTCTTGTAACCGTACACATCGCTGATTCTGCGTAAACTGATAAAACTTTTACAACGAACATAAGCCATGTTAATATATTGATAGCATGGCTTGATAAACATGATAAGAAAAAAAGATTCTGATTATCGCATACTTGTGCTGGATTTTCTGTGCTACATTCCTGTTCCAAAGTTTTGGTGTAGCCCCATGGCCATCTTTGAAAAACAGTGCTGGCAAGTTTGATCGGATATTTCTCATGATTGTCTTGATATTGCCAAATTGTTCCATATCTCGCGCGATTAATGCCACGTTCTGTATCAAGCTCGTGTTAGACAAGGCATTGTTAGCCTTTTTTGACGAGTGCATAAACATGAGTTGTGTTTCCAATGGCGGCACCCGTAAAGGGAATTGAGGTTTGTCATGGTTTAAATCGGGGATCCAGGGAGCACTTGATGTGACAGTACTTTTTGGCAAGATCAGGAGCACGAATTTCTCCGAATGATTATCATCGTCTTTAATTATCGGAAGATGATCAAATACGAACCAGGGATTAGTGCCACTTCGATATGTAGCTTTAAATGGTACTGACACTAATCCTTCGACATATATCGATGTAATTACCATGACGGCCATTCATATGTACTGGGGCAGAGTGGAATGGACTAGCAAAAAAATGGGATGCCGCCATCAATAGACCATACCAATTGCGGTCTGACTCGACAACATTGGAAAGCGAAGCCATGGCTGTCGCGAAACTAGGATCATCTTTAGGTAGGACGCTTCCTGTTGAGGAAATTAATCCTGATCCAGTCAATGAGCTAAAAGTGGGGCTGGAGCTCAACAAACCCATGTCTGATACCCCTGGCGCAGACAGGCTTGGCGAAGCTCCCTGTGAGTGAGAGAGCCTCTTGGATAATAAGCTAGCTGTTGTAGATGATGATGACGTCGGCTTTGGGTTCTTATGCTGTGAATCTTCATGTGTTCGCCTCCATTTTCGTAGACGTGTGCAATTCTTATCTGGATACTGCAATGCCACAATGGCAACCATAGATTCCTGTTCTAGGGCTTTATAGAGGATTGAGTACAGGTGCTGTTGGGATAAATTCTCGGAGGAGCCCCAAGATTCGATACCTTTTTCATTTTTTTTTCCGCCAGGAAATTTGACGGTATGCTGTTGGGCTGAAGAGTGAGATGGTTGATCTAATGGCATGCTATTTGTACTATTATCTTGATGGAATCCAGGCGACTTCGAGTTAGTAGAGAGCATTTTCGACATATGCGTCCCCCCTGGAGAATTGTTAAAATTTAGCTGAAAGTTTGGCTGATGGTGTTGGTGTTGATACTGGCGCTGCTGTGGAGGGAAATGGCTACTGGGAGGCGGGGGAGGCGGGGGATGTGGAGGAAATAAGGTCACTACCAGAGAGTCTTCTGGCTTTGGCTGTTTAATAGGCAAGGAGCTATCGTTATTTTCAATTGCCAGCTCTTCCTTAACATTGGTCTTAGCGATTGCGTCCTGTTCTTCAGGACGATCCATTACAATCCAATGGCGTGATATGACTGGTGGCGACCGCACGGCGTCTAGCTTCATGAAACCGATAATAGACAAGTCTGATGCTAGTGTCGATCCCTGGTTATGGAGAGTCTGCTTATGAATGGCTCCAAATTCCGATCTCGCTGTCCTCTTGGCTTCTGAGGGTGTTGTAGAGCTGGGTGGGGCGTTATCGATGAGTCCCTTCTTTCCCTGACTGAGAACTGGATCGACATCCATTATATTAGCATTCCCTTCACCGCTGCTTCCATCATTGTTTTCCTGTATTCTTTGCTCATTGGTCGCATTATTACCATCTTGATTGTCATTGCTATTGTAAGTGGAGTTGTTGTTATTGGTTCTGATGTTAGAATGCTTGGGCTGAGTTTTTAGATCGCCTCTGAGCCTCCGCTGGTCATCTCGTGGGTCAGGGTTGAGGCAGATACGGCTAGACAGATGACCACAGACAAGCGTGAATGTAGAACGTGAATCTTTTTTTAGCTCGGCTGGCATGGCTCTCTCTTTTTCCCCAGGTCTGAGAGAGTTGGAATGAAGATCGATGTGTTCACGCGCATCACCTTTTTTATTAAAATAGAGAATACAGTCACAAACGGTGTGCACGGGCGCTTTTTTTTTCTGCACGACCACATGTCACACTAAATGGAAACTACTTTGGTTCATGGGGTAATCTCATTTTTATTCCTCAAGATAAGGGACTAAGTTCAAATTCACAACGAGAAATGATCTTAGCGCTTTTCACTTTTCATGATCTCGGAGACTGCCGCTTCTCTTTTTAACAGTCGCAAGTATACGAGCACTGGCACCCAACGCCTGATCCCCTGCAATCACAAGAGGTCGAGTGCTCCTGGAAGGAGCGCTCTCGATTATGGAACTCCACTGAAGCTCGTCTCTGATGAGGCGCCACCTGCGCTGTAGGGGATCCAAAGCCAGCTGGTTGCATCCTCGGTGAGGCAGAAGCTGAGGCTCTGCGTGTGAGATAAGTCCTTGGAGGTGAGGTGGCAGAGGTGGCATTGATGTTTCCATCGCGGGCTGAGGATATACTCATGGTGGCCATATTGGCATGTTGCTGCTCCAATGTCCCATCCGTGGCTGAACATTGCTCAGACTGAGGCGGTATCTTGTACCGGGCACACTCTTCACAAGAGCATGTAGGGGGACCTGCATCCTTAGACACGGTATTGTGATGTGAAGCCGAGTGGATACACGAAGGATGGCGGTCGTTTATATCGTTCATGGTCGCAAAGCAAGTGAATTGGGGTTTGGCAGCGTGAGAGCTATGTATAAGCGTTGACAGTATTTTAGAGAGTAGGGGTGTAAATGAGATTGCAAGCGAGAAGAAGAAAATAGAAACGAAGGAAGGAGAGATAAGGGCAGAGAAATGTGCGAGCAAGCGGAAATAGTAAATCCTGATGTGTGACACCCTCCACGCTGTCTCACTTGCTGGCGAACCAATGCAGAACAAGTCAAATTATTACTTCTAGTGATCAGGTTTCCAGGCATCTGGATTTTTAACACTTTGAACAATTAGCGTCGCCATCATCGTCGACAAAGACCCCTTTGGGTATGAGACAGCCCTTTGGAGATTCTTCATTCTTGATAGGAATTTGATCTACTTTTTTTGGACAGAGATCTTAGTCAACCTTTTTTACATCCTCCATCTGACTAAAGAACCAATAGCCACTACTACAACTGCAACTGAGAAGCTCGTTAAGTGGCTTACATCAATATAACGAATTGCTACAGATCCTGCAGAAACCAGTACTTCTTGTTCTCGCTTTGGCTGTGGTATTCAATATCAATCAAAATGTCTCTCTAATGGTATTGGTCTTGATCACTAATATGATCGCGCTCTGCTTCTGTTTCACTAATGCCCCTTTGCTGTAGGGATTCTCCCTGGTTCACGTCTTACCTTCTTCGTAATAAAAAGAGAAAAAGCTGACGCCCGAAAACGAAGAAGGGAAATTAAAGGTTTAGATTATTTTTTCTATTTTTTTTTTTACATATAACAACGGTTAAGTATTCCCTTTTGAATGTTGTTCTGCATCTTTGACCAAGCCCTGTAGTAAGCCCTTGCCCCAAAGGGACGTTATCGCCAATTGCCTTGACAGTTCTAACGACTGATGAATCCACAAAATCACGTCCCACTTGCGTATCCCGATATTTTCAGAATCTCCCATTCTCTTCATCCTCTCCCTTGCAGGACATTCTTCAGCCAACTTGAAGTCGCACCATCCCAAAAGACTCACATGAATGCACTTGCTGTCATTTTGGAGAAGATTGGTATTATATTCACACCACAAAGGCGAGAATTACCTGCGGTGGGCTTTTGGCCTTGAGGAACACTCGTTTTCACATGCAATTAATGATGCAATTAATGGCTGTGTTATCTTTAATGCCTTGGCCTTCAGTCAAGATGGTGGTAAAGATTAGCCATAAAGGGTCCATGGTCCTTGACACTTTGACATTGAGGTCCAACCAGCGATGAAAATCATTAGTGATGGGTTTGTGACTACTGAGGATTTTGATGAACGATGGATATTGGCTATTAAGGATCGCACTGCGACCCTTGTCATTTACATGGCTGTCTTGAGGAGCGTCAACTTTCAGAGCATGAGCTCCAAGCAAACCAGAACTCATGATGTTTTCGAGTTCGTTTAATCGATAACTTCAGGATGAGGGCGGTTCCAAAGCCACTTTAACCACAACCAAGGTAAGAGTGAGGAAATCGACCAATGAGTATATAGCCAGTGCTTTTATGTGACGAACAGATGGGCTTGTCGCTATTCCATGGGCACGGTATCAGTCATAGCAATTCAGGATGAGAAAGTGGACCCGTAGAATAACCTATTTTTTAGTCTCGAAATAGGACTGATATGAATAAGGAAATAAGAACATAAAATTATCGTGTCACCATAATAAAAAAAGAGAGTAGATTATTCGCAAAGTTGCGCAACCTGTATGAGCCCTGGTTCTCGACTCCAGTCCAAAGTGTATTACATCTTTCTATTTATTAGGGTTAGGCTTCATTGAATGCGCTCTATCGCTGTAAGAATGAGAAGATCTTTGGTAACAGAAATAACTTCTTCAAAAGTGGTATAGTCCGTTTCATTTGGTCGCGATCCCTTATATTTTTTGAATACTCTCGAGTGTATTGGCAGCCAATTGACTCGCTTGTTGCAAGTGCGTCATGTAGTGAGATGCCACCAAACCAATTCAATCATGACTTTTAGATTAAAATATATGGTGCCGTGACCAAATGAAATGGACGAAATGTAGAATAAAATAAAGTCTACCTATCAGTGATGTAGCATATTTTTAAACAAACATGACGGTGAGACCACAGTGCGACAATTAGTCCTCATTCTTGTGCCCTGTCTTGAAGTAAGGCCCTGGCATATGTTTAACACCCAAGGTAGGTTAGTGATGAACAACAATCTATTCGGTCATCATCATTTCTAAGTTCAGCAGGGATGCTCTGCCTTATGTTTGCATTATGGATATTATCTTGGTCCTCCATCACCGCCTTCTTCTTCTTCCTCTTCTTCTTCTTCTTCTTCTCCTTAATAGCTTACCACAGTGATAGCCCTACCTATAATAAACGTCAACGACAATCACTTATTGTTCGTTTATATAATATCATCTTGATCACTTTTCACCTCACCTTGTTGCTCACATTCTCATCATGGCAGATGCCAAAACAGATGCCAGTGATACAGACGCATCCGTGTCGACGTTCGTCTCCTCCGTTGTCTTCTCATCTGCGGTCACTTCAGCACTCTTCCTCGCCTTTGCGATCTTTCGTACTAGATTTCCACATGTTTATGCCCCCAAGACATACATTGGTCCAGAGCATGAGCGATTAACTTCTCCAGTTGGGGGTATCTTGGGCTGGATTCGTGCCTCTTTAAAACCGAGTGAACCAGAGTTCATTGCGCACTGTGGACTGGACGCGTACATGTTTATCGAGTTTTTAAAAAAGTCCTTCTTCTTATTCTTGATCTTTACATTCTTTGCAATACCAATCTTGATCCCCTTGAACTGTGTGAACCAAATTGGACTCGTCGGGCTGAATCAATTCACAATCGGCAATATTTTGGACCAGAAGCGCTTATGGGCCCATGCAATTCTGACGGCCCTGTTTTGTGGAGCGACCCTGACCATGGGGATACATAGTATCCGTCACTATATCAATCGTCGCCAAAATTACTTGATGAGTGAGCGGCATACGCAATCCTTGCAGGCAACTACGATCCTTGTCTGCGGGATCCCACGTCACGAATGTAATATAGAGACACTTTACAAGATGTTTAATGTATTTCCTGGCGGTGTCAAGCGTATCTGGATCGCCTATGCTGCTCCAGAACTGCATAAAGAGATTACTAAACGAATCAGTACCACCAACAAGCTAGAAGCTGCAGAGTGCAAGCTCCTTAAAGCCAAAATGAAGCAGAATGACAAAAATGGCAGACGGACTTCCTACTCCTCCACTAATGCTTTAAACCGAGACACTGAACGCCATCAGCAAACACAACAACAGCAACAGCTCTCGGATGAGGCGTTCCCATCAACGTCGCGGCCTCACCATCGTTCAGCTGCTTTCCCAATGTCATTGTTCGCTAAGAAGGTTGATTCGATCCTTACTTATCGATCAGAGCTCTCGAATATGAATGCCTCCATCATAGGGAAGCAGCAAGCAGCTCTAGCAGCCATGCGTGAAAACCAAGAGGAAAACCGAATGAGGGCAGCATTTATTCAATTCAACCACCAATTGGGCGCACATTTGGCCACACAGTCCGTATGCCATCGGAAAACCTTGACAATGGAGCCTCGATATCTAGAGATCCATCCAAAGGATGTGCTCTGGGACAACTTAGGTTATAAATTTAAAACCAGGAATGTTCGACGGACAGTTGCAATAATATTGGAGGCTGCGTTAATTATCTTTTGGGGGGTTCCAGTAGCCTTTGTAGCATCAATTTCCAAGTTGGATGCCATTGTTAGATTCGCACCGTTCTTAAGTGGCGTATACAACCTCCCTAAAATCGTCGTTGGCATCATTCAGGGTATTTTGCCTCCTATTGGATTAGCGGTCCTGATGATGATCCTACCGATAATTCTCTACCGTAAGTATATATGTATATATATATATATATATATATATATTTTCCGCCTAGTACCTTTCATATTGAGCAAAGTTCTTCCTTTCAGGACTGGCGCATTTTGGAGGTGAGGTTTTAGCGACACAAAAGACTCTTGCGGTTGTTACGACCTATCACTGGTTCAGCGTAAGCCTTCTTGTCATTAATTGCAATGTTTATGTTGTTGTAAGCATTGTTCCGCGTAGAGGTTATAGATGTTTTTTTTTTTTTTTTTTTATTTTTTTTTCCCATACCTAGGTGATACATGTATTATTGGTGACAACTTTGGCGAACGGTATTTTTGCAGCTGTGCAGGCTATTAAAGATAATCCCAACAATATTATGGAAATGCTTGCGTCGACATTGCCTCAGGCATCGACTTTCTTCCTCAGCTTCATCCTGTTATCCATAACCAGGATCCCATTGTTGTTGCTTCAACTCGGGCCTCTGATCACATATCACATCGGCAAGCGGCTCACATCTACGCCGCGCAAGATGTTTGCAACGGAAACAGATTTTGCCTCTGTTGATTGGGGAATGACCATCCCTGTGCATACAATCGCCTTTTCCATTGGTAATAAGATAAAGCTATTCATTTGAGAACTTTCCTGATCAACGTAAAAAAAGCTGATGTTAACATCTCAATATATTTATTTATTTATTTATCTTAATCATAATAATAATCGCTCAGGTTTGCTCTACTCAACAATCCAGCCACTCATTTTGCCGTTCATAACTATTTATTTTGGACTATACTATGTGGCGTTCCGGTACATGTTCCTGTATGTATATCGGCAACCGTTCAACTCAAGCGGCTTAGTCTTCCCCAGAATTGTGGATCAAATGTATATTGCAACAGTCTTGTTTGAAATTGTCATGCTGGGGATCTTTGTCCTCCAAAAGGCTACTGGACCGTCCATTGTCATGTTCATCGTATTAGTTGTTAGTCTCATGACCATCGTCATTAGCCGCAACAAAGTCTTCAAACCCTTGATCAAGTATATTCCCGTGACGGCATTCGAAGCCAGAGATGTCCAAGCTGCTGAGAACGGAAATGCGTTGTTGATGACATCGGGCCACCGTCGGGACTTGACAACAGCATCAGAAGCGTCAACGGCATCAATAACAGCAGCAACAGGGGTAACAGGGACAGCAGGAGCAGGAGCTATACTATTTAGAGGTACTAACGATAAACCCGCGAATATCTTGGAAAAAATCAATCCTATCCCAGAACAAGAGTCATTTTACGAAAAGATCCCCTATAAAGACCCGACGCCGCCTATTGTGGAGCCTGAGTCTAGAAAGACCTATTCTAATAATAAAGTCACAGAGGCCCCTCATACTGCTGCTAGTGATGCAGAAGGCAGGTATGGACATAGGCGTCAAGGATCAAATGTACCAAGTCGATCTTCATCACCATTACCTTGCATCCGTGTGGAAAATACTGAAAAAGTGGAAACATCGCATCCGACCTTTGTTGCTCCCATGAGCGCCAACACTACTATGACTCAGTCCACTGCTCCCTCAGTTACGTCCGGCGTTATTCGGTCGACTACATCACATGCAACGCCTGGAGCGACAGGGTATTTGAGCCTACAAGGATCTGACAACGGTGGTGGAGTACAAGAAGGAGCCAGCTCAAGTCTTCGGGTCCTCGGAGCAAATCATAGTCTACTGTCAACCTCCGGCCTTGACGTAGGGAAGGTGGTGCCGGAGATACTGACGTTTGTAAACCCGGCTCTGTGGCGTCAAGGGCTGCCAATCTGGTTACCCAAAGACCCAAGAGGCTTTGCAGAGCTAGAAACAGTCGAATTGAACAACGCAGGGATGCCCTGCACGACCGAATATGCGACCATGGATAAGAAGGGACGTATCTCAGTAGAAGTAAGGAGTCAAGAGGCTGCACCTGGTGATGAGGTTTGGGAATGATGAAAATGATGAAAAAGAAAGGTATATAGAAAACCGTTCCAAATAATTAAGTTGTTATTGAACATCAATTTATTGAATTAATAATTCAATTTTCATGTGTCGTTCTTTTATTTTTTTTTTTAAAATGAAAGTAAAATGAATTCACACAGGGATATCCCAAAGGCCAGATTTCCTTGCTGAGGTACAGCATTTTACCACGTTCGGGACACATTTCGGGTGGGTCTTGTAGCCGCAATCTAATATTAAAAGGAGATATCAGTTAAGAAATAATAATAAAAATAAAATAAAACAATGTAATGGCAAATTCAGCATACCATCACACTCTAAGTGTTTCGAAGACCACCCAGGTAAGACTCCCAGCCTCTTTTGACAGACATCGCACTTTGGCAGCAGCTGGGTTGAAAAGACAACCAACGAGAATCGATGTGGAAAACCGGTCAAAGTCTTGGTCCGTCGCTTGACTGTTGGTGCTAGCTCAGGTCCTTGGGGAATATCACTGGGTTTGTTCCTATCCTTGTCTTTAGCCATCCCTCCTCGCCTATCTGTCTCTTCGTCCTCATGCTTTTCTATCGGTAGCAGATCCAAGTTTGAGATACCACGCTTTGATAACAATACACGCTGTTGCTTCCCTTCCTTGAGCGACGTATGTTTCCTGAGCATGGTAATAGCAGTACGGTTATTGTTGCCTGAGAGATCTTCATTTGGCTGATGCTGCTGTGTGGTGGTATAATGCCCAATCCAATGCCCAAAGCCACCAGTACCACTAGTCCAGGTCTTGGCTCCCATAGCGGCGATTAGATTGCTTGTCATAGTGCCGCCAGCCCCAATTGCATCCGAGGCGCTTCCCAATACACTGTCAGACATACCACGAATCAGACCAAGTCCTCTATACGGTGCAGGTCCTATGTCTGTATCCCTATCGATATTGCATTCGTCTTCTCCGCTATCTTGATCCTTACTTTCAGGACTTGGTGTATCTTTGATGTTGTTTTCATCATGCTCCAATGGCACAGCAGATAGAGAAGAGGCAGAGGAGCGAGATGTTGATTGTGAAATTGTAGTAGCAGTTGTGGTGGTGACGGTGGAAGAGGAAGAGTCCTCTGTGGAAATACGAGGCCTGTCAGCAGAATTTCCTATTGTGCTCTTCTCAAGTGAAAGTGCATCTACAATAGCTATTGGAGTCGACTGTTGGTCAGTAGATCCTTTGGTTGTATTTGCGCGGAACAAGATGCTGGACTTTGAAGGAGGCGTAGGTGGTGTGGGCGGTAGATCTTGATCTTGGACATTTTCTTGCTTTTTTTCGCCTGTTATTACATGCGATTCTAAGGACGGAAGAACGGCGCTAGTATCGCTGTCTTTGCTGTTGTCGGCTCGTTGTAAAAATGTCTCAACAAAGTTGCTATGTCCAGTATTGGAGACAACAGCCGAAGCGGTTGCTTGCGATAGAGACGTCCATGGGTTATCATAACCTGCTATGGCAGGCGATGATAGCCGGGATATCAGGCTTGGCCGTTTGAGTAAGATGGTTCCTCGCTCTTGCTCTTGACCCCCGGTTACATAGGACTTGGAAAAGCAATCGTCATTACCACCCAGCTCTGCCTCTACATCAGTAATCACAGGCTGCAGCTGGTGATGATTCTGTAATAATTTACTCTTTGAATGATCTGGAATCTCAAGATTGTCTAGAGCCATGACCACGCTTTCTGTCAGGGAATCTGCAGATAAAGATTCATCGCTGTCGCTACTGAGCTCGTACATATCCACCAACTGCCCACCTTGTAGCTGGCGGCTGCTGAACTCCCGATCACTATCTTCATCGAACAAGGAATCCTCATCTTCGTCGCTAGAACCACCACTTCCGAAAGTATAGTTTCCGTCGTCATCGCCATCATCCTTATCATTAAAATCAATCTGAATGCTGCTGAGTTGAGATAATTCCTGAGTCTCCCCTTGTGTATTCTGTTGACGCGTCAGATCCCAGGATCGTAAATAGGTGCTGTCACTGTCTTGTGCTGTCGGGTCTGACCCATGCCATTGCCTTAGCAGCATCTGATTATGTGGAGAGTTGATACTGTCCCAAAGTGGCATCCTCAACCCCATATCATCATCCTCAACAGCATCAGCCCATTGTAAGGTACTACCACTTTGTTCTTTGTTCTGACGGCGCCTATCTTCCAGCACAAATGGCACTGCGGAGCTACCAGCCTGATCGCCTTCTTCGCCTCTGTTTACTCTTTTCCATTGTTTGCCTCTATACGTACTCTGGGATCCATTCTGCATGCTCTCAGCCATGTGCGACGACAAGTTTTCGTCATCTGTCATCCTCCAAGTATTGGCCTCACCATGTATACTTGAGCTCGCCTCTGGATAGAATTGAAGCTGGCCCATTTGGAGCCCATCTCCATGAGCTAATAGTTGTTGGTTCTGATGCTGATAGAGGTGATGCTGCTGTTGTTGTAATCTTTTAGTCTCTACCTCCTTTTTCCTCATCATGTTCCTTGCAGCCCTGGCGACTGAGGGCGCGACCACCAGAGTAGTTCCTACATGGATATCCACGTTCTCAATTGCTGTCAGGCGTTCGACTATTTGTTTTAGTTTAGGGCGATTCTGCGGTAATGGTTGGACACAATGGATAGCGAGTTCTCCAAGCTCAATGGGACATCCAGGCTGAGCTCGAAATAAGATCTCATCCGGAGAGACACTCATATCAGGAGGCACGCGTTGGAAATGTTGTGGATCCACGACATGTCGAGCCATCATTTCTGCAAGGACAATGCCGAATGAGAACACGTCAACACTACAATCGAAGTCTTCACCCAAAAGTATCTCGGGTGCCTATTTTTTAAATAAGGGGTCGTAATGGAGGGGGTGAGTGGAAGTCAGATCCCTTTTATCATTAAAAAAAAAAAAAAAAAAAAAAAAAAAATAATCCCTTCATCGATTTTTTACCATATATCCATCAGTACCACAGTAACTGATCCTTCGCATTTCATCATCATCCTTGGCCTCCACGCGACTAAATCCAAAATCACAGACCTAACATGTATTACCAACAAGGACATCAAGTGTTAACAGCATGAGGATTTTCTTCCTTTATTGCTACCGCTGCTATTATGATTATTCACCTTACCTTAATGCGCATGTTCTCAGAGATGAGCAAATTCTCGCCTTTCAAATCCCTATTAAGAAAACAAGTTTTGTCTTTAGTGTCGAATTACTGTGAAAAATAGGGGTAAGCAAGAGGATGGAAATAAGATTGTGATTGTCCCTTTTTTTCTTAATTACAGTCCCCTTGCATCCTGCAGGGCCATGTGCCCCTCTCCTGTTTATTTATTTATTTTTACTGCGACTATAGAAAAATGGAGGCAAAAAAAAAAAAGCGAAGGCGTAATGATGATCACCCTTTTTTTAAGTTCGTTACCTATGAATGATATTCTTGTGGTGCAAGTACGCCAACGCCAAAGATATATCGATTGCGAAACTGATTCGAGTATCCCATCCAAACTCTTTTGTCTCATCTTGAATCCACTGTTTGAAAAAAAAAAAAAAAAAAAATGAGGGCGTAAGAAAATAATAGCCATAATAACTGAGGGACCTTTCCTTTTTATCTTTACCCGTCGAAGGTTTCCGAGTGGGAGAAACTCAGTCACGATATAAAAGCGCTTTTTCCGTTTGCATATACCCATGAACTTGAAATAAGGAGAATAGGAATAAAATAAAATAAAAACTTATTAGTATGTAATAGAGAGAGGAGTAGGAGATATTGCTTCGAATGAAGATAAATAACAATAAAATAATACCTGAACGATGTTGGGATGTCTGGATTGTTTCAAAATGTCAACTTCGCGTTTAAAGTACTTTTCATCAAAGGCTTTAGAGTTTGATCGAACGCATTCCTTAATAGCAACCTCTGTGCCAAGAAGGTCGCCATGAAAGACTCGCCCGAAGGAACCGGACCCAATGATATCAAAGGTCTTTAGATCTGACCATTGGATTCGCATGTTGTAGCAGTATCAATGATAATAGTTGTGTGGTGGCGCCGCTTTAATGGCAGTAGTTGCAGTAGTGGTAGTCACTATGGCAATAGTAGTAGTGGTAGTTAGTGATAGTTGTCGTCCTGGTTGTAATTATGCCTATGATGAGTATATAACGAGGAAAGGGGCAATGAATGAGGTGGATAATGAGATGTTGTTGTGCTTGAAATTTCAGGAACGCGTCTTATTTTTTTTTTTTTTTTTCTATGCTATGCTATGCTGTGCTGTGAAGCTCCAGTTAGGGTTGCAGTGAGTTTGGAACAGACGAATGTAAGTATAGTGAATGAGTGAATGAGTAGAATCGGAATGAGAAGAAGAGGAAGAAGCGAAGAAGAGTGGTAAGAACTCTTTTTTCCTTGGAACATCCTTCACTCTTTACTCCTTGTAACGTTTTTTTATCTATAATTCATGTCAGAGGGGCATGACCTACAAAATGTTATTCTGGGATACTCTTTCCCCTCCCCCTTTTTTTAATATCATGTGGACGCACAAACGTCTGCTTAAGAAACCTGGGCAGGAGGGGAATGTTGTCATTTCATCATTGTTGTCAACCATTAGAAGAAGGGTTGCGCGTACAGGAATGATGTTGATAGTCATGACGCCTTCCTTCCTTTGGGGAAGAACTCAATTTGTATCGAAATTCATTTAAAAAAAATTTTACAACTGACTTCGCCTTTCATTAAAACATGTCTGTGTGAGGAAATAAAACATTTAAAACATCAGACAATTTAAGACAATTAGATGAAAATTGCGACGCAGCAAAATTGGCAAAACTCTAATTTCTGGACGCAGTCAGTGAGTTGCTGCGGGAGTTTAAAAAGATCTGCTTTTCTGGTCATTGTCGAATAAAAATGGACAATCCTTGGTCCCATTAGTCAGCTCATGGAAGACTGGGTACCATTATAAATATCTTCTCTCTTTCTCTTATTCCTTTCTCTCCTGTCATTCATTCTTCATATTAACTTATTTTATTCATTCACATCTCATCACAAGTTCTGTATACTGCTACTGCCACTACGACTTCAACTTTCAAAATTATTACAGCGTTATATAATACGAAAAATAACAACATGTCTTATGCTGTCGACATCCCCGCTGCGACCATCGGTAACGACCATAATAATTAATAACAAAGCATTAAAATAATGTCAAGCATCATTTATCACTACTATGATTCTAACATTCATAAAATAATGTCTTTGCCCTTCACCTTCTAGGTCAATCCACAACATGCCTGACCTGTGCCATCCGTCTCCCTTCACTTGAGACCCAGCAGTTACATCACAAGTCTGACTGGCACACCTATAACCTAAAGCGCAAGATGGTCTACCTGCCTCCTGTATCCTCCGAAGTTTTTACACAACTGGTTCATGGTAAGGCTATTCAATTAGTCAAATTTATTCTTTCTTCATCATCTCATCATCCTAGTCATTATTACAAAGGAGACTATTAACAAACTAAGTTTATCGATCCGTTTATCCATATCCTATAGCCTCTCGCGAACAAGCTAACCCGAAGGAGGGACCACAGCCAGAATGTATCCCTTGTGGTAAAAAATATCTTTCTTTGCAAGCCTACGATAATCATGTCAACTCAAAGAAACACAAGCAAACTGTTCTTTCTTATGAAAAGAAGCAGCAAAAGGTTGAAAGCACTACCACCAACAAGGCTCTGGAAGACTCTGAAGCAGTTTCAGCACCGATCAATAATGCAAATACTATTTCAACACCAACAGAACGCCAGCCAAACGAAACCGTTTGTTTGTTCTGTTCAAATGAAGCAGAAGATGCGACCGCCAACTATGCACATATGCGTTCTACCCACGGATTCTTCTTGCCTTCTTCTGAACGCCTAGTTGACCTTGCAGGCATGTTGACCTATCTAGCTGAGAAATTGCTCGAGAATTATGATTGTCTTTGGTGTACTCCTTCGATCTTTACTCAAAACCTTCGACCAGATCAAGAGCTACATGGTGGTTTCTCTAGTCTTGCGAGCGTTCGAAGACATATGATCGACAAGGGTCACTGCAAGCTTTCAATGGAGAAAGGTGCTGAAAGAGAATACGCAGATTTCTACTTGCCTGTCGACTATGATGAGAATGTCAATGATAGTACGCCTAGAGAATCATTAGAGAACAGTTCTATGGATATGGACGATGAAGATCAACGGAGGCTAAACATGGTTCTCTTGGACGAGGATGGTAACTGGATTTTAGACAAGCAGGACGATAACAACTCTGGTATCTATGTCGATCCCCTCACCAATGAACTTGTTCTTAATAACCGTCGTCTCGCACGCAAGGATGCAGCTCGCCGTCAAAAGGTTGAGTCTAGGACTGTAACCCTCGCCCCACGTGCACACCGTCGCCCATCTGAATCTACTGATGCTACCACTGCCTCCACGACGACCACTGAAGCAGAGGGAGAAGCGAACGAGGACTCTACTTTAGCTAATGATCCTCATAACCCTGGTTTGAAAGTCTCAGACGCTCTTCTCAAATCACAGAACCAGTTATCGGATTCTACGCTGGCTGTGAGCCATGTTCAACTAGAACAGGTGGCAACTATGATTGCAAGTGCCCAGGATTACGAATCAGAGAAGCGTAGTAGGATGGCTACAAAGTTGTCAACCAGCAACAACCTCACCGGTCGCCGCCGCTGTGGTGCACCTTTTGGTACTAAAGTATAGACTTGGACCCGAATAATTGTTACTCTCACTCGAAAAATGCTCCCCCATCATTCATATTTTGTTAAATATACACACAATAAAAAAAGTGTATCTTTTCTTTATTCCATCGAAAGCTCTTTTTGTGTTCTTCTCTAAATATTGGATTAATACTCAATACTTGACATTTTTCCTTCTTTAGTCGACAGTCAGACGAGCATCGATTGATGGGAACTCCTCGAAGAAGCTCTGATAGCAAAAAAAAAGCATAAAAGCATTTAGAATCTTTATATCCCCATCTCCATATTGATAATACAAACATTCAACAAAAGATAGTCTACCTCAAACAGCTTGATGGCCAAAGTAACGTCCTCAGTACCACAAATTTCGCGAATAGAGTGCATACTCAACTGGGGATTTCCAACGTCTAGACATTGATTGAAGAAAACGATGCTTTAGTTAATATGACAATACTAACCAAAATCTCTGTTATGAATACATTTAAAACTTACCAATAGTGCGGAGACCGAGTTTGGCAGAGAGCATAGGACCGATAGTAGAACCACATGGAACATCATTGCGGACAACAAACTCCTGAAGTGGGACAGAACACTTCTTAGCGGCCTCGCGCAGGACAACAGCTGTGGGAGCAGTAGTGGCGTAACGCTAGTAGTTGTAAAAGAGGTAGAGACAAAACAATAGTCAACTTAGTCCTAGTTTAACGGTAATTTTTTAATAAAATGTCGGTCATCTTCAATGCCTTACCTGGTTGGCGTTGACCTTAATGACAATTCCTTTGTGCATATGAGGACGATGACCGTCCTCGTGCTTCTCAGAATAGTTGGGGTGGACAGCATGGGCCATATCTGCACTGATCAGAAAACTCTTATGCAGAGCCTCCAAGTAGGCATTCGCAGACTAATTATTAAAATAAAAAAAATAAAAAAAAGTTAAAGTATCATTTTTTTTCCTCTTGTGACTATTTCGTTCTTATGTCTTCGTGTTCATGCTGAGTAATAGGTGTTGAAGGTTCTTACATGGGGGCTACAAGCTACACCATCATAAGAAACCGAACTCAGGCGCTCAAAGGTGCTAGGAAGCATGTTGGAATCCGCGCCATAGGCAGAGGTGGATCCAACTTCCTCGTTATCGAAAAGCGAAACGAGGCGAATGTTGGGATCGTTGGCCAATGATTTGTCCGACTTTAAGCTCTTGATCAAAGCTTCGATGGAGCAGAACGACATCATCAAGTTGTCAAGACGGGCAGAGAAGATAAATTCATTGTAGGCGCCTCCGATAGCAGAAGGCTGAGTATCATATAAGCAGAGCTCAAAATCCTTAATCTTGTCAACTGTAGCATGTGGCAGCCGGATAAAAATTTAAAAAAATAAAATAAAAAAATAAAATTGAGATTTCGGAAATAATTGTATGCTATTTTCCAGAGTCAACAGACAACATACCGGCAACACCGAGCTCCTTGGAAAGCAAGTGCAGGAGAATAGGTTGGTGCTTCTCAGAGATTGGAATATCACCGTTGATATCTGTATCAGGCTTCAAGGGCTTGGTAGGCTCGCCAGTCAAGCTATTTTAATCACAAAAACAAACAGATCATAATTTTATAAGCGTTCGATCTAGAGACAGCAGTTGTACGAAAAAGAAAAGCTGTAAGCTGTAAATAGGTATATTAAACAGACCTTTTGGTGACAGTTGCAATCATAGGAGTCAAATGGGTTTCATTATTAAACTTGAAGCCATCGGCGCTTGTAGAGCGGTCCAAGTGGATAGCCAGCGTGGGGATGCGAAGAATAGGTCTTGACAGAAATCGAAAAGAGAATCATCAATATTACGATGCTTTGCATGCTGAAATAGTAACCCTTCAAAGCAACCCATAATGAGCAAGATCTTCCACACTTACCTATCAATGCGAGCCAAGCGGGTCTCCAATTTTCCGTCCTCTGTCTCAACGACGACGTTTCCTGCGACGCTGGGAATTAGTAAATATGTCGAGTTCGTAAATGTTAGAGTCAACTGCGATAATTGTGTTTTAAGATGTGAGAAAAAGAGAACGAAGTTACTTCATTTTACCTCAGGTCACGGTCAAACCAAGTATGCCTAGTAGAGAGATGAAGTAGTTAAATGGAGACATTATTATTAGGTACAATGGACCAAGAAATGACTATCCCATTGCATGAACCACCGAACTGCAAGGGAAAAAAATCCCCTTACCAGAGACCGCCTCCATAGGTTTGAACACCAACTTGAAGATATCCCACTTTTTCCTTCTTGGATACAGGTTTGAGCTATTCAACCCATGGAAATAAAAATATATTGATGACATTGGTGAAATGATTTTATTATTGACATACATAAAAGTTTAGTTGATTTCTTTTTTAATGTACCTTCAGGCAAGGCGAATCTGTATGTGCCCCAATGGCCGAGAAACCATTTCCAGGTTTGTATTTGCCTCCGACAGCAAAAGCAATGAGAGCCGATTTGTTACGAGTGAAATAGTATTTGCCATTGCGCTTGAGGACACCGTCCCAGCTGTCCCTTTCCTTAATCTCCTGGAAACCAGCCTTGCGCAGACGAAGGGCAGCCTGCTCAACAGCATGATAAGGTGATGGCGCCTGGTTTACAAACTTCAAGAAGTCTTGAGCTTCGATGGGAGCAGGGTGGATTTCAGTCTATCAATAAGATATAAAATGGACGATTCATTTAACACCAATTGAACCAATTGACGGTATTTGTAAAAGAGAACATATAAAACAACGCTATTTTTGATTGCTGGCTGGGATATAGAACAAGGAAACACGAAGAAAAAAGAAGTGCTTGTAGACTTGTTTGTATGAAGAAGAAAGAAAGAGAGGAGTCAGAGCTTGGGTCTGCCGTGAACATACGTTCCAGCAGGACAGAGTGGAAAAGAAAACTCGTCTACAAACTATACGAGCATGGGTAATAGAAGTAACAGTTGCAGGTAAGAGAAGTCGACCAACGAGCATTACCATGGTTTAGGAAATGTCGAATGGAGATCAAGAAACAATGCTGTGAAAAGAAAAACAAAGAAAGAATCAGTTTTCTTTATGTGAGTTGTGTTTGTGGGAAAGAAGCGCGTTGAAAGATTGGCTTGGAAAGCAGCGTGGGAAGCTCGGCTTGTCGAAGATGATGATGGGAAGTAAGTGTGGAAGTCCTTTATTTCCAATTGTGCAGCACACTTTCTATGTCTTCTATCATCTTTCTTTCCTCTGACAATCTCATTCTCCTTCCCTCTTTTTTTGTTCGTCTTGATCATCCCTCTCTAACTCTCATCATCGACTCTCAAGGAAAAAGTACGCCTGCAAATAACCTTCTTTCCAACTCATGTCAACATTTCACAAAGGACAAAACTAACCTTTGGGTCTTTTTTTTTTTTTTTTTTTTTTTTTTTCTTTTAGTGGTGGATTCCCCTGAAAAGGTCCTCCGACAACGGACAACCTTAATGTCTGCTGTACCGGCGATATCCACAGAAGACGAAGATGTTGAAGACATTGAAGTGAAAGCAGTATGAACCATTTTTTACCATTGGCTCTCTCAATCATTCTCATACAGACTATTACACGCGTTTAAGATTGCCTATGATATCAATGAGTTCTCCAATATCACAGCTAATCAAGAAACTGCTGTTGTTTTCTGTTCAATTAGTCGGTAGTAACATCCGTGTTTACCCCAACAGAAAAGAAGCGTTCGCTGACCGTTTTAGCAATATTGACAGTGCTCGCCATCGCTACTCGCTTCTACAAAATCTACGAGCCTGATGAGGTTGTGTAAGTGCAATATATGAAGGTTTCCTCGCTATTGAGTAAACTTAACGAGTGCAATGGATGTTAAAAAAAGCCTGCTCACGTTCGTCCCTGCTTTAACGCCATGGTCCATCGCTATAGTTTCGATGAGGTTCATTTTGGCAAATTTGCATCCTACTACATTCGCGGATCCTACTTTTTTGATGTTCATCCGCCTCTGGCCAAGATGATGCTGGGTGCTATGGGTTACTTTATCGGTTATGATGGACATTTTCTCTTTGACAATATTGGAGATAACTACATTACCAACAACGTACCTTATATTGGCCTTCGCGCCCTTCCAGCATTCCTTGGAGCAATGACGGTGCCCATTGTGTACATGACAATGCGTGAGGCAGGATTCCCTATCGTAACATGCGCGCTCGCCGGCTTCTTTATCGCCTTTGGTATGACACCAGGATTTGATTTTTTAATCGATCCAGAAATGCATATCTTTTTTTTTATACATCCTATCATGCTTACAGATGATTAAATCACAATCACGATTGGTACAATTCATTTTCTTTTCGAATTTTCATGAAGACAACATGCAGGTTACCCAAACGCGCCTGATCTTGCTGGACTCGATGTTAGTCTTCTTCATGGTTTGCTCTATCTACAGCTACGTCAGGTTCTACAAGACCAGGAATAGGCAAGTGCACCGTAGCTTTTTTAACATCATGACATGGATTGCTATTTTTTTTTTTATTTTATTTTCAGTGAGAGCCCTATTATTTTTTAAATCAATAACTTCTACTCACCTCTATGAATAGTCCGTACTCCATTCGTTGGTGGACATGGCTCATTGCCACGGGTGTTAATATTGCCCTGACTACCAGGTACCAAAATTAATCACCTCAATTCCCATTCTGCAATATATTACGGAGCTTATAAAAGGATAAGTATGTATTAATGCCAATGATCAATATCAACACTAATAGCGTCAAAATGGTTGGGCTTTTTACAGTTGCGACTATTGGTGTGGCTGTGGTTTGGGACTTGTGGATCCTGTTGGATATTCGCCGTCGATTGACCATGCAGCAGTTTATGAATCATTTCTGGGCTCGTGCTTTTGCATTGATTTTGGTACCCACAGTCGTCTATCTCTTCTGGTTCTACGTGCATTTTGCTATCCTAACTCACAGCGGTCCGGGTGATGATTTCATGAGCTCTGAATTTCAGGAGACATTGCATGGCAATACGATGGCAGACGGAATTTGTAAGTCGTGTTTCTGAATCCATTTGACATGCGATTTTGCTTAGTCTTTTTTTTTTTTTTATCTCACAAAGCTTGGCTTCATGGATCTTGATTAGATATCAAATATGGAGACAACATCACCATTCGTCACAAAGATACCTCGGTTTATTTGCATTCTCACCCACACAACTACCCACGAAGATATGAGGATGGTCGCATCAGTAGTGCTGGCCAACAGGTGACAGGATATGCTCATGCTGATCCTAATAACATTTGGCACATCGCTAGTGCTAATCCTGATGATCCTAAACTTGGCCAGAATATTAAGAACAAGGATGTCATTCGTCTTTTGCATGTCGCCACCAACTCATGGCTCTTAGCCCATGATGTTGCTTCCCCTACCATGTCGACCAATGAAGAAATCACCACCTACTCTGCTTATGAGGATGGTTCTCGCTTCAATGAGACAACGTTCCGAATTCAACTCGACAGTGGTGGCGATAAGTTGCGCACAATGGCCAGCGCTTTCAAATTAATTCATATGGATACTAAGGTTGCTATCTGGACCCATCAGCAAAAGCTACCTGATTGGGGATTTGAGCAGCAAGAGGTCAATGGCAACAAGAATATTATGGATAAGTCTACGTTGTGGTGGTCTGATAGTATCGAAGGCAAGGATGGTAAGTCGAAGCATAAATAACTCAGTAATTTGCATTACATTTTACATCGAGAGGTTAAAATGCTCCTTATATGGGTATTCATGATATTAAATACTGATATCTGTCGATAACATTACTCGTTCTGTATTTTAGCCGAAGAAATCAACAAAGAGGCTGAAAAGCCTGTCAAGCACCGTTCATTCTTCCTTAAGTTCTTTGAATTGCAGAGGAAGATGATTGCTCATAATTCTGGACTCACGGGCAAACACCCGTATCAGAGTCAGCCTATCGAATGGCCCTTCTTAATCAAAGGAATCTCTTTCTGGACCAAAGATACCACTCGCAAACAGATTTACTTGATCGGCAACCCCATCGGCATGTGGATTGCTGTCGGAAGCCTTGCTGTCATTGCCGGCATTTCTGGTGCAGATATTTTGAGCCGCCGTCGTGGCTACTATCCCCTCAACCAAGGTAACACTGATATTATACTGAAAAAAAAAAAAAAAAAAAAAAAAAAAAAAAAAAAAAACTCACAATCTCACAATCTCACAAATCAAAGGGTATTTACCATTTTTATTAATACTTTGTGTTCGCATATTCCATAGATGTGCAAAAGCGCTTTTACTATGCAACAGGATTCTTTTTCGTAGGCTGGATCTTACATTATATTCCATTCTTCTTGATGGGTCGCTCCTTATTCCTGCATCACTACATGCCCGCACAAATCTTTTCATATATGGTCCTCGCTGCTGTCCATGGCTTTATCTTTGTAGAGGGTGTGGATGCGCCAATTTCTGAACCCGGCCCCGAGGTGCGTCCACGCCGTCTCCAGCGTGCTGTCGTGCCTGCGCTTGCATACATCTCTGCTGCGGCCCTCGTTGTCTTGCACTTGGCCTCGTTCCTGTATTTTGCTCCGCTCTCGTACGGAACAAGTGCATTGGACATTCCAGCTCTTGCGCGCCGCAAGTTGCTTCCACAATGGGAATTCCATTTCACAAAGTGAAGATAAAAGAAGGATGGAAGCAAAAAGAGACATTGGCATATATAGCCTTCGTACGTATCCATGAAAAGGCATCCCAATACATTAAGAAAATGATAAAATATATTTTATATAGAATGTCCTTATTTAATCAAAAAAAAAAAAAAAAAAAAAAAAAAAAAAAGAGAGCGGGCCATTCTATTTACATTATTAATACCACTTTGGTTCAAACTGTGATTGCAAACAAGGTCTTAGAGGCACCCCTATATAGTGAGGTGATTGTGAACTACTTTGGCCAGGTTCTGGGCGGCTATAAGATCGTGATGATATGACATTTCTTAGTTTGGAGCAGTTGGTCCTTCTCATGTGCTCACGTCTGATAAAACCCGTTGTTCCATTCACCACGTTCGGACATCACTGGGGACGAAACTCCCTTTTGTCCGAACCCAAGATGCATATCAGTTTTATGGGTCCATAGTCGGATGTCTTCAGGAATCATCACTCCTTCCATGTAAGACGAGAACATTCGAAGTTTCTTGGAAGATGCGGCTAGGCCCAACTCCTTATCAGACACTTTTTTTTAGCTGTTCGAGCTTCACTTTCCCAGACAAATCCTTAGGGATATTAAAGTTATCGACTAGGAAATCGAAATAAAGCTTCCCTTCCACTTCGAGTCGAATAGTTGAAAGATTAGACGAAGCGCCAGATTGCATAATCGCTCGGTGGAAGAGACCACGGTGCTGAGGGATCAACATATGATAACCGATGCTCGTGGCGCCAGACAGTCCGCCCATAGCCGTGATATTGGAAGGATCCCCACCGAAGGCAGCAATATTGTTATGGATCCATTCAAACGTGAGGCGCTGGTCCTGAAGTCCCCAGTTGCCGGCGACTCGCTCGTAATCTGTCGTGAGCTTTGGATCTGATTTAATATCTTCAAGGAGCTCAGGGCAAGCGAAGACCCATGGGAATTAATACAATAGTTGGGAACAACCACGACCACAGGACGCCCTAGCTTAGCTGCTTGGCGGACCATATTGCTAGCATCTGAAGAGAGTTAACTCTTATTTTGAGTAACCATTCGTTTTTTTTTTTTTTTTTTTTTTTTTTTTTTTTTTGATTTCTGTATTCAATACAATGAGAAGGTGAAGCTTTTATGTTATACAATCAGAGCTTACCATAGAGTTGCGTAGCATTGGCGCCGTCACGAAGCCCACCTCCTGCACTTTTACTTTTCTTTTAAAGGTATTGCTATAGGTATCTTTCATGACGCTGATATCGACTAATAAATGCATGCATTCTATACATACTGTTTTACAGATAGACGTATACGTTTTTAATAATATTAATTGGGATATGTGTGGACCTACATATTCTCACGTACTTTCATCCACCTACCTGTACAATTTGCCTTATACACTATAGCCTCCCTATTATTGAGCGTAGAGCAACATTCTCATCGTCAAGGTCGACAAGTTTAAATGTTTTCCATCACAGAGGAGGGCGAGGAGGGGGGGGGGATAAATGATGAATGGAGCCGTGAAGAGATCACTCCTCTTCTTTATCATTAAAAATAGGGGGAATTACTTGCATCCAAATGGTATAGTCCCAAGATCATTGACTTTGCGATTCAGCTCAGATGTTCCCATCCCATATCATTGTTGATATTGAAAACGCTATTGTTTCACAGAATGGAGATCAATCCACTTGCATATTATTGAGAAGCATTCTGCAAATTCGTCATTCATCCCGTCGTGTCAGTACACCAGCAGCAAAGACCAGGATCACTAGCCATGACTAATGCGAGGGACAGTAGGATTATCGTCTCTTCATTCTTCGTCTATTTCTAGCATTGGCGACGAGAAACACTAAAGTGAAAATGAATGATATCGGACTCCAAGGCTCGGCTCCTGAATACGACTCCAAGTTCGATTTGTTCATATTTCGAGCTTCCATAGTTTCATATACGATTCATCACCCTAGCTAGAGGGACTTGGGTTGAAACAATCAAAAGGGCGTTTCGCATATTCAATCGTATATGATGGTATGGGATCTTTGCAAAGATCTTAGGAAATTACATTTGGACAATTATTGACATTTCCGGTTTATTTGAGGAAAGCGTATTCACCAATTATCGTATTTTTGAAATACATCTGGGCCAGAGGGATTACAGTCGAATGTGGTTTTTATGGTCAAATTCATGGTGAAATTGGCCGTTAAAACCACTTTCGACTGTACTAATAACTGTCTTCATATCATCCTTGTCAGGACCATGTTATCGATCCTGCTGGTTATCTTCTTCAACAAATGATCCAAACTATTCTATCCGTTATTTGTTGTCACTATAGCCTTGCGATGGGCTATTTGCCTTTAACCTTGACCCCTGCTCCGCGTGTGGCGCTTGTGAGAGCAGGATTTACATTAGTTTAGATCACTATGTTTTTGGATGATGCAACTAGCAGATGTAGAGCGATATTCATGATCTGAGTGGTCTTTATATCTAGGTATATTATTGAAGCGATTTGCTGGTGAAGACGAGGCAATGGGTTGAAGTACAAAATGTCCCTCCAACTTACACAATTAAGCTTAATCAGTTCTAGTGGTCTAGTGGTATTTCAGGACTATGGCGCGTACTCCTCAGGTGGCATGTTGTTAGTCAAGTTGTGTTAGGAAAAAGATTGCTCAGCCTGTCTTAATGTCTTAATAAAAACAGGTCAATTCCCGATTTATCATCCATCGTTCAAAAAGTTTGAGATGTCACTATGGGTTTTTTTATTTTATTTTTTTTACAAGAATGGGGACTAGATTGTTTGTTTATTTCATGTGCAAAGGTAGAGAAAAAAAGGGCAGAAAAAAAAATGATGGATATGTGAGAAAGTCAGTCTATTGGGTTCTATTGCAACCATTTGTTCTTACAAATCGCGCACAAGGGTCAGGTTGAAGGCTGAGCCGTTGACTTCCTGTGCCTCCTCAATGATTACAACATCCGTAGGTTTTTTGTTGCTGATTGGGTACAATGTACGCTTCAGCACCTTGACGAGTGTCTCCTCCTGTCCCTTGATCACCTGCTCCAATGCATTGTTCAAATCCTGAGTGAACTCATAATACATGTGAATCATATCAGTAGGCTCCAAGTTGGCCTTCTTGCGCAGACGCTGCACACGGTTGATCACCTCACGAGCAAGACCCTCCTGTTCCAATTCAGGGTAACGCTTGACATCCAACAAGATCAAAACATCCTTGTCCGTGTTAGTCTCCAAGCTGTTATCAGATGCTTCGAAGTAGCGAATCACAGTCAGATCCTCTTCACTCAGATCATGACCCTCAATCGTAATCTTCTTAGTCCTGATAAAGTCCTTAATCTGTTCCTCGCTGAGTTTGGGCAAAGCATTCTTGACCTTGACAGCATCTTTCTTGAGCTTGGCACCCAAAGAACGGAAATCAGCCTCAACAGTGTACTTGACGCCATATTGAGCCTCATTAGAAGTAACCACCAATGTGCGGACGTTGAGCTCATCCACAATATAGCTCTCCAATGCCTTGACATCGGCATGGTATTGAGGATTAGGGTGAATAACGACCAACTCCTTCAAAGGCGTTTTCAAGCTAATGGTCTTACGCTCACGGATAGTGCGTCCCAACTCGATAACGGCCTGCATCCTCGACATGGCACGCTCAATGTCATCATCAAAGTATTCTTCTCTGACCTCAGGGAATGACAGGAAATGGACAGAGCGATTGTCCACGACACTACCATCCTTTGGTACAAAGTTCTTGAGGGTTTGGTACATATTCTCAGTCAAGAATGGGGTGAAAGGTGACATGCAACGCACCAATGTGAACAAGACCTCAAATAGAGTATTCATTGCCTGGATTGCATCCTCAAGACTGTTCTCGCCCTTGAGACGACGGCGATTGAAGCGGACATACCAGTTGGTCAGCTCCTCAATCAGACGCAATAGACGGGGAACCACAGTGTACAGGCGGTAGTTGGACATCTCTTCACGCACATACTTTATCAAGCTCTGGCATGAAGCTAACATCCAGCGATCCATAACATTGTCACTCTTTTTCAACGAAGCATTGTAGATAAAGTCATGGTTGAACTCCTTCTTCAACAAAACTGTCTGGTTGACAAAGAATTTGTAAGCATTGTACCAGGGCAAGAAAACCTTGGTGATGACCTCCTTGACACCCTCCTCCTTGAACTTTAAGGTTTCAGCACGGACGACAGGTGAGTTGATGAGGTAAAGTCGAAGAGCATCAGCACCATAGGCATTCAGAATGAGGCTAACTTCAGGGTAATTCTTCAAACGCTTTGACATCTTCTTGCCATCTGCGGCAAGGACAAGACCGCTAACAATCTGGTTTTTGGCCGGGGGGGTGTCAAAGAGATGAGTCGAAAGGACCAACAAGGTGTAGAACCAACCGCGAGTCTGGTCAAGACCTTCTGAGATAAAGTCAGCTGGGAATCCATTTTTAAATGACTCTTTGTTCTCGAAAGGATAGTGTTGTTGGGCATAGGGCATAGATCCGGACTCAAACCAGCAATCAAAAACATCTTCAACACGGCGCATAGTTTTTCCAGTCTTGGGTGATTTGAAGGTAAGATGGTCAATGAAGTGACGGTGAATGTCGGTCAACTTACCGCACCCAGTGAGCTCCTCCAATTCCTGCAAAGAGCCAACACAGTGCATCTCCGAAAAGTCTTCAGTGGCCCAGATAGGAATGGGTGTGCCCCAGTAACGGGAGCGAGAGATATTCCAGTCGCGGGCATTACCAATCCAGTTAGCAAAGCGTTTTTCCTGAACAAATCCAGGGACCCAGCGGGACTCAGCATTGTTCTTCAACATCCTGTCAACAACAGGCTGGACACGAACGAACCAAGATGGTACGGCCTTGTAGATCAAAGGAGTGTCTGAACGCCAGCAGAAAGGATAACTATGGTTGAGCTGAGTCTGGACAATCAAGCGGTTTAGCCCCTTGATGTGCTTCTGAATCAATTTGTCGGCCTCCTTGACGTGAATACCTTTGAAATCAGTGATCTCATCAAAGTATTTTCCAGCTTCATCAACAGGGCAGGGAATGTGACCATCAGCAGTGATGACACCATGATTGATACAGACGCGGTAATCGTCTTCTCCGAATGCGGGGGCCTGATGGACGACGCCTGTACCTGCACCTTCTTCAACATACTCGTCGTTCAAGATACGGAATCCTCTGTCCTTGAATTCCTCATAATAGTAGTTGAAAATAGGAACGTACTTAATACCCTTAAGGTCAGAGCCCTTCATCCTGTCAATGATCTTGAATTTAGCCTTGGTAGGATCCTTGTAAAGAATCGAGAGACACTTCTCGACCATGATATAGGTGTTTCCGGTGGCCTCATCCACAAACTTGATGAAATCGTGATTAGGGTTAACGCAAAGAGCCAAGTTAGAGGGAAGAGTCCATGGAGTGGTTGTCCAGGCAAGGAACTGAACAGAGGGATCATCGACAAGGGGAAATGAGACGACGACAGAGGGATCACTGACGTCCTTGTAGTTCTGCTGCGCCTCGAAATTGGAGACAGGAGTGCGACAGGCGGTGGAGAAGGGCATAACACGGGATCCGCGGTAGACTTGACCCTTGTCGTAAAGGGTCTTGAAGACCCACCAGACAGATTCCATGAACTCGACATTGAGGGTTTTATAATCATTATCAAAGTCGATCCAGCGACCAGCACGTTCAACAGTCAGGCGCCACTCCTCAGCATATCTCATCACAATACTACGGCATTCTTCGTTATACTTGTCAATACCCATTGCCATGACATCAGCCTTTCCAGTAATACCCAAAGCCTTATCTACTTCATACTCAACGGGCAAACCGTGGCAGTCCCAACCGAAGCGACGCTCGACACTGTGGCCGTTGCTGTGAGCATAACGAGTAACAATATCCTAATACGATAATAAGAAACGATCATTAGCCATCGGCAGAAGTTTAAAATTTTAAGATGGAAACAGAAAGACATTGGATGACAAGGATAGCAAATGGTGTTGCTGCAATAGTATGTATACCTTGATAGTACCAGCGAGCAAATGTCCATAGTGAGGAAGACCAGTAGCAAAGGGAGGTCCATCAAAGAAGGTAAATGGTTTCTTGTCCTTGTTAAGTTCCTGGGAACGCTTGAACTGTGTTGGACAAAGGAGTATGTTTGTAAACCATAAGTAGGAGTAGCCTTATTTTTTCTTTTTCCACCTTCTATTTGCAAGTTGATTGGTGATTTTTAGACTATGTAACTTACAGCATTAATCTCACGCCAGAACTCGAGGATTTTTTCCTCCTCCTTGGGGAAGTTGAACTGAGCAGATCCTATATAGCATGAAGTATGGAATGACAATTATTAGTTGGCAGTCCATATACTGTTCATTAATGCCTGAGCAAAAAAAAAAGAAAGAATGAAAGAGAGTCCGATCGTCTTGGTATTTCTATAAGCTTTACGGGGAGGATACAAGAGCCTGAAGGTCTTCAATCCCTCGTTTTTATTTTTCTCTCATGTCATTTCCTTACCGTCAGTCATCATGAAAATGTATTAAGAAAGAGTGGAGTAAATACATGTAATTTCCGCAACCTCTTTCTTTTTGTACCTTTGCCAGGACTATTATTTGAGGCTTAGTTCAATTGTTAGGACAATGGCTTGTATGACTCAACTTACGGATTTGGATATCAACTAAAAGATTGTCTGTTGCAATGCGTGCTTGTTCCTTAACCTGACCTTGGAGGCGTGGTATCTTTCATTAGTGCCAACGGCGCAGTATAGATGGCCTAGTACCGTTTGTGTCAGGGCTGAAAGACAAATTCTGACTAATGTCGATAAGGTCAATTGTGAAGTTGACAGGAGCTTTGAGGTGCCTGCGCCGCTGAATAGGTGACGTGAAAAGAGACACAACATGTGTTCAGCTCTGTGCAGCATTGTCCTATTATCTCCCCTACTATGCGTGTATGCCATATATTTACAATGGTAATCGGACTAGAAGCTATAGCTTGTGTCGATACTTACATCAGACAGGGGCGAAGGTGCTCTTCAAGCCTTAAGTTGCTCCCTATCTCGCAGTTCTCAAGGTCTGTTGTTGGTATCGTCAATTCCAAACAACCGTCCGAAATCCTGACTTGGTTTCATTTAGTATGTGCTTAAGGGGAAGATCGGGGGAATTTCCGTCAGAACACTCGCGCTGTGTGAATAATGAACTTTTTCTCAGAAAGCATTTTTAAAAAAAAAAAAAAAAAAAAAAGCTACATTCAGTCAAAGGAAAGAACGAACAGGATATAGCCAGAGGTGACTTTTACCATAGCCATGCCAAGGATCATTAGCAACAGCATCATCTCATCGTCCGACCATCGGGAGGAAGCTCAGGGATTACATTCATATTACTGTCTCTGCAGTGAGTTTATTCTCGTAATTGGTACTAAAAAAAAAAAAAAAAAAAAAAAGACAGAGGAAAAGAAGGATAATCTGAAAGGAACAAAGAAAATGATTGTTTTAAAGTCACCAAGATTGTTAATATAAAAAAATGGCATATTTACAGATATGGAGTTAAGTCAATTGCCCAGGAGAGAGACAGATAACGCAGTGATCATTGAGAACGCAACGCGCATGTATAGACTACACACCATTCAAGGAGAGAACAAGATCGTAAAGAGAAGGCAAGTGCAGTGAAATACATCATTACACCTATTTTTTTTTTTATTTTTATTTTTTTTAATTAACAAAGACAACAATTTCAATCAACTAGTCAAGATAAATTCGAGAAGCAATATAGGCTGTATTGTCCACGATGCAATTTGTTGATCGCATATGAGACGACGCCTCATTTGAAAGGTGGACCATACACATATATTGTCCAGGGAGCATTGAATGAGATCCAGGGTGTACCACATCAAGACTGGGAACTTGATTTGCCAAATAAACAAATCGATATAGATCAAGATGACAATAACAATGCTCCGGAAGATATGGTTATGGATGATCAATCAGAGATGGAAGCTAGGAGAGAGGGTAATCAGGATGCAGCATCCAAGGCCAGGGCGTTTCTTATAGCATCGGCAACTTCGGCTTCTTGATTGTTCGGGACGATTTTAGTTCCTTATTATGTACATTAACATTTAATTACTATCAACATTTCCACAATACAAGATTTGATTCGATTGCTCTGCCGTGAGAATGTATACTTGCACATGATTTCTACTTGCCCGCGTGGAGAGTGACTATCTGGCTGTTCTGTCATCCAATCGGGTCAGAACAGTTCACTGTAAAGCCATGACCCTTCTCAATTGCATCGCTTCATTTCATTCTTTCTTTTTTCCTTTACTGCAATCCTTTTGAGATAACATTATCAACTCTCTCTCTTTTGTTTTTTTTTTGTTTTTGTTTTTTTGTACTTTCTTTTTTCCGCCGTACCATTCGCCTTGTCTATCGGCTGTTAGTTTGCTTTTGCTTCAACGATGCTCAAGTCTGTTACAGTTGCATTCCTTCCTTTAAGGCATTGTCTCATCAACTTGCCAGCCGCATGGGCAAATGCTCTGCTGGATCAGGGCAAGGTCAGGAGGAAAATGAAAAATGTGGTTCACGGGTAAAATAATTCTGAAATTTTTTATTCTATATCCTGACAATACAATCCTTTTTTTTTTTTTTTTTTTTTTTTTCCCTCTTTTCCAGCTCTCACAAAATGTTGTCTTAGAGTTGTCATGGCAGGAAGGATCAACAGAAAAAAAATCATATGTTGGGTGGAGTGGCGGAGCATGTAATAATGGAAATGGTTCCACTGGAGCCGCCAATTCTGCTACCCCATCACCACCTAGACCACTATCTGGAGCACAAACTGGAGATATGATTGAAATGGATCCTATGTTTGGGCAGGCAATGGGCTTGAGGGCTGGTCAAAAGGTATAAAAATAAAAGTCTCTAAAAGTGACATGCCAGCCGATCCGATCAGCCAATTTCGTATTTCATGAACGTAAAGCAATCCCGAAAGAACTTTTTTTTTACTTATATATATTTTATGCAATTATCGCAACCTTTTAGGTTAATATCGAGTTTGTAAAATCAGTTCAGGACGGTATCTCTGTCAATGTTGCTCCTTACTCAGAAGATGACTGGGAGATCTTGGTAAGGAATACCCGCTGATCTACATGGAATAACTGCAATTGAGTAAACTAAGCACTAAAAATCAAACGAATTGTCTACATATCCATTGGACAAAAAAAAAAAAATAGGAACTACATGCGGGATATGTCGAAGATCAAATGCTGAACCAGATCAGGATTCTGTATCCCAATCAAATCGCCACTATGTGGATTAATGGCCACACTCTTGTCCGTCTCCGAGTCCGTAAGCTCATTTTCTTCCTGTTCCATTACACCTAATGAACATATTTTGAATATTTCGTAGCCGATTTAGGCCGATGCGGATAGAAGAGCGATAAATCATGTGCACTGAAATGTATCGCAACTTTCTTTTTCTTATTTTAGTCGATATCAACCCAGCGGCAAAATGTGTGAAATTAGGTGCTAATGCCGAAGTCATTGTCGCACCAATGGTCCGCAAAGCCAATGGCCTCAGCAAACTAAGCGAAAACCAAGATCTGTCGGCACAAGTCCAGAAAGTGACGCAAGCGCAATGCCTACGTGTCTTGGCATTGAGTGAAGTTCCTGAAGAATTAGTCCGAAATATTACAGGATCATCAGGAGCATCGGGTACAGGACAGGGACAAGGACAAGGAGCGGCTTTTCATGTATATATTCACCCCGAGAGCTGGATCGACGCAGATCTGACCAATCAACCTGCTTTGCGCATTTCAAAGGTGGTTTCACCTCATGCAGAAAAGGCATCGGATGACGAGAATAGAGATCCCGAAGATCTGTTGGTAGGCTCTTCTGCTATCTTTGCCAGAGTTATATCATCTAAGAGTGTTCCAATTGGTCATGTCGCCATCTCTAAGCAAGTTCAGGATGCACTGGATGCCGAAAATTTTGCTATTGTCAAGTATGTACCGCATAATATGATGATTCATGTTTGGCAGACTTTTCAAAAGACAAAGAGAAAAGAAGGGGAAAAGTGCGTATTTCTTCCAGTCTACAATTCGATCTAAGGTCTATATTCGCCACTGTGTAAACTTAAAAAAAATAGACTTTCTGAACCACATATCCAATCTGTCCAGATTTCGAGCATAACTCTTCGCCCAATTTCGAGCTCTGGATCTACGCCTGCAACACCTGCACCGTTAAAACTGCAACCCAAATCAGCCAACCATGACTCGGACAAGGCAGCAAAGTCAGCCAACCTAATCTCGATTTTCAAAGAGTGGGTTGACTCTATTCCAGGAAACAACCCAATTATCTTGAGTCATGGGTCTCTTCTCACCATTCCTAATGGCGACACAGTCCAATCATTCTCGATCGTCTTTCCTTTAAAATCCTTGCCTTCTTCAGCACACAGTACCCAGCAACAGTCGTCTGAGGAAGCTAAAAATCAGCCTGAACCTGAAGCATTTAGCATTATGACCAAGCCGCAGATAAGCCAACTCAAGGTCGAAATTGGTCAACCACAAGGAGTCTCCCATGTTTTCAAGAAGTAAGTGTGTTATTACGAAATCAAACTCTACTATTTTTCCCAAAAAAAGAATCTAAGAACTAACAAATGCTTCAAATCCTCTTGTTGGGAAATCTTTATATAAATAGAACCGTCAATCATCTTGCAGATACCCCTGCCTCATTGGGAGGTGTTTCACAAGTTTGCAGCAAGGCTGAAAAATACCTGTTGGCAAGCTTGTCAAAACTTGAGTTGCGAGATGCATTGGCAGTCCCTAATTTAGGGGGTGTATTGCTTTGTGGTCCTCATGGATCAGGAAAAACAGTGGTTGCAAGATCAATCATCCGTAAACTTTCAAATAATATCAACACTCTAGCCTGTATGTAAACGCCTTTTCTTTTTTTTTCCTTTTTCTCTCTCTCTTCTTCTTTGTTGAGACTAATATTTCAATAACTCCTGAGTGTAATAGATTGCTTGGAAATTAACTGCGCCGAGTTTGCAGAGGACAGAATAACGGTATTGATGACAAAATTTCAGCAGTGGTTTGACACTGCAGCATTTCATTCGCCTAGCATTCTCTTTCTTGAAGACTTGGATCGACTGATTCCTGCAGAAGTTGAACATGCAGATTCATTTCGATCGCGACAAATTGCAGAAGTCTTTTTGCAGATTGCATCTCGGATGTGTAAGCGATTTGATCGGATCACGATCGTAGCAACGGCTCAACAACAAGTTTCGGTTCATCCTTCATTGATTACGTCCCATCTGTTGAGTGAGATCATCCGGTTGACACCTCCAGGCAAAACGGAACGGAAAGAGATGCTACAGAGTCTAATGGAAACCGGGCCAGCCATCTTGAAGCGGTCGTTGCCTCATATCGATTTAGTCTCAGTAGCATCAAAGACTGAAGGCTACTTGGCGGCAGATCTGAAGGCGTTTCTTGAAAGAACAGTCCACGAGGGAGCAGTGCGCAATATTGCTGCACAGACACAAACACATACGATAACTCCTCAAAGCAGCGGTACTTTATCTGATGAGAAGAATGAAACCATTGAGTCAACCCTTTCTACAAGCCCAAACACAACTTTGCCATCATCAACATCAACATCCTCCTCCGAGAATGACTTTATATTGACTCAGGCGGATTTCTTGAAGGCCCAGGAAGGATTTGTACCTAGCAGTCTTCGTGGAGTGAAACTTCAAAGCTCTGCAACCAGTTGGCTGGATATTGGTGGATTGAACGAAACACGCAAGGTTCTATTGGAAACATTAGAATGGCCTACAAAGTACTCATCCATTTTTTCTCAATGTCCGCTTCGATTGCGATCAGGTTTACTACTCTTTGGTCATCCTGGGTGTGGCAAGACCCTGTTGGCGTCTGCAGTGGCCAAGGAATGTGGCTTGAATTTCATCTCTGTAAAGGGACCCGAGTTGTTGAACAAGTACATCGGAGCCTCTGAGAAATCTGTTCGAGATCTTTTTGAGCGTGCACAGGCAGCTAAGCCCTGTGTGTTATTCTTTGACGAATTTGATAGTATTGCACCCAAGAGAGGACACGATAGTACAGGTGTGACCGATCGAGTGGTCAATCAGATGTTGACTCAAATGGATGGTGCAGAGGGGTTGGATGGCGTGTATGTCCTTGCAGCAACTTCTCGCCCAGACCTGATTGATCCTGCATTGTTGCGCCCAGGTCGACTGGACAAGTCACTGTTATGCGGCATGCCCAATGTGCAGGATCGATTCGAAATTTTAACTTGCCTAGCCCGGAAAATGGAGGTGGCTGAAGATGTGGATCTGATGGAAGTGGCTCGTCGTACTGAGGGCCTCACAGGCGCTGATCTACAAGCTGTACTCTATAATGCACATCTAGAGGCCATCCGAGTGGCGATTGAGAAGGATGAAGCTATTAAGAGGGAGCGTCAAGATAACAGTACGGGAACTGGTACGGATGCATCGCCGTCTGTCATAGGAGGCTCAACAGGGACGACGATAGAAAGATCAGGAGGTAATGATGGGAAGGCTGTGCGCTTTGTAAGCTTGGGAGGAAGAGGTTTTGCTGGAGCTGGAAAGTCTGGAAAGAAAGCCAATTTGACTCTGGCCGAACGTGGCCAAATATCTTCGCGCGTAAGAGAAGAAACTTTAAAAAAAGTTGACGTGAAAAGCCGCAGTTGTTGTTGTTACTTGTTATTAATTGAAGCTCTTTTTATGAAAAAAAAAAAAAAAAAAAAAAAAAAAAAAGTTGGGGCTGATTGCCAAGGGTATGGATGCTGCTCGTGAAGCAGGACGTGATCACACAACATCAACGGCAACAGCACCCAAAAGCTCACGTCCCATTATCACACGAGAGCATTTGGAAGTTTCAATGACCAACACGAGATCATCAATCACACCTGAAGAAAGTCAACGACTTGATCTTATGTAAGTAAACAAGACTGGAATGCTTTTTATTGAGCTGCTATTTAAAAAAAAAAAAAAAAAAAAAAAAAAAAAGTCCGATTCTCAAAGAAAATGGTTTTTGTTGCCCACATAGCTATACCGAGTTCCTGGGCGATCGAACTGGAGAAATGTCGAATGGCACAGGAAGTCATGAGCTTGGGCAGAGGACTACTCTTGCATAGAATAAAATAATACTCGTTATAATTAATAATAAAGATTCGATGGTATATTGTTTTTATTTGCTCGTGTTTCAACCTCTGGGAGTTAATAAACGCTTTGAAAGACAGATTGTAGGAAAACGATGCTACATTATTTTTAATGGTATCGTTAGAATTAAAATACTTGTTGCCAATAAATGAAGAATATAAAAGGATAAAATACATGACAGGAAAATATGAAAATATATATATATGAAAATAATAATGATAATGACAGTAGCAGTGATCAAAATGTGCCTGCATTCGCTTTAGCAAAGTAATGAATGGACACTCATTCGTTTGCGAGCTGCGTCCATCGCCTTCACTGCTCGCGTCTCCTCGTCTTCTGCAGAACATCTACAGACCGGACCGCATGCTCCACTTAAACAGATGCCAGCTGACAGTGGTCCCTTGGCCCCTCGATTGACAAATGGAAGGCGTCCAATACTGCTTGTTCGGCGAAGTGAATGGCTACTACGATGGCTAGAATAAGTCTCTGTTGGGGAGCTAGGGCCTGTACTAAAAGGGTTGACAATACCATTGCCATTATAGCTACCATCATTCCTCTCCTCATTCTGAGGACTAAAACAGCTGCCTCCATGCCCATGATGATCACCAGGGCTCAATGAATGGTGTCTTCCTGAACCAGATCCCGGGTGGTTGAAATAACCTCGACTATTGTTCGAGCCTGATTCTCCATCACGTCCATGTCTATATCCATGCTCATGGTCTTGATCGCGTTCAACCTGGCTGACTTGCAGCCGTATTTGCTGCTGGACACGCTCGCGCTGCTGAGAACCGTGAACAATTGGACAAACACCACCAGATGAAGGATCAATGGCTGGATGGTCCGGTGGCATAGTCTGGAGGTCCAGCTTGATACCGGGCTGATATGGAGGACAAGATGTGGATGTCAATGACAGCGATGATGATGGTGCATTTCCATTCATAGACTGTGGTAATGATGATGATACAGGGAGTCCGCTGCGCACACTTTGGTTTTGATGATGATGATGATGATCTTGATGCCTATTATCAATGTCCCGGTTCCGGTCCTGACTGTCCGCAATATCTGCCAGTGGTCGCTTCATGGATGAAGGTGGGGAGGTTGATGCAAATGAAGCACCGAAAGAGGAGGATGACAGATCGCGCTGAAGAGATCGCGGGTTTTGGTTGATCATATCTGAGCGAGGTCCTTGAAGTAAAGACATAGATGATGACGATTGTATCGATGAGGGCATGGGAAGTGGGAGCTGATGACGCCGAACGCTTGGGAACGAAGATGTCGATTCTGGTCGGCTTAAATATTTGGATACACCAAATCCCCCCATTGGTGCTGACACGGCTCGGAAGGGATCTGAGAACATGGTTGGAAGCCGGTGACTGGATGGGCCATGCCCCGAATGTCCAGGCGCACTATAAGGCTCAGAGTCATACAACCAACGAGCAGTGTGAAGAGGGCCTGTCCTCAAAGATGGCAGTGAAGTCGAGTGGGAGGAGGGCTTTAATAATGGAGCAGTGTAAGGGGCTGAAGAGGATGATGGACTGGAGAGTGGTGTAGATGAGCTAAATAGGCCAATGAGTCGGCCATTCGAACTATTGGAGCTCAAAGGTGACGGAATCGATGGTGAAGCAAATGAAGCACTGGATGAGATTGGCCCAGTAACAATGGGAGGTAGAGCGATTTTTCTGCCTGATTCTGAAATATTGGTAGGCTCCGTCTGTGGCTGCTTGTTATAGGCCGATGTATGATCTTCCTGTGAAGCACGATCGATTGATGGACTGTAGTTGTTCGACAAAGGAGAGGAATGCCGCGCCATAACACAAACAATGTATGCGTGTTCAATACTGAGCCCTCTCTGAAGATCTGTACCCAGTCCACCACCGACATACATTCTGATCGAGAATAAGTCTGATCCTCCATCTGCATGACAAACTCGGATCACATCTGTATATTCGCTCGAGCCTGGTGCCATGCAAGACATGATATTAGGTCTATTTTGATAAAACACCTGTGAGGTAGAGTCCAAGAATGTGAGACGGGAAGGATGCTGAGACGTATTGGAAGGAGTTGATGAGAAAACTGCATCTTTGATCAGGCTCAAAAGGTTCCTGAGTTTGCCCTGGTCCTCGTTTGCAATGATAGAATAAAGAGATTTGTGGCTGATGTCATGTGGGTGGTATCCCCAGAGAACCTGTGATTCATCCGATACTCTGGCACAAATCAAATCCATGGTCAAAAATACGGTTGCCAACGGTGTAGTACTTGGTGCAGAATATAATTCCTGTGGACGTTTGATCTGACTTGTAGAATGAGGATACGATGGAGGGTAGTAGAAAGGATCCTGATGCTCTCCAGGCAATGGGGGCTCTGAGTGAATAGAAAGAGGCCGGCTTTGATGATTTTGATAGTTCTGAGCAGGAGGCTTTGAGCGGTACGACATGGAGGATGCTGGTCGCTCAAGCTCATGTTGCGAAGGATATGAAGATGGCTGTGTCTATTGAGCATGGAATGAAGACATGAGTCTATTATATAAGCCTTCTAAAGCAAAAGTAACGAGAGGGATATATATAAATAATAAGTAAAGCAATCATTCCTACCAAAGAATCCCCGGAGAGTGTTTCAGGTTGAGGAGCGGTAAAAGTCTCAGCTGTCACCCTAGGAAAAGATAAAAAGGCGAGCGAGATAATGATGGTGAAAGTGGGAGAAAAGAGGTTAAAAAAAAAATGAAAAAGAAAAAGAAAAGAAGCTTTGTAAATAATCCTTAAAACAAACTTACTTTGAAATAGTGGCCTTCTTGGGCATCTTATAGTTGCCTGATTTTATGTATTTGCCCTTGACGCGTGTCTTTGTTAATGCAGTTGCTGCCTTAGAGGCTGTTGTGGGACCATCCTTGACTGACATACCCCAGGCACCATCAAGAGCGACGGCTTTGTCGACGAGCTTTGGACGACCTCTCTTTTTGTGCTCTACGTCGCGACAAGTGTCATCTTTTCCCACTGAAACGCATCTCTTGCAAGGCCTAGACACTATCATTATTATATTATTATGACATTATTAGATATATAGTTTAGTGGCGATTCTTCATCTTTAGACGGAGCCATGTGGAGGAAAGATCATTAAACAAGCAAACAAACAAACAAAAATATCCAATAGATGCTCATAAAATAGGGAAAAGAGTGCATGTGCGCACGTGTACAAAGTACGATTGAACTAATTATAATAAATAAGAGGGGCATTGTGGAGCTGTAGGATAATATGCATGTATGCTCGCATGGCCAATAGGAGTACGCTCCTTGATCGATCATACCGCGTGGTATAATTTCATTGTAAAAAATGTATTGTATGGATAGTTTTTTTTCAGTGGTACATTCGGATAGTGAAGTCCTCGTGTGGACAAGAAAGAACCATTCATAGTCAAAGAAGCAAGCAGGCGGGGCATCGTACAAGGCTCTCAAACTCAGTAAATGATAAACATGAACATGGCCTGGGCTACTACAAACAAATGGTCCTTGCCCACTTTTTCATTCATCCAGAGTCTACGCTGACTCTTGATACTTCTACTCTTGTAATGTCACGCTCAAATATTAAATTAATTTCTTCTTGCTGTGAATTAAATATGTGTGATCGTCCATGGGCGATATGATTGAATGAAAAGCTAGGATATCCCTTCCTCCCTTACAATTTCCCTCCAGGTCAAAGTAAAAGTATGCACGTCCAAAGTGCATATACACATCCCAATAATTTAGTGGACATTTCGCGGAGTAGAAAAAAATTCAAACGTTTTTGATATAAGCCTTGGTGTTTGAGTAAATACAAATTTGAATTTGTGTTCCCAATGTTATTTGTTGTCGAAAACAAGCGTGAGAACGAAAGGCAAAAAATAACGCCAGGACAACTGGATACAAATACATCTACATAAACAATCTTCTAGTCCTTCATCATTCTCGATTGCTTTCTATCCCAGGTATGGTAGTGCAAAATAAATCCATCACCACAACTACCATCTGCAAGGGTCGATGCACATAACACAACGGAATTTTAAAAAAATGTAAAATGATAAAAAATAGAAATGAGCCGTGGAGCAACCTTGAATCATTAATCCCGACTTTACTGCTATGCCCAAAGTGGAGGAGTATGTACGCCTACGAGTCTGATCTGCAAACCAAACAATGAGACTCACAATCATTCTCAGATGTATGATGATAGTGCATGAAAAAAAAAAAAAAAAAAAAAAAAGAAAAAGATAACACAGCACAGGGATGGAAAAAATAAAAATTATTGAAAGTCGATTCAATAACCGTCAACCAAGCTTTGGGCTGCAAACATTAAAAAAAAAAATTTTTACCCCAGAAAACCTGTTTGGACCATAAATAAACAGCCGTTTGAAAATTTTCATTTTGCTCAATGCCAGTTCTTTTTCTTTGCCACGCGTTGCCTCTGATGCGACTAATCCTCTATTGAGCAGTAATAAAGGAAATGCTCTTTTTATCGACTTTTTTCGATATCTTTCGCTTGCCTTCCCTCCAACAACCATTTTTCTCTTCCCAATAAACTCTATAGTCTCATAGCCATCCAGAGGGAGAAGTGGAGATGCAGACGTAAGAGAAGCAGGGACAAGGGGTAAAAAGGGATCGGGAACACACCGGCCGAAGGGAATAAGGGGTAGGGACCATGAAAGACACGCATCCATCCATATGCCCATGCAGGTGTATGGAGCAATGTTAAGGCATTGGACCACCCACTCCATTGCCCAGCTTGGTGCTTTCATTTTGATACGCAGAAGGGACTCTTTAACACTTACAGTCACAGGCGAGATGCGCCTTTTTACAGTTGATGCACGCACTCGGTACATGGGCCTTGGTTGGCTTGACCCTCGCTACAGGATGAGGATGCAATGGCACAGTTGCAGGTGTAGGGACAGCCATGTGTGAAGGTGTATTTGGAGAAGCAGGAGAAGGATTAGAGGGAACGGGGGTCATGGGAGCAGATTCCGGATAGAGTGGCTCCGACTCCATCATGTACGAGCGGGACATGAGCTATTAAGGTAACCTGTTTGCTGATTCGAAAAGACAAAGGACAAGAGCAAAGGGTTTGTATTTGTTTTGGTGTTAGGCGTTGTTAAGACTCTAGTTCTCAAGTCTTCGCGTCAGTAGATATAATTGCTATTGCAAAGCTGTCAACAAGGATGAAGAAGTGAAGCTGGGAAGAGGTTTTTATTTTATGCAACAAAAAAATTGGGATATGATTGTTCCGGAGAATTTACAAAAAAATGAGCAGATGGACTGGATGGATAAAGACAGGAGAAAGGAACACGCGGAAAGATGCAAAGGATTAAAGAGAAAGAAAAGAAAAGGGGCGAAAGATGTATACGCGTGTGTATGTTTGTGTGTTCTCCATCTTTCACTCACATTGTATAAAAAAAAAAAAGAAATAAACAATCGGAATGAAGGTGACAAGAAAGGAGATGGAGAAGGATGCAATTGAATGTTGAATGCCCAAGTGTTGAGTAGACGGAATAAAAACGAGAGTAGCAACAAGGGCTCTCGCCAGGAAAGGTGTTTAGGTAGACAAGTAACAAGTGACAAGTGAGATGAAAAAAAAGGGCGGGAGCCAGGATTAAAGTTACGAGTTACAAGCTACAGCATTATAACTAATCAATTATAGTCCATATTGTTTAGGAAAGGAAGACGAAAAAGCTGAGATGTTAATATATACATACAATATTAATTACGGTGACAAAGGGGTTGGGGGATTTCTGTGTTGGTTAGTGATAAACGGAAGATATACGTTGGTGCGTAGATAATTGAAAGACGAGACTGTTGTGGAAGCGAGAAAGAGAGTGAGAGTAGTAAAAGTGGTAGTAAGGACTGGTAGTGGTAGGTGATAGCAGTAACAGAAAGATTCGAATGAAGAAATGATGATGGGAAAGGAAAGAAAGAGGGAAATGTGAATGAATGAATTAATGAATGAACAAATGAATGTGAATGTGAATGTGAATGTGTGAATAAATGAATGTGCAATGAAAGAAAATAGAAAGGAAAGAAAGAGGAAAAGACACAATAAAGGCCTTTCTAAGTTGAATAGATATTTCTACACTGACTTGAAGATTAAGAATACAGTTCAGGAGAAATATTTGCCGCAGAGAACCCTTGCAGGGCTGGGATATCATGCTCTACTCCCTTTGTGTGTTTTTTTTTGTTTGTTGCCCTGGCGTAAAGAATGCGTGAGCATAATGTCTCTTCTGTGCACATTTTCAATAAAAAAGGGGTTGCCAGATGGGTTATCCCAGCCATTTTAACACACCCATCATTTCTGATATGGAATAATATAAGCAATACAAGGGCTAGATTCCAAGCTAAATTTTTTTTTTTTAAAAAAAAGAGACCGAGAACCAGGGTTCCAAGCGATGTACATGTTGTTTATTCTACTCATCTTATTATTACTGTTAGTGGTATATATATCTTAATCAATAAAACAATGAGATCCAAATTTATTTCTGGTGCTGTACTCTTGCTTCGTATCATCACCACATCAACAACAAGGGTTCGATCCATGTATTGTATACTGCCTTTGCTGGTGCTGCATATACATAAACATTTAAAGAGATTGAATGGCCGACACATATTCCTTCTACAAAGAAAAATAAAATAAAATAATAAAGCGGAGGTGGAGGCGGAAGAGAATCCTATTATTGTTTTTCCTTCATTTGCAAGTAACTCATTACTTTGACAGATGATTATCGAGTCAAGAAATTGAGCATTTTTTTGCGTTCTTCTGCTCTAGACAATCGTCTTCTCAACTGAATGTGCAATGGTCCAGTCTGTCAAAGTAAAGATTAAAATAATTAAACTACATCAACATCACACATCACACTTCCGTGGTTGATTCGATCTCCCATCCCGATCATGGTGATCGGAAGGAGATTTTTTTTCTTCCTCTCTCACTGTCTTGTCCAACGGATTGATCTTCCACTCCTTTTTCGTCGGGGAATTTTTTTTTTTTTTCCTTAGCCTTGTGGGAGGAGAAAGAGAACTGTTGATTTAATTTTTCACGCTTATGCGCAGAATCAACCCTACCTCATAGCCACAAGTCAAAAGATCTTTTTTTTTCCGAAAGTGGATGAAAAGACGTGCCTCAATGCTAATGATTATGAAATATTGACTTTTTTTGGACCATCAATGATGCATAATAGATAAAAAATAGACCATGAGCATGATCAGGACATGTTGCTGTTAGATTGCCCATTTCCGGAGTATTTATTATGTTGTGTTTTGTTCTTTGTATGTTTATGAAATGCTTGCTAAACCCATTAATCTCTGAGTTTTTTATTTTTATTTTACCATCACTCACTCTTTGTCGTCGTTGTTATCGTCGTCGTCGCTGTTGTCGTTAACATCGTCGCCCGTTTAGACTTTTTCCCCGACACTTTCTCCCTTTTGTTTGCGCCATGAAAATAATCTTAGCTAAAATGACAAAGCTTCTATGCAAGAAACCTCTTCCTTTGCCCCCTGTCAGGCGCAGTCAATCTTTCATAGTCTAAATCACAAGACAGTCCAAGAATAAAACTTTTACAATCAGTCATCCCTATTACCTATTTTGGTGAAATTCTCCGGGATGGCTTCGTATCATCCGACCTTCACTCACACTCATAAACAATCATCTGTCTTCTACATATACCTGCCATCTCTGGAGCAAGTTATGCCGATACAAATTAAAAAAAAAAAAAAAAAAAAAAAAAAAAAAAAGGGAGCCATGGATTAAAGAGAAGAATGAAGTTTATGAGCTGATATTAAAATGTGGAACACGCAGAAGGTAAACAGACACGCATTACAAAGTAATGCATATCGCTCTTGGACAGTGCTAATCCTCTTCAACGGCTTTTTTCTTTGTGATAATTAATTGTTTTTCAAGGACGAATTTTTGTTTTGATCTTTTGTTTGATGATTGCTCTGCATAAAAAAAGGGGGGAGGGAATAGCCATTCGGAACATTTCCGTTTCTTTTAACAAGTTGAATGAAATATGCTCATGAATACAAAATGCATGGTAAACACACAAACAAAGGCAACTTTGCAATAAACGAACAAACGGCCAAAGAAAGGTAAAATTCACTCCCCCCTCTTCTTCCTTTACTAAAGGCCCTGAGCTGAGGAAAGGAGTGAACAGTTTAAGTAAACGCATCATTCTTCTAAAAGTCTTGCCATGTGAGAATGTTCACGAGTGAACTTCTGGAGTATATAAATTCTCCTTGGTTGAATCCCGACAAAGAACATGCAAGAGCAATAGCGAAACACATGAGTAGTAGGAGCCATCTCACGGACTTCCTCTGTCATTTATCTGCACACAGCTGACACCACCGATATTCGTTTTTCTTAAAGAGAAGGACATCTGATTACCCTGCGCATGGGCAATGGAGTGCTCTCAAAAAAAAAAAAAAAAAAAAAAAAAGAACAAAGAGAACTGGCGAAAGCGCACATTAAACTGAATAAAGTTCTTTTTTACTTTTCCTTTAGAAAGTACCAACGCACATGTTTCTAAACGAGAATGAATATGTATATAAATTTATATAATTATCTATTGATTGTTTAACATATTCATAATGAGCAATTGACTTTTTCACGCTTTGTGTGTGTGAATGTATATATATATATATTCATGTACTCTAGTTAGTGTTTTGGGTTCATGCTTTTTGTTTTGAAGGATTTGTACATGTTCAACTCAATTGAGGACACCATCATTACGACGACATTCAACTCTTCTTTTTTTGATTTCCAGGGTCGGAAAAAGGGCAGTTGCTCACTCTGAAGAGCATATTACATATAAATATGAATATTTTTTATTAGATCCACGCACATTGGCAACAACAAATTACAAAACAACAATGATATATATATATATTTATACTTTACCCCTAATACAATACACATCATCAACAGCATCAATAGTATATATATATAATATATATCAACCTTAGCATCAACGTTATCCATATCAACAAAAATGTTAGGCAATAACGACACAGAGAACCTAGCCAATGGCTTTGGAAACAGGAAACCTGCCAGGATGTATACAAAGGAAAAACTTGATCAGGGCTATCCATCATATCAAACATGTCAGATTTGTTTGTTTACAAAAGCTATTTTACACATTGAAAGTTTGGCGATTTTCGTTCCTCTTTCTCATTCCACCGTGCCACTTTTTTTTTTTATGCTCTCATGAACGTTTGAACAAATAAATAAATAAATGGATGACCAATTAAATAGGCGTGTCCCATGCATATTTGTATACAAATAAACACACATGTCTGAATGAAAGAAAACCAGGCTAGTCTTTTAATCACCGCTCTTTTTTCCCAAGTGCGTGCATATAGTGATAGCCCGAGATCAATTAGATGTTTGTGTTGTCTCTTGTTATATATAAATATATATATATAATATCCATCACAAGTTATAGTTTATACATTGTTTAAGTTTCTTACCAAGAATTCGTTAATATACTGTACATTGGACGTTGGCTTTTTTTTAGCGCCAGGATAAAAGTAGGGAACTTTACAATTTTACATGTACGTTGCGATCATGGACTTCATGATACATGGACACATATATATATATATATATATATATATATTCAGATCGCTCCAGCTGCTTCTTTTTAGTCGAAGCTTGGTCCGCATCGAAACCCATGATTTGCAAGGATATCTTCTTTATTTGAGCAACTTAACTAAGACTTCATAACCTTATATGAACAATAAGTATCGTTTTGCACAAGACTTTGGTCGACCTACTGTAACTCAACCAGCCGACACCCTCCATTGGTCAGAAACAACGCAGCCTGAACCAAGTTGGTTGTTGTGACAATATGCATTGTGATCACGCTCTCGTTCTCCACAATTAGGACATTGCAGGGTACTTTGTATTCAACCAACTGTCCTTCCATTTTGTTGTATCCAATGCAATTGAGGCAATGTGGGCAGTAACCTAAAATGAATAACTTTTTGTGTAGCGTACATGTACAGTAAGGAAGGCGCAAAGTTATTTTCTTTTCATTCAGGAAGAAAATACAGAAATCCAATGAATGATAGAGAATCAAAATGATCTTGGATTCTCTCGTTGTGTTTTCTAAGTAAGGCAATGGTGGTGCCGACTCCCTTGTCCACGATGATTATCCAGATCTACTTCAAGTTCATGGCCTTAATCTCTACTATCTTTGGTGTGTAAAGCCTGCGCGGGCTCCTGGATACACAAGTCAGATATGACATGGCGTACAATCGATATTGAGAGAACTCTGAATGGCTATATGCCTTTGATTTTCACTGGGTCTATGGCATCTAAGTACCGCCGGCCTCCTTAATATCGAAGCAAGGTACTTTGGTACGTCTTCTTAAGCTCCCCGTTCAGTTTCCTCTGATAAGGTTTGCGTTGACAGTCCTCGGATACTGAAGTTAGAAACCACGGTTATATTGTGGAAACCTTAATTAATTCCAATCATGACGTGTGAGTCGTTCTCAGGAGAGCGTTCCTGAACAAGCTCTTTGCATTCTCTGTAGTTAATATGTCCTTCACATCGGTACTTGGCAAGGCCGTAATGGCGGCTTGCGACTTGTGGATGAATATATCGGGGCCTTGGAACTGTACTTGTTGATAGTGAAAGGTCGGTGGTATTCCTATCACCTGTTAATACTTTGTCTGTAGTCGCCGGGGGAGTCTTAAAACTGTTTTATTTCTTTTAATACTTCCTTGGACGGTGACCCGATGCTAAGCTATCGACAAATCCCGAATGCTGGTTTTTAAACTCATGGTTGAACCGCAAAAATATCCGCACATGTGGCGCAGATAAGCTTGATCCAACTACATGGAGTGACCCCTGTAGGATAGGTAATATATCGAAGTCGATTATAAAATATTTGATGTCTGTGGAGAGACTCGACAAAAAATTAATTTGTATAGAGCACACTTGGTTTGTTTAACTTCTGCTGCAATACAGTCATATCTTGAGTCATCATCAGCATAGCACAGTTTACCTCCAGCAAAATATCGAAAACCAATACGAGTTATTTCTTCGCTTTCTTTCACGCTGAGGTGCATCATTATTGAATCGCAATTCCATCACGTGGAAAAAGCGGGAAGAAATATAAATTGGGTGTAAATGAATAAAATTCGTTGTTGAACCGATTTTCAATATTTTGTTGGAGGTGCGCTGTACCTAGAGCTCGACATCATTTGCTTGGATGGAGATGTGTTGTAGACAGAGTCAAGTAAGGTGAAAAGAATGGTCGAGGGTGATGGAGACAGCAAGGATAATGCAGAGGCATAGATTCAGAAGAACTGATAGGGACCGCAACATGGCATCTGATGTTCCTGTTCTGTATATTCTTTTTTAAAGTTAGATTAACAATTTCCTTTTTTGACATCGTCGGAACATTACTACGTACATACTACCTCCGCTCTGTACGTACTTTATCGAAGAAGTCCCATGGACTTCTTTTTCTTTTTTTTTTCCGAATCACTCCCTTTCCTTATTACTCACTTTTTCTACTTCATTCCATTACCAAAAAAGCTTCACTTTATTCTACCACCATGTTTAGGTTCGTCCTTCTTTATCCTATGTTAATAATTGTTTATTAATTCTTAGTTTGATCCTTAGTAAATCAGCAAATGAGTACTTTTATAATCCCAACATCTCACCATATACCTCTTCATTTTCTATCCACCCTTGTTTAACGGAAAAATAAAAAAAAATAGCAAACTCGTCAACTTCTGGGTGAACAAGGCTGTTACCGAGACTGTAAGTATTACACACATATATTGTTTTGTATGACACTACAGTGTAAAGAAATATCAAGATAATCTTTTTTTTTTTTTTTTTTTTTTTTAAAAAAAAAAGGCTACCCCAGTATTTCATATATCTAATATCTTTCCTACAATTACTTTTCTTTTTTTGAAAATAGCTCCTCAGCAGCGCAAAGTTCCACGAATTTGCAGCCAAGACTCACCATCATGTTTCTAGTATCCAAAAGAATGGTACTGATTAGTTGACTTTTTTCTTCAGCAACACTAAGAAGAGAGAGAGGAATGAATAAGAAAGCCACAGAAATGGTTTGTTTGTATATGTATCTTCAAACTAAATCGTTTTATCTCTTACTTCAATTGTAGCTGCGCCTTTGATCAAAGAAGGCACCAACACAGCCTCTGTCTTTGCAAAAGCTTTCAAGGAGACTATCATCAAGGAGTCAGAGAATATTGCAAAGAAGAAGTAGCGGCCGCAACAAAAGCAAAAAAAAAAAAACAAGTAGCAAAGTAAACATCTGGATGCGCCATGTATCTGGTGTATCAACACCCTCCACTACTGTATCTATCTATCGCAACGCTTGTACACCATTGCTCTCATCTTTTTACCAATTCTTTTGCATCATAGACATGCCATCCCGATTTTTCCTTTTTCCATGCTACTCTTTTCTTTATCACCTGTACAACATCATAATAAAAAAATCCGATTTTGTTTGTTCTAATGTAGTGTATTTCAATGGATTCACTGTTAGAGCGATTCATTTGGATTTTTTTCAAAGCATGGTTTGGCTGTTTAAATTTTCTTTGTTTAAAAATATATATACATGTACACTCTCGCAATGATTGAGATTGATTAGAACTACAGAGAGAAAATAAAAAAATAAAAAAAATAGACATCTCTAAAATAATAATAATAGTAACAAACAATAAATCAAAAAGGGAGAAAAGAGAAATATGAAGAGAAGAGGTACACTGAAAGCAGTGTTTTCTTTTTTCTAAACTAGTGTTGACACGAACTAATAAGTTGGGTGCTGTTGGAATGAAATTGTTCCTGATTGATACTTTTTTATGACAAGGCAAGCAGAGCCTACTCAATTATGCATTCTGCGCGGTTGGTTCCTGAGGTTTGGAGGCTGTGGTCATCCATGGGTGAGCAAGGACATCTTCAATAAAAGGTCGCTTGTCAATGTCTCTAGTCAGCATCCAGCGAATGAGACCAATCGATTCTATTAAGAATAAATAGATTGTCTATTAGTTTTTGAAACGAAATATCACAATACGAGCGAAAATTATCCTTCGGCAAAAAGCACCTTACCTTCGGAAAGCACGAAAGGAACTCGTAAATCTCGGCTAAGAATCTCATCAATGTTATAGAATGGGTTTTCTTTGTAGATAAGCGTGTACAGCAAGATCCCAAGTGCCCATATATCCTGCTTACGGCCCTCATACTTCTTGCCTGTGAGTACTTCTGGTGCCGCATAGTCTAGAGTCCCACAGAAAGTGTCAAATTTCTTGCCTTCCTTCAGGTACGCTGACGATCCAAAATCAATCAGTTGAATCATGCCCTTCTGATCCAGAATCACGTTCTCATCCTTGATATCTCGATGCACAATTTTATTCGAGTGCAAATGATGAACAGCTCCACAAATCTGTAAAAAGATGGCACGGATCTCATCTTCAGTCATATATGGCGTCAACTCAATATAATCAAACAGGTCCATGCCAGTCCCATGCAGTGCCATCTCCACGTAATAATACTCTTCATCCTCGAAAAAATCCAACATATGAACTATGTTAGGATGTGGAATCTTACGGAGTGTATGCATAATGGAAACCTCCATTGGAATCATTCCTAATATTCGATCATTTGTCCAGCAATCAACAAGAATGCGGCTCTTCACAATATACTTCATCACCACCTTGATCGATCCGTTCTTGAGACGGCAAAGTTTGACTTGACCATATGCGCCTTGACCCAGAGAGTCGAGAATGTCATAGTCCGCAATCGTGCGGGCATGTGTAACAGCCGAATATTGCGACTTCATGATGTCAATTGAGAGACGGGAGGAAGGAGTTGATGGTGCTGAGCTTGGAGATACGCATGATGAAGGGGATGATATTGAATCGGAGGATTGCCGTGTTAACGATGTGGTTTTGACGTTGAGTAGATGGCCAGGCTTGAGAGTTTTAGGTGACGTATGGCCATTTAGGGAGACAGTGTCATCAATAACGACATATGTGTCGGGAACGACCTGCTCTCCGCTATTTTCCAATACTGCTTCTGTTGAGCGTACATCCTCCATTGCAGAGGCAATAGATTTCATAGGTGTGAGGGTTGGATTGGCGGGGGGCTTGCGATTAGGCTCCCGGGTGAAGCTGATATCTCGGTCGTATGTTATCCACACCGCAAACATGCGCCCCTGAGGGGATTCGATCATACGAATCTGAATATCAACATCCAAAGGCGTCCCATCTCGATGTAAGGCTACAATCCCTGAGTTGGATATAAAGTTATTGTTACTCTTTTTCAGCAATGCAGACATCCCAAAATTTCTCTTGAACGCCTGTGACTGTTTATTAGTGGTACCGGAAGAGGTCTCGCTCGCCTTGGGTTGAGTGAAGAAGTCAGGCGACAAAATTGATGGCTTACTAACCTCGGCAGCAGTCCTGCGAACAATGGTTGCTGTGACAACAGCACCTTCGCAGAGATGTAAATAGTCGCCTTCCTGATGCCCATCATTTTCCTCAAGAAGCTTTTCCAAGATAGGCTGGAACTGTGGTATCAAGTCATTGATCGACCGCTTCTCATTGAGCTCTGTAGCAGGGTATCCGAAGAGAAACTTGGTAAAAACGGTGTTGGCGCTCTGGATCAACCCTGACTCATGTGTTGTGATTACGCCGGCAATTGCCGGCATTGAGATGATGCGAAGAAGATAGCTTTCCATTGAGTCCTGACCTAGATTAAACGGGTTCGTTTCAGAGTCAAGATGCTCGGATGGACTCAAAATTTTGCAGATGATAGGGAAGGTACTTCCATGCTTAGTTCTTGAAGCAAAAAACTTGATGACATTGATTTGGTGAACATCCAGTGTCGCAAAGGATGTTTCTGGATCAACTGACTGTAGCTTCTCCAGCGCAGGGATCAAGGAAGTAATCGATCTACCAAGCAGCTCCATGTAATCATACCCATACAGGTCAAGAACAGCACCTTCAATATTCAGGATTTCGCCCTAAAAGAAAAAAAAAAAAAAAAAAAAAAAAAAAAAGAAAGGGAAAGAATATAGCCCTTGTCAGTCAAATTTAGGGAGGTGCTGAAGCTATTTTCTTGGTACTCAAGTGCAGGGCTTGCATAGCTTACGGAGCTGGAAATGACTGCAGAAACAACTGATTCTGAGATTTCCTCAAAAACCCAGATATAAACTGGTTCCCCTGAGGTATCCTTCCTTCGCTTGAGCCAAACTGATGCAGCTGCCGAGTGTGAGCTGCGCTTTTGGATGCGAATCTACACAGACAGTTAAATAAATGCAGGAGGCAGACGCAACGGAAAACAAATAAAGAGTGTATTTATTAGTTAGGACACAACACACAAGTGAGATAGACATGATGAAACAATAAAAATTAAGCTAATAGATCTCTTTCGTCCATCTTGGTTTTCTGGCTCCAAACATCATCCTTGGCTGTGTGCATATTGCATGCAGCATGCAGAAAGATGCATCATCTGACCATTTTATTGAGTTAAGTAGCGAGCAGTTGCTCCGCTCTCAACCCAATCCAGGGCATGAAAATGACCACCAATAAGATTGATCAATCCATTCTCCGCAAACATTGGAATTCTGCCTCCAATTGCATCGATAGTCTTCAACTCAATAAAAACGAATCATCAGGATTGAAAAAAAAAAAAAAAAAAAAAAAAAAAACCAAAAGAAAGAGCGACCAAGATCTACTGTAAAGAGAGCACAGGAAACCACGCCCCACGCAAATCCTCATGGATATAAACAAGATACAGGACCTAATGTTGTTGGAAAAAAATCGGGAAAAGAAACAACCCAATTTTTGTGCATTTTCATCTAAAAACAGTAAACTTCGTATGACGGTACGCAGCACCATCGTTGCACAACAGGGAAGAACAGTAATTGAGGGTGAAGAGAAGAAAATGGGAGATAACGATAGCAACAAGATAGGAAAAGTGACAAACGCTGGGATCCTATTGCGTCTGCGTCTGTGTGTTCGTTCAGATCTTTTTTTTTATCTTAAAACATTCTCTTTTTTTTAGTTGACTTACCACCTTGCCACAAAGAAGCACATGTTCATCCTTGCTATCATGCATATTGTTCTGTGATTGGTGGTAAAGAATTGCCTCCAGCTTCTCTTTGTATGGACTGGCGACCAGATCATGGATGGTCATGGTGGTAAGTTCACTTCCATGATAGCCGAAAACAAGCGAAGAAACATCATTAGCCATAACAATGTTCCAGTTATTGTCTGTAGTGATCATAGCCTGATTCTGAGGGACAAATCGTGTGGGTGAATGCAGGGTACTGTAGTTGCTTGTTATGGAAACGGTAGCGACAGAGAGTGGTCGTGACGGCCGCTCCTTTGTCTGTTGGAAGTCTGATGATGTTGCTGAAGGAACATCGGTCATTGTCCTTTTGAACTTCGGCTTTTGACCTCTCAAGTCATGGTCTGCTTCCGAGGCTGAAGACCCTACTTCGTGCGAAGGGTAGGCTCCGATGGAGAATGTGTCTGTGGGCGTCGTTGGTGCGGAGACAGGAAAGACATTAGATATGGGGACTTGCCAGCCTTTGATCTTTTGCTTCATAAAGTCAATGGATCGGTAGAATATGCTCCGCCGTCCCTCGACAAAGGACTTGTCATGGGTGCCGGTCGTGAACGAGTAAGAATGCAAGGATTCGTTCGAGAATTTCGCAAGCTCGTCAGTTGTGCTAGCCATTACTGGTGGCCGTGGCGATACTGTGACACCTTTGAGAGAGGATCCTTGCAACGGCTCATGAATGTGGCTGTTGGAATGCGTTGCAGAGGAGGCAAGTGGCATGGGACGGATGCGAAATAAACCAGAGTACGGGATCGGATCTTCAAGAGATGCTTCTTCCGACTGTGAGGATGGGGTGATGGGCGTGATTGGTGCGTGAGTTCTGGCGGAAAATGAATGGAAAAATAAAATAAAATAAAAATAAAATAAAAAAATAAAATAAAATAAAAAAAAAAAAAAAAGGTTAGACCAGCGGATGAAACAGATCAGTTTGAATGGACAATGATGACGCCGGTGGCACCGAAGGAAATGGAGGAAGGAGGAGTAAGAGAGAAAATGGAAAGTCAACTGTAATGAAGGAAAAAGTTGTAAATGTGAAAAAAGACTAGAAAGTGGAAGTTGTACAGAAAAAACTTAATATCATGTGCATGACTCTTTTTTTAGGCTTTCTTTGTCCGGACGTGACACCATGGCAACCCAGACAAGCTCCATCCTCAAAATTAATTAGGATTGTTCAAAAATGGATGATAACAATAACAAATTCACTAAAAAGCCGGCAAAAACAACATAATATAAAAAAATTCGGAAACTCTGCACAACCACACTTTATACCTGGTATCCATCTCGGGAGGGTAAACAGTCGACTATTGTCTGGGGAAATAAAAATAGGTTTTTATAATAAAAAAAAAAAAGGAAAAAGGAAAACCTTCCGGAAAAGCAATAAGTGTCATCAGCAATTGCAGCGATCGATTTTACAAAACACACATATACACAGGCCAATAGAAAGGCAGCTGGGACTCGGTATATCTGTGTGTGTATGTAGATGGGCAAAGTATGTAATTATAAAAGAGCGTTTTAAAGAAACAGAGGAGATATTACAGTCAGTAACGAGAAGAAACTAAAGGTGTCTTCGTGCTAAATGAAGACAAGTTAGGAACTGATGATAATTAATGATGAGCAATTGTTCACAAAGTAGAACAGTGAAGGGTGAACCAGAATAAGAGAGAGAAATAGGTGTTTGTGTCTATTCGTGTTTTTTACAATCGCAATTGTGAATGTAAAAAAGGAAGATGGAGTTGAGAGAATGAAAGTCAACCCACTAACTTAGCCTCCCAACCAAAATATTTTATTCAATGTATTGTCTGTCATCCATGTAACCGTTCCTTCGTTCCCTTTAGTGAACAGACCATATGATAAAAATCATCCTTGTCCACATGAACTCCAAATTTAATGTTCCCGAATGCCCTTGTCATCGCTCTCTTCTGACACAAGAGAGCCTAAATGTCCATCTCATGGCCTTACGGGAAGATAATTAATATTTTTTGTACAGACATGTACATTATACTCTGCTTATGCAAGCCAACGACAAAAAAGAGAAAAAAAAAAACGTCCTAGTTTGACCAGAAGATTGCTTTCTTTTTATTTATTGAGAGAACAGCGCGTCAATGTTGGACTAGAGGCAGTAGAATAGTTTTTTGTCGCGATTTAAGAATAAGGAACAGAGGGATATCGACAGACTTTATTTTTACTTCTTCTTGTTAGCCTCCTCCTCCTCCTTAGCCTTGCGACGAGCCTCACGAATACCATGAAGACGAGCAATGGAGCGGGCCTTGCGGTGCTGCTCATAGGCAGAGTGGCTCTTCTCTTGCTCAGTAATCTTACGAGCCTTCTCCTTGGGCCAAACCTGGTTGACAGGGAAGAGGGGACCAGTCAATTGAGAAGCTGCAGAGAGTTCAGAAGCTGCAGAGTCACCGGCCTTAGCCTTGCCGCCAGCCTTGCGAGGGAAGACGATCAACTTAGCCTTGTAAGCCTTAAGGCGCTGAGCATTCAACTGAAGGGACTCCTCGGACTTATTGCGGCGGCGGTGGTCAACGGAGATACCAATAGAGAGAGCCTCTTTGCGGCGGATACCAGCAGCCTAAAAGAACCGCATCAACAGAAAAAAATAAAAAATTGTTAGTTGTTTTGCTTCAAATAACTCCTTTCCCCCGTCGTATAGACAAAGCTCTCGTGTCCAGTACAATTCGCTCGCTAGGCTCCCCAGTCATCGAGAATTTAATGATAAAACGTTGCCCCTAAGAATAGTATTGTCTTTTCTATTATGACTTAGGCGATAGCGTGTGGTTATGTCGATCTGATAAAATAATTTCCAACTAAAATATCCCATTGGTGTCGATAATGATTATTTCAAGAAATATTGTATTCGTTATCAACAGTTTCCAAACGGTTTGGCCTCTGATGGCACTGCTACAATAGAAGGACAGGCCAGTGTGTCATGTATAAATTGCTGTCTAAAACAGAGTGAGAATGATAATAAATATCATTTATCTATTCAATACATGCCTTGAGTTCGTCAAGAGTAAAACCGCGACCAGCACGGAGCTTGGTGTTATACTTGACCGTAGGGCAGCGGACGGCAGGACGGATCAAACCATCAACGGGACGAGGGGCAATGCGGGCAGCCTTCTGGATGCGCGCAATGCGTCTTGTCTTCTTACGACCAGCCTGGTCCAACCAGACCTTGACGCGGCTCTGCCAGTCTTTGCGGAAATGCTATTTAAGCACAGTTCAATGTAATAAGAATGGTAAAGGAGATGATAACAATATAAGTCAGTTTTAAGATAAAATCAAAGCAAAGACAAAAGAGGGGGGAAAAGCGCGACCAAGCTAAAAGGATAATGAGAACGACTTCCTTCTCAGTACGAGTAGGATAATATCCACCCCCGATTCTACAAAACGCCTTAATTTTAATGATTTCTGCAGTATACAATAACATATAGGTATACTGATAGCATCAACCGCAGACAACTGGTACAACTGATAATATCAAAAGACGATTTAGAAGATACATACGTTTCCGGGCAATTGGTTGTTGTGCTTCATGGTCTGTAATTGTATCAGCCAAAAATAAAACCGAAAGTAAAGAATCCAGCGTAGAAGGTTGAAGGAACAAGAAAGATAAAAATCACTAATCAGTACGTGTTTTCTGAATCTTTTGCTAATCCGATTTGAAGTTCTTGTCGATTACGAGTCTTGTCGTTCAAGGTGTTGACCGAATTTCAGCTGACAGAAAATAAAATAAAAAAGAGTTGATGTCCGTTTCATCTTCCACTCCGAGTTAAGATCCAAAAGTGCCGTGCCTACGATTCATGCTCCGATTTCGCCATCAGCGGGTTTGTACTAGCCAGGGTCTGACTTTGAGCCAAAGTACCCAGCCATAGTTGATTGATTATGGTATGACTAGCATAGGGTGTCTCTAGTCTTTGATTTGTGTTCTAGCTAGCTTCCTTGTAGATGTCTCCAATGAGCTTTAGAAATTTACTAATGGCTTCTGCCTCTGCCTTCCCTTATGCTAATTGTCCATGCATTCCATGACTCCGTCGATGACAATTTATAAAGTTTGTATCATTTATTATCCTTGGTTTTGACAAATACCCATTTGACAAAGTATAAATGGTATGTGCTACTGCTGATAGATCGATGGATGCGATGAATGCGATGAATCCGGATTGCTCTGCTTCGCTCCAGTAAATATTTAACGCTACCGAATATGATAAAGCTGAAAGGGGTTTTCCATATTTTGCAGTCCCACTGACTTTATCCCTGACTTTGGAATTAAGTCACGGGACAGATCAAGATTATTTGGGATGAAATTGGCTAGCGGGACGCCATTCTCCGGTCAACAAACTATCAAAAAGCTTGCATTCGTAACAGTGATTATTCCTAAGGTGAAGTAGAAATATATTTGGCTGGTCAATCCCTTAAAGTCAAGAAGACGACGATACTGTGGTAAGGCTTATTATCAATAGAAAGACAATATCGAAGTCTTCAGTCGTTCGTTTTGGCGTAATAAATTATTGATAGGCCTATTGAAGGAGTGCTTCTTCTGTCCCAACATAACAATGATGACAACGATGTTGAAAAAGGTTGCTAAAGCGGGTGTTGCTTATTCAGGAGCGCCGCTCTCGCCGCAATGAGATTGTTGGCAGCAAGGCGTTGAAGGAAATCCGAAGCTCAGGAAGGCAGGAAGGAACGATAGATGGTATGCAATCATCAAGGAACGAATCTGGTCTTTTCCTTGCTGGCAGGGTAACGATAGAGACATTCCCCTCTCCGGCACCAGCTACACGATAGTAAACAAAAAAAAAAAAAAAAAAAAAAAAGAGGGGGGAGGGGGGGGCAGTTCCCAAAAGTGAAGACCTGAAGTCCTAACCTTCCATGGGCTCTTTTCTGCGTATCTCTCACTGCCCATTCATATCCAACTGTCCCTTCACATCTACCCTATCATCCCTTTTCTGACCCCTCTCTTCCGTTATCCCTTCTAATTTAAAGGGAATAAATAATAACAAACATAGAGAATCGTTATAGGAACTGCTACTACTGTGATGTCCCTACATTATCCAATAATGTCTAACTTTTAGTTACTTATCTTTTCATTCATGGCTATAGCCATGAGTAGTCTCGATATTCGCGACTAAAGTGTAGATTTACAAGTAAGCAAAATTTAAAAAGAGCATGGGTGTCTGTGCATTTTTGTTGACTCTGAAGCGAGAACTCTAAATGATGGCAAACGTCATTTGAGAGAAAAAGTAGAAAAGAGTAATAAGGATGTACGTCCGCACAAAGGCTTCGACTTCTCTACTATGCCCCCTTATAACATAGTTGCTCGTAGTATTTCCCACTAAAAGGCGCAATTCCACTACTAGATATACTTCCATTAGGAAACGAAACTGTCCTCCCTTGGCCTATTGACAAGTCTGAATGGTCGCTCACAGCAGCTTTTGGTCGACTACAATCCCTTTCTTACAAGATTCGTATTCAACTCTTCTGCTTGATGTAATTTCCCACAGCTTCAACATGATTATGAGATATCTGCCTTTCTCCAAAGGGCTGTAGTGTTACTGGTGACATAACCGACTCACGAGTCTGATATTTGTTGCCTTGGCCATTACAAAGAGGCCCCAGCTTGGCAGCCAGAATACCTCTATAGATGCTCTCATCCATCTTTGGTATTAACCCAATGGATATCATGAACATCATTGATACCTTCCTACCAACGTTTCTCCATAATCCTCATAATCTAATGTCCAAACGTCACTAGCATATAAACCCTTATGTTGTTGGGTTTAAATAAAAGTGTTTACATTCTGTGATTCTGTGTATATCTAGTCGCAAATGAATAAATCACGCTATGAGGTAGACCAGCTGTTTAAGGATCCTTCTTTCTTTGGAAGTAATTGCCAGTAAACGAGGCTTTTCTCCTGTCCTTTTCCACCTTTCTTCGTTGTTCCCTCTTAGTCTCGGCCTCTCCCTTCCTCACCAATTGTTTGTCTGGGGTATTCCTGAGTTGTTAGCACGTGGAAGGGGAAACAGTGTGGTAAAAGTCGAGATTCTTCCCAACCTCTAGGATGATTGAAAGCTGAGGTCCTCTTTCTCTCTACCGCCGCCCTTCCTCATGGAAACCATAGCAGTAAGGCTATTGAAACTTCCTCATCCCCGTTAGTAGAGAAGCGGTGCTGCCTTTTAGGCCTAATAGGAAAGATCGCGCTTCTTTCTCGGTTTCTTTCTTTAAGCTTCCTCGGAGCGTGACACCATAGCCTTATAGATTCAGTTCAGCTTTGCCTTGCAGGTTTTCTGCTCTCTTCAGTGGGAAGATTGACCGTACTAAATATATAATGAGGCGCGATTCTAGAAAAGAACAAAACCAAGTCACCTCCTCGTGGTATGTTCCAGGCGACATTAAATATATAATGTGCATATTTGTGCTGGAGAGTCAATTATCCGGCGATGAAGCTATCAAAACGTTTAACTGAGACCACTACATACTACCATATATTCTCTGTTTACATATTGTTAACTCCTAATGTCATTTATATCGCCGTTGTTTTCTTTGTTAACTTAGCTCATAGCTTGCTTAATTTTTTATTGACAATTATATACCAGATTGTTGATACATTTTATGACTTGTTCTCCCAAGTCGATTCCGGAGTGGCCGCTATACCGGACACCTCTAGAAAATGTGCTTCTCCAGTCTATCCGCATTGGTGCGCACTAGTGTGGCCTCATCTGAATCTCTTGATTATAGAGCTTAACTCAATAACTAAAAAAAAAAAAAAAAAAAAAAAAAAAAAAAACTCTGGTCACATTTAATAGTCTTTTTTTAACTCATCCCAAAGCTCTATTTGTATTTTATAGCTTTCTTTATAGCGTCATGGTCACGGTCAGACTCTTAGCGTGGAGTAATAAGACTGGGACATCAATCCCATTCATCAGTAGATCTAAAGTTTCGAGATAAGCCAACGAACTCTGCTCTTGAAGACAAGTTCCTTCTTCAGGTGCAGGAGCAGTTGTGAACACAATCGATGTTGTTTCTGCAGAGGAGTGGATCCGCATCAACTCGTTCAAGATCATTAACTGAGCCTCAGGACTGAGGTGATCAAATTGAAGTTTAGGTTGTTTGTCGTTGAGGTTACTGTCTTCCAGAGTAGGGGTGTTTTTGTGAGATATGGATTCCGATGGTGACGAAGTAAGTAGAGGGCTGGCTTGTTGAAGCCCTACTGGGATAACCACATCATGAGTATTGCCATCCTTTTTACTGCTGTCGTTAATGCTACTCTCCATCTGGGCCAAGGAAGCGTCGGCAGAAATATGGGAAGGATGTTGTAGTGGCTGGAGCAGGTATTGTTGTTGCTGTCGATCAAAAGTATACATTCGTTGGCGTTCCTCGTCCACTGAGTTTGTTCCGAGAACAATGTCGAGGCCATAAGGTGGTTGTTGTTCTGAACCTAAAAAGGTATGTGCAAACGCCGATGCAGGAGCTTGTAGCTGCTGTTGAAATGACAGAGTCGTCGGCGTTTGATGTAATGGATGTTGTCGGCGGAGTTTTTGAGCTAATGACGACGCGCTCTGTGCTAAGGGACGCTGTCGCTGTTGTTGCTGCTGTTGTTGCTGTGGTGAATAAGTTTCGCGCCCACTATAAGCTATTTCATCGCTCTCATTCTCGTTGTTGCTTTTATTGGTGTATTCAATGATTTGATAGTTATCATCCTCTTCTCCCTCAACCTCATCCTCATTGTCATCATTTTCAGAATTCGAATCGCTTTCCGAGGAGGAATTCCCTCCGTTCGTCGAGTCAAAATACTTTCTTGGTAATGGTACTGCGATACGGAAGTTCATTATGGAACCTCCTGAAGGAACAGATGTGCCAAGACGAGGGTTATTAGATGAGGTAGGTTCAGCTGCTTCGGCTGAACCTCTTAATGATGATACTGTGCTTCTAAATGGCAATGGGTACGCAGATGCGACGTCCATAGGAACTAATTCTGAACGCAGACGAGGAGACAGCGCAGTGTTGACACGCAGAGCGGCATTAGGGCCTTGTGGACGCTGTGACAAAGAAAAATGCGATATTGAAAGCGATAAAGAGGATGGCTGCACGGGATACGAGATGGTGCGGCGTCGTTGAGGAGCTGGTAGTAATGCTTGGGAGGCAGAGCTGTACGCTGAAGGCGTGAGAGCCGGCCTATTAACCAATGAAGGTGGAGCTAGATTCTCCCGAGGCGCGGGGCGTTGTTGGTGCTGTATAGCTACTAGAGATAGTGACGAGTGACCTCCTTCGCCCTCACCTATATCTGACGGTGGTGTCAGTGATGGCACTATGATTCTTTCATCAACACCAGTCTCTTCTTCAGCGTACTCATCCAGAAAGCACTCATCGCCTAGTCCATCTATATTGGTTTCTGCTGCCTCTATCCCTTTGACAAGTCTCTCGTAGGTCTCACTGTCCCCACCATCCAGGCATATGACCTTGGTTTCCGCAGGAATGCGCAAATTCTCGAGTAATGCTGCCAATCGTTTTTCTTCCTCTTCTACATCTTCCCTATACTCGACAAAGACCATGACCCGCAACACATACTTGTCCCTCCATTGGGGAACCATATGCAAAATACAGCCCATCTGGAGGACCATAGCGTATGTTTCGAAATTGGTCGAGCTGGATTCAGGGGCCGTAGCGCCAATACTAGAGGGCATAGAGCTTGAACTGTGATCTCGAGATGCTCGCTTGGAGCAGTCCGAGAAAGCCCTTCCTTTCGGTCCCGAATAGAGGTTAGAGTCGAAGCACTGAAGTGGCATGACAGACATTTGCATAGGCCAAAGATCGATATATTTCTTCTTCGCACTGGTCTCTCCACCCTTATGGGTTGATGAGGAACGTGATGCTGATGTCGTTTGTGGAGGAAGCGAATGAGATTCAGGGCGGCTGTGACTTGACCAGGGCTTAAGAAACTGCCAAAAAGGATTCTTATGCTCCTCAGGGAATTCTAGGCGCTCAAAGCCATATCCGATCGCAACAGCCTTGTTAAGCGACAAGACATCTTCGATGATTGAGACATAGTCTGTGATCCTGATTGGGGCCTCCACACGGATGTTATCAGTTGGGAGGCTTGTTGGGATGTTGAGCAGCGTGTGGTTTATAAGGGTGTCATCCATAGTATTGATGTTGGCGTTGGTGTAAGTTGTCTGGAGGTGCGGCGATGAAAAACTTATTTCCTTTTTCGCACTCGGCGATTTGGGGCGGTATAGCGCTTCTACATCTTGCAGCCGCTGTCGGCACTCTTGTTCACTTTGTTTCTCTCTATGGTATCGTTGGAGGTTGAATGATCCCAAGACAACGATATTAGGTCTCATGCCACCCAGCCCTGTCCCCATCAACAAATTTCTGGCCCCTATCCGGACACTATCTGCCACAATCAGGTTCACGAAAGCCTTGATTTGTAATATGTCAACAAACTTGAGCCAGCTATTTTGCTGTCTTCTGTATTCCTGCAACACATCCTTCAAATCCCCTTGAATAACATGTCCCAATACATAGAGTGCTCCTTTCTTCAAATGATTACAAAACTGAATCAACTGAAACTCGGATCTTGGGTGGTGAACTAGTAATAAGATTTGAGGCCTCCAAAACTTAACATGTTCTTTTCTTGAATCCAAACGAAGCAAGTACTTGCGGACTTGGTGATAGATCAGACTCTGAGTCACATCCCCCCATCGCTTTGGAGGAGACGAGTAATGGATCCAGATGAAGAGTATAGCGGTCAGAAGGGCACTTAACAGACTTTGGCCTAGATCCACAAATCCCATTACGATCGCGCAGAGAACCATCCCCACAAAAGCCGTCCACCAATGGAAAAACCGGAAACTGGGACGAAAGTTCGGAGCAGACCCAATCTTGAGGAGAAAACAGGCCAAGTTGAGGATAAGATACGTCAAGAGCGTGATCAAGGAGACGAAAGTCGCAATTGCGTTCATATCCGTTAGGAACAGGCAGAATTGGCAAAGGACATAGGTCAAAAGAACTGCCAATGTAGGTTCATCTGTCTTGGGTGTGCCCTGGCCGAAGAGGGATAGAAGCGGCAACAAGTTATCTCGAGCTATTGCTTGAAGGATTTTGGCTGCACCAATCACACAGCTTAACGTGGCAAATATGGAAGCGGCTAGAGCTCCAGATGCAATGCAGAGGGGAGAAATTGACACCTATTGAAGTGAAACCACATGTCTGTGAATTTTTGTATTTACTGTTGCTATAATAAAAACGACAGCAATAAGATGGAGAAACTACAATTTACAGGCACTTACATCTTGAAGAATGCTGAGATCTGTGTGCATAGAAGTTCTGGAAATCGATCCGCCCATCAAAATAACGATGGATGTGTACACGCAGAATGTCGATGCTACTGCCCACAATGTTCCTTTGGGAATAGATTTACTTGGATCCTCTAGATCCCCCGACATTGAAGCGCCTTTTTTTAAGGGCGGAAATCGTACATGTTTAACAATCATTGATATGTATTTCCGTCATCAGAAAACATCCTTGATCATCTTTTCTCTTTTTTTTGTGAGTCTTTTACCTGCAAGGATACCAATACAGGCAGGGAACAGGACACCAAATACGGTCTGGAAACTCTGCTTGACACCCTCAGGTCCATTAGCGGAAGTGAATTTGGGCCACATATTTTCCTGGAGGGTCTCCCAAGTGAATCCAGTGTACACAATATTGCGCTCCAAATGTGAGAATGGTGGTACGATTGCAAAGGAGATAAAGATGGATAAAGTTGAAAGTAAAATAATCACCGCCAAGACCAATGATGACCGAGCAAATAGCTACAAAAAACAAATATATCAGTATAATATATCATGGATAGAATCATCAGCCTTGAATAATTCAAAATGACTGATAGCTCTTTCTTCATTACCTTCGCGCCTACGAGACTGATCAATGTGCAAGAAACCAGCAAGATCGTCCCATATATAAATCCCCATAGCTGTATAAAAAAAGCAACATAGTTCGTATACATTTAGAAGATTGATACACTTCTTGAACTCTTCGAAAAAATAAAAAATGAAAATAAAAAATAAAAAAATAAAAAACGAACCGAACTTTCTGGCAAGACTCTGTAAACAGTCCCTGAGGTCTCACCAAAGTTGGCTATCAGCGGTTCGACAAAACCAAGGACGTTCATTCCACATCCCACCACTGTGCATAAGAAATAGATCAGACCGATACTTCCACCAAACTCGGGTCCTAAACTACGGCTCAGCAGGTAGTACACACCGCCACCTATTTATGCAACAGAAAAAAAAAATTCATGATCAAAGGCCTATTATGACGTAATCTGGTTTCGTACCACCATACATATTTCTTATTGTTGCATGGACAAGGTTACTTATGACATATTTTTGAAACTTACCTCGTACAGTGCCGTTGGTACTGATGGCGCTAAGTGACATGGCTGTAAAGACATTAATCGCGTACCCAACAACGAACATAGCTAACGTGCCCATGATCCCTGCTTGACCAATAATGAACCCAAATCGCAGAAATAGGATGATACCCCAGATACTGAGCACGCACGGCACAAACACGCCAGAGATCGTTCCCAGTTTTGGCGATTTGGTGGCCGCTAATGCTGGATTGAGCTGTGTTGGAAATACCGAGCCTGCTTTATGATTGCCGGTTAGACGTTGTGGTTGTTGCTGTTGCTGTCCATCAAGTCTAAAGCCTTTACTGCTGTAATGATTATAGTCGCTATCATCGGCTTTAGGGATAGCAGATGATGGTTTTTTCAAGTCAAAGAGTGAGCCTACAGTATTGATGACGCCATGGATCATGTTTCCAGCTACAGTTGAATGCTTGCTGATAGTGTTTGACGAGGTGGCATGGTCATGTCGTGTTTCTCTTCTATTTCCCAAAAGGAGCGTGCGCTCATTTGGTCCCGAGTTTAATGCTCCTAAAATTCAAGAAAAAGGGGCGGGTGGAGTGAGAAATAAAAGCTCAGGAAGAAATGCAAGGAATAGTGTATACATGTGCCAAGATCAATTATACCCAGTAGAAATAAAGCCGGGTGCAATATTTGCATGGAGTGAAAAAGTGATTAAGGAAGACGGATTGCAGGCGGGATCTTGTTTTTACTGTTCATGCGTGAATGAATGTGTACCTTGTGTGTCAGCAAGATCTAGATATAACTCCTGCTTGTCCTGTTGCTCCTGCTCTTGCTGGTGAGCTTGGGCCTGTTGCTGTTGCTGTTCAGCTTCCTGAGCAGTTGTATCCAGAGTTAGACTCCCTCTGCGGAGTCGCCTGTTGAACGCGTCCAGGTTCTCTTTCCAGGTTACGGCGTGATAGACGGTCTTTGGTCTGGATGATGATAGAGCGCCTCCAGGACGCGCTTTGGTCCCCACCCCGGCGCCTGAGATGCGGCTCGTCTTGCTAGGGGCAGCTTCAGGGAGGGTGACTGAAGAAGATGATGATGACAGTGCAGGTAGGAAACTGCTGCCACTGGTAGAAGGTATGGATCGAGGTCGCTCTGAAGATGGGAGTGGCTTAATGACACCGTTAATGCTACGACTGCCAATGACATTTGTATTGACGCTCTTTGCTGTGAAAGATGTTCTATGGTATGGCGCCTGCTGTGACATCCCTATTGCCTTTATTAACTATGGTTTTATCTTTTATCAATGAGCATGGTTTTTGCTTTCCAGTGTGCTCTCCTTAAGTTTAAAGAGGGGAAAGGTTTAGAAAAGCGAATATGTAGAAAGTGATGTGACAAAATAAGGGCAAGTAAGGGTGAAAAGAAAAGCAGAGAGAAAAGGGGTTTTGCAATGCCGCCTTTCCCATTCTCTACAGTCGTAGAAGCACAACTCTATGGACGGACAGCTCAACGAATGGTCACGCATGTCAATCATAGTTAACTTTTCTTTAGAACTTTGCACGTGGTCTTTTTTTTTTTTTTTTTTTTTTCGTTTGGGAACCAATAGCCAAAAAGATGTTAATGTCTCTTACTGATGATATTTTGTATCAGCATATAAAAAAGACTGGTATCTAGAAAGCTTTTCTGCTGAACTGTACCTGTTCTTTTCTTTAATTAGCTGTTAAACACAAAAATATATTATGCAACATGAGCATGGTATAAAAGGATGGGGGACTGTGTATTGTAGGTAGTTTTTGTCTGTGCTCTTCGTCTGGGCAGTTCGATAACCAATGAAAAGTTTATCATCACGGGAACAGTACTTTCTCACGGGCATTTCGGCGATCGCCCAAGTAATCTTTTCTCTCTTCTAAACTCCATTTGTTAAAAAATAACCTCTGCCTACATTCTTGACCGGCCACCAACAATAACTACCATTGCCATTATTTCGTCCTACTCTCATCATCTCTAGCACTTTATAGCTGATCATACACCCATACCCTATTTATATCATGAAGGAAGATACCAAACCCGGCCCTGCCCCTGGAATGAACCACGCAGACGTTGCTGCTGCTATTCAGGCTGAAAAGGATCAGAAGGGCATCAAACGCAACACAAACTTCCTCAAGATTGATATGCACACGTAATTGGAATAACAATAACATTTCTCTTTTACTCTCTCGCTATTTCCTGAACAACAGCTGAAATAGTTGACGATAGTTAATTGAAATAATATGTATATTTTTTCACTTACAATAACAGTCATATCCTGCCAAAGCACTGGCCAGACCTGAAAAAGAAATATGGATATGGCTCTTGGATTCAGTTAGACCATGTTTCACCAGTAAGTCTTTTAAGACCTTTTCGTTCAAAATCTTCATGTAGGAACTGAGGGATTTTTTAACTAACGCCCAACTTTATCACTTTCGTTTTAGGGAAAAGCCAACATGATGATGGATGGAAAGAACTTTAGAACCATTGAATGCAACTGTTGGTCTTCAGAACAACGTATCAAGGAGTGTAATGCAACAGATGTCGATGTCCAGGTATGTTCATACGGAGATAAGAACACATCACGGTACTGAGTCTATAATGTCATCTCCATACTTAAAGTTTATTTGTCGTGTACTCTAGGTCTTGTCGACTGTCCCCGTCATGTTCAGCTACAATGCTCGTCCAGAACACACGTTGGATTTGGCTAGGTATCTAAATGACCATATTGCTCAGGTAGTGGCCGAAGATCCAAAGCGCTTTGTAGGATTGGGGACATTACCTATGCAGGCGCCTGAACTTGCTGTTCAAGAGTTAAGACGTTGTCGTGAAGAGCTTGGTTTGGCTGGTATTCAGATTGGAAGCCATATCAATGACTGGAACTTAGATGCTCCTGAACTAGATCCTATCTGGGCAGCTTGTGAGGAGACTAATGCCGCGATCTTTGTACACCCTTGGGATATGGAAAATAAGGGAAGGATGGAAAAGTACTGGTTCCCTTGGTTGGTGGGTATGCCATGTGAAACTACCATCTCGATCTGCTCTATGGTGATGGGTGGAGTATTAGAGCGCTTCCCTAAGCTCAAGGTCTCATTTGCTCATGGAGGTGGATCTTTCCCTGCGACCGTTGGACGTATTCAGCATGGGTTTGATGTTCGTCCGGATCTTTGTGCCACCCGCACTAAGAGTGGACCAATGTATGCAACAGACAAAAAAAAAAAAAAAAAAAAAAAGCTCATTTTCTTTGAAAGCACGTATTGTTGTCTTTTTATTCTGAAATTGAATCCTCATGTATTCATCCGTTTTCGAAATTAGGACCTACTTGAATCGTATTTTTGTTGACTCTCTGGTGCATGATGAAGAGACCCTTGAGTTCTTGATCAAGAAGATGGGTATTGATAACATCATGCTGGGATCCGATTATCCCTTCCCCTTGGGTGAACTTCATCCGGGCAAGATGATTGAGGAGGCTCGCTGGCTGACGGATGAAGAGAAGACAAAATTACTTAGTGGCAATGCCATTAAGTTCTTGGGCCTTGAACACTTGCTGAATACTCCAATGGATGAATAAATAAAGAATAGTTTAAAGGCTAAAGCATTGTTTCCTAGAGGCTAGAGGCACAGCCTTCGTGGCTTAGACATTGTGCACAAGACTAGAAGAGGGCATGTGGTTTTCTTCCTGCCTTCTTTAGCAACCAAAGAGCTACTAGTATTAAAACATCATCTACCTTTATTTTTCTTTCATCGACAAAACTCACGAAATAAATTGGGATTGACAATAATATGTCCTATAACGGAATTGGACTTAGCACAGCTCGTGGATCAGGCACAAATGGATATGTTGTGCGTAATCTGGGCCATTTGAAGACTCGCAGGAATGAATTCCATCAGTCAGATCCCTATGAAGATGAACCCAAGATTCGTAAACCCAATCCTGAGTTAGTTTTGCATGAACAGAAGCGATCGATAGAGATCAAATGTGCGACTTTGCAGGATGAACTCGAAGATGAAGGGTATGTATTGCCATTTATATTTGTGTATCTGTTAGGACTTTGTAGTTCATTTAAATGTATTTAAACACTGAAGATTCTCTATATCTTATTGCCATTGTTTTTTTTTTTTTTTCTTTCTTTCCTTCCTAATCTGTTGGTAGAGTGGATGAAGAAGAGATTGACCGACAGGTCAACGCATTGAGAGAAAAGTTGACCGCACTTTTAGAAAAGGCAACTGCTGCTGCTGCGCTTGCTAAGACTAAGGCTGCAGAGAGAGAGGCCGCAGAACAAAAGGCTGCAGAGGAGTGGGCCCAGAAAGCATCAGAGAGAGCAGCGGAAAGAGTTAGAACTGCCGTATCATCAGGAAAAGATTCAGGGCGCGAACGCAATAATGGCAGGCACTCTACTCGAGAAAGGGATTCTGATAAGAGACGAGGCCGCTCACACTCACGCTCACGCTCACGGACACCACGTTCGAAAAGAAGACGTTATTCGCCATCGACATCTCGATCCCGATCTATTTCAGAATCCCGTTCACGGTCGCGTTCCATTTCTTCTTCACGTCCTCGTCCTCGTCCTCGTTCTCGTTCTCGTTCTATTTCACATTCCCGCTCTCCTTCTAGATCTCGTTCCCGTTCTCGTTCTCGTTCGCCTGCATCGAAATCATGGAGACGCAAGGGCCATTCAGTCTCAAGGTCTCATTCACGATCGCCCGTAACAAGCCGTCGTCTCCAAAAGGGCAGGGATTATCATTCGAGACCTAATAGGTCCGTATCGCGATCGCCTTTGCGCTCCAGATCAAAAGCAAGATCTGACTCACCTGCATCATCTCGCTCTCGCTCAAGGTCATATTCCCGGTCACTTTCTGGATCACGGTCTCCTTGATGAGGAAGAAAAGGCTTTTGTTTTACTACCCCTTGATAAGGAAGCAGGATTAACTTCAATATTTGCAATTTTGAGACAGATGCAGGTTTACAAGCTAGGCAGGCCAAATATCGTTATTGAAATAAATTGTACAAATTATACAAATAAGAAAAGTAAAAATCCATTGCAATGGTCTACATTTGAGAATGGATCTTTTATTTTTTGTAAAATGCAACATTAAATTTTTCCATGTGGAGACTACACTAAAAGGCTTAAGTTTCACAAATCTTTTTTTTTTATATTCATTTCTTTCCTTTTTCTGTGAATTCCGTTGCATTCCATTGCCTTGCTTTGCCTTGCCTTCATTCATTTCAACTCATCAATACTTTCTTTTTGAGGTTTACATTTTTACTCAACAGTTGTATACAAAGATCATTTTTTATTTTCAGTTGCCTTTGATTGTGAAGTTACAAAGAACTAAACAAAGCTAAAAGCAGCTTTCCCCTGAATCCTGAATATCTTCTTTTTTTATATTCTCTTCATCTTTTACATTCACACAATCAAACCCTCGCTAATTCACGCGGAAAACCTTGAATGGCAGCTTTATCAACTACATCACACTCCTCTGCTGGCGGTGCTACTGCATCAACACAATCAAACGGCACAGGTGCTTTAGCTTCAGGAACACAACAAGCCAATAGCACAAGCACAGCCGTTGGCACTGGTACAGAAGTCTGGTCCAGCTTGCTCAAGAGCGTCGCGTCCTCACGCCTTGTGCCCACAAAAGATGTCATCATCCTTGGTGATCCTCATTCTGGAAAGTCAACACTGATTGAACTTCTCAAGACAACTACCTCATCCTCGAACACTCTTGCAAAAAATGCTGATGGCTCCAACGGAGCTGGTGTCCTTCCCTCTGGACCCAATGGAGCCACCAACACTGGCAATGGCTCTGCACCCGTCATGGTTGAGATGGGCACCAGCACAGGCGAAGATAACATGTTTACAGACGGACAAAAGAAGAATGACCTTGCTCTTAGCTACTCTTTTTGGAATGTTGATGACGAGGAGAATGAAGGTACTTGACCAAAAAAAAAAAAAAAATTCTCATTTTGATAAGGAAAGAATAATGAACTGTGAGCAATGGTATTCGACTCACGTCTTTTTTTTTTCCTTCTTGTTATATACCATCATTCGCCATTGATAGACACTGTGGCTAGGTTGGGTATATATCAGATTGCAGGATCGCACAAGAGCTATCATGCGCTACTCAAGTATTGCTTCAATTCAAAATCTATTGCGGATTCGATTGTGGTAATCGTCCTGGACTGGTCAAAGCCATGGACATTTATGGAGACGCTAGAGCGCTGGGTCAGAGTCCTTGAAATTGCCATTCAGCAGATTTGTCAGGAAGGAACCGCAGCTAATGTGGCATGGAGCAAAGGAAAGGCATTGATGGACGAGCTCCAGGAGAAGTGTACGTATTTTGCTTTTATTCTTTCGACTATAACCTGCTAATCAACAACCTGTCGCTTCGATCATTTTTATTTATCTCACAAGTATGCGTTGCAACCCACGTTCTTTTATCGTTCATTCAATATTTGTTGTTTATTTTGTCCCAATACTCTGTGCTCACTTGTTGGGCGGGATCAAGGACTTTTTTAGTCTCTTGACTGATCACATTTTCACACATACTTTTTTATTTTTTTCATGTAACATGATTATTTCTGTCACGACTAAATAATTGTTGAGCGATTCTTTCACATGGTGTTCGCTGGCTGGTTTCCACAGCTGTCTCTGGATACTAAAGAAACTAATGCTGAGTTCATATGTTGTGTATTTCCTCTCTCTTTTTTTTTTGCTTAACTCTCTTTGTATTTTATTTCATCTGTTCTCGGTTTTTGGTATTAAGTAACCCGCTTCCTTCAAGAATATACTGAGCCTCAAGCACAATCTGCCAATGGAGCATCAACCTTTAGTGAAAGCCAAACATTTGGTCTTGGATCCACTGATGCTGTACTCTTACCCTTGACTGAGGGTTGCCTTACCAACAATACAGGAGTACCCATCGTTATTGTCTGCACAAAAGTAAAAAAAAAAAAAGTTACGTCTACTTTTGCCTCAATCAAGGGGAGACACTCATAATAATGATACTTTTCTTTTCCTTTTTTTTCCTTTCCTGCATTGAAAACTTGTAGTCCGATCATATCAACATCTTGGAACGCGAGTTGGATTACAAAGAGGAGACGTTCGATTATATCCAACAGTCTCTTAGAACCATCTGCTTAAAATGTAAGACTCGACCAAACATGGTGCATACAAATATGACTTCGTCAATTAGACGTCCCTTAATCCTATCATTACTAACCTTTTTTTTTTTTTTTTTTTTTTTTTTTTTAACATTAATAATAGACGGCGCAAGTCTGTTTTATACCTCAATTCATCATCCCCATACGTTTGCTGATCTTCGTCAATATATCCTTCATCGACTCTTGACTCCTCAGACCACCCATAGCAGCAGTGGCACCGGCGCTAACACCCAGCAGCAGCAGCAGCAGCAGCAGCCTTCCTTATTCCCTTTTAGACTTCGTGCACAGGTTGTGGAGCGTGATCAAGTCATGGTTCCTGCTGGCTGGGACACAATTGGAAAGATCAAGGTATTGAGGAATGGATTTGACTGCGAGGGCGTAGCAGAAGGATGGGACATGGACATGAAGGCAGCTGAAGGAGGGGCTCAGCAGCACCAGACAGATGGACATAAAGACACAGCTGGAGCTCGGCAGGTGTATGAGGAAGTTATCACAAATCCAAAGCACAGTCATGCGGTAAGTCATATGAATATTGAAATATTATATGATGAGTCATTAAAGCAACAATAACATAGGATAATATGCATCACCATTGACATGCTTAACTGTATTCTTATTTTCTTCGTGGATCTTTAGCCGGTAGCGATACAACCATTAATTACAGCAGAAGATGATCAAATATTTTTGGACCGATTCCTTGAATTACAGCGTGCAAATGAGCGTCCTAATGGCACATCTGCTATGAGTGGAGGTCTTGGATCACACGGTGTACAGAGTGGATACCATGGACCCCCTGTTGTGGGACCTCTCGGCTCTGGGTACAATGCCATGCTCAACAGTCACCATTCCAGTCCACCACCATCCATGTCATCAGCGCATTCAGCTATTGGTAGTGCAGGAGCACGAGCTGGGGTGAATGGACATGATGCAGATGATATTGAAGGACGTTTGAAGAGACTTGTGTCAAAGAAGCCCAATGGAGGAGTAGGAGGTACTCAATCAGGGTTGATTGGTCCCGCTTTGACAGATCAAGGACTGACAACAACTAATTTTATGAAAATGATGGAACAAGGACGACCATCCGCAGGACCACCGCCTATCGGTGTTGGTAGCGTCCCTCGAGCAGGTGGAGGAGCAGCTGGCACACTTGGTGGCGCCGCTGCAGCCAATGGTCAAACGGAATCTGCAGCTCTATCCAATTTCTTCCAGTCATTGATCACTCGCAAGGGGACTGGGTCTGGTATTGCTGGAGCTGGAGCAGCCACTGGTGTATCTTCGCCATCAGCAGCGCCAGCTCCAGGATCTCCGGGATCAGGAAATCATGGTGCATAGCGAGAATAAAAAATGGCATCAATCTTTTTTTTTCTGGCTACTGCAACCAGAATCTGTGAGATACATGCTCTTTTTTATTATTATTAACCATAGCAGGAAGAAGAATATACGAAACGTTATGATATGACAACGACCATCTTCTGTAAACGAACACTCAATAAAGAATCATGCAATCAATCAAAGAAACAAAAAGCAAAAAATTCATTCATGCTGAGATCATGAATAAACCCTAAGAAGCCAGTTTTTTTTATACATATTCTTAATTCAAAGTGACAGCCAAGGTACCCGAAGGAACAAGCTGTAACTCGTTCAATGTCTTGTCCAGATTTTCACCGTCCAACACCTGCCTCGGAAATGTCATCATCAACTTAAAGCTACCTTGTCGATGTTGACGAAGATAGTCGTACACAACACTCAACTTATCCGACGCTTGGAATGCTGAGAAAAGATCATGAAATGAAGGTTGTTTTGAGGATATGATCAGTTAAAAGAGACAATGATCAGTGTTTTTTAAGAAAAAAATAAAAATAAAAATAAAAACTCAACATACTGTGGACAATAGGTTGTTGGCCTTCTGGTTGACGGATCTGCAACCGAGTTTCAGTGTAGACCTTGGTCTTTGCAGCGGCAGCGGCAGCGGCAGCGGCAGCAGCAGCAGCCTGAGCTTGAGCTTGAGCCTGTTGTAGAAATCCGGCAGCAGCTTCCTGTTTCTTCCTTGCCCTCTCTGCTTTGTCGGCCTCAATCTGAGCCTTGATGGCAGCCTTTGCCAACCGATCCTCTTCCTTTTCTCGTTTTTTCTGTTCAGCCAACTTTTTCATTTCCTTTTCTTCAAGTTTAGCCTTTACTTCTGTTAAATCTTGACCCGCCTTACGACGAATCTTCTCCGACATCTTTTGGTCTTCTTTCTCACTCTGGGCCTTCATTGCACGCTTCTCAGCTACCCGTTGCTTCAACTCTGCAAGCTTAATTTTTTTCTCCTCCTCTGTTAGTGGCTTAATCGCCTGAGTTGATTCTGCGAAGTTGACGTGTTCTGTCCGCATGGCATGGCGCTGTGCAGCATCCGCTAAGAAAAGAGGAGGAAAAAAATTTATATGGTTAAGGCAATGAAAGTAGAAATCAACTTAAATCATATACTTTTTTACTTTTCGTGATACTAACAATTTCGAAGGATCATGCCGCAGTCCTGACACACAAGCGATTGAGCTGTTTGCTCGCCATCTTGGATTATATCCCCCTCTTTTTTTTTTTTTTTTTTTTTTTTTTTTTTTTTAAAAAAAAAAAAGTCTGCAGTTAATAAACTTTGAGTAAGAAAACACATCGGAGAAAAGAACAAGCCCAACAACATACCCTGCTCTTGAGAGTCTTCAGATCCTGCTGCCGCAGATGAAGTTGCTGTGCCAAGAGCTCCACCCACTTGCTCGGGAATAGGATCATCGATATTTGGATCCTCAGAGTGCTTCATTAACCTGAGAAAAAAAAAAAAAAAAAAAAAAAAAAAAGGATGGAAGGATGGAAGGGAAAGAAAAGAAAAGGCGAAGAGAAAGGAAAGGAGATGGAATAAAATGAGAAGGTCTTTTAACACTTTCTCTTTCATTTTTATACTTTCCATTTTCTTCCTACATATCACTGTATTCGTTTCCATATTACCAGTCTAAGGCAGGTTGTAGACCTGCATTTCTAGTTGCCTTCAATGCTTTGAGACTAAGTAATAATAATAATAGACACCTGTAAGAAGTGGATAAACTTATGAGCGTAAATGAGACTTTTTTTTTGTTCTTCCTTTCTACTTATTCATACACACGGTTTTTGGGAAATCCCATTTCTACAAGTTGGTCAGCGTCAGAGGGCATGATGTGAAAGATGCAGCTTTTATATTTGTTTTTTGTGTTAATCCCGAGATGGTTTTTGTCACTGTTGACGAAAAGAATGTAATAAAGGAGAAGCTTTTTAAAAAAGAATGGCAGACGCGCGTTACGTTTGACATGATTATAGTGAGAAAATTCACCCCCCTTAAGCAATAAAGCTTTTGTTTGACCAACAGATGATTCCTGAAATTAAAGGTGCGGTGGCCATAAAGACTTGGTAAGGTGTGAGTATATTTACCTGGCCATTGTATCCCAATGGAAAGTTGCCTACCACTTTGGACTATATATGAACCCATCCACTGATTCATGACTGCAAGAGCCATTGCGGCTCATAGGATTGCTCCATGAAGACCTCCAAGAAATATTATAGAAGTTGATACCTGTCCAGGCATAACTCTCTAGGCCTACCCTAGACATCAACAATATGAAGACAAGAATGTGGCCCAAAATCACTGGAGTCGAAAGTGAATAGGGTCATGTATTCAGGTATACCTCCAACTGTGCACAGGATCGCTATTGTAATCCACGCATATTCTCATCCTCATGCTTTCTTCGATGCCATGATCATGTTCAGTTGCGGTCATGTGGTATTCAGCGTTTTCAAAGAAAAAAAATATATAGCCATTCATTTGACATGTCGTGTCGTGGTAGGCCTATTTGCTCTAGGACGTCGACACCCTGGCTCAATATCAAGCAGCTTTTCTTGTGCTTCTGTCGCTCGACGGTTCTTGGATGAAGAAATCTTTTGTTTGATGGTTAGGCTCCGAAATACCTCCTCAGCGTTCCTGACATTTTTTTTTTTCTTTTTTTTTTTTTGGCGCTTGAAGCCGGGTTGACCTGAACCCCGCATGCCTATAGCAACTATGCTTGCTATCATGATGCCTCACTTATTCTGTGACCAAATTAAGAAAAGTGATGGTGATGATAAGCACATTAGCACAATCCAGTCAGCACATGCTGTAATTCACTTGTCACTCACAGGATATGGTCTTAACGCTTTGTCCATACACACTCACACCCGACCCTTGTAAATATTTCTAGTTTCCGAAAGATAGCGGGATGTATCATTTTGATATCAGTCCATCCAGATGTTACCGTAAACTAATGCCTCTTCGCAACGTGCATACGATGTAACTTGCGGTTGAACAGCATCAGTTTGGACTGCCCAATTTGTAAATGTCTTATGAAGGTAAATCACTCTTTTAATCAGTACCCATTGGTAGGGTACCAAGAGATATTCTTCTAACGTGGTAGATATCCTTGACTTGCCTTCACTTGCTTAGGGAAAGGGGAGGAGGAGTGGCATATTAACTAGTATTAGTTATTACATAGACAGCCCCTCATTCACAACTTGTTCATCTTCTTTCTTTGACATTTATCCTTGGCTTTATATTTCATAACGTTCTAACAACAACCATACTGGATCTTGACTTGGCCAGTAAGATCTTTTATTTATCGTCGACTGTTGAGCCGCCATCACTTTATTCGAGTAAGGCTGCGCTTTATCATGCGGGATAAAGTAGGTTACTAATAGTTATTTGGCGCCATTTCAGCCAGCTAAAATAAGCCGCTTTGAGACAGGGGACCACACGATTTCCTCCCATGAAATCAACCTAAGCACCTGATATTGTGATGAGCTATCACATAGCCCTATATACGGATTTGCAATTTGAAGCTATTACTCCTCACTTTTGTACACAAGAACTAAGGATGTGAAACACAATTTCAGTATTTGATGAAAGGATAGGAATTAACTTTTAATTGTTTGGGAACGATTTTTCTTCCGACAGTGGCTGTGCGACAGCGTCCAAAAAAACGTGTGGGGATAGATAATTTCTGCTTCCAAAGCACGTGCTTGAAGGGTCCTAAAGGCCAAAGTCAGATTTAAGTCCACTTTGATTCGTATTACAAAAAAACATGTCTCCAAAACTCAAAAAAACACTGAATGATGTTACAACTATATTTATATATATTCATATATATACAACATATACTTTCAAGAGCATTGTTTGTTTTTGTGAAAAGATCTTTTTTTTATTTTTTTTTACCAGTAACAATTGCTGCGACACGAGACAAAGTTCTTCTATGCATAGAACAATAGCATCGTATGCGGCAAGATACACGTAGACTAGACATCCCCATATCTTCGGCCGGATAATTGCTTTACTAAGGTATTTTACTGAACGCCTGGACATGAATATTGGGCCTTTAATCATGGTTGGTTGGAACGCTGTTGAGATGGATCGATGTGAAACCAGTGAGAGAGGCAGAAAGAACCGATTGTCATCGATTGTCGAGGGACAATGCTAATGAAAATGCTTCTAACGAATGAAACATTCGGTAATAGAACAAAGTTTCATCATACCTGTTCTGCTTAACATAAATCTGTTCATTTATGCAATCAGGAAGCCCATACCCAGTGTTTAAAAGCGAATCCACTCATCTGTTCAGGAGACATCTTTATCAGGAAGGGACTTTCGTATATCTTTATCATTTCAAAGTATATGAAATAAGATAAAGCAGTATATACATCCTACGAAAGATTTTTCTAGTCTTTTACCACTCCGTCTGTCTACGACTACTGAGGAGATGGTCCAACCGGAGAATAAATGAATGGCATTTGATTGGTTTATACTTTACTATTTTGCTCCCATTCCTATTGGGTAGAAAGAGCAGAAGCACCTTCTAGGCTTCCGAAAATTTCCTTTGAAAACGTTGTTAGAAAGTGCGCGGCGCTTTGAATTTGTTGAATACGCATTACAGAGTTCCCCAGTTTAAGTATTTCATCTCCAATGAAAGACCCGATCCTTTTTTCTTATATACGGTATACTCGCCTTTTGGCCTAATTTTCCTTGAAATTAGCTTTATTATTTATCTTTCACTCTCTGTCGTTCTACACATTTTAAAAAGAAATCTAGATTCAGGCTCGAAAGTAACGAGGAAAAATAAGCTCCCCGCTTCTACAGGACGTTGTCTGGTGTAAATATATTTATAACATGATGCATGGGTATGTATACAGTGATAAACATTAAACAAAGCTCTTTTTTTTTTTTTTTTTTTTTTTTTTTTACATTTTCCGAATGTCCATTCTCGTTTGTAAGAGGTGATCTGTCCGCAATGGCTCTGTCTTCATGAGCTCTCCAAGGTGTATATATATCTATATGATATATATATGATATAGCGAGCTATCTGACGATCGCGTGCATAGTTTAAGATGATCAATATTTTTACCGTACCATGTCCTCATGGGATTACATCCACATGCACACCTTTTAATGAAAATGGTCGAAAGGAGGAAGGAGAGCATGATTGTCTTCCAAGCAATGGCCAATTCTGTCTTTAGAAACAAGCCTAACGAGACAATACAAAAAACCAAAAGTTCTAGACCTATACTTTATTTGATACTCTTTTTTTTTTTTTTTTTTTTTTTTTTAAAAAAAAAAAAAAAAAAAAAAAAAATTATGGTCCATAGCAGAACTTGACAATGAAGATCCATTTTTAAAAGAAACGCTAGTGCTTTTTTGACAATCCAATGACCAACGAGTATGAATGTAATCTCTGCCAAGTTCTTCATGTGTGAGCAAATTTAGACATATCGTTGGCGTGTGGGATAGGGGTGAATGATGAGTTCTCAGGTTCCAATCACTAGGTAAAATGATAAACAGGGGAAAATGACCTAAAAGATAAAGAGACATCAATGATAATTGACAACGAGAGACCAAAGTCATAGAATAAAAGAAAAAAGGATCCTTCCTTTGAGTAAGGGGAAAGAAACATGTTCAATTATATTTGTGTGTAATATGTAATATGTTGAGTCATCAATATTTTGTTGTGGAGAGAGAATCAGCTCTCTTTTGTTTACAGATAACTCAGTCTTATTCATTAGTTTACATTAGATTTAGTATGTACTGTTTTCTGTATCAGCTACTTGAAACAGCCAGTGCCAGAACTTGTTTTGTCAAAAAAGGAAGGAGACAAGCGGGGTAAAACCAAACAATAAAAAAGATTTATTTTATAATGCTGTGTCCTAGAAGCCAATCCTCCTTCTCCTTCCCCCTGATCCTGACACATGTTTACATGCTGAGTAAGAAAGTAGCTTAACAAAAGTATATTTTCACATTAAAAAGTGATAAAAAAACAAAGACCAATATGAGCATTTCATCAGGACCCGGTGGGTTGGATCCAAGCCGATCAATCGCTCTGCATTTACCATCTTCTTCATTGATGTCCTTGAACAACCAAAAGCTATCAAATCCACCATAGTTTTTTTTTACTATCCCTCGAAGCTGCAGATTTGTGTGTGACTTTTGGATGGTGTATATACTTCCGAGGAAAAAAAAAAAAAAAAAACCAAGAGGGCCTAGATGCAAGTATGGTTGAACATTCTTCTCCACCTCTTTCTTTTCTTTTCCAGGATGAGGGAAAGGAAGGTAAGGATTGATTGGGAAACAAATAAAATAAAAAATAAAAAAGTGGAATAGAACCAAATGCAGAAAGAAAGTTAAAGAAATGGACGTGAGTTTAACGTAACTTTGGAATATAAAGTTTAGTAAAATTCCTTCACTCTACATTCATTTAACACAGAAATGAAAGAGTTTTAGTTAACTGAAACAGGGAATTATCACTTTTGGAAAAACAGCAACAGCTCACAAAGATAATATAGTCCGCTATAGAACGGGATATTGATTACTTGATTGACATGGCGTGGGCGCCATTGTCATGTCCAAAAAGCATACATATGCATTATTACAAGAAAGGAGATGAATGGTAGAGACTCTTCTTTTTTCTTTTTTTTTTTTTACAACTTCTTCATGGATAAGCTGCATGCTCAACCATCATACGTCCGAACGAGAGCAAATGAAATTTATATTGCATACCAGTTTATCACGATACCGTAAAAAAAAAAAAAAGGAAAAAAAAGAAACGATTCATCCGGCGCCTTGGACTTTCCATAGATTCTAATAGAAATTGTAATTTCTTTTAATATCGAAGTGTCTCTCTTTGCTCACGATCACTTCCGACTCTCTTTTTGCCATGTGCACGCTATGCAAAGCACAGATGGCGTATAGTGCC